CGACAAGCCATCCAGCTACGACAAGCCATCCAGCTACGACAAGCCATCCAGCTACGACAAGCCATCCAGCTACGACAAGCCATCCAGCTACGACAGAGCCTCAAATTATGACAAGCCATCCAGCTACGACCGAGCATCGAGCTACGACATGCCTTCCAGTTACGAAAAGGCCAAGTCATGCGACCTACCGAATTCATATGACAAGCCAGCAGGATATGATCGACCAGCAAACTATGAGTCTGCTCCGGATTCTTACACCAACAAGCACAGTTACAACGCCAGGCCTGCAAGCTACTAGCTGGGCGCAACCAGGTTCAATGCCATCGAAGAGAGTGAAAACTTAGGAGTTTCCATATGACGTTGAGTGATCAGACGTAGAGGACGAATTGAGATCCGTCAAAACCTGCAAGCCACACTCCTTCGCTGCACGAGGGGCGGACCGAATGGGGTAGTTAGTCGGAGACTCAGGATGGAGAAAGAATGAAATGCCAAGAGGTGCTTATTGCATACTACATAGTGCCATAATTACTGACAAACGCCTTGACTTCTTTTAGAAGACCCATTTGCCTCCTCCGCCACAGTGTCGTCCACAGGAGTACTGAGGTAGCAACATCTGTAAAGTTTGTTCGTTAGTCCGGGAGCGACTTGCCAAACCTAAGTGATTAGAAAGGACGCAGACTTTGCCATGTTGGAAACATCTCTGCCCCTGGCCCGCTACTCCGCGTGTTTCCATGCCATCTCATGCACCCCAAATCCTCCAGCTCTTCCTGCATTAGTGACCTTAAGGCTTACAACCCTAGAATTTCTTAGACAACTCTTGGAAGTGTGGTAGTCTTTGGGGCCACTCACACCTCAGGTAAGCTTCTGAGCATCCCTTAAGCTCTAGCCGCTCACTCTATCCCCGTATATCCACATGCTAGCGTGAGATTCTTAATGCATATAATAAGCGGAGAAACAATGCTTGACTTCAGAGTCTTGGGTGGGAGTGGGCATCCAATTCCTTGAGTTTTCACCAACCACTTGACGAGGACATTGCCCGACGTTACTGAACAATACATTCCTCGGTTTTCATGGTTGTGTATTTCGTTGAAATGATGCTGCCTCCACACGGGCGATGGCAAGAAACACTGGGATCATGCCTTCTCCACCGAGATCAAGTGAGTGGAACGGTTAATTAGTTGCTAACAAGTTACTTGCTTCAATATTGAAGGATGGGACCCAGCTAGTGGGACAGGTCACGTCTTCGCATGCCATGTCGCGGAGTATGCAAATCGCCCCTAGATGTCGATGCAGTAACAAGAGGCACTCTCAACCTACTGCTAAACACTGCTCCTTGACCAAGTCACGAGCAGCTTTCTTAGTCGTGCTAAATTCCAACTTCTCCTGTGGTCGCTTTAGCTGCCAAAGGCAGTTATCTCTCCTCACGATCTCATAAGAAGCTAACGAATCATTTCAACCTTTCAGTCCAGCGACAAGGCTAGACAATGGGCTCTATAGACGCCAACCCTCTGGCCGTGGCTATGGATATTCTCATCATCGGAGCAGGCAAGTACTCCAAAACATTTACGGATACTATCTCAAGTCCCCCTTGCTCAAAGAAATGGACTTATCTCACAATACAGCTTCCTCACTACAGGAATCTCCGGTCTGTCGACCGCCTTGTCTCTCCAACAGAAATGTAATCAGTGGAAGATCACAGTTTTAGAAAGGCATGATACCCTGCAAGCTCTCGGCTCCGTCATTGGGATAATGCCCTCAGGGACCCGAGTTTTGCAGCATTTGGGGCTCCTAGACGACGTCTGGCGTGTCTGTGGCGACATAAAACCGGTCGTCAACTGGAGACGGTGGGAAGATGGGAGGGTACTCATGACCCAAACTCCGCCGGAACGTGAAGGGCTGTTCGGTATTAGGTATATTTCTGCCCATTGTCTGTTTTGTCTAGTTGCGCCGTTTCTTCTCTGTCAAAGTCTGGCTCCTCCAAGCTATTGGTAAAATGAACCCCCTGATCATGGGTACTGATATCATTATCAATCACAATTGTAGGGCGGCTACAGGCAAGCGAGCAGATTTCCAGAAACTCCTTTACGACTCAACTGTCAAGCGAGGAATCAATGTACGGTTCAACAGCGTTGTATCAGCCTTGGACGACGCGGTACCCAGTGTGACACTGACATCAGGCGAGACGATTAAAGCAGACCTAATCATAGCGGCAGATGGTAAGCTCCCCTTCTCCCGGGCTAATTGCATGCATTACTGAGCACCCGACAATCCCCCATTTTGTCTGACAAATTACCAAGGAATCAACTCCACGATCCGCCGAACGCTCTACCCGCATTCAGAACAAACTTTCAGCGGGATCGACGACTACATGACCTCAATACCGCGTTCTGTGCTTGAATCCCACCCAGATCTAGAACCACTCCTGGCTTCCGCCAACCTCTGGTGGGGACCGACCGGCGGCGTGATAGCCGGAGTTTCAGGCGTCGGCTCTGAAGAACGATACTACGTGGAGTTCTGCCACATCCACGGCAGCGCTGGAAGCGAAGGCAACTGGTCCAAGGAAGCAGACATCGGTGAACTGCGGGAATTGTTCGCCGACTGGGATCCTAGACTGCGGATGCTGCTGGAGCATGTAGAGAGTGCGAAAGTCTGGAGGCTTGCTTATACACAGGCTGGGTTGGAGTGGGTTAGTCAGAGTGGAAAGGTGCTGCTGGTAGGCGACGCGGCGCACGCTATGCTGCCTCACGCCATGGCGGTAAGTGAGATTCGAAATCCCTTGCTTGTTTAACAGTCGATTCGTTCATGAAGGGGGTTTGCGGCTGGCGAGAGAAAACGTTGAATTTTTCGCTAATCTCTCGCGCTAATAAGGGTGCAACAACCGCCATTGAAGATGGCGCCTCGCTGGCAGAATGCCTTGGGCGGATCACCTCAGCCACAGAGATCCCCAAAGCACTGCACGCTTTCCAGTCTATTCGCAAGCCTCGACTCGCATTCATCCAGAATGAGGGCCTGAACCGAGCCAAGATGTTCCACCTGCCGGACGGACCGCAGCAGCAGGGCAGGGACGAGATGTTCAAGAAGAATCCCATGATGGGAGCCCCCGCCTGGGACGGTAATCATATCGATAACCCGCCCGATGAGACGCAGCGTCACCTCGGAATGCCTTACGTTGTGGGCCATCAAGTGATTCACTTTACGAGGAGGAGATTGGATGAACTTTGGTAGGGGAGTGGGTAGGATATAATACTGTGGAAGGCATGGAAGGTAATACAGTATAGTATGAAAAAGCTCAGTCATTGCAACAATAGCCATAAGTTCCGGTTCTGTTGTTGTTGGCCCTTGGGTGCCTAGTCCGAAGAACAAGGCATTTCGACACTTTGCGAACTTGACTGTCCTCCGCGCCTGTTCCTCCACTAGTCTTCTTTCATGTCTGATAGAGGTGTTCTTAGTCATTCCCAGCCGATTTGTGAACGTGTGTTTAGGCACCTGCCTCCTCTGTCCCTTACGGGACAGGGAACAACGAATTCATCCAATCTGTCCGATATATATCCAGATTGTTCATGGCATAATGGTGCCTAAGATGATACTCATTGTTAAATCAATCTGTTACGGAAAGGCTATACCTATGTACCTGCGCGTACATGGTTATAGCACGATCACTGTTTAGAAAGAGTAGCAGCTAAACTATCTGACGATCTACGTCGGAATCCACTGTATACACGGATAGTTGTTCAGCCCCAATAAAGCAAAAAGGATCCGTTTTTTACAATCAGCGAGCGGCCGATGATCTTAAGCGCCTCCGGGCATCGACCACCACCAACGCCACTACTGTCGATACTTTACGGATTTTCTTGGCATTAACATATGTTGATACTTTGGTCTATTACACGAGAAGGATTCTAGAAAGCCAATTGACACTCGGCTGCGAGTTTTAACTTCCAGCGTCAGCACTTAACGCTCCCGCCCAAACCGGCAACGACCTTCCCACTGCACATATGCCTCTGGTGAGACCATACATGACCCTGACACTGCCAAGCTTGGAGTGTTCGCATTTCGCAGCCGCTGTCTCCTTTTCCTGCTGCTGAAGTCCCGCTTCCGCCACGGCATGCTCTCAGGCAAAGTCCGTCTGCGCACTCACTATCTCGCTCGTGTTTGCCAAGCGGGCGTTCGGGATCTTCGGGCATCGATACAGCCGGACAATCAGTGGACGTGAAATAGCTTGCCTATGAGGATGACCAATGTGGGGATAAACAGCAGAATGACTCTCGGAGTCGAGTTTTCGCGTGTGTGCAAGCGATGTAATGTCACGAGATACTGGGCGAGTCTCGTTTTTGGAGTTGTGAGTACAAGCGAGCGCCATCGCGCCGATGGAGAAGTGTATGAACTCCCCTATACCGGGAGATGGTCCATGTGTTGTTAACCTTGTTGAATGATGTATTTTGCACGTGGAGTTATCGAACCGTGCGGTCACTCTGGTTATAGAATATCAGTTGTGTGCCGTCGAAATGCCCACCGTGATGGGTGTCACTGTGAACCAGAGGGCAATTCGTAGGATGTGTTCAGGAGGCCAGACCGGTTTTTTGACTGGGAAGGCTGCAATCATACTGGGTTTGATAGCAGGGTCGATGAACCAGGAGAGGCATGCTAAGTAGTCCATGTCCTTTCCTTTCCCATGGGGCAATAGGACCATTGCGCAATGCTTGTTTGTATCATAGTCTCCAGGGATGTAGGTGGCAACTTTTCTGGGATCTGAGAATTAACTTTGATCCTTTCTGCTGAGGTCTCAGGCCTGAATCATGCTTAACTCTATACGGGGCTCCCATCCAGCTTGTGACTGTCGACGGTGAAGGGTTTTAGTTGACTTTTACCGGTGCTTGTCTGCCCGCAACCCGTAGCACGCCTGCTGAGGTCAAGTGCATTGGTGGAAGTAGAAATACCCAAAAGGCTAACGAAGACAGAGAGTAGCTTCATATTATCGATTTCAAAGCCTCAGAGGGATAAGTAAATAGCTTAACTCTCTACAGAGCACGGGTCCCTGCTGGCCTTTTGTATCAGCCCACACTTCTGCAATCACGGTCGCGATGGACTTTTCGAGCACGACGAGATGGGAAGGACCGAGCGAAGTCAGGCTCAGCGTCGTGCGAAGGCGAAAGTGCATAGGACTTCAGATGACATGACAATGCTGACGCATATTATCGCACAAGTTAGCACGAACGAGAACAATCTTCGTTGGCGGATTAACCATCACCCCAACTCGACAAGTATAGCCTTGCCATTCAACCAAGTCTCAAATTTCAAATCTTTGGGCTCCGCTCCTGCCTGAGTGGGTTCTTCGCTCTTTGCCGTCCTCCAATCTCTCGCCTCCAGCGTTCGTCGATGGTCTGCTTTTCTACGAGAGCCTTGCTCTTCCATGTTCGTTCATGTTCTGCCTCATGGGAAATCCACCTTCTCATTTCATCACCGATCCATGCTGCCGTTTCCTGCGCTGTCTGCCTAGGTGCTTCGAGAGGAATCATGTGACCTACACCAGGGAGTGTGACATTCTTGACGCGCCCCTCGCGAAGTCCACCACTGCCTCCAACCCCTGTGCCTGTCCTCGAGACTTTCAAGTCATTGAATTCGCTAGTTAAAGCTGAGACACGGCCGGGATCGGCAAATATGTACAATGCACTCGGACGAAGAGACGGGAGGGCGTGAAAGATTCTAGCCGGTTCAGGGCGATAAAATGGGTAGTTAATGGGTGACCGTGGATCGATATCCGCGTGAGTTCTTCGGTCGACGGATTTGTCATCGTGCCCAAATCCAAAGTAATTGGGCCGTAAGTAAAAGAAGACTTCCTGAGCCGGAGATGTGGTCAACGATACTGGGCCATGCGCGTTGTGATCCTCTATTTCACGAAGACCATACTCAAGCCAGAGAGGTAGCACTCTCGGATCCCATGCCTGGTAGAATCGATTGTTTCGGAAAGATGTCTCAGCCTCCTTACGACTAGGCCACCAGTTTCTCCTGAAGGTGGTCGATTTCGCGGGACCGCTCTTTTCTTCCGGAGTCACTTCTGCCGACTGCACCTGTATACCAGGGTCTAGGAGCACGAGTGTGGTGAAGAGCCTCGGGTGTATATATGCGAGATCAACCAGTTGCGCTCCACCAGCGCTATGACCGATGCCTAGGATAGGACGGGGCATTTCTTCTCGTTTGAGGTTTACGAGATGAAGGAGGTCCCGTGCGTGATCTGACCACGAGGGATCATTGCCCAGCAGACTTTGATTTAACTGCCCACTTTCACCTTGACTGGCGAGATCTGCTATCCAGATTGCCCTAATGCGAAACCCGTTCAACTTGGACTCATCAAGCAAATCTGTCCAGAAGGGCTCATAAAGTTCTTTGGGAATGGCGTTTGCGTGGGCACCAAGGATTGTCACATCTCCTGGCCGAGGGGTGGCATTGTCAAGTGGAATATACTGTTTTACCTGAAGGTATAGAACGTCCTCTTGCGCGTTGGCCAGTGCACATGGATATTCGCGGATGTGCTGGCACGGGATCTTGTGCGTGACGATCTCGAACCTGGACATGACCGCTCCTCTTGTTGTGATTCGGAGGAGGATGCGTAGAGCGCAAGGGACCGATTAACAGAGCATTAACTATGATATATTGTTCTTTGTAGTGCGGGTGGCCGTCTTGTATCCGTGGGCAGGAGTCCTGCTAAGGTCCATGGTTTATGCCGTTCTTTATGCAACTTCGGCTATTTCCGGCCCGACGTTGTTGGGTAGGAGTAAGCTTCTTCTTGTTAAGCGACAGCTGGGCAGCTTGTCGCTCCCTCCGCCTATCCGTAAAACGTTCTTTGGTAGGATAAGAGGACGGATCAACTAACGCCAAGCACCACATTATGCAACACACTAGATTATGTAAGGCAATCGAAGAATTAGCAAAGTATATAGACTCAACTGCCACCAACGCCAACTGCATGACACTTATTTAAAAAATTGGTACAGCATTCTAAGGTTCTTGTTTAAGTCGGCTAAATAAGTTTTAGGTCTCTAAAGAAGAAAGAATACTGTCCAGCAGGGCCTCAGAGCCTACTAAACATCTTAACCTAACCCGCACTCACGTGGTAGTTTAGCAGGTATTAGGTCGGGTCAACCCGACCCTCCCGCTAACTGCGGACCAATCTTGTATTTGCATAGACAAGCAAGAGAGTGGTGAACAGACGCACGAACCCAGCCTCGGTCTCCGAGTGGAAAATCTGCAGCGGTGGATCAAGGCTGATCTACGTAGGAGCGGCAATAAGACACGTATACAGCAAGACCTATTGAACTAAGCCCATTCGCAGATACCTTACATGCGTATCAAGTTGCGGGAATCGAGGTTCGGGCTCGAGCCTCGAGCTATTTTACAACTCCCTCACCACTCACCCCTAGCGAAAAGCGGTGTTCAACACGTCTCTGGTTCTTGCTTCATTCAAGGAGTACTGGTCTACGAGCATGTGAATGATAGCTCGAATGCTAGTTATTGGGAGTTCAAAAGACATAGACCGTTCAGAACTTCCTGAGTCGGGTTCAAGGTTCTTAGCTCTCCTGACGAACATCTCGCTGGCGCCCGCCGAAATATTCCCGATCTTTGTTGCTGTGAGCATCAGGTGAGTTCAATATTTCTCCATTCTCCAGCGTTAAGTGAACGCCCTTGGAACGAATAATCTCCAAGCGCCTGGCATTGTATTGGGCTCACGGAAGCCAGACGTCGGAAGTAATATTGTCTCCGTTGCAGGTGAATTGAACCTTCAACCTTCCATTGTCAGCTTTGCGTGGATGCCTGGAGGGTCATGTCGCTTGCCGTACCTTTCTGTGATGGAGCGTTCTTCAAAAGGGGCGAAGCTGGTTGAATGCTGCGACTGTTTAAACTGTCTTTATTGCTGACAATATCTCGCTTGCCGCTCTTTCACGGCCAGTGTTGGCAGGGAAACGCGCGGCAAGATCTCTTGCGCGCCTGCGAATCTCCTCCGCTTTGGGTCCTAGCAAAGTTTCTATCAGTGACTGGGCTAGCTCACCCCCCTCCCATCGAGGTTTTGCTTTCTTGTTCGCCCATTGGCCGACGCCCAATATTTCGACACGGTTCCCAAAATCATAGCAGTCCGCCCATGCCGGGAGAAGGACTTGTGGCACTCCAGCACTGCGGACGCCATAAGTTAGCCATATCCTCTGAGCAGCAGTGATTACTTTCGCAGCTCTAAGTGTAATGACGTGTGCAAACTCACCATATTGATTCGTTGAAGGAATTCGCACCACCGTGATGCACGGAACAGACCACATGGCCAGAATCAAGTACGGAGAAGGGCTCGGCAGTGATCCAATTCGTGATCCGGACACGATCTGCATCCATCTCCGGGCCTAGCGTGTTGCAAACGCTCGACCAGGCGCCCGAGAAATCGTTGGGTTCAAGTTCAGTATCAGCAGGGGGCTTTCGCTGTAGTTTCCACAGGATCTGCAATTTCCGCCATTCCTCAAAGCCTGCCGCCTGAGCGTGGCTCAGCAGATCTCGAAATGCTTTGGCCATCTCCGCAGCCTCCGAGACATTCATTTTCAAGTGCGTGCCCAAGTTGACATACACAGTCGGTCCTTTCTTCAGCCACTGTTCCAGAGAAGGGTCAGAGCTGCCTATGCTGGGAGCCGCGCGTATGATCGGCCCACAATGGACAACGTGCTTAGGTAAAACTGTGAATGGGTAGTCGAGTTCTGGACTACTGGCAGCAAGGATCCGTAAACCTGGCGGAGCCGGTTTGAGCACACCGAGTTCGTTGGCAGTCATGATATTTGTAGCCGGACTGATTTCTTTATGGATATACTGTGAGGTTCTCTTCAGTCTCTGATCTGTTAGAAGCATATATCCTGCCACCAGAACGAGGAGGATATTGTAAGGAATGAGTTGTATAGGAAGAGGAAATGGGAGCGCAGCGCACACACTATTTGTTGATGATTATCCTGTTAGCTGTCTTGTTACTGGCATCGTCTTGTTCTTGAGTGAACCGCGAGGTGGTGACTGAAAACTCACATGGGATATTTCCACAGCATAGCGAGCCCTGGCTGTAGGGGTACAGCAAAGTCCTTGATTGTATTGGGTGCTAGCACGATCCAGTTAATGTCAAGATATTGGCACAACGTCAAGCCAGGTGCAAAAAGCGGATCGACCACGGTGATATCAGGGTTGACATCACTGAGGATCTTCTCAGCCTGGAGGTAGATGGCACCGAACTCATGAGGTTCCCAAGGTAACATAATTCCTGGTATGATGAGGATATTGCGTGCCGAATTCACCAAGCCCGGCGTCAAATCGTATGCCTCCAATACACCCACTTCCGGACGTTTGGCTGCGTCGAACTGTGACAGACCATCAATTCCATGGAAGATAACCCGTTCTTGCTCCATCTTAGGCGGATTCTGTTTCACAGCCTTGTCTGATAACTCGCGCACAGCCCCCTCAAGTGGGTGGAAGGACGCAATATGTATCTCAAGATCCGTCGCAACGTGCATCATGGCATAAACCGAAGCAAGAACGACATTTGCTTGGCCGAAGTCGCTATTCGTGAAGAACAGGATTCTCCGCCTGTGCACTGCCATTTCATTGATAGATCTCGCGACCACAAGCCCGTGACTCTTGACTCTTGAGATTTGAAGATATCGTGAAAAGAGGTTGATCTCGGCGAATAGGCCACAAGAGTGGTCTTCTAGACTCGGTGTATGGTGCTTCGCAATACTATCTACTAGAACGACCTGAATTGGGGCAGTCTCGGTCAACGTTCCAGGCCATTATATATGCGGGAGTCCCTTGTATGCAGTGGCATTTTGGAACCCGCCCCCACCTTCGACTAAGTTGGCTTTCCAACTAGCCGGGTTTTGGCGGCTGACAAACGGATTGCCCGAAATGATTTCTTACGATATTTGAGGAGAGTCCACTAAATTTCTTTCTGCAGTGTTCAGCTGGGGGATGTTTAAGCTGACAAACGGATTGCCCGAAACGATGCTTACGATATTCATTACTTGGGGAGATGGTAGAAGTGTCTCCACTTAATTTACAGGTTTGTTCTGGGCAGCGCTTCAGCTCGAGGATGGTCGGTAATTATCAACAAAAGATGTGATGGTCTGAACATCGTCCTCCAGATTTCACCAATATCGATCGCTGGGACCTACGACCGACTTAGTAGAGATAGATGTGGTATATATTGTTTGATCTATTCCCTTGTCAACTCTACTCACCTTTCATGAAAGAATTTCCTTTCGATACTTCATCTGGCCCAAATGTATTTGTTAGCATCCTCGACGATTTTGTCTCTTTGGTTCGCACATGAAGCCCACCGCAATATCCACAAACGTCAAACGATAGTGAGTGCTCAAAATCTCCCAGCTCTTCCTTTTGTTCAGTCAGATCTTCCATCTGTCGAGACAGGCTGCGCGCCAGGTGATGTCGTGTCGCCTCATTGGCAGGCAAACTCCATCGACAAATACATGTCTGGATACCCTAACTTTGGCGAAGCTCGTAAGCAATCTTGGTGCAGATGCCTGTGGTTCCTTGCCGACAGCTAAATATATGTCAGTGGAGTATTCCCGAAGTTCCTTCAAAGCGACAGTCCTGATTTGGGATTTGACTGCTTGGATTTGAGCAACCCGTCAAAGTGGCTCATTGCTACTAGCTTTTCGATATCATCGGAACCCTCGACTCTCATTGGGACTGCTTGCGGCAGCTTTCATGAGACCCATTTCGGCTTCATCTGCCAGGCCTGGGTTAATATGTACAACAACCTACAGTTCTAAGAGAAACCCTCTCCACATCCCGGCTTGGGTACATGACGGCCTGTCCGATCAGAATCTTGATATCTTTCTTAACTCCCACCCACCCGGCGCGGTCGCCGAGATGCTCAAAAGCGGTATTCATCTGGGTCTGTTCCCAACACAGGCAGAGTACCAATCCGCCATGGAGCGAAGCCTCAAGGTCTTCCTGGACGCCCAGCTCTGGTCAAAAATCGATATGCAACTCATGATCACAAATCCAGATGATAGGGGTCTTTGCATCGCAGAAGCCGCTCGCCTGATCCGCGGTCAGTGCATGCAGTTCAAGTATCCGGATGGGAGTAACCTAATCACCCCTGCCACGGGTGAAACCCCTCGGGATGCAATCGGTGGTCTCAGCAGTGCGGGCTTGGATTTTGACAAGGCCGTGAACAATGTATTGGATTGCAATACCGCAGGAAAGTCGGCGAGTGATGTCGACTTTGAAGGATTTTTTGCCTCGGGAGAACAGAGATCGCAAGATATACCGGCATGTTTGTTTGGGCTTTACGGTCATAGGTTTGCTGGAATTCACTTGAAGTCCGTACATGTTTGCGGCGGGGATTGGGCAATGAACGGTACTAGGTAGATAAGTGATGAGCGCACTGGTATCTCTTCTCTTTGAGCGAGGCATACCTCGATCTCTCTGTATTATTTTCAAGTTACCTCTGCACCAAATTCCTGCCCAAGCCGTTATCAGCTACAATGACTTACATAGATCTAAATTCCTTCTGCATCTTGCCACTGATTTACCAACTTCTCCGAGTGCATTGTGTTCGACAGTCATCTATCTAGACTCGCTAGCATCCAATCAAAATTATGTTGCGAAGGTTACAGGGATGAAGAGCAGAGGGAGGTAGCCACGATTTCTCAGGTCAGCGCAGGCAATGAGTCAAAAACATAAAATCCCATACGATATTGTATTTCAAGAGCTTGTGTAGGAAAAACCCGTTGCACATACTGGTAGATCCAAAATGGCAGAATAAATTCCCAGGGACTTGTCAAATGGTGGTCGATTGCAATGCCCACTCTCTGCAAAATCAATAGCCTTCAAACTCCTTGACCAAGTCCCATCTTGCCTCAAACAAGCCCTCGACGAAGCGGTCCATCACACAGTCAGCATACACGAAGCGCGTTAAAAGCTTCTGTGCCTCACGCCATGTCCTTAGTCCTAGGAGTTGACTCGTGTATGCGAACCGCACTGAGTGCCAGGTAGTTTGCAAGACGGGCCGCTTGCCCGCTTCGTTGGAGGCTTGTTCTGCACATGCGCCAACGAAGAAAATATACAGTAGTGCGTTATAGTAGTCGATAGCACCCGAGTACATAGTGCCAACTTCGTGAATTGCAAAGTTTGGTTTGTTGCCATAGAGAAAGCCCCGCTTCGCTATGTACGTCAGGAGGACTTCGATTTGTGGCTGCAGATTCTGGATGGGGACGTAGAGCAGCCATCTCTGGACACGAGACAGGAAGCCATAGGCAAACGACATTGCATAAGATGAGGAGAGGGCAAGGCATGCTTGTAGCTGTCGACGTACGGCTCGGGAGGTAGGTGTCGCGGGTGTGATGGTTTCCACCAAGTCGAAGAAGAGCGTCATGGTCCATGAATTTAAGGTTGAGCGACGAGGATAGAGCCAATCGAAGAACCGGTCGGCTTCGTCGTACTTTTTATCTCGATCCAAGTCCTCGGCCAAGCAGTGTGCAGTGACGAATTCTCGGTGCATGGAAAGGTACGTGCCAAGACGGGCAGAGAGTGGATCGTCTGGGAGCAGGAATGCGTCGTCCCCGTACCGATATTGAGACTTGGCTTCGGGGCTGATCAAAGTGTATTCTCGGAAGCAGCACTGGTCGTAGAAGGAACCCGGGTCATACTGGCCGAAATCCAGGGCTGGTCGCGCCATTACATGTCGGCTGTGTACGTTTTCTCCGTGGATCACTTGGAGGCGGATTGTTGGCGTCAGAACATCTATGCCTCCGAGCTTCTGGATCAAGTCGGCAAATGCTCGCTTGTGACATTCGTTCACAGACACGTCACCTTGGTAGAAAGCCAGCGCAGCGTTGTACCAGATACATTGAAGTAGGGTTTCGGAGGGTTTGTGGGATTCGACTATGCGGCTGCGTAGCAAGAACAAGCTCTTATTTTGTTGCTTTAAAGCCATGGGCCATATTGTTGCGTAATGCTCTGGTTCTTCAAAATGTGCTTTGAGGCTGAGAACGCTGGCGTACCAGCCATAGAGGCTTTGCTTGTCGGGAAGAAGCTCTTTGACTCTACTCTGCCAGGTGAGCTGGACATGATGACGGGATTTTGGGCTTCGATTGTGTCTCTGATTGAATGGCATGAAGATGCTCCGAAGCATCTCGAGGGCGTCTTGCTGGAAGGCGGCACTCATTGTGATATCCGCGGCTGACGAGTGGCCGATGCAGTAGTCAAGGCCGGACTGCATCCGAGTCCCATGATTTCTTGGACATGTGCGATCTGGTTCGGTGTCAACGTCTGCCCGCCTCAAGCATGACCTGAGCTGCGCAGGTTTAGAATTGATCAAGGTGCTGTTGTGATTGTGTGTTTTTCGAGACGTATTGGATTCAAGTTGCCAACAAATTGGCTTGGGTGCATCTGCATCAAGAAGCAGACTCGTACGATTCGCACTTCGTATTATATTTAGACGACGTTGTGACGGATCTCCGCTCCTTGACTTTGGTGGTTCGCGTTGAAAGGATGACGTTGGGCCGCTTATCTGTCTTGTTTTTTTCGCTTGCTTTCTTGCCCACCGGGAGTAATTCCGAGAGACATGGGAGCTGATTGAGAACCTCTCATCTGAATCATTGGTATTCAAATTGGATGCGTGTTTATTGACGAAATGGAATGACCCTTTGAAAGGAGTAAAAGGGTCTGAAGACTCCATGTCAGGTCGTACAATAAATATCGCGTTTGGATTTCCCGATTGAGGCAGTGAGCGACGAACTCGATAGCAATTTTAACACCTGGCGTCCTCACTGCGCAACGACACCTCATTTCCTAATGTACATTTGACCCTTCGTAGCCTCATGTCTTTTTGAATTCTTTGAAGCTCTGTTGAAGATAACGTGTAGGAGCCTGGTTGGCCATCTGTGAAGGCGTGTTTGCCATGGCATGCCGACGCTGAAAGCGCTGGGGGCTGGGACTTCAATGAATCGCCACGATTCCCAGGGCTTTCAATTGTGGCAAGTCCATGTTCGTTAGGCCAAGAAGAGTCTACCGATTGCACGGGGTTTGGGTCCATAAGCGTTGGACAAGCCTACCAAGGCGCCGGCGCCGTTAGCGAATGTTCTGTGTTGCACATACTTGGGCTTCTTGGCTTCCTGTCTGGTGAGAGTTTCGCGCCTGGTCCTCAACTCATATATCAGGGGGGTAGTTGGACTGGGATAACCTGGGCTCGAAACTAGTGGTCGGCTGAAATCTCCATATGAGGTTTGGTCGATACCTGAGATGACATGGTTAGAGAAGCCAAGTCGTAATATTAGCGTGCATGCCCCAACGTGACAAATTGCGCCGCAGACGAATGTAAGATGAGCTACGGGTCATCGGGTGAAATTCCTGTATGTGCCTGTCCGGGGTCGGCGAAGACGACGCTCGCCGCACTTCCTATTTCGAACTTTGTGATGACTAAGCCAGTTACGGAGGCCGAGCACCCAACTACATAATGCGAATTACACAGAATTCCGATGCGAGTAGCTTTCCTTCCCGTGGCAACACGTTCTAAACCTTTACGTGACTCTATTAGAACAAAGCAGCAGCCACTGCCAGAGCAAAGGTGACGCTCAGACTACCTGCCTTCTGGGAACCCAACGAAGCCGCTGCAATACTGGTGTACAAAGCGACTGTCGGCGAGGTGGTTGAGACAGTGGCATTGGATCCAGTGAAGCTGGACCCTGCATTGGAGCACACCTTGCCAACGTCGGAGGGAATCGATGGGAACTTGTCTACGGCGTCCAGGATCGCCACCGCCATTCCGCCCGACAAGTGGCTTTGCACGTGGCAGTGCAACAGCCACGCTCCTGGGGTGTTGGCCTGATACCTAAACACCATCCACGCGGCGCCTTCCGCTTCCGTGCTCGTGTAGCCGTCCACAAGCGGTGGGTTGTCGAGATTGAAATCTACCCCGGCGGATTGAGCTTCGGCGACAGTAGTGTAGTTAAAATCGCCAGTACCCGCCCCGATAACGAAGAATTTGTTGGCGTGTTTGTGGATGGGGTGCGGCTCGGCCAACGGGCCAGCTACCTTGATGATAAGGTCCACCCATTCGTTGTAATTGGTCCTCAGTACAAGATCGCTAGTGGGAATGTCTGCTAGGGACTGGTAGAGAAGTGGCGGAGTTTCATCATCTCGGCTTTGGTTGTATGCATCTGCCCCATTCAGAACCCAAGCCCATGACAACGACATTTCCGGGTCCTTCATGATGTCGAGAACGAAGGTTGCATCCGCCGTACTCGAGACCGCCTCCGCAGGGTATGGGTAAGCCGCAGCCCTATCTAAGACGGTGATGGTGGTCGTGTTCTGTCCACCATAATTCATGACAGCTTCAGCAGTGGTTGATGGCCCTGAGCTGCCTTGATAAGACAAGACGCCATACCCCGAGATGACTTGGTTCAAGCCGCTGTTCGCCACGCGGATGGTATAGTCCGCTGGGGTTTGATCGAGCTTGACCAGCACCGAGATTCTGTCTCCATTATCGACTTCAATCTGATCCACCATCTGAGGTTCGATATAGTGGCCATTAATCTCGTAGACGTATAGCTTGTGGCTGTCGATCGTGATCTTGAAGAGTGCTGTACCACTGGGACTGATAAAGGACAATGCCGCCCAGTCGTCCGCCGCATCGACGGGGTAGGTAAAGTTCGTGCCGGTATAGGACGTGCATTCGTAGTATGCGCCAGCGGGCAAGGCGGCCAAGTTGCGGCTGTAGGCACCTTGGACCACGGTGTTGTTGGGAGGGATACACCCCTTCGCAGTTAAGGACGTCCCGTTAAGGACAAGCTCCGCCTGGGCAGCTTCGTCGACGCTGAGGGTGGCTACTGATAGGCAGTAGGACGATCCCATACCATTCAGGACGAAAGAGTCTGTGCAGGAGTAGTCAATGTTGGCGGACTTCTCGATTTCAAAGAACTCGTTGAAGGTAAAGCGATTCCAGTCGGCTGTAAGGACTGCCTCGACGTTCGCTTCTGCGGCCTCCATCTTCTGAATGTCGGTAGAACTATTGCTAATTAGAGAGAATGGCCTAGTCGCTTTTTCCGCGGGGGAGATAATGATTGCCCCATATAAGCCATCCATCATTTGACCTTTGTAATGGCTGTGATAGAAATAAATGCCAGATTCCTCAGCTGTCCACTGATAGTTATAGCTGGAGCCTGGTTGAATCGAGTATTGAGAGACACCTGGGACTCCATCCGCCCACGGTGTCCCCAGCTGCCGGATGCCGTGGAAGTGAACACCAGTTGCGTTGGGCATGTTGTTGATTACCGTAAAGTCAACACATTCCCCAACTGCGAGTCTCAGAGGAGGGCCCGGAAACGTGCCATTGGTCAAGATCGCCTCTCTGGAGAAGATGTTCGACGGGTCCGTGAGTCCCCACGTCAGCTCGATCAAGAAGGGTTTGCATGCTGCAGCCGTCGAGCAGATGGAGGAACTGGAGGACGCGGATGAGTTCGAGTACGCAGAGGCACCGACTGCTGGGGTCAGCCAAGCCGCGATTCTTGAGAGCCTCATGGGCAAGAGCAACTAGGTCAACCTGGAAAGGGGTAGAAATGAAAGCGACTGAATGGAAAAGAACCGGGCAAAAACAAAACGAATGACTTTGGTGCTGCGTGCGAAGAGAGCGAAAGGATGAGTTCAGAGGCCTGTATTCTTCAAGGAAGGCGGGTAAAGGAGCACAGTTAAGTTGATGAACCATTTCTGTGATCGGCCCGTCTCAGCCAGATTGCTCTCACAAAAGCAAGGGAGAATACTCCAGGCGAGTTCCGGCCGAAACCCGCCATTGCCGTCGCATGGCTGGTCCTGTGTTAGCTGGAAGAAACATTCGTCCCCATAGCATGTTCCCACAATCTGATTGAAGGGCGTTTGGTCGACAACGCGTAAGCTGCAAGTCCCAGAAGAGAAATTGTCAAACAAGTGACATCTCTACCGGCCACAACAACAGCCACAGCAGAGGCTCAACGGCGACCAATGCAATAATTGCTGGGTATCGAGTCTCTCGATATTGGTCAATGTATGAAAGGAGACGAACTCATGTTGCCACAACCCGGAAAGAGATGGGGTTTGACCCCAGTAAATGAGAACCGCAGCTAGCCAATCCAGCGTCAACGCCTCACGGCTTGAGAAGGGTGACGCGACTCTAGGCCCCACCATCTATTTTTGGACCGCTGCGTCGATGAATCATGCCGTGCTATCCGACAAAGGAGATATGAGATATGAGGCATGATTCTGATAACTTTGATGTCGATTATCAAATCACGCGAAACAAAGTGCGGAGGGAGAGGTTGAAGGAAAAGAGTGCGCCAACCCAGGAACATATCCGTTGCACTCAGGCGCCAAGGCGGACGATCTACGGGGACAGGCGCCCAGCAACATATGAAGTTGATACGCTGAGTAAGTACCGGGTGTCTATCTGGCTAGCTACAACTTCGCAGTGCAAAAATGAGTGTTTTATTCAGACAGCGGCGAGCATATCGCCATCATTTCCAATGCTGAAATTTGAAACAGGCTCCAGCGTGTATACGTAATGAGTGACGAATTTGAGCCAGTGACCAGGCTCTACAGGGGTTTTCACAAAGGTGTGGACAAAGCTTTGAAGAGACCCTCTTCGCTAACCCGAGTGGGCACAGGTGGGAAGCATGGACGCACAAGAGCAGAAGGACCACGTCCTCTCTCAAACAAAACTTGGGGAGCCCTATGAGCAACTACAGCAAGGTGCAGAGCCCATTTGAAAGCTGAAGAACCATCCATCTGTGAACCACCCAGCTGTGGATGAGCCGCCACTCCTTGAACCTGGCTATACTGCGCAAATCCAAGGACTGTAGTGGCCAGGGCATATGAAGACTACGTAATGAAGAGAGTTGGACTAATTTTCTATGGTTCACTGTCGCCATACTCTTTGCTACTGATCGATCTTGTAATCCCTTGACCGCGAGATTACACCCAGGCCTCGTCAACTAAAGCGGTGCGTACGTATATCTCGGACCTCCCTGCATAGAAGCTGGTCCTAATCATATTTGCGCACACATTTGCGCGCTTCGAGTACCATACGTCCTCAACCGTCGTTATGGTCGTGCTTCTCGATGTCCTACTCACCACCCTCCTCCAGCCCATTTGGTCACGCATTCAGACCGTGGAATATTGTGTCAACGCTGACGACAACCCAAGGGGTCACTATTAGAGCACTCGGATTCTCGCCGCCCACGTTCTTTATATGCTTTCTATACCAGGGCTAACATACAATTGCTTACAGACAGTCAATTGCAGGACATCTAGATCTGCCACTCATCCTGGCATCCTTACACAAGCATTTCAAGGCTGCAGCGACTTTTGCCTTCCTAATCGTTTGATGCTAACCCAACCTGACAGTTCCACCTTGTACTTCCGGAGATGAAATTGTCGACATTATCTATGGCGGTTGTGGCGTTGACCGTTTCCTCGGTAGCTTCGATCCAAGTTGCTGTGCGGTCGAATCCTCGAGTGTTGAGCCTTCCGATCGAAAAAAGATCGGTCCCAGATGTCCTCACGCGTGACCGCACACGGCTCAGGCGGCGCACTGGGACTGTGGAAGCAGCACTGGACAACGAATTAACCTTGTACTATGCAAAAATAAGCCTCGGAACTCCAAAGCAGTCTTTCCGCGTCCAGCTCGATACGGGGAGCTCTGACCTATGGGTGAATGAAGCCAACTCGACGTATTGCGAGTCCAGCGAGGATGTCTGCGAAGGTGGTACATACGACCGGACTTCCTCGTCGACCTACAATTTTGTGAACGCTGACTTCGACGTGACCTATGAAGATGGCTCTGCTGCGTCCGGCATCTACGCCACAGATACGCTTTACTTTGGAGACGTCAGCCTGGATTCCTTCCAATTTGGCATTGGGCAAACCTCCACGGCCGACAACAATGTTCTGGGCATTGGCTACATGGCAAACGAAGGTGAAGATAGAACAATAGGTTCCACGTATGCCAATTTGCCCCAAGCCCTGGTGGATGTCGGTAAGATTTCCACCAGCGCGTACTCTCTCTGGCTCAATGACCTAGATGCCAACACGGGAGAGATTCTGTTCGGTGGGGTCGATCAAGATAAGTACTTGGGCGAGCTGACCACACTTCCTGTTCTCAAATCGGACGGTGGATACCGCGAGCTCGCTGTCGCCCTGACCGGCATTTCTGTGTACGGGGCCAATCTCTCCTCATCCTCGTCTCTGCCGATTGGCGCGGTTCTGGACAGCGGCACTACTCTCAGCTACCTCCCGGACTCACTGGTCGAAGAGATCTACAGCCAGATGGACGCCACCTATTCGTCCTCAGCAGGCTACGCGTACGTCACCTGTAACGGGGGTACTAGTGGCTCCAATGACACCGTCGACTTTACATTCTCTGGAAAGACAATCAAAGTGCCGTTTGATGAACTTATTCTGGGCGCCGCAACCAGCAGCGACGGGCAACCTTTGAGCTTTGAGAACGGCGAGGAAGCATGTATCCTGGGGATCGCACCGTTGGGCTCATCCAGCACCTCCATTCTCGGCGACACCTTCCTGCGCTCCGCATATGTGGTCTACGACCTGACCAACAATGAGATCTCGCTGGCACAGACCATCTTCAACGCAACGTCATCCGACATACGAGAAATCACGAGAAATTCAGACTCGGTGCCAGGTGCAGTGGTGGTTGCTTCTGCTGTTACGACGATTGCAGTTGAGACCGGCGGGACCGCCATGTTCAATGTAGCAACAGCAGTGGTTTCGAGCGCGACTGAGACAAGCATCAGTGTCAGACTCAATTTGTCGTTGGGTAATAGAGTCTACACTGCCCTCATTGCGATTTTTGCTAGCACGGTGATCATGAGTATCTAGCCGTCGTATAAGGATGTCAGGAGCGGTGTAGCTTTTCGGTTTCTTTGTAGTTTCCGTGACCTTGTCGTTTATCGATGTAAAATCAATTACACTATGGTCAAATTGGCGCGTTGGGGTCGCCAGCTATGGCGCCAGCAGTCCGTATCGACCTACATTCGGTCGAGAATGCCGTTGCTATTTATGCAGAGTCTTTATTTCTCCTCTATATATCAGCCGTGAGTGTGGCCAATCCAACTTACACAGTGCGTTTACTCTAACTTGAAGATCCGCCGATACGCAAGCTCGCGGACACGAAGCTGGCCTTCAACTTGTTCTGCGCTGAGTCAACTGGGTTGACCGTCCCATCCTTTTGTGCGTAACATGCCATGCAAGGTCGGCTCTTGACTTGAGGCATCGAATTTTGTGCCAAGTTTGGTGTCCACAACTGTTCCCATTTAATGGGGTAGACCTACTTGGTGGACGACGTCCTTCTTCAGTCAATCAGCGGGCCCATCAACAAGATGAACTTTCTGCGCTTCAAGGTTTCTGCCGTGGTTACTACGACCCAGGATGGCGGCTCCAGAAGATCACCTCCTTCAAGTTTCATGCTACGCTCCTGGTATTCCTTTTGAGAAGGCTAAAGTAGTTGACTGGTTCAGCAATCTTGGGACATTCCGATCACACTTTATTGTCGCAACTTGCAGAAAGCCCTTCAAAATCACCATTCTAGATTCCCTCATGGCGACATGCAGCGCAGAACATCATAGTTAGATCGCGAGGCTCTGCAAGATCCGATGAAGCCATCACGGAAGCGAACCACGATGCTGTATTGATCGACTGAGAAAAGCTAGGTGGTATCCAAGCTACTGGGAACTCTGTGCGGCTGCCTGGTCATTCCGTTTTGATGATGGCCGGCCATTTGGAATCGATCATAGATCCTTGTCCAGTAGAATACCAACTATGGTCCTTACTGTAGCGAGTCGACCTCTTCCCTCTTGTACATGACACCCAATTCCAGCCCCGATGAGCTTGTATCGGCTTTGATTCCTGTGAACCTCACTTCTTATCGTATTATTGAAATCAGTCCAAAACGCTCTCTACCCTCAGCGTCTATACCACAACACCCGACGTTCGTGCTTTCCAACCCTTCTCGGAGTCCCCGTTTTTCCAGCCTCAGTCCGTCTTTCACTTTTGTTTGGCCAACCTCCAACTCTTATGGTATGGGAAATATGACTCATATGACCATTAAACCACAGGCTCTCTCCCCACATTCCACTTGGGCATGAGGATGCCTGTGGGAAGATAATTCCGCTTTTGAGTGCGATGGTACATACATACCGCCTCAACAATGAATGGACTCTTCGTCGTGCCCGAGATTCAGTTGCAGTTCCAGGAAGCATTGTGGTGATTTGATCCAGCGAAAACCCCGCAGATTCATCGACACATACATTCAAATAGTCCGGAAACGATATTGTACTGGGAACCATTCGCTCCAGCGACGCGACACTTAGGAAACCATTGACCACAGGTACTGATCTGATGACACTTGATTGGACGCACCATGAGCGGCTGCAATGCTCCGATACATTCACTTATTTGAGTTTGGAACATGCCGCGGTGACGGAGGCGTTGGCGCGGCCTTGAAGGTTCGAGGAGCCACAAAGGGCTGGAGACGCCTATCCGAGCAGTGCCTCGATGTTCTTCTGGTGTATGGACACTCGGACTATACCAGCGTCCCCAATTTGAAGACTTTATGGATTACGGGAGTATCATTTCTCGTCAAAGAGTACTTATATCAGGCAAGTGAGTATTCTACCACTGTCCGGGGAATGTCACGAATAAAACCCAGAATTACGTCGGCTATGAGCGTAGCAAGGGGCAGGAAGTCAACCGCCCTCTAGTCTAACGCCATGCGCCACCGTATTGACACGTTGCCCGGCGTGACAACCTTGATAGGTATCATCGCACCGGAGCTATGCGCAATGCTTCATGGGTAGATGGGATCGGAGTTCTTACTGTTTCCAGCCTGGTCGTGAAAGGTGGCTGGAGCAGTATCGTTTCGGCACTTCTCGAGCTGGTGGACGCAAGCATGGACCCAGAGACCCAAAGATTTGGTTTATGGTTCCGCAGCTGGTGTAATCCAAGAGCTTTCATTTGACGAGCACGTCGGGATTAATGACATTAGAGGGACCAAGTCTAGACGAAAGTGTCTGATCCACATTGAGCTGATTCCTCCCACCCAACTACACCATTGCTACAGCTGCCAGGGTCGAACATGCAGTAATTCAACAGGGTCAGAGTGGAATTGACAAGAAGATGCCTGGCGGAAGTCACAGCACTTCTCAAAGGAAAGCGACTGAGCCACAGAACTGGACGTAGCAAAACTTGGAAATGGGAGAATTCCTTTTGTCCAAGCTTTTTTCAGAAACAGAAAATGGGCAGAACCATCTACAACGCCCCGCTCCGATAAGTCGGCTCGGGGAATTTGGGGGGGATTTCCTACGGTCACAGCGCCAGGCTCGTTCGTGGGTACTTTTAAACTCTGGAATGAGTGTCGCACGAAGACCAGAAAGACAACTTACAATAGGGCCTATCGTGTACGAGGAGTGGCAAGCCGCCAGCGCCGAACGAGGCTCTGGCCCCCCGCAATGACTCGTAGATGCAATAACAGGATGACGCGGCGACCCAGGTATGTACATTCAAAGACAACCCCTTTCCATACAGCCGACTCATTGTCCCCGCGAGCTGCCAGCCGCGCGTTATCTCAACCCGCGTCATCAACTGTTATATGATTCGGCCTCCAATGATGGAAGAAAACAAAGAAGCACTTCTATGGGACACAAGCTTCTCTGCCAAGCGATCGTCCCATGTAGAGCGCGCGGTCACATCGGCGACGAGCCTTCGGAGATGGCTGTGCTCAAATGAAGATTACGCATAACTGAAGATGCTCCTGAGCCTGAATCAAGGACCGATTTGAAGTCGAGGTTGTATTTAAACAGGTTTGAGCTTTCTCACATTGCGGGCTTCGTCGTATCGATCGATTCAAGTGCTACAGCATCAAAACACATAAACCTCCGATCCCAGCGCTTCTTCTGCCATGTTGACCTTTTCTGTTCTCTTTATTTGCGTATTCCTTGCAAATTGGGTAGTCCTCGCACACCCTGGCCACAACGTCGCTGAAGAAGCGGCTGAACGGAAGCAATTCTTTAAGCGCAGTCCGAAAACAATCCGTTCGTGCGCCAGCACACTGAAGGCTCGAGGCCATGAATCTGCAAGCACCGCCCGTCGTCAAGCGCTCGTCAATCATCTGCGTGTCAAGCGCGGCTTAGAAGGCACGCCGCTCATCCACCGAAGAGACTTCACTTCGTACAATTTCTCCCACGTCTCGGACAACTCGGACATCTCTTTGAACTCGGACGAAACGGTTCTCTTCTCGGACAACTCCTCGTGCACTCTGCAGAGCGAAACCACGGAAGGACCCTACTACGTCAAAGGAGAATTGATTCGCGAAAATCTAGTCGACGGTGAAGAAGGCGTTCCCTTGTTTCTCGACATCCAAATCCTCGACACTGCCACGTGTGAGCCTGTGCCTGCTCTGTATACGGAGATCTGGTCATGCAACTCCACAGGCGTGTACAGCGGCGTGGTTGCAAATGGGAATGGCAACAGCAACGATACGACGAACCTGAACAATACTGCCTTGAGGGGGATCCAACAGACGGATCTCAACGGCGTTGTGCAGTTCAACACAATATTCCCCGGCCACTACACTGGTGATTATGAGCCCGAGTATACATCAAAAATGTTTTAATAACAGTCTTCAACAGGTCGGGCCACCCATATACATGTGCTTGCCCACAGTCTCAATTCAACGACCGTCCGGTTGAACAGGACCCTCCTCGATGCCAACGCTTCCTCTTCCGTCCACGTCTCCCACGTCGGCCAGCTCTTCTTCGATCAAAGCCTCATCTCCAAAGTCGAGACAGAATCACCCTATAGCACAAATTCGCAAGACGTGACTTTGAACGCTGACGACGGGATTCTGGCCGGCGAGGCAGATGCCACGGATCCGTTCGTGGAATACGTGCTACTCGGCGATAATGTCTCGTCCGGCATCGTAGCATGGATCAGCATCGGCATTGACACGACACAAGATAGGCAAGTCAGTAATGCTGCAGCCTATTATGAAGATGGTGGTGTTGCCAACGGCGAAGGAGGGATGGGCTTGGGCTCTGGAGGAGCCCCACCAGACATGAATGCTACTTTGTCCTGAGCCATGGCAACATATGTGGTTGCGGCTCGAAATCGTAGTGGATGGGAAGCGCTGCCGCTGAGGGAAGGTTTGAAGTATCAACACGCTTGCTGCCTTGGTGGTCTTTGTTCATGGAGCTGTAAGGCTACACATAATTCCAATACTTCTCTTAGCCGTAGTGTCACTGGATCAACGCAACCCTCCTTTAGTTCTTCCTACTGAAAATAATACACAGAACCGGACCTCTACATAGTTCGGTTAGTTGCTATCAGAGAGTGTGCATACGCGACAATCCGCTAGATAGTACATGTCGCCTGAGGTATAAGAAAAGATGAGATGGATAACGAAGGAGAATGGTTGCAAGTAAAAAGGCCAACAGAGTTGAGTAGCTATAAGTTACAACAGCATATTATAGATACACCACCAACAAGGCGATGTGTCACCGACGACTTATGCGACCTGATGGCCGTGGACCAGGAGAGGAAGTTTACGCAACACCAAGCCAAGGAAAGGAAAGATTGTTTTGTTGGCAAGGCTGTGATCACGTGACTACTCTGTTGACCTGGTGTGTTGCACAAGGCAGTGCTTGGAGTCGTATACTATCGGTGAGGCGGGGTAGCTTTCAGTGTAGGAGCGAGTCTTGAAACGAGTCTCGAAGGCCTTAAGCACGAGCATTGGTTCTGACTGAGGCCGCTTCGTCACTCATCTAGACATAGTGTTATATCTGCCAAGTCATCAGGCAAAGGATATAGACGCTGGGGTCGACACTGATCCATAGACAATACTCCAGTCTCGCAGCACGTAAATCGTCCCTCTCTAGGAAGTGAGGATATCTGTCTATACATGTCGAATTGACCATAGAAGTACAAAGAAATAGACGAAGCATTATCGTCAAGCAGAACGCATTCTCTCCTCCAGGTCTGCACGGATTCTCGCAGGTAACTAGCCGCGCTTGAACTCCTCGGTGAGGTCCTTGTCGAGGTCTAACCAATTGGCGGCAATCTGGAGCCCTCGCAGTCTCTCCATATCGATGCGGTGCCAATCCCAAGCCCCCGATTTGTCGAGTTTTGTAAAGGGGAGGAGCGGATCTGTAAGTGTGGCTTGGGTAGAGGATGAGGCTGCTTCGGCGGCCGCACTCTCGAGTTTCTCAACCACGGCTGCGGTCACCTCGGCAGCAGATTCGGGGATGGGCGCGGCGATCCCGTCCGGCGTTGCTGTGTCGGATATTCCCCCTGGTTGAACTAATGGCATGACGGTAAGGGGGAGCGGTGTTCCTGAAGAACTTGACGCTACTTGGGCGGGACTTGAATTGCTGTTCTCCGGAGCGGGCGGCAACCAACCGGCAGCTGTCAGACATCGTGTGGGAGAGACTGTGAATCTTCCCTTCTTGACGACGTATTTACTCAGAGCGGAGGCCAGGAGAACTTCACTCTTGGCCCCCTTTGTGCCAGGGCAGATGAAGAATGAAGCAATGACGAGCCATTTCTGATCCCAGCCCAGCAGACGCGAACGTACTTCATACAGCTCGTAGGGCTTGATTTCGCGGTGGAAGGAGGTGTGCACGCTCCCTAGAATGATGCTCAAGCGGCCTTTGTGTCCCTCCTTTTCTAGATTACTTGCGCCTAACTTGAATCCTCCTACCAGTAGCTTAGTGACCAAGGCGGTCCTGCTTTCGTCGAGATCGGCGAAATACGTGCTGTTGCTCTTGTGAAAGTTATAATCTATCTCCAGGACCGGGGATCTCGAGAAGATTGAGACAGGTTGGAAGATTGGGTGGGTATTGTTGGCGGAGGACAAGGACGACGAGGCGGTTGTAGAGGTGGAGGAGGCATGTTCCTTGAGATGGGCGGCGACACGCGCCTTGGACGTCCAGCTAGTGAACATGCGGTAGAACAGCCGGAAGTGCCATGATAAGGGCAGGGCTTTGAGGTTGATGAGCGCAAATATCAAAGCAAGAGTTCGCCATGATGCGAGGGAGGATGCTGTCGGCGGCATGGCTTGGGTGGTGAGTGCAGGAAGGAATGAATGAATATCGACGATAACTAGAAAAAGCACTGCGCTGCTGTCATTTAATTGAATCCAAGGAGCGGCGCATCCTTGTTGCGGAGCGGCCCAAGCTGACAGCTGATTATGAGTTCGGGACCTGGAACTTGGATAGGGACAGAGTCCTCCGTAGCAAGAATGAGGAGTCAGGACTGATTGGGCTTAGGAGTACTATACTACCACAAAGTACCCGACGCCGGCCAGAGTTTCCGAGACTGAGAGTTTCAGCCTTGGCCCCGCATGAGGGGCCTCGTTCGCCGCCTATTCTATGTTCTGCAGGTTGTAAATGCGCGACGTCCTGCTCTACGGGAGAAAAGGGCTTCAGACTACGATACCGTCTTTCTTCCTGGCATCAGTTGATGGACGCGCTGAATAATCTTAAGGGGCAGAGCAACGGAGCTCTGACTATGGGAAGACACAGAACGCGCTCCCGTCGAGTCGAGAGAGGGTCCTTCTCGACAGCTACTGACGGGTGCAATAATAGAGAGTGATAGATTCGGGGCTCTTCGGGCGGGTTTGAGCGCCTCGATATAGCCCCTTTAAGTTATCGACGAGAAACAACGGTCCAGGGTCAAGACCGTTGATCGTTTGGAAAAGACACCGTCGCGTGCATCCATTCGCATTTCCTTTGCCACACATGGCTGGGGCAAGGAAGTGCTATGAGACCTGGTCTGGATAAGGCAATAGCAGAGAGAGTAAGAGTGAGTATCGCATTGACAGCTGATAGAGAGCCGCGAGGCCGGACCTTGATCTGACCATACTTCACCTCGAGCTGGAGATGGTTCGGAATGGACGAACTCGGACTTGTGGATCGCTCGAGATTCCAAATAACGATGTCCTCGTTGTATATAATAAAGGTGAGAGGTGTCCATATCCTCAAATATGGTTATACACCATAAAGCCGATAGAATCCCATACGACTCCACGACGAAGTGTCAATAGTCGTCCTTTTTGGATTGATTGTACAACGAAGTAGAGGGTTCGGGCGTAACTTTAAACCTCTAGCAAGGTCGGGATCAACGCTTTTCTGTGCGTATCGGGCCCAATACTTGGCTGATCGCTTAAGCCGCCTAATCCGTTGGCGTCGCAGGCGACCGAGATCTGAGGTCATCTCCCGGCTGATCCTGCAGTCAAGCCTATCACGGACGAGCATGGACCAAGTTTCCATTGGTGGGAGAATGCTCGGATTGCTTTTCACATGGAAATGCTCGAATGCCCCCCAAAAGCAGTTGCTTCAGTTCTGCGTCGGATAAACTTCATGACGAAATGCTTCAAGGTTCACATTAGTCACTGCTAGAGCCTGAGGAGCGGGGCTTCATCTATAAGAATGTTGATGAAATTGGCATGTGCCTGTGTCCCTATTCGAATCCAACCAAGATCAAGAAGTGAATTGCTTGTCCTACCTATCTTCAACCACCATGGCACCTCCTCGCAAAGCTCTCATCGCGGTGACATCTGCACATGCTCCTTTGTACCCTGAGGGCAGAGAGACCGGTAAGAATGTGTCAAACCCCGTCAGACAAGTGTGGCAGCGCCCTGAGTACGTCCACAGGAATGTTTGTGACTGAGGCGCTGCATCCTTACAACGTGTTTGTGAAAGCCGGCTTTGAGGTCGACCTCGTCTCCGAGACTGGATCGTACCAGGCAGACTGGCTGTCACAACAGAAGGATTGGCTGGAAGGAGAAGATCGAAAGACCTGGGAGGATCCTCAGAGTCCCTTCCGGCAAAAGATCGATGCGCATCTAAAGCCGTCAGACATTGATCCAAGCAAAGTATGATGTTCTACGACCCACAGGTCATGACTCTGGCCTCTCCTGACAGTACTGACTTTTGCAAACCCAGTACGGCATTTTCTTTGCATCTGCAGGTCATGCTTCATTGATCGATTACCCCGACGCCAAGGGCTTGCAGTCTATCGCTTCTAAGATGTACACCGATGGCAGTATTATCTCTGCAGTGTAAGCTGGATGACTTCAGCCAAAACTGAAAGGGCTAGCTGCTAACAGTGCTTTCAGTTGCCATGGAGGCGCTATATTCCCGGGCATTATCGATCCGAAGACGGGCAAGTCGATTATTTCTGGCAAGAAAGTCACTGGATTCACGACCAAAGGCGAGGAAGAAGAGGGCGTCCTCGACACGATCCAAAGCTGGAATAGACCTACCATTGAAAAGACCGCTGCCGACTGCGGCGCGACTTGTAAGCCTATTCACTGTTTCAACATTGTATGACTGCTGACCGTGAGTCAGACATAAGTCCACCAGGGCCCTGGGACTCGTTCACTCAGACCGATGGTCTTGTCGTCACTGGTAAGTCTCGATCAAATCCATTCAATGAAGCGCACCAAGCTCACATCAGACCAGGCGCGAATCCAGCTTCCGCCCATGCAACTGCTGAAGCTGCTGTGAAGGCATTTGACCAGTTGTGATGTGGTCCCGTGAACATAGTGAGCTTGTGGGATCATCTACGAGTCTCCAACTGGATGAGGAACCCGAGTCTGGATAGGAAATTTCAGGCGTGAATTATTTATTGCCCTAGCTCTGTCCCAAGATTCCAAATAGCCCCCGCTCAAGTACCAGTGAAGTAGTGAATTTGTACACAGAGTCGAAAAATGGATCGCTTTCTTCGCGATGCGTTGACTGACACTCGCGGTCCAGGAGCAATTGAAGTTGGACGTTTTGGTTATCGCAGTGGTCCTAAAGGAGGCCAAATCTCGGTAAACTTCTGCGACGATGGATCCGAGTGTCGCAGCCTCGCCAGAAGTTGGATCAAACACCCTGAAACATTCTCTCGATATCCAGTTTCTCGTGACAAAATTGTCAAACGCCACATGTGAAACCGAGGCATTTTCTTTCTGCTTGCTGTTCTTACCACTTGATGTCGGGTAGCTGAGCAGTGGAGTGGTTCCGGATTATGTTCTAGGCTTCAAAAGAAGACCCTTGGTGGGCTGGTGAGCCATTGGCTCATAGTAACCGGGTACATACGAAGAACGAAAGGCGACGGATAAAGTGTCGCAGAAGACAACGAGCAAGACGAGCAAGACGAGCAAAACTTCGTATTACTCCACACTTTCGGATGAATGCTGACCTAGCCACGGAGTAGAGGTGCAGGAGTTCCTGCACCGAGGTGCATGGACTCACGAAAATATAGACCTATGTTTACAGTGCACTTTTGAGTCTGGGGAAGGGAAAGCTGTCACAGGGCGGGTCACACGACTGGGAACGATGAGTATCCGGGTGCTCGAGCAGAGGTGGGCAGAAGGTGAGCACACCGCTCAGCCCTTCGACCACCTCGTGGTGAGCTCCCGCAGCCTAAAATGGCACCCCTGGAGATTGGGAAAAGTGGCCCCCGATACGGGTACAGGGGGAGGTTCAGCCTTGCCTCCGTGCAGGCGCAGAAGCCGTAGGGGTGTTTGGGTGCTCGCTTGGAAATTACGGGCGACGCACAGTTCCTCGTACGGAGGAAGCTGCAACTGGGGACTACCCGCGGGACATTCTTGCTTGTGCTGCTACGGTGTCCGTCGGCCGGACACCGTACGCGTGGTTGTCGTCCAACAAGCGCCTCCAACTTCAATTCTGGCCCCCAAGACGCCATCGGAGAATCATTCAGCCAGGCGGTCGCAAGCGCTCGACAAATGCGTAATGAAAACCCCCCGAGGACGCGCTGAGGCTTAGAGGACCCCGTAGCACAATTCTCAGCCATAATTCCTGCAGTCACAAGGAACCTTTGGGCCAAGTCTTCGGACGCCGTCAAGGCCCACGAGGCACCTCATTAGTGGCCAGGACTGGTGTTGTCGTCTCTTTGGCAGATCCGGAGTCCAGGTCAGGGCGGCCCACGACGAAGCTTTCGTATCTAAAGAGGCATGGCGGCGGACGGGTAAGGACAACAACCGACGGGTCGAGCTCCAGGCTCTCTAGGCTGTCGGTCTCCAGCCCCTACAGCCCCTAAGCATGCATCTATTTTAGTTGACTGGGGCACTAGTTCTTGTTCTCGCAGCTGCTCGTGGCTGAGTGGCCCAGGCCAAAGGTCCCTTGCATTCTCCGCATCTCACCAGCCCGAGCAGCCTGGGCCTGTGCCGGTGCCTGTGCCCTGCCAATGCCAGAGGGGTCAATGCTCAATGCCATTGAATGCCTCAACCAACGTGTGCTTATCGCTGAAACGCCCTCCAGACCCCTGTTGATCGTGAATCATCATCGCGCGTCCTGCCTCCCAAAAAAAAAAAGTTGACCGCGCAAAAGTGGCCGTGATTCCGTGATGGTCCAATTCATCAATTCAACAATTTGCAGCAATTCTCCAGGTGCGAGTCCAAGCGAGTCAAATCATCATCCAACGTCTTCTCATCTTCTCATCTTCTCATTCTCGTCCTCCTGCATGATAATGCATATCAACTCCTCACCGCGGGACGCCTCTTGATCAATCCACTGCTGTTTATTCGTGCACCCTGGCCTCGACCTTTCCTGTCCTCCTCCCTGTGTCACACTCTCCTCCTCCCATCGCCAGCTTGTTTTTCTTCTCACCCGGATCTTTATCGTTCCACCACTGTTTGACCCATTCTAATACCACTCCGCCGCTCTTAGCCTGATACCATAAGTCCATCCACTCCGCTCGTCTCACTATTTTCTCCCGCCCGGACTCTGTCTCTCCAACGGATACCACACCTCTCGGCATCTGCCTCGACTACCACCAGTAGCCATCACGCTGTACACTTGCTTTCTGTTTTTGGCACGAAGTGATTTGTTGCCCTTACCCGACTCCGGGCCCATCCCTCCACTCTTTCCTTATGCTCTACAAATTCAGTCGACATCCCATCCTGAGGCCACACCTCATCAACCTCGTGAAAGTCCAATCTACCACCATGACCACCTCCTCTGCGACCCAGGCTCCTATTGCCCAACATACTGCCAACCTGGGCTCTATTGCTTCACACGGCCCTCAATCTCCTCTGCACCACCGCCCAAAGCACACTCATGCTACTGCCCATGTTCCCAATCGCTCTGCCCACTACGACACCTCCCTCTCCATCCCTGCACGAAAGTACCTCCAGACGTACGGTCTGACTCCGCCTCGTGCTGAGAGTTATGAGGTGCAAAAGAAGAGATGCCTTGCACAATTGGCTCTGAAGAGCACTGATATTGAGAGGTTTCTGTATCTGAGCACCCTTCGATACAACAATGTCCATCTGTTCTACAGACTCTTGACCGACCACTTCACCGAGTTGACCCCCTTGGTTTATACTCCCACTGTCGGAGAGGCATGCCAGCGATGGTCTGAAATTTACCAACAGCCAGAGGGCATGTACCTCAGCTTCGAGGATCGAGGCCACCTAGCGAATATCATCCAAAACTGGCCTCAGTCCAATGTCGAAATCACCGTGGTGACTGACGGCTCCAGAATTCTGGGCCTCGGAGATCTCGGTGTTGGAGGTATGGGTATACCCATTGGGAAATTGGCTCTGTACACTGGCTGTGCAGGCATTCGACCTGAAGGCACGCTCCCCTTGACCGTCGATCTGGGAACGGGTAACAAGACACTCCTCGAAGACCCTCTCTACATGGGCAGCCGTCGGGGGAAAGTAACTGCCGAGGAGGAGAAGGAGTTCTTGGACGAGCTCATGGCCGCGTTGAAAGAACGTTGGCCCGATATTGTCATCCAATTTGAGGATTGGAAGAACCCTTTCCCCTCGTTGGAACGATATCGTCATGACTATGCCATGTTCAACGATGATATCCAAGGAACCGGAGCTGTCATCATGGGCGGCATTATTGGTGCTGTCAAGCAATCCGGTGTTGACCCCAAGGACCATCGTGCTGTCTTCCTCGGCTCCGGATCTGCCGGCGTTGGCGTTGCCAAACAAATCGTCGACTATTTCATGCACGAAGGACTCACCGAGGAACAAGCCAAGAACTGCTTCTGGCTGGTAGACAGCAAAGGGCTCGTCACCTCAGATCGCGGAGATACACTTGCCGAACACAAGATTTATTTCTCCCGTACCGACAATGATGGCCAACAGTTCAAGACCTTAGATAAGGTGATTGAGTACGTCAAGCCAACCATCATCATGGGTCTTAGCACCATAGGTGGGGCCTTTACCCCGGAGATCCTCCAGAAGATGGGCAAATGGAACAACCGACCAATCATCTTCCCCCTCTCCAACCCATCCTCCAAGTCCGAATGCACCTTCGAAGAGGCCATTTCAAACACCGATGGCCGTGCTCTGTTTGCTTCAGGCTCACCCTTCCATCCGGTCACTTACAATGGCAAGATGTACCATCCGGGTCAGGGGAACAACATGTATGTTTTCCCCGGTATCGGACTAGGAACCATCCTGTCCAAATCGGTCCAAGTGACCAGCAACATGATTTATGCTTCCGGAGAAGCATTGCCGACCATGATCACTGAGGAAGAGAAAGACCTGGCCCTGTTGTACCCTGCAATCACGCGCATTCGGGATGTTAGTGCCAGAGTAGCTCTGTACGTTATCCGAGCCGCACAAAAGGACAATGTGGACAGACTGCACTCCCTCCGTGACATGGACGATGCCACATTAGAGGCATGGATCAAGGACAAGATGTACGACCCTCACAAGGAGACAGAAGAGATTGAAAGCGAACTTCGCGACATCGTCCAAGATTTGGGCATGAGCTCACCAAGATTGTAAACGATTCGGACGGAGAGATGACCCAATCATCAACCGACAACTATACTGCTAAAAAGAAGTATTCGACTGTTTGAGCTTAGGAATATGGATCCGAACGGCGGCGTATATCTCGTGTGTCACGTGGTGACCTGGGAGAGAGCGGGGTAACTGGCTGGGAACCGCTCGCGCAAAATGTGCGCTGGAGCAGGAAAAACATACCTGTAACTAAGTCATGTATGAAGTAGCGCTGTGTGATACCCCTGTGCTGTGCTTGGAGAATGCAGAAAGAGCTCTTGTGAGCTTCATTTTCAACGATCTTTGCCGTGCCATCTACTCAGACATAAACTACCTCGGTGCCGTGTGGTGCGGTTGATTTTGCATTAGACATGATGTACGTAGGTAGTCTCCGACGAAAAACCTATCCTCCCTCGTCCCGTTCTGATTAGCCGCTCGCCGCTTTGCTCACCCTCGGCTCACCTTCTGCTTCCTGAGCTATCAATGAGCGCTCGATGAGGTCGACCTGAGCACTTTAGTCTTCTTTCTTCCTCTTCATTCACAACAGCTCTCTCTCTTCGGCTAACATCGAGTCTAGGTATGCACAATCAATTCGTGTCCTCCTAAGAACGTTGACCACGGATTCGGTCGATGTTTTCACTGTTTCACGGGCGCGGTCTTCTCTGCGGGCATGGCTTAGGCTTAGCATGTCGAACCTTACTGACGACGATTTGGCAACCGCATTTCTCAGCCTTCCTCGGAGATGCATCGTCCTGCTCGAGGACATTGATGCAGCAGCCATGACAGCCAGCCGAGATACAGCGCAAGGGACCACACTGGCGACATCGAGCCGACGTCGACGGTTAGCGGGCATCTCTCTTTCTGGACTCCTAAATGTCATAGATGGTGCAGCGGCTCAAGAGGGCAGGGTTCTGATCATGACATCTAACCACAGGCAGCAGTTGGAGTCTGCTTTGCTTCGTGCTGCCAGAGTTGACTTTTCTATTCACTTTGAACTCGCTACTTTTGAAACGGCTGCCGACATTTTCGTTCGAATGCATGCATTATCCAACGAAGGCACTCCTCCTTAAGACGATGAAAAAGTCGAGGCTAAAGGCTTTTCTTGCAATAACTCGCCATATCATGCAACTAAGCAAAGCACGTCCAAGGAAGTCAATAACGAGATATCGAATGACAATATTCTATCTCTAGCTCGGTCTTTCCGCAGAAAGCTTCCGGAGAGGACCTTTAGTCCTGCAGAAATTCAAGGACTATTACTGCGATATCCAGGCGACCTCAATGGAGCCATCTCAGCGACTAAGGGCTGGGTAATAACAACATTGGCCGACAGGAAGGCCCAGCAGAACAAGACGATAGAGCCCTCTATACGATTGGAAGAAACGAAGCCAGGGAACTAACTCTACCGATTCCGATTCCGGGTCGGAGGTGTCCTCAATTCAGAGGCGACTCGCAGGAGATAGTGCGGCGGAAGTAGGGTATTAAGGACGGGTTGGTCATGTTGCCCCTGGGAACATACGACAGCTAGGATGGCCGCGCACAAGCACCATTACCGACAGCGTTTGATAGCTTAGATTGCAGCGTGTGGCTAAAGGACTCACAGCGCACAGGTCTCTGAGGCCCTTAGAAGACCGGAAGTAGAGAACTCTATCGGCCTTGGGCGTTACCTAGGGGACCGAGACTACCGAGAGGCCTACCTCATGCTCGGAATTTGAAACCCTAGTGAGTTTGGCTATTAAATAAGCGGGAAAATATCTCGGATCTATATACCCTAAGGATCCTCGTTTTTCCTTCTCTACTCCGCTGAAATGTAATCTTTAAGTATTCCCTTTCTCTACAGAATCTTTTATCATCAGCAATACCATGTCTCAATATTCCACAGTCGAAGGGACCAAGCACCAGGAGCAAACCCAAAGGACCCGGGAATTCATCGAGGCGCTTTTTACCAAGAAAGAGGATTGGGATCGTGCGTTCCCTGCAGCACTGTCGGACGACCTAATATGGACTACCAACGGATCGTCTCCTATCTCCGGCCGCTATACGAGCAAGCAGGACTACGTCGACAGGGTGCTGAAACCGATGCACGAAATCGTGGACAAACTCCCTGCCCCGACTGTTAAGCATACCTTTGTGGATGGGTACTGGGCGGTGGTTCATTGGCGGTGCGAAGGTGTAAAAGCAAAGAACGGGGCGAATTATGACCAGGACTATTGTTGGCTTCTCCGGACAAACGGTCAAGCGGAAAACAAGATTGTCGAAATTTTATCCTGGTTTGACCCCAACAGGCTATCCGCGGCACTCGAAGGCACTGGCGTAACATTTCCCGGCGCTCAATCCAGGATCGAGTAAAGATGGCAGCTACAATATCACGAGACGGGACGCCAACAGATATTGCGTCAGGTACGCCATCAATCTTTGTTATAAGTGCATATCTTGATTCTTGGGTCATCCCATGTCGAATGGCAACAACAAGCATAGTGTTCATGGCCGTGAAAGCTTTGAGTACTTCCCATGTTTTCAAAGCGTCAAGTGGGTACGGAGTGCCCTGCCTCCGCCCAGCACGATCTCAAAAAGGGCTCAATTTTAGTAAGCGCCGTCTCCGGAGCAAATGTCCGTAGATCGGTTCCCGAGATATCGAACACTCCTGTGGCCATTCCGACCATCATCGTACTGATAACCATATCAAGTTCTGCCTTCCCTCCTGGGAAATATGAGTAGCATTGCTTATTTGATAGTAGCTCTGTAGTTTGCATCTTTCGCAAGCCCTCTACAGGGTCGAACGACTTTGTAAACTGCCGGCCTGCACTGATTGTCAGCCACAAGGAGAAAAGTAGCCTAGGAGAGACCGTTTTACCCGTGGCTTTTTCTGCTAGTGAAACTAGATCGTTCAACAATATCCTTTCTCCAATCACAGCCGATTCAAGGGGCCATTTCGCCGCAGGAATATCAAGGAGAGTTGCCACGAATTTGGCCACGTCAGTTGTATGTGTAAAGACCACTGGCATACTTCCGTCGCCTGGGATGGCAGCTTTGGCAGCTTGAAGATCTAGAAGGCAGTACAGTGGATGCAGATGGGTTTCGCCGAACGGTAGTCCCAGGTAGTCCAGGAAGAACCCATTGCGTATCAGCGTATATGTGAGATTCGGGTGGCCTTGCAGTTCCTGTATGGTCCTGAGCTGATCAACGCGGGGTGGATAGGGCATTCGACTGCCAGTTCCATTAATTCATCGTCCAGATCCTCACTTCCATAAAGGTCGTACCCACTCCTCTGATACATTGTAATCGATGTTGAACTCACTGGGTATGAACCTCTTGACAAGCTTCGACTGGGCCGAGCCCCGTATCAGATTCAACTGCGATTGCGCGGAGCCTGGCCAGTTCAAGTTCAAGGTTGAGATAACTGTATCGACTTGCAGTCTGTCCAAGACCTCGCGGATGCTTTCAGGGTTTTCATAGTCAAGGACAACCAGCTCTGCTATCGAGGCGAGCGGGTGAGTAGGAATGGACTGTAACACCTAGTCAGCAAGTTGGTTTTCTTTTCGTACTTGTATGATCGACCTTTCTGGTAAGCACATAGATAGTATGTTTGCCGGTATTAGCTATGGCTTCGACGATCGTTTGCCCGAGGTCGCCTGTGCCTCCAGCAACAGCAACAACAGTCATCCTGCTTGATGAATTTCGGTGAGTTACAACAAAATGTTCAATTTGTTCCTAGCTCCCAAGAAAGAGGCTTATCCCAGCCGAGGTGAAATCTGGGGTGCCGCTTCTGTCGGCGCCGAGCGTATTGGCTCGATGTTCACTCCCAGTGTTCACAAGCACAACCAAGGCATTGATGCAGTACGATTGTCGGTGTGCTTAAGGAGGGGATGAATTTGCAAGGCATCGGCCAACCCGGAAATCCGGAGCCCGAAAATCCGTAGATAAGATAAGCGACGCGTCGATGCGGGAGAGAGATTACACTAACCAGGATAGGCCTAGGCCTACCATTCTCGATCATGATGCCACCCTGTTCCCCAATGCTCCATTTTTCCTCCGTGTTTCTGTGTTAGCCGTCGTTGTCCCTACTACCTAGAGCCTAGCGCGTGGTGCCGACTACAGTACCAAAGGGACAGCACCTCAAAAATCACGAGACGAGACGGTTATTGAGGCCAACTCTACATGTTGCGGGACTAGCAACTTGATATAATGAACGCCCACGGAGACCAAAGGTTGCCATCGGCGGTGAGTTGAAAACACGTCACCGAGTCATCGTGCTTAGCTGATTCACTACCCAAAGTGCGACCTTTGTCACTACAAGAAGGTTAGTAACAGTCTCTTGTTTCAACTGTGCCTTCAGCTTCTCGGGTCAGTTGACGCCCTTCAGATCAGATGTGATCGCCAAAGTCCCTGTGCCAATTGTACTGTAGCACAGGCGGAATGCCTTCGACAGCGCCCAAAGCAGACGAACGTCAGGCAGCACAGAAATGAAGAGTTCGTTTTGCCAAGGCCTCCCCTAGCATGGGAGGCCGTGAACTGATTACATTTAGTGATCGACTCAATATGGTCCTCGAAGGCATCAGCAGACTAGTAGATTCACTTCCTCGAAAAACTTCGAGAGCTCCGCCCGAAGATACTCAGGCCACCGACTCGGAATGGCCATTCGTGGGTGATGAAGACTCCTCCACTACCCACCCGATCAAGAGAAGGCGCACCCATGCTGTGGAGGAGGCCTTCCCACGCACAAGCCAGAACTATAGACCACCCACGTCAAGCGAGCCGCCCCAGTCTCCATCGGTGGCAGAGACCGAAGGTGAAGCCAGTAACTCGCCTGAGCATTGCGGAGATGGACTCGATCCTCGCGATGACGAACTGGGCACCATCGACTTGCAAAGGTATCTTTCGCCATCACAACAGCACCATCAGCCGGGTCGCAGCGAGGGTGACAAGCGCCGAGCCCTCGAGGCAGCAGTCCAAGTGGCCAAGAAAACTGCCATCATGCAGCCGAAGCCCGAGTTCCTGATGTCGTCCCTGATGGAGCGAGTCAACTTCTATGACTCGTCGACGTACCCGACCGCCGAGTTCGTTCACACAATCATGGACAGTAAGGATCTTAAAGCAGAAATGTGAAAGCAGAGATTGACCCGTGCTCGCAGGGAGGCGGAACAACGTCGCCATGACTTATTATCTCGACATCAATACCAATGTATCACCTTCGACGTTTGAAGACATGGCCCTCGCTCTGATCAATCACAAGGTCTACGGACAGACAAGACTACACTACATTGTCTGCGTCAATTATATTGCATATTCATATTTAGTGGCCATTGGATCCGAAGGGCAGAGCCGGGCCATGGTCGAGAACCTCGAAGAATCGAAGCGCAGGTATTATGCAAAGGCATTTGCCGCTCTTGATGAAATGGACCTCAAGGCAGCACCAGACATTCCAATGCTCCAGGCACTATTATCAGGTGTAGGTTACCAGGCTCCTCTTCGTCCCGAGTGCCCAACGATCACTAACGTCCGGCTCTGAAGGCCATGCTGTCACAGGACACGGGAAATATGCGCCGTTGCTGGCGCCTCAACACCAATGCATGTCGAATTTGCGCCAGTCTTGGGGGCAGGGCGCTGAGTGAGCTCAACACCAGTGGGTCATTCGAGGAGGCCATGAACACCCGCTTAGTATTCTTGAAATGCTACATCTTTGACAAATCGCTGTCGGCAAACATGTATCAACCATCGTGCTCTGCGCACATGCGGCTGGATTCTTCGAAATTGGATCTCTCCCAACCTTCTCATGCCATGTTGTTCATTCTTTTGGAGCTCTCCCGGGTCCAGGAAATCATTGTCCGCGAGACAAGCGCAATCAAGTCCCCCAGTCAACCAGCCAGACTTGGCATGGAGAATTTGACCAGTAACGAAGAACTGAGAGCTTGTCAAGGCAGAATGCATCGCATTTTCGCAAAAACTCAGGAAGTTCGTGAGCTGAAACCAGAAGTTATGATCCCAGCTGACATGCCCAGTTTCGAGCCAAGCCGCCTTCAAACCAAGACGGATACTTGAAATTTGAATGGATGAACGTCGATTTCATCTATGCCTCTATGATGACCACTCTGATACGTCTGACGGCGCGCATCGACGATACGCGTTCCAACCATGAATGTCTGAGGCACGCTCGGAACTCCTTGTCATCCTTGAATGTCCTTCTCCAGATCGTCTCCCAGCCCTCCTCATTTCGGGGCATGGCTTTGAGTTCGCTCGCATGGTAAGCAAACGTCTTCCCGTATTGCAGATGAAGATGTTTTTGACGACTTGCTAGGCTTGTGCCACTGTATCCCTTAAGGCCCCTGTACTGCGTCTTTGGCAATATTGTTGCAACTTCAGACTCTCTCGACTTAAAACTCCTCCGGGATACGGCGAACGGCCTGGAATCGCTAGCTCAGACCCACGCATCAATGGGTGCGATCCACAAGCTTTGCAGTTCGCTCATTGACTTGTGTGCCCCTTTTGTCGAAACAAGTGAATCCGGTCAGAACCCCCAGACGTCACAGCTTGGGCCCGTGGGATTGTCAACTGGGCGCCTCCAGCAGCGTGAAGCGGTCCGAGAGCAAGGGCACCCTAGAAATGTTCCACTTAATCCCGATGGCCGTGCGATAGCGGGACCAGGGAACACGAATCTGGGATTCAACAGCAATCTGCCCCAAGCGCAGGTGAACTTTAACAAGAATGATGGCTCCCAGAATACATACAACTTCGATGGCGACCTTGACTGGGAGTTGTTTTGTGCGCAGCCATCTCTTGACTTTCTCGATATGGATTTGGAAAATTAACACTGTGCTTCAAGGCAACATTAGCAAGCCTGGATCATTGCTGGAAGAGTAACAAATACTTCATTCACTTCTAGTCAAAGATTTGTGGTTCGACTCCCCTGGCCTCTGAAGAGGTTTCTTCCGCTCTTACAAACAACCAGGGAGCCAAGCATATATACAGGCGGCTTCGGGCGCGTAACGTACTGTTTCCTAGTATCAAGCATCCGAGAGAGGGGTTCACAATATGGTGGCGGCCCGCACCTCTGTCACTTCCCTCAAATGGAATCTCCACAATGCCTTAAGCGGGTCCAAAACTAGATACATAAATACCTCTTTCCATGCTGTAGTCTGACCTCCAGCTCCACGAGGTCGAACGCCGATCTACTTTCTGTACCTTTTCCTCTCAATATGTTTGCGCTTCTTCGTCCACCACTTCCCGCCCGGACCGAGCGGGCTAATCAAAATCCCATCCTCTATGAAAATGGGCGATCCTCCTTGGAATTCAGGGATGCTGGTGCCGAGTACACACTACGGAACGTACACCCTCCCATGGCCAAAGGCGAAGCTCCGTCCATAATGGTACCTCCTCATCATTATCACATCAACCAGTCCGAGCATTTCCGGATTGTTTCCGGCAGTGTCAACATATTCAAGGGCCTGGACCCTCGACCTTGGAAAGTACTGTCGCACAAGGACGGATATGAAAAGACCGCTATGATCGCTAAGAAATTCTACCACCGGATCGAGAATGCGTCTCCGACCGAGTCGCTTGTTCTGGATGTACATTTGGCTCCCGAAGACTATGAGAATGAGCAGCGCTTCTTCCGTAATTTCTTTGGCTACCTTGATGACTGCAAAACTGCCCAGGTGGCCCCGAGCCTCTTTCAGCTGTTGGTATTTCTCCACAGTGCAGATACACCGCTCGCTCTTCCGATCTCGGAGTCCTGGCTCGGCATCATTGCAAGCCGCATATTTTTGATTGGGATGGCCTTTTGGGGTAGATGGATTTTGGGTTACCAGACAACATATGCGGAGTACTACCAGGAAAAGAAGGGTCGTTGAAAACCTCACTAAGTGTAATCATTCTACCAGTGACTCTTACAAGACTTTATGGCGACGGATCAGCGCGTTAATTGACCATTTGAATAAACAAAACAATTAAGTTGTACTACAAGGCGCTCACATTCGATTGCTGTTTATGCCGGGACGTGCTTCCTCCGTTACACCATAGATACAAAGCTGCTGTGGACTGAGAACCATGGGGCACAATTAGAGTGCCGTGGGACCCTATCGTGGACGAATCGTGGACGAATCGTAAACGACGTCAATCAGTCCAACGAACCCCATCCGGAGGCCGGAAGCCGAAAGCCGGACACTCCGACAACCCAGTGCGTCCGAGCCTCGCCCGGCATGTTCGACCAATCGTCGCGCTAGCCTTCTTACCGTACAAGCGAGTTCTCCGAAAGCGTGATCTAGGCTTTGTACAGCGACTCATGATTGACGATGAACCCTAAGTCATTTTAACGAGCCTTTTGGTGCTCAATATCGCAGACCTTCTCGACAACTTCTACTAATAATTTGAGCCTCTGTATTGATCGCAGGAGAGGAAAGTTGACTTTCGTTAATCCCCTACTATTCTTGATAAGATGGGGAAAACAAAGCCTGAAAGCAGGCACATTTTTTGTTTGATTGTTGGTGGTGGCTTGTGTGGTATATCCTTGGGGTTCCAGATCATCAGCACAAAGACTTTGCATCATGACGAATTCCTCATTCTGGACAGAAATGAGGACTATGGAGGCGTATGGGAAAGTAACAAGTATCCCGGAGCTGCCTGCGACATTCCAAGCCACGCATATCAGATGAGATTGTTCTTGAACCCCAGTATGTTGGCTGTGTATGCACGAATGTTATTCGTGGCTAACATCTCACTAGCCTGGTCCAAACGACTTGCAGAAGGGAAAGAAATCCAGCAATACTACTCCCGGATGGCTGAGGCTCGCGGGCTACGTCGCAGCACCATGTTCGGCGTCGAGGTTCTTTATGCAAAATGGAACGAAGAGATCTTACTGTGGGAGGTCCTCGTGGAAGATAGGCAGACTCACCAACGCACCAGATGGCTGGCGAACGTTCTCTTTGACAACGGAGGCGGCTTCCATCGACCAAAGTATGCCAAAATTCCCGGACGAGACAATTTCAAGGGGGAGCAGGTACACACCGCGGAGTGGCGGGACGACCTCGACCTGAAAGACAAGCGAGTGGCTCTTATCGGGACTGGGCCGAGTGCAGCTCAAGTTGCTCCACGCATCCAACCCTTGGTCAAACAACTCTACGTTTTCCAACGGAGCTCTGGCCATGTCCTTCCCAGAAACAACCAGGTCATCCCAACTTGGATGAAAGCGTTGTTTGGGTGGTGTTACCCAGTCTTGTGGTTGTACCACGTCTGGTGGTTCATATTCGTAAGATCAATCCTCTTATACTATGACCTACCATAACTAACCCTTTACCTCCTCTAGTTTGATCAGACAAAGACGATGTGGATGGAGGGAACCAAGGAGAATCAAGCAATGCACGACGCCAATATTGCCTTTCTGGATGAGCAAGTCAAAGATCCAGAGGTACGCGAGAAGCTGCGACCCCGAGCAGCGTTTGGTTGTAAGCGAGTCTTGTTCCTGGACGATTGGTATTCATTGTTCAATAAGCCGAATGTTGAACTCATCACCCACAAGCCGGTTCGGCTCACTGAGACGGGAATCGTCTCCAAGCCCACCGAAGACATGACCGAGGACGAACGAGCAGAACAGCCCACTGGAGCCTACCTTAAAAGGACCGACCATGAAGATCATGGCGAGACCACTCGACAAATTGACGTCATCGTATGGGGAACGGGATTCGACATGAACGACTCAGGAGGCCATTTCCAGGTCTACGGTGTCGGCGGTATCAACCTTTCCCAGACATGGAAGGACTACCCACAAACGTACTGGGGAATCGCAGTGACCAAATTCCCCAACTTCTTCCTGGTCCTGGGTCCCAACTCGGTGAACTACTGGTCGAACGTGACCACCGTGGCGGAAATCCAGATCAACTGGCACTGCAAAATGCTAAGACACATCAAGCGCCAGTGCCAGACTCAGCGATACGCTTTGTACCCGCGAACGGACGTCCAAGAAGAGTATAACAACTGGCTCAAAAACAATCGAGGCAAACCTGCTTTCCTGGCTCCTGGGTGTGCCACATACCATGTAACCCCGTCAGGAGCAACACCAATGTACAACCATTACCGAATTTTCCATACTGCCTGGAAACTGCTCTGGCCAACGCCGGGTGAATTTACCGAGACCCGAAGGGCGCTCACACCTTCGGTATAGGCAAAGAAGTGGGTGGACGCCATATATCTCGAATCAAGAGAGCAAGAGGCCAGAGTCGGAGAGAGGACTCTTGCACTAGACCGAATTCAAATAAATTGTCACCTCGGTTCATATAATTTGACTAGTTTAAATTTCTCCTTTCTGATATTATTTACTTCGTGCCAGGTACGTTCAAGACAGTACTTCGAAAAAGTGTGCCTATAGTTTCAATATGTGAAAGCGAGTATAAGGAACTGTGTGTACTGTGTGCACTGACAAGCAACGCTAGAAAGACTCTCTAGCATCATTCGGTGATTGCTTCACGTGGAATAGAACACCAGCTAACTGTGCAAGACGTTAACTCGATAGGAGCACGACGAACGAGTCAGACACAAATTGAGGGAAACGAGTGGTCCCGTTATAGGAGCAGTAGATTTTATGAGAGGAAGTGCAATGGTTCTGTTTTGATACAGCGATAACTAGACCACCGGCCTGTAACACAAGCTACTCGTGGTTTGGTCTAAGCTCCCCCCCCCCCCCCCCGCGCCCCCGGCCATCGATCAGTCCATTGAGATGCTCATGCCATCCATGAAACAGGAGTTTATCAAAGAAAGCTCCTTAGTGCTCGTGAAGTTGAATTGACCTTGGTCCGTGGTAATGCTTTCTGGCGTGGGCAAACCAGTTAATTACCGCGATCGTTATAAAGCCGACGACCACAACAGAGGCGTAATCTAACACCGCAGAAGAGACATACGTTAGCCCGAGCTGATTCGTTCTGAATGATACTTGCTGCAGATGAAACAATTCAGGTGCGACTTACTCATGGTTTTCGCGGTGACAGGACGACTGGCCGGAAGAAAGAAAAAGGTGGTCGTGACTGACAAACAGGCCACTGTTATAATGTTCACAGTCCAGCCCACCAAATTTGGTAGCTTAAAGGCACGAGATGGTGGGAGAGCCTGGACGGAGCGGCGGTTGTACAACAAAAAGATGGTCGGCATAACCAAGGTAATCTGCTGGAGGACGATCGCCGTGCCAACCAATGCATTGTATGCTGTTAGGTGCGCGACCATTAGCTGCCAAAAATCTCAAAGGTAGGTAATTAGGCATACCGAGTGTGGACACTAGGAAGAGAATGCCGACTAGGAACATAAGGCTGAAGTTCAGAAGCAAAGCATTGGCAGGTGCGCTGAGCTTCTTGTTCACGGTGCTCCATGTGCCGGGGAAGATCAAGGCCTTGTCCAATCCCAAGCTGAGCGCCATCATGGAGGCCACTTGCTGGCAGGCAATGCTGCCAATCGGCAGCATGATGATGATGGAAATGGTGAATGCGATGGCTGGTGCCTGTGACCCCGTGGCTTGTAGCCAAAGTTCGAACAGGATGAAGCCAGAAGGTGTCGTCAAGACCGACGTGACCTCCCCGATGCAGTACATCATCGAAAGGCCAAACACGAGCGATGATACGAACGAAATGACCAGAGAGGCGATGATAGTCCTGGGAACAATGATCGCCGGCCGGTTGACCTCTGCGACCAGGTGTGCCGCTCCATCAAGCGGCATGAACGCAATGACTGGCCCAGCGAGTCCGATCATGAATTGCGTTCCTAGCGACCAGCCCGAATTATCTGTGGCATTCAGCCAGACAAATGAAGAGGATTGTTTGTTATGTTGCAGGACCAGGCATACCACTGTGATGACCACAAAGGAAACCAAGCTGAGAACGACTGTTATTACTATTTGTTAGCTATTGGTCGTCCTTTCTCAACAACGGGCCACTTACACCCAAACTCGTAGAATTTTCCCAGTCCTCGGTGGAGGAATAGGTTGAATGAAAGGGCGAGGATATTGATGGCCACGTAGATCAAGAACATGGTCCAGGGCTTCATTGTATAGTCGGGATTGGCATTGAGGGCGAGGGCGTTGATGGCGTTGGCCATGGCACCCATGCTCGACGCACACATCATCAACCATGACAGCCAGCTGAGGAAGCCGCAGAAATAGCTCTAGATTGGGGGTTTTAGACTGGGCCTCGGAGCGGTTTTTAGGACAAGGTTGAACTTACGGCAGCTCGATTGATTCCTTTTGGCGCCAGGATGGACGTCCAGTGGTACTGAGCGCCCGTTGTGGGGTATGCTGACACCAGCTCACACAGCGTCAGTCCGACACAAGCGTAGATGATGGTGGTCGCGATGAGACCCCAGACGGTATTCATGGGGCCGTAGAAGAGCGAGATGGCCAGGTTGGCGGCGACCACCAGCCAGCTGTTGCTGATACTGTAGCCTGCGGACAGGATGCCAAACAAGGACAGGTCCTTTTTCAGGCCGATTGATTTCGTCCCCTCGAGAGCTTCCCAGCTGCCATTTTCTGGGCCTGCTGAGGCTTCGGAATCAGCGTCTGCAGCACAATGGTTAGAAGAAGGCTGGGAGCAAAGAGGGACCTGGTGTATGTACTGCTATTTTGAATCGACGGGCTTTTCTGAGGCTCAGACACGACAGCCTCTTTGGAAGCCATGCTGGAAGAGTGCGCGAAAGATGAAAGTAGGAGAGTCGGGATTGATGTGCGTTGAGATCAGCAGGAAAGCTCTAAGTTGTCATTGATGCACGGCGAGGCTGCCCCCTGCAGCATGAAGCAGGCGCCAGATGGCTATATCTAATGGCGCGCCAGGGTGACCGTCCACACTGGCCCAGAAAAGGGTCCGGGGAACGAAAGAGTCCGGTTCCCGTTTCCGGGAAACAAAACACAAGATAACGTATCGAACCCCACCCCTCGAAGTCTGAAGGCTGTCGATAACGTAACAGTGATAACGAAGCTTTGGGCGCCACTGGCCGAAGTGAATTGGCGAGGACATGGACCCTTGCCGTTCTGTTCGATATGGGCAATTCTCTCAACATAACAGCAGGGCCCATGCTACCAAGACAGTTCCCCGCTTGGCAAATGTTCTGGACCACCAGCGACGGACCCCCGCCTTTTTCCCCAGGAAATCGCTATTCCGCCCGGAACCCTTAAATCAGTCAGGGCAACGGGGGGGAAGGGTCTATGGACACTTTCACATTTCTACCACGACCGTGTGTTGCTATTGGGAAGCTGTAGCTATCGAGCACACTCCATGGGTTTGGTAGAGCGAGTTTATTCGCATCCTAGCTATTGTAGACCGCACCTGCAAAACATACCACTGAGTGCGAATTATCACGACCTCAATGGCGTTGAATTGATAAATTACTGTACAGAGAGGTTCTCAATAGGATTGGGCTCGAGTGCATAGGTTTAAGTGGATGTGCACTCGAGTCCCAATCCACGAGGAGTGACACGAATTGCGTGCAGCCTAAGGTTGAGAATTTCTCTCCATTTACGTCAGAGAAGATAGCCTGTTTTTTAATAGAATGTCACTCTCTGCACACGCCCCTAATCTCTATGGCTCGGAACCCGTGATCTCATCAATATCTCACCTTCCGGGTCCGGGGATACCTGATCGTGAGTAGCACTCGTTAGACTATCATCTTTGTGCAATGAACGGGGACAGAGGAAAACTCACAATTGCCTCAAATTCCCGGTCCACCGGTCGCCCTTGGCCTTCTCCCAACTTGATATTGTAGTTCAAGAGGACTTCGGCAACGATCAATTTAATGTTAATGTGACCAAGATATCTGCCGGGGCAGGCGTGGCGGCCGAAACCAAACGACAGATCGTTGTGGCCAACGCTGACGTAGAGGTGTTTGTTATCCTCACCAGGCTTTTGTCGTTCGTGGTAAAAGCGAAGACCATCAAACGTTTGAGCGTCGGGATATATGTGCTCATCGACCTGAATGGCAGCAGTAGGGATCTCAAGTTTTGTTCCCTTTGGAATGAAGAACCCGTCGGAGAGAGTAATGTCTGCGGTAGCTGCCCGTTGGAAAGTAGCTGTGAGAGCACGTCAGTTGTTTGCAGGCGTCATCACCAGGAATACAAACACATATCTGGCGCTCGGAGGCGCTGGCTCTCCTTGATGAAACTGTCAAGTTTCTTCATCTCAAACACGGCATCCTTTGTGAAATACCCGTTCTGGTCTCGATCGGCAGCGTCAACCTCTTCGCGAAGCATGGGGGTATATTCCGGGTGGTCTGCAAGATCGTAGAGTACCTGAACAATAGAAGAGTAGGTCGTGACCGTCCCAACAGCGACGAGTGTCATTTGGTAGAGCAACTGTTTTTCAACGTCGTAGGCGATAGACCCGTTCTTGCCGCTGGACATGTAATCCAACATGGAGCCGGGCTCCTCGAGGAACGCGCCTTTCAGTGCCTTCTTGTGCGCCAGTGACTCCACGATAAAGGGACGTGCCCTCCTCCATTGGTTGTTGATTGCAGCGCGCTCTGGTAGGAAGCGGTGGACCAGAGGCCGCAGGTATGGCGGCCATGCCTTCAGGGCGCGAATGCAATCAAAGGTGGATAACACATATCCAGTAGAAGCATCAACCCATTCCTCGCTCAAGCTTGCCGCCGTACCATGAAACACGCGAGCGTTGGTGTGTCCCGTGAGCTTCAATATCCGGTCATGAACTTTGACAGGAGTCCAATCTGCCACGGTAGAGTTAGACTCTCGTCAGTCTCGTCAGGAGGATAACCACAAAACCAACGTACCTTTATATTCGCCCATAATCCGTGCTCGATTGCGGATCACAATTTCATGCATGATGGGCGTAAGAGATCCTAGAATGGAGTCAGTCTTGGATATTGTTTGCACCTACAGACTTCTCCAAGCTTACCCAGTGACGCATTGAATTTCCCTTTGATGGCGTTGACTACGTTGTCAGGCGCACCGCCAAAGTATGTGTAGTCCTTTTGCATGTCCTAATTACTAGAGTTAGATGTGCCACGGAGCAAGATCTCGCCAAAACAATACTTACATTGTCAATGGATACCTGGAAACTCAGATGCGGGTTGCTTTTGAGCTCCTCGAGGTAACGTGTGGGCAACACAAGCTTCACACCTGGACCATGGTGTCAGTAATCGTGCTTGCCTCATCTTGTGAGGTGCTCTTACCGTCATTCGTATCGAGCCCATAGATTTCGTCGTGATACTGGTACTCTGTTAGTTTTGTCGGTCATTGCCACAGGGAGTTCTTACCAGTTCATATCCCTTTCCCATCAACTCTCTTGATTTGTAGCAATATGCTTGGCGTCGCCCTCTACTGCTTCGCACTTCGTCCTGGAGCAATATCGGCACCTTCGGCTTCGGGCGTGAATGGAGCAGAGTAAAAGCAAGAACTGAGATACCAAAAATGGCGACGATGACAGTGACGATTTTGGGTGCCGCGTCAAAAGTTGCCAGTTTGGATAGTCGAATGGAAGGTCCGATGAGGACTGTCTCATGCCGAAGGCTTGCCCTCGCCATTATCAGGATATAGTGACCGACAGCGACGACACCATCAGCAGGGGAGAGATCGTAGAGAAGATGGTCCTGTCTCGTCGTTTGCACAAGAGTATCCAAGGTGTGGGCAAACAGGGTAAGTCAGCCAAGATACAGGTTTTCACGCCGCATCTGGCCTACGACTATGAACCTGGACGAATTTCCACCAGCGCATGTAGCGATTCGAAGAAAGGGTTCTAGAAACGCAACCCCAGATTGTTTCAAACTAACGAATTTCCGAGCCGCCAAATCTGCTGGTCGAGGCTCGTGCGAGTGTGTGTGCAAGGTTCCGTCCGGGCCACCGTTGTTAATGTCCGGCTAACTAGCGAAAGTAGACCCTGTCGAGCTCATGGAAACGGAACCCGGAAATCCGTGTCTATACTACTCGGATTCGGGCGCCGCTGGCCAGGGTCTTTTCGGGCCATACTGAGTTACTCAACCTTGGTCTTGGCTGGATTCTGGCGATCCGGATGCTTCGACTCAATAGCGCCTTACCCTTGGAGCAATAACCATGACCAAGCAATCCTGCATTGGGTACCGCAAATTCACAACCCACATTCAGGCTCCTTCCGTATTGAATTTCTGCTATTAACTCGCTTTGCATCGGTTGCCTCCTGAGCCTCACGTGTCAAGACACAAACAACGGTCAACATGGATTCTTTACAGAAGGTTGCCTACCCCAAAACATTGATAGGGAGAGCCGCCGTCATATCAGGTTCATCGGCCGGCATTGGAGCGGCTATAGCACGTGAGCTGTCGGCTCGAGGCGCCAGCATCGTTCTAAATTACCCGTTTCCGGAATTGGAGGCAGAATGCAAGGCCGTCGGGCAGACTTTACAGACAGCTTGGGTTGCTGTCTGTGCAGACCTTTCGACTATCGAAGGCCCCCAGATTTTAGTTGACGCTGCTGTCAAGGAGTTTGGCCATATCAACATACTCGTCAACAACGCTGGCATTGTATCCCATGGCGCAACCTGGGACATCGACGTGCCAAAATGGGACAGGGCGATGAACTTGAATGCCCGAGGCACCTTCTTCTTGACGAAAGCTGCGCTGCCACATCTTACACCGTACAATCCGTCAATGCCTCCCGCACTTTCTGGCGTTTCCGGAGGCTCCAGGATCATCTGCATCGGGTCGGGAGCGGGACGTCAACCACAGCCGGACCTGATTGCCTACTCGGCTACCAAGGGCGCGCTGGAATCCATGATCAAGAACTGGGCAAAGGAGCTTCCACCAAAATACGGGTGTACTGTCAATGGAGTTGCACCCGGCCCTGTCAACACGCAGACATTCCGAACGGGCTGCGGGGATGCATTAGATGAAATTACAGCTTCTTTTTCAGCAAGTACGCCGTGCGAGGGTGGTCTGGCAGACGAAGATGATATAGCGTGGACTGTCGCTTTCCTGGCCGAGCCTCGGTCCAAGTGGATCAATGGCGAGTACATTAACGTCAATGGGGGCATGACGATGGATTGAAGTATATATCAATTTTGGTTATCCAATGCGACCATGTGCCAAGTATTGACTCTAGAAATAAATCTCGATAGGAAAATTACTTTGGTCATGCTTTGAATTTTGCCCAACAATAGGAAAACTGTATAAATATATCACGTCATGAGTCACAACCTGGTGATTTTTAGCTTCTGACATGCTTCCTTGAGCTTCTCGTCATCCCAAGCTTGTGCATGATCTGGTAGCGCTTGGCCTGGGTATCTTTGTCCGGCCTCTCCCACAAGAGACTCGATTCCGTTCCCACTTGCAAAGCTCCAAAATCGGACATATTTCGATGCGAATCCCAATCTGAATGGAACTTTGGCAGGGAAAAAGCATACTTCTCCCGGACGAACAACGCTGGGCTCGCCGTCGTCAATGGAGACTTCGAGTTCTCCGTCAAACACGACCAGGCAGTGGTGCGCAGAGAATGCCAGCTTCTGGTGGAACACACTCGAAGTGTACGCGTTGGAAGACTCGATGATGCTGATTGCCGATCTACCACCACTCTGCACGGTCGTCATGAACGGGCGGGACATGACACCGCCCAGCAACCAGCGCGGACCTTTGTTCGCCTTCAAGAAGTACGGGACCTCGCCGTCTGGCAGCACCTCATCCTTCTCTGACCAGTCTGATACGGGACACCCAACGTGATCTGGGTGCGCAAAGACGTCGAATGCCTCCTCCCAGTTGCCGACGAGATTTGGAAACATGCCTTGTTGCCGGTCGTCCCATTCCGGAAAGATCAGGCCCTCGAATTTGTCCGAGACGTGGCGGAAGAAATTCACCCAGTCCCCAGGCGTAATGAGGTCAATGGCCTTAGTCACCGGTCCTTGCGGATACGGCTTATGGATGGTGCCCTCCAAAAGGTGAGCTCTTGCTACAAGCGTAGGAGTCACTCGGGAAGCCACTTACAGGAGGGACAGAGGCAAAATCTCCTGGTCCAAGAAGACGGCACTCGTCACCATTCCAGCACAACATGGAACCCTCGGCCACCAGAAAGATGTCATGGGCGTACTTGTGGTGATGAAACGGCGCAGTGTCATTCTTCACGCCATCCCAGGCGAACACGGCCATGCCATTGTTAGTTTGTGCCTGGGAGGTGAACATCCGAAATACACTCTTGAAGCCCGGGATGGTGAAGATCTCACCCTCCAGCTGGGGCAGAATGTAGCTGGACCCATTCGTGGGTGGCAGTTTGACGCGAGGAATAGACATTGTACAGTGATGAGCCTTGAACCAGCTTGTAGTACTGCACGTTGGGTATCTAGATAAGCTATTGGGATCAGGAGTACAAGGCAAGATATCCCATACAATTCTATGCCGGGACCGTGCCCTTGTCATTGAAGCGGGGGGGGGCATCTTACGACGGCTTTGTTACTTGATGGATGCAAGATCCCGGAACCCGTCGGTCCCGAGGGCCTTCCATTGATTTTTTTGCAATTCACACAGCAAAGGTCACTATCTGGACGTATCGAGGGAAACCCCACATTTTCCGGAGTCGAGACAGGCCTGTGTCCCAAGACTGTCGCACGTCGATGTCTAATCATTTCAAATTCGTACTAGGAATCGGATTTTGTACCAACTGCGTGCCGTAACTGTGGCTAAACATATACCCTTCCACCTCCAGGAAACCTGCTACCCATCACGACTAGCTTACCTTACATCTTTGCAGTAACAATGGGGTCTGCCAGGGAAACCACCTGGAAGCAAATAGATATCGCAGTGATTGGAGGTGGCCTGGGTGGGTTCGCCGCAGCCTTGTCCCTTCGTCGAGCTGGCCATAAGGTCACCGTCTATGAGCGTGCACATTTTGCCGGCGAGGTCGGGGCATCGATTAGCTGCGCAGCAAACGGTACACGTGGCTGGAGGAGTGGAACGTCGATGTGTCCATCGAAAAGCCGGTCATTTTGCGCAAGCTGATCTCTCGTGATTGGGACACCAGCAACGAACAAAATATCTACGACTTGGCGGATTACAAGGAACGGTGGGGTTATGTGAGATTCTCCTCCACGTGCTTTCAAGTATCGGGGAATTAATCGTGAGACACACTCCAGGTCTACTACAGGTTTCACCGACAGGACATGCACCGGATGCTGATGGAGTCGGCTCTGGGCGAAGGCGACGGCATCCAGCCCGAACTGCGACTTGATTATAAATTGACAGACGTAGACTTTGAGACAGGACGTATTACTTTCGCGAACGGCACCGAGGGACATCATGATGCTGTTGTTGCCGCAGATGGCGTGGCGGTATGTACCGTACCATGTGCACCTGTCTCGAGATGGATTGAGGCTGACAGCCACTGCTCTCCAGTCCACAGCCCGGGCAAGGATGGGCATTGTGGAAGACAAGAAACCTTGCACTTCAACATGTCTGCATGCAAATGTGGACAGGAAGCAAGCCCAAGCTCTTGGATTCACCAAGAGTATCCCTTCTGGGCCAATGGTCTGTGTTCGTTGATGGGAGACGCGGCCCATCCCATGATGCCCGATCAGAGCCAGGGTGCTTGCCAGGCCATCGAGGACGCCGCGGCGCTCGGTCTCGCCTTTTCCAAGGCACACTTCCGCGGAGACGTGCAGATGGCTGTCCAGATCTTTGAAAAAGTTCGCAAGCCTCGAGCTACCAAGGTGCAGTCTGCAAGCGCCCGAGCTCGACTCAACATCACGGAGCGCATTGGCTTCTCAAGCAACACGAGCAACAGCAAGTATAGCGTCCCCGCTGAAAAGGACAAACTCACCATTGACGAGATGAACACGTGAGCTTTATCCTCCACAGTTGAACTTATCCGAAACCTGACATGTGAGCAGTTACGACATAAAAGCCCATGTCGCAGAAGTCTACAAAGCCAACGGTCTCTGAACAGTCATTTGTCCAGCCGAGTACTCCATATATATAGCTCTTTTCGTGAATAGACCAGGACAAAAGGTTAGCTAAGGCGTGATCAAGAGAATAAATACAAAGATGAAGTTCGGTCGCGGCGAAAGCCACGCTTCGAATCCGTTGTTGAAAATCAGCTTATATAAAAGTACCACCTGAGAATCTGTAATAAGGCGTCTATCGTAACTTATATACAGCACAGTATAGTATTTTAACTGATTTGTTGTGCCAGAGCCCGATCATAGACCACAGGTCAACCCGTTCTGCCATTGAAGTTTCCTGGCTAGCATCTCTAGCGCACCTTGTTCAACAGCCAGCCAAATCCGTTGTTGGTATCAACGGCATAATCTTGGCTCTTCGAGTGGGTGGGAAAATTAGCCCAATACACATGGGGTAGGCCTGGATAAATGTCGACCCTAGTCTTAACTCCATGATCCTTACGGAGAACGCGTTCGTAGAGCAGCGCCTCGTCCCTCAAGACGTCCATGCCACAGATCTGGAAGTAGTGGGGTGGGAGGTTTGCATGGCCGCTGGGCCAGTTGAAGGGATTCCAAAGTTCAGAGACAAGATCTGGTTTGTACGCTTCCTCGTACATATCCATCGCGGCTTTGGGGAGGATGGGAGCATCTTTGTTTTGCTCACGGCTAAGGTAGAGGGGTTGGTATTTCTCTGGCACGGCATCGTGGCTGAGAAGAGCGGGAATTCCGAGCCAGATGCCGGTAATCGGTGGTGATAGGGCCGTGTCTCTCGCCAGATGTGACAGAACTGCTGACATGTTACCGCCTGCCGACGTGCCTCCGATGATGAACCCAAGAGAAGGGTTGGCACCCAGTTGAGATGCGTTTGCCGCGACCTGTGTCATTTCTGTCAACTTCCGGGCTCGTTTTTTCGAGATCTTCTACATTTCGCTTGCCACTCACCCATTTCAACACGTCCCAGCTGTCGTTGACAGCCGCCGGGAAAGGATCTTCAGGCGCCAGGCGATAGTCCACACTGAGTGCGACCGCATGGTACCGCTGTGCAGCTTTGATGCAATTGACGGCATCCATCTCCGGACTTCCAAAGCACCAGCCTCCGCCGTGACATAGTACGATCAGTGGGCTGCCCTGCTGGGGCTGAACTGCTGGTTTGTAGGCCAAGCATCGCACGAGATGGCCGTCTCGGCTTGGAATGAAGATCTCCTCTTGGACAACATCCGGCTGGGCCTGACGCAGTATTTCTTCTGCAAGCTGTTTGTACAATGGTGCCCAAGCAGCGCGGACAGTGGGAATGTTCGCTACATTATTGTCCTTGTCGAATTGAGGCTTACCACCTTGCCGCAGTATCTGTACGGGACCTTATATTCTCTTCCTGGGAAGGCAAAATGACATGGCACGTACCTCAGCAAGTTCCGGGTCTAATCGGCTCAGCGCCAGCCAATTTTTGGGGTCCTCTATCAGGTCCATTGGTCTTGTGCAAAGTGGCTTGGTTCTAACGAGGGGCGAAGGGCAGAAAACTTGTAGTCCAATCCAGAGAGTTGATCGGTGACAGTCACGTTGCAAGAGCCAATGATCTACAGGTCTGTATCAGTGTACGATGAAACGTGGCGATGTAAAAATCTTTGCCGACAATCAGGCGGGCGGTGTGTATGTCAGGGGTGGGAAGTGGTGAGATTTTCGGACATGGGAGCTGTCCCATGAAAAGCCGGACCGACCGGACGCCGGCCCAATAGTTCGTACCCACCGAATCGTACAAAGCATAGGAACGCCCGAAAATAGCAGTGGATCGCATCGACGTGCAAATAGGCAACCTTAGAGCACATTGGACTGCCTCTGTACAGCCTTGAGACACGAAACGCAGAAGGGACGATGCCAGATCCTGTGGTTCAGTTGCATCACCCACAACTGGGAACGGTGAGCGGACGGCAAAGAGATGGGACAGCCCAGTTCCTCGGACTCAAATATGGGGTCTTGAAGCATCGATTCGCGATACCAGAGATCAATTCCGCTACCAGCAGTGGCATTGTCGATGCTACCAAATATGGGTATGCTTCATGGCTGTGACGCCGAACAAGCACTGAATGGCTTTGCAGACCTCCTGTCATTTTCCTGCCCGAATCCTGTGACATGGAAATGTCGTTTATTCAACAAACCCTGGACAAGCCGATTGTACCACCTCCTTCAGATCTGGAAGGCTTGAATCTTAATATCACTGTCCCAATTTTCGAGGTTGGGCTTCCTCACGCAAATACTCGCCTGCCAGTCCTTGTCTACGTACATGGCGGCGGGTTCACCTTCGGGTCAAGCTCGTACCCTCACTACGATCAGGCTCGCATCGTTGACATGGCTCGTCAGCGAGGGCAACCTCTCATCGCAGTCAATATCAAGTACGTATCCGCGTTGAATGATGTGGCACACCGTGCAAAGGTTCAGACCTCTGATGGACTCCAGCTATCGCCTAGGCATTCCCGGCTTTCTCACTTCCAAGGAACTCCGCGAGCTGGGCGAAGGTTTCGGGACAAACAACGGCTTGCGAGATCATCAAACGGCCTTCCTCTGGATTAAGAAATATATTTCGGGATTCGGTGGAAATCCTGACGCAATCACTGCCATAGGTCAAAGCGCCGGTGCTGGTAAGTCATGGCAGAGGAATGCTGAAAACTCCATGTTTCTGATTCATAACAGCCTCTTTAACTTACCATCTTCATTCTCGTCAACCTCTGTTTGAGCAATGCATTCTCCTCGGGGGAACCTTTCTCATGATGAGAGCTGGAGATTTCCATGTGCCTGACAGAGTCTATAAAGAGATTATTCGAGAACTGGGACTGGATCGGCTGTCGGCACCAGATAGAGTTAAGTCGCTCTTGGAGATGGATGCATCAGACTTCTTGTACAAGGTCGCTCCCAAGATGACGCTTGGACCTGTTGTCGATGAAGACATCATCCCGGAGGTGGCGAGGTTTTCCAACATCGGGGTGGAGGACCTGCTGCCACTTCCTGGGAGGAATTGGTGCCACCGGTTGATGACTGTCGACTCTGCATTTGACGTGAGTGAAAACTCACACCCAGTGACAATGTATCACCAGGGCTGACATGGTCGCATAGGGCACCATCATGGCATTGGTCAATCTTAATGCCCGCGAGCAAGGCATCCGAGAGGCCTTTCAAAGCTTTCTGAAATCCAGTCCAAAGTTGAAGGACTCGTCCACCGCCCAGCGGATACTCGACTTTTACGGCATCCAAGACAACACATCCGACCAAGATGCGCTCCATGCGATCACATCTTTCGTCACTGATACCATGTTCTACACTCCTTCGGTGGCCATGGCTCGGGCCTGGCAAAAGTCGTACGTATGCCATTTCAACGAAGGAAATCCGTGGAAAGGCCTCTACCAGGGCCGCGCGAATCACATGCTGGACATTGCATATCTGTGGCAGAATTTTAACCACACACTCACCCAGCCTCAGCAGGCCGTAGCAAAGGTGTTTGCAGAGCACGTTATTGGGTTCGCGGCAGGGGGTGAGCCAGTGCCGTCATTCCAACAAGCCCAGCAAGTGACCGTCTACGGACCCAGCAGTCTGGACATCTACTCGCTTGTGTGCCAACTGGGCGACGACAACGTCACTTCAAGACGGAAGGCAATATTCCGATTGGCCGATGAAGTCGGAGGCTTGGATGTGTTGTTGGATTCTGCACTGCATTTCCTCATGGGGTGAATGGGCGCAAGGACCTGCCCTGGCGATTAAGCAGCCGCTCATTTCAGCTCCAGGAGTAAACCTTGCCCTACTGAGACGTGCACATATTGAGCAGTAGATATGTCAAGGCAACTAGCATGCGTATCAGTATTCAATATTCTTAAGGGATCTGTTGGCGCCAGAGTGACTATCGACGGAACAGGCAGACAACCTCGTGATGACGATCAATGAGTCAGTGCTACAGCCTCTGGAATGCTTTGGAATCATGGAAAAAAGGCTCCAGGAGGCCATCTTGCATAGTAATTATCTATATAAACTAGAACGGTGACCATAGAATAGAAGAAGACAGAAATCTCAATTATGTTGACTTGCCTGTATCGATTGGCCCGTACAGTTGTACAGTCCAAATCCTCCAACAGGATCCCTTCAAGATGCAGGAGGTGTGCTAGAGTCCCAGGCAGCACTTCCATTTAGGTTTACGGAAACCGGGATCCGAGCCCGGCTGTGCATCCCCCTCCAGCAATGGAAAGTTTGGCCTGGAACTCCACAAACTTCAACCGTGCCAGCCCAGGAGTACTTTGCGCCATCCCCCAGCCTCGATGTGAGAAGTATGTTCAGATGCAGGGTCCACATCCGTGGGGAAGCGACAGGTCGCAATTCGAGGGCAGCCAACAGTGTACTTACAGTAGGGTGGTTTCTCTTCGACATCTTCCTTGAGGGTAGCTCAGAGAAGTGAACATTTTCCCAGTTCGAAACAAGCAACCCCTTAGATTCCATCGAAACCTATTTCATTTGTAGCCACCATGGTGTCCAACAACACTCTTGTATTCGCGGAACCTGCCGTGGGAATCCCGGTTGCCGGCAAGAATATCAAACTGGTTGACAGACCACTGGACTTGGACAAAGTGCCTTCAGGTGGCTTCGTGGCACGAGTGCTATACTCGTCATACGATCCGTACCTCCGACACAAGTTGGTGCCGGCCGAAGCAGCTCGGGAGTTTGTACCTTTCGATGTCGGGGCCCCCATCGTCAATGGAGCCGTTGTCGAGGTTCTCAAAGTTGACCAGTTGTCGGGTTTCAAAGTCGGAGACAACCTGGTCGGCATGACTCCCATTGCGGAATACGCGAGCGTCGACGAGGCCGAAGCAAAACAGTTCAACCCGATTCAGAATCCCTACGGCCTAGACGTGAAGCTGTTCCTAGGCGCGCTGGGCTTGCCCGGCATCACGGCATACTCTTCTCTCTACGAGGTCGCCAAACCGAAGTCGGGCGAGACCATTTTCATCTCGGCCGCCAGTGGTGCGATTGGTCAACTCGTTGGACAGCTGGCGCTGCGAGAAGGCCTCACGGTGATCGGGAGCGTTGGAAGCGATGAGAAGCTCGACATCATCAAAAAGCAGTTCGGTTTCCACCACGGTTTCAACTACAGAACAACCACCGATATTGTTGGAGAGTTGAAACGTCTTGCACCGCAAGGCATTGACAGTACGAATGGCCCCTGTGACATTGCTATTTGTGAGAGTGATTATCTGACCGAGTGCAACAGTCTATTACGATAATGTGGGCGGCGAGCAGTTGGAAGCAGCCATCACGGCCCTGAAAGACTGGGGTAGAATAGGTGAGTTCCGAGTATCTGGATGACTGAGTAGAGAGATTGATCGATGACGCATAGTTGCTTGTGGTGCCGCTTCACAGTACAGCATCCCTTATGACAAGCAGTATGGGATCCGCAATACTGGAGTCGTCATCTCCAAGCGCATCAGATGGCAGGGCTTCACAGTCTTCGACGACGGATTTTGGAACAAGTATGGCGCAGAACACCAAAAGAACGTCCAGGAATGGCTCAAAGATGGTTCCTTGAAAGCTGTTATGAGCACGACACACGGCATCGACAATGCCGCAGACGGACTGATAAGTCTATTCAAGGGCGAGAACGTCGGCAAAGCCATCCTGGAGGTTAGTGCCCCATAGGCAGCTGCCGGGATGTTCGAGGAGGATATTTATCATGTCCCCTGATAAGAGAATAAATAGAAGTTCCGCTCTCCGAATTGCCCCGGTAGCTAAAATTAAATTACTGCCATAACACTCGATATCACAATAGCAATTAAGAAAGACTAAAAACGGCGTTCACTACAGTCTTTGTTCCACCAAATGGTACTGTCTGTCTCTTCTTTTACCCCTCTTCTTAACGTATCTCGAGACGATATGGGTCGTATAGTATATGTACCCGGCCCACAAGGCTGGCGGTTAAGTCTGACTTCCTAGATATAGATATCTATCTCCTTGGGCCTAAGGGTAGTTCTCTAAAGTCTTTAGTCGTTTAAACGAAGTGGGCGGAGATTCATCATTGCCACGTAAGAGAGTAGCATAGGAGGCGCACGACTAAGTAGTTCGAGCGAACTAGAAAGGAGGCCGGGTTAGGATCCCCTAGTATCCTAAACGGGTCCCATCGTCTAAAGTTAAGTCTAGGTACTATATAATGAGCTAACCGTATAATGAGCCGCTCTTTACTATACAAAATACGGAAATTATATCCCTATAAACTTAGTTAGTTTTATAGCTATAAAAGTCTAGTCTTAAAATTATTATAATAGTAACTTAGTATTATATTAAGGTTAAATTAGTGTATATTCTCGCCTATTCTATAGGTTAGATAAAGGGGTAGTGTTACGGGTTGAACCCGTACAAAGCTCTAGAGTACGCCCTAGAGCGATTACTCGTGGTGCACCTTTAGGCTGTACAACTATACAGCCTAAAGGTACGTGATTCCTCTCTATCGATTATCTCCCAGGAAACTATACTAACCTACTATAGGAGAGGCTAGGGAGTATTTCCTTCATTCGTATAGTAGATAGATTTTCTCTTTTCTTTTCTCTCCTTAGCTTTAGAATCCTCGTTATACGGTAGTTAGACGAATTACTCTAAATTCCTAGCTAAACCCTTATAGAGGTTATATTACGTAACTAGGTAAGGCTAGATCTCCTAGATCCCTTAGATCTTATAGGATCTTAAGAGATCTAGGGGGAGCTATAAGATCTAGGGGAGCTACTAGTAATATATATATACGCTTACTATAAGGGTTTCAATAGGAGCTTATTTAACTACTATAGGACCTATCTAATAAGGACGTTAAGCTAAAGGAAAGAGAGAAAGAAGTCCTGCCGCTATCCACAGGGAGATATAATCTCCTAGGGTAGGTCGCCCGGTATCCTAAGTAACTATTAGTATTACGTAATACCGTCCGACTATATAATTATACGGTCGAATCTAGGTATCGCTAGTTTAGTCTTAGCGTCGCTCGCCAAGACATCCATTAATATTACGTGACATCGTTCGGCTGTACAACTATACGGTCGAATCTAGACATCGCTGGTTCTTACCAAGACATCCTACGGGTTCAACCCGTGACACTACGGGTTTAACCGTAATATAAAAGCCCTATAGGCTTTTTACTCGGGTTATAAAAGGTCTACGGGTTATTCAACCTAATCCGTTACGTAGCCTAGTAATTTCTAATTCCTATAGAATAGAATAGATTTTTATAGAATCTTCCGTAAGGCTTAGGTATAGCCTTACCTAAAGGACGTCACGTAATCCTACCTTATATAAGCGTAATCACGTGACTAGGCGTTTATAGAGTATCGCTTAGTCTTAACATCTAATATTATCTCGGCGGCAAGATGATCAACTAAAAGTATGGGCGATGTGGAATCTTATTGGGCGGCATCACGGGGAGCAATAAGTACGGACTGTCATTTGTAGCGGCTGGTTGCTCACAGTTTAACGGAGGCTTTAGGCGTCTCGGTGGCTGGGCCACTATTTTGCTCAATCAGATTCCTTACTCTTAGTACGAGACGTACGATTCAATCGGTCGCACCGTCAGGACCAAGGTTACTAGGAAATTAGGCAGCATGAATCTACCAGGCTCCCTGGCCCCCGTCCGAAACATGTACCTAGCTGAGAGGCAAGCATAGCCGATCGCAAGGGGCCAGATTAGGCCGCCAGTGTGTTCGCTCAGGGAGTTCTCAGGGAGCGCTCAGTTAAAGCTCAGGTTAAAGCGGCCTTCGCTCACCCTCTAGGATCAAACTGTAAATGGCAATTAGGTATTTCATTCTCGAGTAATAGAGGTAGTTGGGCGAAAGGAGCGAGATCAGGCTCCCCACTGTCGTTTAGGGAGGTGCTCAGGGAGTGCTGAGGACTCCGAGTGCCCGGTGATGTTCAGCTAAAGGCTCCGTTCAAGCTCAAGTTGACAGCGGCGCTCGCTCACCCACGACGATGAAACCGCATTTGGCGAATAGGCTTTGTTGCCGAGTAAAAGAGGGGCATCAGGGGAGGTACAGCATGTGACGTCAACGGCCATGTCATACCCGGGAGGTCTATAACAATGCGATCAGGCGGGGCGAAGAAGACTAAATGACATGTCACTTATGCTAGCAAACTTGTCAACTCCGTGTTCCATATCAGCTCCACTAATACTCATATCATCTTCCCAATTGATCTCTAGTTCATTCAGCTCTCATCGGTCGAGCACAAAGGAACGCCCTCCTTGCACTCCAACGTAACAAGGACCAGAGCGCATAACCATGTCCGAAGACGTCAAATCTAAAGGCGGTGCGACTATCGAAAAGGGCGATACTGTGGAGACCCCCGTGCGTACTCTTGTTGACTTTGCTAAGGGGTCCCGAATTGAGGAATGCTCGATTATGTCAATGATGCTGACTTGTTGAATTTGCAGTATCGTGGTGGAACACATACCGGGAAGGTGAGTTGGATGTTTCGTCGAGCTGCGTCTTTGCTAGGCGAGACGAAGGGCATGCATGGGTGGTTGAGTTGGTCTGCGGCTGGGACTATGGCATTCCGTTGCTCTCGCGAGCCACGACAATCCAAACGCACCTTGAATCACGTCTTCTCTAACCCAAAACCCCCCCTCTTTCGGCATTTTTTCGGCCTTTACTCACTTTCCTTGCCCCAGGTCGAACAAATCATCACAGACGAAGACGAAGCGCGCAATCTTGACGCCAAAGGCGCCAGTCATGCCCCGGCTGTCGTCTTCACCGATCAGAATAACAAAAAGGTCGCGCATAAGCCTGGGACGCTGTCGGATTTGGATAAGTAGAAACGTGGAGACTGAGGGGGGGAGGGAGGGGATTTGCTTTACAGGTGCGAGCGGAGGGAGGGTGCGAGAGAGTGGTTTTTTAAGAAAGAAGGAGGGGTTGATATTCCTAAGAGGAAGGAGAGGGGGGAGGTGTATTGTCAAGAGGAGGCGGGGGGCAGGAGAGCTGTTTTCAAGGGTGGCACGTAAAATGCCCGCTGCACTGCATGCAACTCAACGGGTGAGATAGACAAATAACAGAGAGCCAGGCCAATACTTGTATTCCCAGATATCGCAGGTTCACTCTTTGAGGTAAAAAGTGAGAGTCGAAATGTGTTTTGTGTTGTTCTTGGTGACAATGCGGGGAAGATCCAAAGTAAAGAACGCGACGCGTTGAACTGCCGAGGATGCTGTTGGTGGGAGCAGATAACCTTAAGTTGACGTTGCTTATCGACTAGTTGGTTCCTGTATGTGCTTTGGGAGCGCCTATACTCCCCCACTTTTGCTTACGAACACCCAGGGCAGAATGTTGGCCACGTGAGGCTGATACTATATGGGGATGTTTAAGATTGGGTTTCCCTTAAAGATGTGGAGTGTCATTGTATCGGAAAAAGAACAATAACGTATAGCATTTACCTGCGAGCCCGGCTAATAACATAGCTGCTGAGAATGGTTCATTAATGCATCTACAGTACCGCTTCATCTACGCGGTTCTTGCAGCTAAAGTCAAACAGTACATCGCGACCGAGTTCGGGCTGGATGTGCTACCCGACTGGCTGGTAGAACTCCGGCCCATGCTCTGCATCAAGCACGATATGCGCGATTACCTGATCTTGAAGGAGCCCGAGGGGCTGGAGTGGATAGCGGTCGTGTGCAACGTGGTCTTCGAGATGGGCGTCATGTCTAGCTTCTTTGGCTTGTATTGGGACGAGAGAAAGGTCGTACTGATCGACGGTGGGAAGATCAAGTGGGTGGCCACGACGCTGGATACGGTCGCGTTGGCGACCGTGCGGGCGATTGAGAAGGAAGGAGAGGAGAAGACGAGGAATCGGATCTTACTCGTGCAGGATTTCCGCACGAGTCAGAGCGAGATTTCGGCCAAGGTCGCAGAGAAGACTGGAAAGAACGGATGGACAGTGGAGGAGGTGAAGTATGATCAGTGGCTTGAGGAAGCCAAGGACGCCGCCAGAAAAGGGGATCATATTGGTTTGTCAAAATTGACATTTGGGACGGTGTTGTTGGGGAGTAAGTGGGAGGAGAGGGAGGAGTTTGTGCATGGGTTGCTGGAGTTGCCGGCGAACCAGTTTGACGTGGCGATTGGGGAGGTTTTGAAGGATGTTTCATAATGAGTTTGGTAAGTTGGAGTCGAGTATAGCTATCTCCGATGCAAGGAAATAGAAAGAGATTTAATTCTACGACGGATGAATCTTCCACATTTTCTACTTCTACCTTGAACCAAATGGATTGAACGACGACCATTTGGACGACGACCTTGTCTTCTTTAGCAATCTCTTCTCCCAACCGAGATATCCTCCTGGAGGGCCTCCGTTTGGCAGCTCCGCAGAGAAAGATCCAGGCATGTTGCTCGGCGTGGGAGACCAACTCGGATCTGTGCGCATTGTTCCAGATGAAAATCCAGGACGCACCAAGTGCTGAGTCTGTGGGTGTACAGATGGAGGTGTGGGCATCCGCTGCAACTGTGGGTGACCGTTGGGGTATTGAGAGCCGCCGGATGCAGTATACACTATCGTCTGTCCTTGGCCACTCCCGGTTTTGAGGAATATAAAGGGGTTGTTGCTTCTTCCCATGTACCTGTTGTTGACACGATGGGGTAATTCCCGGTTCGTCATCTCATGGGCGTTGGTGATATCAATCTTGAGCTGTTCGAGGTTCTTGCCGAAGTGCTTCAGATTATACAGACTCTTGACGATGCTCTCGATCTCTTTCTGGTCTATCGGTTGGGTCCTGCCAGAATCTTTCATGCTTTTAGTCAGAACAGCCACGAATTCTTGATATTTTCTCTTGTCCTCCTCCAGAGCGGCTAAGACCTTTTTGTTGGCAAGGCCGCCGGCATCGATCTTCGCTTGTTCAGCTTTGATGAGGACATCGAGGTAAGCCAAAGTAGCATCGTTGTAGGGGAGGATGGAATTCGCCTTCATCCAGAGGCCGAACTTGGCTGCAGCTTCCTGGATCTGCTCGTGTTCTTTCTCGTACTCGGCCATTCTGACTTTGCGATCGGCAATTGCAGTCTCTTTCAATACAATCTCACTTTCATGCTGTTTTATCTTCAGTGCGATGGTAGCATCCTTCATCCTCTTCTTGTAAGTCTCAAGCTCGTATAGAATATGAAGATGGGATGTCCAATGGTGCTTGCACTGGAGACAGATTTCACTACCTGAGAATGCTGCACACTTGAACAAACTCGGGTGTGCTTGAACGTCTTGTGGGACATTATCGATGTAGCACACTGGGTGACATGGGTTTGGGTAGTCTGCAACTAGGGTGCCCTGACCGGTACCGTCGTCCTTGAACTCCACGCAACCGGGCTCTTTGCAGACAGTACGAGGCATCGTCGTGGGCTTCTTCCTCAACAGCGTCATTTCGGGTTCTAGCTTTGCCAACAACTTGTCACCCGTGAGTCTTGCATCCAGCAATTGTCTGACATCATCCACCATTGCGGCTATGTTGGTCTTGATAGTTTGAGAGATTTCCGCCATGGGTTTCGTCAGTTCTAAAACTAAATTGCGTGTGCCATTCAAACTGATCGTGCTTTTGATGGGATGAGGCTCCCTCGACCTAAAATACTCCAGCATACGTGAGGCTTCATCCCTTGATTTTGTCCAACTACTGTCGAAGTCCGATTTGTTGTCCATTTGAACGTTGTTTTTGAATGCCGCAAGATAGCGAAAGCTTTCAGAGTCAAAGCAGTATGTGCTCTTGGCCGACAGAGACAGTCCGATATCTGAGCGCTCGCTCAATAACGTCTTCAGTGACCCAAATGTATCACCCGGCATGTAGTTCGAGATGCGTGTGTTGGTGAAGCCGAAGACGACATTGTGTGTGGCATCGCGATGCAAGTGTGTCAACAGTTCCTTGACACAGAAGCTGAAATGTGCAGTCATTCGAGCATTGTTCGACTTGAGCAAAATTAATATTCCATGCAAATGGTCGTAGCCACTGACGGTTGCCAGGATGTCAGCCATGTTGCTCTTATCGTACTCTAGACCACGAGTATCTCCGATCCCGGGAGTGTCAATTAGTCTATAAGTGACTGCTCCGATCGTTATAGGATAGACTTGGGTCTGTTGCGTCGCCGATTCGCCCGTACTCCCGTCTTTTTCGTCTTTTCGGTCGCCAACCTTAATTCTCGTCTCTTTTATCTCGCTGTTGATGTTGGAGCGATCCATGGTCTGGATCGCAAAGGAGCAGGGAATCACCCACTGAAGTCCTTCTGTGTTCAATGCTTCATCAAGGGTACTAAAGTAGAGGTAATTGACAAACGCGTTGATGAAGGTTGACTTGCCAACACCGGTTTCACCCAGAATCAAGATGTTCAGGTAGTCGGATTGATCCAAGCTTTTCAAGAAGTTGAGTAAGTTGGTGTCGTTATACCGGTCAAAGCCTTGTCCATGAGTACAGTTGTTACACTGGAAATCAAAGTTTTTGTACAAACTTCGACCACAATCGCAGTAAATGTACTGATCTGAGTAGCCATATTCCAAGGGAGCATCGCAATTTGAGCATCGCCAGTCACAGATATTTCCTGCGCTGCAACTACCTCCAGGACAGGGGATCTTGACAAGACATCTCTTTGTCGGTCGTTGGACATGCGTCTCAAGAGTCTTTGGTTGATACCTCGCAAAACAGTGCTCAGACAGGTACTTTTGTTCTTCGTAAAGATCTTGGATCACTTCTTTGCCGTTCTGAAAATGTCTAATGAAGGGTCTTTTCAAAGACATCCTCGTGGCATCACAGTCCACAATAGCATAGAACGCGTTCCTCTTGCGGTCTGAAAGCAGACTGGTCATCAATGCTTGGTTGGCATTCCAAGTCTCTTCGTCCTGCTTGGCTGACTCACTGAAGTAGAACACATAAGAGTCGACATTACCACGTTGAGCGAGCTGAGCATTCAAGTCGATCCTGTTATATCCAATATATGTGGCACCTTGATTCAGCATTGAATCAATGAATGCCACTTTCCCTTGGTGATCATTTGAGAAGGTCGATATTGCCTTGGGTGACCGAGGCCCCTGACCAAACTCGTTGATGAGCTGTGTGAGCACCTCTGGGTCCCTCATACCGCCTCGTACATCCTGCAGTAAACGACCAAATTGGCCTCTCAGGTCTCTCTCAGCAGCTTTCATATCGTGTATCCGTTCTGCTACCTGGTCTGAATGATTCGCTGGAAGACAGAATTTGTACTTAAAAGCAAAAGCTTGGTGATCCAAGAGAGGCCGCTCAATGGTACAAAACTCATCACAGAGCCGGATGAACTTCTTTATGCATTCGTGCCCCGGGGACGCTTGCATTATGTCACGTTCAACCTGAACCAGTTGCAGCCATTCAAGCATCTCAATCGGTAGAAGTCTATATAAAATCGGCTTTCCATGACCAGCATTCTCGCTTCTGATATGAAATGGTACCACCATCTCGAGGAATCTGTGTGCCTCTTGGGTATCGTTGAGGACAATGTCATCGTTGCCCAAAGTAGTACTGTATGCCGTAATTCGGTCAAATTCATCACCCGACATGTAGAGCTTGGGAAGACCTGGCGTTTGAGTGGCTGTCACAAAAGCATCTACTTGTTGTTGAAATTGAGGTCTCTCTCGCTCCTTTTTAGCGTCGGGCCTTAGCCAACGTTCGGCCATCACGACAGTTTGTGCTCCATATTCAATCTCGGTGACTACATGAGTGGCCACACTAATCCGAAGAGGAGTCGGCGAGATGCATTGTCTAACATCGGGATTCCTTAACTCCAGTTTGTCTTGCGTGGTTGTGAGTGTGTGGTAGATCAAGGCTTGTAACTTGCGACCGCTATCTATCTTCTGGACAAGATAGCGTCCGATTCCATCAGGCTGAAGAAGTCCTGACAACAAGCTTGCGGCAAGGTCAGGACCAATTTCCATTCCCTTTAAATTCTCAGCATAAGATTCCCCGTAACTTATCCTAACATCGAAGTTTTTCTTTTCCTGCCGGGACACATCTCCAGAAGGAGCCCCGCCATTTAGAAGTGACTGGGTCAGGAAGCTGTCGCGCCTGGCGTCATACAGTGTACCTATGGAAGTGACATAGCCAAGTGCAGGCCTCGAAATACTATGATTGTCCATCGCTAGACGTCGTTGTGAGAATCGGTGCTAGTTCGAAGCAGCTCTTTTGGCATCTCAACTTCACGCAACAGAAGCAGAGGAAGACTGCACTATGAGGCTATGACTCAAATCCCTCCGACATGCTTTTCGGCCTTACAAGTATGCGGCCGAGTTTCGAATGGCGGCTTAGCGCAGCCTGACCAAGAGGCAAGCAGGTAACCACTTTTGAGCCCAAGACTGCTGCTACCCGACATCCCTTCGCGTGTGGAAAACTTTCACTAACCAGTCTCTACCTTGAGACAACACACCCTGCCTGCAGGAAACGGGAAGAAGGCGCCTTGTGAAACAGATTCCATCTGCAGTCGCAGTCAGGCTGAGCTAGCGACTGCGGCATAATGGAGCTGCGGCACTTCCCCGACCAGTCAAGATCAGAATATGACCCAAACTATCGATGCAAGCTGAAACAAATCTAGCGAAGAGGCGGCGTCCATTGGCGTTTTCGTTGGGGGGTTGATAAGGCGAGGCACTGTTTGGTCGATCGAAGGCGGTCTTTTATTGCCCACCTGCAGGTTAACAACAAGGATAATTTTCCTGGACAGGTTCCTCAATCGTCATTACAAACCCCCCGCGAATCTTTCACCATCGAAAATTGTCACTTGCAAGTCCATGTCACCGAGGCTGTCGACTTCAATCCTCCAAAATATACGATCACTCAAAGGAGAGGATGCTCACATAATCGGGCTCAGCTGTTTCTACCTCCATGTCAAAGAAAGAGAAAATATTGAAACCCAAAGATCGTATCTTGGTCTGGAGAGAGAGCATCGAGCTTCCTCGTCAAAGAGAACCCCCAGAGATTGAATCGCAACCTTCTTCTACTCGCCGTCTATCACACAACTCAGCGCCGGATATTTGGGCAAAGGAGAATCTTTTGCACTTTAGGTATATCTTGTTGTCTGATATAGGTACCAGAACTGATCGAATAATAGCCCCGAGTTCTCTGATGAAACAATCACCTTACATGCTGGACCGGAAGCCAGTGCGCGATCATTTCGCGTCCGTAAGGAGCTTTTCTACAGTGTCACGACGTGTTTCAAAGCCACCGATAGTGAGATTGTGGTGTTTCCAGCAGACTTGTTCAAACGTAGCATAGTAGGGTTTGACATGTTTACTCACTGGCTGAAACATCGGGAGGATCCTAGACCGTATATACCACTACAGTATTCCAAAGAGCCATGGCGCTCACATTCGGCTGCAGCTTGGGTGTTTGCGCGCAGGATCCACTCGCTTGAGTTCGAGAGATACGCCCTTTCACACTTCATCACAAATTGCATTACGTGCCATTTGAGTACGTGGAAGACCATCGAAATGAAAATCAAGGAGAAGACTTCGCTCCGACGGTTCAGCGACCACTGGATAGCATGGAGGTGCCATTTAGCTGAGGCAGGGCAGAGTGAATTCAAAGACTTATCAGCAGCCAAACTGGCCAGTGCAGTCAATGACGACACGCCTGATCCCAGGATTCTTGATCTTGATCATTGGTATTCATCATGTGGAGACGATATTAACTCTACCTGTATTCACGACCCTGTTGTGAGGGAGAATGAGGTAAATGCACTGTTCAGCTCACGAGAACCACGGCCTGAATGGGGTTATGAGCTCGAGATGAAAAATCAGGCTCCTCAGGAAGAGAGCACGCCATGGCCGTCAGAAAAGGCTGCCGTTAAACCCCCTATTTTACCTCCAAGAAAAGCTACGCGCTAATTCCACCTCATATGAGCTACGAGAACCGGCAGAGAGTTCTCAACGCAGCATAAGTCTGCAGTTCGACGTCATGGAACCGATACTCAACGACAATGTCTTGCTCTAGGGTTCTCACTGATGGATATTTACTCGAGGTGCGACCACGATATCTCGGAGGACTCTTGGTCTTAGAGCTAATCTAACATTTTGTCAGGACGCAGCTCGAGATCTTCGATTCGCTCTACTTTGTCACTGCCTAGCGACAAAGCTTCAAAATGTTGTCACTTGAATCGTCCTGGTTTTCAAATGAGTGGTTGGCCTACAAGATCAAACAGGGAATAGTGCCCATTACGAATACAATTTTGGTCATTATGCGGCGTTGCTTGCCTCAGCGACGGAAGGCAGTAGGTGCTCATGAGCGGACAGTAACTTGCATATTCTGCTGAAGAAGGAAGTGAAGGAAACTGAAGGACATTTTGCACTTTTCCCTCAACGCTGTGCAAATGGCCATGTTTTGCCCTTTTCCAGCGCGGTGAGTGACTGCTCCGTCCATATAACAATTGGTACATTTGGTGGGTGAAAACAGACTACTTACATTGGCGACAGCCTTATAAAGATGGTAGAATCCTCCACATGTTGACGTCTGCGAGATTGCTGAGAAGTAGAATAAATCTATTGTCTTTTACATTTATGACTCCACCTCATATACTTCTCAACCTCAATACTAGAATGAAAGACCAAATATGCTCCTTTGTTACAAGTCACTCCAATGAGAGTCATGCCCTACGCCTTGGCCTCCACCATACTCGCGACAATCTCCTCTCCATTAACATCCACGACGAAGTCAACCAACTCAGCCTTCTCCGTGATCTCCTCGTTTACAGCTAGATACGCATCTACTAGCAACGTCCGTATAGTATCCACGGCCGTGATTAGACTACGGGCGCCCAGCTCAGGATGGTACCCGTTCTCAGCAATTTTTCTGCACACTGAGGCGTCGCGACGGACGCGGAGACGGATGTTACCGATCAACAGCTCGTCAGAGCCCGTAGAGAGGTTGACGGGGTTGCGAACGTCGCGGCCGAGCTCGAGGAGGTATTTGTGGGCGATGACGGCTTGCTCACCAGGCGAGAAGAGGAGGAAGGGGAGGAAGACGGAGATACGCCCAGTTATGGGGGCCTAGGGTTCAAACCATGGTTAGCTTGGTCTCGAGAGTATTTTGAATATTTGAAGAGGGAGGAATACCTGGAATTTACCGAGGAAGTCTTCTTTCAATTCTTTCATCAGGGTATTTATGAGCCGTGTCTGTTTCTCTTCGTCCTCGTCATTCCAAATCATCTGGCCGTTGGCCTGGCAGAAGTTTCTGATCTTGTCGTCGAGAGCGTTGGTTGCCAGGATCCAGATCGTCTTGGAGCAGTCGATTGTCTTTAGGTTGCGGCGATCTTGATATTCACCTTTGTTCAACCAATGTTAGCCCGCATGCTCCGGATGTCTATGACAATGGAAAAAAGTGGTATTCACGGCTCCACTTACCATTATCAAAAGGCAGCAGCAATGCCTGGTGGATCTCCCGTGTCGTCTTCTCGAACTCGTCCAAGAACACGATACTCCTCTGCCCATCGTTCCGCGCCAGGAAGTTGTTCAGAGGACTACCTTGATCTGCATTGACGTAAGGATGCCGTCCTCCAAATAGCTCCATCTCACGGTTGACAATGGCACAATCGACAACTTCTAATTCCAGGTTCATGAGATACCCAAGTCGTCGCGCCAACTCTGTCTTACCATGACCACTGGGTCCCGCGAATACAAGGACCAGCGGTTTCTTCGACGGTACTGTGAGGTTGCTGAGGAATTTTGACAACAGCCGATTCGCGGCTAAGGATTGGCCAATGAGGAAGTACGGTAACCCAAGAAGTGCCTCTATGTTCTTTCGCTGCGCGATCTGCCAGTGTCGTGCCGAGGGTCGCCTTGTCTTCAATGCACGCTCAAGATTGTAGCGGTTGGTGAGATGGGTGGTACGAGCGAGCTTGACTCTTGCGTCCTTGTTCAGCCATGGCATCGTCGAATGACCTGCTGTCTTCAATTCCTCTTCGTCGGGTCCATCATCTGGGAGATCGCGGAAATAAGGCAAGTAGTATGCTTCCGGAATGGCGCTCGGGGTTGCACCAAGACTGAGGAGAGTAGCAACAATATGTGAGGTGTCTCTCTCTATCATCTCGCTGTGTACGATTGCAAATGCAAGGAGTGGGGCCTGAGAAGGCTCGTGTGCGGCGTTGACGTCGCCGCCATAGGCGATCCAGGCCCGGAGAATGCGGTCGTTGTTTGTTGCTGTGGCGTAGAAGATGGCAGGAAATCCTTCGACCGTGTCGTTGATGTGGCGGCTTATGGATAGGTCGTCGAAATAGTTGAAATATGTTCGCATAACATTCTCATCTGCGCCGTGTTGAAACGCACCGACGATGGCTGTAACTTCGAATCCACCAGAGCCTCCCGGTCCGGGCATCAATGACATTGGGGCTGGGAGAGTGGGGAGAATGAAATCCCACCCCTCCGGCTCTTGAGGCTTGAGAGGCTTGTGAGGCTCTTCAAGCACCGGGAACTCGGGCACTGGACCTTCGGGCATTGCAAGTTCTTGTTGAACCGGTGAGGGTGGCTCAACAACAATGTTTTGTCTCAAAGAAGACTTTCTCGATAATCTATGAGCTTGTCGACTTGGTGGGTGGACAACAGGGTTGTTGGGATACAATGGCCATGGTGGATTGTCCATCTCATAGTCCATTCGATCACGGTCAGGTTGACTATGCCGGGAGCCAGCTCGCTTTCCTTCATGCAGAAAACTTGGTGCCCGATGAGGTGCTCGGTTGTGCCATGTAGGCTGTCCTTCCTCGGTTTTTGGCGTAGGATTGTATATCTCGTTGCTCGAACTGTAATCTGAGCGTGCAGGATCAGGAGTGATGTCAACCGAAGGTTTACTCTTCAAAGGTAAAGGCAAACTTGTCACGCTTGAAGCTGGAGATGGTGTTGCCCTTGCACTACGTGTCGGCGGCTTCATGTACTTCATCAAAGTCCGATGTCGAAGTTTGGCTCTTGTGGGGTCGTTATTGGCGTGCTAAATAGGCCGTTAAAAGACGTCCAGTTGGAATGGTGGAAAGGTACCAATTTACCTTCAGGAGGTTGATAGCATCACTCTCACTGCATGAGCAGGCATTCATCACATCGAGAATGCTTGCTTGATCTGGTATCAGGACGAGCGCCATTGTGGTATGAAGTCTCGGGCAGGCTGCCTCGTAAGGCTTTTACCCCCCTCGCACATAAGGCGGAGAACAGGCTGAACACTTATCGGAAGCCAGATTCTGGGAGAAAGCGCAAAAGAGATGTACACGGAATGCGAACAAGTCAGTAATGGAAACACATCAAAGTCAAGTCTGTGTCAGAAGTTCTCGAATTCTCTCCATATGTGTGAGGCTGAACCAGGAGCCCAGTTGATGCGTCTTTTCCGCCAGAAGTGGAATGAGAGAGAAATAGCCATGGCGTCACTGTATCGTGGGGTTTGTGACATTTGACTAGCCATGCATGTGGCCGAAGGTTAACTTGTAACAAGCAAGAATTGGCCCAAGAATAGGAGCGAATCAGAGCCTCAGCAAAACGTGCCTTGGGCGGATGCTCCAGACACTTTCTCCCCCAACTAGGTCTGCTGCTCAGTCTGGAATATGCCCTGGGGCAGTTGTAGGCACAGCAAAAGCGGCTGAGAAGCATTTGTCCAATTGAGTGACAGTCATTTGAAAAGCAAGTCATTACAAAGCCACTGCTCCCAATCATACCTCACGTGGCTGGTCTAGAACTTGGCCGGAACGTCCCTTCCTGAAGTCGAGTTGAGCATTAGGCTGTCGAAAATGAGATCACGTTAGCAAAGCATTTCGTCTTTTTCTCAGCCTGATCTTGAGCCAAATGTTTCCTGGGTTAGTTAAATTTCCATCTTTGGCTTGATTGTGATCCTTCAAAGGACACTGGTAAATTAATTACTACGTAGTTAGCGTTATATGTCTGCAGACTTCTCAAACAATCATGCCAACACTTGGAACTCTGGTCCCTTACCAATTAACCGAAGAACACCATTTGGAGGCGAAGACAGGACACGGCCGCGAGGTCAGGTTCTGCGCTCAATGATGCAACAAGGCAGTTCAACATCACCCAGAGGAATGGCTGCCAGAGACAACCCAAGAATGAGTCCTAATGGGCAGACCTGGCAAAACAACGAACAGGCTCTAGCCTTCAGCAGTCCTCTTTCACAGCATCCGACAGAACATAGCATGAGCTCGGAAAGACAGACAACCCTCACACCCACCTCCAGCGTTCCCTCGGTGCGATCACCGGGGTCCTATGAAGCGCGGATGGAGAAACTATCCTCCCATTCTTCGAATAGACACCTTCGTACTCCGAGCCAGCAGGACAACCTCTCTCAAGAGAATGCCAAACTGCGCGAGGAGCTTGAAGAGCTTGGTGACTTACGCGAACGGACTCAGGCAGCGTGCGATCGCATGCTGACGGAGTTGATGACTACGCAAGAGTCATTGGACGAGAGACAGACGGCAATTGAGGCAAAGGACGCGGAGCTCTTAAATCTTCGAGAGCAACTCGCAAGACGTTCACGAGAGCCCCAAGGAGGTCTCCCGGATGCGCTAAGAGCAGGTGAAAGTCTGTCGCTGGATGATCAACGCGAGTTGCGGGATCTCCGCCTGAGGTGCAGCAGGCTACAAAAAGAAGCCCAGAGGAAGGACGAGCAGATCGAGCAACTCGAATCAAGAGCGGACACGCTGGAAGCGAAGGCCAGTCGCAACCCTCGGGGCCCTCGTGACTGCGGAGTCTCACAGGCGCATCAGCAGAGGCTCGCCGAGGCGGAACAAAGGGCCGCCGACGCAATCATGTTGCACCAATACGCGCAAGAGCAGGTGGACCTTTACCTGTCACAAATCATGGAATGGAAGACCGCGTACGACGGCCTGAAGGCGTCGCACGATCACGTGCAGCAGTCGAACTTGGATCTGCAGGAGAGAAATTCCAAACTAGAGCGGTCGCACTCAGAAATGACGCGAGCGGCACACGAGAACCGATCGAGAGCCGACGACCAGACAACCCAGCAATTGCAGTCGGTGCACATTGCGCTCGACGAGGCGCGCAAAATGATGGACTTCTTCAAGCAGAACAGTGAGAGACTGTCGCGGACAAATAAGGACGTGACGGACCGGGTTCGGGGTTTGGAGGACGCGCTGCAGTCGAGAAGTCGTGAAGTCGACCAGCAGAAAACGATGATTGATGCGCTGCAGCGGCAGATGAACTAGAAGAGAAAGGCGTAGGTTGTGTCTTTGGACACAATTTGCATTTCATTTTGAACGTGCCATGGCGATATGGAAAATTGTGAAAATTGACCAGTACTAGTTTGGCATGAGGCAGGTTGCAGGCGACCAGCATAACCATAATTCACACAAATGTTGTTATTGGCTGTTCTTGCGTTGCCAGCATTGGTAAGGAAAATCAACTTATGCATTGAATTCAAGTACAACCTAGCCCTTGACCGTGCTTATAACAGGCTGCAAAAGCTGTGTTGAGATCCGAGCCCATGCCACGATACTACATCCCATTGAGAACCCAGATTTCCTGATTCACCCCTAAGCAAACAAGAAGCAAACACTCGCCTAGTGCGGGACTGTGGCTGGGGATGACCTCGTGAGAAAGCGAGCAGAATTGCGACTGTCAGAGACATTCCTGATGATCATATTGCTCATTCCTAGTCGTGAATGGAAATTCCGTATCGACAGCACCATATCGATTTCCCAAGGTAGCTATGTATGTGCAATCGTGATTCGTTAGGGAGATCCTAGCTGAGGCTCAAGAGCACATCTAAATTTTGCCGATGTTGCACAACAGTGACGGACCATCGAAGAACAGGCTAATTTGCGGGGGTTGGCTTCAGGTGATTGGCTCAGGGGCCGCCAGCCTTGCGCTATGTGCCACTCCTCCCGAATTACAGGTACCATTGGTTAGTGTTGGCGCCAATAATCTAGCGCGTATTAACTCATGAAGCACGTGATGCGCTAATAAAAGGGGCCACTAAAACTTGCGGTGGCCAAATCATGAAAATTTCACCTTGGCACTGCGCCATTTATCGGAAATACTCTACGGCCGTGAGAATTTTGAAAGTATAGAAAATTTGCTCACGGAGATCAAAGGCCTAGCAATTATCTATATAAACTAGAACAGAGATCATAGAATGGAAAGAGACAGAGATATGATACACCCCGAGCTGACTTTGAAGCGTTGTCCTAAAGCGGACTAACCCAGTCACGCCCACATTTAGTCTTCGCGTGATAAAAGGAGGAACTTTCATCCACCACATCATTTTGCGCTAGGACCTTATAAAGTTCGACCCTACGAAATTTTAGTCTTAGCTAATATCTTAAGCGAATCCTACATGCAAGATAACCGCCGCTAAAGGCAGGCAGGAATAGCTACAGGTTGAATGCGGGGATGGATGTGTGGGCAGTCTGCATGAATATGGATCTGTTGTTGTCAGAACGTCTTACGTTATTGAACCTTGGATGGATGCTATCTTGGAGAATCTCAAGATTAGATTGCAAGATTGATCGTGGTGCTACGCAAGGTCTTCCATGACGAGAGGAAAAAGGACGTCCAGCACCTTGCAAAAATCATTACATGACATCTCGTCTCGATCGCTACGCCACACCGGCAGATCCTAGATCAGAAAAGCCTTTGGGCCTAAGATACCATTCATCAGTACATCAATAAAATTTACAACCACGAACAATTCCCTCCTACACCAACACCCCCTCCGGCACCATGGCGGCGCCGTGCTTACCTCCCCAGGCTCCACCCCACCCCCAAGCCAGTTTCACCTACAGCTCCACCTACCCAAAACCCACAAGGGATCTTCCAAGTTCCTTGACGATGGTCTGAAACAGGTGCCCGGCTGAAATGCAGGTGTAGTCGATCGCTGAGGGCCCAACTTGGGCGTTCCTTGTAGCTCAGGGAGTGCACAGTGAGGCTCAGCTAATGGCTCAGGTAAAGGCCAGGTTAAGGCTCAGGTTAAAGCGGCCTTGGCTCACCATCTAGGATCAAACTGTAGGTACATCATGCCGGTCATAGACGTAATATCATGTTAATTCTGAAGTGGGAAAATCTCACATAGAAAGCCGACAATTGAACTTTGGCATAGGAAAGCTCACATACGAAAGTCAACAGGTGAACTCCCATAAACAAGATCCAGCTTCACTTGTCGTATCAGCACCCTATTGTGTTGGGAGATTCGTCGTCTTCTTTGGCACGACTGATTCCTTCTTCCTGGCTGGAGAAATACACAGAAAATTCTCTTGAATGAGTGCGAGGGGGTGCCTGCTTTGTTGCATACCACAAATTGGCGGTGGTAGTGGCACCGACTTACGCAATCTAGCCCACATAGATATGGTTGGAGCTGACTTGCGGTGGTATCTGAAGTCAAGCTGCGTGCAGACTCATGCTGATTTCCTCTTTTCTGTTTTGCCACGCAAGTTAGATGTCCATGGCTTCCAAAACAAAGCAGGTGGTTTCGAAATTTCGAGATTGGTCCTTCCATTCCGACTATATGATGGGGAAGCGTGTTCCACTTCATAGTGAGAGGAGCAGCGTAAGGGTATGCTAAAAGGGTAGGACGTTCCTGAGCTGCGGGATTGGAGCCTTGTAATTCTGCATCGTTGCACCGCGTGGTTGCCTTTGGGGTCGGCTTGAAGGGGGTCTGCGGCTCAGGAACAATTCCACATTCTTGTTTAAGCCATCATTGCATGTCGAAATGACATCGTGCATTTGGTTATGAAAGGCGCTGATGTATATTGACTTTATCTTGGCACGACCCTGCAGGTCGTCGCCAAAGTCAATCAACTGGTCTGGGCGAATGCGAACGTATTGATTCTTGGAGTGATCCGCCCGCAACAGGAGGATTCCGGCAGGATAAGCAGATTGTTTTGGAGATGCACCGGCGATCCCAGCCACGAAGAGGTCGTCCACTATATGGCATAATTCCACCTGTATAAATAGCCCTTGATTGGTATTGTGGTAGGGCTGGATGATCTCATGTTGTGGGATGGCGTCCGGATTCGAAAATTGGCTTCTGTGGTCTGGTTCAAACCATTTCGCGGTTGCTGCAAAAATACCCGTGAAAGACACCATCGATACAGGGTGTTTTTCAATTTCATTCGAAGAAACAGAGTGGCCGCTCCAGATGAAGATAGATCGATCATCTGAAGTCTTAATGACCTCCTCCTGCAGTCGGACAAAGGCCTTCACGTCGCCCTCGCCGTACAGCAGTGGCATATTAACATTGAACAGGCCAAGGAGGCAGTATGCAGAGTCTTCCCCTCTGCTGCAGTTTCGTCCGGACGCCCAGGACATTCTTGTCGCTATACTAGTATATGCACAAAGTGCAGGGTCCCTCAAACAGATTACCGGGATACTAGTGATCTCTGAAATCAACATCCTGAGACATACGCGGGTATCAATGAACTTCCAATCTTGGGAAATAAAGTGAACTGTCTGTGGTGCGATCAACTCCTGGAGTGTCCACCCTCGGGTAAACCAGCGACTGTTCCTGAAGTGCGAGTCCGCGTCCTGAATTCTATCGTCTGATGGGACATCCGTAAGATAAGCATAGCAGATCTTCGCATCCTCATACCATCGGTACATTGAGTTGATAGCCTCACTCAATTCTGAACTGCTTCTTTTGTCAATACAGCACGTGTCGATCCATATGTATTGGTATCCGTTTTTGTTAGCATATGCACAGGCGGATTGGATCTTTTGGTAGCCTTTCTTCTGTTGACAGGTGGGGGAGCGCCCTTTCATTTCTTTAAATGCTATTTCTTCTGACTCCCAGGTGTGAGACAGAATGGCATATTCAGGAATGTCACTCTCGAAGAATTCTACCAGTTCAAGTGTGAGTGTATTTAGAAGTCGCATCTTGAACACTTGATGTTTACAGACATAGAATACGTATATCGTGTTCGGTCAATCCGCTATGATAAGTTGGACATCTCACAATGGGGTCAAACCAGACACTTTGGAGACCGGTATGCTTCAACTGAGTTAATGGAGGATGTCCATTCAGACAGTGGATATCCTTGGTTTCATTGCGGGAGATCCAGGCGAGTTGATGCAAACTGGACGCACGGTCCTGAAAAACACGGAAATCCACAAAGATATGGGACGATTGTACAAGCATCCAGTGTCAAAGGCATTGCCAACTTCTTGCAAGTAGAGATTTACCACCTGTCAAAGGACGTCAAAACAATTAAGTGGTTGAAGGGGTTGGCTGACGTGGCTGATCTGTTTGAGCCTTATCCTGTGACTGCACATGCTTGGCGTTTGGCAATGGCGGGACGGAAAAACATAGCACCGCGACATCCCACCTACCCACCGATTGTGTTGCCATGACAACATCTGCCACCCAGTCTGCCACAGATCATTGTCTCACCGACCCTTGCATACTGATTTCACCGTCGACGGATCCCACGGCATGTGAAATCCATGCAAGACTGCGACTATTCTCGCGAGTGATTTCTGACTGCATTCTTTCAACTCATTCCGACCTTGACAAAATCTTCTTGTAAACATCCTTCCATCACCCTGAACAACTTGGAAAAGGGCGTTGGATGTGATTGAGAAACGACAGACTTTGCTGCTGTGAGTGACGAGCCACCCATCAACGGTGCACTGTTGCGCGCACTTTGACCATCGACTGATTATTGGAATGTATTCACACAGGACGGACGGGCAGAATCACACACGAGACACGAGATCACAACACCCGCTGCCTGCGACGACAGCCTTTGCTGGCTACATCAGTATCTTCCGCTTCTCACAACGAAACCTCATCATGGCTTCGTTGTTAACCACAATGTTCGTACCATTGACTTCTTCTCCTGCTGCGCAGCCTTTACCACCCCATTGCACCCTCAAACAATCATCCTCCTGTGTCACCATCAATTCCTACACCTTTCTTGACAGCCCCAAGCCTTCATTTTTGAATTCCCATTCCCCAACCTCACGCGCTGAGCAACTTCTCCGTTCATCTGCGCTCGGTTCTCCCTCTACTTCTCCCACCAAACCAAAGTCCTCATGTATTGACCCTTCTTCACCATATAGCAATGCCCGCACACGGGGCCAGTTCAAGCCGCGTAGTGCCACCAAAGGAACCACTAGCTACCAATTGAGACAATTCGCAGAGGCAACGTTGGGCAGCGGAAGTTTGAGGAAGGCAGTCAAGTTACCAGAAGGCGAAGATCTGAACGAGTGGCTGGCCGTGAATGGTAAGAATACTGGAAAAGAGCACCAGTCCAGCAATGAAAACGGTGCCGCAGGCTGAACCAAGATTTTTGTCTAGTGGTCGACTTCTACAACCAGATCAATCTACTGTATGGCTCCATCACAGAGTTCTGCTCTCCACAGACATGTCCAGAGATGAAAGCCACTGATGAGTAAGTGGACACCCCATTTTTCCTTGTTGACTGCCACTCTAACCACTTACATAGGTTCGAATACCTCTGGCAAGACGCCGCTTCAGGCTACTCGAAGCCGACCAAAATGCCAGCACCAGAATACATTGAACACTTGATGACGTGGGTACAATCCAATGTCGACAATGAATCAACCTTCCCGTCACGAATCGGTGTTCCGTTCCCCAAGCACTTTCCATCCACTGTCCGCCAACTCTTCAAGCGCCTCTACCGCGTCTACGCCCACATCTACTGCCACCACTACCAAGTCATCGTCCACTTGGGCCTAGAACCCCACTTGAACACCAGTTTCAAGCATTACGTTCTCTTCATCGACGAGCATGGGCTGGAGAAGGGCGGCGGAAAAGATTACTGGGGTCCTTTGGGTGATCTGGTTGAGAGCATGTTGAAAAGCGATTGAATGAAGGGAGGCAATTATGCATGATGAGCACAAAGCAGGGTGTTGGATCGGAATGGGTTTTGCATTGCGGGACTTCCACGGAATGTGATAGCAATGGAATATGGATCGAGCCGTGGAAATGGCAAGGCTGGATAAGAACACGGCAAAGCCTGGCGTGGCGTTTCTCTTACTGTATGAATAATGCTGAATTGCTGGGTGTGAAAGAGAACAAGTGTGCATGAAGGAGAGCAAGATACCATAAGTCTTTGTACGATGGCTCATACCGCGATCGAAATTGCTTCAATTGACCAAGTCCAGTATTAATCAAAGTGACCCAGCTTTGCCATCCAGCAGCAATGAAAGAAGGGGTCGATTTGTAGAAGCTGAAAACGTTTCTAGACCTTTCGCCTCAGAGACTGCGTCGCAACTTGAACAAATAGAAACTTTACAAGTTCTTAGCTCAACGATTGCTTTTAAGTTATCAATCATTTACCTGCCATCTGCGAGAGTTGTAACTTCTGTCGCAATATCTTTCTTGACAGATTCCGACATCACATTCTTGTGTATCCCAGACAATCGACGCATGGCATATATTTTCATATCACCTCGTTGCCAATCAGAGGTGGGCAGACTCAAAGTACTTCGAGATTACGCATAGATGCTAGAGTTGTCCCATAGGGTTGTAAAGAAATTGAGTTTAGTCCTTCCTTGGAGTTCCGCGATCGTTGATAAGAGCTCCGAAGCTCCTAGAGGTTGATTTTAGCCATCAAAGACGATGAATGTTTGTGAAAGTCTCGCCATGAGCCAATATAGCGCTTCTACAAGCATGTCCGCTTCGGACCTTCATCTAACGACTTACGAAGAGCGCGGATGAATCCTCCAGGTAGACTTGGCAGACCCTGCAATAATTGCTTCAATAGACTTTTCAGAATATCCAGAGGGTTCTGCTCATTGCGCTTTGAGATATCGAAGTAGACGTAAGCAACTGCAACGCTCGGATTGGACTTGTATTTGGCGCAAAGACAATCCACAACCAGTGAGGCAATGAATGTCTTCCCTGATCCTGGAGGGCCTAGACAAAATAGAGTTTGGCTGTCCTCACTACTCACATGTGTGCCAATCCCAGCGCTCAGATGGAGGTACGACCAAGTGTCCAGGTTCCTCCTCTCTCCTACTTGATAGGTCTTTCTGGTGGACCGAAAAATCGAACGCTCCAAGCCGATCATAGAGCGCTTTACTTCTCAGGTCTTCATCACCACCTATATGAGACTGTATTTTCAAAGAATCTTGTTCTACGAGTAGTCCTTTCTCGCTGCTTCTCTTACCTTCAAGTTCAAGAGTCCTATCGAACCATCGTAGATGATCAAGGAATGCCGTATTATCACAACCCAACCTAACTTCATCAATTTAGTCCAGCAGGAGATTATCACCTCTGGTTCCATGGTAGCTTCGTTAAAACCTGCTGCCCGGATATATTGAGGATCAAGATGGCGAACTTCCTGAAGGGCCCGCCGCGTGAGTGGTACGGTTGCCGCGGGCAGATATGTAGAGTCAGCCTCGTTCTCATGAAACGATGCAGGTTCTCCAAGATCATCCGGAAAATCATTTGTTGCTGACAATGCAGGTAAATGTCGCCGTCGATTAGCCACATGAGACTCGAGAGACGAGTTCTTGTCAGAGTCGGATTCAACATCTTCTTCAGGAGGCAAGGCTATTAAAGCATTGCTTTCAAGATGACATGCGATGTGTCTCTGGAGTTTGTGTTTATGCGAAAAGGTTTGCAAGCACATAGGGCACGGGCGACTACTGGTTTTCCGGGTTATTTCTCTTGCACTGACAAGTTCTGGTGCTAAGAGTTTTGGGGCGTTGCCGGGGTGCTTGGAACAGACATGTTCTTCGTAAAGGACTTGTTCTGGAAAAGTACATTCATGACACAGGTTGCAATTCCAGACTCTCCGGTGCATCCTCTGTTTATGCATATTCCAAGTCTGATAATCGTAGAACATCTCATTTACGTCGTCACATTCCGGATATGTGCAATGGTATGGTTGCAAATCGTAGCGAAGATGGTCCCTACAAACATTAGATTCTAGAACAAATAAATTCAAGGCATTGATATTTGTCACCTCCAGACGGACTCCTGCGTTGCTCGACAAGGGCAGAGGAAGAAGCAGTAAGGGCACTCGAAGTTGACCATCCTTTGTTTGGCGTTCATTGGGGGAATCGTCCTCGTCAGACAGCAGTTCCACGGAATTATCGTTGGGGTCGTGCTCTTCTGAGGACTCCTTTTGCTATTGTCTGAACAATTCGACAAGGCCAATATACTCCCGTTGTTTGAGAGTGATGAAGTAGTCCTTGAAATCGGGAGATATATGCCTGTACATATCGATTTTCTGGATTGCGGGCACTTTACGGCTTGCTGGGTAACGAATTTGAAGAGTTAGGCCAGAAAGCTGGTCAATTATTGAATTAATGTCTCCGAGTAATAGCGAGCACTCAGTCTCAGGATCGCCTGCTTCAGAGGCGATACCGCAAACGACTATATCGACATCCGACCGAAGACTACTAGTATCATCAAGCAGAGTGTCAGTAGCATGCTTCTCAGAAGTCTGATCGTCGTCTTCATTGCTATCAATCAGTTCAAACGGTAGCCGCTTTCCAGATTCAATGTCGTCGACTAATTCGCGATTTGTCAATTTTCGTGGATGATCAGAGGCCTTGGGGATTTGTACTCACTCCTCTGGACGGTGTTCCCTAGTGCTTCCAGAAGACTGCTGGCGAAAGAATGAATTTGATCATTGCCTCTCAGACTTCAATCTAGAGATGCATGGGTAGGATTGAAGAGCCCAACGTTGGACGACCAGATAATGAACGTATCCTTCGCGGCTTCGATCTCTGCAGCCGCTCCTCGGAAAGAGACTTGATATTATGCTGGCGAAGAGTGTGCTGAAGTGTATGGTAGCGCCGCCATACGATTTGCCCTTGCTCCGATAGCGTTCTGTTCTGAGCTTCATTCATGTTGCATGGCAGCAAAACATGCTGATCCAGACAAGGCTGAAGCTGACTCGAAGACAAGAAGAGGAAGAAGCGCGAGTACCAGGTATATATGGAGGAGAGAGTTCAAGCCACACAGGAAGGAGCCCCACACCGACGTGGCACCTTCCTGAGTCGATCCGCTCCGTCCTGCCGTCCTGCCGTTTAGCTTTACATCTTGATATCTTTACTTCTCTCAGTCTCACCAGAGACATGAACCTTCTCAACCACTTTCAAGTTTACCCAAAATGGTAGCAGGCGTAGAGACAGCGGGCCTTGTTCTCGCTGTATCCCACTGCTGATTACCGCACTTGACAAATGGTATGCAGGGGTTGCGAAGACCAAGCAAATCACTGGACTCCGCAAAAAAGATCGTGAAAGGCTGGCTCTCAAAATCAAGGGCTTAGTGACCAAGTTGACTTGGCACGACGTGCTGCTGAACATCAATCTGAAGACTTATATTTCTTGCAGACGACGAGCTGGTCTTGGATGATCTACCAAGAGATTTCAGGCATCATCTCTGGACGAGGTCATCCAGCACGGCCTCGAGAACTACCTACGCTGGATTGGTGGAAATGAGGCAATAGCCGCATTCAAAGGCGTCATGGAGAGATCTGAGTCACTAATTAAGGACATGGCAGAGACTTTCACACATGATGGACGAGATCCTCAGGTAATGGAAGCCCAACTGTCAAGCCCTGGAATCTGACCCCGTTCAGACCAATTACAGAGACCTGAAAACACTGCATGAGTTTCTCGCCCAGTTCTCTCGTCGAAGCACATTTGGTGGACACTTCGGCTTCACACTCCATAAGAAGGAAATAGACCGGCTGGCCAAGGAGTTGGAGAATGTCTCCCGCCCAATTGGATCCTTTGTGGCTGACGCGGGACATTTGGATAAGCTGATGGCACATTCGACATCCGAGAAGAGCTCCAAGCAGCTCAAGAAAATAACCAGGCAACTCTATAGCCGAAGAAGACAAGCATTTACTCTACACACGGCATTTCAGACGGGCTGGATGCACAATTGTCAACGCACCGAACACAATACCCATCTCCTCCTTCATCTGGATTCACAGTCAAACACCACAGCTTTCCCTGCCGAGTCAGAATTTCATGTCTTCTTTCAATGGTTCCACGAGGCCGAGCTGGCACCTCAATAGAAAGACTCTGCCGTGATCATGAACACTAACTCCCTTATTCTACCAGCTTCCACGGTAGGAACATCAAAGTATACTGCTATAAATTCCACATCAGAAATCCACGAAATCTAATACTGCTACCTTGACCAGAACACCAACCGTGAAACTTCCAGCAAATAGTACAACCTGCGACAAAGTTACCGACATCTGCCATCAAATCTGTCTCGCCCACGGCACCAGCGAGGACATTCGACTCCACGTGTCCGACGACAACCGCTTGTACTGCGTCCAAGGCACGAATTCTCAAACACAAGCACAGCGGAATAAAATCCGAGTCATACATCCCACTCCCTGTCTACTAAGCCTGGACAACTACCTCACGTCAACGCGATGAAAGCTCCTCGACCGAAAACGCATGGAGCTGGCCATCAAACTCGCCTGCTCGATCTTGCAGTACAACGAGACGCCATGGTTCGCGCGGGGCTGGCGGAAGGAGCACATCTACTTCTTCGCCTTTCCCTTCTACCACTACCCCTGCACCCGGCACCACCATCCCACCACCACCCAGCACCACAGAACCCCACAAAACACTCCTCGACCTAGCCGCACTGCTGATGGAACTGTACAACTGCACGATGTTTGAGGATTGGGCACGCCAGAACTACTCACCAGTGAGTCCGCCACAGCTCGAGGACGGGGACTGGAAGCGCATGTACGCGACCAAGTGGTACCGTGCGGCAATGCCACGTGACGCCGACTTTCGCGGCGTCGTCGGTGTCTGTCTCGCGCCGCACCCGCTGGAGCAGTTCGAGTCCAGCTGGGAGGATGAGAACTTCCGTTGTGCCTTTTACGAACATGTCGTAGCGCCTCTTTTGATCTTAGCGTTTTGTGCGGAGTTTTTTTTCCTTTTCAGAGTCATGGTCTAGGCACTGCTGTTGTGTGAGCGGGTTTTATACCCCCTTTTGCCGCATCAGATTGAAATGATTTCGTCCTTTGAACCATATCTTGCCATGCTCTCCAGTTGAAATCGTTGGTCAATTGTGTCTCGGTCTAAATTGAACTAGAGGAACTGAACGGCAAGGACGAGCAGAAAAGCTACTTTCATGACGTGAACATCAGACGCCCGGCGGGTGGAAAACAAGAAGTTCAAGTATTCATGGCATCTTTCTCATTCGCGGAAGCCAAGATACATAAGTTCATCTCGGTTCCAAAAGCTACCAGCAGCGGCGGTTGCTGATTGGCAATCCCTGACCAAGAAAAGTTGTAGTCGCTTTGGGCCAGCTCAACTCGTTTTAGTTTTTGTAGAACGGATGATCTCCGCTGGTAAAGGCTACACACGAATCTGGATGGTCCGTAAACCCGTTCGTCGCTCCAGTATTCATTCAAACATGACCTCTTGGGAAACTTTTTCATCAAATCCTTCATATCTCTCAAAGTGACAGTGAAAGCTGAAGAAATTTGATATCTCTCAGGCAGAAGGTGAAAACGAGGCTTGATAGAAGAAGAGTCAATGGGGGCGGGTGCAGACTCAGTAGCCACCCCGTCCTCTGTAGCCTCCGCCGAAGCCACCTCCACGCCATCCGCCACGCATCATCTCGTCACTGTACATACGGCCAGGACCGCCACCTCGAAAGCCTCCCTGTCCACCATTGTAGAAGCCTCTCTGGGGAAGTGAGCCAGGGGCTGCTCCTGCACCAACACCATTACCATAATGCGAGGTGCGTGTGTTGTATGACGACGGGCGATCATTCTGACGGTACGAGCCTCGGTCTTGACGGCGTTCGTAGCGGTCATGATCACGCTCCCTATTTCTATCTCTATCGCGATCACGCTCTCTTTCTCGCTCATAGTCTCGGTCTCGATCTCTGTCACGATCCCGGCGGGGTTCATTTCTTCTTTCGTCCTGCTGCTCGGCTTGTGAATCGTCAAATCCGTACCGGCTATCTTGCACGTCGGGTTCCCCATGTCGGGAGTCATGGTCATTTCGATCATCGTAGGCTGCTGCAGAAGGCTCATTGGCCAACTCGACACCGTCCATGGCATTATCATGGACTGGATCGGGAGCTGGATCTAGTGGAGCCGGTCCGGTGGAGTCGATTAGATCTGTCTGCTTGACTTGTGGGGCATGGATGGACGAAGTTGAAGATTTCAGAGATAATCGTAGAATTCGGCCGTCAGCCTTCTGTTGGTCATACATGGAAATCACTCTGTCGGCGATATATTTCTCTGTGAAGGTCATTTCTGCAATGACGGTAGGAGTTGTAGAGACCAGGCGACATGACAGCAAGGCACTAGAACCTGTGCTATCCAGGATCTCGTCTGCCAGCGCGGATTCTATGTCGGCAGCCGTCGTACCCGGGGCAAAATTGCGGGCTTCAACCACAAACGGCCCAGCTTTCCCTTTGATGCTGAAACCTTGGCCTATCGTTCGTGGCTGCGTCGGGATGACATTGGCCTGACCAGAATTTAGGGCGGAGGCGATGCGATTTGAACGGGCAGTCTGTGGTTTGGTAGAAGACGGTCGCGAAGGAGGGTTGAAGGAGTTGCTTCTTGGGGAGCCAGTGCTGTTAACGGAGGAGGATCGCTGCAAAAGCACGGTCAGCACTTGGACGCGCAATCATAACTTGATCGCCACTGCGCATGGCTTACCTTTGTGATTCTGCTTGCTAGATCAGATGTGCGAGGGTTTGATCTAGCTGACTTTTTGTCTTTCTTCTTGCCAAAGATCTCATTGGCGAGGGCCTCATTCTTCTTCCTGCGATCTAGTGGTTGTTGTCAGTGGCCCAGCTGTCACGTAGCACTAAACAAAACTCACCCGCTGCAATGATGGAGTCAAAGCTGACGGCGGTGTTTGCCTTGGCCATTTTGGGGGAGTAATCTTAGGCCAGATATCATGTATGAGGTGGAAGTGAGGCAAGGAAGAAATGTAGGTTGAGTTGACCTTTTGAGCGGCGGTTGTGGTGGTGGTAACGGCGACGAGGTCCGCGAAGTCGGGAAATGGGAAAGGGTGGGCTGCTCCTGGTTACTCCTTCCGCGTCCAAAGTTCAAAAGTCCACTAAATAAAAAAGGCTTGGCGGTCGCGATTTCCGCAGTTCATTCTTCCATTGTCCACCAAGGCATTATACCTACAGCTTCATCAGCCAACACCCTTCTCTTCGTTGTAGGCGCTCGCCTTTGTCTCAATCCCCTCTGTCCAGAGAGCTGTCTCCATTATGTCAACCGCCCTTCGACCCGTCCTCCGTCCTCAACATCTCCCCAGTCTCCCATCCTCCGCATCAAACTCAACAACCTATATATGCCAGTCATGTCGACATGCACGTCTCCTGCGCCGTCCCAAGCGGCCATATACATTCACTCAATTGGTCACCCTGTCTGATGGTAGCGCCTTCACAATGCGTACCACCTCTCCAGTCCCCGTCTACCGGTCGACAAGAGATACCCGGAATGCTCCTCTGTGGAACCCGACCTCAAAGGACCTGTTGTCAGTGGAGGATGACGAGGCTGGACGTTTAGCCGGTTTCAGAGCTAGATTCGGACGCAGCTTTGATGCAGCTTCGACGACTGCCACAGCCACCACGACAAAGACTGATGACGCTGTCGAAGATCCGGTTGAGACGGACCCTGTCAAAGCAGCAGTCGACAGCCAAGTTGATACGAAAGGTCATTCAACCGAAGCACTGCCCGGCCACGCAAGGCGGAAGCAGAGAAACATTCAGTTTGAAGATGAAAAGAATGAGTTTGAGGAGGATGATATGAACCTTCTGGACTTGATCAACTCCTTTGGTCGCCAACAGGCGCAGCAACCGAGCAATAAGGGGAAGGATGAAAATAAATAGAGGATTAAGGAAACTTGTTCATTGTAACATATCATTGTGTACATCATAGATACTACGAGCCCGGCGTCCTCAACTCAGAAGGATTGCAACAATCTATTGGGGAGCTAAAGAGCCTTCGTTTTCAACTAGAGTCATCTCCACATGGTAAATTTGCTGTCTGGTCGACTCACAACTCGGTCCTCGGGGCCGTCTCTGAGTAGCAGTCTACACGAGTAGGTTAAACTCAACCCAATCCAGTTCTCGTTGTATAGGCGTAGCAGGAGCATGCCCAGCTCCGCTGTGCCCATTCATCAAGCAGTCGCGTTTTGCCTTCAGATGCTGAGGCCTCCTCTCCGTGTAGCCCAGTACGGAAGTTCTTGCTTCTGGTCATGACACATTGGGCAGGACCAGTATCAGCTGACTGATGTGCAGGCGTAAATCCGTTTGTAGGTTTAGAGCTGGCGATCTGAGGCATAGGAGTGAGAGACATTTCATTTAGACCCTATCTCAATCTCTGCGTCAAGTCTGAAATCCGTTTTAAACAGGTTGAGACCTTTGGCCAAGTCTTCGAGACAATATGATAAGACGTGATAGAGTCGGATGTTTAATAGCAGCGGCTTGAATTGTTACCACCATTCAACGCCTCCCAGCCCGGCTTCAGCCATGGATGCCTATCAAAACTGTTAGAGAGGAGATTCCAATTCATGCTTCATACGCTGCTTACCTCGATGGAGAAAGGCACTGCACGCTCCTGCACCGCATCACCTCCGGCACTCTTGGTTGGGGCTTTGGGTGCTTGATCCTGCCACTTCTCTGATTCGACTCGGACATTCACGACCGTGCCGATATCGAACCAGAGCTCGGATTCTTCCGTTCTCCATAACCATGTTTTTTCGGCTTCGTTGCTGTGAGGTGATTAGCTTACAATCTCACGAAATCTATGGATTCTGACGGCATGGTCTTACTATTCGCATCCCTCGAAGAGCATCGTCTGGGGAACAAATATGTCTTCAAAGAATTGCGTGGTGACTAGCATATATCAGTAGGAGATGCTTGTTAAAGTTGTGGTAAGTCTGACTCTGGATGCCCGCCGGAGTACAATTTTGCACTGTGCCTGTGATGATTTCACCTTTGAAAGGTCGGAACACGATCATGCGGAATTCAACTGGGAGCTACAATCAGTTCTAGAGTTCCTGGTTTCAAGCTCGTGGAAATGAGCTTGACGGACCGTTGACGTTGGCATTTCCAGTCCCGTTACCTATCAACCCGTCTGAAGCCTTTAAGAGATCGTACATGCAAATACACAGTCCGACTTTCTGCAAGACCTGTTTTGTAGAATATAAAGGTTAGAAAAGGCGGACAGATTGGTTATCCAGAAAGTACAACACACTTTGTTGGAGTATTTCTCGTTGATCCTGTCTTCGAGATCATCGCGGGTGATCTGGTTGTTGCGGAACCCGTGCGGCGGGATCTGGACGAGATCGGAGATTGTTGTCTGAATCGTCAGCATCTGGACAGTTGAAGCCAGGCCTCCGAGTTGACATGACCTACAAGAATGAACATGTTTGTCAAGGCACTTGTGGCGTTTCGAGATCTTTGAAAATTGGAAAGATATTGTCAAGCATATTCCGAGCATACAATCAAGCCTTTCAGATTCCTAGTAGGAATGGGACATTTCCAATTTCACATCGCTGGTGAGAAGGAAGGGCAGTGGATTTCATGTCGTGGGATGCGTGGACACTTGATGCCAAGGCTTTGGAATCCAATACGACCAAAACTTTTGCCAAACCGACCTGGCGGAGACGATATCCGATAACCTGGTGATCATGAAGCAGTAGTGACAGCATAAGCCCGTAGGAGGCAGCCTTTGGAAATAGTATCCCGTTCGTGCACTGTGTCACGCGCTGGCGAAGACTAGATATCCTGTCTGATTCATCCTATTCGTCATCACCTATAATTATACATACATATCAACCATGTGGCCAGAAATTCGTCCACTCAACCGTGATGTACGCCGCAGCTGGCTGGGACCGCAGACTCGAAAACATCTCTGCTATCAGGTACAATCTCGCCAACACATACAAGATCAAGCCAATCGCATGGATCACTCGATGAAATGCAAACCAATCACGGACACTCACTCGGTCACTGGTCGAGTGAAAATAGCTCTCAGATTGGACGTGCCCATACCAAATGTTGGGGAGCACTCGCTTCAGTACGAAAGACACCACGGTGCTGGTCAGCCATGCTGCCGGTATCGAAACAGAGATTATTATGCTGCATATTCGCCACAGCAGCCTCTCGACTGGGGTGGGAAAGTGAAAATTCCAGGCCAGGCAATGGAGACCACCAAAAACGAGGCAGAAGAATACCGTAAGCAATCCCCATATGTTGATATGATCGAGCACAGATAGCACGGCGGATGCGGACACGCTTGCCAGAGGGTATTTCTGATAGCTGTAGGTTACAACTGAGACAGGGTTTGCCTGGTCATGCTGCACCCTATTGTCGTCGAACATGCCACGAAGTTCCACTGGTTCGGGTTGAATGCGGAGAGGGATAGGCTCGTTTACATCCATTGGCTTACTCCACCAGAAGACGGAGATAATTATTGCACAAGGGATGTAAGCGAGGGTGGCGATTTCTATCGTAGTGATGGGTAAGTGTTGGATGGCCCTTGCGATACACTGGGCCAGCAGCCACAGCGCTTGTATAAGTGCGACAGCCTTCACCAGAGAGTCGGCCTTGCCTTTGTCTTCAATGACAGCCTTCACTGGGATATCGCTTGGATCGAGGAGGCCGTCTGTGAGTAAAGCCAGAAGGGTATCGGGACTCAGCCAACCGTTCTCCCAATTTGACTTGTTGTCATTAGACGCCATAGTAAACCCACCCATGCCGGCAAAGAATGAGTGCATTACTGTCCACACTCTACCACCGACACGCGGTTTGGAACAAAAGCGCGAGGTAAGGTGTCTCGCGTGCGTGTACTCAGACCAAGAGATGAAGACGATGACCTCAGGGGCAAAAGCTGCTATGAGTAAGCAAATCGTCTTGTCTAGTAGTCTCTGGGGTGGCGATGCGCGTGGGGTGGCGATGTTCGGATGCACTATGGTCCAGCAGCAGACAAAGATGGTAAAGAGACAAGAGACGATGATATCGAAGGTTCCTCGAGTATTTGGTTGGGATACCCAGCCGACTTCAGAGGGTTCTTCACCCATGGTCCATTACATTCCAAGGTCAGCATGACAGGAGGTGCTCCGCTGATCATACATATAGATTTCTCTGAAAAAACCTTCGATGTTGAATTCGGTCAGCAATGAGATGAACAGGTGTTCCTGCAAAGTTGTGTGGTGCCCTTTTGGCAATCCTAAGATTAAGCCTGGCGCTGTGGCTGAGTTAACTGGGGCGGCTATGGACCAACCAGCGCGACCAGGTTCATCCCATGGGGAGGAGGAATCTGCGACGAATGTAGTTCTCCCTGAGTCAGTAGTTCATATATTGTATGCGTCGTATCAGCAGTCAGGATCCCTTCCCTCATTCCACCCTGCAGCGTACTCTCCGTCTCAGAAGAGATTCCAAGACAAGGGCAGTGGCCAAAGGGATGAGACGAGGCTGAAAGGGCGATGCTCCTCAGCCTTGTTCCGGATAGGCTAGTTAAAGCGTCAAGAGTTCGGGGGCAATTTAGGCAAGCTTGCCGCCAGTGGCCTTCCTTCCCTTAATTCGCCTCGGACCATCCGCAAGGTACCCGCAGAGAGATTTGATTCTTCAAGCACATATGCGCCTTTCAACATCTATTCTTACCGAGACGGTGTATCCATCAGAACTCTGTCAACATGACTCGATAGTATAGAGCCAGAAATGGTTCCAACCCCTCAGAAAATCCTCCAACAATGTCGAACCAGCCGTTCGCCTATCCTCCACCTCCACCTCCACCACCGAGACAAACTACGGATGTCAGTTCTCAACAGAGCAATGGATATCATTATGGACGTGGTGCCTACAGAGGCGGTGGAAATTCCTATCGGGCTAAGAGCCGAGGTGGCGTTGGAGGAGGGTTCTCCGATCGCCCTCAAAACACCCACTGGCAAGGACAGAATACTTCCACAAGACCTTTCACACATCATTCGCCTCGAGGAAACTCCAACCTGAACCCTGCTCAAAAGCGAAACCATACTGCTGCATTTACCCAGCCAAATACCCATCGCCCCCGGCCTACTGCACCACCTGCTGTCCCAAGCTTCAACGCCTCAATTGCACATCTTCTTCCAGTCAAGCCATCCGCGAATTCGGCGCCTACCCCAAGTCCATCCCAGGCATCAAACCCCCAAAAGCCTCTAGCAAAACCTAAGAAGAACCTTCTAGGCCTCACCCCATCCCACCCAGATGACTCCGCGTCATCCTCCGAGGATGAAGACGAAGAGGCTCGCTTGTCCAGTAACCTAGACGCATCCACTGCCAATGCAGCAGCGCCAGGACTATCTTTTGCATATAAAGGGCAACTCTCATCTTTACGGACCGCGGCAGAGATTCAAGCATGGATAGCCGAGCGGAAGAAACGATTTCCAACGGTTGCCAAGGCAGATGCGGCAAAGAAGGAGAGGGACGAAAAGAAACGGAAGTGGGAGGAGGAAAAGGCTGAGAAGAGGAGGAAGATGGAAGAAGAGCGAGCCGAGAGGAGGAGGAAGATGGAAGAGGAGCGAGCCGAGAGGCAGCGGAAATCGGAAGAAGATAGAAAAACCAGAGATCTTGCAAGACAGATGTCTGCCGTTGAGAAGGAAATCCAGACGCAGAACCGGATCAAGGAGAAAGGTGCCATCGCTAGCCCCGCCAGTAAGGCGGAAGCCTTAGCTGAGAAATTCCGCAAAAGGGCTCTCAAAGCTGAGAAGGCACTGAAGAAGGCGGAAGAGGCATTGCGGGTTGCCAAGGAGAAGCAAGCTAAAGCGTTGGATGGACAGGACCGCATGGTACAAGAAGCAGAGCCCCAAGTCGAACCTGGCACTGAACCAGCAAGTCACGCCATGGTGGACCCAGACGCAACCTCCTCTTCAGGATCCTCTGCCACAAGCAGCGACGACTCCGGGTCTGATTTATCATCGGAGGGGGAGAGCGATAGTGATGCATCCTCTGCCACTCCCGAGACCATCAGCACCAAGGACTCAAAGCTTCTCAACGTTTCAGCACTACCATCTGCTCAAACTATCAAGGCACCCAAAAGGTCCCGCCCCTGCGGCAACTTCATGAAGTATAAACGCTGCCGATACGGCTCGAACTGCCGGTATTCACACGATCTGGGCGGCTCTTCAGGACAGGATCCGGACAGCACTCAAGGGCAAAAGAGGGGTGCTGCTGCTGGAAAGGACCAGAAGGGGAGAAGCTTGGGTGCGAAGGACACCAAACCAGCACGAAGGAAAGGCCTGTATCAGGTCATGGTGGAGAAGGAGGAGGAGGAGGCACGCCGGAAAGTGGCAGCGATGATTCTCCGGTTGGGCGAGCAGGGGCTTTTCGAAGAGCCCGAGGGGCCATCGTCCAGTACTATTTGAATTGGGTTCTGTTAGGTAGGGAATGTGTGTTGAGATCGTCTTTCCGACACTAACTGGAAGGCCAGCTTAGCAATTAAGATGAGTTCACTTGCCTCATTTCTCTCTATGAATTCTCTGACATAGGTAGCGATGGCTAAACAAACCCTCTGCCTATATGCAAAGTACGTTATCCATCCTGATATAAAATTACTGTACAACATCATCCACCACTCTATCCTCACCGTCAGGCCCTATCTCTCATATTTAATTTCATCCCACACGAATCCCACTCCGTGCACCTAAAACTCATGCGCACGAAGCACACCCACAATCCAGTCGACCGCGTCCCGCGCCTCCCACAACCCCAGGACGCCCTTCCCGGCCGCAAGCGGGAAACAGTGCATCTGGCGCTCCCACACCAACCACCTCCCCGCGACGCCACACCGCTCACACTTCCGCATGAACAGCAGCGCGTCGGGCGCCAGCACGTCATGCGTGCCGACGATACCGTGCACGCGCACGCGGTTGCTCGCCAGCGCCTGGAACGCGGCGTCGCTGTTGAGCAGCGGCGAGACCTGTGCGTTGGTGACGAGCGCCGGGTGCGGGTGCGGCCCATCGGCGACCTCGGAGAGGTGTCTGGAGGTCGTGGGCGGAGAGGCCCACGCGCGCGCCACCCGTGAGGTGAGCGGGATGGTGAGCACCGGGTCAAATTTGTCGGCGCTGGCCATGGATGGGTTTACGTTGCGGAGGTCTACGACGGGGGAGATGGCGAGGATAGATGTCAGTGGGAAGCTTGGGTTAGTGGAGATGGAGGTGGGTGAGGAGGACGAGCGTTGGGGGGCTTGGTGGTGGTTCTCGACAGCCCAGAAGCCGAGCGAGAGCGCGATGTTGCCGCCGCTGCTGTCGCCCATCAGGGTGACCTTGTCGTGGGTCGTGTCTGCTGAGTGGAGGACCGCTGAGAGCCATTTCTGCATGATTGGGTAGGACTTCTCGGCCGGGGAGTTCGGTGCGAGCGGGTAGGAGACGAGGGTCATTTCTGGGATCAGGGTGTTGTCGCCTTGGTGTTTGGGTTGAGGTTGGTGAGCGTCCGACAGTGAAGAAGATGGAGAGGTGGTGGTGGAGGAGGAGGAGGCGGCGGCGGTGCGCTGCTGTGAGAGGTTCTTGGACAGCATGCTGAGGAATAGCCAGTGTTGGCTCGACGGTGGTGATTGGAAGCCTCCGCCGTTGAAGTAGTAGATCCGGTGTTTAGAGCAGCCCCGGTTACTAGATGTAGGATTGCCATTCTCGTTCGGGCAAGGTGATAGAGAAGAAGAAGAAGGAGAAGGATCGGTCTGCGAGGTACGATTTGACACTGTGGGAGATGAGGCAGACGCGAGCGTAGAAGCACTCGCGCTCAGGCACGTGGATTTCGGACGGAAGGTATACTGCCACACGCCCTCGAAGCAGGACTCGACGATGGCAACACCATTCCGATTCTTTGAGGCTGACAGGCGCGGGGATCCTGGCGGCAGTGGCTTACCCGGACGCACGAGGTTCGGCCGCAGTGGTCGGATGAGCGTGCGCACCACTCGGTATAGCAAGCTGATGTCTGAGCGGGTATTGATCTCTATCGACGAGGAAGAGGAGGCAGTTGTCCCATCAGCGGTGAGCTTGGGCGCTTGCTGCTCGCTCTGGCTCTGGCTCTGGCGTTCTGGAAATGCTGCTTGCGCCGCCGACGATAGTTGATTGGGTTGAGTGTGGTTCTGACGGACAGATTTCGTGGCATCTTCACCCGTCGTGGTGGTGGTGGTGGTGGTGGTGGTGGTGGAGTCTGATGAAGACATGTCCTTCTGCTCCATCTGGAATCGAACGAGAACTCGGGAGTTCCGCTACCAGCCTTGAAATCGTGTTCAACAATACGCCTCAGTACATATCAAGAACTCTTATCTTGCTTGTTCTATCTTCTAGCGTTGTGGAGATGAATAGGGGAAATACACCGAAGCGACAAAATCAAACGTTCATATATCCCGTTCGTACACGGCAGAGAGTTCGCGATATAGAGAGCAAATGCACCAATCCCCGAGGCACGCGTCGCGATAGAGTTAGAGTTTGTGGGGTTATCGTAGGAATGATACATATAAGTAGATAACTGCACGAATCGAATATGCTCGCACTCTCTGGCTTTGAGCAGCCTCGATCTCGATCTCGTTCAGTGGGGGGGAAGAAATAGCAAAAGATATCTGGATTCTTCAAGTAGACAGCAATATTCCCACAAGCTTGCTCACTACCGGACACATAGACAGATTTTTTCGTAGATCCTGGATTATTGTAGGCATTCAAGCTGCAGTTCAAGCTCCAAGTGTTGTTCTTTTGTCGAAGACCTCAGGTGGCCCAGGCACCCAGGCGGCCCAGAAGTCGTGACGTCGGTTGGCGTATTGTTGTACAGATACTTTATTTCTCTGCATCGCCCCTGAGAGAACGAATTCAGTTGGATATAAACAAATCATGACATGGGTTGTGAGATTGATTCTTGGATCGAAAAGGTATCGATTGCAAGCCATCATTTGCTGCAGGAGGTGCCGAACAGATGTTCATCTGAAAACCGTTGGCTTACTTGTACGTGATCTTGACCAGCTAACTCCAATACGAAAGAACTTATGACATTCGAGAAAGTACTGGTGACAAGACGTGTTTATATATGTTGGCTAAACACTGCTGCGTGACATGATGGCATATATCTAAACAGCTCGTGAGTTTGCAGAGGAATAACTAATAAGCGAGCAAAGGACGAAGGAGCTCTTCAACATCTCGGGTGACAACAGTCTTCTAGGCTTCTAGCTAACAAAGCTCTATCATTAGTCCTATGTATGCATCAGAAACACTTCGACCGAAGGCTGCGCCATTACGATGCGCCACCATCTCCCCTTCACCGTCACTATCATATTGTGTGATATGTCAAGGCCATCGTCAAACTGCATTCTCCAACCTTCCGTTCGACACAAGAGCAGGGATAAATGAATGTGGAGACCTACGCCGGAATTTGGAAACAAACAGTCGCGCAGGCCCAGGTCGTCGATTTCCAGGAGCTCGTTCAAGAAGAACACCAACGATGCATTGTCTGGCGGCTCAATCTTTGTGGATTTACTGTGAGGGTGTTGATGCATTCCTGTACGATGAATCCACACCAGCAACTCTTTGTGGTTGAGGAGATGGAGTGTGCTGATGCGTGTTGGCCGACATACCAGATGCTACACTTCGAGCAAGACTGCTACTTAGGAAACTGTCCACTGGTGAAGTTGTTACCCAGTCTGGTCGAGCAAGGCGTCTCTGGCTCGCCAGGTCTGGGCTGTGGCCGCGTTTATCACGCATAATCAATGGGCGGAGATGTGGATCCTCGGTATGGTTTGTGTTCGTCTCCGTCGGGCGAGAAGTGCTTGGTTGTCTAAATGCGGGTGGACTTTTGACCATAGAGCCTGGAGTAACTGAAAATAGCGGGCGGGAGTTATCATATTGCGGTCGAAGGCGAGGTCGGAGAGTTCGCTCCACTGGCTTCCTAGGTGTGCCGCTGTCGGGAGTTTGTCCTGGTCTGGCTTGGGTTGATATAATTGGACTTGGTGAAGCAGCTTTCGCGGTTGAACGGTTAGTTGCTCGATTCTCGGTGCTGGCGTCAGTCCTCACAAGCTGCTGTCGAGGGTTGAGACTTACGGACTGTCGCGGTCGTTGGGGTCTGACCGACGGCGATGAGTCTACCCGCGTAATGTCAGGAACCCTGTGAGCTTGCTGATTGATTCTTGTGTCTGGAGTCGCAGGAGGAACCACAGGGGCTGGCTGGTCCTGCTGAGTCCTGAGTGGGTTGTCTGGAGGATTGGATCCACCCATCGTCCTGAGCCTCCTCGGAATTGGAATTATTTGGGAATCCAGGACGCGCCGCGCCATTCGACGAGGCACGTTGTCTCCCTCCGTAGCGGGTTGCCGACGATGACCAATTGGCCCTGACCTGCAAGGACACCCGGTTGTAAACGCATCACGCCTGGAACCACAGTCGTAACAGAAGTCAATACCACACTCACACGACATGTGGGAGCAGCCGTCGATGCGTTCGACCAAGTTTCGACATCCAGGACACTGTTTCCATCTCTTGCTCTGAGCTAGTCTCTGATCTTCTTGTGTCATCAGATCTTGAACTTCCTTGCAATCGGTCTGGTTGACTCCAATGTGTTCCACTGAATTCTGTTTACATTCAGTACAGGTCCTAGTGTCACATTCGGTGCATTGGATGAATTTTCCCTGCGTGCTGCTGACCCGGGTTTGCTCGAAATAGTGGCTGCAAGTTTTGTTTGCACAGTAAATCGGATTTCGGTTACCGAACTCTTCAGCTACTGTGACATATCGTATGAGGATGTCTTCGTCCAAGTGATTTTGTATTGCTTCGACTTCGATGGCTCCACAGCATCTTGGAGGCCATGATCCTCTATTCACAGTCCCAGTACGAAACAGTCGGTTGAGGCATTGGCGACAGTATGCATGGCCACAGGTTATGAAGATTGGCTTTCTCACGTGTTCACGGCATGCCTGACAATCAACCTGCCGTTCATTTGGTTCATTCCAGTCTGGAGGCAGGGGAGGAGACCCTCTGGCGGCTCGAGACGCTGGTCCGTCAAACGGTGCTCTCTGAGGCACTTGGAAAGGCGTAGATTCATAAGGTCTCAAGGGGGGTGTGGAGGTGTAAGGAGAAATGTCTGGTGTATTCTCTCCATCCATCCCGATTGAACGCATGGCGTGATCAGGCTCAAACGGAGATTGAGCAAGGGGTATGCCAACTGGAACAGCTGGTTTCTCTTGACCCAGAACTACAATGGCAGCCTCTACTCCCTCTGGTGTAGGGTCAACTGGTGGGTTCTCATTTTTATGTGTAGCGTCGATGTCCATTCTGTCCACTTCAGTCTGGCTCACTGGCAGTTGAGGTGCGAGTAGATTATGCGGGGCTTCTATGTGCACGGTTGCAACAACTTCCACATGGGACAAGGTCACTGTGTCGGAGACTCCAGTCAAGAGATCGATGTACTGCTGAATTTGAGTCTTGTCAAAGGAAGGGGTCGGGGGGCCGACTCTCCGTAGAGTGACGAGAGGTACCTCAGGAGGAGAGCTGACCGGTGTCTCAGAGACAATCGGTTCCGCCAGAGAGGCTGCGGACGTCGTACTAGTGAATTCAGACATGATAGCTTGGGATTATCCGGAACTAGACGACTAAATGCGAATGCGGAATTGGAAGGTGGATGAGATGCTGCCAAAACAACTCCTGAGAAAGGTGGGGTTATCTGTAATCCAGAAGTCTACCGACCACTTGATAGGTGAATGCCAGCTCATAAGAGGGGTCCTCGGGCGCAGGCAGTCCGGTTTGCAACGCCCGACAAAGGTACAGCCTCGCCAGTTGGATCCCCCGGTCAGTGTGCACTTTAGCTTTCGTCCCTTTGGAACGCGGCACGCAGGCGGATGGTTTGGGCACAAAGAATGAGGGGAGAAGGGAAGGGGACTCAACTGAAGTAGACATGTGAAAGACGAGGCAGTGCTGAAGTATAAATGAAGTCAGAGGTGTTGTCGTTGGTGGGCGGGCTCCGTGATTCTGTGAGAGCCTTGGCTGCCTGGCGTCAGGCTGAAATCTCAACTGCGGAACCCGACCTCGTACTTTGGGTCCGATGAAAAGGCAGCCGCTTGTACCACTGGCTGGAGTCTTTGCCGAGCTGCAGAGTCAGTGACCAGTATGACCAGTCATATTGCAGTTGGAAGTCCAGTTGGCCTTGATCCCTACGATGCTAGGTTGTCCTTCCGATATTCACGTTCGAGACCAGCCTCTGCCTGGCCAGAAGGATGAACAAGAGGAGGTCAAGGAGGGGTGGGGGGTTTGTCGGTAGGAATCCCATCTGCAACTTGACCCACATTATATAGTTGAAGCACAACTTGTGAGCATGAAACAGGCTGATCTGCCTTGCCATCTTGGTGGGCCAGATATCGCTGTCGTCGCTGATTGTGTCCTCGTGGTGTTTGGATGAGGCCACTGGCGAGAAAGAGTGATTTGTCTGACAAAGGCCTCTGTCATGATCTGTTCACTGACGGTGGAATTGCCCTCGTCAGGTGAAAAGCATTTCAATCAGGCTCACTTAGGATTCGTGTGACAGACATTAGGTGACAAGAAGTCTGTTATTTATTCTAAAATGACAGCGTTTTGTCACTTATAGGTCCTGATTAAGTGTAGTCATGTGATGAACTAAGATATCTATGTTAAAGTACCTTGCTAGTAAATTTTAGATCCATGACCCACGTAGCGCCAAGTTTCTGGTATCCGGCTTTATGCCAAGCCTCTAAAAGTAGCTAGCGTCATGACCTCCGTCAAATATCCTCTGTCTGTCATCTCCTGCCATTTGACGGTCATTTTACTAAAGTGATGGACGAGCTCGACTCCTAATTACATATTAGATAGGCTCACTGCTGGTCGTGGACTCGGCAATCGCTGATTCATCCAAACCTCTCCCCTTTGGCTTGCCAGCTTTCTTTACAGCCCAACACCAGAAGCTGGAACTGCTTGTGCCAGCCGACAAGCAAGTAATTGATTGATTGATTCGTTGCTTTGAATCTGGCCAGCGAACAACCAGCAACAATGAATGATACTTCTCCAAGACTAGCAATGCTTTCAAAAGAATTACCCAAAATGAAAGGTTTGCAAGATAAAACAAAACATTCACACACAATGAGTGATCTTGGTCTTGCAGTGTGGAGTGAAGACTGTTCGATGCTCATTCACTGCCCTGAATTGTTTTGCTCACATTCCATTTCAGGTTACTTAATGGTGCAGTGCTAATCGTTCAATCTTCAAAACCTGAATTTTCTACATCATGCTAAGATCGAGGAAATTCGCTTACTAGGAAGTCTTGCAATCTCTAAAACTCTTTCAGCCTCATGATTTGATCGAAAACGCGCACGGACTGAGACATACGATTGTGGTTTTACAAACGCCAACGGGAGAATGATTTCTAGTGACCCCATGAACGGAATTACATCATTCCAGCCCGCGACTAGCATATCATTAGCACTAGAATCAACTGCTCCGGAAGAAGAGCGCTGTCACAGGCTTCCAGATTCTAAAACAGCCAACCAGCGCCACGCCGCAACTCTAGGGGCGACTGGATCAGGTATTGAGGGTGTAGGTGAGCCGGGGGTAGGGCTCCAGAAAGAGTTTGTGAAGATCGACGAAGGGGTCGCCTGTGGCATCATAACTCCTACTATTGACGAGAATGCGAAGCAGGGAAAGGTGGAGGAGATGAAAGGTGACGGAGCCGGGCGAGTTGGAAAGCAGTAAGCCTCAACAATGATTCCAAGCTATCTTCTGAAGAATTCTCTGACAATTATGGCGCCAGTGAGAGAATGCCGTCCCCTGCGCTCAATGGAAACCGGAAAGACGCTATAGGCAAGGCAGGACCTGTCTCGTCTAATGGGACTCTGGTAGGGCCCGAAGGTCGCCAAGCAGAAGACAAGATGACTGAACGGAACCCTTTCAATTTCGATTGCGCCTTTGGCTATACAGGCAGGTTCGAAACACCTCCTGCTCCCCCCAAAACCCGCGGCAGCCTTCTAACTGCGATGAAAGCCGAGATCACCAAAATTGGCGTACTTCAGTCAGGTCTGCAGGCATATCAGCGAGAGATCAACAGTCGCAAGCACCACACCTTCAGCATCCGCTTCCTTGTCAATCAAAACACCGCCATTGTAGTGACTCTTGGTCAACTTGATCAGATCATACAGTACGTCAAGCAAACTCAGGAGGAAGTGGAAGCCATTCAAGATGACGAAGTGGTGATTCAAAACAAGCTGCGGATGGAGTTTCAGCAAGCACAGTCTTGGGTAGCCAAAACACGCGCCATTCTCGTTCATTCGCATGTCTTTTACAAAATCAACTTCGTGCTTCCAGGTCAGGAGCTCCATTAGCTCCCAAAACTGACGTGCATCGAAAAGATATTTAGTTTAGACGCAAGCAGCTTGTGTCGGAATGGGAATCTGATATGGCATTTGCGAACCATGGGACAGGGAAACGACGCAATGCAAATCCTACTATTTTATTCAAGGACGGCCCTGCCCAGATAGACATGTATCTCAGAACCTCCGATATCATCAGTACAAGGCACAGAAACCTGGTCTTCCTGCTGTTCCTGTTTCACACTCAATGCCGTGCTGACAAGTCTTCATCATCTTCAACCTGGCTGACCAGTGGTAGCCCGTCGGTGTCGGTGTGTAGTTCTTTACCCAGGGTGAGCTCGTTCGCCCTCACTGCCCTTTCCTTCCATTCACTCAAACTCATCCATTGTGCCTCGAAACGAACACTCGCCCTTTGCTAATCCCGCCCGGTTAGGCGGCAATGCTTGCCAAGAAAACCCTGCTGCATTCTTGATAGGGTGTGCAGCCCCTTTCTCCCTTCAACACGGTCCCCATCATTCCAAACGAGTCAAACGAGCCATACGAGCCATGGACGACGTTTCAATCAGCTGATAAGCGATCTCACCTGCGCTCATTCAAATCACGCCAACTACATACAGCACCTCCTACCACTGATTATGCACGACCAAAGCCTACTTTGATTGCTTGTGGCCTGTCCGTAATCTATGGGGCTCTCCCAGAAGATTCGAGCTGCTCTAGGAGCTAAGGGTGCTTTCCAGGCCTGTGATATCGAGCCGTGGATCGCCACTATTCCCACCCAGGGCTTGATGGAGGGGTACTGGCCACCAACAGATGGTCCAAAGCCCGAGAAAGTCAAATGGAGGAAGGTGGCGTTGCCAAATAAAGCCTCCCTCCTTTGAGGACCCTGGTGCCTGACATCGGCCCCCGTGCTGAGCGAATCAGCAGTACCTTCGGGCCTCGAAAGTCCATCCAAAACGATACATAAAATAAATATCAAAAAAGAGGGGTGTTAGAAGGCGTCCATGAGGATGGTCATATTGGGGAAAAGCCTGCAGCCGACGCACAGCATCAGACAATCCTGGTTTCACATGCCTGCGTTTCTGTTGTCCTGCAATCAATGCCGATGTCAACCTCTAATGTCTGTCTTCACCGCTAGATGGTTGTCCGTGGGTCGAGTTCATGCAGACACCACAATGTCAACATTGGAATTGCCCCTCATTGACCTCTGGCCGAAAGCTAGAGAAGCCCAAGGACGGCACCTTGCTCAATACAGCGGCCCGTCACTTTCCGTCACGCACTCTAATTCGATATTAAGATGAATCGGTGAAGATGGCCCCACCATGATTGGATCTACGTGACAACGACGTGGCCTTTAACTTCGAGTCCTGTGGAGACATGGGGCTCGCGAGAATGATGGTGCAATACCAGGATGCCGATTCTGGATTCCTGGCGTGAGAAGGAGATGAAGGAGGGACAGTTTGGCCGGGAGGGGTCGAGGGTTGAGGGTTGAGGGTCGAGGGGCATGCCAATCCCGGCGTCAATCATTATTATATAAACAAACACGTCCGACTCTGGCACCACCATTTTCTTTCCTTCCTCCTCAAGCTAAACGGTCATAGAACCTTCATCTCATCCATCCATCATTTCCCAGACCTTTTCCATCTCTACACATTTATCACCATGGCCGACGACGCAACCAAGGCAAAGCTCCGTGCCAAGTTCGACAAACTCACCCCTGCTGATTTCCAGGCCGCTGCTGGCAGCAAGGATGTCCTCGCCGACAAGGTCGCCGCTGCCTACGGGATCTCCAAGGACGAGGCCTCCAAGCAAGTCGAAGAGGTCTTTTCATCCTAGACAGACCATCCTTAGAATGTCCTCAACTTAGGACCTCGACAGACCAGTGTCCTCAATACCTCACTATCACCTCTATAATCTTCCTGTGACCGGCAACGAGACACCATGACTTTTTAATCAACACCCTTTTTCGAAGTCTGCAAATGATTTGGAACCGAAGGAAGTTGTGAGAGACAGGATGTCAGGGAGATCAACCGAGGACTGTGTTTGGGTGTGACACCAATGTGTTTGTGCAGTGTTTGAAAACTAGCATATCTATCTACTGCTGCTACATTTGACGACCACGGTTCATAGCGAAGGGATTTTCTCCGGATATATCACACACATATATACACTTTGACCAAAGGGGATACTGTGTGCTTTTGACTTTTTTCCTTGGAAAGATTTGGGAAGAGCAGCCATGCAAAAGAACCGCCTCGTCGTTTGCCTGAACCCCTCGTCCCTCGTCCCTCGCCCACTGCCCCTCGCGCGTGTATTGCTGTCAAGCCCGAGAACCCCTCATGTTCATGCTGCTTACATTACCCCTCACTCCGCCTTGCTGATGTTTTGGGCACCAACATGCCCCTCACCTGCCAACCACATGTGTGGCACCGTAGTACACCTGCAATGCAGTGCAGTGCAGTGCAATGCAGTGCGGTACAGTGCAGAGCAGTGGCAGTCGAACCTAAACTGTGGAATTGCGCGATCGCTCAGAAGGAGACAAGAGACGACACAACGACAGAGTCATCTCTCTCTCTCTCTCTCTCAACTCTCAGACATTCGTCAGTCAACTGACTGCCCTAGATAGTTCGGTTTCGCCCCCCCCCGAGCTGAGGTGAACCTAACCCGCTCGCAGGGGATGCGGGGTTCAGCTGTCTATGTACTCCATAATTATCAAGGATCATGGCAGAATCGAATTACAGGTTCTTGAAGAAAAGTCGCAAGTCGATGGACCCAAGTAAATACTTCTCAGCCTGGGAATCGGCCGCGTTGAATGCCTGCCTGGCTGACGCAACCCACCTTTCTTGACAGATGTCCGTACCCTATACACTCTACTTGATCACCCAAGCGCCGCTCCAAGGGGTGAGTGAGAGACGCAGTGTGCTTTTTTGGGGGGGAGTTTTTATATTATATCGTTCCGTTCTGGCTTGTTCTAAAACACGTGTGTACGTACTCCCGGACCTCGGTATTTCCATTGGCCCCCCAAAAAGTAATAGAAATACAAACGTACAAAGAAAGGGGAGAAAGGGGAGAAAAGAGAAGGAAGGCAGCGGGCCTATCCACGCGGACCAAAGCAGAAAACACCCCGAGGAAGGAACCAAGCATGAGGGAAGAATGGCAACATTTCCCTCCCGAGTCTATGTTTCATTGTCCCCTCCTCTTCTCGTGAGTCCCAGCGTCCTCGATGGCGAGCGTACGGCGGGCGGGCCTAGGACTTGCTTCGCTCTTGGGATCCAATAGAGTCTACTAGACCCCTTTTCCCTGCCTTGTTTTTATCAGCTCCAGGCAGTGTAGCCCCCTTCGTGTGGGAGTGTTGGCTGGACCCGAAGATCCTTGCTGCTTATTTACCTCCACACTTGTACTGTAGACATCGAGATAGAAAACCAACCATTTGACTCATATCCCCTCTTGACAGCGGTGAGAGACAAAGCATCCAGGCCAGGGAAAGAAAAGAGGGGTGGGATGGTTCGGTCTCAATCAAGCGCTGGAGGGGCTTCTAAACAAGGAAAAGCCTTCTCCCTTCTTAAACTTCCTCTTCATCGTCAAATCCGTCACCAAGCAACTCATCGTCCTCGACGACTTGAGAGTAATCCTGAGTGCGACTTGCAAAGGCATCTCTGGACCGATATGGCGCGCCGTAGCCGCCAGCGCCCGCGCCCCTGCCGCCGACTCCGAATCTGCCGCCAGAGCCACCACCGCCAGACCCAACGGGCATGTATCCTCGCGCGCTGCGCCAGAGGCTCATGACGAGCAGAGGAGTAGCTTTTGCGACGGCCACGATGCCACTGATAATGGCGACGGGGATGGCTATCCAGAGTGGATCTCCTGAGCCTTGAGATGCTCCGCCAATACTCTCACCCAGACGGATCTGGCCGAAGTTGCCAAATCCTTGTTGCTGCCATTTCGTGAAGACCCAGTAGCCGACGCCAGCGGCCGCAGCCAGAGGGATGAAAATCGCGAAGAATAGCGCCGCTCCGCCGATGCCATGCTTTTCTTGATACTCGTCTTCGTGGCCTGGGCAGGGTCGGCTTTCGAGCTTGTCTAGCTCTCGCCCACCTGAGCATGTCGTCAGTGGAATGCGTCGATATCCTGTTGGATAGTAGAATTCGATCTGTTTAGGGTTGTCTCGACAATTTTGTACGTGGTCGGGTGGCTCCATGCCAGGCACAAGTTGACAACTTCCGTCAGCGTTAAGCTCGTAATTGTAATCGCACTCAAAATCTTGTCGAGTGCAGGAACAGTTTTCAGCGATGCTGTGCAGATGGTCAATGATCTTGCCGTTGTAGCAGTCGGCATCGGTCCTCTTGCGGTGATATTGTGCTACATGGCCAAACAGGCAATTGGAGTCTTGCATCGGGTGCTTCGGCTCCCAGAGGGTATAATCACCGTTGACTGGGTTGGCCTCATCCAGCTCGCATTGCCGTTGTCGTTCCTTGAGACCGCTAAAGTCGACGTTGACGGTGGTAATGCCACGCTTGGCACCAGTCCCAATTTCACGACCCCAAAGAAGGAAGTTTCTTGAATTGTCCGATGGTAACGTGGTGATGGCGTCGATTTGCATTTCGACATTGGAAGAAAACTCGAATTCCTTCCATGTATCTCCTTCGTCGAGAGAATAATACAAGACTTTGGTAGGCTTGGACTCTTCAAGTATAACGATAATGCTGCCTTGATCACCATATTCCCAGATGTAGCTGCCCTTCTTTACTGATTTCCAAGTGATCCCAGCATCACGAGTGATAAATGTGTCCGTTGCAGCATCATCCTTCCGCAGTAGATGGTCACCAACATTGCCAACGGCCATCATCAAACCGACGGCACTTGGACTGGAGAATGTAGCTGACTTATCGGCTCGCTCGGTATAACTGTGGATGTGCAACGAACATTTTTCAGTGGCTTTACCGGCTTCACCAACACATTTATAGTCATTCCCCAAAGCATCTTTCTTGGGTGGTGGCAGCAAGGCCCATTCTGCTCCATCATTGTGGGTAATCATAGATTTCAGCTTCTTCTTCTCACCATCGTTGGTTTCGCCGATGTTGGAGACAACATTGACCATGGCAACGCCTTCAAGCCCTTGCATCTTCTCAAAGTCGACATAGCCTTCTGTGTCACGATTGACTGCGTTGATCGTAAGAACATACGAGGTCCCATTGCTGTTAGATTTGATAATCGTGCCATATTCGCGATCTGGTGCCGTACTAACCGTGACATGGAGGAAGACTGCGTGCGTGGAGCTATCAAGCACGGTATATGCTTGCTGATGTGCGACTTGGAAGTTCTTCGGAAATTGTGCTGAGGCAAATGTTCTCCCATCGACACTAGCGTCGACCTTCAAACCTTGCTTATCGTCCGCTTTGGCTGCCACAATAATAAATTCCGACATCGTGGCAAAATCCAAAATGTCGGGGAAGTGTACGTTCGAATCACCAAAGAAGTTTTCACTGGACAACAGTCTCAAACTCTTGTCTGGGTTTTCGTCCTCATACTGTTCACAGTAGATGAGTTGTTCCGCATTGGTTCGACCTTCTCTTGTGATAAACTCGCACTTGCGAGCATATCTCACAAGAGTTTGCCAATTGTCACCTCGATCCTTTGAGTAGAAGACATTGGTATGGTCATCTTTTCCTACGGCCCCAGACCAGAGCAGCCAGTCTTTGTAATCTGGATGGAACTTCAGCGTCGGCAGTCTCAGATTGCTGGGTCTCTCAGGTGCTTCAAACATGTCGAACCGAACTCCACGATCAATGGTGTAGTGGACGGTTCTGGAACCCGTCAGGAAGAAGACAACATCATGCTGATGTGGGTTCGGAGCAATAGCAGTGATGGGTTCATTTTTCAGAATAGGATTCCAGGTCTTGCCATGATCACTGGATAAGAAAATGTCCTGCTCACTTGTACGCATGACAATGGTTTCATCGGTTCCAATTGATGTGTCAGCTCTTTCGAGATAATACCATTCGGAGAACCGTTGAGCATCGAAGTATGTCTTCTCGACGGTTATGTCTCCAGAGATGGGCTTGAGTACCGCGTCCGTGCATGGGCGATCGATATCTTTGTCCAGCTCTTCACCACCTTTACGAGTGCATCCATTGCCAGGTATCAAGCGCCAGCCAGACGGGCCTCGGAAAGTACCTTTTCCATCCTTGCATTCTCCCTTGGGGATGGGAATGGTCGATGCTGGATTACATTTCGTGAGGTCATCGGGATCTCGGACAAAGTTGTAGTCGCACTCAAAATCGGCGATTGAGCACACGCAAGGTTCAAATTCAGGCACGGGGTCCTTGAATTCCTCGTCAATGAAACAGTCGGCGTCGGCTTTGCGCCTGGTGAAAAACTGCTTGTGTCCCATGACACAGGTAGGTTTGCCGCCTTCATCGACACGAGCAGGCCACCGCTCAAAGTCCTTGTCCTTACAAGCACGCTCATGTAGGCCTTCGAAGTCGATCTTAAAGATGTGCCACTCCGTCTTGGAGCCAGACCCATGAGTGCCCATCAAAAGAAACTTGAGTGTGGTAGAGTCCGGGACGGTTGTGATAAACTTGGCGCGGATCTTTGTATCCAGGTCAGCTTTCTTCCAGCTCTTCCCGTGATCAATCGAATACATGAGATGACTGGTAGTGTCTTCATCGTAGACAGCCACAATCACAGCACCTTGATTGCCGAATTCATAAAGATGAGCTCCGTCCAGCCCTTCGTACCAGGTGACGCCGGCATCATCCGAGACGTATAAGTCGCCATCCTCGTAAGGTTTGAGATATTTTCCTGTGTTTCCCACGCCCATGACAATACCAGGGGCTGGGCTGGAAAACATCCTTCCACCTTGTCGAGCATCAGTTACAGAATGGAGGTGTAGGTTTTCCTTTCCGGCCTTGAGAAGCTGGAATGTTCTACCGTCGTCGAAACTGATCTGGGACTTGATCTTTTTCTCTGCAACGATGGAAGCCTCGACCTCCTTATAGTTATCCACGGTGTTGACAAGCACGATACCTTGAATTGTTTGAACTTTTTCAAAATCCACCCGTCCATAGATATTTCTGTTTGTATGATCAATGTTTCGGGTGAAGTATGTACCGTTGGAATTCGAAGTGAAGAGGTAGCCCATGGGGTTGGAGGGCCGGGAACCGAGGACATCGACCTGCATACTATAGTTTGTGCTTTCCAAAATGGTGTATGCATCCTCATCAATACGATGCTGACCAAATTCGGCTCGGTGCCATTCCGATGCGTCTTTGGTGACATACAAGGCCAGCTCATCAGTGCCCTCGGACTTTGAGGCAGCAACCACGAACCCTTTGACCGAAGCCATGCTGATGATGCCAGTGACGGCGCGGCCGCCGTCCAATTGTGGCTCGATGCCTTTTGACTTGAAATAATCATCAGAAACCAGTAGCCGGTTGTCCTTGGGCCAGGGAGAATAAAGGCCTTCGACGATACAGAAGATTCGGTCGTCGACCTCGGCAGCGATGTCCTCGGCGAAGCTGGGAGTGCTCACAGCCCACTGACATCCTCTGGTCTGGCTGCCTATTCGGTTGACGGTTTTGAAGTCGTCGTCGGTATAGATAGCAAGCTCGGTGCATGCCAAACCCACGCATTCCTCGCCATTCCAGATGACTCGTTTGGCATCTCGACCATGGAAGCTTAACGGGTTATTGCGGAACAGGGCGAGGCCTGCACCTGAGTTGAACTTCCTCCATGTCTCTCCGCGGTCTGTAGTGATCCAATGGTCGTGGCCTAGGCCGAGAATGTATGCGCGGGCAGGATCCCACGGGTGCGGCCAGAGATCCCAGGCACTACCTGACTGGCCGGAATCATTAACTTCCTGCCAGGTCTCACCGGCATCGAGACTGCGCCAGACTGAGCTTGTCTCTTTATTATGGCCGAGGATGACGTTGGAATCATCAAAGTAGAAGAGGCTTTCTAGGGGATCATCGAACTTTGTAGAGGTGATGGTCGGGCCATCTTTTTTGGCGCAGGCAGGCTGCGGGTTGAGGAGAAGGAGTAGGGCGAATGACGAGGCGAGGGCGCGACGACAAAAGGACCGGATTATCATGGTCAACTAACACATCGAGTGCGAAGGCGAACTGGACCGGTTTGAAAGAGAATCGAAAGGATTTCAAGAGGAGATACAATGGGAAAATGAGTTGTGGTGAGTAAATGAACAGATTGGTCCCTTTTCTGATGAAAATGAACGAAAACGAGTTGCCTAGTTGGTAAACTTGGATTAGCAGCAGTGAGGAGTGAACACCAATGCCTGGCGAGCAGCTTTTGACAGCCTGGCTTCCTCCGTACTCTTTGCACTATACACGCGTATCAGATTCCTGGCCCCCAGTCGCACCTCACGACTCACACCTCACGCTCACTACCTCCAAGCCGGCAGGATGGCCAATCATGCGCCGTGTTTCACAATCTCTCTGGGAAAGCCGATACTCTACCGTGTCTCAGGATACTATTCGTAGCAGCACCACCTACCTAGCTGTTTATTCAACGCTCGTTCACAGTGCTCCGTACATGAGGTATGACTTAATCACCACCGTATCATCCCCTGCACTCATTGCCATTCTCATGGTACGAGGCCATTACATGGATAGAAACTGGTGTCTCACTGCTTGATTACTACCTAAAGTAGCCCTGCCATCCCAGTCGTTTAGACCTACGGGTGGGTAGCTGTCCCCTGAGTCAAAATCTCCTGGCCACCGAGAAACGGGCATGCCATCATTGATATCATCCAAAACACGCTCGCTCAACATACAAATGCCTTCAGTACTGATACAGTCCATGGAAATATCCCACAGTTCGCTCTGATCGCTATAAGACTCCCTCAACAAACTAGTATTACCGCCTTCAGTATTGCACTTGTTTTCATTTCAGCTTGAATTTCCGAAAAAATCGCTTCACTTTGGATTCTTCCGTCGGTAGGGTGTCCCAAATGGACATTGGGTTGCCGTCCAGATTCAGCTGTGGTCGCTCCAATGGGATTTGATTAACCTTGACATGGGTTGGTAATGGCAATGGAGGGATTTCCTCGGGCGCTCGGAGATCCGGTCTGGTGAGCGTCATGTGGAGAGTCATTTCACGTTCTGTTGTGCTACCCCGTGCATATGACTCGGTCTTCCGACGCAGAGAGAAGGGCCGCAGACTTCCGCTAGCCTCCATGCTGTTCTTTTGAACAGGTCGGTGCATCTGGAACACGGGGTCCTCAGGTGTTCTAGGGTCATAAAGAGTGTCTGGTTCATCTGCATCGTCTCCCTCATCTCCAGAAAGCTCAGGAGTATCATCATGGAAGAAGGTTCGATTTGTGTCTTGGAAAGGTTGCGGGCTTGTCATTGGCCTTGCCGGTAGCCGTTGATTGTTCCCTTTGACAGAAGGGAATCCAAATTCAACCGCTTCGTCAAATTTTTGCGGAGATGCCAGATAAAGCCGAAGCTTTAGGCGAGCCGCTGGGTCCTGATAGTGGGTCGCTCGGGGATCGATGGACGATAAGGATGCTTGAGACCTAATGTGTTTGATGGAAAATGACGGCGAGCGGTTTACAGATGCTGGGGTAGGCATGGCGGGTGTAGATGGTGGCTCGCCTGCTGGGGTGGGAGGTAGAGGCAGACGTGGTCGAGAAGATGATGTAGAACTGCGTCCACGTCGAATAGACAGACTTGACAACGAAGTTTTCCGCTTTGTGGGTGGTCTGAGATCAGAAAATGACGCTGTTCTTCGTGCTGTCTGTGCAATTGCCTCGTGGTAATCATCAAGCCTCAAATCAATGTCTGTTTCATCATCCAACCACCGAAAGCCATCTATTGAGTAGTCGCTCATATCGATGGCCGAGTCTACCTTGTCTTGACAATCGTAATCGAGATTCTCCGAGTCGACTATGGTCTGATCGTCCGAGATTCGACGCTCGTGGGACAAAAGAGTAGGATGCCAACTGCGGCGGCGTAGAGTCTCGTCGGCGGCGTCAAGGATGACGCTGTGGTTGCTCTGTGCATACAACTTGCGCTCCTCTTTGGAAAACAGCTTGCGCTGGGCCGCTGGTGATAGAGAGGCGAACCAGATGGCTGCAGAAGCGTTGCTATGGATGCTGGTGTGGCAAGTCCTCTTCCGCACCCGCAGGAATGCTCGGCTCAACAACAAATTCCGCTCCCGGCGAGAAAGGCAAGAGCTAGAAGTTGAGGAAGAATGTGAGTTGGATCGAAGATGGTTCGGTGAGAGGATGGACAGGCGAGGAGAAGGCGAGAGGCTGCTGCTCCCATCTTGTGCCAATCTGAGACGTTCTAAGCTGCTAAAATACTGGTGCAACAGACGTGTTAGCTGATGGGACCTGCAGAATAAGCGATCGAGACAGATGTCAACGGCCGCTGTCAGAGTGGAATTCGAAGAGCTAGGATGGGCTGGGATGGCGATGAGTGGAGGTGACAGGAGGGATAGGGACGACCGAAACAGGGCCAAAATGGCCTAAGCTGAGAGGACCGTGCCGAATCCAGGGGTAACAATAGGTGTGGCGTAGCCCATCAGGGAAGTGAGCGGCAACCCTAACCTCAAATCCCCCAAGCACAACGTTCATCCTCCCGGCAGCTTGTAATTCCACTGGGCCAACGCGGCCAACTGGGTTCCACGGGACCCAAAAATTGGAGAGGGAAAATGTCGAGAAGGGAAAAGATGTGCACTGACTGCCGTGCTACCTGCTGATCATCCATCAGTGCAGGATGGCAGCTTGTCAGCCCAGCTCGCATGGCGCCTGGCGTCCTGACCAAGTCAGGAGAGCCCAGGGTCAATGTCTTGGGTAAAGGCAACAAGCGAAAGTAAACATAAAGACATTTAACGCTGTACTCACTTTTCGACGCAGTGCAGGTGGTAGAGATTCGTAGTCCAGATTGGAGATGGTATGTCGATGCAAGTTTCGCATCTTGACGTTTGGTTTCTGGCTGATCGCCAATGCACATGCCCAGAGGAGGGTCGACTAGAGGCTCCAGTATTCTTCAGGCTGTCGGTGCTTGGTACATTATTATTGGGAGGAGTCAGGACGCTTCAGGCACAGGTTTGTTGCGAGCCTTGGCGCGCGTTGGTGCTGCAGATGCTCAATTGCAGAGTGGTTGATAAGAGTAGTCGGGAGTCGTCCTCGTAACAAGCACTGTCCTTGGAGAGTCCGGATGCTCAGGCGGAGCTGACGGATAGGATTCGGGATTTGGGGGAGGTGTGGGTGATGTGTGGAATTCGGAAGCACGGCCAGGCGGTGGGCGCGCCTTGAGCGAGGGCACCTCCAAGATGGAATAGGTGATCCGTCCTGTCGTTGACACCTGGAATCGATCCCTCGGTGCAGACTGCGTACTCGTAGGGCGGACGTACTAGGAGCCGACTTAGGTGCCCGCCTAGGCAACGGGGTCACTGGCAAAATAGGTGTGAACAACAAGGCGGTTAATCCGAACTCCGCTCCGTGTCAACTAGAGAACGAGATACTCGTTCCCGGTGCCGTGTAGCAGTACTACGAGAAGAAAATTGAACGGTAATGAAGATCAATGTGTGCAGCAACACAACGTGAAATAAGACGTGGCAGAAAGTATGATTCTTGAAGGCGGCCTCTGCCCTTCCAACGCCTGGTATATGTACGAGGTGCGAGGTATGGAGTTCTTAATTACATAACTCCTAATCCTGTTCCTGTCGGTCCAGCCAGGTCGATTGTCAGCCCAGCCGGTGAAGCCTGTCAGCAGTGGCACTGGCACTCCAGCAGTTAAATCAGCCCCTCGGCCGCCATTTTACGCTGAGATTAAAACTGCAAACTGCATGGGGTGGTAACAACGTTGAAGAGGTTGCGTCTACCATCTGAGTCCTTCTGTGTACACGCCGTTGCTTCTTGGCCTGGCTGGATGCTCGGTGGCGGATGGCTTCCCGTGTGAAAGGCACCCTTTTCACGTACAAATCCCAGGCCGCTGGTTGCGTTTGAAACGCCCCAAGGATCAAAATTCGCGAAAATCCCAAGCAAGGCGTTTGTGGGCGTCCTCGTGGCATTTTTGGAATCGTTCATGCTACCTCCCTAACTTGCTTAAACACGCGAGCCCTCCAGTGACCAGCCGAAGAACCGCCCGGGGTTTCAAGGACTAGGAGATACTAGTAACCGAACCCCTCCGATCAGAGTCTGCATTCGCCATCAGGCTGAGACCCTGTACCACATGAGCCCGAGCCATCCTAGGTCGTGTGAATGCCTGTTTGAAGAAATTTGGTCTGCAGAAAGAAGTGGCTCAATAGCTCGCTAGTGCATGCTCGCGTACGAGGTATGTCAGATAGCTACATAGATCAAACAGGAGTCTCTCCTCGGTGCGGAGGGTATGCCTCGCGCTCGATCAGGTAGTCTGTGCTACCTGTTGTATATTTGTCCGAAGTGATTACGGATAGCACCAACTGACAGCATTCCTACCTCGAATCCTGTACGCTGTCATGCTCTCGTTGAAGTCTACTGGCCTTCAATCCCATATCTCTCGTGTAGGACAGTGGATCGATCTCTGTTCCTTTTTTGCTTGAAGGATTTCTATGCCCATCGTGGCAATTGCGCATTTGAACAGGGATGCTCCATGCCTTGATCGAAAATGTTATGAATTGTGGCTGCAGTAGTTTGCAATAAAGGAGAATCTGCGTCCCCACTTCAGACCACCATGGGGCTCTCAAATGATTGATTGAAGTCTCCAATACCTCGTACCCGACAGTAGGACTCCAGATGTCATTCACCATGAATACTCCTGGGAGTTGAGATGCATGTTCGAGGTATGTAGACGGTCAGGAAGGGATATCATCTAACCAGGTACCGAGGAGGTACTCCGTACTCATGCAGTGATTCCCTACTATATCTCGTACCAATCATCGATGAGTTCCCTTGGAAATTTCCTGAGTTCCCTTTCCCCCGCTGCATCAAGGGCTCTAAGTTCTGACTCGGACTGAGTGCAAGTGAACACTGCACTTGGTGTTGATATGAGCACAGCATCTGCACCATTCCTGCCCGAGAATGTACGTACAATGCGCCCATTTCAGATTGTCTTGAGCCCTGGAATTGCAGACCGACTTTTCCCGTCTCCTTGCTTCGCTATCTATCACCCACGCCTCTATGCAGACAGCTAAAGTTATATTTTCCTCACCATTAGCATAACACCTGCCTGCGATGCAACCAAGCTCTTTCAGGTACGCAGTACTCCCTACGAGTCACTGACTACCCTCTCTGGAATAGCTGCTGAGATCGACTATGAGACAACTTCCAGCCCGTCGCGCACCATTTTCCGGCACTATCGTAAGCGATGCGAACGGCGGACCCTGCTATACAGAGTACTATTAGATGAGAAACAACAACATTGTCCACGTGCTCTGGGTTCGCTTCTGCGTTACATTGCAGAGTGGGCGGTCAACTAAAATGCGTTCGCCATGCGAAGACTTGCAGAAGATACCGTACGGAGTACGAAGTATGATGTGATCAGCAACTACGGTGCTCTCGGAGAATTTCTGATCGGACCTTTCCCATCCGTGACCTTTAGCGATCACAGTGACGGTGAGTTTAATGGGGGGGCCCCGCCTGACAATTACTGTATTGTACGAGGACTCCAGACGATCGATCACATGTCGACAACGGGACTGGGCAAACTATCCTCCGAAATTATTATTCTTGGCAGTACTCCGTCCTCCGTCCTCATCCTCGTTGACGGGGTAAGTCGAAAGGGCAGCCATTGCCGTCTCTCAGACCTGCACCAGGAGAACTGTCCTTTCCGAGAGCTGAGACAGGGAAACAGTACCGCTGAACACTCGGTTACTGGTGATGGCATGCAACAGGTTTGAGCTTGTCGCAGGTAGGAAGGTAGGTCGAACAGACAGGACTCGAAGCAGCTGAAAGAAGTGTATCCAAGCAACGGGAGTACAAAGTAGGGAAACGCCGTTGGGCAGTGGTGTGGTGGTGTTTGATGTACCGAACACGAGGATGAGTATCAGTTACCGAAAGACTACGATGCCACTGGCAGTCGACAAAGTCAAGACAGCTCAGCCCTCTTCTTCGTGAGTCTGGTCTAAGGGTCAAAATATTTTGCAACTCCAATCTCGAGCTCGTGAACCCAAGACATGCGTGGACACCACTACGTGACCGAAAAGCCACACTGTCTCGGATGCGGGGGTAATTGACTTTCCATGGCACGAGCAGTGTGCCAGTGACTGGATGGAAGGAAGGGAGGCGCCAAGTGCCACGGGTTGCTACTGGGTGCCAATGGGTGCTACTGGGTGCTACTACTGGGCACAAACAGATTAAACTGACGCCTAGAAAGGCCACTAGAGCCCGAAATAGGATGCCTAGGCGGCCTTCAGTCACTGACTCACTGCCATCACCACCTACCGCTCCCCCGTTCACCCAGAAGACGGCCCCCGAATATTTAATAAACAAGGTATTGGTTAAACGGGGTGACTAACCCCTATTTCGTCTACGCCGCACGAGCTAACCGCGAGGCTAGGCAAGGTTGTCGCGCGCGACCGCCGTAACTCCATCAGAAGCACACGCAATTGAAGCATTTCCTCACAACGCGACTCCTGTCCTTTTCTTCAGCCCGTCTTCCTCACCTCCCTCCTGACCGAGGATTTATTTGCCATCTGCTGTCACTTGGACAACATCATCTTTCGTTCCCACAATCATTTATACAACCTTATAATTATTTCTTGACGGTCTACCCGGTTCCACGACCCTCTTTTCGTCTTTGTTGACTTCTTCCTCGCTCGCTCTGCACTTTTTTTCCAAGCAACCGCCTCAGTCAAGATGCGTTTCCTCTACGCCGTCGCTACTGCCCTCCTCGCAGCTGTTGCCACTGCACAGCAGAACAATGCCATCAGTATCCCTGAGGGTTCAAGCACTCTCCAAGTCACTGCCGGCCAACCTTTGGTTATTGACTGGACCAACCCATCAGATGGCACCGTCACCATCAAGCTCGTCCAAGATCCCATCACTCCTGATAGCGGCATTATCCTAGCATGTAAGTTTAGACCTCCGCCAGCGCCTATTTTCCACAATCTGACCTGGTCAAATCATAGCCGGAATTCCTGCGTCCGTTGGAAGTGCCACACTTCAAATCCCAGATGCTGCCGATGTGAACTCGTTCCAGTATACCATTGAGATCATTGACGACACAGACCCAAGCAACATAAACTTCTCTCCCAACTTTGGCATCATCGGCGCAACAGGCACTGCCACTGGATCTGCATCAACCGCATCAGTCACCGGCAGCACCGTCAGTGGTTCTAGCACTGCATCCACCACCGGCTCTGCGACCGACTCTACTGACACTTCCTCTGCGACCACCACCGACGAGAGCAGCTCCAGCACTCAATCTGCCACCACCACATCTGGCTCTTCCAGCACGAGAACAACTTCCACCTCGGCTTCTGCTGCTTCCCAGACCACCTCCGCTCCTTCCAGTGGCGCCGGTGTCATGAGAGTCCAGGGTGGTCTCGTAGCCATGGCTATTGGTGTGGTCGCTGCAGTCATGTAAAAGGGAGATTCGCGGTATATTCATCCTCCCAGCTTCGCCAATGAGACCCACGATCCAAAAGGTGCTGGGTAAGTAATGTGTTCTCAATTGGAGAACTATTATATTTGACACAATCACTTTCGGCCTGTGCCTGGGCTTGTGGCTCTTTCGCCGCAGCTGTCTGTGTATGTACTTAGTTCTTTCCTTCTCCTGAACCACCACGGCCCCCACCATTCACTTCTCTGCACAAATGGTCCTCTTCTCAATACACAAGCATGAGTTTGGGGAGCAAGAAAAGCTGTCATGGTTTATATGTTGCGCGACTGGATGACAAGAGGGTTGACTTTGAGAAATATAATATTACCATAGCATGAAGGGTTGGGAAAATAACCACAAGAACAAATCATTTCTGAGTGCTGGCGACCTTGCTGTATATTTTTGGGACATCTCGTCCAGTCTGGGGGCGGAAAGCGAAAAGGCGATATAATCTCGTTTGCTGAAGCTGGTTATTAGTTCCGGATATCTATCAACCAAATAGAAAAGGGTCGTTCCAACCAAGAAAGTCCCATTCCACAAACTGCAAAACTTAAAGGGAATGTGGTAGCAGTAATAACAATGTGACCTCATCTGAATAGAGTCTGCCCGAGATATTTGGCCCGATGGCATAGACGCATTCTTCAGGCTGTCGGTACAAGGTAGCATAACGCCAACGAGCGTCGAGCATTCCGTGGTACGGCTGGCTTAAAGCTCCACACATTCCTCAGCGAATCCACTGGACCACATACGTCGACGGAAAGTAGAAGGGGGTGAGGTGACCTGGCAGACAGTGAAACAGTGCCGTCGCTCATTTCCCTAGAATCTCTCGTACTGTAGCATAATTACAGCAGCAGTTAGTTGAGCTACCTGCTTACCTTTAATTCTCCCCCTCTTCTTACCTTCGGTAGGGGTTACGAGATTCGGACGAGACGCGGCGCGAGAATGGGAATGATATACTGATAGCTTGAGACTGAGAGAGATATGTTTCCTAAGTACCTAGGATTCGAATGGCCCTGTGGAAGTCGTCGCCACCAGTGTCACAAAATGCGATACGATACGATATCTACCTACGTAGGATCCCGGGGTATTCATGTCAAAGGACTACGTTCTGTCTGGGTGACGGCAGCGACCACGCTTTCCCGCTCCATACTGCGTTCGGGCTCTTGATGTCGGCAAAAGCAAGTGACCATTCCATGTCCCCGGAGTAGAAACGGGACGGGGCCCTCGGGGCAAAGGGAAGAGGACGTTCATTCGCGTGCGGCTCCTGCTGTCATGTCCTGTCGTGGCTTCACAGAGTCTGGGTGATGGCCGGGGCGGCGTGCCTGCCATGGCACTTGCCTTGGGCAGGTCGTGTAGAGAGATAGATGCTTGTGACAAATGCCTACCCGGGTGCGTACATACCAGGTCATGCGTTCCTCGTTCGCACGCCGGCAGCACTGACAAAGAGTATCAAAACGATGGATCCGTCGGCAGAACACACAACCCGCAACCGCGACCACAAGGTGGCCAAGGGGAGGAAGGAGAGACAACTATTATCGGTCGTTTGGTCGTTCGGTCGGTCAAGTCGCCTTTCTTCGTTGCTCCCACTCACCTGCTGGCATCAAACGACGAGGGAGTCTCCCCCTTCGTCCTTCCCGCCGAAGCAAGTCCGATGGCTTGAGTGAGTGGTTATAGAGGTAGTCGGACGACTCCCCGAAAACGCCGGAATTGTTCCAGTAGGTATATAGTGCCTCGCGCGATGCCTTATGGTACCGGTTCAGGCAAATGGAGGCCAAGTAACATGTGCATGAATGAACGAACCACCTGGCACTGGCAGTGGCGCGACGCCCGAAAGGGAACTGTGGCGAAGAAGATTGAGTGTCCTAGCCTGTGGTTATTACTATTAGAAACCTGAATTGGGTCCGAGGATGGAGCATGAATTAGCAGGCTCTCTCGGCTGCCAGCGACGAGAGAATGACGGGAGAAAGAAACTCGAGAAGAGGAGTGAGGCGTAGACTTTGGAGGTCGCTGAAAGTAAAGATCTCCGTGATACGCCTCTTCTTCATTTTACCAGCATTACATTGTCGGATATGGATTCCAGTGCTACGGTCCTACCAGGCCATAATTGGAGAGATACAAGGCCAGAAGAGAAGAGATGACATCTCCCCGAAAGTCAAACTAGTTTCAGCCAGGTCCATGATTACTCGCAAGAGTCAACGACACCGTAACTTCGTAACAATGCATCCAAGGCCAGGTTGAAAACACAAAAAGGCAAGCATTCCTGATGTTTTACGTACGAGACTTCTCTAGCATTGGTCGGTGGGCCATGCCATGTTCTTCTTCAAACATTACGGGTCCAGGCAGATCAACAACGGAGGCGAAAGACGTAACCAGTGAGACAAGTCACCTGAACCTTTTGGAACCCCGCAGGCTGGTACGGTGATCGGGAGAATTCTTAGCAGATCAGAACCGAGTTGCCAATGCCATAGTACCTAGGGGTCATAATCCCTGTCATTGATGTGCATTCTTGAGATGTAGTTATGTCACTTCTGTCCAGCCAAGTTGACGGGATGAGGTAACTGATTCTCAGGAACGTCACCGGCTGCAAAACGCGTGTTCATCTAGCAGCCTCAGTCTCAGCCTAGGTATCTTGCTTTACTTGACATAACCGAAGGCAAGCCCTCGGTACTGTGCTCGTTATCAGCTGTAGCAAAGTCAGGCAGGTTTCCTGGTTCCTCCTACCCCTCAGGCTAGGGATCGTGGAAAGTATGCGGAGAAATACGGGTTTGTCCGCTCCCAGACGGCCCTGTACCATGTCACCATTTGCCCGTTGATGCTTGGGTCTTCCCGGTTTCATCCTAGGGGAGTTTGCCATTTGGGCACTGGGTACGGAGCACTGATATCAGACAACCAAGTATTCATTGCCTTTCTTCCGTAAACGCCTTCTATTGTAGGCCGCCGTCATCCCATGTTGCTGCGCGTCGAGTGATCGGGACCTTGACTCCTTTCATCTTATGTACAGGTTTTGTCTATATCGGGACCGTGACTGTTGTTATCCAGGAGAGCGTTCGTTGTTGTCGCCCTCTGTCCCATGCCCCCTTTGAAGTCATCGTTGTCCTGTAAAGCCCGCCTGGTCAAATAGCAAACAGCCTCCCTGAAGACGAATTGTTTGTTTCAAAAACAATGCTGCCAAATTACCCAAACGCCATTGCTATGCTTTTGACGGATCAATAAATCGTAAAGCCGGGATAACTTGCCCCGACATCATCCAATCGGCCATTAGCTTCATTTGCGATTCCAGCCAACGTTCCATACAACGTGTGCAATATCCTTGAACGTATTGACAGCGTACATGGCCTGCCCGAATAGTGTGTTGTTCATGATGGCTTCTTCCTCGCTATCTTCGTATGGCATAAACATGCCAGATTCGGTCCGCCTCATGTGTGAGCTTCGAGCGTAGTCTTCGTCTTCATCATCATAAGGCGATCGGCCTCCTAGGCTAGACTGGGGCTGCCAGGGTTCGTCGACGACTTCAGGGTCGTCATCGATCAGAAAGTTTTGACTCGGTCGGGTCGGCCTCAATGTTTCCTGTGAAGGCGAGGGTGAAAGTCTCCGTCCATGAGGCCAAAGTCCAATCTGGCCATTCGATAGTTCCCGAGGTTCAGGGGTGTCAGTTCGATACTTGAGCGTGGTGGATGGTAGTGGAACAATAGTTTTCGATTCCATGCTGAAGCTTCCACGTGGTGTTGCTCGTCCGCTACCCCGGCCCGGTTTAGCAGCAGGGGCCATCATCAATCCACCGTCATCGTCTTCCTCTTCGTCAAAGATAGCTGCATCTTCCTCGATCTTGTCATCGTCTTCAGAGTCAATTGCCTGAACCTGTCTCACCTCTTCATCGAAGAGAACATGTTTGCATTCCGACGGTGTGGGCACGTCAGGAAACGTAAAGGACGAATGTGCTCCGGAAGATGCACTCGCATCTTGCTCCGCAGGGGTATTTGCCACGGAGCTGTCAGCGTATCGAGGTAGGGCAAATTCCGAGTGTCCCCTTCTCAGAATAGGTCGGCCGTGTGCGGGACTAGATTGCTGAATCCTTATGATGTCGCTGGCTCTTTGCAAGAGAGAATGCTGGGACCTTGACCTCTCCAAGATGACCGCCGACGCTGATTTCTTCTTCAAAATGGGCTTCTTGGAAATAAATGACGATGAGTGTGATATTCGGCTTGGTGGCGGGGATGTGTTGGTGGTTGACATAGTTGTACTGGTGTTGGTCTGTAACGGGCCATACAACCAAGTAACATCACAATCCTTGAGCCAGTTCAAAGCCTCTGGAGATACGGTTTTTAACTGGTTCTTGGCTTTCACCCACGACCTCCATGATGCATTTTCAAGGCGTGTGCCATTGGCCAGATTCCCCCTTCGGTGAACAACATAACTCCAGGAGCGCCAGATGTCTTCTTCTTTCCACTCGTGAGAAAGGTAGTCGACATGCCTTGTAGGTTCCACTTCCACGGCTTGATCGTCCTGGGTTGACCGAGTAGGAGCCTGTCCATTTTCCGTTGGAGTATTCGACACTTGTACAGCATCGTCCTCTTGAACAGGTAATTGCTGAGGGGTAGGCTCAATGGGTTTATAAGCATCCCCGGATGACTCAAAGGCTGGGAATGCCATGCCATCATCGTCCATTATATCTCTCTGATCGAGTGATAAGCTGCTTGCAGGTGTCGAGGCATAGGAATCCCGTCTTGAATAGTTAGAATATGTCAGTTGAGGCGAAGAAGGTGCGGTTGAAGGGGCCGAGTCCGGGTAAACTGTGGCATAGTGCGGTGAGTATGCCTGCTTGTTGGTATGAGATTGTTCAAAGGATAGTGAGCTATTGAGAGTGGTAAGGTCGGGATATGACGATGATTGTATAGGACTGGGTTGGAAATGTGAGGCTCCGGCATGAGGAGCCTGAAGAATGGTCGTCATGAGCCGCAACTCATGAGAGATATGGTTTGGAGGAGTGAGGGTGTTATAATGGAGAGGGAAGTGGCATTCGAGTAGCTGTTGAAGTATGCAACCGAAATGCAACAATGATGTTTGAGGATAGCCTGGGATGATAGACTCGGTGGATTGAGATTGTTTCAGCCAAAGTCGGTTTAAATTCACCAATCCGTTCTGGCTTAGTGGTTCTACTAGATATCGCTCATATAGCTTTTGGCTAGAGGAGCATGGCTGAAAATGGGAGTTACAGTAGGAGGTATTGCAAGCAAGTGTGCAGGTCGGTAGAGCAGTGTGCAGTTTAGCAATGGATATAATATGACCTGAGTGATTGACGATGATCTGCAGGATGAGTAGGTAAAAAAGAAGAGATCGAGGATCGAGCAAGCATGGGTCGTGGGTCGTGGGTCGTGGGTCGTGCACATCTGGTGTTGGTATTGCTCAAGAGTCAAAGAGTCGAGACTATCAAAAGGATGGCGGGTTTGTAGGAGGGATTGTGTGGTTTGCGGTTTGATGCTTTTGTGGGCGAGTGGGCGAGTGGAGGCGGTGACCTGGCTGGATCACAGGGACAGTGGGGGGATGAAGGCTGCCGAGCCCATGGCGGAGGACCTGAGGACGAGGAATCAAGGACAGAGGGACACGCTAGGGCCAGCACGGGCTAACAAACACTGACACTAACCTAGGAAAACCCAGGAATAACGCGAAAAGGCGAAAAGCAAAGGCGAGAAAAAATCCAGAGGGTATGAGACGGGGAGGCTAGGGAGGCTAGGGAGGCTAGGGGCCTCTGGGAACAGGGAACAGGGAACAGGGAAACCAGCGGGCCACCACCAGGAGCCGCCTGCCGAACGGCTGTGCAGATGGCAATTCAATACTTCATCAAAGCACGAAAGCAGGGAAGCTCCAGACTGCACAGACGCTTCCCAGGGTCCCCAGGCGGTGCGTCGTGCCGCCCGTGCTGGGCTTCACGCGACGGATGCGGGTAAAGAGATACCTGCCCTCCCTAGGGCCCTAGTGGCAGTCGCAAAGATACACTAGAGGATAGAATATCTGATCGAGGAATAGTAGAACCGTCCAGTCGTACAGAAAGTCTGGCCCAAACACACTCAGCTAACCAACTATCATTGGTGAGCATGGAGCACTGGATGGATGTTTCAACGAAGCGAAGCGGGATAATGAAGAAGCTTGTAAGGCGACATTACGAGTTGACGTGTAATCAGAGCCCGAGCTGCGCAACACTGCAACCCAGTGCAATTGGCTCAATGATAATAAAACATGGATGAGGACGCGAAGGCCCAGGGACACGAGTGATTTAACACTGGGGACTTCTGCTCAGGATGGAGAACTGAGATTAGCAGCGTCTGAATATCAGCGAGCAACTGTCCGAAAGGCAAAAGAGAATTGCCTCAGGGACCAGGAAGTCGCCCTTGGGAATGTTTCAGTCTGACACCCAAGGTTGCTGTTGCTCCTACGGAAATGTGTCTTTGCTATCCGTGTCAGACCGCAAGTCCAAGGACTTTTTTCTGTTTCGTCGTCCTGGCTGCAGCCAACCTTGCAGGTGGGCGTCAGGATCTCATGGCGTGCTATGGCGACTTTTTTGGCGAAGCTCGTCGATTGCGGGGAGCCCTTTCCAGGCCCAAGGGCGTTTGTGGGCAGCCTGCGGGCTGCTGCAGGCATCACTGGGCGCCGGCGCCCCCTCTAACGTTGGTGTCCACCCCCTTCTCGCCCCTACTTTAGACGCAAGGATCTGCCTACCAGCACGTTCGCTTACTCTTATTTTATTACATACAGTGCTCCGTGCCCGTACGGAGGACTCGGTAAGCTCATCCCGAGCATCACCTATCAACACCATTAAATAGCTCGATAGAGTCGAAAGCCGGAACTACGCACTGCCCAAACAAAACCTGCTCAACAGCATGATTCCAAGGAGGAAAACCACCGAAGTGGCACCTTGGACACCACTGCACCCAAAACCCTGAAACCAAATGAGCCACACACTTATCAGCACAGCATCAAGAAAGCCACAATCATGAATAATTCCCCGTACGGAAGTCCTCGTACAGACATTTTCATTCGGCCAGCTTGCGACGCCTACCTCATGCAAGCCCAAATCCTGATGCCCACCAAGATGCAAGTAACATGCTGCTCGTAATTTTCTGCCCGTCTCACTCGCCATGCAGCTCTCCGTGGAGCGGCCTGCACTTGGCCCTTGCTCTATCACACATTGTCCTATATGATTCACCCCACGCCCACGCCCACCCCCTTTGATCCTTATCGCGGCAGCATCAACGTAGAGGGGCAAAAGCGTAAGAGCGTAAGAGCAGCCTAATCCATCTAACGTCGGCGCGTGCAGGGAAGTTGCAGACCAGGGCTATTGCACCAGGACTGTACTTCACAACTTTACATCCACACTGAACATTTGTGTTATTTTGACGTGACATGATATGACATGCTGGCAAATTACCTCTCGCACATTAGGTGCCTTTCGATATCTAACACCTCATTGCCAGCAGGCCCAGGAAGTTGATTACTAGCACATCATTCAGCAAAGAGCACTCCTGAGTCCTCACACCTGTCGGTCTCAGACTCACAGCGGCTTCTGGGGGGGAAAGGCACAGGGACGCGTCTTCCTCTGACGTCCAGCTCAAGCCACTGGCTGCTCTATCAAACCATAAATGCTGGAGATTGCTATTATTATGGTCCTCTCAACCTCCTGCACAGGCCGCTCTGATAAAGCGATACAACCCAGCCCCGACCGACGTGCTGAAATTTCTATCCCTGATCCACCCGTCCTCATCCCACTCTGCAGGGCAACCCTGAGCCACATATCGATTTCCGCCACCCAAAACCCTCCCTCCTCGCACGCTCGTTCATATCCTTTCGTCAGATGCCAATCAGCTCAGGCACGCTGCCTTCGTGTCAGAAAGTCAATGGAGCTGGCCATCGGAATCCCGTGCTTTCCACCCGCGAACGTGCTTACGGAAGTCCTACCAAACCCTCTCGCACAAACCTTGTACTGATAGATAGCCTTCTGGCCAATCCCAACCCATCCTCGAAACCACGATATCAGGAAACCTACATTGTTTAATTTGTGCTGAAGGTCAGTGTCAGGTTCTAGCAGTTGACTTGATACGGCAATCACTGCAAGGGGATCCACAAGAACGGCTGGGACCCAGGAGTCTCACAATCTTCGTCATCCTGTCACATTATCGACCATCCCATTCTCGTAGTCATACAACACAGTCGTTGTGGATTGCCAAACATTCGAGTGAATCATTGTACATGGATGACAAGACCACTCATCGGGAGCGCCTGTGGCAACCAGGATTTTCCTTAACAGCCTGGGCATGGAATTGTGGGAATCCCTCAGTGTACCCCATGGGTATCATCCATGGAGATTTTGGCCGGTCCTGCAGACGTGTTATCTATCAATAGTGAGTCAATAGTACATATCTATCTAGCGTGTTTCGGTAACAGCTTAGCTCAATGTTGTACACTCGAAAATCTTCACATGCTTGGTGTTATTCCTGGTCGTCGCGATCCCATCCGACTACGAACGAATAATAGGGACAACGGGCCTGAGTGTGATCCCGGCTATGAGACTGTCTGTGACATGTCCTAGCCGCCTAGAAACCTATGACCGTGGATAGCATTAGCTGACAAGCGTACATTACCCGTCCAAGGGATATCTCGACTTTATTTTGCTCAGCCGGAAATCAACTCCGAATGTTGACGAGGGGTGGATAGGACAAATCCTCACTTATTTCCGTCTACCTATGAGGCACTGTGTAAGGAGTGGCCAGTGAGCCTAAGTCGACTAAATCAACAGGTACGAATTCATGTGCGGCATAGTCTATGCGGCTAAGGAGGACAGCCCCGTGCACTCGGGGAACCAGTAACGAAGTGACCACATAAACGGTGTCTTCGTGTAACCAGACCTGCCTTCGACCATCGACCATCAAGTTTGCAGCGTATTTATGATGATATCCCTTAACCATCGCCCAGGGCCCCGTCCACTCCACAGGCATGTTCCAGGCTGTGTGATCTTCGTTCTCACTACTTGGCTCATCGATCATGATTTGGAAGGGCATAATAGAGCCTTATCTAACGAACTTTGGTATTTCTGAGCGCCATGGTGCCACGGAACTCGCAAAGAACTGGGTCGCCTGCTGTTAGGCGTGCAATACCCAATATCTTAAACCGTGCCTCACAGCCCTCTTCTTGCAAAAAGACAAGGGCGGCGAGGCTCGGCTTCAAGCTGTAGCGCATGCTCGGGTCGAGGGAAAACGTTCATACAAGACGTTTGATCTAGTGGGCCGTAAACCCGTACAGTACTCGTAATGACGTCGCTACAGGCCATATTTGTAAGTTTGTCGCCTGACAACATGTATGTCAAACTGGTAAGTTTGTAATATTACATACATAGAGCAGCCAGCCCGACTCATAGGCCTTCGACAACAAGGCCGGCCTAGAGTACAGTGTACAGTGCCCTAGATTGCGCGGCGACATCCCGGGAAACTCCAGATTTGCGATCGAAGGTACGGCACGCCACGCGTAGCCCCGGGTCCGAGATCGACCTCCGTCCCAGGCAAGTGAATTCTCGTCCTTACTTCTTTCTTTGTCTCCTTCCTGTCTTGAAGAGTTCTAGATGATATAGCTGCTCTTAAGCTGCTCTTAGAAATCATATACCTACGGTCCATGTCCCGAATCTATCTAGCTGCTATGTAACAAGCGATATGGAAGAGAAGCCCACCGGGGAGCAGCCGAAAAAGGCTCACAAACTATGTACACGTCTAAATACTGTGGTTACCGTCGACCAGGGAGCCTTGACAGATGCAGCAAGTATGCGGCTGCGGCAAAGATGGCGAGAAGAATCATCCTCGGCTAACCGCTTCGTAACGCGTATGCAGTCTATGGCATCAGAAGTTAGCCCTTTCGCCATTCGAGGTAATATTTCTCAATTTGGAGTTTGGACAGAGTCCTCGTAGATGTCTAGATCATCTCCTATCTATTCCGCAAAGAACCGGCACTTTTCATCAGGGCACCGCATGCAGCATCGTGTATGGTGCCCGCTTGCTCATGCCTCCTCTTCTAAGTCTCTTCTGAGCCTATTCTGATCCTCCGATAGTTAGATAGTTACACTACCCGGTAAACCCTTGATCCCTGAATGGTACTTGCATACTGGGGGAGATTGGGGTTCTCCGCCCCAGACCAGCTTACTTTCACATGTCAAAGGGGGTTTCCAGCCTGGACTGATGTGTCAATCAAGAATGCTTGCGAATGTGTGACTAGAGGAAGGGGGGTTTGGGAGCCCCTCAGTTGTATGTATGTATGTAAACATCTCCGCCCAAAAAGAAGGTCCTGCGCGATAATGCAGTCGTATCGAGCATGGTCGAGGGTTGGGGTTGGGAAACGACAACAAAGGGAGATGCTGCTGCGACAAGGGCCCCGAATGGGGTGACGCGGGCAATCAGGTCATGCTGGACCGCCTCGTGGGTCTATCCTTCTTACTTACACTGCCTTTTTCCTTTCTAGACCTGTGACAGGCAAGCATGAAAAACAGATGTCACATCCATAAACCTGATATGACTCAGAGATTCACATTAAACTGCTGATAGTTCGCACAAGGTGGAGAAAGAGAGCCAATCCAAGTCTGATCGACCTGGTCTGTATAACGTGGCGTATCCATCCTCCGGAACACGGGGATGAATGCAGCGCAGAGCGTTGCTGTATCTCAAAAGCTAAAATCTCTGGATAGCCTTGTTCTTGCAGACACGAGGAAGAGGCTCCATTTTTTGAAATGTGATCAGCTATCGTTTGAGCATGCAGGGCCATTCTGATGGATCGCCACTGGCTGATGTCGGAGACTACCGGGGAGGACAAAGAGCAAAGGGAGCAGGATCTGGCTCACCAGAGGTGCGTCAAGGTAGGCCCCAGTTCTGATGGGTTACGAAGCAGTACCACAAAGAACGGTTGAGACAACCAGGAAGGAAGCTCCGAACCAGGCCTGGAATTGCGGTTCCACCTTTTGGACTTCTTGTTTGAGAAGGTCAAGACTCAATGCCTAGGGACGGTTGGTGTAGGCCAGCAGTACCAGCATTTGCACGTGAAAGCATCGATAGGGATGAAGCTGCGAGACTCGTATAGTCAGCGGCTTAAAAGAGAAAATGTAGCCACCGGGAAGAGCCGAAGATCAGCCGATCGTGCCCCACGTGCCCACGGTGGCTTGGTCCCCTCCTTCCAGGCTCTTGGCATAGGTTGTGTGCCATTTTCCGGTTTGATGCCTGCATTGCTTGCGGGCGGGCAACACTGTCCATTCTGAGTCCAACAATTTTTGAGCAAAGCCACATGCAGGAAGACTGTGTTGGAGGCTTACCCTACTCATTGGGTGTAACTTGAGAGTCGAGGTTTCACGCGCGATTTCAGCCTAATTTGCTCGGAGAGCCATGTCAGCGGAGGTGGCTGCAGAGCCCACCGGCCCAGCCCCGAGGCAGGTTGTCTATTGTGGAGGTTTGCGACCTTGCATCCATTGATGATGGCAAATGCGCAGATATGCTGATGTTGCTATGCTCTAGTCTGCTCCCTTCCTCCTGAGGTATGGTTCCCAAATCTCGATGTGTCAACGACAACTCGATTGGCTGTTGAGGGGAGCCCTCCTCCCGATTCTGACGCGAAGCCCAAATTAGTACTGCGAATTCGGTGGCACGGCGAAGAAATGTGAAGAATGGCTGGAAAACAGCCACCCTGATCTACATCGAAAACTCTATTCAGAAGGTACGGAGAAATACATCTGTTTTGGAAAGGGGAATGCTCATTGACGGCTGCTCATAGAGGTCTTGAATGCCAATCTATCGGCGCTGTCCGTGGACGCACAGAAGAGAGCGGACAAGGATGCAGCGAAGAAGACAGCCAAGGCAGCCGCCGCCGAGCAACGCGAAGCCGAGAGAAAGGCAGAAGCGATAGTGCTTATCAAGCGAGTCGAACGAAACAAGCGGAAGTACGTGACGGTGGTGTCCGGGTTGGAAGAGCACGGTTTGGAGCTGAAGAAAGTGGCCAAAGAATTGGGCAAGAAGTTCGCAACTGGAAGCAGTGTCACCAAGACCGCGGCCGGTGGCGAGGAGATCACGGTGCAGGGTGATGTTAGTGATGATCTTTACGACTGGCTGCAAGAGAAATACCCCGAGATCCCCGAAGATAACCTGGATATGAAGGATGAGACGAAGAAGAAGAGTGCCAGTTGATTGATGTAAGGTTGAGGGTGAGGTCGACATCCGTTTGGTTCCTGAGACAGTGACCCGGTTACGCAGGACACAGAGAGGACGATGTGCATTGTATGTGCGTTGAGACTTGCATGATCTGGGTACGGTCTTTGGGCAGTGCAGTGCTGTACTCTGATATGCTCTCAATTCAACGCAATTCAATATTAGCCCAACTTCACTTTTCTCCTGGTTCCATTTCCCTCCCGCCTAGACATCTCCGACGCTCGTAATGTTTCACAAGACTTTGCAACCTGGTAAAGGGAATCGACCCTCGAAATGTCGCTAATGGCAAAATCTCACCAAGATGATGATCATGAGCATGATGGTGATGACTCGGACTGGGTTTCATGCAGTGATAGCACTCCTCGCAGCAGTATCAGTCCTAGCGACGACCAGCACCAAGGCTTGATATCAACATTGAAGTCGAAGAGGAAGTCATGGTTGACGTCATTCTCACTTGGCCGAGACAGTTGGCAGATGAATAGGACAAATGCTACTAGGGATGCCGACGCTCGTGTCTCCACGCCTAGAAGAAGCCTAGATCATCCGTTGACCGGGCATGGGCCTGAAGCTGCGACTGCGGAAGTGGCACCTGCTGCGCCGCCTAAACGTCCACCAGAAGCTTCTGATAAAGCACCCCTTGGGCCCCTGGCACCCAGGCTGGCAGCAGCTGTGCCTGGCTTGAATCGGCTGTTCCAGAATTTGACTCGGCGCAGCCAATCCTTGAACACCACCACTGGCAATATCGTCCACACTTTTGCTCCTCGCTCCGGCTGCAGTAACCGCACGCCAGGTTCTCCGATCCCAACTCCTGGTCCTCTTCCACACAAGAATAATGTCGACGGGCTCGATGAGGAGGAGGCGGCCGCAAAACCAACCCGCATTCACTCTCTGAGCGCGACGACAACCCTGAACAACCCTCCGTCCACCCCTCGAACCATCTCGAGGGTCGCAAGAATGGATCTCAACAACCCCTCGCGGAGTCCCAACCTGGCTGACCTTCTGACGGGCCTGTCAAGTCCTGAAGATGCCACCCGGAAGATGGCAGCCTTCAAGCTGCAGTCACTCATTAACGATCCCTCTTTCGCTGAGCACTTCGTCATCTCTGGTGGTCTGCCACGCCTACGCACCTTGATCCTCGAAACCAGCGGAAACACGTTGGCATACAGCCTTGCCAGTTTCGCACGACTTCTCGAGGTTGATCAAGGATGGGAAGCTGTCAACAACAAGGTGGTAGAGAAGGCAAGGCACCCAGAAATACGCGTTCAAACGGTCAATGACTGTACTAACATAGTCCCGCGCGCATAGGTTGTAGAACTGGTGGTTTGTCAACCCCTGGTCAATATCCTCAGAGGCGCAATGGCCATTCTCGTATCTATCGTCTCCCGACCATACCATGCCGACAGGTCATCTCAGATCAACAACAAATCGAACAATGCTGGTGGATTCCAAGCCTTGAAACCGGCCATATCGCTATACCCACAGTTTCTTGAGATGCTTGTTACAAGATTGTCTTCGGCGGATCACGCCTTGTGCGCAAATGCGCTACAGTTGATCAATTCCTTAATGCGAGACGCGATCACAAATGACAATGAAACTGAATGGCCAAAATTCATCAAGCGTATCCAAGACCTGGGAGTCATCAAAGCCGTGTATGTTCTCATGCAAAGCTCCGCATTGCAGGATCTGGCACATCCACTCTTGGAGTTTCAGGCTCTCACCAAAATCCTCCTCAAACGCTGGAGAGACGTTCCAGTAGATCTCGTCAAACCTGAACATCGACGGACAATCAAGGCCGTTCATCTTTCTAGCAACCCCGAAAAACATTCCGAGGGCGAAAATGAAAATGGGGAACCAAAGTCCAGACACAACCCTCAAAAATGGCGACGTATTGGCTTCACGTCTGAGAATCCAGAGCCTGATTTTTCCGATATGGGGTTTCTAGGAATGATGGACTTGTCAGACTACGTGCGCAAGCATCAAGATGAATTTCAAAATATTCTTCTGGAGCAATCTGTCTCTCCGGAACAAAAGGCATGTCCTTTGGCACGAGCAAGTTTGACCATGACGGCGATTCTCTTCGAGCATTTCGAGGTAGAGAAAATGGAACTTGAGGACTCCAAGAGCTATCTAGCTCTGGAAAGTCGGACTAATTTTGATAAGGTCTTCAAGCCACTATTGTTACACTGGAGCCGACTCCATGTCGCGGGTCTACACGCCTTTTTCAGGCTATGGAAAGCCACAGGAGCCGAGTCGGATGACTTTGTCAAGATCGTAGAGCTGGTGCGGATCTTGATTGAAAGTGTGGTTGGTGGCGCGGAACGAACTAAAGGTATCGACGAAATAGAGAAGGAGCTGGCAGCTTTCGAGTACAGCAAATTGAGGGAGCTCCAGATGGAGCTGCTCGAACTGACGTACGAGGACGTCTGGGGTCAACACCTCCATGGAGCCAAGGAGGAGTTGAACACCGAGGCCTTACAATTTGTCAAGGAGCAAAGGATTCGGTGTCTCCTCGCCGGGGCTTGGTTTCCCACTGGCTTTACATATGCCGATCAGGAGTCTGGTGGAGCGGTTACAGAGAATACGCTTTTGCAAAGCGCACCGACCCGCTATCGCTTCCTTCGACTCTCGGAGAATCGGAGGTATCTCCATTGGGGTGATTTCGACGAGAAGGAAGAGACTTCACCGTCTATACCAAGTCTGAGAGACAAGATAGATCTCTCAATTGTCTCCTCGGTGGTGTCGAATGTTACGGCTAATGATCGCTCATCGATTAGCTCGGACTCGACGCTCAAGGAGCTGACCCATGACAAGTTCACAACGAACAAGATTACCATTCATGGATATGTGCCAAAGTCGCGAGACAGGCGGGATGGACATTCACGAACTTCATCCAAGACATCATCTGCTCGAAGTACGAACAAAGAATCAGTACTACTCACGTTTCAACCTCAAAGTCATGGATCTGCCTCGGAATGGCTAGATGGTCTTCTCATGCTTCTGGACCAACAACCGATTACTGCTGAGACCAACCGATTGATCAACATGATCAGTGACTATGGGCTGAAGGTGCGATTACTGAACGTCCGCTTCAACGATGAAGAAGGCATCGTCGAAGGAATGGATGGTATAGATGGACCGCAAATACCGAGCAGAGAAGGTCTGGATGAGGATTATTACTATGAAATCTGAGCTGGAGGAGAAATGGACGGAAGGAAGGGACACGCATTTGTGAACGGTCGTGGTTGGATACCTACAGACCTGGAGTCTGGTACAAGGTCGTTAGATTAGCGAAGGGTCAATGGTAGGAGTCAGCGTTGGAACATCCTAAAGTCGCCCATTCAAGGTAAGGGATGCGACAAGTAACTTTGTGTATTGAGATACCCACCGCTGTTATTCAGGACCAATTTCTAGCGTATTCGAGCTAGCCAGATATTTATTACCACAAGCCGTGTGTGGCATTGATTCTTATCTCGTGTAGATACACCTTTAGCTATCACGCAGACGAAGCGAAGTCATGCGACCTTTTACCTGAAGAATGGGGGGATTGAGCTGCATGAGTACAACTGCCTCGTGCTTGGTTGCCACCTAGGCACGAAGTAATTAGTGTTCGGATACCATTCCCAGTGGACTCGGGTATCCCAACGCGACGGCACGTGCACTTGTGGTGTTGATTATTGGAGTTGCGAGTATCCATTGCCATCCACCCTAGGAACTTCCTAAGGCTTCAACTACAAGATCATTTCCCTTCCAGGTTCCATGCCCCCGCAATCCAAGGCTCTAAAGCGGGATTTGTGAAGCCTCGGCATGCTTTCGTTCAATGGCACCCCTGGCGAATGATGGTCACCTTGACCTACAACAGCATCAATACTGGTCAGCGGCTGAGTAGCGTTACAATGGATTTCGCCTCGTGCTGTCTCCAGGCCAGTGGTCGCGCCCACCACATCAAAGGCATGCGCATATCGGCCATACAAGAGCCTTGACAATCGAGCTTGACACGCCTTTGGTGTCTTGTTAGACTGGGGTTTTGGGCAACTCGGTAAACAATCAGGAAGGTTCATCCCAGATCTGACAGCTATGGATCAAAGCCCCTGTGCGCGGGAGCTCAAGGTTGTACCACGCAATCATTTGTTTATGTACTCCGTGCTTCGCACGGCTCAGCTGCCCCCATGGTTTTTATAAGTCCGAGTCCCAGCCGCCTTGTCTTTTCGTTGCTTCAGCTTTTTCAACCTGAAGGACAAGCAAGAGTCAAGCACCTTGCAACTTTTCTGGGCCAGAGTAACTGCCTCCCGTCCATCCCAGCACCCTCCGTTTCGACAGTGCACTACGCCCCTTAGGAGTGTCCTAGGTCTCAAACATGGCAGCTACAGAATCCAAGCAGATCGTGGATGTCGAGGAGGGCAAGGAGGTCCATCATGCGGGTTTTGGAGAGAGAGTACGCCACAGCATCTCAATCCAGCCCACAGACGTGGACACCAAGGAAGGCCAGATCTTCTCCATGAACGATATTGATCCTGCGCTCGATGCGAAGATGAGACTCGTCAACAACGTCAGTGTTTCCTCTATTTTTACCGCCCAGGTTTGTTCAAAGAACCCGCAGAGTGTTAAATCTTCAGTTAGGCCATTGACGAGATCGGTTGGACGAATATGCATTTGAAGCTTTTCTTCCTCAATGGATTTGGGTATGCGGCCGACTCTCTGATCCTTCTCCTGCAATCCGTCACAGCCGGTCAAGCTGCTTTGGAATTCCAGCCGTCTTTTACGAGGGGCTTGACGGTCGCTGCTTACACTGGTATGCTGGTTGGAGCTTTGTTTTGGGGCCTTGGTGAGTTCTTATACTACGGAATTATCCTATATTCACGCTTATTCGTCGGACTCGTCCAGGTGCCGATGTAATCGGTCGACGCTTTGCATTCAATGTCTCCTTGTTCACTTGCTCACTCTTCGCCATTTGCGCCGGTGCCTCCCCAAACTGGTACGTCTTGGGAACTTTCACCGCTCTTGCAGCTTTTGGGTCGGGCGGGAATCTCATCCTCGACACCACTGTTTTCCTCGAGTTTCTTCCGGGAGACAAACAATGGCTTCTCACTCTGATGGCATGCTGGTGGGGTTTGGCTCCTGTCGTCGCGGCGGCATTCGCCTGGCCGTTCCTGTCTTTGCCGCAGTATATCTGTACTGACGCAGCGACGTGCACGTATGACAACAACAAGGCGAGTTCAGGCTACCATCGCCAATTCCTTCATGATTCTAACCTATTCAGGGCTGGCGCTATGTTTGGTACTCAAACGGAGCTCTTGTTTTCGTTCTGAGTGTTTTGCGGGTAACAGTCATCCGCTTGAAGGAAACACCCAAGTATCTGCTCGCAAAGGGCCAGGACGAAGAAGTCGTCAAGACGTTCAGGGATATTTCCCAGCAGTATAATAGACCATGCTCCTTGACCTTGGAGCAATTGGAAGCATGCGGACCCATCAAATCAACCTATGGAAGCGCTCGGTACGGACTCTCCGAGTTTCTTGCCCATCTCCGGGGCCTCTTCGCAACCAAGAAGTTGGGTATCTCAACCTCTCTGATCTGGCTCTCGTGGACGTTGATTGGACTCGCCTATCCACTATTTTACGTATTTTTGCCCGAATTCCTTGCAAGCCGTGGAGCTCAAACGGGTGAAGATAGCCCTTACTATACCTGGAGGAACTACATGATCACCAACACAGTGGGAATCTTTGGACCCGTCGCGGCAGGATTTATGTGTAACTGGAAATATCTCGGCAGGAGATACACAATGGTAATCGGCGCGTTGATCAGTATGGCTTTCTTCTTTGCCTATACTGCTGTTCGTACTTCTGCGCAAAATATCGGGTTCACTTGTGCCATCTACTTTACGGTCAACATATACTATGGCACTCTCTATGCGTACACACCTGAGGTATGTTTGACCCCGGCAAACTCCTCCTTACATCTTTTGGCCAATTCACTAACACCACAATAGAGTCTTCCATCGGCACATCGAGCAACCGGAAATGGAATTGCAGTCGGCTGCAATCGTGTGATGGGTCTCATCAGCGCGTTTGTGGCGACCTATGCCAACACCAAGACAAGCGCTCCGATCTACATATGTGCAGTCTTGTATATTGCAATGGTTAGTAGTGCCTTTCCTTAGAGGACCCCATCACAGGAAGACTCACAAATGCTTTACAGGCTATCGTCGCTATTATTATGCCGTTTGAGCCATACGGAAAGAGGTCGATGTAAGACTCATCCGAGAATCACGACTATAGCGGAATCTGTGTCCCTTTTGCGGGCTGCTGGACCGGTTATGATCATTGTGATAAACCTTTGCTGGATACATTGCCCAGAGAGCTACTCCTAGTAATAAGTCTCCTAGAAAGATTGACGATTTGAAAGTCGCTCTCTTTTCATTCAGTTTCTAGACGGGGTCCTGGTCCTCTCTGGTCCAATCTGGCCTCCTCGACTTGGATTGCTTCAGTTGACTATTTCATCTCTCACAGGTGACAAGGCTGACCAGCGTATTAATCGGAGGCTATTTCGGGACGTGTTTCCGCGGTGGATGGTCGATGGCATCAGTCAGTACCTTCTCGCCTCTCGGCAAATGGCTTTCACCTAAATAGATTTCATGACACCTACCTAACCCAATCGCGAGAGGCTGAGACGAGGGAGGGCACAGCAAATCGTCTTGCAACGTCCTTGGATCTGCCCACTTGGACCCAAAGTCAGAGCCTATGCGTCGGTATTGTACCCTACAACCTGAGATTCATGGAAGGTCCTTATCTTGCCCCTGTACAGCAGCCTGAACCCAGTCCTTCTGCTTCCTCGCTTACAGCTCGCCCGACGGAACATGCATGGCTCAGTTATAGGAGTTGTCCGTCATGTACTCGTACACGGCTCCAAGGCGCACCCCGCCGAGGCAACAAGCCGATCTCTGGTCCAGATACTTCATTCTCTTTCTCTTTTGCGTAGGATCACAGACTACCTTCCTGATGCAGTTACACCGCAGGAATGTGGGGTATTTAAACAAGCCATGGCTTTGACGATCCCGGCGTGGCACGGTGCATGCCTCGGGGTGTTTGGACTTTTGAGCCCTCTGGCGGCTTCGTCGAACTCGGTACCATGATGCCGATCAACACTCACCTTCTTATCACGTATCACGCATCTCCAAGGTAGCGAGGTGATGTGCACAACTCCGTCATTCCTTCCTTTCGCCGTGTCACACCCGTGCCGGATAGCCTGTCGTCCATCAGGGCTTCTGTGCCCTGATTCGAGGGTCGATGCATCTCAATCGCCGACGCAAGAGCAGTGGCCAGGATGCTTATCCAGCCAAGCTCGGGTGCTTGCTTCCCATTGACTGCAAGCCACCAACGCCATGCAGCTGGGGCACTCTCGAGCTGGTACTTGGGGAAGGTGGGAACGTAATTGATGATAGCGTTCAACGGCAACGTCAAAGGGGAAGCGTTTGCGCAGAGCGAGACAGGAGGTACAAGTTCATACAAAACTCTGTCCGTTGTTCGAGGGTGGACTGGCACTTTACTGTCGTCAGGTCCGCTCAGAGCTTCACTTGTGCGCTGCTCGTGTGGTTAACTACAATACTAGGGCTGCCTAGACTCTCCCCATCTTACTATTCTTCTTGAGAGGCCTGCCGTGACTTTCTCCTCGCGTACCTAGAGCTTCTCAAATCGAGTTCATGCTGCATCGCACTGCACTCTGAGACTGAAAAATGGCAGACGTCGAAGCACCCCCCGGACAGGGGAGTGAGAAACATGAGGTCCACCAAGTCCTACCAAACGGGCGCTCGGTCTCTCCCGTCAACCTGGATGAGAAACGCCTGTCCATTTCCTCAACTACAGCTGCAAAAAGGATCTTGGCTCACAGTCATGATGCAGATGAAGCGTAAGCATTTCTCAGACTATGTTTCAAAAGCTTGCCCATACCGTCTGGGAGCGGTGGTCTTGTGCACCTGCCCAATTGAATCGGGATAAGGAGGAACACATTTAGAACCCCGTTGGGATGCCTTGGGCGCGATGGAATGCCAGCGAGGCGCAAACCTCGCCCTGAGGGATGCACAGCTACCAGCAAGAGCAAGGCGCAGTAATCTGTTCGCCTCCATTTTGCCTACATATGATAAGATACTGACCAGGTGGACTCGCTACTATAGGATGAAAGCATTCGCCAATGGCGAAGTCGTCGAATTGGACGAGGAGACCAACAAGCGACTCCTGCGAATCATCGACTTCAGGATGATGCCACTGATGTGCGTCGTGTACGGCTTGAACTACCTCGATAAAACAACCTTGAGCTATGCATCCATCATGGGAATCAAGAAGGATATCAATCTGGTTGGAGACAACTACCAGTGGCTTGGGTCCATGTTCTACTTTGGCTACCTTGCCTGGGAGTACCCGACCAACCGCTTGCTGCAAAGACTTCCACTGGCCAAGTATTCGGCGTTTTGTATTGTTTGCTGGGGGACTATCCTCGCGCTGTTCGCGACGGTCAGCAATTTTGGTGGCGCTGTTGCCATTAGATGTAAGTACTGGTCTCCCTTCTTGAGTTGCTCCGAGCGTGTTCGTGAATGCAGACATCAAAATAAACCAACTAGACGCTGACCTTCGCTGTACTGTAGTCCTTCTGGGTGTCTTTGAGGCCGCAGTGACACCTGGATTTGCACTGATCACATCACAATGGTGGACGAAGAAGGAACAAGGTGCCCGAACAGGTATCTGGTTTTCCTTCAACGGATTTGGCCAGATCTTCGGCGGTCTGGTAGCATATGGCATTGCGGTCGGCGCCAGAAAACACGGCACAGCCATCGCGCCCTGGAAAATCGTCTTCCTGGTCAACGGCTGCTTGACGGCGGCTCTGGGCGTGGTGTTTTTCTTTGTCATTCCTGACAATCAACTGAATGCATGGTGGTTGAAGCCGCGCGATCGCATCCTCGCCGTCGAGAGAGTTCGTGTCAACCAGCAAGGTATCGGTAACAAACATTTCAAGTGGTATCAGTTGAAAGAAGCGCTCTTGGATCCTTTGACCTGGGCTTTTGGCTTTTACGCCCTGACGGCTGATATCCCCAATGGCGGGATTAGCAATTTCTTCTCGCAGCTGGTGGGTATCCAACAAGCAACGCATTCACCCTTGATCTCCTTAGCTAACATAGTGTTTCCCAGATCGTTTCATTCGGCTACACGCCCGAGGAGTCCTTACTCTACGGGACTCCCGGCGGGGCCGTCGAAGTGGTGGCGTTGATCTTCAGCGGCTGGCTAGGAGACAAGATCGGGCAACGCCTGCTTGTATCAATGGGCGGTCTCGTCGTCGCCTTGCTCGGCATGATCCTCATCGTGGCTCTGCCTCTGGACAACAACTCTGGCCGGCTCGCCGGCTACTACCTGACGCAGGCGTCCCCAACCCCTTTTGTGGCACTGCTGTCCCTGATCGCCACTAACGTTGCGGGCTACACGAAGAAAACCACCGTCGCGGCGATTTACTTGATATGCTACTGCATCGGAAATATCATAGGTTCGTTAATACCTCTTTTGCGTAGGGGAAGTCCTCATTTCTATGGAGGAACTAGGATAAAAAGGCACTGACCACGCTAACAATATTCGTGCTACAGGCCCACAGACATTCCGCCCCAAGGACGCGCCTCGCTACAAGCCCGCCGAGATCACCATCATCGTCTGCTGGGGGGTCTGTCTCATCGATCTGGCGTTCATCTGGTGGTACTGCAAGCGCATGAACGCGAAGAAGGCCATCATCCGAGCAGAGCCAGGGTACCAGAAGTTGGAGAATCAAGAGTGAGTGGGCTTTCCTACTTCTGCAATGCTTGCAAGCTGCATCGCTGTGCCGCTTCTCGTCTCATTCACATCCGCGAATAAAGTCTTGAGTGCATATTCTATCACGAAACTCCCTCCTGATCTCCGGGCGTCGAGTCCGCGTGCTAACATGATCCTCCTAGGTGGCTCGATCTCACCGACAAAGAAAACCCCGAATTTACATACAGCTTGTGAATGTGACTGATAAAGTGCAAATGACTTTGGTGTTGGAGTCGGGGCTGTCATGTTGATCGGTCTTGTCGGGTCATGTCAGGTCATGGCGGGTCAGAAAAGCGAACAGAAACGGAGTGGAGGTTGTTCGACCGGATTCAAACATTGACACGTGGAGGCTGTGCCAGTGCCAGAGATGCGGTGGCTCGGCTCAGCTCAGTGCCATCATGGGATGTTTCCTCGTCCATGCTTGAACTTCTAGGTATACGAGGAGTCGCGACTCATCACGGCATTGTCAGCAGTCCATAGTACAAACAAGGCATGATGGACCATTTCCAAGTTGTGTGAGACATAACGGTCTTATACCCTCATCCTTTCCCCTAAGCATCAGCTCCAGTAGCTGTAGCAACCCACCATCCCACCTCAGACCTACCAGCTACATACAGTATCTGGAAGGCATTTAAGACTCATCCTCACGCCTTATACTCAGTCAGCTTGTTCCAAGTTGTAAGTCCAACAACGCCGACACCGGATCAGATTAGATGCAAAAGGCCCACCCTCGCCCCATCAGATTAGATTGTCACCCCCCCTGTGCATGAGCAAAAACAACGACGAGGCCCCGTTTCCTCCAACCCTCGTGCAGATGTACTACTGGTCATGCCTCTCCACGTGCATTTGCATTTGCATTTGCATGCATGATAGGCCTCAAGGGGGTTCAAGGGGGTGGGTGGGAACCAGCGGGGTTTGGTTGGACGAAACTCGTGAGTGTCATCATTCCTCCTCATGGTGCGAATCACATCAGAGCCTTTGGTCAGCAACATCCGAACTTCCTAGGTTTCACATCTGCATGATTGCATCGCTATTCGTCGAGAGGGCACCACAACAAGTCCATTTGCTCTCGCTCATTCGCAGCGTGTCACACACTCCCTGCATATATGAGCGAAGAAAGCGCGGGAGAACGGGAAATTCTGAACTACCGAGCTACAAAGGAAGATTTGACGTTTGCATGTGAAACCGTGGGATTTCGACACCGGTGGTCTGGAGGAGGTTGTCTGGCGCCTGGTGTGAAGAAAAGTTTGGACTGGTCATGAGGCCGAGTGCTTTACTTGCGTGGCTGCGTGGGGTTGTCGGTGGTGTGCCATGCCCATATTTTGAAGCAAGGTTTGGTATATTTATTACTTATTCGACAATGCAGCCCAATTTATTGACAGTTGGAATGACAAGGGAATTGATGGCCAATGGGGTGGAGAATAATGCTGATGACCATGAAAAGTCAACGACGAAGACGCCTCGAGAAGGCTTTTGCTATCAAGTTGCGCTATCTTGACTCTTGACATGCCACGGACGTGGGATGGATTATGTCCGATCCGAGACAAATGTGCGCAGGTTTAATCGTTGCGCACAGTGTTACTCGGAACTTCGTGTTCAGAGAGAAGGACACCAATCCTGGGCCGTACAAATTGGATGACTTTGCATTTTGACTGTTTGCAGTTTATCCAGCGCTTTGCTCTCCCACTTCCGTCATCGCACTGTGTCAGCTCACTCAACTCACCCAGTTCCATCGGAAAAGCGAGAGAGCTTCGGTTGACACGAGTGTATGTCCAGAAAGGATACCGAGTGCGCCAGTGAGTGTCGGTGGGGATGGTGCAGGACTCCTTGGTCTAGGTGACACTGTGCAAAGAGGAGATGGCCGAGCGTAATGCGAGGCCAGCGGTACTCTCAGTCTAGAGATGATGCCATCTTGGGTTGGTATCACAAGGTCTTTTGGTGCCCATTAATGCGAGATTGCACATCCTCCCATTCTTCCTTGGACAAGTACTGTTGCATGAGCGTCTTCTTGCCTCTCCATTGGGCGATGGTAGCTCCAAGTGCTTGGAGTTTCCAAGGCACCCACCATCTCAACGGGCCGAGAAACCATGCTCCAGAGAAGATGACCATAGCGGTGGCCGCCACGTGTCTATGTTGGGAGGGCTGAATTAGTAGGGAGACCTGTGGCCGTGCTTTGGAACGGTGACTATCTTGGGGAGAAGAGGCTGGGAGATGGACGAGCAACTGCTTGGTTTTGGATGAACAGTGTTGCGCCTTCTGAAGACCAGATCCTCCCTGGGAACCAGGGCTGGTAGGGACGCTGAAGGAGAAGTGGAATGGGCAACTCACTGCATCAGCATGATCTGAAGAATGCTCATCTGCTCCTTCCCGTTAGAAATATCGCTGAGATACAACAAAAGGTTCTGGAAAAACAGTCTATCCATCTTCTGATCCATATCGTCTGGGCTGGGATGAGCCCATAGCAGGAAGGTAGTGTCCTCTGTAGCATCCGGATGTGGCCAAAATGTATGTGGCCTCATGGGGGTGATCTCATAGGGGGTGGCTTCGCCGGTATTCTGTGGAGTGTGGATGGTGTCGACAAGATCATAAGTTGTAGTCGTACCCACCTGGCCGCTGAGGACGGCTAGAGACTCGGATTGTAGGAAGTGGATATGCAATGGAGGAGACTGTGCGGTTGAGAACCAGTCAGAGCGCGAAAGAGCGTACTTGCTCCTGAGATGGGAGTAGGTCTGGGGGATGTGCAAGGACGGAGCCCTTGGATCACATTCAAGTAGGGACTGACTTGATTATACTTCTTCCCTTTCCTGCATAACGGGTGATCCTGTTTGTACGTTGCACGCATCAAGACTCTTTATGATGACCATGCACGTTAGCTTATTCGCTTGAAATGGGGGGTTCAGCCTTGCACCTCATCCGCTCGTCTCTAGAGAGTTAAGCCACCAGTTCCAGGCTAAACGACCTCCACCACAACGTGCCGTCCTTGGACGAAAAGCCCCAGGCTTCCTTCGCGAGCCACATAAGCAATACGCCATCGCTCGCACGGCAGAGCAATAGCAAATCCTGAGAGCAAGTTGGAGAAGGGAAAATGGAAACCTACGACGCGTTTCTCTCAGGCCGAGGCTCAAGAAATTCCAAGATAAACGAGCCGTCAAACAGCGAGAAGGGGCCAGCGATGGTCGGCTCATCGCTAGATGCGAATCGCGACACACCGGAGTCGTTTGCTGAAGCCATCGAAGAGATATCTCGTCCTGGATATTAAGAGCTTGGCTTTGAAATCGTGCTGCTATTTGGTCTCGCGGAAAGATTTTCAAGTTCGTGCGGTCCACGGCAAGTCGGTGAGCGATCCTGAAAACCCGCTTGAGGGCAAACAAAGGGGAGGCCGATCACCGAACTGCACCAACAAGAGCAACAGCAGCAGAAAAACCCCACTATACGCGGCAATTACACCTTGAGCAGCGATAATTCATGACTATATAAAGGAACTCCCTCCTCGGACATGCTTTTCAAGATCTCTACAAGCTGTGCTGACACACGCTCGCACGCTATTGCTGACTACTTACGAAGGCTTCGGTATTTGCCCGTGTGTCGGCCCCCAAGTTGCTGTGCTCCGCTTGGGGCGTTGGCAGTTTTGGATTACCTCTGTCAAATGCCAGGCATGCCATACGGGACAGCAAGGGCTTGCGTACATCGACAAGCCATACGAAACCAACCGAAGAACGAGGTCCTCGTAATTTGGTCTTCATCTCCTCGCAGAGGCTAACTGGTATGGTCGTGGAACTGGCACATCGTGATGGCGGTGTGATGCATCGTCCTTCCAGCACGCGGTTCAATCTCTATCGGCAAGTCAGGATGTCTCCAAGGAATGGCGCACAGGCGAGCGAGAGGCCCGACGCGGCTTGGGTACCGCTCAAGAGATGCTGATCCTGTGTCTGCCACGAAAGCCCAATTATAATTATTTACGAGTAGTCCATGGCCCATGGCGTAGAGCCGCCTAGATTCTAGACGAAGCCGATCTGAAAGTTCTAGAGAAAAGCCTCAGACCTGGAAGAAGGAATTCAAACCCGCCTGCCTGAGTAGAGTCGAGAATTCTTCGGCTCCGTTAATATCAGTCTGCCCAGTGTCGCTGAATTGTCGCTCTCTATCTTGCCAGACGCCAATTATCTAAGTGCTTACCTTTTATTTAACTAATCCACCTCGTGTCTTCATGATATAATAATACCACGATGACATGGCAGGGGCCGCGCAACCGCGCAACAGAACCACAGAACCACGTGAGGTGGGTGCAGCGAGCCTTGCTATGTTGCATCCTTGGTTGTGATTGGGGGTTTACCAGTACCATTCCCGACTCGTCCGATTGCTCTTTCGATGAGGCAAGAATGGTTGCGGATGGTAACGAAGTAACTTGATGGATTGATTGATTGATTGATTGATACACCTAAAAGCCTCTTGGTGGGCTTATATCGGGGAAACTATCTAGCTCTATAGTAGGAAAGCCCTCTAGGTAGAAAAACCTACTATCTATAGACACTACTTTATGCTTTCCCTTTATACTAGGGGAGTACTCTTCGTTACGAGTTATTCCTCCTCGATCATCGAAGAACTTCGATGGCCTTATTAGCCTCTTAGCCCTAGTGCTTTCTAAGAGTCGCTCTCTATAACCGCTTATAACCTTATAGTTCTTTTAAGCTCCCTTATAAGCTTTTCGAGGCTACTCTTCCCTAATACTAGAACCTCTTCCCCGTTCTTTTCGGTAATCTCCGTAGAGCTTACAAGCTTCTTTAGCCCTTTATTAACGTCTATAACTATTCTATTACGCTTAGTTTATTAGTGGTCCCGGGGCTTGACCCCCTTTTGACCGCTAGTCTCCTAGGGCATTCTGCCTCCCCCTTAGGTTTCCTCTTTTGAGTGCTTGTCCTGACTTCTTCTAGGTCCCTTGAGTCCTTTCCAATGTCTCGTAACTGTGCGCAAGTAGTATCTGATTTCAACTCTTAATAACGAAGTAACTTAGTAGCTGCCTTGTGCTTTCGTAAAAAAATGCGACTTCTTCAAGTACGACGGCGTTAGGCTCCATTAACCACCGCCTGATTGATGGCCTTTTGATTCTACTCACGGGTTTGGAACCGAGTTTATTCTCAATTATGCCTGACGTACCTAAGACCACGAACGCCTTCCGTTCTTTCCCAACCCCTCAGAATAACGAATTGATAAAATCGTCTCACAACTCAGAGAAAATCGCTAACTACTCACTGTTTCTAACTACGAGACTGAGATGATTAGACTCTTGATCTCGTCTAGAACATGATCGACATCACTTTCAGTAAGCATGTCCTCTGGAGTAAAGATACCCACTCCTAGGTAACCGTTCTCCACCTTCGCCTCAATGTCTATGGAAGGCTGTAAGAAGGACACATGTCAGTACATTATTGAAGAACGCATCAGCAAGAGAGGGAGAGGAAGGGGAAATCTTACCAGACACCACTCGCCATGCGTAGTTATCAGTAGCTCAGCATCATTGAAAAATGGTGATGTATCCACGATGTCGGCAGCCTTGGTCCTCATCGCGTCGTTGACCTTGACATGAGATATACTCACATTCGCGTCAGGCTGTTCAGAATTTCCAGGTGTATCACTGCCATTGCCTTCTTCGTCACCACTTCCATTTCCAGGCAACGACAGGAAATTGACATAGGTGTCGATCTTGATGCCTGTCCAGGCGTAGATTTCTCGCATGCTTACGCTGCAGTGCTCCGGCCTGCTGATCTTGGCGAGATCTCGCTGGACTCTCTGCGCGATCTTGATGATGGATGAGCCAGAAGTTTGAATTCTGAGAGGGACGATGTTCAAAGTCGGTGCCGCCAACTCTGTCAAGCCGTCTATGTCGATTGATCGATTTGCGAGATAGACACCTATGATCACGTCTGTGTCGAGCTTCTGGTTGTGTCCAGCATCCGTTCGTCTTGGTAGTCTCGAAGCATATACCCGGGCATAAACTGCGAAAAGGAGTGCCTGGATGCTGATACCATGATACCTCAGCGTCTCTTGCAATTGAGAAATGTGCATCACCTCTGAATCAAACTTCTCCACCCTCTTGGTTTCAAATGACCCTTTGCTCAAGACAGGGAAAATCTCATGATCTTTGGTCAGATATCTGAACCAGAAGTCTTTCCTCGTATCGTTCTTGGTGTGGGTTTCCGAGATGAAGTCCTTGAGGTTACCTTTGACTCGAACCTCATGTTTGCTGTACTGGCATAAGTTTCTGAGCTCTGAAAAGACTACGTGCAGACTGACTGCATCATACAAAGCGTGATGGAGTTTCAGAGTGAGCAAATGATCCTGCTTCTGTTCCTGAATATGGAATGACCATGGAAGGTCATGATCCTCGACTTTCGCCTCTTTAATGATTAAGGACAGTATGTTGCCCTTTGGATCTCTGATGAATTTCGTCCTCAACATTTCCATCGATTTAGTCAGCTGCTTCATCGATTGGTGAATTCTCTCAGATGTTGTCCCAGACAGACGAAGCCAAAAGGTTGGATAAAACAAACGGCCTTTGCTGACTGACCACATATCAAGCATGTACGTTTGGCCAGCAGTGACTGGAAGCACCTGTTCGAAATCGGTTGGCTCCAGGCCCATATGACTGACGAAGGAAAGTGACTTGGACTCTTTGTCGCGTCTACCAATCGGAAATTTGTTCGTTTCTTGCGATAGGTCACCAAAGTGAGCGGCCACGAGTGCCATCTTTTCAACTGTCTGTGCCTTGACAATTTCGCTCACTGGTAGTCTCACCCCGTCCTTCTTCAATAGACTAGCGATCCTGATAGCACTAACGCTATCCAGACCAAGGTGGTAGAACCCTATTGACTTTGAGATTTGTTGCTGGTCTATCTTTGAGACTTTGGCAAGAACGTCCCTGATTCGGGTTTCCAATAGTGACCAATCTCCCGAGGCAGTAGCGCTGCTGTCCTGGCTGGTGGTTTCCGCAGGTTCCTTGATTTTGAAAGTATTCTCCAAATTCATAATCACAGGGGGTAATCCGCATATTGAAGCCCCATCTTCTGTATGGTGAATAAATTGCTCAGAGGGATTGTGTATAAATGACAACAGAATTTCGTTGAGCATGTTGATGAGCTTGCCAGCATATTCAAGATCCATCAGACCCTCCTGAGCAGCGATGGTCCACCTTAGACGACCCTCGTGGCCCTCAAACTCGACATTAATAGGGTACGGTGGACTGGTGTCATTGTCGTCTTCGTCACACTCATCATAGAGCACAGGAGAATGTCCGTCGGCGATTGGAAGTTTCTGAAACGTGAACAGAGTGTCAAATAGTTGATTTTGTTGATGTTGAGTCCTCCAAATTCGAAGTGCATCCCTTAAAGGAAAGTGCTGATGTCCAGAAACGGTGATCATGGTATCATGCACCGCTTTGAGAGTCGTAACTTTATTGCAATTTCCATCAACATTAGGCGCAAATACAACGGTGTTGAACGTTGGAAAGATGAGATCCTCGGAGTTCTCAGTTGTTCGGCCAGAGAGCACAAGGCCAAAACATACATCCAAACATTTGCTGACATGGGCCAATGCGATGGTCCAAATGGTGAGGCCAAGGGACTGTAATGTGACGCCCTGCACCTGGCAAAACTTTAGTGCTTCTACAAGCTTGATGTTAGACGAACATTGTGCTCGGATGCGCCCAATCGATGGTTCCTGAGCTGTTATGTGGACTGCAGAGATACAAGGTTGGATCCTTTGCATGTACTTCTGCCAGAACTGATGTGCATCAGTGCCGTGATTATAGCGGATCACTTCTTGAATGTGCCGTTCGTAGGAGACTTCCTTTGAATATCCTGATGATTTCACCACGGAGTGGTACATTTTGCTAACTTTCTCGTGCAGAAGGTGCAGTGACCACGCGTCGTATAGAGCGTGCGGAGATCCGAATACCAGGAACACACCAGCCTCTCCATTGTTCACAAACTGGAGGTGGAGGGTTTGGCTCTCAATAGTCAGATCTCTTTTTGAGGTTTCAATACGATCGATAATCTCAGAAAGTGATTCATTGTTTGAGAATCCGACACCAGTCGAATTCTTGGTCACGTATTGGACGACTAAATCCTCGCGCTCAGCATCTTGGTCGACAATTGCAAAGCGGGTCCTGAGGATAGCTTCGCTCTGACAAACATTTTCCCAGGCAGTGTGAAGTCTCTTGATGTCAACATCTTTCCGAATCCTGTAGACCAGCACATTAAAGTATTTCCCTGGCTCCAGAAGAAGTCCTTCCTGCATTGGCGTTACAGGCAGAATTCTCTGAACAGTTTCGATTTCAACCCCTTGTTTGTGAAGCTTATTGCAACAAGATGCCTGCATGTCCGCAATTGGAGTCATTTGACTACCGCCGTGCTCCTCTTGACGAGGATTAAGCGCACTTGCTCCAATCTGACTAGCTATACCTGCAACAGTAGGTGACTTCATGATAGCGCTGGTAGGTATTCTCGCAGAGCGCTGCCGGAGCCGGGCGGCGAGTTTCATCGCCTCTATACTGTCCAAGCCCATCTCAAAAATAGTTGGACTGTCCTTCCCAATTCGATGTTCCGGGATTGAAGCTAGCTGAGCTACTTCCGTCCTTATCATCAGTTCAATTTCACTCCACCTAGAGACATCACTCAGTGTGTCTAGGCTAGTGTGGGAAGAAAGGCTGCTAGAGCTGTAGAATCCATCTGAACGGCAGACTTCCTCACTGAAGTGGTCAAGCTGGATCGCAGCAGTCATTTTGAGATCCCGTACAAGCTCAAGATAAATCTCTAGTATCTCCTCAGCGTGATCGCTGTCAACAAATTCAGGCTTGGTCAGTAAAGTCAACTTAAATTGATCACCGTCTTGTTCGACTTCAAGGTTTAGAGGATACTCTGGCGAGCTTTGCTGAGTTGGTACCTCGTGCCACAAAGCAATTTTTGCATTCTTCGGATGGGCTTTTTGGAACACGAATAACGCCTCAAAAAGTCCTTTTTGAACATCCTGCCCAAGATGCCGTGCTATCTGTCTTAGTGAAGTGTGGTGAAAAGGCAATGACTCAATATTAAATTGAGAGCATCTTTGGACAAGCTCAGGAAAACTCGACTTCTCCGACAAATCGCAGACTGCAAAGGGAATGGTGTTGAACATAGGTCCAATGATGGCCTCCGCTCCTTCTAGTGCCAGCGCCCGACCTGAGACAACGACTCCAATCGTAGGGTTGATACCAAACACCTGATACAAAACATACAGCCAGGAAGCCTGAAAGAAAGCTGAAACGGTGACATTCAACTTATTGCAGAAATCAGACAACCCTGCCTGGGTCAGTGTCTCCTGCAAACAGACGACTTGCTTCTTGTCATCATGAAGTGGTCCTTTGGAAGACAAGTTAAGTCGCATTACGGTAGGTAGTTTCGAATTCCAGAATTCCGCCTCCTTTGACCGCACGCTGAGAGGCCCATAGGGAAGGGCATCGAAGAACTGCACTTCCGCTTCGATTCTCGGTTCAGGATGGACATAGAGTTCTTTGATCGTCTCTAAAACCAGGTTCAGGCTGATACCATCGTAAAGCCCATGGAAAAATTGCAAAGACATATACTTTCTTCTCCCAAATGTAATTAGATCGACCTTCCATGGAAGCTTTGCGGTGAAAGATTTGGTCTTTTTTGTCCAATCGGCAAAAGATCTGTCCCATAGTACACCAAACTGTGTCTTTCCGTTTTGGAGTTGCCTCAGCTGAACTCCGCTCCGGGGGTTACTGTGAAGCACTACTTGCGCATACCCATCAACAGTAGAAACAAAGTAGGTCCTTAGGATAGCAATCGATTGCTCAGCAAGAGTCCAAACATCCCTCAGCTTCTGAAGATCGATTCCATCATCTAACACGTAGTGAAACTTTGAAAAATACGTAGTATCTCCTTCATCGTAGCTCCCAACGGCTTTTGATAGCATACCTTCTTGTAAAGGAGTACACGGGGCAATGAGTTGAATATCATCCACATATTTTCCAAGTGTCTTAGCAACTGAAGACAAATGGGTGTTAGCAAACACCTCAATCCTCTTCTGTGCCTCTGCCACATTGATAATACTTTCCTGGTCACGACTCCCACGATTCAATGATTGAGCTAATTCGACCACACTGGGATGTTTGAGAATTGTTGCCACACTGGTGTGTTCAAAGCCACGTTTCTTGAAAGCTCGAGACAGCCCTATGGCTGACACAGAGTCCAATCCAAGCTCGAAAAGCCGTGACGATGATTGTATTGTAGAGACTGGAATTTTTAGGAAGGATGCCACAATCTCGATAACTTCAGGTAGGATGGCAATCTCCTGACTCGTAGCCTCACCATTCTCGTTTGGTGTTAGACTGGCCGATCGTGAGAAGTGTTCTTCGAACAAAGCCTTCAAACATTTCAGATCAACTTTGTTGTTGATTGTCAGAGGTATGACTGAAAGTGCGAAATAATAGGTGGGGACCATGTACGCTGGCAAGCAACCAGTGCACCTCTCTTTGATATTCACAATCAGTTCATCCACACCCCGAGTCTTGATAACAGCTGGCTTATCATTTCTATTCCGTTTATGGCTTGTGCAGAAAAATGTGACAAGTTGGTCTTTTCTTTGAAGTGGATGTTTCAGGACCATAGTCGTGACGTCCTTAAGGTCTGAGGAGGCTCTCAGAATGACATGGTTGATTTCTCCAATCTCCAACCGCTGACCTCGTAGTTTTACTTGGTCGTCTACTCTTCCGAGAAAATCGAAACTGTTATTGTGTAAAACTCGTACTAGATCTCCAGTTCGATAGATTCGAGCTTCGTAATCCTCCAGCATGATGAATTTTTCAGCGGAGAGTTCTGGTCGATTGAGATACCCTTTTCCAACAAGAGGGCCCGAAAGGCAAAGTTCCCCCACGGCACCACGAAGTACTGGAACGGTAGTGCCTGGTCTTAGCACGAAAGAACCAACATTGTCCCATTGCTGGCCAATGTTCGTTGGTTTTGCCGTCTTTGGTACATTTGGGTAAACGGTGCAGCCAATCGTGACTTCACTTGGACCGTAGAAATTATATAGACATTGTGAATCTCCCCAGGTCTCCAAGATCTCCCGGCTTAACTGCTCCCCACCCACAATGAATACGCCACGACATAAGCTTGGTACTTCTTGAGGAGTCAATAGCCGTGCCAAACTTGGGGTGAGATCAAGATGAGTGATGTTTAACGCACTGATTGTTCCAGGCAGATCCTCGAAGAGCAGATCTCGAGGGATAGAAGTGACGCATATACCTACGCTCCAGCTCCAGTATTGTTCCAGGACACTAACGTCAAAATGGAAAGCTGCAAATTGGAGCCATCTAGATTGAGACTCCCATCTGCCTTTGAAGATACGTTGGAATGACAACATTGCTTGTACTGCGCTGTCATGGCTGATCAGGCAGCCTTTGGGTGTGCCTGTTGTGCCTGAGGTGTATAGGCAATAACAAGTGTCTTGAGGGTTGATATCATGAGCCAGTTCTGGCTTCTGGGTTGGCAAGTTGCGCCATTGCTCGTCATCTACCGCAATGATGGACAAACCTGGGCTCTGAGGAAAGTTGTGGACCTTGTCAGGCGTAGTGAGCACGAACTTGCAACGTGAATCGTTCAAGATAAATGTCTTCCGTGCCTCAGGAGCGCTTGGGTCAATTGCAAGGTAACCACAACCTGACTTCAAAACGCCAAGGATCGAATAGAATGCCTCAGGGCATTTGTCAAAGCAGACCGCGACCAGGTCGCTTGTACGGACACCTCTTTGGATCAAAAGGTGAGCAATCTGATTCCCACAACAATCCAACTGAGTATATGACCAAGTTTCTCTTGAAGGCTTTTGCTCTTGAATACTGGTGACAAATTCCAAAGCAGGACTATTTGGCTTGTCCTTTGCAGTAGCTTCGACAAACTCATGTAAAAATCGCACTTCAGTAGCTATCTTTTCATCTTTAGCACCAATAATGGAGAAGAGTCTTGTGTCCAGGTCTCTTGTCGTGCCTTCAACAGCTGATAGGATCGCGTTGACAGCCCAAGAAAATTGAGTGAGAATACATGAGGCCTGCGGTGAGGGCATAAGGTCTTCTCGGTATGTAAGCTGGAAAAGAAATTTTTCCACGTTCGTTGGGAAAATTTCAAGTGAGAGAGCATATTCAGCGGTGGCCTCATCGTCGCAAGCATGCCATGGTCGTTCTACCGTTTCATCGGAGGTGTAATTTTGCAAGGCTATGACGGTGTCAAACAATTCGCCCTCAATTCCAGCAGATCGCTTTATGGAATTCAAGGATGTATGCTGGTGTCTCGTCACCGCTGCGCTGCGTCTAGTGGCTCGTTTGAGGGTTTCGACTAAATCACCTGATGCATTCAGTGTAAACGGAACCGTGTTAATGCAAGGGAAAGCAACGTTATTGTCCTGATCTGTTTCAAAATTGCGGCCAGACAAGACGACGCCGAAGGTCACAAATTCCTGTGCTGTATAAGCGGAGAGCACAATCGACCAAGCAGCAGCAAACAATGCTTGTAATGTTGTATCGGCTTTGGCGCATCTTGTTTTGATGTCCGACTGCAGCATTTCACATTGTTCAGAAACGACATGAAATGTTTCAGTGGAATTGCTGAAAATATTGAGGTTGGGGAATTTCGTGGAGCAAAGTTCTGAACTGATGCTAGACCAAAATTTCTCAGAACTCTCTGCGTTGGCCATTGAGAGAAGGTTTGTTATTGCAACATCAATACTTCTAGGCTGTAGCATTGGCATACCCCAGTATAAGCAAGCAACGTCGTGTAGGATGATGTCCAGCGAGCTTGCATCATAGAGTGCATGTAGCATTGAAACTTCCAATATGCTCCCAGACTGATTCTCTACCAATGTCAGATGCCATGGAGGTGTAGTCAATTCCTCCAGGTACGGATTGGTTGCAGCGCTGCGCGAGGCTGGGCGCCCCTGAACACGTGACCATGGAAGGCCGGTGGTACCCGGGCAATATGTCACCATTGCAAATGGCTGTGTCGGGTCGTTCAATTCCACAAATCCTGTCCGTAGCATCTCATGCGAGGACACCGCGCTATTCCAACTACTCTCTAATTTCGTAATGTCAATAGATTTGTTAAGACCAAGTCGAAGTGTGTTGAAGTACATTGAACCGTTCGTGCGGAGAAACTGGGATAGAATGCCTGATTGCGTAGATGTACACGGTCTCACAGCTTGGACGTCTGCTTCATTAATAGAGTATTCAGCGCAAAGCTTGTGACGATTCTCGTTGTTAAACTTGCTGAGATCAAAGCTTATGTGCTGGGCCTCCCTATTCTTGATCTCGCTCGAGCACAGTTCCGCGATTCGTCGAATGGTCATTGCCTCGAGGATATCTCCACTCGAGATAGCATAGTTAAGCTCGCGTAGGCTAGTTGAAATTTGAACAGTATTAATGCTGTCCAGCCCAAGGCGGAAAATTGTTGTGTCTTTGGCCACGAGTGAGGGCACCTCTGGCTTCAACTGCCGTATAACTCGCAGAATCTGCTCTTCCGTCTCAGAGAGTTTTTCGAATGAGTGTTTCGATTGGAAATCACTATCAGCGCTCCCAAAGGCAATATCAGAATGTCCCTCAAACGCAAGAAACTCAGGCATAAGCTCATCGATTGCGGAATGATCAACTGCCCGAGAGTGAGGAAATGTTACGACATGGTCAAGGAGCGTATCATAACATTGCAAGAGACTTTTGAGCAAGTGATCCTGTGCAATGGTCGAGTGCAGCTTTAAAGTCAAACAGTCATCCTTGAAATTCAAACAGACCTCGAGAATAAAAGGAAATTCCATATCCCCAGTCTCTTCTTCAAGAGTCCAAATTTCCTCTTCAAGTTGAGTATTACTCTGCTGTAGTAGGATTAAGGTGTCAAATAGTGGTCTCCCATCCTTTCCATTTTGGTTCTGAATTCGACGAAGTGAGCTAGGTTGGAAGGGTAGAATTTCAATGTTTGTCTGTTGCAAGTCCTGACACAGGCTGTGAGCTGATTGATTGGGCCTCACCCTCACTCTTGTAGGAATGGTATTGAAGCATGGACCCACAATGCTTTCCACCCCATCGATTGGCAAATTTCGGCCACTAAGCACAGTTCCAAAGCAGACATCTTGCTTCTGGAAAATGCAGAGAAGTATTTGACTCCATACGGTCTGAAGCAAGGAGAGACTCGTCGTCGATAGCTTGCGCAGTTTTTCTCTGAAAGCACGCGGTCTTACGACGGCATTTTGCTCCATCGTGGAAAGGCGTCCAACTGGTCTTTTGTCTTGTGGTCGTAACATATCACCCAATCTGCAGGGTGAAGACAAATGAAGTTGCTTTTGCCAGAAGTCATCTTGCTTGCCCAAGTCAAGACTTTCCATGAAATGAATGTAACTATTGAATGAGACGGGAGGTGGCATTTGTCGGCCTTGGTAAGCGGATTGGATTTCTGCTTGTAAAAGAGACATGGCCTCTGCATCGTAAAGTACGTGGTGGATTTCCAGGACCAGCTTTATATCGCTTTTATTCTGAAGGATCCTAATGCGCCAAGGTGGAAGCATGAGCTTGTCCAGATTGGTGCTCGCAGGCGGGTTATTGTGCCCGTCTAGCCAGGGTAGTCGGAACTGTTTAAGAACCACCTGTACGTATGGTCGCTCGGCTGATTCAGAGGCAACGAAACCAGTCCTGAGAAGCTGATGCCTCCTCATAGCCGTATCCCAAGCAGCTTTCACCCTGCATAAGTCTCCATTTACCCTGAAAACAAGAATATTCTCGTACGCTTCTGCGACAGAATTGGTTGATTTAATTGCCATGAATTCTTGCAATGGAGTGCAAGGTAGGAGAGACTCGATCTCGAGCCCGAACTGTGCGTACTGCGCCGTGATCTTAGCCTTCCACTCATCGGCCAAAAAATAATCAAAAGGTCGATGGCTACTAAGGTTTGGCTGCTGTGACCTAGTATTGTCAGTGGCCAAAGTCAATTGGCCGATAGAGGGGTTGCGTAATATGGTAGAGACATCGGTATGTAGAAGTCCAGCCTTCTTGAGAGACTGCATCAGGTGAATGGCACTTATTGAGTCCAGACCAAGGGCAAAGAACGAGCTGTTACGCCCTATGTTGTCAAGAGCAATCTGCAGGGTCTCGCACACCACGTTTGCGAGTTTCTTCTCAAATCCTGAAAGCGGATTTGCACCTTCTAGGACTTTGGATTCCCTAGAAATCTGCTGGAGGTGTTCTGGGTCAAGCGTATGATACACATCAGCCAAAGCTCGGCGGTCGGTTTTGCCCTGTCTCGTCAAAGGGATACGCTCAAGATATATGAGGGTGTCAGGAACCATATATGTTGGCAGACTGCAGCCCAGGAGTTCAAAAAGAGCATGAGTCTTGATAATTACATCCTTATTTGAAAATGATGGGTGTGTTTGCGTGGACCAGAATGATATCAGGCGATCATTTCCACTTGCTCCTTTGATAATCATTGACACCGCGTCATTGACGAATTCGCAGCTTAGAAGAGACGAATTGATCTCGCCTAACTCTAAGCGCTGACCTCTGAGCTTTACCTGGTCGTCTTCTCGACCAGCAATGACGAGAGTATCGTCGACCAGAAGGCGACCGATATCTCCGGAGCGATAAAGGCGGCCATACCTTGGATGGCTGAGAAAACTCCTTGCAGTCAGTTCATGGTCAATGTAGCCTCGGCCAACCTGTTCTCCTCCCACCCAAATTTCCCCTATTGCGCCCGTTGGAAGGAGTCGAAAGCGTTCCACAGAAAGTTGTAGAGTATTCTCATTGGTTCTCGAAGCAGTGTCCTGTCTCTCACAAACAAATATGGACGCATTTGCTAAGGCCGGGCCGACATTGTTCTGCACGTCCTGCTGAAGAACCGCTGGCCGGACATTGCATATATTTGTTGTTTCACTAGGCCCATAGCCCTGATAGAGGCCTTTGCCAGCCCAGTCTGAGAACACCTTTGAATTCATGGGCTCCCCCGCAGTTACCAGCATCTTTACGAGCGGAACGTTTTGGGGGTTTATCAGGGCTGCAACGGAAGGTGTGAGGCTGAGATGAGTTATCTGGAGCTCATGGATAAGGGCTTCAATATCTTTGAACAGAATATCGTTTGGTGCTGTACATAAAGTCATTCCCCTGTGCCATGTCCAAAATATTTCAAACACAGATACATCAAAGGCGGGGGAGCACGCCTGTAGCAGCCTATCTTGCCCAGGTTTGGAAGGGTATATGGACGAAAGATCTCGTAGATTGCTCAGAAGATTTCGGCGGGTGATAAGAACTCCTTTAGGGACTCCAGTACTCCCGGATGTAAAGACTGCGTAAGCAAGGTTTTCTGGAATGCAGAATTGAGACTTCTGCGATATTGAGGAGGGCGATCCTTGTTCACTAGCATCTCTTATCCGAAGAAGCTTCTGCCCCCTCTCGGGCCGAAATTCTGAATCATGGCATCCATCTGTCAAAATTATTCTGGTATGTGCCTCTTGCAATATTTGCCCTAACCTTGCCACCGGCGTGCGAACGTCCACACAAAGATAAGCAGCACCTGCTAGAATGACACCCAAGATTCCAATATATAGCTCGGTTGACTTCGAGGCGAATATACAAATCAGCTCATCTTGCTGAACCGTGTAGATGTTTCTCAGAGTCGAAGCAAGTCCCAAGGCCCGCATGTAAAGATCTCCGTAAGTAAGACATTTCTTTTCGATGCGCAATTCGTCTGGATCAAAATATTGTACAAACTCAACAGCTGTTCGCTCTGGATCTGTTTGTGCAAGGCCTGCAATCGTTGATACAAGATGGAAATCTTCGTTGAACTCTTCATAGTCGGTGTTAGACGCTGACATGATCTTGTCGTCGCTGTTTCGCCACAGCTCGTCTAATGACATCTCGAAATCAGCAGTGATCTTGGATACTAAATAGTCCATCTGACTGCCCAATAGTACCGCATGAGACTCGGGAATTAAGGTTGAATCGAATGTCATCTTCATCAGGAGTTGGCTATCTCGCGGCTCAAACTCAAGAATAATAGTGTAGTCCAAGGAATCTTTCGAATTTATCGTGGACACCTTTGACCGGTCTCTATTGGTCGAAATCGAATCTTCCTGCCAGACACAGAGAGTGTCGAAAAGGCGCTGCCCTGGTTGGATACCAGCAGCCCGGTGAATATCAAGAAGGCTGAGACTCCCATTTTTGAGGTATTGTATACGCTGTCTTTGAACAAAATCAATCAAATCGTGGACGGTTCTGAGAGTAGAAAAATCTATGCGTAGAGGGAGCGTTGCTAGACAGGGTCCAATGATGGTTTCAATTCCACGCATTGGTAAATGACGACCTGCCGAGACGACTCCAATGGAGAGATCGGTGGTATCAGTATAAGAAGACAATAAAAAGGCCCAAGCAGATTCCAATATGGTCTCTCGGCTGCAGCGTACTAGTCTCGAGACGTTCGAAAGTTTCTGCGTTCCGATAGAGATCTGGGAAATAACTGAGATCCTCTCCTGATTGGAAACGTGTCGTACAGATGATAGATTGGGGAATGGAGAATGGACAAATCCCTCTAGAGTCGTGTGCCAGTATTTTGTACTTTTGGCTCGCTCTATCGACATCTGTCTAAGCTGACTTTCGTACAGTTTTGAAAATTGTGTTCGCGTTGGCAATGGCTGCCTTGACAGAATCAAGTTCAAATCGTCCATGATCAGTTCCCAGGACCAGCCGTCATACAAAGCATGATGTATCCGTATAATTGCTTCATTCTTGCGTTGTGGTACAATGCACAATTGTAACGGACGGAGGAGACTCAGGTCACATTCCGTCCAGTCATGCCACACAATTTGGGCGAACGGCATCGCTTGGTCGCCTGTTGAAATGAATCCAGATCGCAATATCTCGTTTTGTCTCGCTAGTAATTGGAGACCTTGCCGAAGATCTCCAATTGTCACTCCAGACGCCAGTTTGACCAAAATCTCGTTGAAATTCAGGTGGCCTTGGTTGGTTGTTTCCAATAGCATTGCGATCTGCATTGAGCTACATGGTATGATCGACTCGCAGTGTTGGAGCATACTTGCAAGGGTCGAGCTCTTGTACAGAGTTTCTTTCACCTTCTTCCACCGAATCATGGCCTCGTCCAGGACGCCATCCAGTTCATTTTCAGATTGAGGCGCGCTTGATTGTATCGTCGCCGAAAGCTGAGCGACAGTCTCTGCCTCAGCGACAACGGCAGCAGACACATCGGGATATTTCCCCCTGAGGATTGAAGCGACCTTTATGGATAGTAAAGAATCAAGCCCTAAAGACCATAGAGAGGATGACCGGTGTAAGTGGCATCGCAGCTCGTTTCGGAGCACTTTTAGAACATCGTGTTCAAAATCGTCTTTAAAATCGTCGTCTTCACCAGCAAAGGTACGCAAGTCTCGGAAGTCACTTTCGAGCTTCTTTCGATCAATCTTTCCCGAAGGCAAGCGGGGTATCCCGGCTTGGAGAACCATGACTTCGCCAGGCCGCATGTAGGAAGGTAACCAGGACTTGCAGACTGAAGAGATATTGGAGGTGTCAATAGTTTGCTCGCCTGCACAAAATAGTACGAGAATGTCGTCGATCACGCTTGCTACAGCAACATCAACGCCTTGAGCCTTGGATGCAACTTCCTCGATCTCTCCAAGCTCAACTCTCTGACCTCTTATTTTGACCTGGCCGGCTGACATGCGACCAAGAATTTCCAAATCACCGTTAAGTTGGCATATTGCTCGATCTCCAGTCTTGTAGACAGGTCCGTAGCCAGGAAGCTCCACAAATGCCGCAGAATTCTGATCGGGCCGGTTGAGATAACCGTCAGCCAGTTGGCCAGAGACGGCAAGCTCACCAGGTTCGCCTATCCGCGCTATTTCGAGCCCGTCGGCCTCTTTCAAGATGAATGTCGTCACAGTTGAGAAGGGTCTGCCAATGCTCCGAACTGAACTAGTCGCTTCCAGCCTAGGAGCTAGAGTGCAATGAATAGCCGCCTCTGTTGGCCCGTACATGGCATAAAGCATACTTGGCTTTTGTGCGGTTCCCCCAAATTCAGAAACAACTGACCGTGTCAGCATCTCTCCGATAGTTAGAAGAATTCGAAGGCACGGAGCTGCCTCTCTAGTCCGTAGGAGCGTGCCTGCCACCGTAGGTGTCAGCTCTGCGGCATCTGCTTCGAGTTCTCGCAATGCCGCCGGAAGGTCGGAGAGCATTCGTTCCCGTTCACAGCTGACCAGAGTGGCACCCCGAAAGAACGGGAAGAATATCTCAAAGATGGATACATCGAAAGTGGGTGAGGCGAACTGAAAGAATCGTTTGAAAGGGGGTATATGTTCGTCATGTGCAAGCAAAGATTGCGATACGGAGAGATGTGAGACTTTGACACCCTTCGGTAAACCCGTCGAGCCCGAGGTGTACATCACGTACGCTGGGCCATCAGGGTTAACAACAGGAAGGGGCTCTTTCTCTAGTGGCGCTTCACCGGAGACATTCAGCCTCTCCTCCAGAACATGCAGCGATACTGGGATACACTTGACGTCACCTAAAGTATCTTGAACAGAAGCTAGATTTCTGGACAGTGTGAGAACACATGGTGCGTGGACATCCTTGACGATAAATTTAAGCCTCTCTGCTGGTACATCCAGACTGACGGGACAGTAGCCTGCACCAGCTTTCAAGACCGATGTCCAAGCGATATAAAGTTCTGGACACTGTGGTATAATGGCTGGGATGATCGTATCGCCAGTTTCGCAAGATGGTAGCTGGGTCAGTATCTCTTTGGCCAGTGTATCTGTCAAACGGTGGAACTGGGCATAGTTGAGCTTAATTCGTTGACCTTTTGAAGATAGGTAATCAAGTATGAATCTGTCGTGGTCCAGCGGCGAGCTCGCGATCAATTCATGTAATAATGACGGGCCTTGCAACGTTTGGCGGTTCTGGTTGACTATCGCGAGATCTGCGGATACCGTGGCCGTAGCCACTCGCGACCGCGCCATCTTCGCGATCAGTACAGCCAGCAAGTAGTCACAATAATGAAATTGGCGAGGCGGTAGAGCACTTCAACGAATGTATCTTCGCAAGCCCATTTCGCAGGGTAGTCGATCATAAGAAAATAGTACACGTCGTCGTGAAGGAGTGATACACAATGATGTCACAGCCGAGAGATTGGAGAAGGTATGGATTTTCAAAACGGCACTTCCGATCACACCAGCTCAGTTGTCGGAGATGCGTCAAGCCCCTGTTTCACGGAGGCCAAAGACAACAAAATTTCGGGTGGTTAGAATGCTTCACCAGAGACTGCTGAGTGTTTGTTGTGTCCATGGACATGGCGATGCCTTGAGTATACCATTCAGGCAGTGGTGAGTCGTCCCACTTAGCGATGCATAGTTTGCATGGTCACAAATTAAGCCGGTCAAATGACGGATGCCAACGTTGTCGCTAAATGAAGATTGGGCAAGTGGGTGGTCAGGGCTGCTTGGATCGACATAAGACCTACTACGGCCAATTCAAAGAAAAGAAATTTTCTCACTCGTCACAGCCGAGCTGATTAGCCTCGAAAGAAGATGCAGAACATGCAGCGAGGTGAAATGGAAGATGCATTGAATTCGTAGAATCTCGTAGAGAGCGGGGACTGGATCCTCACCGAGGCAGTAGCGGCCATGTGTGGGGGTTGCTCCTGCCTGTTTCATTTGTCCAGGCATCCATGGCGTGACACTGATTTAATCAGATAATCGCACAATCTCTGATCTGATTATCAGATAATCGGCATCAGCTTTTCTCGCCCATGGGCCCCTCCTCGGTCCTCCGTCATCGGCTGCAGGGGTCTTGCTGGTGATAGGAGGGTCTCTTTTCCTCCTTCATCCCTACATTGACGTTCCATGCAGCGAGTGGCGTGCTGTACGTATTGGTATTTGTAGGCGTTTGCATGCCTTCCAGACCCTCGATCCCACATCGCTTGGCTGGTTATTCGACCCAACGAGTCCAGGGCGACCCTCTACTTGACCTTTTTTTTCCCTGTCTGGCGGACAGTTCCGATCATGATGACACCAAGTAGTACTTTGCGCGGCCGGTCAACGCATCGATTCGTTTCTGCCCTGGATGTAGCCTTGACTATAATGCAGATAGGTTTGTCCGGCGTCCGGACAAGTCAGAGAAATTTTACTTCCTCTGTAGTCTGCTCCCCATCAATCTCCTGAATTCCGAGTATCTTGTTCATATCTCGACCACATCACTCACGATGGCCCCTAGCGCCATCTCTCCAGATGTCGTGACCAGACATGCGGGCGAAGCCACCGCTCCATTCAATGGGCATGACAATTGGCAGAGTAGACCCGTGGAGAATGGGGCATCGCGAGCTTTCCACTCGACATCAAGCCTCTACGCTCCCGCTCTGCATGAAGTTCACGATCTGGTAGGAGTCGGCTTTGGTCCAGCGTCTCTAGCCATTGCCGTCGCTCTCAGTGATGGGCTTGAAGCACAAGAGAGTGTAGGACATGGCTTCAATACCCCTAAAGTGCGATTCCTTGAACGACAGAATGGCTTCAAATGGCATGCGGGTATGTTGCTGCCCGGAGCAAAAATGCAGATTTCGTTTCTCAAAGACCTTGCAACGCTTCGAGACCCTTGCAGCCATTTTACCTTTTTGAACTATCTCAAGGAGCATGGAAGGCTGGTGCAATTCACGAACCTCGCCACCTTTTTACCTTCGAGATTGGAGTTTGACGACTATCTCCAATGGGCCGCCACACATTTCAATGATGTGGTGGAGTACGGGCAGCAAGTTCAGTCCATCCACCCCCGCAAGCTGGGCAACAGTGGGAAATATGACTGTTTCGAAGTAGTGTCGCGGGATTTATCGACTGGGGAATCGACCACGATCTTGAGCCGGAATGTTGTGGTTGCTGTTGGTGGTCAGCCTGCACGGCCAGCTATATTTCCAACGTATCACGAACGCATACTACACTCATCTGAGTACAACATTCGTATCGAAAGAATACTCCCGGACAAGGAAAAGGCATACTCCATTGCAATTATGGGTGGAGGTCAAAGTGGTGCAGAGGTCTTCAATAACCTGCACGAGCGATACCCGAATGCGACAACTCGTCTCATTTTCCGAGACTCGGCACTTCGACCGAGCGACGACTCACCATTTGTAAATGAAGTGTTCAACCCTGAGGCAGTGGACACCTTTTTCGAGCAGCCACAGGATTTTCGATCCAAGAATTTGGCGAAGAACAAAGCCACCAACTATAGCGTGGTAAGACTCGAGCTGATTGAGAAGATATACGACGATCTGTATCTTCAGAGCATTCACAGCCCAGATCGACGAGAATGGCAACACCAGATTCTACCATTGAGAGAAATTAGCGACTTTAGTGATAATGGCAAACAACTGACGCTCAATGTGACGAATCTGGACCCCTTGAGCGGGAACACGACCGAGACGATGTCCTTTGATGCTTTGATCCTTGCCACTGGCTACCGCCGGGATGCTCACAACGAGCTCCTCAAAGATTGCCAATTGATCAATGGCAATCGCAGCGGTATTTGGGAACCAGGGCGAGATTACAGCTTGAACCTGGATGATTTATTGGTTGAGGATGGCGCTGGGTTGTGGCTGCAAGGGTGCAATGAGGCGACTCATGGCCTCTCGGACTCTTTACTTTCAATCTTGTCCACGCGCAGTGGTGAGTTGGTAGACTCGATATTTGGGGCACAAATCAAGCTCAATGGACATTGAAGGCTATATATACATAATGGAGGTCTGATTATGTCGTTCAACCAGGTTCGGGTCGTTGTCACAAGAAAGACTAGAATATCAACCTCACCGCTATTTCATTTCCATTCAAAATGAACCAGTCCCCCTATTTCCTCCATACGGGCATCCGCCCAAGAGCAGACCTCACGGAGTCCCTAGCCTTTAACTCGGGTGCTGCATTCTCAGCGGTATGAGGTCCGAGCATCAAGGTACGGAGTACTTGTGCCTCGCGATCCAACTTGAGCCCTCTCTGCGCGCCACCTCCGCAGGCAAGCCACAGAATACCCCGGTCACCTCAACTGCCGCTGACCCTGTGCTTAGTCGTAGGCTGGAGGAATGGTTGGGGGAGTCGGGTCAAGGGACGTGGTGTGCATCCTAATGCTGGCTGGGCAGAGTGAGAATCATCTACATTATTGCATCTTTGTCGTCATCTCTGATGCACACTACTCCGAGGTTTGAACGAGCACGACCGAGTGGGAATATTAATAATTGAATCACTTATTGTCATTTTCAGTATTGAGTAGAGCCTAGATTGCCTGGCGGCAACAGAAAAACTGTGCCTCGGCATTTCGAGAAATTGCGAGCTGCGAATCTGCGGCGGCCGATTCCAATTCCAACTTTGGCTTCCACCTCCATCCACAAATCCAACTCCGAACCAAACCTTGACCACCACTGACCTTACGGACGCAGGTCCATCAACAAGCCTGTGTCGATTCGTCAACTTTCGGAGTGCCTGCTCACACTTCAGTCCCCTGCTGTTCTATATTGTTTCCCGTTCATCTCTCGCATTCTCCTGCAAGATCATGCTGCGTTGACCACAACTAACTGACTGGAAATGGGCCCCTCAGACCATGGCCTTGAGCACCCGAAGAAGCGGCGCAGGCGCGAGGTTGAGCGACGCCCTCTCGCTGCTCGCCTCGTCTTCGATGACACTGTCAAGGGAAATGCTGCTATTGTTCCCCAGAGTCTCTGGTCCAGGCTCGGTAGTGCTGAGGGTATTTCCACTGCACATTCCTCCTCCCGTTCAACACTGACTCTGGACAGCATCTACAGACACTGCCTCAGAGGGCCGTCCGGCCTTCCTGGCCATTACTCCTTGGTCGCCCCTACACATAGAGATACAAGAGTCCACATGGACACTCCTCACTGCGCAGCTGCAGCTGTCGCCTGTCTCGACAGACGCTCCCCAGCAACTCGAAACCATCAGGATTTCTCCATCAGCCTCCGCCTGCCAATCCATCCTGAAGACCTATACCATCATTGATAGAGACCGACATCCGGGTCATGTGCCTAAGTCGATCGACATCCGGGTTTTATCCTCAAAGCCATTGAGTCTGGACACAGTCTATGTCTCCGTTGAGAAGGGTCTACTCGAGAAAGTGGATGACATTCAAACCCGCTTCGGTGGAGGCTTCCAATCAACCAAAAACCCCCGCGCAGACAAAAGGACAGCCACGATGAATGGTGTTCTTCCAAACATTCCTCCACACATCCACCGTATGACTTCGTTGGTCCGAGAAGGCCTCGCACTGCTCCCTATTGTTCACTCGGGCGATGTATTCCCATTACCGCTCCCAGCGCACCCTATCACCCATGTGAGACCGCCTCCTGCAATTGTTATTGAGTGCGAGCCAGTATCGCAGGGTCAAATATCGGCCCATACCAAAATTGTCCTGATCCAGACCGGCTCCTCACAAGAAAAGGCTTTGAAAAAGCTCACGCCTGTTCAGCCCATAATCGAGGAATCTTTGGAAGACACTGCCGAGGATACGTCTAACGACCAATTTTTCTCGGCTGCAGAAGACCGCCATACAAGCCCTGGTTCTGAAGAAGACGGTGGCTCCGATGAAGATTCGGCCAGCGACGACTCGGGCCATTCTGAGAGCGACGAGGATTCTGACTCTATGGATGATATGATCTCGCTGAGTGCCCCTGGACTCCCACCACAACAAGCTGGTACTTTGTCCGCAATGACGGCGGCAACTCCGAGACCGGGCGGGAAAAGAGCGACCGGAACGCATACTCCAGGATCTTTGTATTCGAGCTTCACATCTACAACTACCCGAGCAGGCAGTCGGCCAGGCAAGGTCTTCAGGACCCAAGCATTACTTCGAAAAGTCCCAACAGAGCTGCTGCACCCACGACCGAGCAGCGAGGATGACGAGGAGGCTTTTGTCTTCATTGATACAAGCACTTTGGCCAAGATTGGCTGTTTTTCCGGTGACTGGGTGCGCATCGAAATCGCTAAAAATGTGAGCTCCCATGGCTTTCCCTCCTTGGGCTTGAGGTCCTTAGCTGGGCTACCTGACGACGAGGACTCGGATTGGCGAGCAGTCAAAGTATTTGGATTATCTGGATTGTCGAATCAGAGTCCTCGGTATGCAGTGGATAAGACAGGTGAGAGGCGTTCAAGCTTTTCTCAGCGCGACCTCGTGGCACCCGCGTCGCCAACCGTATTCCTCTCGCCCATCCTGCTTGCCAATGTATCGAATGCTCAATTTCTCAAGATCGGAGCGCTGCCTACACCTCCTCGGCATGATCCAAAGGTGTCGCACGTCCCTCGACCCGCGACAATAAAGTCGCCTCCAATTGCGAAAGAAGTTATCTTTTCGAAGATTGCAGATCCGACAACAACGAACCCTGCGCTGCAGTCTACTCTCTTCTCCGCGCTGAAATACTATCTAGAAAGTAAGAAACGCGTACTGAAGAAAGGGGATCTTGTTGGGCTCCCCGTTGATCAAGAATTGGGCAATGCTATGTTCTCTCAAGGGTCGATGGACGAGAATGTAGGTGAAGATGAGACGATTACAAAGCTGAATATACCGGGCACCACGGACAGCCGAAGATTCAGTACGGCCTGGTTTTCGGTCCAGCACATCGATGTTGATCAGCCTCATGATCATGACCCTGAGCACAACAATTGGGGAGGTGTTGCTGTATTGGACAGTTCACAAGCAAGGGTATCGCAAAGTGGTAGTAGTGTACACTCTATCTCTCATGCCATCGAGATCTGGAGCCAGTATTGGTTTGGTGTTCGCAAATTATCGTTACAGACCTTCAATAGGGTGGAACACATCACATCGGCAGCCGATCTTCCACCACTTGACAAACTACCTCTCGAGAAGCGACTTTCTGGCTTGATCCAAGCCGCCACCAGTAACAGGGCTGCTAGTCTTGGTCTGCCACCACTCGTCATCTTGCTGTATTCAACTCAGCGACAGATTGGAAAGTCATATATAGCTCATTCTGCCTGCTCCTCCATTGGAGTTCACACCTTCCCTATATCTGCTCATGATCTCCTGTCCGAGAACGCTTCGACAACCGGCGGTGGGGACGTCAAGACCGAAGCCTTATTGAAAACACGAGCAGAGCGTGCTTTATCAGGTGGAGCACAGCACACAGCACTTCTGATTCAGCATATCGATGCACTGACGGCAGACAGAATGGTACCTGTGCTGCAAGAAATTATATCATCATCTCGAGTCATATTTGCTACCACCACGAAACTCGACGAGATTCCAGCTGGCATACGGAGTCTATTCTCCCACGAACTCGAGGTTGCGGCCCCAGACGAGAACGCCCGTGAACTAATCCTCCGGAATGCATGTATATCCTCGCCAGTACCTCTCTCGCCAACTATAAATCTGAAGTCAATTGCGCTCCAAACAGCTGCCCTAGTTGCGGGTGATCTCCTCGATGTTGTCAACCGCGCATCGTTAGCAAGAACTTCTCGTCTTCTGTCTTTGGCAGAAGCCCAGTCTTGTAGGCTCTCTGATATTTATGTATCTGGTGGCCAGTCAGCTACCCATCTTCTGCTCACCGATATTAACCATGCTATCGCCGCTGCAAGATCGACTTTCTCTGATGCCATTGGTGCTCCCAAGATTCCCACAGTCACATGGCAAGATGTCGGTGGGCTTTCATCACAGAAGGATGCCATCATGGAAACCATCTCATTACCTCTGACCCACCCCGAACTTTTCGCAAATGGAATTCGAAAGCGCTCTGGTATCTTGTTCTACGGCCCGCCTGGGACAGGAAAGACATTGCTGGCGAAGGCCATTGCTACAGAATTCAGTCTCAATTTCTTCAGTGTCAAAGGGCCTGAGTTACTGAACATGTACATTGGTGAGTCCGAGGCCAACGTGCGCCGGGTTTTCCAACGTGCAAGAGATGCGCGTCCTTGCGTCGTGTTCTTTGACGAGTTGGATTCAGTAGCCCCAAAACGTGGCAACCAAGGCGACAGTGGCGGTGTCATGGATCGAATTGTTTCTCAACTACTAGCAGAACTGGATGGCATGTCCGGCGGAGGAAGCAATGAAGATTCCGATGGCGGCTCATCAAATGGTGGAGGCGTCTTCGTGATAGGTGCTACCAACAGGCCGGATTTGTTAGACCCAGCTTTACTCCGCCCAGGGCGTTTTGACAAGATGCTCTATTTGGGCGTGGCAGACTCTCATGACCAACAAGTTACGATCATGAAGGCTCTCACGCGCAATTTCACTCTCGATTCGAGCGTGGACCTCGACCGGGTAGCTAGCCGTCTACCATTCACCTACACAGGTGCGGACTTGTATGCACTCTGCAGTGACGCAATGCTGAAAGCAATTACCCGCAAGACCCAGTCTGTCGACGAGAAAGTTCAACGAATCAGCCGAGAGCGGGCGGAAGAGATCAGCACGGCCTATTTCTTCGATCATCTCGCTACGGAGGACGATGTACAGGTTGTCGTATCCGAAGAAGACTTTGCAGCGGCACAGGACGAGCTAGTTGGCAGTGTTAGCAAGAAGGAACTAGAGCATTTTGAACGGATAAGAAATATGTTTGAGGAGCAGGACATCACAGTTGGCCCGAAGGATGGTGCCAATGCCGGTGGGAGGAAGGCTGAGGAAGCGAAATTGGCCATACGGCCATCTCCACCCGCTCCCCTGCCGCGAGTTATTTCAGTGGACTCGGCTCAACCACAGTCTCAGTCCGATCTTGCGTTTCAGCCTCCCCAACTACACCCTACTGAACAGATCAAAGGAAAAGGGAAGCAAAAAGCAGGGAGTGTCACCAACCCATCTGTTAATCCTGCGTTTGCTCGTAAAGCGATCCCTCGGATTGGAAATCCCGACTCAGGGGGTTCGTCCGATGCAGACGATGACTACGGCGTGAGCATGCACCATCTAAACGGAAACGCCGTTAATGGTGTCAGCTCGGAAAAGGGCAAGGGTAAAGGCAAAGCAAAAGCGATATCCCCTTTCCCTGATACTACAACAAATCCGCTGGTAGATGGCTTTGTGGACGATATTGGGCAGAATGATGAAGGGCTGTACGACGATTAATCGATATGATGATGTTCAAAGCCCGAACACCCAGAACTACCAGAATGAAGGTCGCACGATCAGACAGTAATGGCAGGTGAAATTGTGTGGTCTCAACCTGGTGTCTCAGCCACACTTGGACAAAATCTCAGAGGAGATGATTATACATCTACTGTAGCTAAATCATATATACCTAACTTACCCCAACAAATCACTGATCAGCCCCATGCACTCACTATATGTAGCTTGACGAGTAGAGCCGCAGACTCGCCACCGATATAGTCCGAGGCACGGAGTACTGCATCGCAACACACGTCTCTACGATCCCATCACCTCGCTCGAGTCACAGAGCACGGATACTTTCCCATCCATCCAGTACTATGTGATTCCACGGTACTTGGTACCTCGTGCTCGTGCATACAAGGCACAGACGAACTCACCAAGACCGTTTTTCAAAGTCGGCCTTTTCAAGCCAGACAGATTGTGGATGTTAAAGGGATGGAGCACTGTAATTAGTACTGACATGTGGGTGATCGGGCGATTGACTTATTCTTTCGCTCATTTGTTCCAGGGTTCACGCCCAATACTACGTACTACATGCACACATATATGTACCTTTCCGGGCAGGTGTTGTCCGAGCTACATAATAGATTCGGCTCTGGCCCCAGCTCCTGGCAGTTCCAATATTAGTGGCTCAGTGAATTTTAACATGGTCTCTGCCAAAGGTCCACCAACCACCGAGTACCGGGTACATATGGATAGCCTCCGGACGATTAATTGTTACGAATGGCGTACCGATTACGGAGTATTGAGTCATCGGTATGTACTTTGTAGGACCTCCTATCGCACGGCGTAATCGCTAGGAACTACGGAGTAATCCCACATATAAGCCCCTTGGAAACCACCTTCCCTTGCCCATTCTAGAAACGCCGTTCCATGCTTATGCCACGCTATCGCCACGCTACCAGCCATGCAATGCCATGGGTGAGGATTCCCCCCGTGATATACTATTACATGTTTAATCCCCATGCGGACAGGTGTCCCCAGTCGGGGAGTACGAGTAAGAGGGCCCTAATGGAGGGGGTTAAATGTTTAGCTGGTTAGAGACGACTATCTCGGAGCGTGTGCCTATATGAGTAGGCAATGGCCAAGGCTAGCGTCCGAGAGGGCCTGGACACTCAGGAGTGTTGGAACTGTATGGGATGCTGCCATGAGGTGGATAGTGCGCCATCTGCCAGCTCTACACATGCCATGCCTGTCGACCTATAGCCTATTCGACTTGGAGTGTTCCTAGATGGCAGGGATAGAAATAGGAAGAGGAAAGATGGCAGAGAGCCAACTTTCGAGTAAAATAAGGGCGAGGCTGCAGGGTTCGTGTATTCAATAGCTGTTACTAGTTTGCCAGCCTGTTGGTCACTTTTAGGCTTAGCTGTCGACTCTGCTTGCGTCAATGGGGCGCGGAGAATTAATTAATTCGTTCCATTTGGATGTGCTTGCCGTCTCAAACGATATATCCGCATCCGTAGGCCCTTGCATTCCATGGCGACCTACTGGTTAGCGAGATCATCTCTATCTCTGACGAGTGTTAGACAGTAGGGAGAGGCCCGAGGGAGGGGGGGCCAATCGGAGGATCTTCTCAGGTTTCTTCAGGCCAGGAGAAGAGGACTCGGCGGTAGCAAAGGAGACTAGCTAAAGAGCTTAGTGCATAGACTCTGCTGGAAGATCAGAATCCCGAGGCTATGATTTGTGCTGTGCTGTGGCGCGCATCTGAGACTTGCCTGCTGTAATTGACAATGGAGTAGTTGGCCCATATAGAAGGGTTGAAGCTGGTGTAATTCGGTATCCTTGCCGTACTGTCTGAGGAAAGTTCGTATCTGTATGTTTTGTCGGCTTTTGATTCCAATTTTGCATTCATTAGATCAAGTCTGGCTTTGGTAGAAAGGATCATTGTCGACCATACATCACCAACCATGCGAGAAAACAAGGGTGGCGGATAAGGTAGAGACATGTATCACGCTGACTTTTCTCTCGCTCTGGAAAGGTGCCTCGCTTAGAGTAGGCCTCATTTCAAAACCCGAAGGGAACAACAAGCGTTAGATAGTGGCTTTCAATCCAGCGCTGACCGTCCTGTTTTGACATTTCCTCGCGCCCATGCATGCAAGCGTCGACAATAAGGGACGAGGAGCAAAACGAAGGAGACATGCAGCATGCAGGCGGTCAGGGAGAGAACGTTAATTTGGTTTTTTCTGCGACCAAATGATCTCAGAAGCCAGGAATGCGGCCCTAACGCAAGAGGTTGTGCCGCTGTGGCTTTCCTGGCATTTCGCCGAGTGTTGCGAAACAGTCCATTAGCTATCTTAGGCAGGTCAGAAATACTGGATAGGGTCAAAGAAGAGAAGGCGGAGTTCGATCAGGTAATATAACAAGAGAGCGAAAAGAAATGAGCCATAGCCTAGCCAATCAGACGTGCAGAATATGCTACAGAAGGTGACGAACAGCCAATCCAAGAAGAGGAGATTAGGAAGAGCAAGTTAGATTGAACTCGGCCCTGTGTTGTTCTAGAGAATGAGAGCTGCGAGTGTACGAGTACAGTACGAGGTAGTAGTAAGGTGCAGTCGCTCCGTGCAGTTGCGATTGCCGTGCATATGCAGCGTTCAGGAGAAGGCTGCATCATGCAGGAGGCCAAGAGCCAGGTTGCGCAATGACCACGTCGCGAAGTGTCCAGTGTCCACTGCGCACGCAAGATCTCGCTTTTCGCTGCAGTGAAACATGCAGCAGATAGCCTCATGCATCAAAGGCTAAATAATTCCGTATTAAGCGCAGAGAAATTGATACATGATATCAGAGAGGTTGACTGTTGCCATGGTGGAGCATCCCTAAAAGAGCTACTTGGCCATTGGTCGCAACCGTTTCATGCATGACCCACCGTGTAGCGACAACATCCAGGTGGAGAGGATACTCGATGCCTACCTACCTAGCTAGTTCTTGGGGACTCTCGTTGGAAGGCAGGAGAAGGGCCATCCGTACGCCTGGGAATGGGTAGTAGCAGGAATTCTTTCACTTTTGCTCCCGACTTGATCGCCATACGCGTGGGTGCGCAGTAATGGCATATTCGAATCAAGACCTGCTAAGGTGTTTGTCAAAATCTGGGTATATATGGAATAGAAGGTGTGCTCGGAACCAGGAACCTCCTCCGTCATGAAAGCCTCACCGATAGGTACTGGGCCCATCTAATTGAATGATATATCACAAGAACAAAAGTCGACAAATCGTCGTACCCGGCCAAACCTCCAGATTGGCAAGATCAGTGCGTCAAGCTACTGCTCCTGCTCATGAGCATGGAATCGTATGAACTCCGTCGTCGGCATCGTGATCCTTCTCTTTTTCTCCTCTTTCAAAATCAGGTATGGTGTATTATTGATTATTTTTAGGCAAGCGTTCCTGCCATTCTCGTACCTGACCTGAATCCTGTCATCCGACCATAACCCCCCAATCCTTTCCAATCCTATGTATGATCTGAACCAGCAGATCAAATCCGGTCATGAATTAAAAGTACATGAAAGCGAAGGAGAAGCCAATAGGCCTATGCGGTTTGTGTATCTAACCATTATGCGATCGCTTGGTTGTGGAACTGCGAAACTTGGTGTGGCCTCCAGGGTGGAAAGCCACCAAGCCGAGAAAAAGACGCGAACAGAAGAGCAGCCACCCTTGGTTAAGTCATTATAACCACGGGCATCATGCATGGACCGGTTTCCCCTTTTCTATAATCGTAGCTCGTTGAATTTTTGTGGTTTGTTGTGTAGAACATTGTTGTTACTCTCAAAATAACAATCTTGAACGGCAAATTTCGAATGCTAAACCGAAGGAGAAGCAATGACTGCTTCTTCCTGTCGCTGATCGGGCTCTTGTTTGAGCTGCGGGCTTCGATCTTGTTGATGGATGTCTCGTGCAACCGAGGCTACCGCCTGCGTCCGTTCGTTCGAGCGCAACAGTAGCCTGTCGGAAGGGCTTTGCGCAACGTCGATGCTCCTCTCGTTCCCTGAGTCCTCTAGGGGAGATTTGGGCCGTGGTCCTTGGGACAAATCTTCATAACTTTGGTAACCTCGTCTCCTCTTCCCACTGGAAGTCTCCTCTTGAGGATCAGCGCGGGTCACAGAGGGAGTTTCCACGCCGGGAGACCTGGTTGAAAAGCCTTCTGCCAAAGAGTGCGGTGTGTCGGAAGGTCTGGGCTTCTTTGCTGGCCGTTTCTTTGGCTCATAAGTCTGACCCGTCGCGGCCAGCCGCCGATCGCGTTCTTCAGCCTCCTCTTTCGTTGGCCGACCGCGCTTTCGGCGCCTTTCCACTCCGAGTTCTGGCGCAAAAGGTCGTAATATGGTGAAGGCTTCCCCGTTGGTGGTAGTGGGCAGAGGTGAGTCGGTGGTCCGAGGTGGGCGAGGCTGTATCGCGCGTTGCGCCGGGGGCGGATTGTACTCATGCTCGGATACTGCTCTTGTAGATTGAGGCTGTGGTCCTAGTAAGGGTGGTTGGGCATAGCTCGTTGGACCAATTGCGGAGAATGAGCGAGGCTGCCGCAATGCGCGCACCATGTCGTCGTAGAACTGCTGACACGCATGGAGTGAACGTCCTGAGCTTGTCAGCAAATCTCCTCTGGCAGTAGCATCACCAGCACAGAGATATCAAGCGGGTCATGCGCGCCGGGTTCAACTCGTCCGCCACTGCGCCAGCGACACCGCGAGGCATGATACGTACCTTCTGGCAAGGCCATATCGGGCCATTTGGGCTGTATGTTGTTCTCTAAAATGCTCTGGAGGAGGTACATGGGTACATCATTGCCGGCACCTTGGATGATGTTGGTTAACAGGATGATTTTCTCCGAATTTGACCATGGCTGGGTGAACAGATTTGACATCGGGAAGGGATGCAGGGAAGGGCAAGCTGGCTGTCAGGAGAGACGGGCTGCATGTGACTGTCATTAAGCGCGATAGTCGTCGGCATGTGGGTGTTTGAACCGTGCGGTCAGTTTGGGTGGAGTTGATGGAATGAGAACAGGCACAGCGGAGGCAGAGAGACAAAGAAAAGAGCGTGGTATTAGTCAAATCAGGTGAGGACCGAGCGGGCGTCTGGACTCTGGAGGTGAATTATAGAAAGGTCGCCATGCGGAACAAGAAATAGATGAAAATTCGTGGCCTGCTCAAGGCACAGTTGGATTGTAAGGACTCATTAGACCAGTGGCAGTGAAAGGAATGCCAGTCAGCGGAAGAGCAGTCCAGTCGATCCAGTCGAGTCCACTCTCGAGTTGACCACTGAACAGTCGAGTCACCAGTGGCAGATGATCAGGAGGCGCGGGTAGGCCAGTGTAGGCCGCAGCTGCAGAACATCCAACGGCGCGACCTGAGTGGTGGATGCCAGATGACCATGTTTTTCCATGCGCGGCGACCAACGAGGGACGAGAGAGGTTTGGATCGAGCGAGCTGCTGAGGGAAGGTTCCGTGGGCAGCAGTCCAGAGTGGGCAGCGCGATTTCTGGCTCCTGTTCTGACTCTGGTCTGGTCGTTTTGGGTGAGCTGTTGCAGCTGCACGTCGAGAGCTATGCAAAGCTAGAGGGCATGGTGGAGGTTGGTAGTGGTATGGTAGTGGCTGAAATGGAGCTGGTTCATGGTGAATGGTGGGAGATCCTGTTCTCCTGCAGCAAGCGATCGTCTTTCAGGTTTAGCCGGCCTGGTCTTGGTCATACTGGTTCATGCTCACAAGATTAGGGTAATTATAAACGGATGAAAAGGGCGCTGCCAGCTGAGGGATCCGTTGGCGAGACTCCACGCCCCTGCAGCGGATCAATCTCGACAACAGCGTTAGGCTCCAGAGTCAAGCGTTCGGGCTCTTTCGTTGTGCTCACTGCTGCAGTCTCACCTTCTCCATGATCGACTGAAATTTGATAGACGAGAGTGGGTTTGACGGGGGTGGTGCTCTCCAATAACGGAGCATCCCGTTCGGGGGCGCTGGGTGCCAATTGCAGCCCAGAATTGCGTGTTGGAGGCTCTCCCAGCCACCCAATTGCAGCCCAAAGGTCGCCTAAGCTTCGTAGGTCGCGCTGTTCGCCATACCCACTCCCTGCAGTTGCTCAATCTCAATCACAACTGCTGGTCTTTTTGTTCGTTGATAAACGATGGGATCCATCGACGTCGCAGCCTTGTGCGAACATCAGATGTGCGATTGATAGATCGAGAGAACTTGACCAGCGTTGAATGATGCCTGGCGTGCGGTGTATAGAGGCTGGAGCAGGAAGAATGAGTGGACGACTGGGGAGACCAGACTAGCCACCTCCAACTAGCTGCACCTTCCGCCGAAAGGAAACAGAAGGCGTGCCTGCTTGAAAAGGCGTCATTATGGGCAGTCAACGAAGGAGCCGCCCCTCTGTTCAACCAGCCCCCCTCCATTGCAACTTCCTCATAATGTCATGTCCTCCTCACCTTGTCACACACTGTTTATATAGAGCTCAGCATCGTCTTGACCGCCGTTTGCCGCGTCTGAAAACTCGCCAATTCGCGCCAGCGCATCAATGACGATGTCGGGCAGTCTTGCAGAGCCACGTTGCGCCGTACATCTCTTCTGATCTTACCACTACCGAAGCTAAAGAGCAACCGCCTCATTTTAGCGAGTCCTCGCGCTCTTTGGAAAGGCGCTAATCTTTGCATTTTTTCCATGTTGCGCATTAGAGATCGGTCAGGTGCTGATCAATTCGTGGATCGGTCTCCGGCTTACCAGGTCCACGAGCATGACTTCCAGAACATACTTCGTGCGAGATCTCGTTTTCGCCATTGACATCTCACCACGTGGCAATGGTTCAATGGTGCAATGCTGATCTCAATCATTTCGCGATCTCCACCTTTGCTCATCTGGTGGTTGATCAAGGTACAATTCTTGCAAGTTATCGACGTTCAAGGGGCCCTCGCTTGCGATGAGCGACCGAACGATGATAAGAGTCTATCAGAGGGAGGCCAAGGGAGCCTTGTTTAACAAGATTCATGCTGGCTCATGATGGTCCTAGCAATTTCTTCGAAGGCGCTGCCTAGGGGAGAGCAATCTTTCTCGTCTATTGAGACGTTACACATTATGAAACAGGTGAAGCGACCCCATGCAAAGTGAGGAATTGAGGATGGAAGATTGCAGACGACAGGAGTGATCGCATAATATCACTGACATGGAGGCAGCATCTGGAGATGCGAGAGTTTAATGGCGATGTCTTTCAAGAAGCTCATTTCTCCTTGTGTTTGGAATTTACTGACGCACCTTCTTTGCACCTTCTTTACGGGAGAGCCAGTCCTGTTACAGAACAGAGCAGGAAAGTATCCTGTGCCAGGCTGTCGCTTGTACTACTGCTTCCAGTCGCACAATTTGTCTCACCGGAACAGTGTTGCTCTTCCAAACCCATCTACAGACATCGCTGCACAACAAGGCTATCCAAAAGGACTGAATGATGGTTGCGGGATCGAAATAAACATGTCCACATTCGGGCTGTCACCCTGTCTGGTTTGATACATTCAAACTCCTCTTGTTGTTCTTTATCGTTTTCGTATGATTAAGTCAGACAAGGTATACAACCCTTCCATCCTCATTGAGTAATAAAGAGCACATAGTCCTAGTGGTGCTCTCAAGTTTGATGCGTTCACGTGACCATTCGTATTTCGCGTGACCATTCACGTTAACCACAAGATCCCCAAGCAACCAGCAAGCCAAAAAAAAGGTGAACTCCCTAAGTTCTACTTCGTCAAACTGTGCGATCACACGCGCAGAAGTGTCTACTTTCTCACTGAGACCTAGCCCGCTGTTAGCGACGCGAGGAGAAGCCGCTCAGAATGTCGCAGACGACTCCAAATCCTCCTTCTGTTGTCATGAACACAGCTGGCAACAGACAGCAGGTTCCCTTGAGAGACTATCTCAACGCCAGGATTGCGCCATTTCTCAAAAGAGCTATTACAGAAAGCCTAGGTGTCGAGTATGTGAGCATGATATCCAAATCATCAAAATACCCCTCTACCACCCAACCCAGTGTCTGACCCTCTTTGACAGAGCAGAATTCCCTCTCCAGTGGCTGGGCGAGTGTCTCATCCACCAATCGATACAGTATGAAGGGAACCCCGACCATACAAACATTCGCGAGAGATTCGTCAATAAATTCGAAGATCCAAAGCCGGAAGAGCATCCTGTGAATGGAGACTCACCGACACTTGCAGTTGCGCCCGCCGCGCAAGAACCTGTTCCCCCAGCCGTGCCAGAATCGTCACTTGAGCAGACGGAAACGGAGGTCGCGATGAACGAAGCAGCCCCTGCAGACTCACAACCCGTCCAGCCAGCGTCGCAGTCGGCGGTAGTACCCGACATTGTCCAAACACCAACTGTTGTCAATGGCGTACAGGAAGAGCGACCGCCAGCTGTGACAAGTCCAGCAAGAGATGACGATACTGAGATGGGCGGAATATCATGATTCGGGGGGGGTTGGAAATGTCTGACACAGCACGGCATTATGGCCAATTTGCTACTCATATGCAACTGGTGGTATCCTGTCTCATCGCCGTCTCTATCTCAGCAAGGCCGGGGGACATAAAATTGGTTGAATCTACTTCAACAGCAATATCACGTTCGACACATTGTTGTCTACTGGCAAAAAGAACTAGGCCGCGGCACAATATGGCGATGTACCCAGTCCTTGGGCATGGCAAATCTTCACGATTGGTGAAGTGCCCAATTTACCGTCAACAGAGATCCTGTTGATGCTGCTCTCTTAGCTGATAGATGACCAGGACGTTTCCACGACGCTGCGGATCCTCAGGCTGGGTGCTCACCCCGTCCGCGGCTCGGTAAACCTCCAATACAGTCTACAGGCGAATGCCTTTGAGATCCAGGATCCCTCTGATCAACCGAAAAGCACCGAGGCGAAACAAGAATGCTTCAATCGAATGATTTGAGGTGTAGGACAAATCTTGAACGAGTCACTGGGTATGCCGTATTACTCAAACGCTTTCAAGTTCGGATTTGTTGAACGAAATTAGCCTACGAGAAAATTCTATGACATGTCTATACCAACCAGACAGCGTGAATGATAGATCCGAATAGTAGTTCTTGGAACCTGCGTGAAGAATTAGCATTGATCGCGTAGGTAAAACTTGAAGGCAGGAGTGCGAGAGGTATAAAGGTTCAGAAGTCCATTGAGATCATCGAAGGAGTCATACATGAGCATGAATCCCTTCTGCAATCAAGAGGTACCAGAAATATAGTTTAAAAACGTTGTGTGTCATCATGTAGAGGCAGGTGGATGCAAAAACGCGAAAGCTCAGGATGGATGCGTACCTTTTTGATTGTTGACCAGCGGACGCCAGGGGCGTAAGTCGAGGCTCACTGGCTTCTCCTATTGATGGCCCATCCTCGCGCCACTTAATTTTCCATTCTAAGTCATTGTATTTGGAGTGGGAAAGCAAACAGAAAGGCTTGCTGCTGAGACGACATAGGCAAGAGAAGAGAAGTAGGTCTAGGGAAAAAGTTTCGGAGGTTCTCCAAGCCTCCCCTGGCCCCTCTCAAAAACCTCTAGCCAATCACAGCTCCGCCAAGATTTTCCGCCTTGGCACACAATTCTGAAAGGGCCACAACTTTGGAACGGCTGCGGCATCACCAGGAGAACCTCAGCACAACGACGCAGAATCGACAACACTACCAACCGTCATCATGGGTCGTCTTCACAGCAAAGGAAAGGGTATCAGCGCCTCGGCCATCCCATACTCGCGATCCGTGCCCACCTGGTTCAAGAGCACGCCCGAGACCGTCGTCGAGAACATATGCAGACTCGCCCGAAAAGGTGCCACTCCTTCGCAAATCGGTGTTGTTCTTCGAGACAGCCATGGTGTCGCTCAAGTCAAGGTCGTCACTGGTATGTGGGAATCTGCTGGAGGGGGAAAAAGCAAAAGACAATGACCATGGAGAATATCGGATGAACTAACTCGGGTGCACACCACAGGTAACAAGATCCTGAGAATCCTCAAATCCAACGGTATGCGCCATCCTCAAAGCACATCGATATGAAGAAAGCAACTTCTTCTGGCCTCTTGTAGTCAGAAAAAAAGGAATCTAAATACCTTTGCTTCAAACGTTGCCTGCAATATATCATTTTTGAGGCACATGAAAACATACAACGCTGCCTCTGCTTTTGGTCCCACGAGACTGACAGAGTGATTCCAAAATCTAGGTCTTGCACCCGAAATCCCGGAAGACCTCTACATGTTGATCAAGAAGGTGCGTGCTGCGCGGAGGACAGACAATCCCCAAAACTATCCAAGTTCTCCTATCAAGAGTTCCACCTCTTTTCTCTGCTAGCAATGGAAGTGCTAACCTGGACCGAAAACATAACAGGCCGTCGCCGTGCGCAAACATCTCGAGCGAAACCGCAAAGACAAGGACTCGAAATTCCGACTCATTCTAATCGAATCCCGAATCCACCGTCTCAGCAGATACTACAAGACCGTTGGTGTCCTCCAGCCCAACTGGAAGTACGAGAGCGCCACCGCCAGCACCCTGGTCGCATAAGAGTGTCTTTATGGTCTTGAAACCACCTTACTTGCAGACCAGAAGGGGCGAAATGACAGCCTACCATTGACTCTTCAAAAATGGAATCAGAAGCAATGAGGCGCGGAGGTTGGGGAGACGAGAGGACGCAGGAGAGAAGCTTGACATAAAATTGTTACGACTCTACTCCGACGGAGTGGGAGTGACATGACGAGTGACATGACGAGTGAAGGGGTTGAACGTGAAATGCCCCCGCCAGAGACAGGCTTGGGACCCTGATTGATGCCATAGACGGACCGGTGTTTCTCAGATCCAAATTAACTAAAGGTATCCTACAGTTTCAAGTGTGACGCAGTCCAGTCTTCTCCCTTCCACCGTGATTTGTTATTTCTCTCCCAATACTTGATCGTGTTAGAACCTGAGCGTCTAATTGTGTCACAAGTAAATGCGTATTTCTCCAGAGGCGTGCCCGCACCAGTGTCACCAGTAAACGCCCGAGAGACCTAGCCATATCTTTTTCGACTGGCCCTCCTCGCCTTCGCAACGGATCCAGCCTTGCGTGGCTTCTCCGCATCAATGTCCTCTGGCATTTCATTGTCATCCGTCCTTCACTTCACAAAGTCTTTGTCCTGCAGACACAAGAGAGGATAGCTTGTTGATGCATTTCTGGAGGAGCCTTGGGCCATGCTCACTTAGAATGCGAGGAGTCAGTACAAAGCATTGTAGATCACAGGCTTGCCGCCGATGCCCACAGGTTGTGGAAGTGAATATTATGTAGCAGGCGATGAAATGGTATCGGCATGCCTTGTGGATGCCAGCGCGTGATACTTAACGGCTGGTATGAGCCGGATTAGTGCACTTGTACCAGTACGCAGTACCACAGATGGATGGAATGCGGCTGCCACAGTTGACACCAGTTGCATTTGTTGCTCCTTCCAAAAATAATTCGCGAATGCGTCGGTCTTTGAGTTTGGGACTAGTCTGTTCTAAGGATATGGCCTCCTCGGCTTCATTCACTTTTGACCCACTCGCATTCGTAGAGGCCACCATCTCGTCTTCCTTATGTCTCTTATTCCTGGTATTTGCAAGTGACATTCAGGTTCAAGGCGCAGCTTGATTAGATTGCGAATTGTAAACAGGCAGCAATCGAATGAACATGTCTAAATGGCGCCTTCGCAGCGTCAAGGTAAGGCGTTTCAATTCATGTCCTCTTTGGCAACAATTTCGTGGCCAGCTTCTCTTTTGATTACTGTGCCCACTGCTAGTAAACCTCCTACTCTTTAAGCCTTGCCAGGTGCTCCATGGCAGGCCCATCGGAAAAACCTCCTCTTAATGATTCTTCGAGCTCCACCATCAGTCTCCCTGAGTATGCCCTTCTGCCAGAGGACAATGTTCTGCCGACTAGCTCCAGTTTGTCAGACTCTTTGAGAAGGGAGTCGTTGGTTTTCCTGGATGATCCATTCGACACAATCTTACCCGCTGAAGACAATGGGCGAGTTGCCCTTACTGTTGGGAAGAATATCTCCAAAGTCTACAACCATCTTAGGAAGAATTTTCAAGATCTGGATCCCCCTTGTGAGGTGCGGTCGGAAGTCCCTGACTACGCACTGGAGACGCCTCACCCAAGCTTGAACATTGTGCTCCAAGTTGTGGGTTCTCGAGGCGATGTCCAGCCCTTTCTTGCTTTGGCCCAAGCCCTTCAGAAAGTTGGGCATCGAATACGACTTGCAACACATCCTGTCTTCCGCGACCTCGTTGAAAGTCATGGCGTTGAGTTTTTCAGCATTGGTGGTGACCCTGCTGAGCTGATGTCTTATATGGTCAAGAATCCCGGGCTTATTCCAAGGTTTGCAGCCATAAAGCAGGGCGAGATATACAGAAGAAGAAGAGCAATTCGTGGCATGTTGCGTGGTTGCTGGAAATCATGTTTCGAGCCAACTGATGGATGCTCTCCAATAAACGGGTCATCAATTGTTCCCGCGAAAAAAGCCAAACGGCCGTCTGCGCGAGCTGCTGAGCCAAGGCCTTTCGTTGCAGATGCTATTATTGCCAACCCCCCCTCATTCGCCCACATTCACTGCGCAGAGAAACTCGGTATACCAGTTCACATGGTATTTACGTGAGTGCAATTTTCGGTTTCATTTACAAGATTCGTTGACAGGGTGCTCTAGCATGCCATGGTCGCCTACGCGTGAGTTTGCTCACCCACTAGCCGATATCAAATCTTCTGATACAGATGTCGCACTGGTTCACTATTTATCTTACTTTCTAGTCGACGCAATCATCTGGCAGGGCCTCGGAAGCGTGATCAACCGCTTTCGATCCAAGGTGCTTGGCCTTCAAGTTGTTGACCCGAGTTTGGCTCCAGGCATGGTACACCGTTTGCGTATACCTCATTCATATTGCTGGTACGTTAGCTGCGATTATCCGTGTTGCCTCTTGAAGTTATACTTACAAAGCTCATGAATATCAGGTCCCCCCATATATTTGCTAAACCACCAGATTGGGGTCCTCATCTCAATGTTCCAGGCTTCTTCCATCTGCCTCTCCATACAGATTACTGTCCGCCACACACACTGCAGAATTTCATATCCTCCGGACCCCCTCCAATATTTGTGGGGTTTGGCTCTATTGTCACCGATGATCCAACATATTTAACTTCGATTGTTCTCAGAGCCATAGAGCTGAGTGGTGTTCGTGCCATCATCTCAGGTGGGTGGGGTAGTCTCGATGTTGACGCCTTAGCTGCCGATTCGAATAAGGGAACAGTCTTCTTCCTCCAGAGCGAATGCCCCCACGATTATCTCTTTCAGCATGTCTCACTTGTGGTTCATCACGGCGGTGCTGGCACTACAGCGGCAGGTCTAGCTGCTGGTAGGCCTACAATAGTGGTTCCCTTTTTCGGCGACCAATTTTTCTGGGGCCATATGGTTCATCGAGCTGGCGTTGGCCCCGCCCCAATCCACAATCAATCTCTCACTCCTTCAGACCTAGTATTAGCCATAAGATCGGCACTGGAGCCGGCCATGAAACACCGTGCAGTGGAGTTTGGCAAGAAGATTCGATCCGAAAATGGGCTTGATATGGCCATCTGTGCGTTTCACGCTCATCTACCCAGGACTGGCATTCCACCTTGCTCTCTCTTCCCCGATCGCGTGGCTACCCTGCAATTTACGGGCAAGAGCAAGGCTGGTACAAGGTCAGAGCCAATGGGAGTAAAAGAGGTCCATCTTAGCCCATTGGCCGCGACTTTCTTACGCAAGCATAATTTTATATCATCTTCTTCGTTCGAAAATATGCAGTTGCTAAGGTACATGGAGTATAATGTTGCCTCTGGACCTTATGAACCCGTTTCCGGCGCAGCATGGACCATTCTGGATCTATTTTATGAGACTTTCAAGGGAATGGGTGAAATATTGACAGAAGTTGGTCATCTCCCTTACTTAGGGGTCAAGGCCTTTGACAAGGGCAAGGCAGCAATAAGGTCGCCCCCTCTTCCGCCTGTTGGAGCGAGATCGTCACCTTCTGTTACATTCTCTTCCTCTAGTCACCACTCATATCCGGGCAGTTTCATGCTCAAAGGCACCCTTCGAGTTAGCAAGGCTGCCGCTCGCGCTCCAGGAGCCTTCGCGACCGCCTTGGCCTCAGGGGCGCATAACCTGCCACGTTTATACCACGATCCCACCGTCCGGCCAATACCAAGAATCACTGGCATCAATTCTGGATTTAAAGCGGGTGTTGCAGAACTAGGATTTGGGATCTACGATGGAATCGCAGGAGTGTTTACACAGCCCATTATGGGTGCGATCGACCCCCACCAGAGTCAGTATGGCCAAAAAATGGAAGAACGAAGAGACACACCTTGCCAGCAAACCACCAAGGGCGATCAATTAGGAGCAGCTCAAGAAACGCCTCCGTGGACGATAGGAGCTAGTGCTCTCGGCTTTGCCAAGGGACTAGGAAGAGGCGCTGTTGGATTACCGATCAAGTTCTTTGCAGGTATGGACTGCACATTTCTTCTTCATGCTATCGTGATGCATTATTGCCCCTTCCTCTGCCACAAGTGCTAACATCTCTTGTTTCTGCAGCGGCCAGCGGTATTGCAGGGTACCCGCTCAAAGGGATCGATTCTGAGTTGAGTAAAGCATGGAAGGGAGACGACATGAAGGAAGTGCGAAAGCAGAGAAATCTGCAAGGTGAGAAGGAATACTTCGAAGCAGGCTTCACAAGCCGGCAGGTCGAAGAAATAGCCGCGAGGTGGGAAGCAATCATGGGAGATTTCGTAAGATAGATGACAAGTTGGCCACCCGAAGGATATGGCATGTACCTACTTTATCATACAGGTGCTTATGTACGAGACAGGGAAGGTATTGGAGCTAGGCACGGATCAAGCAAAGGATGTGCCCCGTTTGCACCTCCGGTGACTGTCTTGAAGAAAAATCGAGCAAGAAGTACAAGTTGCGTGTCAGCGTGCTAGACTGGTGGGCTTTGGACCATTGCATAACGATTTCAGTTGCGAAAAAAGCTTCCACATTCTGACATGGCCACAATTTCTCCCAACATATTGAATCTTGCCCTCACAGTACATATTCAAGCATGAGGAGTTCTGGCTTCCTTCAGGCTGATGGGTCAAAACTTTACTTCCCATACAGTCTCTCCCCAGTTCCACAAAGAACTCAGCGATAGTCACTTCACCCACAGCCGCTTCAATGATTCGACAATCATTCATTTACAGGGAAAGTTGTCGAAGACTTTCACATCAAACTTCCCAACAGCAGTATTGAAGAAACGGGTCAACGACTTGGTTCTCCGTTCTGCTCCCCAAAAGTCATATCCAACCAGCACGTTGTCAACATCAAGATATACAATGACGGAAATGCTGTTGGCGACCAACAAATTCCACTGTGCAACCTCCGAGTCAGCGAACAGTAATGCCCATATACTTGAATACCGTGCGGAACTCACGCTTTGCGTAGAGCCGACCACTGGATCATTGACAATACCACCGAATGCAGCATTGTTGGTTTTCAAGATGTCTGCGGTAATGAGTGGGAACCCGGCATTTTCCACATGGTCCACGAAACATGTCGGTGAACTTCCAACACTCGGCCCGACAAGTCGCAGCTTGTTCAAGACTTGTCCATCGGGTGTCACATCTGTATAGTCGAACAGAGATGAAGCGAACTCGCCCTCGTATGCTTCATCTACTCGGACTTTTCCTTGTGTGGCTGAATTATACCAGTAACCAGAAGTGATGTGCGACACGTCGTTGTCCCTGACACCACACGGGTTTTCAGCCTTAAACTTGAGCCAGGGGTTGCGGTTGCTATTCTTACCATTTGTGTTGGATGAAGTGTCCACGTAGTTCAGTGACGACGTCAGGAGTGGGTGGTTGGGTGAATCCAGCTGAGAACGCCGCGTATGAGGATGGGAAGGGGCCGCTGTCTGATAACGCTCCCTTTGCTCCACTCAATGAACCAAGAGAGGAAAGCGCGAGAAAGATCTTCATTGCGACCATTGAGATGATGCTATATTACTTCTGCGGGACAAGGAGAGAGTGGGCGTCGAGATCGTTTGAGCTTGCCTTTTATATAATACTTGACGAGCCTCTTCTGCTCATGCTGACTCTCCTTTGGAATCTCATCGCCTCAACGGATCGATTCGACCCACCAACAGTCCAAACACTACCGGAATGGAGTTTGCAGTTTGCGGTGTGCAATATTTCCATTGCCAGGAATGTCAACTTGATGTGGAGTGGAGCACTTAGCCTTGGGTCACGTTCTGAATTAACCGACGCCATTCTCGGTCTCTGAGTTTGGGATGGTTCTTACTCAGGCACCCGCCATTCGATGTAGTGGGCCAAAAAACCACCCAACGCTGCTTTCACTTCTCCTCTGTACATGCCTGATGATCTGATAATGCCTCGATCGAGCATTCAGTATGCTGTCAAGTGCCTTGGATGCAGATACTCCGCGGCCTAAGCGAACAAGAGTCAACGTAGTACAATCCAAGAATGGATGCTACACTTGCAAGTACGCAGCCCATTAATTGAAGCGAGAGATGGCCCCAATCTAAAATCCATAGGGCCCGCCGCATCAAGTGTGATGAGACAAGACCGAGCTGTGTTCGGTGTCAACGCTCTGGCAAATCTTGCGAGGGGTACAGATCCTCTGGATTGCCACCTGTGTCTCGATCTTCATGTCCGAACAAGCCTCCACCAAATGATACAGCCTCGTTGAGTCCGGTGGTCTCCGCAAAGTTTCTCAGAGGCATGTCTTTTGGAGTTCAGCATGAGGTTGCCTCGCTCCGCTATAGCCAACTTTGCTTGGAAGTAATTTATCAAGATAGATACAGCACATTCTCACTCAATGGGGACTTCATCTGGCTAGGACTCATATCCCAACTTTCCTCGACAAATCTCGCGGTAAGCACTGCACTTGCGACCTTCGGGGCGGTGTATGAAGCTGTCTTTTTCCGGAGAACACACTCGAGTCTATCACTGGCGTCAGTCCAGTACAGCAAGGCCCTATCTGCGTTGCAAGAGGATGTCGCCTCGCAATACCACGGGCCTATTCCGAGCTTCCTCGCCAGTGTGCTCCTTGCTGCTTCTCAGGTTCTTCAAAGACGCTACAACAACTCATTGACTCATCTCAAAGGGGCCTTTACAGTTCTGACAAAGACAATGTCTCGCCGCGTTCAGAACAATCGGAGCAAATGTGATGCTTCGCCGAGTCGGAATTCCTCGAGAGGAACGTCAAGCTGCGAAGCTCGTCTATCTGACTTCGCACAGTCGCTCGATCTCCTAACCGCATCGTTTGTCCTGCACCGCCCTCCAGAGCTCCCGTCGTCCTTTGATTTCGAGGTGTCGAATCAAAACTCGAGTAAGACTCATCTTGAGAGTGGCTCTCACCCACTCCAGTCCTTGCTGCACCACTGCTATCACATCGCAAATGCCGCATCGCCTTATAAATATCTGGCCCGATATAGCTTCCCAACGGAATTGGCCATGGAACAAGGTCGATGTATTGCCCATCTATCACAATGGCTAACCAGATGTAACGATGCGCTCCAGAGTCGGGCATCGGATTCTATGCAACTCAACGTACGCCAGACCTACCTGTTACTCCAAGTTCAATGCTTGAGCACACTGATATATCTGTCAGTGATTTCGAGTCCATATGAGTCGACCTACGACACATACACGACCTACTTCCAGCAAATCATACAGAACGCCGAAGAAATAATCACCAGTCCTTCGTCTTCTTCTCCCTCGATGCCAGTATGCCGCTTTCGAGTACAGCCAGGGCTCGCCCAAGCACTCTTCATAACGAGCACGAAGTACCGAAATAGCACTCAACGCCGTAAAGCGATAGATCTACTCTCAAAAGTGGGCATGGAAGGCCCGTGGGACCCTGATATCATGTGCAAAGTAGCTAGAAGGGCAGTTGAGATTGAGGAATCTAGATCATTGTCTTCGATGATGTTGAAGCAAAGCCAATGTGGGCCAGGGCTGTTCCGGGATTTGGACTGCAGTTCGTGCGTCGACATTGATATCCCCGAGCAATGTCGTCTGCACGGGTGCGGCGTGGACCCTGGAGAGGGGAGTCTTGAGACCAATAATCCTGCGTCGGTGCATTTCAGCTTGTGCAAGAATGTCGAAAACATGGTCAGATCCCAAAATCATGAAAGCACAGAACATTGGATCATATGGACTGAGCCAATGGTGGTTGGGGCAGGCCCGTTCTCGTAAAATGAGCCGCAAGACTTGGATCAGATGTATCACAGTCAGCAAGAACTTAGTTCGCATTGGAGAAATACCAGCGACAAGAATCGGCACAGCATATGATTTGCGTTCCTGTTATTGCACTGTACGCTACAATTGTTCTGAATTTCAGATGTTTCCAACGCCTTGGGTATCTCGATGCATGAAAAATACCACCCTTGCCTTAGATGCCGCTAAAAGAGAACATGCCCTTGTTGATCCAAGTCAAAGCTCAGCCTCCCTGACTGGTGCCACCGGACTGTTGCAATGCGAAGACTTGCTTGCGAAGATCGAGCCAAAAGTCTTTGCCACTGGTCATTGCTCCCGCTACCATCCGTCAAGATATTACCGGTGGAATGTGTGGTTGACAGACTCACCTTTCACGCCCCAAGGACTCTCAGTCTTTGTGGTCTGCGGCTTAGCCTCCGGCTTGAACAGAGGTGCTTTGGATTCAAACCCTTGCTTGAGGGCGGCGTCCACGGCATCTGGATTGAAGCCTGCAAGCGGGACATGTTCGTCTGAGGATGGAAGTGCCGATAGTGTAGCAGGCCCATTTTGAGCACCAGTGTCTGCCGACCTATTTACACCTGGACCCGTCTTCCCTCCTCTCTTGCTCTGGCCTGCGCCAGGTGTGCCATCTCGAGAGCCCGCTGTTGAACGATTTGGGTTGGCACTTTTTGAGTCGTTGCCTCGACGTCCGTTACGTGCTCTGGCAGAAGGCATATGAGTAAGCGAGGGCACGAATCAATGGATTGGATGAGGAATAGAGCGCGCAGGTAAGAACAGGATGGTGGCGAAGGATACGGGCGGCATGTATCAGCAAGAACAGACGCGGGACTTACTCTTCACTGGGGGTGTTCATAGAGTGCAGCAGGAAGGAGGAGGCGTCGGTGGCTGTGACTACAATGTGCTCTTGGAATACAATTTAACACGCAGGGCCCGTGACTCGTTTGCCTGGATGAACTCTCGGAACGGAAGTTGGGCTCGCAATGGACTACGGTGGACGAGGGATGGTGGACGAGTACGGAGGAGGCCAAAGGCCAAAGGCGAAATGCCAAGCCAACTAGCCGAAAAGTCAAAACTGGCAGGCAGTACTCCGTAATTACAAGAAGTGGTTTAACTGCTTGGGCATCACGGCGCGCTCACCCACACGGTGCCGCTTTTAGAACCTCGTGGTCACGACTCACCCCTCGACTCACGCTCCGACTCACCCCGCACTGCGACGGTTTGATTTCTGCTGCAGTCCCCCTCGTACACCCTGTCCCATGATCAATTTCCATTATTGGCGACAAACTTGATGCACTCCATTTCGGGTCCCTGTGACGGGATCCCTGCTGCGTTTCCCTGCCCACCCCTGTCTCGTGGACTGGCCGACTACCAGTACAAAATGGAGCCCCTCCGCCTCTCAGCTTACGGGCTGCAATCTCCTCTTTCGAATTCTGTAGTATTCAGCAGCTATCAATTCTAGGTCAGAGACCCTCCTTCCACTACCGGCGTGCTTCGACCTCAAACTCCTACGCCAACCACTATAGGCAGGCAGAACGCCACGACAGACGAGCTATGTATAGGCTCGTGATGAAGCCGACGGTAGTCGAAATACGCTTGCCACCTGGGCTAGAACTCTGCCGTACTATAGACTGCGAGACATAAGTGCCATCTATGACTTGTGGTGGTACAAGCCCTACTCCCTCTCCAGCGTCAAGGGCGTGCCGTAGGACAAGATAGAGTCTGATAAATGGTCTGACGGCGACAGGGTGGACTTGCTCGTCCATACCCTCGAGCATTGTTTGGACCGACTCCGTCAAAGGATTTTCCAGATGTCCCTTCCGGAATAGCACCTACGGAGTAGGGTGTATGTATCTACCGATTATTGTCTACCTGCCAAGGTAGGTCGTCTCCATCATCTTGTCCTTCTGCAAAGCAGAGAGCTTTCTGTGCGCACGTCATAATCCCCCAGTGACGACCATCTTGAGGGTTAGATAGTCGTCGAGCCCATATTTACTGCCTTCCCGGCCGAACCCAGAGTGTTTGATGCCTCCAAATGGAACCGGTGCGTCCGAGACCACTCCCGTATTGATGGCAACCATGCCAGTCTCCAGCCTCTCACTCACGCGGTGCGACCTTGCAAGGTCAGTGGTCATGACATACGACGCCAAACCCACGTCCGAGTTGTTGGCCCTTTCGACGACTTCGTCCTCTGATGAGAATTTCAGCAGCGCAGCGACTGGCCCAAAGGTCTCTTCCTTGGTGACTTGCATGGTATCGTCGACGTCGCCGAGAATGGTAAGCTCGTGGAAGTTCCGACCCAGGGATGGAAGGCTGTTCCCGCCCAGCAGGACTTTGGCATTTTTGCTAACAGCGTCCTTGATGTGCGATTCGACCTTCTCAGTGCCGTTGGTAAGCGGTCCGTGAGTAATAGACCCATCAGTGACGATGAGTGCATTTCCCACTCGAAACTTCTTGACTTCCTCGATCAGCCTTTGACTGAATTTCTGATAAATCCCTTGTTGGACAAAGATCCGATTCGCGCACACGCACGTCTGCCCGGTGACCTTGAATTTGGCGGTGAGGAGACTGGAGATGGCAATTTCGAGATCTGCATCGTCAAAGACAATAAACGCCGCGTTACCACCGAGTTCTAGACTGAGCTTCTTCAGTGTCCGTGCAGATTGTTGATACAGTATTTTGCCAACCCTCGTCGACCCGGTAAACGAGATTTTCTTGACAATGTCCGACTCGCAAAGAGCGAGGCCGAGTTGGGGGGTATTCTGGGCCGCCGTTACGATATTGAAAACGCCCTTGGGGATCCCAGCACGCTCGCCTATTACGGCCAAAGCGTTGGATGAAAATGGAGTCAAGCCGTCCGACTTCAGCACTATCGTACAGCCCGCTGCCAAAGCAGCGGCGATCTTACGCACGCCCATGGCCAGAGGAAAATTCCACGGCGTAATGAGACCGCACACACCAATGGGCTCCTTGACAACTCGAGTCCGAGAGTTCGGGGTACTGTTCGGGATCACGTCTCCATAGATCCTGGCCGCCTCTTCGGAATACCATTCGAAGAAGTTCGCCGATAATCTGATTCATGTCACAACGTCAACTTCTTTTGCGCCGCGAGGCCTGAGCGATCAGCAAAAGGACTCACATGACTTCTCCCGTGGCATCAGCCTTGGCCTTGCCATTCTCCAGGGTGATGATCGTACTGAGGTCCTCTTGATGCTCCACCAGAAGCTCAAAAACCCTGCGTAGAATTCGCCCGCGCTGCCGGCCGGATAGACGCTTCCAACCCTCCAACGCGCCAGACGCGGCTTTAATGGCATCGTTCAGGTCGTCGACCCCTGATTCCGGAACCCCCCCAATGACCGTGTCGGTTGCTGGGCTCTTGACCTCAAACGTCTGGCCGGATATGGCCGACACCCATTGCCCTGCGATATACGTCTTGTTGACGACAAAGAGACCTGGGTCCTTCAGGGATGAAGCCGAGAAGGTCATTGTGGTTGACGGTGTGAGTCCTGACACGAAGACAGTATCATAGATACTTGCCCAGTCCCATATATAGTCTCCATTACTTGTATCGGTGCCCGGGTAGCCTACCTGTGATGGAGGCGTCCACCTGAATCACCTTTCATGGGTGTTTGACTACGTAGATACCCAACCGCAAGATCGCCTGATGCAACTAAACCTTTTGGCGTAATTTTACCCGTTCCCCGGACTCCCTACTCTGACACCTATACTTTACAGGGCCGCACCGGTCACCTAGATGCAGACTGGTGATCCCCAATCACTCCCAATCACTCCTCGACGATCAATCTCCGGTTCGATAGTTTCCCTCGTGAGCAGGCAGAACGGCAAAGAGTCTGCTATCTGCGACGTGCCCATCTGCGACGTGCCTGCGCCAGTGTCGTTTGGGCTGTTCAATCTCATTGCAACTATCGCTTCAGTCCGGAGCTGAGTACCTGGTGATTACAAAACCCCACTCTAAACGATTCGAGTCGTCTGAGCAAAAGACTGGCAGAGCTCCTTGGTGGGTTCGGTGGCCGGCTCCGTTCAAAATTGACAGCTGTGGTACCCGTTCTATCTTTGTCTGGTACTTGCATCTGAATTTGACTACATCGGTCTGAGTACCAAATTCTGTGCTTGTTTCCTGTCAACTACCATAAACCCGCCGTAATAATAATAAGTGCTCAATTTCCTCCATCGTCCTACTGGGAAGGCCTTAGAATCATGGAACCAGGAGCTAAAAGACAAGCAATGTCGTTGCAAAATTACAAGTACCCGTCCACCTAGGAGTGACATGTCCCAAGGCGTTCCTGGAATGTCTGATCATCGACCCTTCAGATCCCCTCGACTAGCCTCACCAGCTTCGACTGCTTGGGTGCTGTGACTCGCCGACAGGTGTAGACCTTCAAACACCACCTTCGGGCCGGTGAATGTCTTGCGCTTTCCCAGGAACCAACTCAATCCAATGAAAAAAAGTTCGCCTACAGCGATCACACTCAGGTAATTCATGTTCTGAGCCTCCACGGGGAGGAAGGTAGGAAAGCAGAACCACACTGTGTACATAGCAATCCAGAGGCTGGAAAAAATGTTGCAGAACAACCCCGTCCACCTTCCCAGCGCGAACGGTCGAGGTGGCAAGATTTTGTCACGGCCACAGACCGCAAGGATAGCCTGAGGGACCGTGTATGTGGCATTTAGACCCAGAATGGATATGGATAGGAAAGAGTTGAATGCGGTGGTGGACCCAATGTAGATGAGGCCGTAGAAGATGGCGAAGACGCAGGTCAAAACCGTGGCGTTCACTGGCACCTTCAATGTAGGGTGGACTTTGCTGAAGAATTTGCTGAAGGGTAGGCCATTGTCTCGGGAGAAGGCCCAAACGAGGCGTCCCGACGTTGCGTAGCAGGAGATGGTGGCCGAAACGTACGCCAGAAACAGCCACACAGTGAAGAAGAGAGCCACAGGATCGTTGTGAATGGCCTGGAAATAAACCGTTACGTACGGTGACGGACTATTCATGACCTCATCGAGATCCGTGGCGGAGAACAGAAATGCGACAGTCCACACAAAGCCAGTGATCATTCCGATGACCATGGTCAGGCCCATTGCTCGGGGGACATTTTTCCTTGGATTGGGCATTTCTGTTTGTTGGGCAGATTAGTCAGTCTCTGTCTCCCGGTTCAGCTGGGACTCGAGTAAGTAATTACCTTCAGAAACATGTGTGGCCGCGTCAAGAGCAATGAAAGCGAACATGCCCTGGCCAATGCCGATAAAGAATGCAACTCCGTCGACCCAGCCACTGTTATTGTTCCAGTCCGCAAAGACCGTTTGACCGGTCTGTTTGTGCTCGCTTCTTGCCAGCACAGTAATTGTGGATACGATGAATCCGACGATGGACAACCAGAAACAAGCAATCTCCGCCTGAGGTAGTTGCTTGGGAAACAACGTAATCAACGCCGTGGAGAGGATCGTAAGAGCCACGTAGATGAGATAGATTTGCCACTGTGTGGCTGCGAAGTCCGGGTGGTAGACAGCAGCCATGACAGCGACGGCTTGTGCACAGAAGATGCAAGACCCGCACGCGAGCATCCACCAGGAAAAGACACTCACCCAGCCGATCGTGTACGACACCGCCGCTCTGAATCTCGGAGGCGCGACCATGAAGGAGAAGCTACAGGCAGGTTAACCATGATTTCAATCACCTTCGCGGGGTTCATACTGGTACTGTCCACCCGAAGTCGGATAGGCACTGGCTAACTCGGCGAGACCAAGGGTGATGATACTGCATACCACAAAGCCAATCACTAGACTCCACACCACACATGTTGCTCCGCCGGCAATGAGAGGGATGACAAACACGGCCGAGTATGCGATCCAGGAATTGGTGATGGTGAAAGCAAGAGACAAGGTCGACAAGACACCGAACTGACGTGGCAATTCACCTATGTGACCTTGAGCACGAAGTTCCAATTCGTCGGCCGACAGGTTTTCTGAATTGGAGGCCCCAATAGCCTCAGGCTCGGTGGTGGTCGGCGAAGAGCCCATGGTATGACCGTTTGTATTGTGATATTGAATAGCAGAAGGAAATTTCTCGTTGAGAGGTGATGCGCACATGGTCTCGTCCCTGGTGTCTTCTCCAGGATTATATGCGAGTTAATGTCTCCTGCAGACGTGGTACACCCTCCTGAATGCCGTTCATTATCAGTTCAGCGTAGGGGTTTGTGGAGTCCATTTGTCTGGGGAAGATGAGATGAATTTCACGAAAGCGAGCCCGTTGATGCCCACTAGTCCCTAAAATGTTAGCTTAAGCGGTCGTTATCAATGGGTGGGTCTCCAACTGACAACCCCAGAGGCATGACCAGGGCCGGCTATCTAGGCGACTATCACAGACGCACAGTTGGCGATCTCTAGGTTTATTAGTGGGCCTCCGTGCCCCTCAAACGCTCGCCTAGATTTGCCTGTTCTAGGTTGTCGAGCCGTGGCCGTGTTCCAAATCGCCAAACTCAAACTGCAATGCTGGTAGGACGAACGGGCGTGCATTTCCATCCCTGCCGGCATGTTCGAGTGTAAACATGGTATGTCTGACATTTGACGTAGTTTGCGAAGGCGTCGCAAGGACTGTGCTCCGCTGGATTGGTGGGCTGCTAAAGACATAATGCACGTTGGACAGTGTAAATATATAGGGCTCTTCATGGGCTGCCCTGCAGCAGACTGACCCGTCGACGAACCTTCCAGCCTTGCGAGCTTGCACCGGGACAAAACATCCTCCATTCATGATGACTGTCGACGCCAAACCCACAGAGCTAGACACCCTTGTGGTGGGTGCCGGATTTGCCGGCATCTATCAACTGTACAGCCTTCGCAACCTCGGATACTCAGTCAGGGTCATTGATAAAGCTGGGGGTGTTGGCGGCACTTGGTACTGGAACCGCTATCCTGGTGCCATGAGCGACAGTGAAAGCTTTGTGTTTCGGTTCACTTGGGACAGGGACGACCTGAGAACCTACCCATGGACCAACCGCTATTTGCAGGGGCCAGAAATCTTAAAGTATCTTGAACACATTGTGGACAGACACCACCTTCGCAAAGACATTCAACTCAACACCGAACTGGAGAGCGCAGATTGGGATGCTGAACAAGGCAAATGGCTCGTGACAACCAGCACCAACGAAGTCTTCGTGGTCCGCTACCTGATCACCGCACTGGGTTTACTTTCCACAGCTAAACTGCCGAACATACCAGGATTGGACGAGTTCAAAGGAGAAATCTGCCACACCTCCCGCTGGAGAGATGATTTCGACTTGAGCGACAAGCGAGTCGGTGTTCTTGGTAATGGATCTACGGGCGTGCAGGTCATCACCGCCCTCGCCCCCCGAGTGAAGTCGCTGGTCAGTTTTCAGAGATCTCCCCAGTACAGTGTCCCCAGTGGCAATGGACCGGTGACGACAGAGTATCGCCGGTGGTTGAACGATCATTACGACGAGATCGTGGAGGGCCTCCCGAAAACTGCAACCGCGTTCGGGTTCACAGAGTCGACTACACCCTACGCCTCGGTGGAGCTCGACAGGCGTGAGGAGATATTTCAACGTCTCTGGGATCAAGGCAATGGGTTCCGGTTCATGTTTTCGGGATTCTCAGATATTTCCACCGACAAGGAGGCCAATGAGGCCACCTGTAAATTTGTCAAATCGAAAATTGCCCAGATCGTCAAAGACCCGGAAAAGGCCAGGAAACTGATGCCGCGAGAACCGTACGCGCGACGACCTCTCTGCGACAGCGGCTACTACCAGCAGTTCAATCGCCCCAACGTCGATATCGTTAATCTTCGGGACACCCCGATCGACCGTTTTACCGCCACGGGGGTCAAGACAACCGACGGTAAAGTTCATGAGGTGGACACCTTGATCCTGGCCACCGGATTTGACGCTGTCGAGGGAAGCTACACCAGGATCCAACTTCGCGGAAGATCGGGAAAATCACTCGCGGATCACTGGAAGAATGGACCAACGAGTTACCTCGGGTCCTTTGTTCCTGGGTTCCCCAACCTCTTCATGATTAGTGGACCTCAGGGGCCATTCGCGAACGCCCCTCCGAACGTCGAGATGCAGGTCAATCTCAATAACGAGCTGATCCAACGAGCGGAAAGACTGCGAGCGACGGGCAAAGCTGCGGTCGTCGAAGCGATTCCTGAGGCCGAGGCGGACTGGAGCGAACATTGTAACGAATTGGCCCAGACCACCTTGTTCCCGAGTATCCCGTCGTGGATATTCGCAACCGTACCGGGGGCCCCGAAACCTATCCCTCGCTTCTTCCTGGGTGGTCTTGCCAACTTTATCACAGTTTTGGATGGCGTTGCCAAAGCAGGCTATGACGGCTTTGCAGCTCCTCTAGGAAACGGTCGGAAGGAGGTCTGCAATGGCACTTCGAAGACTGGCTCTCTCGAAAATGTCACCTTGGAAAAAGGCACAGTCGAGGTTGCACTTGCCTGATTTGAATGATGTAGATAAGTATTAAGTCTGGTGGCACGTGTTGAACACAGACGAATTTGCAGTGTTGGAACTAGTCAAATCTCGCTCAATCGAACAGATAGATGTTGAAGTTTCTGTCGTGGATGTTCTGCATGGACCGTGAAACGAATGTCAAAATCGTGTTGCCATTTTCTGGGCGCATATTTAGATCGTGAGTTGTATTCGTGTCTAGATAAAGATGCGCGCTTATGGCGTCTATCTGACGCCCTGATGCCACCCAGCGATTTACCGGCATAACCGGGAAGTTGAGCGCGGGGTGGCGGGTCACGGTGAGACGTACACAGTAACCCATAGGTGGCTTATAGGTGCAGATGGGGGGCGCATAGATAAGAGCAGCGCCCCCATTACTTGGCTCTCTATCTAGATGACAGGCATGAGCCACCGGCGGCAGATGGATGGTTCAACATCACTTAGATTCGTTATCACTGTCTCGTTCAACACTTCAGTCAATTATTCTGTCCTGATCCCCACCATCCGCATGTGCCCTATCTATGTTGAGATCCATGGGATACACGCTCAAGCATCTTCGCCACCATGCCTCCTCGTTCACGAGGTGAGTTTCCAGGAATTCAAACAATCCTCGACTGACCGCGTATTCATCTCTTAGCTGGCTGTCCACGATGTCGTTCGATGGTAAATTGGTCCCTTCCTTCAACGACCAAAGTACTGACCGGCGCAGAAAATCAAGTGCGATGAGACCAAACCAAGCTGCAGACAATGCTTGAAACGCAAAGTCAGCTGTCCTGGCTACAAGCGGCATCTCAAATGGAGTGACAAACACGAAGTCTTCAACACCTGGAGACCGAAATTGCATCTTACACGAGACTCAGCACCGCTCCCGCTTCCGCTCAATGCAGTCGACAGTCTCAATTCAACCGAACCAAACCTGCTTGTAGAAGCATTTCAGCCAACACTGAGAGGACCACCAACCCATATTGCTCCCACAGGATCCCACGCCTCGGCTACGGACGCGGAGTCCTCATCTCAGCAGACACCACCCCAGCACACCAACCCGGACCCCGTTGCTTTTTCGCCTGCCGTAAACAATAATGACAACGACAGATCTACCGCAGACATCTTGCGTGAAGATCTTCGCGAGTGGTTGACAAGCCACGAGCCGATGACACTCTTGGAACAACAAGACTGGACTTGGACGCTGGACGGGCCTGCGTTGGACTGTGACCAAGCTTCGACATTTGTGACCACGCTAGACTGCTGGAACGCAGCCGCGTCACAGGGTAGTGAGTTCAATCAAGCCTTGGTACGGTACTTTTTCGACAACCTGTGTTGTATTCACACTGTGCTCGATGACACAGCGGAGCGTTTCAAAGCCCTAGTCCGTCGCTATCTCAGCACGTCTCCACTCCTCCACAAGAGCGTCGTGTGTATGGCTGCTGCCCACTGCTTCCAGGACGATGAGTCCATGCTCTCCACGTGCCTCGAGTGTCACACCGCCGCGGTCAGGTCCCTATCAGCGGCAGTTTTCCAGATCGAGACAGTGCTTGAGCAATCGACAGACTCCCCCCCGAAATCGGCATTGTCCGACAAGAATATGCTGCGCAAACTGGAAGAAACTTTGTTGGCATCCATCATCCTAGGATTTTGCGCGGTAAGTGTGGCCCCTTTGTCTCTTTACGACTCTGCACCCCTAGCACAGTGAGCTGACGTCGACAAGCCTTGGTCCGATCCACAAGACCTTGGTCTACCACACCTCCGTGGAGCCAGGAAATTGTGCGAATACCTGGTCAACTACGTCACCATGGACGGCAAGGCCCCAGAAAAGGCGTTGGCGAACACTGATCACCACTTCTTGATAGGGGCGATGTCTTACTGGGAAGCCTGCATGGCTTTTGTCGTGGATCAGCCCAAGGCCGTGGTGCAATACCTGTACCCGTTTTGTCTGCCCACCGAGACGACATACATCCATATGTTTGCTGGAATCAGCCTGCCACTATTAGTCACGCTCGCTAGGGTCGGCATCTGTGTTCGCCAGAATAGGACTTTGAGAAACATGGTTGGGGTGGGCTGGAAGGATCGAGAATCCTATCAAATTCTCGCTTCCGAGGTCACTCAAGATGCAATCGAATTGGCCGAATATGCCGTCGACTACCAAATCCCTGCCGATGAGACTTTCGACACGAAAACCCTTGGTTCCTCTACCTATCAGCAACTCAAAGCCTTTTCGCAAATGTGTAAGTTTTCAATCTTGCTCGAGCTACAACGAAACTTCCCCAGTCTCCTGGACTCCCAGCTTGACGATGCCGAGGCCACAACACCCGAAACTCGCCCTTTCCCACGAACAATAAGCCTCGATCGCTGGTATTTTGATCTGTCAGGAGCAATCCTCAGTCACGCACAAGACATTCCAGAAGGGTCCACGTGTGGTTTGTATCAAACAATCCTGCTGATCATATGTGGGAGCGTCCTACGAGCCTCGAAGGATTCAAGGTCCGCCTTTCCTTGCCAGTTAAGCTTGCGTGACAAAACGGAAACCCAAGTGCTATCCACACTTGCACGACAAGATGAGCTCGACAAACGTCGCGCCTTTATACGACGGCGGTTGCAGTCGAATTGCGCATCATTCGGCCTGCGCCAAGTCTTCTCCAGGGCAGAACTGCTTTTGGAGGATGTTTGGAGGGAATTTGATGCTGGCACAGGCGAGGCCGATGACCTTCGGTCCAGTCGTCACTGGGTCGACGTCATGGCAGATCACAAGTTGGAAACATTTTTTGGTTGATACGTTGAGGAGCTTGCTAATTATAGCGGTGTCTGCCCTCGCTAAGACAATGTCTCCATTGATCTATTTCGTCGATGTACCAACAATCTAGCAAACCCATCCTCCGTCCACGTTATAGACAGCCCCGGTCACGAAGCTCGCCTCGTCAGAAAGCAAGAAGGCCGCCACACGCATAATCTCAATCGGATTCGCTTTGCGTTTCTGAACCTGGGCTCGGATCTCGTCCGAGTTCTCGACCGTGTCATTCGCCATCATCGGAGTATCCGTACAACCTGTTGAGGGCAGTTTCGTCAGGCTTGCTAGATGACACATCGACGATTTTCGACTTACCAGGAGCGACGCAGTTAATGCGGATTCCCACATGTTCTTTAGCTGCGCTACGGGTCAAGCCAATCACGGCATGCTTGCTGGCGCAATAGGCTGCAAATGTCGGCCAGCCAATCTGCCCCTCAGTGCTTGCTGCCGAAACCTATCAACGAGATCAGCCAACAAGGAAACCAATCTGCGCTGGATGTTGGGTTTCTTCACGATAGAAGCGCCGTCTTTCATGACACGAAGCTGGGCGCGGATACAGTTGAACACGCCCGTGGAATTGACATCCATGACAAAGTTCCAGTTCTCATCCGTCTCCTCCACGACGGGGTTGATCCTGATGACGCCGGCCCAGTTGGCGGCTCCGTCCAATTTTCCAAACTTCTCGATAGTACTGGAGATCCAGGAATCCACAGACGCGCTTTTGCGCACATCTACAACTGTGGAAAGGTGAGACGACGAGTTTTCCAGCGATTGAATGGTCTCAGCGAGGCCTTTCTCGTTGACGTCGGCCAACGAGACGAGTGCTCCTCGCTGGGCCAACAACTGCGCAAGGATGCGACCCTGGCCAGACCCTGCTCCGGTGATGGCAACCTGCCGCGTTGTCAGCGAGAGGAAGTCGACTTGGAGTATTCCCCTCCGATTGTGAATCGTACCACTTTTCCTTTGAAGTCCGACATGGCACAACAGATCTCTTTGGTTCTTGGTTGACGTAAGTGCCGTAGATGGAAGTATGCAAATGATTTTTGAAGGTAGAAACTCAAGGACTTCTGGTGTATGCACGTTCGATTGGGCCTGCCGGGAATCTGTGATCTCTAATATAAAGGTTCATTGGCCACCAAATAGATAGTCCAGCGCAGATGAGCGATGCATGGCCGGACAGGCCTCAGAGAAGTCGTACATGTCCATACAATGACCACCGGCTTTCTGGACTACCCACAGTCTTGGTAGAAGCAGCATCTTCATCCGCATGCAGCGCTTCCCGCCCTGCTGGGGTCAGACTATCTTGTCCGACTTGCGGGGAGATGCACAGTCGTCGAACAAGAAATTACTCTTTGCGGTAAGCGGAGGCGTTGTTGCATGATCGACAAGGCTAAGTTGGAGTGTGGTCAGGCTGGCTTGCCTGAACCTCTCTTATCTTGAGTGAGGATGGGCTGAAGTTGGAACCGTGGACACCATTACTTGTGACTTGTGTTATCTACACTTGTAACTGCACTATTGGAAATTCCGCGTTCGAACCCGAACGTGACGATGGGCGAGATGCCTCACCCTTGGACACTGCTACATACCTACCTGTTAGATAAGCAGACATTTGCGAGGAGTCGGCACGGTACACGGACCTGAAATGACCGCCTAAACTAGCCCAAACAGGCACATTTAACCTTGTGGCGTTGCCTCCAAACCGCCTACGATAACCCCAAGCAACAAGTGCTTGTCTCCGTGCTTTATCGCCCGCAGTCCAGCAGGTGTCTAAGTACGCGTTTACGGTGGCAAGGTGACATGATCAGCGAGGTCCGAAAGGTGAAGTCCTTTTCCATTATCAGGTGAGCATTGAGCATCGAGCATCGAAATGCGCGACCACGAGTCTGGGTCCACGTTCTGCTAGTGCATCTTGAATGCTGCGCCTGGACTCGAAAGGCGCGTTACTATTGCATGTATCATTGCTCCATCGCTTGTTAACCCCCTGCGTGATGTTTGGTATAAGAGGCGAAACAAAGTAAGGCCGGCGGTGGTATCGAATACTATTCTATGATCTCATACTCGCACCATCATGCCTCGCCGCCAGCTTCAGAAGTCCGACCGGATCATCATCATCGGTGCCGGCGTGTTCGGACTGAGTACAGCCCTTCACCTCGCTCTCCGTGGCTACAAAAAGGTCGTGGTGTTTGACCAGCACGACTACGACGCCACCAAATATGACTACCGGTCTGGAGCCGATTCGGCCTCTTCTGGTCCGTTGAAATCATCTTGCCTCTGCCGCGCTGCGCGCCGTTACTGACCTGAGGCAAACCAGATTTGAACAAAATCATCCGTTCCGCGTACGGCTCGGCGGTCGAATACCAGGATCTCTCCAAAGAGGCGATCGCGTGGTGGACCGCGTGGAATGACGAGATTAAGAACGCAGAGGATCTCCCACCGGGCTTGAGTCCATCGGACCGGGTGTATATCAACAATGGGACACTGGCTTTCACTGACCAGGACGAACTGCCCACCTTCGAACTCGACACGATCCGAAACATGAGGGCCGCAGGTTTGCGTGCAACGCAGCTGATTACTACCAACCCGGAAGACGTCATGGCCGCTGACCGCCGGGGTTGGGGGTACGGAATCGATCCTTTCCGCCGCAAGGAAAGGAGAAAGGCCAATGTCGGCGTGCTCGACACTACCGGTGGTGTGATCGTGGCAGACAAAGCTTGCCGGTTTGCTCTTCACAAGGCCCGAGCGTTGGGGGTCAAGTTCGTGTTCGACGCACGAGCGGGCGCATTCGAGTCCTACTGGCACGACAAGCACGGAAAGGTGGTGGGTGTAAAGACCCGGGATGGCCAAAGGCATCCTGCGGACAAGGTCGTGCTGGCTTGTGGAGGCTGGACGCCGTCCCTCGTGCCTCAGCTCGACGGGCTTTGTGAGACGACGGCGGGCTCCGTCATCATGTTGAAGATCCCGCCAGAATCGCCGCTCTTTGATCGGTTCGCTCCCGAGAGGTTTCCCAGCTGGATGTGGAAGCTGTGGGACGGAGCCGAGGGCGGCTTGTACGGCTTCCCGCGCGATGATCGAGGGTGGATGAAGATCGGATACCGGGGCACAAAGTATACCAACCCACAGATTCAACCGGAAGGTAAGGTGCGCAGTGTCCCCGTCACCAGGTACACTCCCGGTGAAAAGGTCACGCAAATTCCGCAGAAGGCCATGCAAGTGTTCAAGCGCTTCCTGGGCGAGTACCTGCCGGAGCTGGCGGAGCACGGAATCGGCATCGAGCTCACGAGGCTCTGTTGGTACACGGATTCTTTCGACAACCACTACGTGGTCGACGACATTCCGGGCCAAGACACGGTCATGGTTGCTACAGGTGGGTGCGGGCATGCTTTCAAGTATCTGCCAAACCTAGGGAAGTGGGTCGTTGATATCATGGAGGGAGTCGGCTCGGAGCGGACTCTCATCCAGCGCTGGCGATGGAGGGCATTGCAGGCTGGGGTCAAGCCTTTCAACGTCTTAATGCAGGGCAGTGGCAGTCCGACTGCCATCAAGAATGTTTCATGGTCGAAAGATGCCGACCTGAAACCAGGTAGCGGTCCACATTTGTAGATAGCCGACTAACTACCCCATGAGACTAGGTACAGATATCGTTTACAGTGAGGCATTCGTGCACAACGTGCAGTCTCTCGTTATCCTCGGTGTTTTACTCGAGAAGTGACATGGCATGAGGTGACAGAATCGCGCGCACGCTGCAGTTGGTCGTAAGCAAACGTTGACCTCTGCCGCTGAGTTGAAGTAGTAGGTGTGCCTTGGCGCATACCGTTTCTTGACATAAAACCAAGGTCATATCCTCGTTGTCAGTGTTTACTGCAAGTATACCTCGACCGCAGAGCAAAAGCCCAAGGTCAAGGAAGGGAGGCATTTGGTTGGAATCGACCGATGTCGCTGGTTATGTATGTGCCAGCTCTAAACAGCGCACCGAGTTCTTCGGCCCGGCGGATATGTTGTACGATCTCATTTGTGCAGAATGAGCCAAAGACCATGGATGGTAGGGCACTCAGCGCAAACAGGGTTTCAGACAGGCTGTCGAAGGGCAAACTACATCATAAAGCCCTCAGCGAGACTAAGGATTCGAACGGGGGAATTGAATATCATGCGGCTTCGAAACAAAAATGGGAGATAAAAGCAGCAAGGGGTCCTGGTAGCCTCTAGAAATATAGCAAACATAAATTAAGACGGCACAACCTACTTGAGCGTACGATACGAGTGGCTAATGCTAGAATAATAAAGTCGATCCTGCGACGCTCCTTTCACGTAGCTCTCCGCCGTGATTGAACTGCTCCAGAGGCCAAGTCGCATGTGAAGTCTTCAGCGGGCAGCTCAATCAACGAGGGTGTGCAAGGGCGGCATCACCATCTTGCCTGATCGGGCGGGAGCCACGATCAGTGGAGCTTGACCTTGGCAGTGGCGACCCCGGTCACGACATCACAGGCGCTTTCCCCAATCGGGACCGCCTCTGCTCGTTGTTGCAACTACACACGACTCTACGAGTCACCCGCAGGCTGTCTACCAACCTCAATTCCATTCAGATTCTCTATTCACGTGAGTTGATCATAGTTACCGACTCCCGTATGCTCGCCGACCTACCTCCCGTCAGCCTGGATGGCATCTCTCCCGCATGACCCCGATCCCTGACCCGCATCCCCCCTCTAGTCCACCGATAAAGACTAAAAAGCGCGTCAGTCGACGGCGAGGTCTTAAGAATGGGGCCTCTACGGAGTGCCCAGGCGAGAACGCGCCCCCGGCGAGAGATTTTGCAGCCTTCAAACGTCTTTGAAGACTCGGACCACGACGAATACGCTGACTTCCAAGAAGCTGAACCCCCCTCAAAACGCATACGTACCCTGCGCAAGGCCCAAGAGTCGCCCAGATGGTCGCCAGGAGATCGAGGCGGAGGAAGCAGACATACTGAGGCCGAACGTGCACGCGCAAATCTAAGAACGCCTCGGAGAGGTGACGAACATAAAACCCCTCGAACTCGCCCAAGAACTAGCAGTGATCGGAGAAAGACAATACGAACTACGTCTCGAGTATCGGCCAGGAGCACTACGCGTGGAGGTGCTCGTCCTCGCTACAGCACCGCCGCCGCTGCATCGGCCGCTGCAGCGCACGGAGATGGTTACAAACCGCGAGAAGAGCGAGGCTGGGAAGAGTTTCATCCAGATCTGGATCTAGATGCCGACTTTGCGGTCCTGCTCTCTGAAGAAGTCGATGGCGTTGTCAAGAAGACCACCACAACCGGCAGCAGTCTGGTGCCCGTATCTGCAGGAGACGGGCACTCTCCTGTGCCATCCCCTTCATTTTCTCCTCGCAAGAAAGCTGGAAGACCAGTGCGCAACCCAAATGCCATGGTGCACGCTCTCCTTACCCCCGAGATCCCCAAATTCGTTCCAGCACCGGCTCCCAACCCGCGAGAGCGACTTACTCTCATGAAACCCTCCTATCGAGAACTAGACCCTTTCTTATCATATGAACAAAAAGATGTCGCACAGGTTGATTTCGTTGACAAATCAATGGCCAATGTTGGCTATCAGGAAAGCGAAATCTTCATACGGCCTGAGCGGACACATATAAGACAGACGGAAGGTTCTGCCGAAGAAGATCTTGACCTGAGCCCAGACCTAATCACCAATGGTGAAAACTCTGCTATTGGCAGTAGTGGGGTAGGCCGAGTCGAGTATGATATGGATGAGCAGGATGTCAAATGGTTAGAAAACTTCAACAGAGGCCGCGCCAAAGATGGTGTCCAAACCATAAAACCTGCAATATTTGAAATCACAATGACCAAGGTCGAAAAGGAGTGGCACGCACTAGAAAAGCGGATACCAAAACCCAATCCTAAGGCCCCTCAGACTCAACGGCCACGATCCAGTTCGGCAGCGGCTGTTAACGGCGAACCTGCAGGTGAAGAGCCTGACAGTAAATGCGCAATCTGCGATGATGGTGATTGTGAGAATGCCAACGCAATTGTCTTTTGTGACGGTTGTGACTTGGCCGTGCACCAAGAATGCTACGGCGTCCCATACATTCCCGAGGGTCAATGGCTCTGTAGGAAATGTCAATTGGTGGGTAACTCACGCCCAAGTTGTATCTTCTGTCCGAACGAGGGTGGTGCATTCAAACAAACCAATAACTCAAAATGGGCACACTTGTTCTGCGCAAACTGGATCCCTGAAGTCACTATTGGCAATCCATCGTTGATGGAGCCGATCACCGATGTGGAAAAAGTACCTGCGAGTCGCTGGAGACTTACATGTTATATCTGTAAGCAGGCTATGGGTGCTTCTATCCAATGCAGCGACGGTAGATGCTATGAAGCTTTCCACCTGACCTGTGCTCGACAAGGTGGACTTTATCTCAGAATGAAGACTGGAGGTGGACAGAACACATTGATGGAACAGTCACAACTCCGAGCTTACTGTCACAGACACACCCCTGGTGATTGGAAGGCCGAGCACCATACTGATCGTGCCTATGAGGAGGCAGCCAAATATTTTAAAGAGCATTTCAAAGGCCAGATATGGGCTGACAGCCGAGCTTCGGCACTTGCCATCGACAATATTCACGATATCCCCAATACTGGGAAAGGCACGCAAAGGGTGACACTAACCAATAGGAAGGGTCAAAAACAAAAGACCATATGGCGCCTACCCTCCGGAGCTCCGGTGATACCAGAAGTCATACTGAAATCCATCGAGGACTCTTTAGTCAGATTCACTGTGCAGAAGAAGAAAGAGTATGTTTCTGAGATCTGCAGGTATTGGACGCTCAAACGCGAGGCGCGCCGTGGCGCTGCTTTATTGAAGCGACTCCAGCTCCAGATGGACACCTTTAGCTCTTTCGAAGTGACTCGACGCGACTACAAAGCTCAAGGCGCTGCAGGACGCGCCAGGCTGGATAGACGCATCGAATTTGCCGACAGACTGCTGAAGGATATGAAACAACTAGTGCAGTTGTGCGAATCCGTTAAGCAACGTGAAGCTGCTAAGCTTCAGGAGGCCATGCTATTGAAGGACGTCATCGACACTGTTTATTTCCCCATACCACATCTACTCGAGCCGATTGTCGAAAAAGCACTCAAGTAAGGACCCTTATCCACCCCCGCCGCAATTGCTAACAATTTCAGACTTGACCGCGGACTCTTTAGAAGCGCCTTGCTGGAACTCCAAGCTCGAGTTTTGAGAAGAGAGCATACTTCAGTAGCCTCTTTCTCCAATGATGTGGTGCGGGTGATCAACTCACAATTTGGAAACAACGCCTCCAACATCTCAGAACTGATCACCCTTGTTAGTGGGAGGGCGGAAGACATGAAGCCGGATGTAAGAGACCGTCGCACGTTGGCACGAAGAATTGTCAAGGCTGTTGAACCATTATTAGAAGACGCCATCCGAAAAGAGGCTGAGCTGAATGGTCGGCCCTATGCACAACAAATTCGGGAAATGGACGAGGCTTTACTTTCTCGTCGCGGTTCGTTAGTTGAGTCACTGGAAACGCCAGGACTTGACTCTTTGGAACCCAAACCACTCCTTGGACTTGTGACGTTTGAAGACGGCGATATGGAAATGGAGAATGCTGTTGATGTTGTCAACAAGGAGAGGCCCACTCTCGAAGCTGCGACAAATAACGACTCTGCGAATGAAACGCCGGAGCTCTTCAAATCAGAGAGCCTCCTGATAGCAGAGCACATTGTCTCGGCAAGCACACCACCAGCTTCGACCAACGGGTTCAAACACGAACAACCTCCAACAGATGTTATGAACGGCATCCAGAACCCACAGCTGGAACCACCAACACCACCGATGAGCCTAGAGGGCCACGTCCAAACACTGACCTGCCAAGGTGGCATCCCATGGTACGTGGCACAATTTGATCCCGAAGGCACGACCATATTCGAAGAACGTTGGACCGGTCCAGAAGTTCTCCGCGAGATGAGTGAAGAACTGAGTGAAATGGATGAAGACGAGCTTCAAGGCCTCGGAGGCGCTGGTGGCGATGATTTCACGGATGGGGCTGGTCAAGAAGCCAACGGCCTGGTATCTGCCGACGATGGCATTGACGGGCCGACCATCTCCGTCGAGTCTGCTGCGTTGAGGAAGAAGGCAACCGCGAGTCGAAAGGGAGCTAGGAGAGGCCGTTCTGCTGAGTGGGGTGCGAAGTCGTTCCGGCATCGACGATGAGATGTGTCACAACAAAGATGGGAATGGCACTGCGCGGTGCTTCGGCCCCTCGCAAGCTACTTAATATCACCCTTAACGTGCATGCTTGCTGTAGAGGCTTGGTACGATAGGTTAGCATGTAGGCCTACCACTGTTGTTGCCTTCTACATACTTCTTGAATTGAAATGAGCTGTATGAGATGACGCGTTTGGAATTTTCCAACTCTGGACGGTCGATTCGATTCCCCTGCTGGCCCTTACATTCCATCTACCACCGAGTCTGGCTGACACTTAAGTGCCATGATGCGGCGAATACATAATGACGGAACAAGAGTCAACGTAAGGTCTGAAGATGGGTTTGTTCTCCTTTTCTCCCTCCTCAATGTATTTTCAATAGTACCTATGGAAGGGTGTATGGGGGTTGTATTTGACATGGACGAGCGGACGCTACCTAGCTAACTTAAACTACCAACAATTCCAACTCGAATGCGGGGGGGTTGCTTCTAGGCAGTGGCCGAATAGAAGGACAAGGGGAATAGAATCTTTCAGATGGGGGGTGGGTGAAGAGAGAGTGGGAGGTTCTCATCCAATTGCCGCTCGTTGTTCGTACTCAAATGTCCTCAAGTGGTACAACTCCTTCACAGTTCATCTGCAATAAGTACTTTCTGGTGTTTCTGTCGTGGCTTGCATTTTCGTGCCCATCAAGGGTCTCAGGCTGCTCCACTTAACACATTCGTCGTCATCATCGTCGTCAGGACGCGTTTTCTCCAAAGCACTGGTGGGAGTGCTTCAGATTTAGGCGTGTTTCCAGCTCTGGAGAAAGATGGATTGTAAGAACGTGCCGCAAAGGCAGTGGGTCGAAGCTCAACAAGACAGCCGATCAATGCGGTACAATCGCCCAGCAGCTTTGCAACATGAAAGATTCTTTAATATTCAGCGCCAGTCTCGTCTTCTGCCTCGAGACTATCGCTGGCAACCTCTTCATAATCTTTCTCCAAAGCAGCAAGATCTTCTCTTGCCTCGGAGAATTCACCTTCTTCCATTCCTTCACCGACGTACCAGTGAACAAATGCACGCTTGGAATACATGAGGTCGAATTTGTGATCAAGTCGGCTCCATGCCTCTGCAATTGCAGTTGTGTTGGAGAGCATACTAACCGAGCGGTCAACTCGTGCTAGCTCACCACCCGGAACTGGCATGGCTAGAAGGGAATGTTAGTATGCTGCGTCAAGATAAGGTGGGCTGAACTCACGTGGTTGGTAGTTGATGCCAACTTTGAAGCCAGTCGGACACCAATCGACCAAGTGGAAGCTAGACTTGGCTTTGAGGGACGCAATAGCAGCGTTGGTGTCACGAGGGACGACATCGCCACGATAGAGCAGTGCAACAGCCATATATTTTCCATTTCGGGGATCGCAGACCACCATTTGATTGTCAGGCTCAAAGCACTGGAGAGTCAAGTCGTGAACCTTGAAACTTTCGTAGGAGGATCTCTTAGTTGCAACCACTGGCGCGTAGGAGATCAGCGGGTAGTGGATGCGAGGATATGGAACCAGGTTAGTTTGAAACTCGTTCAAGTCGACGTTCAATGCACCATCAAAGCGTAAGCTGGATGTGACGGAGGAGACTACTTGAGCGATGAGGCGGTTTAGGTGTTCGTAGTCAGGTCGAGGAATGTCCAGACTGCGGCGGCAGATGTCGTAAACGGCTTCATTGTCGACCAGGAACGTACAATCGGCATGCTCAATGGTGCTGTGGGTTGACAGAACGGCATTATAAGGCTCCACCACCGATGAAGATACTTGAGGAGCAGGGTAGACGGCGAATTCGAGTTTGCACTTCTTGCCGTAATCAACGGAAAGTCTCTCGAGGAGGAGAGCACCAAACCCAGAGCCGGTTCCACCTCCGAAAGAGTGGAAGATGAGGAAGCCTTGCAAGGAGGAGCAATTATCTGAACTCCGGGTTAGCGAGCAAGCAGAAAGAAGGCAAGGTCTCAAGGTGTCTAACCAGCAACTCGGCGGATCTTGTCTAGCACATCATCGACCAGTTCCTTCCCAACAGTGTAATGGCCTCGGGCATAATTGTTGGCAGCATCTTCCTTGCCACTGACCAACATCTCAGGGTGGAACAGTGACTTGTATTTGCCGGTGCGGATCTCATCGATGGGAGAGGGATCAAGGTCGACGAAGATGGAGCGCGGGACGAATTTCTTGCCATTGGTCTCGTTGAAGAAGGTCTCGTAGGAGCCAGGGTCACCAACATCCGCTTCGGGGTCAGGGTGACCGTCAAACTTCAGGCCATGTTCGAGAAGGTACCTTGGGGAGGGTTAGTGATGAAGAAGAAATGGCGGTGGGAGCACCGGCGACTCACAATTCCCAGGCAGCGTTGCCCAGCTGGGTACCAGCCTGCCCAATGTGGAGGTGACAGACCTGCAAGGATTGTCAGTATATGATAAAAACTTCTCAGCGTGGTGTTTTGAAGGGGGTGGAATCTCCTATACGAGATGTCTGGGAATTGTTGGTTCGGCGGAGAAAGGGTGGAGGGGCAGCGCATTCCACCAAACAGGGGCGTCCAGTCAAATGTGGGATAGGGGACGGTAGGAGGACTTACTTCGCCGCGCATATTGAATGATAATGGTCTGAACTGAACGACAGGGAGAGTATGTTCGGTCAGGACAAATTGACTTGCAGGCGGAGGAGGAGACGTAGGAGCTGTAGGAGAGGGTAATCAATGTGGTACCTGGCGGTGTCGGTTGAGGCAAGTCACAACTCCCCGGTAGTGTTGTGCGCGAAGCCAGAGCAACTTATCGATTGGCGCGTTCCTGCCAAAACAACGCCAAGAAATAACAGATCAACGGCCAGGCGCCGGATAAACCACAGCCCGTCGCGGCGCGCCTGACTACGGCAGAGCACAAGGATGCGAGGTGACGTGCACTTTTTTGGGCTTCCAGTTCTGACTGATCAATGATCAGGCTCTCTCACAAACTGACACCGAGCCGTGCTGTGTTACAATCAAACGACGAACGATCTCACATTTGAACGAAGAGATGCCAGAAACACCGAAATATAACGAAGATTTGTTTTCTATCTTCTATTTACCTACAACAGAAGACAGACGATCGGTCTTTCTAAAATAGCCCCTGAGCATGGCCAGCCCTACTCTTGCCAAATTGGCCGTCCCAGCAGTTGCCCTGCTGATTGCTTTCTTGTCTTACACTTCTCAGTATCTGTTTTATGCCATCGAGCCAGGCCCATTAGACTGTCGACAGACAAAGATATTCAATACCCTCGTCATCTGTCTCTGGATTTCTTATGCTCGCGCTTGTACGACCAGTCCTGGGTCAGTTCCGAAAGACTGGTCTCCTGACGGCAAGACCGAAGAGAGCACTGCATCGGATGGGAAGATCCAGACAAGGCAGCGGTATTGCCGCAAGTGTGATGCCTTGAAGCCTCCGAGATCTCACCACTGCAAAGTCTGCAAGAGGTACGTCGACCGAACAGGACGTCATGAATGGCAGAGGCTGACCTTATCGGCAAAGGTGCATTCCCAAGATGGACCACCACTGTCCTTGGACCTACAATTGCGTATCTCATTTTACGTTCCCCCATTTCATGCGCTTTCTCTGGTATGCCGTATCCGCAATGACTTACCTTGAATACTTCCTCTTTCTTCGCGGCCAAGTCCTGTGGGAGAACCGACACTTACCAAGTTATCTGGGTCCATCTGTGCCTCAGCTAATTTTTCTCTTCCTCCTTATGGTGACCAACTCTCTTACACTGTTTCTGGTTTCGGTCACCTTCCTTCGTACTGTCTGGGGTCTTGGAGGGAACATTACAACCATCGAGAGCTGGGAGATTGAACGCCACGAACAACTTCTTCGCCGTGCTCGTGTTCTTGGTGGCTACCTCGATGGCCCAGATGGAATTCGTGTCAAGATTGTGCGGCAAGAATTTCCGTACGATATCGGTATATGGAACAACATTGCTCAGGGAATGGGCTCCCATAATCCGCTCGCATGGTTCTGGCCATTTTCATTCACTCCCAGGACGAATGGTCTGTTGTTCGAGGACAATGGTTTTGAGGATCCGGGAGTCTCTTGGCCTCCTCCTGATCCTGATAGAATGCCTCGGACGGACCGAACTTCGATTGCACATGAGGATTCATCCGCTAACCAAAACCAGGATTTAACTCCAGATGAAGAAATCATAGCATTCAAGAAGCGACAACAAGCAGATTTTGAATCTCGTGCCGATCACTATGGCGTACAGAGACGGCGCCCCTTCCATGAGCGCTTCGAAGAGAGTGTCTTGAACGCTGCTGAAAATGATTATCAAGAACCTGGTGGCAGTGGTGAGGAGGGATGGCAGGACACTGGTGGAAATCGACTCAAAGACTTTGGAGTGGACGAAGATGTCGAATTCTATGACGAGGACGACATTCCGATCGCTGAATTGTTGAGACGACGGAAAGCCAAGCCGTGAATCAAGCAATTGTATTACAGATAAACTCACCTGCACCACCCTGCATCAAACCAGGGGCAGACGACTATTGATTGGGCGTCTGAATGAGAAGCCTGGTACAGCGTATGCAATTCTTTCGATGCTTTAGGCAGCTCGTAGCGGTTACTCGCCAGCGGAAGTCACCACGAACCTTGGACAACTCTTGACCGAGCCATAGGAGGATCTCCCATCGAATTGGTGCAACACGACAGCTTCACGCCTTGACAATCAGTGAGCCAAGTTTGCCTTGTAAGAGGCGATGCACAAAGCTTTTTGGGGATACGGCTTGTTCTCCGTGAGCAATGGGCCTTGCACAGGAATCGAAAACACGAATGAAAGTAGCCCGGTCTCAACCAAGAATCAGTCTCCGCGTGAAGCATTACATGGTATTGGTATTTTGCGAGTGCAAGTCCTGCCCCGCCCCTCGACGGACTTCCCCCTTTGTTCCGTGGGGGTGAAGGGTGAGGAGGGGGCCAGTCTCTGTACCCCACGCCTCGACGAGGCCTGAGAATCTACCACAACCGTGACAGGCCAACGGTTTGGTCGCCGGAAACCGACTCTCCAGCTGTTGGGCACGGCGTCCGGAGTACACGATCGCAAATTCATTCTCGCCACATGGCGTCGCTCCATCCACGATAAAGTCCCGCCGGGGGACTTGACTAGAGCTCCCTTGGCTGTTCACAGCACCCAGTCACCGTCCAAATGCCGTGACCTAGACTCAGATCCGATAAGTTGTTGGAGAGTCATCATGTGAGTGCAAGGGTTCCAGTTACGTACCCATCGGGCCATGGATGGGCGATTCAGGCTACGAAAGGATGAAGATTTATGCAGCAACCAACTTAAGTTTCATGGAGATGAACATCATCTATTTTTATTACGGCCAGGATGAAAGGGAGCAGAAGGGCGCAGGGCAACTCCGACAGACTACCGAGTCATAGCAAAGCCCAAAGCCCAAAGCCCTGTTGTCGTCGGTTCATTTCATGAGTGCGGCTATTGCGTTGCTCTTGTGCGTCTCCAACAAGTCAAACATCACCACTGTCATCACCCCACGCCTCCACATTTTGCGGGGCTCAGATCAGGCACAGACAAGATTTCCTCTGGTTGTGCAAACAGTCCGCACAGTGGCAGAGATATACTCTGGGAGGTCGTGACTCGTGCTGCTTCGGCCCAGTGCCCGGCGAATGTCACACGCCCCCCTTGTTGCGACCCTTATATACCGTGGCACTGGGACGTCTGTTTTCGACCCTTGCCTTTTCTCAAGTTGCAATCTCTATTGTCAATTCAATCTTATGGTATACTTCTCTGCCACAAGAATCATCTCTCTTCCCATCGGTGTAACTCACAACTACGGAATATCATAAGATGAATGGACATCATGCAACCCGGCTCTTGAAGCCGGGCATCAATGTCCCTATGGTGGCATTCTTTCATCCAGACACTGAAGACGTCGATGTCGAGGCAACTGCGAAGCACGCCGTTAGACTTGCCAAGGCTGGACTTACTTCAATAACCACACAAGGTTCGAATGGGGAAGCTGTACATCTAACTAAGGACGAGCGCATACTTGTTACCAGTACCGCCCGCCAGGCTTTGGATGATGCTGGATTTGCAGATATGCCAATCGTTGTTGGATGTGCCGCACAGTCGGTAAGAGAAACAATTGATTTCTGCCGCGATGCATACAAAGCAGGAGGCGATTACGCTCTCGTACTTCCTCCTTCGTACTACAAATCAGCATATACCCAACAGTCGTTCATCGAATATTTCCAAGATGTTGCGACTGGCTCGCCCATTCCTATTATCATCTATAACTTCCCAGGAGCGGTTGCGGGTGTCGACCTTGACTCGGATAGCATTATCAAGTTGGCCAAACATCCCAAAATTGTGGGCTGCAAGCTTACCTGTGGCAACACAGGCAAGTTGAGTCGGATTGCCAACGTCGTCAATGCAGCAACAGCCACTGAAACCAACTCAGGTTGGATGTGTATGGGTGGTTCTGCCGACTTTACGCTCCAGACCATGATCGCGGGAGGATCTGGAATTATCACCGGCTTAGGCAACATTGTTCCTAAGGCCTGCGTCAAGGTCTTTGATCTCTACGCTCAAGGCAAGGTGGAAGAAGCAAAGAAGATCCAAGCAATCGTTGCTCGGGGCGACTGGGCAGTTATCAAAGGCGGTGTCACTGGCACCAAGGTTGGGCTCGAATCGTATTTTGGCTATGGGGGTTATGCCAGACGGCCATTACCCAAGCCCACCAAGGACGATATCGCCCAAACCGAGGCGCTTCTGAAGGAAGTGATAGAGCTGGAGAAGTCCCTTTAGGACGGTGGTTGTCTATGGTGTACACACACTTGGGCATTTCTAGCATTTAGATGTTTGAGCGAACTTTGGGAGGCAGTTCTGATTGATGAGTTCTCGTGCAGACAACAAGCCTATATAATCCAATTTCTGAATATGGGGTGGCTGTTCCGCCCGGGCAAACCCCTGCAATAAAAAGGGTCAGGAGAAATTGGACGCGCTGCGTGAAACACCGCCCTTTACTCCATCCTTCTGCGAACTTGCGGCCCCTCGAGGCTACATACATGTCTGTACTCACTACCTCGGTAGAGTAAATAAATACCAATTGGCTACCTAACTAGATAGTAGTGCCTCGTTCGCATCTAGGACCAGAAATGCGGCGGATGGAGGCAAGGCAGAGTTTCCCAGCCATCCATCTTTTCTGCCTCCGTCTTATCGTGCTCATGCTTGGTCTACACCGTATCGGCCACCCTGGCGCCTGGCACAAACCCATGTCCGATCTCGAGCACGTCACGATGCATCCAGTAATTGGCGGAGATTTCTACCTGGTAGACGCCGCTGGTACTCCGTACTGCAGGTTAATTAGACCTTTTGGGACTGGGTTTATCTCTGTTATTTGTTTTGTTGTTTTCATTTGTTCCCATTTCCCTGGGCTTTTAGTCGTCCGCTAATCCCCGTTCCATGCTGCTGCTGCTGCTCCTCCTGTTCCTTTTTGGGTTGATATGTATCCACCCCCGTAATATTTTCTAAGCCGAGGACCCGGCAGATTGGCAGACTTTCAGAATTTCAGCTCGTATGCAGTGAGCCGCACGCACATCCACCCCGTCCGTCGTGGCGGGAGACCATCATTGGATTTCAACGTCGCTTTGATGCAACTCACTCTCATCGCCTCGTTTGCCAACGCATTCCTACCTAGCTACCTAGCCACTACTTACCGCCACCCGTGGCCCAGCTAACAGCGCATAGGGCGCATCTTACTCGCATATTCCCAGCTCCCAGTCGCCTGAATCCACCGCAGCGGCTTTGGTGATGATCTTTGACCCTCACTGCCAACTTGCAGGCTGCAGAACTCAACGGATTGGCTTTCAGCAGAGCTCGTCTACCTTAATCGACCAGCGCATAAGACACCAACATGAGCCACGTTGTCATGTGAGTTCCTCAGTGGCTCCAGCCAATTTGCCCCGAGTGTCGCGTTTCTCATGATGGGGCAATGATCATACGACGGTGAGCTTGGCCCCATTGATGAACATGGACACCTCACCGCCGTATTTGTAGCTTCTCGCTTCCTGCCCGGCCCTAGGTCTTTTTTTTTTTTGGACTCTAGAGAGCTCCTATCCTGCTAACCAACGTAAGGTCTTTTGCTACGGATTTTCCCTTTTCCTTTTTCCATTTTTTTCAATCTTACTTGTATCATCGAGGCTCTTTGCTTTTCCTCCACAGCTCAGAGTGCCGCTGTCGATCGCTTTTTGTCACCTTCGCCTGTACAGTATTCCTACGTCAAGTCCTAAGTTCTCGGTTTTTGGCAGTAGGTTGTTGGTGACAAGTCCACCATGAGCAGTGGGTCAAGGTAAAAACAGTTGTCAGCTTCAAGGGAGGAGGTTGCAGAGATGGCGGAAACCTCTAGCTCTCATGGTATGCTCTGTATGTTCATTGTGGAGGGCAATTGGATGGCTAATGGATTCTATATTTAAGATCTCCACCATGGAGATCATTCGCACGATTCAATCGAGTCTGTCACTGAGTGCATACTGGGCCTTAGAAAAAGGGCAGACGACAAAGACCTCCCAGGCTTTGGCGGCTTGATAGACGACTGGTTCAATCCCGATGTGGATGTGGATGAGGAACAGTTTATCCGCCGTTTCCTACGCGTCTTCAAGCAATCCGACAAAGATTTCACCTACGAAGATATCATAAAGGACTATGACGATGATATTCAAAGCATCGTCAATCAATTTGTCGACGGCGGAATCAATGCCAATGAAGCAGCCGAGAAATACACTCCATTTATGACTCTCAAGGCTCCCAAGGGTATTGTCCAGAATCGCGGTCTCGCCAATATCATTCCTGGAGAGCGGAACATCCTGGAAGAACATACTGGTCTCTTGAAGGCTCTTCCAACATCCATCCCATCTCAAATTCGGGGCTTGGTTGCCAAGATTGCTCCGTCCTTGAAAGATCCCAAGGAATACTTGTATATCCCAGTAAGTTTTGATAGTAGACCGCTAATGCCTTTGACTCGAAAGGCTGAACAAATACCTCTAGTCCTTCAAACACCTCGAGTTTCAAAATCATGGTCGAACGGTCCGATATACTCCTACGATTACATGTGTGCCAAACACAGCACAGGATGTTACGGAGATCGTCAAGTATGCCAAAAACAAGAACATGGGCGTCCGAGTATCAGGCTTCCGTAAGCAATGATACATCCCATATCTATAACACCCCCCCCCTTTCGCTAATTATCATCCACTTCTAGGACATTCATGGTCCCCCGTATTCGGCAGTTCTCGCAAACAGAATGAAAACAAGAAGGGTGACATCCTGATTTCTACATTGGGACTTGTCGATGCATCTATCCTACCAAATTTCACTTCTCTGCCCACCAACCTTTTTCAACCAGAGGCGAAAGATCTCAATTCGATCATGTTCGTCAGCCATGAATACGTCAATGGCCCGGCTTTATCCCACGGCAAAAGGTACGTCAGGCTCGGCACATCGACTACCAACGAGCAGCTGAGGAGGTGGTGCGTGGGAACAGGGAAGGTGACTCTTCCAATGCAAATCATTGAAGTGGAGATTACAATGGGTGGAAGTAATGCGACGATATGGTATGCCCTTTCCGTCATCATCCTCTAGAGCGGTTTTCCTCTGCTCATGCTAACCTAACCCTATCAGTCATGGAGCCGGCCTCAACAATGCTACCCTCAGTGATCTTGTCCGCTGCATTGAATACGTGGATGCCAATGGCGTTCTCCGCAAGATCGACCTGTCCACCCCAGGAATTTTGAGAGCCGCAGCAGGATGTTTCGGATTGATCGGCGTTGTGACGCACCTTGTACTCGAATTCGACCCGATGTCTTGCGCCTTGATGGAACCACGGAAAGTCGCCGTGGTGGAAGCAATTCCACCACCCCCAGATATGAAGGATTCAGAGATACCCGCACCCCTACGGCCAAAGCACCCATTAACCACCGAGCGCAAAGCTGAAATCCAGAAGGATTTCGAAGTCCGTGCCCTGACCCATGATTATGCCGAATGGTTCTGGTTTCCCTATTCGAGCGAAGTCTGGGTCAATACGTGGAAGAAGACAGATGATCTTACCGGCGCGGTGGACTATCCAACCAATGTGAAAACAGTGCTACAAGTTTTCGGCACCATCATGGTGAACGTGGCGCAAAACGCATCCATTCTCCTGAATCTCACGCAAGCTCTGCCCGAGGTACAGACCAAACTTCTGACGTGGCTGACCATGAAGAACCTGGATGATGTGGGAGCCCACGGTGAGAAGATCAAAACGTGGGTTCCTGATGCAATCCACTTCCAAAGAGGCGTGCAGAACATCCGCGTGCGAGATCTCGAGATCGAATTCCCGTTACAGCCGAGAATGACTCCTGGCACCACACCCCCTTCGGACGAAAGGTTCCAGCCCCACGAAGGCACGACGAATACACCCTCGGAGCCCGCGAAACCAGAAGTCGACTTTAAAATCGTACAACGCGCCTGGTGGGACGCCATTCTGACGTGCTACCAAGAAATCCAGACCTGCCCACAACGAATGCCACTCGAGATGCGTATCATGGCCGGATCGGACGTGACACTAGCACCACAACGGGGCCACGCGTTTGGCACATGCTCGATCGAGATCCTAACGCTACACAACGTCGCGGACATCTGGCCGGCGTACGCGCAGAAAGTGCTCGACAAGTGGGCCAGCTACACAGGCACAGACGGCAGGCCGGTCGCCATCCGCCCTCACTGGGCCAAGGAGTGGTACGGGTACAAGATGAAGGGTCGGCCGTGGGAGCAGGTCTTGAAGTCTGAAACCAGGCTGGACGGCGGCTTTCGAGAGGAGTTCCGTGAGTGGAGAGATCTCGTGGCCCAGCTGGCGAAGAGAGATGGCTGGCGCGTCGCGGATGCGAAGAAACGATTTGGCAACGAGGCACTGAACGCTTTGGTTTGGGATGAGAGTCTTCCTTTGAAGCCGACGACCGCCATTCCTGCTGCCAATGGTAAAACCACCACTCCTACTGCAAATGGCGCACCGCTGGTCAATCGCGGCACCGCAAAGACAAATGGCCACGTTGCCAATGGCAGGGCGAATGGAGCCGTGAAGGGATCCAGTGGTAAAAACGATCCAAAGAGGAAGAAAGCGAGGCTTCTTAAGCGCCTCCTGGCAAAGATCAAGGCCACTTTCTAGTAAAAGGATCGTCAATATGGCCATCTCCCTGTTTCCACCGAATGATGATGCATGGCCTCACAATGCCGCCTTCCTCGTCCCTCTCCTCCTTGCTCATCCACGTTACACTTCCAAGATCAAGTTCTCTATCTATCAATCTATCCGCCCTCTGAGCGGCAGCTACAGGCCCCGAGAATCCCACGACTGAAAGAACGACCGAAGAGAAAAAGAGATGCAGGGACCTAACGACCAAAAGAAAACATCCTGACGCCACCTTTCCAATTAATCTAGACTTCTCGTCTCTGCTTTAAGCGTGCCGATGCTTCTGCTGCGTATGTTTCTATGTTTTTATACGTCGAGTCTCGAGGCGAGGCGAGGCGAGGCGAATGGGGCCGGGAAACCTGGCTTATTGCAGTCTCGGAATATTTGTCCTTATTTGTTTTTCTCAAATTACATGCTATTTTGTACCAGGGCTTGGAGGTTATGAACAAACGAACTCACGAACCACGAAGTCCTACGACCCTTGACGAAAGGCTTCTCGTTTACTAATCATGACGATGACGACGACGACGATGAAAAATGATGATAACCATGATATTACCGGATCCATGAAAGATCCGAATTGACGGGCATATTATGCTATGCCCAACTTATGACAGAAATAACCAAATTTCGAGTTTAGCAATTAGTTTTAGACGCAGTTGCTTGAATCCTTCCTATATTTAATGTCCTCATGCAATGATCGAACCGGGGCCCCCCTCAAAGGACCCTCTTGATGGATCTAACAAGAAATTGGTCATCTTTTCGAGAGAGGAATGGCTAGATACTGGACGTGCCAGAAATGCCCCAGGGATGAAATTCTAATCGACAGGGGCAAATCACTCGTAGGAGTTAAACTAAACCACAACCGCGTCGTTGACTCACATTTCTACAGCCAGGTATTGAGTCTGCGAACGAGGCTTGTCTCTAACCAGACGCGTGGCGTCTCTGGCCAGCCCATCGACCATGGTACTAACGTTAATACCCTCTCTTCCGCTGCACGAGATTAAACAGCTCCTTCCCCTCCTCATGCCGCTGCCAATTCGCGAGCCACAAATCGAACACACGGTCCGTATACTCGATGCCCAGCGAACTCACATGCGGCGTGACGATCACGTTCTTCGCATCCCACAGCGGATCATCCTTCGGGAGGGGTTCCGGATCCGTGACATCGAGGGCCGCACCAGACAGCGTCTCGTTATTCAGCGCCTCGACCAGCGCCGCCTGGTCGATGATCGCGCCGCGCGCAATGTTGATGACGAAAGCGCCCTTCGAGCCTTTCTTGCGCAGTTGGGACTCCGGGGAGTCTGGTGCCGGGGCCGCCAAGATAGAGAATTCTTCCGCGCCGAACAGGTGCTGCGTGGAGGGTGTCAAAGGGAGGGCGATGAGGAGGGCGTCAAGCCCCGAGCGGAGGAATGTGTGCAGGGACGCTTTGTCCGTACCGCTGTACCAGGCCGTTGGGATGCTGCCGTCGGGATCGCCGGTTCCGGGGACCCAGTAGCCGGCGTCCTTGCGGGATTCGGGTGTTGGGCGAGGACTTGCTGTGTAGGCGTGGATGGAGGCGCCGAGGGCTGAGAAGACTCGTGCGGCTATCGTACCAAAAGATATCAAGCGGATGTTAGACGACTGACTTTTCGAAAAGTAAAAACCCCTTTGAAAATTCATCTATAAAGTGAAAGAGGGAGAAAACCGACCTTGTCGCCCAATACTCCCGTAACCCGCGATCCCAACCCTCTTGCCGACCCAATCGGTGACCCTGCCGAGCTGGCGCCTGTCCGTGCCCCAGTGGTGCTGCTTCTGCCACTCGTGCTCGAGATGGTAGTTCTTGCTGATCACCAAAGTGGTCAAGATGATCCATTCTGTGATGGGGGGGCCGTGAATGCCCGACGAGGTCGTGATTGCGATCTCGCTGTCCGTCACGATCGGGTGGTTCACCCAGTTGTCGATCCCCGCGGAGAGGAGGTGGATCAGTTTGAGGCTGGAAACAACAGTGTAAGCATTAGATAGTAGAGTTTTCCATTATTTGACGGACAGAGGTTGGCAAGAGGGCGGCGTTGATCTTGTGCCTGTATTTAGTGTTGGTGTCTTGCTGTAGACTTACTTCGGAGCAGCCTCCTTATTCGGCGGAAGCGCAGTCAATGTGATCAGGAGTGTCGCAGACTTGAACAACTCTTTTCATCCGTCAGGAAAACAGGTATTAGTCTGACGGTGGTCTGTAAAACAACGCCGGGATAAACAGATATCAAGAGGAGAGACCTCCAACGGCAGCTAGCCGTGGGACCCGGCTCTCATCTCAAGGACAAGAGATACCGAGGTACACTTCAACTCACCTGGTGGCACCGTGGTGATGAAGTCTTTGAATGGAATTGCGCCCAATGGTGGGAGCTGTACATATGTGATGTCAATGTATGGAAACCGTCGTTTGATCTCGCTCGTAAAAGCCACAGGCTCAGGATCCCATAGTGCGATGAGGAGATGTTCTTTGTCGGGCCCGCCTCCCATGATGTCCAAGCTGGCAACCGTCGAGATTGGTAATAGTAGTCGAGACCCGAGGAAATATCTGTGTGTATTCAATTCTATCCAGGTCACGATCGAGTAGTGGAGAGAATCTCCCACGTGGACAGCCTGCCTTTTAACATTAATTTACCTAGGCACAATCAAATACTTTGGTGATGATTGGGATTCATTAATAATATAGGTACTATCTCCCATTAGCGTCAATACCAGTCGATGATTCGTTGCAGTCTTGGTGGATGCTTGGGAATGTACATGGATAAGAGTTTTCGGGAGAAGTGCGATCCCGCTTTTGCCGTCGATGTCTTACGGGCTTGCATTCCGTCAACCATCTCAATCACGACCCGCTCATGACCATGGGTATCTCGATATTCAAAAGGAAGGATATCTCATGTCTTGTTTGTCATGCGCTGCCAAAACTAGTAGAACCTAACAATGCTGACCCGAAAAGTGCTACATCCGTAACTCATGCCCATGCGCAGTGCTCTGTGTTCGCAATACGCCACCAAGATCAAGCACCAAAGACGCCCATCAACACCAACGCTATCATCGAAGCTATCAAGTGAAGGCAATCAACTTTTCGTCGACTTCAACTGGCCATCTCCATCACCACCGGGTCGCCCAACAGTTACCCATTGCAACTTGATTTTTGGTCCACCCATGCGTTCCTGTAGTCCACTCCAGCCCAATCGTTCCTCTCCCATTCTCCCCAATCCATCATGTTTGATCCAACATCCAACAACAGCACGGATCCAGGACAGCTTTTCCCTGATTTCGTTGGTTCTCAAAACTTCCTCCTCAAGCCGTCGCAATCCATCACCCAGGATTTCTTCCAGTGGAATGCTCATTGTGCCTCTTCGCTCCAAAGCCTCTCCGCTCGCCATTCCAAGATTGGCCAAATTCGTTGCGTCAGTCGATAACAGATAGACAAAGTCCACCATATACCTTTCATCACCGTTCTCATCTCGCTGTTCGTAAACTGAAACCTTGGTATGATCTGGGAAGTTGAATTGTAGTCCACCGTCCACAAATCTCCATACACCAACATTTCCCACTCGTTGATAGAAGTGAACCAATATCGTGCTCCTGACCCTTTTACCGTTGGAAGGATCCCAGTTGCCGGTCTGCTTGTTCATGTACTTCCCGAACTTGTCCAAAAGAGCGATTTCCTTCATACGCTCAGCCTCGCTACCCTCTAGACCTATTTGAACGGCATTCAGAGCGGCCATCTGGTTTGGATGGTTATCCAGGTCTAATTGGAACTTGCTCGAAGGGACATCTAGGCGCTTCATCTCCTTAGCATAGTCAGTTTGCTCGTAAAACTCGATGTTGTGAGCTTCAGGGCCTTGAGGGACGAATTGATAGTCCAGACCCTTGGCTCTCCGTATAGTGTGGTGGCTACCATTTCGCACGACCACACAACTGCTCGCTCTGACATTGTCATCAGATGACCTTAGAATCATCCCAACACTGCCATCACTAAGGATATATGCAATACCATGACGGGTTGAATAGTCCACCCACTTGTCCACTCTAGGATACGTTGTGTTGGGTCGTGCTCTCCGACTTCCGTAAGCAGATCGAGGCCGCCGGGGAGTATCATCGGCCGATCGATTGTCGAGTGCATGAACTACAGCCCGAAGTGAGTCAAGCACATCTGCACTGCCAGTCTTTCTGACCAATTCGTAGGGGTCATCAAGTGCTATTATTCTGTTATGAGCCCTTGGTAGGGAACGAAGAACTTCTAGAGCGGCTTTGGAAGCAGTTCGATGCCTGACAGTGGATCTGAACGGCGTAGGATCTGTCTTGTTCTCGTCAGACGGCACTTTGCGCTCGTTGCCAGTCGCTGCTTGCAGCACTCGGTTTGAAATATCTGTGGATAACGAAGGTACAGATGGCGCTGTCTTATCAACTGCCGCGATTGATCGTACTGATTTCGTGCCTGAGTCGTTCTTGATCGAGACCTTAGTAGAAGACGCTACCTGTTTCACTCGACGGCTTTCAAACTTCTCAACATCTGCTTCGATTTCCTTTGCAAGGGCTTCTATCGTGTTTGGCAGGGTGTTTGATCGAGGTAATGTCTTTGAGATTGTGGGTAGTTGCTCCTTCAAAGCCGCGCTTCTGGTCGCTCGAATTGTAGCCGCTCTCAATGGCCGTTGATTGAGAAGTGCTGGCACCGGTACATCTGCCCCAACTTTTTCGGCCACCTTAGGATTATCTTTCGGGGCCATTTCCACCATCCGGGGAACAGCAGCAGGGAGTGCCTGTTGCCTCTGCTGGGCGGCAAAGCTTTGGAAGTGTTTCGTTGAGATCGCTCCATGAATTGTGGTTTTGACACTAGCGATGTCCATTTGTTCGAATTCGGATTTCATGGCCACGCTGGAACTCACCGACCGACCAGATGATAAAGTTTCGGGCTTCCGATTTCGTGGTCGAGTCGGTAACAATGGCTGCTTTTGATGGGCGATCCAATCCGCATGTGCCTGCGAGAATTGTTTGTAGAGAATTCCCGTGGGTAGTGGAATGGATGGAGCACATCCTTCTCTGTTTTCGGCTTCAATTTCGACGAGCGCAGATATGTTGGCTCCGATACCAACACTTGCACGAGGGCAACCATCAGAACCAATACCAACACCACATTCACGACATATTCTTGAATGACTAATCCCGAAGCCTGGCTTTACCTTATCTCCTCGGGGATCAGCATTCTCAAGCCAGATAGGAGTGCCTTTCAGGCAAGTAAGTTCCAGTTGATCTGCAATTGAACCCATAGTGAAGAAGTCGTGGTCCACAAGTTGATCCATGTCGGGCCTGTCGGCGGAGTTCAAGTTCAAGCAAGACGAAACGAAATCCTTTGCTTGCTGGGGGATATAATTCTTGCTGTCAAGTTTCCACTCGTACTCCAAGGTCTTTAGTTTGGAATAGATTTCTTGCTGTGTCTTGGACTGGAAGGGCGGCGTGCCCATCAACATGGCATAGCAAATGACTCCAACGGCCCATGTATCGACTTTGTTATCGTGACCACGATTACCAGACTTACTCAAGATTTCCGGTGCAATATAGTTGGGAGTCCCACACAGGGTAGTTCTTCGGTCTTGTTCATCAGCCATGACGGCAGCAAGACCAAAGTCACCAATCTTGAGATTCATACATGAATCTATGAAGATATTGCCCATTTTCAGATCTCTGTGAATGACAGATCTTCTGTGTAGGTATTTGACTCCACCACATATCTGGACCATGTAACGTCGCACCTCAGGCAGGCTAAGGCATGATCGAGCTTTGACCATCTCGGCCAAGCTTCCATTGGGGCACATTTCAAGAACAACATAAGTATGATCTTCAATTGTGAAAGCACGTAGGAACTCGACAATATTGGGGTGGTGCATCTTTGCGTGTATTTGTAGTTCGGTCCGGAACTTCTCCATCATCTTCTTCTGTTCAACTTTGGCTTTGACCACCTTGAGAGCAAGGACTGCGGATGTCCTCTTGCTTTTGCCTTCAAAGCAGACAGCAAAGCCCCCTTTGCCCAGCTTCTTGCCTATGAGATAAGTCTCTGGGGAAGCACCTGGCTCGGTGATTGTAACGGGAGGCCGCCATTTGTCTTCAATGCGATCGGGATTGGTGGGCTTGTCTTGGGGCTTGGGATTTGTTGAGGCCTTTGGTTTCTTGATTGGCTTTGGTGGAGGTGCCATTGGCAGGTTCCCAGATCGAGGAGAGAGCACCTCCATTTACGAAGGAGTTTCCGTAGTAGCAATACAGCTGTAATCCTGGTGGTTACTGGGTGGGTAAGGAGGAATTGAGGGAGAGTGAGTGTGGGGTGGCTGACATGGAAAGCAGAGTCAAGGTAAGGGTAGATGTTCTCAATGGCGCATATGAGACGAGAAGTGATGGTATGTCGAGAGACAGTCAAGCCGGTTGAGGTTGAGGCAATAGAAGTGACATCTGGAGCCAGCGGATCCTAGTCCTCCGTAACTATGGAAGGTAAACATACAACCACAACGGGACTAGTTTACCTGGGCCGAGCGGCCGCTTGGGGAAGTTGCGCCTGAGCCACTCGCGGTTGGGCATTTCTTAAGCAGGGCTGTTTCGGCTGCCTTCCCCCCCACCCGCCCCCCCTTCCCCAATTTTCAGGCACCACCAAGCCCGAGGACATGTGTTGCCGCCTAAACGTCCCAAAGAAAGGCTTAACTGTGGGTGAGTGTCCCACCCTCCTAGGAGTACGGGAGCCGCATCCATACTCCGCCGTAGCTAGGTGTGTGTCACAAAGTTGAACGAGGCTGCACTCGGGAAAATGCCGCTTTCCCAACTCCGGATGTCCCTCAAACAATCAAGAGTCATTATTACTGCCGAAATCTAGCAAATACCACTCGTGCAGTACATGCGACAACGAGCACCACCTTGTAATCACCACCACCTCTTCCTGCGGGAGTCGGACACCATTACCCACTATGTGCCCGTAAATTGGCACTCCTGAACATGATACCGGACAGACCGAAAGCCACTGCTTATCCTTGACCTCGGGATGTCTCTCGCCCTCAAATTCACCTCTCTCGCAATTCGCACCCTCTCCAAGCCAATAGCTGTGATTGCATCCACCCTATCTCGTAGACTACCGTGACTAATAATATTTGCTAGAACTTCATTAAACGTCAAGCACGCGAGCATGAAGGATTTCGCCGGACATGTATATCGTTCGCTCAAGCCCTGCACCGCATTGACATGAGATGGAGACTAGGACTGTTACAAGATGCTGCCGCTGTGGAGCGACAAGTAGCCAAAGAAGCTGCTGCGGAGGCTGCCAAAAAACATAAACACAATATTCCTACAGTCAAGACAGAGGCGCAGATGAAAGCAGAAGAGGAGGCAGCCGCCAAAGCTGCTAAAGAGGCCTCCGAGCCCGCCAAACCACGGCCTCGTCCCAAAATTAGGCCGCTGTCCGAAGCCAAAGCCATTGAATCTGGTGCCACTTTCATCAGTGAAACCTTTCTGTTCAGTGTGGCGGCCGGCCTTTTATTGTTCGAATCCTGGCGTTCGCGGCGGAAGGACGCAAGCAGACGAGATGATGTTGCGGAGAGATTGAATGAGTTAGAGGAGTCGGAGCAGGCTGCTCGCAGGGCCCTGGTCGAGCTTGAGCGAGAAGTGTTACGTCTACGAGCCAAAGAAAACAACACCAAGACCAAGGGTGTAAGGATTCTACCGCCGGAAATTTATGAGGAGAAGGAGGAGGAAAAGGAGGAGCCTACAGGGATTTTTGCTCGTATAAAAGCCTGGGTCTCTTCAGAGCAAGCGGACAGTGAAGCAAAAGATGCACTGGCAACGAACAAGCCAGGGCCTGCAGAGACAATATTGGTTGAGTCTGATAAAGTGTTGGTGGAAAAGCGAAAGCAGGCAGCAGAGGTGGTGGCAAGTGCCAATGAACAAGCTACCAAACGGTAAGAGGCGTCGGATCTGCTCCTAGCCTGAGGCTCGAGAAATATCTTGGCCTTTTAAATCTACGTCTCGCTGCCTGGTCACATTAAATTGCGAGTGGGTGACCATTCAGAGATCTCATCTCGACACTGTACAGTACATTTTCTTTCTTTCAAGATACCCGGCTCCAAATGTCACAAATTCACACTAGGACATGTGCAAAGTTTTCCACCTCGCTTAAGGACCAGCCTCAATGGCCAAGACTTGAAGCTCTTCTTGCAGTCTCATCAGCAATCAAGTTCCAAGGTAGTATGAATGTCGAGGTATTGGCTGTGCTAACAGACCGAAGAGATGACCTCGACAGAGTGCGATCTGGCTATCCCTCTCCGACCCCAGCCTGGATCTCCAGTTTTGCGTTGCTTTCTGGTTTGGTCACCAACACAAGGCCCTGGCATCGTTGGCAAAGAGCAAGGACAAAGGCAACAGTCTGAACCCAGATCAACGCAGGATCATCGTCTCATTCTGGTCGTGGGTGATAAGACAGGTGATTTGGCAATGAGCACGCAGCTATTGCATCAGTTCTCCCAGCTGCAGGCTAGGTAAGCCTGGGTCCTTTCGAATGGCGCTGGCCAGCTTCTGAGCAAGAGTGAAGCAGGGTCCTGCAGCCATCAATGCCTCCTATTATCATGGTCCAAACGATGGAAAGCCTTCTATCTACTCTGGAGAAGTATGTCGCCGAGCTGGTCCATGAGAACGACTTACCTCGTCAACCTATTCCTCAGCCAGCACGGTTTGTGAGCTCCGCAACATCGACTGCACCAAGACAACTGCTCTCACAACACGATGCAAAGGTTTTGACGGACCTCTTCTCTTCCATCCGCAGCCTTGAAGAAGGAACTCGAACAAGTCGTGGAAGGAAGATGCTCCGGGATTACTTTGACCCGGGCACAGAACAAGACTTGGTGGACTTTTGGAAGGATGATTGGATTATATGAGGGACTTGCGCGCCGAGCGCCTCTGGTGACGCACTGACGGTCTGAGTTCCAAGTAGCGAGGCGTATGGAGCGCTCTAGCGAGTAGTATTCCAATTTACAAGGGGTGCCTGGCGGGTCATCCATTAAGCTCTTGGGTGCAGCCATTTGCTTGCGTGTCAACCGCATCACAGCCACAGCCACAGGTGGCGGGCGGGGCCCTTGGGCGCGCGGGCGTCTACTGTAGTTACGGAGTACGGGTAGTTGTGTTAATTACTGCAGTGTTGGTCAACCGCCGCATTCCGTCAAGGTCCTAAATATGTCATATTCAGGCCCCAACTAATTAGCTAACTAACAAATTCCCTGAACCTGAATAGACGCCCAGCGCAGCAGGGTAATAGAGTAATAGCCACCACTCATCACTACCAGCACTACGACTAACATACTACTACCACCACTCCCTACTGCGTGCCCTGCACCCAGTACCACTTGCAATCTGCTTTTGTTCGCATTCAATTGTTCTTTCCTCCTGCGCAATCTTCCCGAATTCTTCTTTTCCTTACTCTTGACCCCTCCTTGCTAACCCATCTCTTTGCACGCATGTCCTAGCTAACCGCGCGCAATCATGGTAAGTACCGCCCGCTTCCTCTTCCTCTTCCCCTTCCAAAACATGAAACATCCTGACTCTTGATTTCAAGGGTCAAACAAAACGCCGCGACGGCAAATCCTCCCGCGCGCCCAAATCTTCCCTCTTCGGCGGCGGCAGGTCGGGAGGAGCTGATGGCGGTCAGACTCAGATAAAGAAAGCCACCTTTGAGATCACGAAGAAGAAAGAGGTCGGAGTCTCTGATCTCACCCTATTGAGCAAAGTCTCCAATGAAGCCATCAACGACAACTTGAAGAAACGCTTTGAGCATGGCGAAATCTACACCTACATCGGTCATGTCTTGGTCTCCGTCAATCCCTTCCGAGACTTGGGCATTTACACCGACCAAGTCTTGGACTCTTATCGAGGGAGGAATCGACTCGAAGTGCCTCCTCATGTCTTCGCGGTCGCTGAATCTGCCTACTACAACATGAAAGCATATAAAGAGAACCAGTGTGTCATCATTTCAGGTGAATCCGGCGCAGGCAAAACAGAGGCCGCCAAACGCCTGATGCAGTACATTGCCAGTGTCTCGGGCGGAAGCGATTCCCGAATCCAAAGAACAAAGGACATGGTTCTCGCAACCAATCCTCTCCTCGAGTCCTTCGGTAATGCGAAAACCCTTCGAAACAACAATTCCTCCCGCTTTGGCAAATATCTAGAGTTAGAGTTCAATGAGACTGGTGAGCCAGTGGGGGCCAAGATCACAAACTACCTTCTTGAGAAGTCCCGGGTCGTCGGCCAGATCACGAATGAGCGGAACTTCCACATCTTCTATCAATTCACTAAGGCCGCCCCTAAAGAATACCGGGACAACTTTGGCGTCCAGACCCCCCAGTCATACGTCTACACAAGCAAGTCCAAATGTTTTGATGTCCCTGGCATTGATGATGCCCGCGAATTCAACGATACCCTTGAGGCGATGCGGGTTATTGGTCTGACCAAGCCTGAGCAAGATAACATCTTTCGAATGCTAGCGGCCGTTCTATGGGTGGGAAATATCACGTTCAGAGAGAACGACCAGGGCGGTGTCGATATAGCCGATCAGTCGGTGGTTGACTTTATTGCATATCTGCTAGAAGTCGACTCCGCTCATGTCCATAAGGCCATGACAGTCAGAATCGTCGAAACTGCCCGTGGTGGTGGTCGACGAGGATCTATATACGAGAGCCCTTTAAATCCCGTGCAAGCTCTCGCCGTTCGAGACGCCCTCGCAAAAGCCATCTACTTTAATCTTTTCGACTGGATTGTTGCCCGTACCAACGTCTCACTACGATCGCAAGGCGTTGTGAAGAACACGGTGGGAATTCTGGATATTTATGGGTTCGAGATTTTTGAGAAGAACTCTTTCGAGCAACTCTGTATCAACTACGTCAATGAAAAGTTACAACAGATTTTCATTCAGCTCACCCTCAAGACCGAGCAAGAAGAATATGCCCGCGAAGAGATTCAATGGACTCCAATCAAATATTTTGATAACAAGGTCGTGTGTTCCTTGATCGAAGATAAGAGGCCACCAGGCGTCTTTGCAGCCCTCAATGATGCTTGCGCCACTGCTCATGCGGATTCAGGTGCTGCGGATCAAACATTTGTTGGGCGGCTCAACTTTCTGTCGAGCAACCCCAATTTTGAGAGTCGACAAGGACAGTTCATCATCAAACATTATGCTGGTGATGTGAACTATCAAATTGCAGGCATGACCGACAAAAACAAGGATCAACTTCTCAAGGATCTACTCAACTTGGTTGGCGAAAGCTCGAATGGTTTCTTGCACGAACTATTCCCCAACCAAGTTGATCAGGATGACAAACGCCGTCCCCCAACCGCCGGTGACAAGATTAAACTATCGGCAAATGAACTTGTCGATACTTTAATGCAAGCACAGCCATCCTACATTCGAACCATCAAGCCCAATGAGAATAAATCCCCCAAAGAATACAACGAACCCAACGTTATGCATCAAATTAAATACCTTGGTCTCCAAGAAAATGTTCGCATTCGAAGAGCTGGTTTCGCATATCGTCAAACGTTCGATAAGTTCGTGGAAAGATTCGCACTTCTGTCACCAAGACTTTCCTACGCTGGAGAATACACATATACAGGAGACGTAAAGACTGCTTCCAAAATCATCTTCAAAGATACTAGTATCCCAGAAGAAGAATACCAAATGGGCGTCACCAAAGCTTTCATCAAGACCCCTGAAACCTTGTTCGGTCTTGAGCATATGCGAGATCGCTACTGGCATAATATGGCCGTCAGAATTCAAAGGGCCTGGAGGAATTACCTTAGATACCGAGCTGAGGCAGCTACTAGAATCCAAAGGTTCTGGCGCAAATCGAAAGTTGGTGTCAAGGAAATCGAATTTCGAGACCAGGGCCATAGACTGTTGGGTGGTCGAAAAGAACGTCGCAGATATAGTTTGCTTGGATCAAGACGCTTCTTCGGTGATTATTTGGGACTCAACATGCCTGGAGGGCAGGGCAGAGTTTTGCGAGATTCGATCAACCTCAACCCCCAAGAAAGAGCCGTCTTCTCTTCTCGGTGCGAGCTTCTGGTGACCAAATTTGGACGATCTTCGAAACCCATGCCCAGAATTCTGGTTCTTACCAACAAAGCGATATATATTGTGGTACAGACTGTACTCCAAAATCAGCTTCAAATCTCAGCAGAGAGAACGATACCGATCGGTGCAGTCAAGTACATCTCAACTTCAAGTTTGCGCGACGATTGGTTTGCTCTGGGTGTTGGGTCGCCTCAAGAACCTGACCCTCTAATCAGCTGTCTTTTCAAGACAGAGTTCTTCCTCCAGTTCAAGACGGTTGCTGTTGGTGGTATGAATTTGAAGATCGGACCGATCATTGAATTCAATAAGAAACCCGGAAAGCCAGCAACGATCAAAGTCCAGAAGGATCCCGCTATTCCACGCGACGATGTCTACAAGTCTGGTGTCATACATGTACCGAATGGAGAGTCACCGAATTCAGGCTCAAGGCCTACTCCACGAGGCAAAGCAATTGCCAAACCCATCACAAGCGGCAAGCTACTCCGTCCTGGTGGACCGGGTGGTCAGCCATCAAAGACACAGAGTCGTCGCCCAATGCCGGCCCCTAGACCTGCCACGCAAACCCCCGTTGCAGCGGCTCGACCGACTCCTGCAGCCCGCCCGGTTCCCCAACCGATGAACGGAATTCCCTCTCACATTCGTGATTCATCAACGTCACGTGCAGGCCCACCCGCGCCTCCGCCTCCTCCGGCAGCTGCACCTGCCCCTGCCGCAGTACCTTCCAAACCCCAAGCCAAGGTCAAGTTTGATTTCAACTCACCCAACTCGAATGAATTATCCATCAAAGCCGGACAAATTGTGGAGATTGTGCAGAAAGAAAGCAATGGTAAGTCAAAATCCCCCGTTTACATCCCCTCATGCATCCCGCGATGTTTCACTAAAGTAACTTTTACCAGGGTGGTGGCTCTGCAAGAACCCCCAGACCAACGCGCAAGGCTGGACACCATCTGCGTACGTGGAGGAGATTGAACAAGCTCGTGCGGCACCTCCACCTCCACCTCCCCCACCGGCCGCGCCTCCCCGCGCTCTCCCCACGCCGTCTGTTGTGGTCAATGGAAACGCCAACGCAGCTTCTACGACTAGAGCGAAGCCTACGCCGCCCGCACCACCGGCAAAACGACCCGCGCCAGCAACTGGCCGGAAACCCGGTGTCTCGCCTGCCAGAGACAGTGGTATGAGTCTCGGTACAGGAAGTGGCAGAGACTCTGGTCGGTCCACCCCCAACAGTATTGGAGGGGGTAGTATTGCGGGTGGTCTGGCCGAGGCCTTGAGAGCCAGACAGAGTGCTATGGGCGGGAAGAGTGCAAAAGAGGAAGACGACGATTGGTAGTTGAATGGATGTCCGGGTGCGTGGGTAGGTGGAAGGAGGGATGGAGGGATACGTACAAGGGATAGATGGAAACGAATGAACGACTGTTTTGCTTTTCTCGTATTTCAAAAAGACACCTGTGATTGAGGCCTTGACTGTGTGCGTGTGGGTGTGAGAGCGAGTAGGAGGCGAACACAATCACCTGTTTTGCTCATGTGTCTTTTCTCCCTCTTGATTTGGAAGCCACATACAAGTCGCTTGCTCTTTTTAGTCCGGAAAGACAAAGTCCTACCGTTAGGAATAGAGTATCGAGATACGAACGAAGCGAAGGCCTGGAATGAATACAAGAATGAGAGAGAAAAGGAAAAGATGCAAGCTATTCGTTTTCGTCAACCTCACGCATGCTTCCGTATGGCTACTGCGACATACGAAGGCGCAAATGAATAGTCGAATGGCTGGGAACGATGCAGAATCTATCTCCTCTTCCGAACGAGGCATTGATTGGTTGTCTTCAAGTACAAATCTGACTACAGATTTAGAGTAGACACTCAAAAACCATGCATGGGAAGCGGCCGCGTGAGATATCCCGGCCCAAAACCTGATATTCTTGAAGCGCAAAAATCGTCAGGGAAATGATGATCCACATTTACCTACAATAGGTACTATTACATACTTGTATGTCCCGTCCCTGATGCCCCTCAGGAGATCGCGACCAGGCACCAAGCCACCGGGCGGTGGGTCATTCCGTTGGTCTCGAGCTGCTCAGTCCCAGCGCTCCATTCGCACCGACGCACCTTCAGGCAGGTATGTACCAAGCAGGGAATATATATCCGTCGGGACTCGTCCACCCAACGCAAGCCAGCTATTGGGCTTTGGTATAGTTCTTGGCCCCTCATCAGTCGTCTCGTCATCCGTCGCAGGCTGTAAGGACTCGCAGACGATCGAACGAGTATGCTCGAATTATTCTCGGCTAAATAGAACGATTGTAGTGGGGGGCAACATCTCTCGCCTGGCAATTACGGCTGAATTCAAAGACAGTCTTCATCTAACTACCACTCAAGTTCTGGTACATACGAGGGGCCTTTTCCCCGGGTTTTATTATTCTTGACCCCTCACACGCAGACACACCGGGGCTTCCCCAAGACAAGCCGGTCGACTCCAGGGGAAATGATTCGTCCCTCGTCAGAGAGATATGGGGATCTCTATGGTTGTGTACCCGAGTGACTGCAAGAGCATTCCAAAGCGTGGACTGATCAGGAAGGAGCACATCTGGATTAAATTCATCCTCCGTTCCCGTTTCTACCAGCTCCCCTTCATTTCTTGATAATTGACATGCTGGCGAAAGGAAGTTGAGTCTTGAAACGACGAGGCTAGCTTCTCCTATTTTTTTTGGGGCATTCGCCCAAGTCCGGTACATTGCCACCCACCAGCCACCTGCCGAGGGTGTTCCATTTACAATTCAGCAGCTTACTGTCTCTTTTCTCCTTGTAAGCCCACTCCTGCCATCCTCCAAAATCCCAATATGGCAGCAAATCCTCGCTCGAACAAGTACAAAGTCCTGACCGACGCCGATGTGGAGCACTTCCTGACCCACGGTTTCGTGCGGATCCCCGGGTGCTTCACCACCGAGGCGTCCGACGAATGGACCAAGGACGTGTGGTTGCGGCTGGGCATGTCGCCGACGGACAAGTCGACCTGGACGCGCGAACGCACCAACATGCCGGAACACCAGCGGCTGAAGGTGCCGGAGTTCGCGCCCAAGGCGTGGGACGCCATTTGCGACCTCGTCGGTGGCGACGAAAAGGTGACGCCGAAGTCGAAGACTTGGAGTGATTCTTTCATTGTCAATCTGGGAACGCAGGAGAACGAGGGCAAGACGTTTAGTCCACAGGAGTTGAGCCAGTGGCATGTTGATGGTGAGATATAGCACTGATGTTTCAGTTTTAGTCTCCCTCCTACTAGCGAGAAGACGCCTCAAACCTTGTGGAGAGCTGTTGCTTGCGTAGCAGCCTCGGAGCCCCTGTCTCTGATATGCGGTTCCGTTTTGAGCTGATACTTAGCTGTCGAAAGGCGATTTCTTCGTTCATTTCCTTGACTCGCCTGAGCAAGGCTTACTGGTCATTCCGCTGTATACCGACATTCATCCCAATGGCGGAGGTACGTGGATTTGCTCTGAAGGCATTACGAGAATTGGAAAATGGCTGGTGAGTGGTTGCGGAATAATTTCTCAGAGCCCCTCGTGCGCCCAGAGCCCTTGATGTCGAGAGACGAGATGGTCTGTCTGCACGCAGAAAATCATCTCCAGCTCTTTCTTGAACTCGTCGTTGTGGTTCCTAGTTACTTAGACGTCCCAGTCAACCCCCTCAAATTCCCTGTCCTAACACAAGATCAATTAGTACGACCATCCTCAAGGCGTCGACCCGCGGATGAACCCGGTTGATGCGCCAGACGGGAACGCATTCGAGGGCTTATCATTCTTTAACCAGACAGCACAGGTCTCCTCGCCGTCCTCATTCCACGAGATGACCGGGAAAATCGGCGACGTGATCCTCCTACACCCACTGATGCTGCACTCTGCATCGAAGAACGGACTGAGGAACATCCGCATCATCACCAATCCTCCGGTATCGCTGCTCGAGCCGTTCAATTTCGACCGCGGGCCGAATGAAGACGCCTACAGTCTTGTGGAGTTGAAGACCATCCGGGATTTAGGTGGGATTGAAAAGCTGAAGGGATGGACGATCCAAGGCGAGAGGAAGGCGGTGATTCCCGAGCGGTTGAGGCACCAGGCGAAGATGATGGAGGAGGAGAATCGAAGGTTGAGGGAGAGTGGGCGAGAGTATAAAGAGAGAACACAGACCGAGGAGCAGATCAAAGAGCAGGCTAATCGGCTGCAGCCTATTGCGGCTGCGTAGGGGCCGAGACTGAGGCCGAGGAAGAGAGGGCGGTCGTCTTGGAGCAGTCAAGAGTGACGAGTTTGCGAGGCATCGGAGGAGAAATTGACAAGGCATAATCTGGATAAGAGAGAGCACGATCTTACATCCGGTACTCCTTACTCACCGTTCTTTGTTTCCAAGCTGCATCGCTAGTCGAGGTTCATATTTTCGGGATTCTGACCTAGCTGCTTGCTCCAGATGTCGACAATACCCACCTGCCCAATATTTGGAGTGTATGGACATTATCTGCTCTTGAGAGCCACAAAGAGCCTTTCCAGAAGTCTTGACCCAGGTCGATCTCTTTCATGCAGGATGTTATGTTCGTCGGGCGCCATCCCTTCGTGGTCATGCCTGAATGCTTCCCTTACTTATGCGAGGTGTTCAGCTACGCACGTACGAACGTAAATTCGAGCTGTCTTTCTTCAGGCAAGGCGTGCGGGAGAGGAACGCTCGAAGTGTTGGCAGTAGATAGCCATCACTCGCAGTGGCACCACCAGTCAAAAGATACATCCGAATTGCTTGGTCTCTATCGTATCTCGTATCCCCATCTTGGGCAGTTCCGTCACCATGAATCATAATTAGTACGCGTTGCGAGGCCCCCCAACCCTCAGGCTGCATACTGTACGTAGCTACCTGGCTATCCAACCACGGCGCGGCATTCATGGCGTGTTCGGTAACATTCACGCGTCCGCACATGGTAAGTACGTCGCACGCTTTCCTCAATATGGAGGACCGCTATGGAGGACCGCGTGTACGCGGTAATTGGAGGGCACAAATGGTTGATGCCTGGGGCCAGACTCTAGGCCTGAAAAATGGTGGTAGGAAGTCTGACGAGAATCAGACAGACCCCTGGTTACGACCGAACGTGGTTTGTGAAGGTCGTTTTTCCTTCATATTCAACAGCTACATAGCTACTGCATACGCCTAGTGGCCGCTCAGGGGATAGGTTTGTTTTCACCCGCACCAAGGAGGGATTTGTGCCAACTGCGAGATTTCGAGAGCAAAAACAAACATATCGGCCAACTTACAACACGGAGAGATCGCTCGAATAGGAACCAGGGGTCCAACCATCGAATCGAGAGCCATCTTACTTCGCATGAGACGCTCTCCCGCAAGCCCTAAGCTGAAGGACAGGCCGCATTGAAAGCCAGTCCACTACCCAGTATCAACAATGTTGCAAACATACACAGCAGCGGAGCTCCTGGCGCCGTCGTCGGCGGAACTCGTCGAGGAACTCGTGCACGTGGTGACGACTTCCTTCACCGAAGACCCGGGGACAAAGTGGATGTTCACAAACCACACGCGGGCCCAATACCTCACCGCCCTGCCCCATTACTTCCGCACCTTGACCCATGCAGCGCTGCTGTCGGACGCGATCGTCGTGGTCAGTAGAGAAGACGTCGCACCCACATCACCACCCAGCACACCGATCCGTGCAGCGGCGGTGCTGATCCCCCCGCACGGCAACGAGAAGATGAACTCGATCCGCACGGCACTGCGCGCTGGAGTCTTGCGCATGGTATGGCACTGCGGACTCGGTATGATGTGGAAACTCCTGACTCAACTGATCCCAAGCATGGAAGCGATGCATTCGCGTATGTTCCCCAACCCGGCCGAGCGTGGCCACCACTTCACGCTGCTATTTCTGGGCGTCAGGCCGGAGATGCAGGGCAACGGCCTTGGAAGGGAGCTTTTGGTGGAGATGCAGCGCTTCGTGGCTGAGGAGGCGGCCAAGACGAAAAGAATAGCAAAGGATAATATCAATGGGGAAAATGGGATGGCTGGACATGGTGCGCCGAGGACAGCAAGTCCAGGCCCCCCGCCGCTTTACTTGGAGGCCAGCACGCCGACGAGCAGACGATTATATCAAAGAGTGGGATTTGTGCAACTGGATACGCTTGTCTATGGAAAGTTGGACGAGGGGAATGGCAAGGACTTGGATATTAGAGAGGATGGAGAAGTCATAGGCGGGAAAATGTTCGCCATGATTTGGTCACCTTGGTGAACCAATGTACTTAGCGCCTATTTGATGCTATCTAGCTTGGGCTACGATTGGAGTAATGTCACTTCTATGGTGATTGCTCATTTGGTGATCCCTATTCAGCTACCCGACTTGCTCTTGGTGTTTGGAGTCTGTGGCATTATGTTTCTAGTCTGCTCACTGGTTCAATGAATGTGCTTTGTTGAAAGTTGAACATATTGGCGCAGCGCTTGTGTATCTGAGATATGGGTACTTGGTAGTTCTTGCCTTATTCCACAACGAACAGCTCCATTCGTAATAAAGGCTTTGTACTTCAGTAAGCTCATTCTGATCTCCCTAGGATCTCTCAATTGTGCAGCGTGCGCACAGGGAGACCTATCTGCTTCATCAATTACCAGAGCCTGTTCCAGCTTCGTCTTTATCCTCCTCATGTGGACGTTGATCCAAGCATCGGCAAGAAATATCACAGTAACTTCTTGACATGTCATCAGGGTCTCCAATGTTATCGTGATGAAGGACCCCGATTTCGCTGCAATGATATGCCCAAAAACGAGCGCAGAATGCAGCGAGATCATCCTTCCCATTAACACAAGTGAGCACATAATCACGGGCTTCGCTCGTATTTGGGACGTCTTCGCCGGACACAATTCCTGAGTCGATGGATCGATGGCCCTCGACTCCCATATCGAAAATTTCCTCAGAGCGTTTCCAGACGGTGTTATGATTCTCGAAGTGGACGCAGTAGCAGCGCTCAAAACATTTTGGATACTTTGCACTTTGGGTCCGAAGTGCTGCAACTGGTGGGAACCCAGGTGAGTCGTTTGGTGACTGCCCTGCACAAACAAAGTTCTCATTCTGGCAAAACTCAATGAGTCGGAAATCGATTTCCCAAATGTACGTTTGGGCATGGTGCTTTATGCAGTAAAAAACCGAAAGCCCTGTGGACTGAGACATGCTCGCATTGAAAGATTGCTCTACTTCGGCATCTGATCGCTCTTCAATCTGTTGCATTGCATGGTGGCTTTCAAATTCGGCTCGGACGGCACTGCCGACACAGTGACAGTTATTGGCACATTGATCCACGGTCTCTGAATTTGAGCGCAGGAATGATTTGGCATGGCCGTCCACAATGGAAAGGGTACAGTGATATTGGTGCTCTGAGCAAAACTGAGTCAGCCTCGTATCAGCGGTGCCGTCTATCCCGCAGTACATGGGAAGGTCACCGGGCGTGGGAGGCGTTTCTGCAATATTCTCAGTAGCAACCTGCAGACTTGAGTGCTCATTTCCAGCAATCTCGCGACTGTCTAATTTGGCGAGACATGTGGTGAGCCACTTTCCATGGCGAAAGCACCTTGGCTTGGCGACAAGATCGACGCATCCGCAAATAGCATCGCAGTAGAGATCTAGTCTTCGGTAACTGACGCGACCGTTTTGGTCACAGGAGTACTTGTAGGGATTGCCCGCGCATATATTCGTCCAATCTCTTTGAATGCAAACAAGGGCGAAGTCATGTAAAGCTTGCTCTGTATCTCGCTGTCTAAGCAAAGGAAGGAGGTCTGGGTTGGCACTGTCATCCAAAGGTTGGTCAACGTCTTGCTCCACAGTTTCAAGAGCACTTAGCACTGGGCCTGAGGAAAAGGTGTCTGCTTCTTGGTTCTGAGTGTCGAAGATGGGATTCTCAGTCCGAGCTTGCAGTCCGTCATCGTGCGTCGTTTGGAGGTCATCAATATCTGGTGCAATTTTGTTGATTGGGTCTTTGAGGAACTGTTCGAACTGTTCGGTCTCGGCTTGGGAGTCGTAACATCTTCCTCTAACATATGAGCAACCAGGGGTTGGATGGCCCTTTTTACACGTACATGCAGCTTCGCACATGATGTTGCGGTCGTGGCCGCCATGGTTGAGCTCGTGTAGACGACAGAAATAATCATACGTAAGCTGCTCACAGAATTGAAGGGATAGCTTGTGGTCACCAGCACAATTGAGGTACCAGTCATTCTTGTCAGCTTCCGCTTCGTCTTCACGAGCCTTCAGTGCATGATCAAAGAAAGTAATGGACGATATGTCGAAATTGGTGTTTGGGGCAGCAGTGGATATAGTGATCAAGGTTGTAGGATGATAAATCGACGTGTCGACCACGGAGGACGAAGAGTCAAAGGGAGTTGCGGAGATGGTAGAAATCAAGAGATGAAGGAAAAGGATGGCTACGTTCAGGCTCAAAAGCCGGCCTGTAGCTGGGTCAGTGGCTGCTCAGAGTTCCTACAGATAGGAAACTGCTGGTGAAAGGGCTTACCAGTGTTTCTGCCGGCCATTTGGCTTCGAGACAGAAATTGCCCGTTGCTGAGGGGATCCAACAGGCACAAGAGCATGGGGCAGGATGCTTCCTGCAGATGACAACTTCAAGGCCAGCACTTTCTATCGCTTGAAGAGAATTAACGAGAAGCAATGAGTCTGAAAGAGGGAATTGAGGACAAAAGAAGCAGCTTGATAGAGGCGATGCCAATGTTGTTTGTTGTTTGGGAGTGGGCGGTGTCGTTGTATATGATGAAGGAGGAAATCGAATGTAAGGGGAGGGGAGGGCGATTTGTCAGTGCCTTCCCTACAAAGCAGTTCCGTGATGATTCTTCACTCACTCTTCACTCACGGCACCGAGTCGCCAAGTCACTGAGTCGCATCGCCTCATTATGGCAGCGAATCTGGCCAAATGGGAAGAGCCCCTCATGACTTGATACTGTACTTCCCCGGCACTCCGTCATATCGCACTGCATCCGATTTCCCTCGAACATAGAAACAGGGAGGCCCGTTGTGATATTGAGATGATCCCTTTGAATTGCAAAAGCACAATGACCAATGGCATAGAACACTTGCAAATATCCTTCTTAGCGTGGCATGCTGGCAGTCTGACATGGAACTGGTCCTTCATTCTGCCATCTTCTATCCTCTGGCGATTCTCTTGGGGACTCGATGAATGGTGTGCGGAGCGTTCCACTCTGTTGAAAGCCGCGCCTGGCCGTTATGGTCAGCCCTTATTGTGTTGATTCTTACGAACACTGGTATTGAACAGGCCTTTTGTGAAGCGATTCTCAATACTCGCTTTCCTACCACGACAGGCTGTAGATGCACACATGCCTGACATGAGACGCCGGCATGGGTCACGTAGAACCCAGGTCATGGTACGCTGCCATAGCACCTAAGTGAACTGAACTTGGGTCCTCGTCCAGCCGTAGACGCGGCGTCCATGATTGTAGGCAGTAAAAGCAGCTCACTGCCGATGATAGCTGTTGAGCTGTTGAGCTGTTGAGCTGTTGAGCTGTTGAGCTGTTGAGCTGTTGAGCTGTTGAGCTGTTGAGCTGTTGAGCTGTTGAGCTGTTGAGCTGTTGAGCTGTTGAGCTGTTGAGCTGTTGAGCTGTTGAGCTGTTGAGCTGTTGAGCTGTTGAGCTGTTGAGCTGTTGAGCTGTTGAACTATCTTGATCATCAAGTTGCCACATGTGATCGACGCACCGCCCCTTCTTGCATGCATTACCTTGTACCTCACCAGCAAAGGCCGCAGTAGCAACAACTTCCAAAAGGCCTTCAGTCTAGCCGAATACTTGTGACGCTTTTTCTTGATCTCCCTTGATCAGGTACGACGGACTGATGCCCGGCTTCAAGTTCCCCTTGATATGATCCCAAGACACGAGTTCGAGGTATCCAGTGATTGCACCGCTAGTGGTCCATGGTATAAGGTCCCGCTTTGTGTGAAGCTTCTTTGTCTAGTTGGTATTTAATTAGAATGAACGTGAACAAGCCTATTTATTAGCGCCAAGATTCAACTAGCGCATACTAGCTCAGCTAACACGTGACCCTCTAGTAAAATGGACACTAAGCTCTAGAACGTTGGCTAGAATGCCTCGTGTCTTTCTTTACCCATGAAAATGCCACTATATCAGCATACGTACATAAATATTTTCATTCGCTCGAGCAGCTCCAATAGACCGAACAATAATATCTTCATCTACAGAACACACCGCTCGGCGAGTTTGCGCATGGGGAGGTTGAAGCCCACGAGGGCACCACGATACTAGTGAGCGGGTGCGCTTCTGGAGGTGGTCACTGGTGGCAGCGACAGCAATACCACCAATTGAGGTGGTGGCGGTAGCAGCAACAGCGGGGGCACCCCAAATGAGAGAGTTTGCCGAGGCAAGGCCGATCCATCCAAAGCAGGCAAGAACATTGAGTGAATGCTACACTTCTAACTTCACCGTCGACAGTCTGGCTTGATGCCGAAAAGATAAACAGGAAGCCTAGATTGTCCACGCCCGGTGTTGGGTTGAGAAGGATTGACAACCCAGGAGAAGATCTACTCTGGCGATCTATTATACTAGAGCAACACTTTTGCTAAACTTTCCTTGGAAAGAAAGTACCCCTCAATTGGTCAGACGTCCTTCAATATCGACAATCAGCACGCTTATCTTTTCGCTTATAGCATTAGAGTCGGCATCCTCCCAAAATCCCAAGCCTGCTATTCGTCCCCCCTCCCCATACGGATCGGTTTGCATTATTGTCAAAGTAACAACATCTACCTCTTATGCTCAGTCCACTTCCCATTCTCCCATTCTCCTTGTCTCGCTCTTTCAAAGCTTACGTCCTTAATAACATCATGTACGGACACACTGCCGATCAGCTAAACGAAGCAGCTGGGCTGGCGAGCGGCAAGCTCCCAGCTCCTCCTGCCGATACGATGCGATCCACGTGGACTATGAATACAAGACAATGAGAGTGCACATCGACCCATCGTGATCGTTATGGAACCTACTGTAGAAGGCAAGATAGCAACGAAGAAAGCCCGTTCATGTGCTTCCGGGCCAATTCGGTACCTCGGAGGAGCCGGTTGATTTATCTTGTTAACACCCTAGGACTGGACCACGGTGCATACAGGATATTCCATCCATCAGTCTTGCTGATAGACAACAATACTGCACATGTGGCACTGAAAATTGCCTCGGTAAGGATCAAGTTGTGACGAATACTGGCTACCAAATGTCAAGCCTGTCTTTTGCGAGTGTAGTAGAATGGCATACAATTATTGTTCCTAGCCACAGAGGAGAACTAGCAGAACTCTCCTAGCCATCATCAATCACGAAGTCTCCCTTATATTAGGCAAATATTCCCTCTTGCCACCATGTCACCAAGGTAGAAGACGACATAGCCGCCGTTCAGGGGGCGAAAGCAAAATCCAGCAGATCGAGACGACAGACAGTATCATGATGCCAGTGCCACGCGATGTTTTCGAGAAACTCTACCTGAATTGCAAGCTTCCCAAGGATGGTCAGCTGGATCGCAATTTTTGCCACCCACACGCCTGTGGCGCTCATGAGCTTTTTGATCTCTGCTTTTCCTACCAGGTGTATTGCTGGAATGGAGAGGTGCTGGAGGGAATGGAGGAGCTATCTTGTAAGAACAGATATGTGCACCAGATATGCTCAACAGCCAAAGCAATTAACAGGGTTATTTCACCTTCCAGGCCGGCGTATATCTTCTTTGGTGGCGTTGTGCAAATTATTGCAGCAGTAGGGGAGTGGGTCATTGGCAACACCTTTTCTTGCACGGACTTCACTTATGGTAGGTTGTTGCGAGGCGTAACTAAAACTCGGAAATGCAATGATATGGCTTGCTTACCATGAATCAACATAGGTACATTCTGGCTCGTTCATGGTTGTACGATGATACCATGGTTTGGCGTCGGAGTCAATTGCTCTCCAATCGGTGACACTCTCGAAGGTCAAGCTACACCAGAGTTTTTGGCCACGACGGGTGAGTGACCAGCTCGTGGATGCTGTGAGAACACTAAGCTTCTGGAGGGACTGACAAGTATGTGACAACAGGGTTTTTCTTTGTCTTCTTGGGATTGGTATCCTTGATCTATTTGGTTGGCGCTCTACGCACAAATCTTTGCTTTGTGACTGGACTTATCATCCTGGTACTTGATGTCGGCTTTTTCACAGGGATATATTTCAATTTCGCGCTCGGACATGTCAGCGCTGCGGCACATTGCCAAAAGGTAAGCTATCGCTCTCCTCAGCCTGCGCCGATTGAGGATTCTATCTGATATTTGTCTCGGGCTGCTGGTGTACTTACCGTCATGATCGAGATTCCGCTGGCGTGGCTGTTCTTAGCCGAGATCCTTGAAGCCGTCGACTTTCCTTTTGCTATACTTGTGGGAGATCTGAGTCGAAGAGTCCCTGGCCACAGTCAAAGGCGCCGTCGTGGTAGGAATGAAAAGGAGGTGTAGATATCACGCAGCGGGCATGGAAGTGTGATGCACTTACGGAGTATAATGATAGCGAATGAAAACTAGGGAAGATTTGGATTTTCAAGGCATACGAGCCTCAAAGTCAACAAGAAGTTGCTTGATCCACCGAAAATCTAGAAAAAGGATAAGAACGAGGTAGAATGGGGCAGTGACCAAGGAGGTATATTAAGAACACGGAGTATGTGCCTCGAACTGTGCTTTATCCATTGCCATTTTTGTTCAGGAAATGGAGCGAGGCCGCTTGCTTACGTATAACGGAACCGAGGATCAGACTGGGGACTCGCCGTTTCATGCTTTGAGGTTCAGATCAGAGGAGCGGATCAGCCAAATGCGCCATCGTCAGAGGTCTTGGCTTGCATCAAAACCTTTCCTCTGGCATGTTGATCTAGGTTGTACGAATCACAGCAGAACAGACACTCAATTGCTTAAACAGCTCAGCCGGAAAAGTGGGCACCCCGCTGTATGTCACAAGTGCACTCGTGTACCACGATCAGGCTGGAGTCTTGCGCTGGGCATCACCCTGGCACCCTTGTTACTCAAACACGAAAGGAGAGGTCGAATAACTCTCTCAGATCCGTGATCAGGATGTTTCCCGAGATATTTCTGTGCCACCTGCAATTCCACATAAGAACACACCATCACTACTCATACGACATTGAATAGGTGGTGGCCAGCCTTGTCGATTTTCTGGCCGCTGTTTGCCCCGCCTTACATATCCGAAGTGACCGGTGCCGACGAATAAATGATTGGTATTCCGCCTTGTTATTCTCGGAAGCTTTTCAATTTTGCGCTACTCCGTAGTGTGGTTGCCTGAGGCTACTTCAGCCACCTGTTCGTACAATGAGCTCGTTGCTTCGGCCGTGTAACGAATTAACACAACCCCGTTTCAAAAATACGGCGATCTGACTTCGCTTAGTGCATGACAGGGTAGGCCACATGGTTCAGATCCAGGAGGGGTGGACGGTGATTAACACAGTCCAGACAGATACGAGCACAGGCCCCCCTTATCCGATCCAAAATTCACCTTTGGTCAAGTGCCGTGGTTTCAGTATGCTTCAAAAATTCGCTCCAAAGTCGATTCAACCAGAATGTCTCTAGGTCCAGGCTGCCTGGCACTGGGAGAAGACGAAGCTGCGCTGTCACGAAGTAGATTATGCGTACAACGGCTCCAACTAATTCGTCATGATCTCAACACAATTCCCGACATCAGGCTAGCTAAGTCAGAGCCTTCAACCTGCTCATGCCCAAAAAGCTTCCGTACATAAGCCATCCCCCACGCGACTCACATACCCACAGCAACCTGCTAACATGGTAGTTCATTGCGATTGGGGCGATTCTGATGCGAATATGCAGGCCAGGATGAAGCAGATGCCTGTGATTGTTCTGGATAACTTTGGCGTCCATTATCTGACCTTGATTCCATTCCCCTCTTGCGCCGCTGCTGAACACCCAGCCAAGCCAGCCATGCGGTGATGATGGCCACTACTCCTCCAGACACGCCCACTCCAATCGCAATCTTGTCAGATCTTGATAGGCCACCGGAGGCGGAATTAGTTGCATTTGTCGTAGCATTGTCCGTGACAGTATTATTGTTACCATTGGTCTGGGTGTTACCGTCTCCGTTGATGTTGTTGTTGTTCCCACTGTTATCTTGTCTCTTTTCTTTGTTGGCTTCTGCTGGGGCGGATATGCTCGTTGGCAGCGACCAGAATGACACAATGTCTTCGAGATTCCTCACATCAACTGCTTATGAGCGTTAGAGCGACAAGCACCTGCAATGAGTTTCTTCTAAAGTTATAGATTCACGACGGCATAGGGCAGCGTACCATTAACAAGGCTTACACTAGGCAAGCAGCGGCTCACTCCAAGAGCCGACCCAAGAGCAATTTGTCCAGCAATCAGAAAAGCAAGTAGCGACTTCATTATTTTGGACCTGTCTTCGAAGGACTAAGGATGGTTAGTCCGTACTTATAGGTTTTTCTTTCCTTGGTGGGTACCAACATAGTTAATGTGACATGGCTTGCCAACTGGATTTGGCACACTCATGTCAGCGCATTGCACCCCTCTGCTGGATGGCTGGTTTACGAGGCAGACACTGCAGGGCATACAGTAAAGGCGTCTGTTACCTGTGCGATACGAACAGCCTCTCCTTTGTGTCAAATCACTCCGTGACCAGTGGATCATGCAGAGATTCTCGTAAGCTTCGCGTGTGATTGTGGATGGAGACTGGAGTTAATTCGAATTTAGCTCTAAGCAGTGAAGAACCAGCCACAGTCCTTGGATTCAAGGATTGTACCTATCCACGTTCTACATGCTCAGCCTTCGACAACACCGGGCCAGAAATAGACTGGTAGCTTGCCAGGGCCCGTAACCTCCCAGCCGGAATCCGTTGAGGTCGACTTAAGTTCTGTGTTCCCCTACTTAAACAAGTCTTTGCAGTCCTCTTCCGATGAGGATGCAGGGAAATACTTGACTCCAAGCATGAATTCTGTGTCCAACATGTTAAGAATCTCGTTACTTCTGCAACTGCTCCCTGCACCGTACGTTTTGGCAGCATGTGGATTGCTCTTTCCAACCAGTACCTTCCCAAGGGAGGGCCATACCCATACTGGTATTCCAACAAGGCCGACGGCGAAAGCAACTTTGGAGAGCCAGCCGAGGGACCTTCTGAGAAGACAAAATGAGATTGCGCTTCAAACCTGTGGATTCTACCAAGGTAAATCTTGTCTACCTCTAAAGCTTCAATCAAGGGATCCTCGGCCTAACCATGAACAGGCCAACCTTTGAACTGCGCCGTTGGTTATGTCTGCGCGACAGCTAATGCAGGCAACGCTGCCGGCTGCTGCCCAGCAAATAACCTGGCGTATTGTACACTGTATACAAGCTGTGTCAATTACCAAGACATGGCCATGTGTGGCGAGAATTGCTTATACCCTCAAGTGGGTATTTGGTGAGCCGCAATTCTTCCTACAGCAGCCTGGTTAAAGGGAAATCAAACTGATAGATAGATCAGCACAGATGCATATATGCCCTATTGTTTCTCAAGGATATGGAATTACCAGACTCAATATACAGAATTGGGATGCAACACTGTCCCGGGCTCTATTACCATTGATCCAAATCCTGCCTTGGAGACAGGTCGCAGGTCCCTTCCGGCAGAATCGGAGGCTGCAACCGTCTCCCTTCCCTCCAATCAACCGACAGTAACCGGGAGTGGCCAGGGAAATGGTAACGGGAATGGCATCAGTGGTAATGAAAATACTCAAATGAACGGCGATGGCAATACTATCATCAATTATAATGAAGGTGGTGCATCGATTTTAGGTGACCGCCTTGCACATGATCTTCCTCTGTTCTTGGCCAGTCTTGCATTCAGCCTGTTACTAGCTTTGTGGGAGATAACCTAAAGGAGCGAGTTGTCGACGAGTACTAAATATTTCTGGTCTTGCACCCCGAGGGTATATCGGGATACGCCTTACCACCGTTCTTCGCGGAACTCTACTACTATTCTTGTTGGCAACCTAGGCGAGTCAATGAGGATGATGATTGAGATTTCCTGTCCCTTTCCACTCGATGGTCTCTGTTCTAGTTTTTATATAAATTACCTAGGCAGTTAATCTCCAGGAGCCCCTTTTCCAATCATCTCAAAGTATTCCAAATGCTTATATAATAGCGCTCTGATCGACCGGTGAAGAGGGCATTTTAACCAGCGCCGCAGAGTATTTAATATATAGATATAATTTTTCATGTCTTTTCTTTTCTAATATCGCGTTAGCCTCGGCGTACTGTCAGCCATAGGTCCGTCAGCCCTTGAGGATCGCTCAAAAAGACTAGAACCACGCACGAAAGTATGAGGATATCTCGGACCTATTAGATATATGCTTGTCAGGAGGCCTGAGGCATTCCTGACACATAGACTGGAAAGGGACGGAAATCTCAATTGTCATCCTGTTGACTCGCCTAAGTTGCCAAGTTTGTATCTAACGGTAGTCGAGAACGCGGGAACGCGAGAACGCGAAACCTGGATGCCGTTCTTGGCGCGTTTACATTACCCAAGGTACTCTTCGCCAGCCCAGTTCTACAGTATCCCGTATCAATACCGCCAGTACGGAGTGCCCAGGCCACCACTAGATGCGGAATGTGTCTGGGACTTGAAAATGCCAATTGAGGCTTTACCAGAGAGCACAAGTCGAGCTATCGGATCCACCCTCGTACTCAATGATGCAAAGTCGGTTGTTAAAGAGCTCGTTGACAACGCCCTCGATGCCCGTGCCACCACAATCAACGTTGAAATCTCCCAGAACACCTTAGATGTTATACAGGTCAAGGACAACGGCACTGGAATCGGCGTTGAAGATAGACAGCTGCTTTGCAAGAGAGGCTGCACGTCAAAGATCCGATCACTTGAAGACCTCAGTCGTCTAGGGGGCTCGTTTCTTGGATTTCGTGGAGAAGCGCTTGCGAGTATTACCGAACTAAGCAATGTTGTAAGCGTCACTACTCGAGTTGATGGCGAGATTGTCGGCACTTCCCTCGCGTTTGGGTCTTCTGGAATGCTCAGGTAGGTTGGGTAAATGCTTTCCTGCTAGGGTTATACTGGTCATGACTCAATCAATCAGTTCTTCGTCAGCTTCCCACCCAGTCGGAACAACCTTCCGTGTGCAGAACTTCCTCCACAATATACCTGTAAGAAAGCAGACTGCTCTGAAGAATTCCACAAAGACGTTGCAATTCATCAAAGCACTCCTTTTCTCCTTTGCATTCGCCCGGCCCAACGTTCGATTCTCTTTCAAAGTCCTGAAGGCAAAGAATGATAAAGGTAATTGGACATACGCTCCTAGCCAGAAGGATACGTTGACGGAAGTGGCATCGAAAATTGTTGGGCAAGAAATCGCTCTGGAAACCGTCTGTCATTCAGCCTCCTCAGATGATGCTGATACTGGGAATGCTGAAAGCTGGACAGTTGAGGCTCTTCTTGCCTCACGTAGTACAGGTAAGGCACCCCTCTTGTTCCATCGCGTATGTTAATTCTATCAGACTCGTCGAAAATACGCAACGCGACTCAGTATATTTCAATAGATGGTCGACCAGTGACTTCAGACCGCGGCACCGTGAAGGAGATCGTCAAGCTTTATAAACGATATCTACAAGCTGCACATGGCTCTTCGGAAAGCTCGTCAATACCACGGCCCTTCCTGTGCTTGCAGATCAAATGTCCTCCTGAGAGTTACGATGTCAACGTGGAACCGGCGAAAGATGAAGTTCTCTTCTTTCGTCCAACCAACCTGCTGTCCCTAGTGGAGAATCTCTTCAAAATGGCCTATCCAATTTGCGAAGAGAATAAACGACTTGACCAACCCATCATAGAAGTTTCGCAAGGAGACTCTCCCTCAAATATGTTCGATTACAGTGCATTTCCAACGGATGATCATACAAAGGTCGCATCAAAGAAGAGTCTGGTATCTGGCCTGCCCCTCTTACCACAAGAAAAAGGCGTTTCGCTGTCAAGTATTGCTATTTCCAACCCATTCACAATAGCAGCAATGACTACCAGGGTCCTACCAAAGAAGATGGGCTTCACTGAAGCATTCTCCACTACATCTTTTGGCGAGAAATCGAAATCCCCACCAAGTGGAGAGAATTTTGCGAAGCCAGGAACTGGGACACGAGCCCACCGAACTTCTCTTGACCAAATGACTTCACTGCCATCACCAAATGCCTCTTCCGATGATGCAGTTCCCCACCAGAACCCGGGTCCACCCCTACGATGTCGTCCGAAGGTGCCAACGAGGCAAAACGCTGGCCCGGGTGATGCCGCCGAATACTTTGGCAACACAAATGACCAGAGATCTCCGGAGAATAGCACACTTCTACAAGCTTGGCTGACACCGGTGACGGGGGAGCGTCGACCTAGTAGATCAGAAAGAGAACCTCAGATAACACCATCGCGTCCCGGAGGATTTGGTGAAACTGACGATCAAGAGATACAACTTCTACCCAACATGGACAATCTCTGTCGCACCTCTGCAAACTCAACTTCTAACCTGAAGTGCGGTCCCGGGCAGAAGACATTTCGATCGCCTCTGAAACGCCCATCTAATGGACGGAAGCCTACTGGCACGATGATGGCGTTGCTTTCGACGCCTGCAGATCAGTCCGAAAATGTCGCATCTACAGCTGCATCTGATTCCACCCATCCGTTGAATGACTCGCGGAATCCTGGAATAGCTTTGAACGCAACATACCTTGCAAGACTTGAAACCCCTCAGCAGACGCTTCGAAAGCAATCAACGAGTGACGAATCACCTGGGGGCAGTGAGTTGGCAGATATCATGGACTTCGAGTACAGGAAGAAGGCTGTCATTGCTCAGCAACGGCGGTCAGGGGCCAAATTCCCGTCAAGATCGATTAATGACGTTCTGAAATCTCGTGCAGCCGAAAACAACCTCATGACAGTCCGCCAATCAGATGCATTTGTTACGTCGAATGGAGACAAGGCTACGAGCGTCCTCGACGAAGCAGATTTCGCTGCCAGATTCGGTGATGTTGACACAACTCCACGTAAGCAAAATAAGTCCAACCCACACCACAACCGCTACTTGGCAGCGATCAAAGATCTATCGCACTCTCATCCCAAATATTCCAATGTTTCACCGGACGGCTCGTCGCCTGCTCCTACCAATGATGGGGCTGCGTTTATCAGCGCTCAAGAAATGGTGTCGACTCCCTCTCTTCCGGAGGATGACCCGCGTGCCTATTTTATGCGACAACGGCAAAGAAAGGGAAAGTTCACACTCTATCGAACTCGGTCCTCAAAACTTCCGCTCGAGACCATCCCCGCCGAAGAGATGACGCTACATCTAGTGCAGACTGTCGATGGATTCCGCAAGCCCCACAATATCCCAATGCTAGTGGAACATCTTTCACAGCACGACCGATATATCATTGACGGAACGATCGCTTGTGCCAAGCTTGACGCGGGCTCATCGATGTCCGCAGTTCGGCGAGAGACAATCCTCCAGCTGATGAAGAAGACCTATCGAGGCCCAGAAGGCGAGGATCTAGGGTTCGGGGTTCTCAATCACAGTCTTGATGTCAATGTTCTGACCAACCATGGCTGAGAAGCTATTTGTTTCCTCTTTCTGTTCCTTTTCAAAGCAGTCTGTTTTCATTTTCCGGCGTTCCAGAATGGGTGGTCAGGCACGGATATGATGTTATGCTTTTGACGCAAGTTATGTGAGATGTTGCCAATGGGGCTCACTCGATTTGCCGGGTGGAATTGTACCAGATGTTTTGATCTTAGATTGGCGTTTCAAGCCGGGGGAAGCGGAGACCTGACCATGTGACATAAGCCTTTGAGTGCTACGTACTATTTTAGTTACATCTCTAGAAACTGGCATCAAAGATGCTATCCAGTCGAGAGAAGGACAAGATAATCCAGAATCCTTCAACGATCCCGCCTGCCCCCAGTCAGTGCTGGTCGAGTAAAAGAGTAGCCCTCCTAGCCGACCCGCCCCTGCCTACCCTCCTCCCTCTCACTACCACGGCGCTCAACTCCCCCCCTCTCCGCTCGCCTTCTTCGCATCCCTAACAAGGCCCTCCAATACCGACACGGCCTCTTCCTCCTTCCCCACCGGCACGAACAGGTGATCATGAAAATAGCCACTGACGGGGTTACAACTGATTCCGCTATCCGCAAGGGCCCGAGTCAGCACGGCTAGAAACCCCACCGCTTCGAGGCTGGAGTGCACCGCACACGTGATCATGCGGCATGGATACTGGGATGTGATTTGGTGGTGTTGGTGCAGTGAGGCGATGTCCTGCGGCGCGATGAGGGTGAGGCCTTCGGCCTCGCGGAAGGTGAGGATCGCGGTGTCCAGCAGCGCTTTGGGGATGGAGGAGGCCTGAGCAGTGGCGGGGATGGTGAGGAAGACGTATGTTGTCGGGCAGAGGGCGAGGTTCAACGTAGCCAGGAGTGCTGTTAGTGAGGTCTCCCCGATCGCTGGTGGTGTCATGATGGGATGGAAGGGTTGGTTGGTTGGGCGGCAGGAGGTTGATTTAGGGTAGAGTATATTAATAGGTTGGAGCTCTAGGCTATGTATATTGCTGTAGGTTGGTGTGAGTTACAATGTTGGCGTAGGCTCGTAGTGATAGTCTACCCTACCTATGTTGTTGTCCTCTGTAGGTTGGGATAGGTTTGTCTAAGTCACTGTAGTTGGTGGTGTGCCCCGTTTCGGTGGTTGGGCTGTTGTGAGTCAATGGTGAGTTAGCAAGTGTTGTTCCGACGGGAATATCTTAACTATAGATTCCCTATGCGACTGGGACCATTAAATTAGGATCGGATATTGTTAAGACCTACGACGTCGAAGGGCGTTGAAGGGAGCATTCTTGTTACGTAAGCTAATCAAGAGAATATGTACCCCCCGTGAACTAGCTAGGTATGCATAGATACACCCGTGGGAAGACATATCAGGCCTAACAGAGAAACATATCAACTGCTATGCACCTAACTCCCTTCAAAACAATTAAAGGACTGCTGTGCTATCGAATAATTGCCGTCCAACTGAGCGCGAGGAGATGGCTTCTCTTTGAATTAACTCTGTAATCACTAGGGATTGAATACAATTTCCCAACACCAGAGAATCGCCTTGAATTCATAACCCAACGCCCATCGACATCAACATCAACATCGACACAGTCTCGTCGCCTGACTTTGCGCCCTATGGCGGATGCAAGCCCCTCGACATTGCACGCAGAATTCCCGCCTAGGTTGTCCCCTCTCGTAGACTTCTTGCATAGCTCATGATCTCTCGATTACTCAACACCTTCTGCTCATTACCATTCACAGCCAGGCCGACGACAGCGAGACTAAGATCGCGGATGGAAATGGAAAGAGAGTCGCCCATGATGCACCGCAGGATAGTTCCGGTCGTAGTCTTCGGCGCGACACCCGCCGGCTTAACGAGATAGACGGCATACTCGGCCGGGGAAGCATCTTCAGCGGTTTCCAGGACTTTCGCCTCCATCAAACCCCTCACGCGACGACCATTGGCGAAGAACCACAAAGCCCGCGCCTGCTGGCCATCCTTCGGAGGCGGCTCAGTGAGCGCACCACTCAGCTGCACGAAGCGAAAGGGCTTGGACCCGATGGGCCGTGTCTTGATGATTTTAATGAAGGCGAGAGGGAACTCAATGTCAACCCGCTCATCCCCGGTCATGGTGCCCAGGCACCAAATCGCGGCGTCGGCGGTCCTCAGCTCGCTGATAGTCGCTTCGTCATAGGCAGTGAAGTCCTTCACGATGATGACCTTGGCCTTGGCGTTGTCGGCTATGCTGCCAGGGTCTCGGCGAGTGAGGACAATGACTGAAGTGATGGACGGGTGGTCAAGGCATTCTCTCAGAACTTCGCCACCTATGTACCCCGTACTGCCGGATAGAACCACTTTCATGTTGGAAGGGCCGGTAGAGACGGAGCAGAACAAGCTTCTTGTAGTCGATGATGTGGATGTCCCGCAAAAGAGTTGAAAAGCAATAACGGGGACCCTCAAGAAAAACACTGACCTTCAAGTTGTTGGCTACTTCAGAAAGGCGTGCTCCAATGCTTCATATATCAGTTGCCAAGCCTGCCAGGCTGCCCTCTTGTTACGTTTTCGTCCTGCCCCGTACGGAGGTGTGCATCAAAAGTTGTGTAAGAGGCTTTTTAAAATACCGGGCTATCGTGATATTTTACTATATAATCTAGTCTGACAGATTATTTATTCTAGGCTAGTTAGGCCTTGTTAGGGAATAGAATACCTAATCCCCCCTAAGATATCCCCCTAACTTAAGCTAACTTTGAGTACTATTAGACATCTATTAGGGCCGAAGAGAATCTCTAGGGAGTGTTGCTGTAGAAACGCAATTAAAATTAAACATGTCTTTCAAAATTATGACAGTGTCATTAGAAAGCCATGTCATTCTGTACTAGCGCGTGCACACCTTTTGATGCACACCTCCGTACTAATTCTGGAAGAGGCCCTCAAACGCAAAATCGCAGTTGAAGAATACCGGGTACAGCGATCAGCGAAAGGCTGGTTCGACCCAACCAAGGGACAGCCAACATGGTCGACATTGGCTTCAGTGGCAGGTTCTTCGTCCGCCTCGGACGAAGGAGAGTTATCCGCCTCACGTGGCAGGCCTAAGTGCTTAAAAGGTCGCCAACGAGCGCTTCAATTTCTTAGTTGATTTGAATACGCGGATCAGCTGTGCTCTGTATGGTGCTAGGACTCTATACTTGGCCACTATCCGAATCTTGGGAGGACCGGCCCAGGCGACGTAACACAAATCTTGGTATCCCAGATTTTCCAACGGTGGCTGGGTTGTCATACCAGCCTGCCCCTCTGAATTACTCGTAGGTCCAGGAATATGCCAGGTCAAAATCTAGCCGTCCTTAACAGCGCAGGATCTGTTTCCAACGCGCCACCTAAAATGCCGCAAAAGATATCAACAACCACTCATTCCGTGGGGCTGCTAGTCCCTTGGGAGGATGGGAGTAGGCATATTTTCCGTACCACATCGGGTAAAGTTAGGGTATGGAATGATGCAAGCTTCCGGAAATCGTTTGTTGGTTCCATGTGTGAGTGTCAACAGATATTTCGTATCCGATGCACGCATCCCAGATTATGCCAGGTCTCTCATTCAGCTTGAACATGGAGTCGGGGAAGAAGCCACCTTCAGAGGAAGCTCTTTATTCTTTTTCACTATGATTCGTTCAAAATTAAGAATGGAATCTAAAATTTTGTTTCGTCGACTAGAAATGTGTCCCACATCATTCAGGAAGATGAAAGAGTATTAACTTCCTCCCTGCCAAAAGAAAAATCGAGCTTCGTTCATGTGCATCAATATTTGCAAGACAGGCCTTCGAATGCATCGCCAAACCCAACACACTTAGATGTTGTGCGGAAACTGTTCGACCACCATCTCATCCTCCTTTGGACGGTGATAAATGTTGGCAACATCTTCACCGTCCCATTTGGCTCGGTATTCAGCCTGAACTTGTCGGCGGCTGGGTGCGGATATGACGTAGTCTTTGATGGGGTGGACGGGGAAGAGCCGGTGCAACGCCACGAAGAAGAGTGCTGAGATGGCAGTCCCTACCAAGAAGCTGATGTAGTATAGACGGGTCCAGCCAATGGGGACTGTAATGCTCGTGTTAACAGCGGCAACAAAACCTGGCATCGAGGGCCAGACGCCTAAAGCCCACTAGATGAAGAGTCTGTCAGCAATGAACAATTGCAGGAATTGGTTGAGTGGATTCCAAAGAGTGAAAACCTACCGCTACCGGTGCACGCCAGTTGATCCCAAAGGTATACCAGTAAATGCTATTTTTGTCCCCGTAGAAGAGGTCGTCCACTTTGATCTTTTGTTTATTGACGATATAATACGAGGAGACCATCAACCCAATCATGGGGCCCAGGAACACTGAATAGCTTGACAATACACTGAGAAATGTCGAGGCGGTCGCCAACAGCTGCCAGGGGTTGACCACCACTGACAATGCTGCAGTGATGTATGCGCCTCTTCGAATATTGATGAAAGTTGGAAATGTCGCCGCCAAATCAAAGCCGCCGGATAAAGCATTTCCAGGAATATTGATACCCCATTGAGAGATGACCATAGCCACCCCGGCGAAAAATCCAGCGGCACGTGAGCGAGAACCGCCTGCATGCATCATTGCGATCATCAAGTCCGGCAAACTCCAGATTGGAGCACCATAGCGTCGCTGGGTAGCTGCAGTAACGAGAATTCCGATAACCGAACTGATGATGGAATACGGGGCAGCAGCAGCAATCTGGCCGTACCACGCGTTTCGAGGGCGTTGTGCGAATCGAGCATAGTCTGCTTGGTTCAAGATACCCGCCGAAATGCCACCGATAGCACTGATGATTGCATAGCAAATGGTCCAGCCTTTGGAAACATCCTGGAGAGCTGGCGTACTGGAGATAATCTCACCGAATCCTTCCATGGTTGCAAGAGCCCAGACAAGGACAACGAAGAAGTAAACAAATATACTGGCGACTCCAAATGTCAGGAGTGGTTTCAGCTTGTGAGGGCGGATCCAGATCAAGGGAAGTGACAGGACGCAAAAAATGACGTAAGTCATAAAGGTCGCTGTCGTCAAGCCGGTGGCATGGATATGGTTAGGGATGCGTTCCTCTAGATTTGGCCATATGGCCTCAAGGCAGACATAGACGCATCGACCTCCGATCCAGGATTGCACCGCGTACCATACTAATGACAGGAGGATTCTGTTGTAGATGACAAAGGAGCTTCCGTAAAGACCCCAGACGTAACGGTTGACGACAGGGAATCCAATGTGATAGTATGAGCCCGGCATACTATTAAAGACGATAAAGATTGTAGATATTATCGCGCCCACGATGATCGAAATTATTGCTTGCCACCAAGTCAGGCCCAGCGCGATCATGGAGCTGCCAACCATATATGTCGAGATGTTGGTGTTCGTTAAGACCCCTTTGCCCAGGTCAGTATAAAAGTACTTTGTGAGAGCCTAGAATTGCCTACACAGATTATGGAATGTCCAGAAATTCCAGGTTCTGCGTTCCTTCTCAATCGGTTTGATGTCGTTGTTGATCCATCGGTCGGGAGCGACGCCGCCCTCGTGGGGAACTTCGAGTTTTTTTATCAAAGCTCTCAGCGACATTTTGATCACGGGCTGATGATTGCGAGCGACAATGTGAGCGAAGAAGTTGAAGATTGATTGATGGACTGATGATGGGCGATCAGAGATAAGAGGTTTTCTGTTTGGACAGCCACCCCTACCACTTCCTTTGCTGGTTGATTGTCCCGAGTCCTCCTTACCAACCAAGGCTGGTCTCCCTGACTCGTTGACATGGGGAAAAGCTGTTCGGGGCTGTTGGCTAAGCCGAAAAGGCGACAAGGGCCGGAAGGGAATGGCCTTTAGTTCATCTGGATGCGACCTTCCGGGCTTCACTAACGCAACCCACGCTTGAGAATCCACCTTTAGGTTCTCTCGGCGACGGAAGTGCCCAGTAGGTGACCTTCCAGAGCGTTCGTCTCGTGCTGGCGATCAACTTCACGGGACAGCAGCCTTAGACTTGCTGCTCTGCGGGCTTGTTATAAGTAAGCAATACATAATCAAGAACCTTATGCTTCCTTGGTGCCGGCCGCCAAAAGAACAGCGTCCTCAAGTCCAGCTTTTCTTTGCTTCAATGTCGACCGTTGCTTTCCAGGCCGATCAATTACCAGGGGGCCATTCGGTTGAAAAAGTGGTGTGCCACTTGTTTTTCCTAGGCGCGTTGGTTCCAAGACCCTTCATGCATTCCCTGGGGCTTTTGAGATTTCCAATTTGCAGACGAGCACTTCCAGATGCCCATACCCTAGTCCTCTGCGTTGTCTCTAACTCTTCCTCCGTACTGATTCGCGTCATGCACACCACCTCTCGGAGGGCCGTCATGGCTTCACGGAGAATCCTACAGATAAAGAGCGGCACATCTGAATGCCACAAGGGGCCTTGGAAGTGGTTACACTTCTCTCTAACTTGTTCTCAGGGACGAGGGTTCCTCGTACCGAGTACTGGTAAGTTTGGGTGATAAGGTACCGGGGTGCTTCGCACTCAGCCATAAGGAGGATCTGATAACATTCTCTTACAACCTCATGTGTTGCTACCTTGCCAACGCCTACTACTTACGAGTATGTACGGATACTCCGTACCGTACTCTGTACAACAGTCCCGGTTTACCTCCATCTCTCACCACTTAGCTGAGTCAGCATCAAAACCCGTGACTTCCACGCCTCATGACTCAGCAGGGACAAAAAGTCGAAATCGCCAACGTTGCAGGTGCTGCTGCTGCTCACCCACCAGAAGGTGCCTTCCTCCTCCACTCATGCCACACACTAGGTCTAACTTTACCGTGTGCCTCTCACGTGAGAGTTCCCCCTCCACCAGTACTCGTATAATTGGTCGTGGAGACCATAATGCAAATGATAAGTGGTCGAAGGAGCAGAGCACCAACTGGGTTAGATAGCACTCAGATAGCACCCAGATAGTCAGCCCAAATCTGCTGGGTCAGAATCGGGCCAAACTCCCATGGTCCCCGAACCAAAGCTATGGCCCGAGGAAAATGCCTGCACAAACACGAGTAGGCCAAAATGAGGAGCAAGTGAGGCTGGGACTACTTGTATCACCCTATGGAAGACGCCTCGGCGCGTCTTCCCATATTCGACGGGAGATTGTCCGAATCAAATCAAACTTCACTCAGCAGCTAGAATATGAGCCAGCCTACAAGTATCCCAAAGTCCCGATCTCTTTCCATGCTGGCATGGCGAAACGCTTCCCCGCGCACGTGCCTACTGCTCCACAAGGCTCATCCATTTCCCCTACTTTTTGGCTGAATCTCTCTCTCTTACGAGTACGTTGGATCTTGATCCAGACTGCAACCTTGTTGACAGTGGCCCAGGTCTTGCCAAAGCCTGTGCCCATTTTTCGATTATACGACTGAACAGCTACTCTCGATCATGAGAAGCAAAAATTTGGACTGCTAGCACCACGCCCCGGTCTGATGGCACCCCATCCGTAGTCGACGGCTCCGGCAGCACAATTCACCGCGCCCTGCACGACCGCTTTTTACAAGCCGGCTGATGGATCTGGCTTTTGTTACTCCTCCTACATTGGCGGAGGGTCGACTTGGTGACCGGGAGTACAGACCACGTACTCCTCCCGCCGCGCGCCGGAATCCCAGGAGAGCTGCCACAGAATTGCCCGTTGAGAATACGATGGCGGCCAGGGTGAAGATGGTCAGGCTTGGAATATAAGAGACGGTACAGTACGCCAGACCTGGAACCGCACAATACTCAACTTCAACATTGATAATAGCCAAACCTCCACAATCCCATTGCCCCAGTGTCGAATCATGGTTCATCCCGCTACGGCCCCCAAGAATGCCCCAACTGGCTTCGATTTCATCGTTGTCGGCGGTGGCACTGCTGGTTGCGTTGTTGCCGGTCGCCTAGCTGAGAACCCCAATGTTTCCATCCTTGTCATCGAAGCTGGAACAAACAGCACTGCCGAGATTCCAGAGATTAACACCCCCGCTCGTGCTTTTGAGCTACGTGGCAGCCAATGGGACTGGAAGTATAAGACGACCATGATCGACCGACCCGACTATACAAGAGTCGAAAAGCCCAACCCACGTGGAAAGGTCTTAGGTGGCTCTAGCGCCGAGAACTATTACACTTGGGTGCGAGGAAGTGCAGCCACTTTCGACGACTGGGCCGAATATGCCACTGACGATTGGAATTGGGCCAATACGAAAGACTACTTTAATAAGTCAGCCACATACCACGATGACGACAACCTGTATCCCGCTGAGCTTGCTAAGATCGGCAATCAGGGAGGACCCCTACACATCTCACACTCAGATCTCCTTCCTGAAACCAAGCCATTCCGTGATGCACTTGAGGCAGCCTGGGTAAGCAAAGGCCAGGAGTTAAGCACCGATGTCTTCAATGGCACCCAGAAGGGACTCTTTAAATGCGTCGACACCATTTACAAGGGTACCCGATCGAACGCGTCTGTATTTGTGGAGGGCAAAGACAACATTACCATCATGTCATCGACCCATTCCAAGAACATCGTCTTCGAAGGTCCCAAGGCTGTAGGCGTCACCGTCATTGGTCCTGATGGCCTGGACTATACCTTCTATGCCAGGCATGAGGTCATTGTGTCACAGGGTGTCTACGAGTCTGCCAAATTACTAATGTTGAGTGGTATTGGACGAAAGGCTGACCTGGAGAGCTTTGGAATTAAGGTCCTTGTCGATTCGGAGCATGTGGGTCAGAATCTACTCGACCATCCCATCCTGTCCCATGTGTTCAAAATCAAAGATGGTTTCGGTCTCGACAGTCACTTGCTACGTGCAGGGCCCCAGAAAGATGGCGCTGTCGCAGCTTACCGCAGGAACAAGGGCGGTGTCTACAGCAGTGGCCTTCTCGAACTAGTAGCGTTCCCCCGTGCGGACGAATGGCTCAACAAGTCCAAGGAATACCGTGAGTATAAGGCCAAAAACGGGGGGGTGGACCCATTTGGTCCTGCTGGCCAGCCGCATTTTGAGGTGGATTTTGTGGTAAGCAAATTTTTTGAATACATATATATGGTCATCGGCACTAACAAATGGTAGCCTCTGTTCTGTGACGCTTTCCAATGGCACTTTCCAACTCCACCGCAAGGTGACTACCTGACTGTTATCGTCGACCTCATGCGCCCTCTTAGCCAAAATGGTGAAGTCAAGCTTAAATCAACCGACCCCCTTGACCAACCGTATATCAACCTCAACTTCTTCTCCGAGGACCTCGACCTGATTGCGATGCGCGAGGGTGTGCGCATGATCGACGACATTCTCATGAATGGTGAAGGTATGAAAGATATTATTGAGAGCGACTATCCCTGGCCGATGCCCCGCAACTCGGATGAGGCGATGATCAAGGAGATCCTCGAGCGTTCGCAGACAGGATTCCACCCCTGCGGCTCCTGCCGCTTTGGGAAGGATATTAAGCAGGGTGTCGTCAACCCCAAGCTGCAGGTTTACGGAGTTGAGAACCTCAGAGTGATAGATGCCTCCGTGTTCCCTGTCATCCCTGACTGCCGCATTCAGAACGATGTGTACATGGTAGCAGAGAAGGGGGCGGACATCATCAAAGCCGCGTACCCGGCTCTCTATGCTTGAACTCGTGCAAGCCATGTCCTATAATATACAGCCAACTACATGTAATAATATTTTCTACGACGCAGCATTGCTAGACCCCCCCCCCCCCCGCCCCCCACAATCGCTCCCTGAAGACTGGTGTCACTTGCGATATGGTCAAAACGCGGAGACTTTTTTACTTTGACATGGTACGTTTGTTAAGATGAATTTGGTCATTTGCATGACGACACCACACCGCCGTCTAAGCAGGTCAGGATAAATTACAGTATCTAGCTTTAGGTCGTTGACACGGGGCTCGTTCAGAGAAAGATAGTGTAAAGTAAATATGGATACTTTTCTCCAACCTCATTTCCAAGCTCTTCCAGAGGGCTTCGAGTCTGCTTTTATCTCATGGATAGACCAGGAGGTATACATGAGTACGCCTTCTATGCTCTCCTCCCTGGTCCCATCTCTCTCATTTTCGTCGTCGTCGTCGTCGTCGTCGTCATCATTGAGGCAAAATGAAGAAGGAAAAACATTCGTCGAACATCTGATTCCGGTCATTTGATTATCAGAGCCAGCTGATCAGTGTAGGCTCGCTGTAAGAAGCCTGACTGATGACAAATCAAGCGTATTTCAAGGGAAAAAACAAGGAAATGATTTCATAACGTCATACGTCCTCCCGGGTGGGGACGATGACCGACATTTCGGAGCTGGCATGTCCACTGACGGGCCTCTTCTCCTCCGATTTCGACTTGGTGAAGCTCCTCGCCATGGTAAAGAATCCTTGCCTGAGACCCAGCGTGGAGCGAGCGTGGCGGCGGGCCTTCATGCCCTCCGTCTCCTCGGCCTGGAACCAGCCCATGGAGCGCTTCACGAATTTCCAGGCTTCCATGCCGGACACAAAGACAAAGACGCAGACGATGGCCGGCGCCCATTCCCACGAGATGCCCTTGTGCTTGAAGACCGAGGTGTTCAGCCCAGGGATGTAGACGGCGGGAAAGACGCTTACGGCGCCAATGACGACGGACCAGAATAGGAATTGGTTCTCCCAGATGTCAGCGAAGAAGGGGAATGCGCGCGTGTCGTGCGGGTTGATCTTGAACATGCTGCGTCGCATGGCTTTGAATTCCCATGCGGAGATGAGGATGAGCCATGTTAGTTCGGCAAAGACTGCTGCTCTTGCGCGGAAGACGACATCGCAGCTGGTGCTGTAGTGGTGGTTGCAGTCCACGCCGAGACCGTCGTCGCCGGGGCCGTAGACAATGAAGACGAATGTCATGAGGCAGCAGGTTCCTTGGATCGTACCATAGACGAGCATGTCGGTGATGAGTTCCCATGTGAAGACACCTTTCTTGTTGTCGTGTGGAGGTCGTTCCATGACATCGGGAGCCGCTTTCTCGCGACCGAGACCGAAGGCTGGGAATGAAGATGTGAGCATGTTAATCCATAGGATCTGAAGCGGTGACAGAGGAAAGACAGAGAATCCACTCCTATCTTGGAATCCTAGACCACAAATCAAGAGAATGACCTCGCCGACATTAGATGTAAGGAGATGGAGGACGAAGCGTTGAATGTTGTCAAACATGCGTCGGCCTTCTTCAACCGCGTTGACAATACTTGCGAAGTTGTCGTCGGTAAGAACAATATCAGAGGCGGATTTAGCAACGTCAGACCCGTTTAGACCCATAGCAATACCCACATCAGCGAGCTTGAGTGAGGGCGAGTCATTGACACCGTCACCGGTCATAGCCGCAAATTTATTACGTCGATGTAAAGCCTCGATCATACGGACTTTGGTTTCAGGGGCACATCGTGCAACAACAAGTGGAAGAGTTGGCAGAGCATCGATCTCTTCGTCTGTCATCTTGTCGAATTCAGTAGCCGTTTTGACGATGGCTGCTGCCACATCGGGAGCAAGGGTGCTCATGTTCTTGGGAATGATTCCGACCTCTTTGGCAATTGCTGCGGCCGTGGATGGATGGTCACCTGTCAGCATAGAAACTGTGATTCCCGCAGTCGTACAGGCTTGGACAGCGCCCTTCGTCTCCATGCGAGGTGGATCGTAAAGTCCGGCAAGACCAAGCAAGCAAAGATCTTTCTCAACCTCTGCTCGGTCGATATCAGAGTGCTCGGCAATATCCATGGAGGTAAATTTTCGTGCAATAGCAAGAACACGGAGGCCTTGCTCAGCGAGGAAATCCATCTGTTCGAGAATGCTTTCCTTGTACTGAGGGGTGATCTTCTTTTCATTCTCCCCGATACCAGCGGTAGTACAAAGGTCAATAATACGCTCGACGGCTCCTTTGGTGAAGATGATAGAGTGCTCTTCCTCAGGCTTTGTATAGACAACTGACATCCGCTTGATAGAGCTATCGAATGGAAACTCCATCTTTTGGGACCAGCCCTTCTCTTCTTCCAGAACCTTCTTGCCAAAGTCAAATCGATGAGAGAAGACTTGGAGAGCAATCTCAGTAGGATCTCCCGAAGTCTTCCACTTCGCCTGCCCATCTTCAGTGACTTTACGGACGGTAGCAAGATTGCAAAGAGCGGCAGATTCGAGGAAAGCTTGTAGCTCGGGAGTGACATCTGGATTTTCTTTGACATCGGTCTCTGCAGGTGTGGCCTTCTCATTGTCTTTCTTGAATTTCTCGTTAGGAACATCGAAGGCGACATTAGCGACACTTCGTTTTTGGTCAAGTGCTTCTTCTCGGGCGAGTCTTGCAGCTTCAGCTTCCTTGCGAGACATTGGCGCTTTTCCGAAGGTGATTGTGCCTTCCGTCGGGTCAGAGGCGTTATTTGAGTTCTCCACACTGTAGATGCCGACACCTGGAATCCATGCCTTGCGAGTGACCATTTTGCCTTGGGTCAAGGTACCTGTCTTGTCAGAGCAGATATTTGTGACACCTCCCAAAGCCTCGAGTGCACTAAGCTGTCGAACTACGACCTTGCGCTTTCGCATCTGGGTCATTCCAACAACCATGGTGATGGTAAGAACAGCGATCAAAGATTCGGGAATAATGGCGATACCAGTGGAAATTGCGTAAATGGCGACTTCGTTTGTGACATTAAACCGGTTGACGCCGAAGACGATAATAGCCAGGAGTAAAGCACAGCCAAACAGTGCGTAGGCAAGCTTGCTGAGCTTGATTTGCAAAGGAGTGCCTCCAGTCAGACCGAGGAATTTGAGGATGCTGTCCCAAACGCGTAGCGCCCCACCTTTGACGGGCTGCATAGGGCCATGCTTCTTCCTTGACATTGATCGATTAGGCTTACGTCGTGTCTTCTGCATTGATGCGGCGATCCCACCGATTGCAGTAGACATTCCGGTGTAGACGACAATGCCTCGACCACGACCTTTGGTGACCGTCGAAGATGAGTAGCAGATGTTTAGTCGATCACCAAGGCCAAGATCTTCCTTGGCTCCATGCTTTGCTTCGAATTCGACTTCCTTAGCAACCGGGAGAGCTTCACCAGTAAGGATGGCTTCGTCACATTCCAGATTCATGACCTCAAAAAGACGAATGTCGGCCGGGACTGTGTCACCCATCTTAATAGATACGATATCACCAGGAACGACTTCACCGGAGGCAATTGTATCTTCATTACCATCTCGGACAACGTTAGCTGATGGCGATGAAAGTGATCGAAGAGCGTCCATTTTCTTTTCAGCCTGGAATTCCTGATAGAAACCAATAGAGACGTTAAGAACTATGACGCCAGTAATAACGGCGCCTTCGATAAAATCCTCAACGCCATAAGCCAATGCCATTGCGAGAACCAATACCTAATCGGTTTGTTAGGGATAGAGCTTGCCTGCGAACTGACCAGACGTACCAATATCATGGCATTTGATATTTGTTTTCCTAAGATCGAGTACCATGAGACCCCTCCATCCCCTTCGAGTCTGTTAGGGCCGTATTTCTCCTGGTACTGCTGCACCTGAGAACTCGATAATCCCGAGTCCAAGTTTGTCTCGATCTCGTTCTTGATCTCGTCGACCGAGAGTAAGAAAGGTTGTTTGGTATAATTTTGATCTGCCCTAGTTGTCTTACCCATTTTGGGAGAGGGAAAAAGATGTGACAAAATGCAGAGCGGTGGTGTTGTTGTTGTTGGCAAAGGTACTAGCGATTGTCGTTAGTATGGTAGTGTAGATTTACTTGATGGAAATCTACGAAAGAGGTCTATGGGTTCTTGATAACAAAGAACTTTCTCTTGGTATAATACGAGGTAGGGGTGGATCGGTCGTGGGGTAAAGGTATTCATTATATATAGACATAAGGAATTTTGGGCTGGACCTCATAGACTCTGCACGCCAACCATGACCAAGGCTTCGGCTTGTCACATCCTGGGATACCAAGACTTTTCAAGCGGTGATATCAGCACGGAGCCTTGGCGTGAAGAGACTAATGTGTGACCCAAGGCGTTCCGATAAGATGTCTCAGTGGCCCGTGGTGGGCGGAACTCGGCCAAGGCCGGGCACTCATCACCAGCAGTTGGAGGGGGATATCGAAAGGAGCAGCGGGCGCACACCCATAGCAATTTACGCATGTCGAAAGCTTAGGGGCAGCCCAAAAGCTATGCCTAAGGGGTTTTCCAAGAAACAGACAAGCATCGAGGTTACAGTTTGCGATCAGAGAGACAGGGTTTGATAGATACCGAATGTGCACCTGGGATCGATTGAACGTTGATGCCCGCGAGGAGGACGGATGAAGCAAGAGGCACGGTGTTCGCCCAGCCTTGGCAAGGAGTTGCCAAGCTTTCCGCGGTTGGCGCCAAGAATAAAAAGTCGCAGTTTGCAAAGGTGGTTGGTCGCGCACGTTACCCGAACTCAATCCACATTCCGACTATTGCCACTTCTCCATCCTTTATGGATGCAACTCGTCATCACCCAGCTCAACGTTCTCGAAGTATCTACCCATTTATCGGATGGCAATGCGATGAACTCCGTGTTCGTCACTTGGCCCACACCGGAAATGGCACGTGGCGACTCAGCCTGACACCTGACCTCTTAGCCATCTACCACTTTCTGTCCAGCATAGCCTCAGCGATCGTCCGAATTGTCCAACCAAGCTCCTCCAAGCGTTTTGTACAACCATGACTCTAACGTTGTTTCGGCCGCCCTTGCAGACCGCCTTGCGTGGCCGGGCGGCTCCCGTGTCACCAGTGCTACTTTCTCCACGGATATCGGCACGGATGCCAAAAAGTTTAGAAAGGGTATCTACGCAGCAAGACAGGTCTCACACCACCTCTTCACATGCGCCACAGTCACCAGTATCGTCTTCGGTCTCCTCCGCCGAAGTCAACCACTTCTCTCAACTCGCATCAACATGGTGGGATCCTCACGGACCATCAAGACTGTTACACTTGATGAACCCACTCCGCCATGACTTCATCAAAGCATGCCTGCGCTCCTCCGAGTCACCTCCGCCGCAGACTCTCTCCTACCTCGATATAGGTTGCGGGGGGGGGATATTCGCCTCCTCCGCAGCGCGGCTTTCAAATACATCGACCGTCACAGCGATTGATCCTACAGAACTTGTCATCCAAGTCGCCCAGGCCCAACAACGGTCTGATCCTAGTATCTCGCCCCCAAAGCTGAAGTACCTTAAGTGCGCAATTGAAGATGTGCCCGTTCCCCAATCCGAGTTTGAAAAGGTGGATATCATAACTTTGTTTGAAGTGCTAGAACATATCGATAACCCAAACCAATTCCTCCATCTCGCAACCCCTCATCTCAAGAAAGGTGGATGGATAGTTGGCTCGACCATCTCCCGGTCACCTTTGGCATATGTGACCACAAAGCTTATCGCAGAAGCTCCGCTTATCGGGATTGTCCCGGCTGGAACACACGATTGGAATAAATATATCAATCCGGAACAACTACTACGCTACTTCTCTATGCAAGAACCAAGTCTTTGGGGCGACTTCAAGACTCAGGGCGTGATATATGTCCCTGTATTGGGCTGGAAGCTCGTCAAGAACAGCGAAACTTTCGGAAATTACTTCTTTGGGATCCAAAAATTGACCTGAGTAACTGTCGGCAATAAGACCTGAAAACCGGCTGATCCAAAAGTCGTCAGAGAAAAGGCACGAGAACAAGCAAAGTTTGACTTAAATCACAGACAGCTTCCACACGAAACAATACGTGGAACCAACTTCTAAGCTGCGAGACTGCTTTGCATGCGACCTCAAAAGGCCTTCTTGGACCCGTGGCATCAATTACATCGGTCGATATACTCCTTAAGCCCTTTGCCTAAGATTAACTAATGATTCCCAATAATGTCTCGGAACTTTTCGATGGCGGCTTCGAACGAGCTCGGACTAACATCTAGAGGGAGCACTCCTTGTCGCGGTTGGGACGATGCTGCAGAGAACAAATTCCGGTGCGTTTGTTGGTATTCGGGGTCTGAATATCTGACGGGAAACTTCATCTCATCCGAAGGCATTTTCATTAATGGGCTGGTACGTGTTCAACTCAAAGTTATGAAAAGATTGCTGGAATACAACTAGGTCTTCAGAAAAAAGCGGAAGAGTTTGAACAATCGTTTAGTCCTGTATATATCTATGTTTATGAAAAATGGATTGGCTCACATGTGGGGAAGATGGGGCTCTAGCAGGGGAATCTCCCCACATCCCCAATGAGGATGTAAAACGGATCAGCTAAACCAAAGCTCTGAAAACCTCTAGGTGAACACGGCCCCTTGATTCCTTCAGTACTTGTACTGTAGAAAGAAGTCAGAGAGGAGGTCAACGATGAACTGGAGTCACACATACCTTGAAATAGGGGTTGTTCCTGTCAGTAACATCGAGGAAGCCGTTTGCTCGAGCGGTTCGTCTGTCAGAGTCTGTCTGGGGCTCTTCCTTACTCCGGTTCCGGTAGATGAACAGCAACCATAACGCAGAGATACACAGCACCTGGAAGCCAACACAGAATAACATCATGCCAGTCCCAAGGTTGTATCTAGGTGCTTGATTGGTTTTGAAGAAGAAAGGTCCGATGAAATTTCCCAGGCAATAGCCGATGAGGAGAACAGCATTTGTGGTAACCTTTTTCGTGTGTCCTGCCGTGTTTGCCGTGGCTACAGACATTGATAATGTCCAGGTAGCGGTGTAGGCGAAAGCAATCCATAGACAGGCAAGTCTCCCGTATGGGATGCTTGAGTCGATCAGCCACAATCCGAGCACTCCTGCTAAGAATGGAACAAGACAGCTCAGCATGACGACGAGTCGGGCATTTTGGAATTGTGAGACTACGTAACTGTGATCTTGTTAGCATTCTTGCCGCTTGGTAGGGGTCAGATAGTCACACCAAGCAACTATGCAAAAAACAAATTGCACACCTCCTGACGGCATCTGGATCAAAGTCGTGCGCAAGTTCGAGAATCCCAACCCTTTGATGATAAGACCTTGAAACTGGAGAATAGTCAGCCACGTTCCCAGAAGCCGAGAGCACATGTTCGTCCGACTCACAGCTGTCAGGCCTCCATTGGGAGAATTAGAAGAGACTGCAAACAGGAATAACAACCAGGTCTTGAGATCAAACATGGTCTCTTTGAATTGCTCGAATTTAAAATTCTTATCTTCGATACCAGTGCCATTGTCTTTGATGCGATCAAGGACACCTGTCCTTTGTTGTGGGGTCCAGAACCTGCTGGTTGCCGGGGATCCTGGGAGTGTGAAGAAAAGGACTACACCCCAGGCTACGGTAACGGCACCCCAGATGAGAAACATCACCCTCCAAGTCTCCAAGGAGGAGTTAATGTGGCCAATTCCGAAGGTTGAAATGCCTGCGATAATGTATCCAATGCCTGCTGAGCCGATCCAGAGACCCATGCGTAGTGGCTGCTCCTGCCTTGTGTAGTACATTGAAAAGATGATCATGGTCGCTGGATTCATTGAGGCTTCAAACACTCCCAGGAATGTGCGCACTGCCATAAGTCCGGCGAAGGAATGCACCGCGGCATGGCACATGAGGATGCCACCCCAAAGGATAACCTGCGATCATTGTGAACATTTGAAACCCGAACTGGGGTACGGGCACTTACAGTTACCGACAAAAAGGTGTTGACGGGGAGCTTTTGGAGGAGGAGGTTGGTTGGATATTCCCAGACCAAGTACCCCAGGTAGAAAACGGAGCTCGCCCACGAGAATTGGGTGCCGACCAGCTCGAGCGACTCCCTGATACCGAAAACTGCAGCATAGCTCAACGTCGTCTTATCGATCGATTGAAGAGCATAGGTGATACAGAGCAGGGGTATCAACCTGAGATCAATCTGCCATCGGAGGGCCTTGTCCAGAGCAGGATCGACAATAGATTCACTTTCCAAGTCAATTGATGTAATCACATCGCTTCCTCTTCGTTCCAGCTTGGACTTTTCGATATCCATGATGGATTCGTAAGAGTGCCTTAGATGTGTGGGGTGCGAAACAAGGTTATGGTGTCGAATGTTTGGGTGGTTGCGCAGAGAGAACCGCGAACACGTATATAAACACTTTGGCAAATGAGTGTCTTGTCACACATGGCTATCTTCCTAGCCCCTATCTATACAGGGTGCATTACCATGATCATCTCCACATCTCAAGACGGCTGGATTTCCCTCGGACAACGATAGATGGCTGGGGAACATTGAACAGTCTGATAACGACACGATCTCCCCGACTTTGCTTGGGTTTAGCTTGGCCCGTGACGATCTAAGGTCCGCTGGTGGGCGTAACGCGGGTCCCGAGGAATCTCTTCAGGTAAAGACCGGTCAAAAGCGTACAAGCATCGGAGTAGATTCTTCGCATCGAGCGAGGCTATTGTCTGTGAGGGAAGCTAGAAGAGTTTCCCGTGGAAAAGCCCGTCGCATGCCTGTGATACGCCAGTATGCCCCGATTAGTTGCCTAATGCATTGCCGTGGATCGGCTAAAAACTATTGCGACCATGTCGCTTTATTGATACAAAAGGGTCGAGCCTCCTTATCTCCCTCGGCAGGCTGGTTCAAACAAGTCTACAATCTCCACCCAGTCAAAATGGTGGCTGCTGGAAATCTTGACGTCCGGTTGCCCGAACCATTTGCTAGCATCCCTCGGGAGAACTTCTTGTTCGGCCCTTCGCCAATCCAATACTTGCCGCAGATTTCCAAGGCTCTCGGAGGGAATGTGGAGGTTTATGCTAAACGTGAAGATTGTAATTCTGGCCTCGCATATGGGGGAAACAAAACTCGAAAACTAGAGTGAGTGGCGCGATACTTGTTTCGGTGGACGGGCTGACATCGTGACAAAGATATCTCGTTCCCGAAGCACTAGCTCAAGGATGCGATACATTAGTCAGTATCGGTGGTGTACAGTCGAACCACACTCGACAGGTTGCAGCGGTTGCCGCCAAACTAGGATTGAAATCGGCACTCGTCCAGGAACACTGGGTGAACTGGGAAGATCCTGGCTACACCAAAGTTGGCAACATTCAGCTCTCACGCCTTATGGGAGCAGACTCGCGCTTGGACCCTTCAACGTTCGGCATTGAGCACAAAAGCTCGCTCCAGACTCTGACTAACGAGGTTGTATCCAAGGGAGGCAAACCTTACTATATTCCCGCTGGTGCTTCAGATCATCCCCTCGGCGGCCTAGGCTTCGCTAGATGGGCGTTCGAGGTTGAGCAGCAGGAAAAGGAACTTGGAATATTCTTCGACACCATTATCGTCTGCGCTGTGACTGGCTCGACGTTTGCCGGTATGATCGCAGGGTTTAAACTAGCCCAGAAAATGGGTTCAAGGCCTCGCAAAATCATTGGAATCGATGCGTCAGCCAAAGTTCAGGCGACCTTTAATCAAGTGCTTCGCATTGCCAAAGCTACGGGTGTTAGAATAGGGCTTCGTGAAGATGACATCACTGCTCAGGATGTCATTCTTGATGATCGATATCACGCTGGTTGTTACGGTATCCCAGACCAACAGACAATAGACGCCATGAAATTCGGCGCTTCTACCGAAGCATTCATCACTGACCCCGTGTATGAAGGGAAAAGCCTTGCTGGCATGATAGATATTATAAGGAAAGGGGAGATTGCTAAAGGGAGCAAAGTGTTATATGCACACCTTGGTGGACAGCTTGCACTGAATGCATACTCATGTCTCCGAGTCAGCAAGCTATAACGGCTAGTCTTGGACTCGTTGTCGCCGCTTCTTTCCGGAGCTTCCAATGCGAATATATCATTCCTCTAGTCTGATTTCGAGCCCACTCACCAGATAAATTGGTTATGGCAGTGGTTGGAAGTGTCTAATGCCTGTATCCCAAAGGAAAGATCACCGTAGCACGAGCTATGTGCGGCGACGGCCCACCAAACTTCGCACCGCAAGTTCCCCGGGGAATGTGATGCGTCAGTTGCAAAGCTGAAGCAGAGACGTATTGATGGCTCTGCAGGAATCAGCCCGCTCATCCATGGCTTTGTATGTTTCCGAAAAGTTTGCAGCCGCACAGTAAGCTTCCTGAGACGAACCAGGAAACGAGTGCACTTAGATCTTGATCTCGGTCATGTACAGCGCCGCCCAGAGATAGGAGGATCCCAAAAGACTTGGTTCTGAGAATGCTGATTGCTCAGAGAGTAAAATATGAGGTTGTAAGCCAGTGGTCTGCTAGCTCCCAATGGTCCATCGTTTGAATCGGTTGCTATCTCCTCATCTCTTGCCGTCGGGAAACTATTGGAGTGCAACCACGACGGTTCTCCACTTGTGATATCCACCACGTGGTTCTCAACCCGACGGCTCCTGAACTTGTTGGCAAACCACAACCACAACCACTACCACAACCACTATGGATTTTGACAATCCATCTTCGATCCCTGTGAAGGAGACTTCACGTCCATATCGATCTCATAAATTCCCCGCATGTGACCTCTGCCGCAAGCGGAAGTCTCGATGCGTGCGATCCTTGAACAATCGGAAATGCGTTCTTTGCCAGATGCATGGTGCTGATTGCACTCAAGATGGAATATCTAATGAGACTCAATATGGTCAGCCCAGACGGACCGTTCACCAGGGCAGAAGCAGTGCCTTACGCGAAGCCCTGTATCATGGCCTTCCCACAGCAAATAGCGGTTCGAACGCAGAAGATGAACAGGATGCTACACCTGGTCCTGATGGGAGCCTGACAACGAGATCGGTCGAAGCGCAGTCCGGCCACATCGTAGGACCGGTAATTGCGCATGACGTTCAAGTCCTGGATCAATACATGTCTCCATCGGCCTCTTCGCCTCTATCGACTCGTAAATCACAACCCTACAGTGTTTATTCCAAGGATCCCTCAAACCCAATACTCTATCTTCGTGTCCCTCGACGAAGAGAACTTCTGGCCACTGGCAACGGGACTTCAGGGTTCGCTCAGTGTGAAGCGATATCCAAGGTCCTTGAACCACACTGCAATTCGGTGTTTGATTTGTGAGACAAGCATTCTTTCCAGCTATAGGAGCCTGCTAACAAGATCTTTCAGATATTTCAGTGAGCTCCATCCTCCATTTCCTTTCCTGGATGAATCAGAGATACGACAAGCCCATAAAAGGTCAGAGTTGCCGTATCCATTGCTTTGCGAGATTTACGCCGCCTCAATGATCTTCTGGGAAAGATCCACGGATGATTCAATGAGAAGTCGACCGCAGCCAGACATAAAATATATCTGGAGGCAGACCGTCAAAGCCATGGACGAAGAGTTCACCGCACCTGGGTTCGCAACAATTTTGGCGTGCATTTTAGACCTTGCAGGGCGGCCAACGACTCTGGTGACGTACAATGCACTCAACATTGGTCGCCTAGCTGCCTTGTCTCATAGTCTGGGTCTCAATCGCAGCCCTAGAAAATGGACGCTCCATGATCGGAAAAAGGCGTTACGCATCAGAACATGGTGGGCAGTTTTGATTCATGATTGGTGGTAGGTCTCCATCTCGACGGCTTCGGTCTCTCACTTAGAATTGCATATCATAGGGCGAGCTTAACCGCAGGGACCCCTCCACATATCACTCTTTCGAATTTTGACGTGGAACTTCCGGATCTACACCTCCTAGGAGTCCCAACTGATGATGACAAAGACATAAGTTCGAACAATAATCATGCTGGTGCATGTTCATTCGTCTTTCTCTGTCGGTTGACTGAAATCCTTGGATCTGTTCTGCCTCTAATCTACAGTTTGAAGCCAACAAGTGCTTCTGATTTTCAGAAGGTATTACGCCGTATCGCAATTCTTCTCGACGAGTGGGAGGATTCAATACCTCAATGGCTCAACTATGAGCATGCTCAATTTAAGCCTCATGCACCCGGAGCACTGAACTTGCGGCTTTGTTTCCTAGCAACTAAGATGTGCATCTCCCGCCTCTTACTCCTGGTATGCTTGTTCCCAAGACTTACTGACGGGAGTTTGTGATCTCTGACTTCTTGTGACAATAGAAAGCTTCCCATCCGGAAAGAGCCACTGACCCAGAAAGAAAGCTTTACCTCCAATCTCGTTGTCGAAAATCGGCAGAAGCTGTGATAGAATTCACAACGGCATTACAGGAAGACGATCTCCGCGTCTTCTGGCTTCCATGTGAGTTTCCATTTAAGCGTTGCTCAGAGTTGTGCTAACTTGCAGAGACAGACACAGCTTCTCATTTTGCGTCTGCCACCACCCTTTTGCTCGGGTGCGCGTTAGAAGCGCCAAGTGACGAGATAGCACATGGTTGCGTTTTAAAGGCTCAGGGAATGGTTCAGTATCTTCGCATGGTTAAGAACGACACGGGTTGGGATCTGGCGGATGTCTGTCTTGCGCAATGCGAAACGATTACTCACCGGATGAGTGACGGAACGTACCTCGATTTTCGAAGGCAGCGAGCGGCGCGCTTCCAAAATTCGAGCATCTCACAGCCTTCCGCAAGCAACACGGGCAGTTCTTTGACACAGATGACGCCGAACACAGATGAACCAATTACCGATGTACCTGGAGGTACAGAGTTACCTATACAATCTGGAGATGCAGCGGAGGAGCTTCTCGATGTTAGAGGCAGTCAATTTGACTTTGGGGCACAGGAGGTTGGTGGTCTCTATGGGTTAAACACTTTACTGGACAATCAATGGGGAGAATTCGGATACATCTCAGAACCTCACATGTGGGAGTATTCTGGTTTGGGTGAGCATCCTAAATTCTAGCTTGGAAAGTACAACGATTTGACTACTTCCCAATATAAGCCAGCGCTGCCACCACCATAGCGTCAACGCCAGTCGTCAACGTTGGCTGAATGATAGGTGCAAACAAGGCACTATGATTAGTTGGGATCCTGTGTGCTTCATCCCTTTGTACTAATTCATCAATAACAGCCGCGTCGTGCCCGCCAAAGAACCAAAAGCAGTATGGGCGATTCACAAAAGACCCTAGGATACCAAAGTCCTCACTCCCGAGAATGTCTTTGAATGCAGAATCGTGCTTTTCGCCAAAATATTCACTGAAAGCGCTACTGATGTTGTTGGTAGCTTCGGCGTCGTTATCAGTCAAGGGATAAGAGGTGCTCGGTTGGATGAGAGGTTGTTTAGGAGAATTTCCTGCCAGACATTCGGCTTTGACGATTCTTTCTAGAGATGCCAGTAGCTTTGCCCTCCATTTTTGACTTACAGACCGAATGTTGACCTTGAGGACTGCGTGATCGGAGATGATATTCTCAGTATTTCCCCCTTCAATGGCGCCAACTGTAAGGACGGCGATCTCGTTGGGAGGAATCTCCCTTGAGATGATTGTTTGTAGCCTGACCACAATGTGACTTGCAATCACAACAGGGTCGACAGTCATATGTGGGAGGGATCCATGTCCGCCACTGCCATAGACGGTAATCCTGAAGCTGTCTGCAGCAGACATAAATGGTCCTGGCCTGGTTGCTGTGTGACCCGCCTTGAGAGGAAACACATGCTGACCGAGTACAACATCGGGGATTGGACATCCATGCTTGCTGTAAAGACCATCGTCGACCATGAATTGAGCTCCAGCAGCACGCTCCTCTCCTGGCTGGAAGAGGAAAACTATGGTCCCAGACCAAGCTGCTCGTGCAGCTACTAATGTTTCTGCAGCAGCCAGAAGCGAAGTGATATGGAAATCATGACCACAGGCATGCATAACTGGTTTTGTAACGCCATCGTTATCAAGCATCGTTTTCTTGCTTGCGAATGGTAAGCCTGTCTTTTCCTGGACTGGGAGGCCATCGATGTCAGCCCGGAGCATGATAGTGCCGCCCGGTCCATTTTCGAGTATAGCAATTTGTCCGTGACCGCCAATATCGGTCCGAATATCGAAATCGGCTGATATTTCTCTCATATGCTTCGTGATAAGAGCGGCGGTGTCGCGTTCTTGCTCCGAGAGCTCTGGATTGCTGTGAAGGTGCTTGTATAGCTCCTCATAAGGCTTTAGATCTGGTCTGTACCGAGCTATTACCCCTGCAAATCGATTCGAGGATCCGGTTTGGTCCACCATTTTGGCAATCGATAATTTGTTTCTAGCCTTATGGGTTTGTTTTGAGCCTTACCCAGGAACATTTCTCTGCCAGGCTCTTGTTATACTATTTTGTGTCTCAAGTAGATAACATCCGACATCGCAACGACAGCATCTCGCCTCTCTGGCCAATGATACAAGGTAGCAATATGCAGATCGTACCCAGGTCGATCCATAATTTGGAGTCCTCGGAAAAGTCCACAGCGGGACAATTGACGAGGCGGAGAAGTTTGCCTCGGGAAAGTCATGGCATTCAACCGGCACAAATCAGGCGCAGGTCACAGGAATTCTAGAGACATGCTTTCTGCAGGGTTTGTTGTCGACTGCCGGCCCTAGATAGAGGGTGAGTGCCATCAGTGTTGGCGCGTTGTTCGGCTTGACTGATGCTTACCAATGCCTTTACAACTTTTCCTACCAAGAAGGAGATGTTAATACCTCATATCCGATTGAAGACAGCATATATACTATACAACACCGAAATATATATTATAATGCTACCGCCTGGGCGGTAGTCGCAGAGACAGTTGGTTGAAGTTGCTGGCTTAAAAGTAACATTACGCCAATAATTAAACGCACATCCCCTGGCCGGTCCTTGACCATTTCCTCGTTTACCTTGGTTCCTCTTATACTTCGACTGGGCCGGTTGAAGTTCGGCATCAACGTACGTTAAGCAGTACATAAAATACCCCTCCCAGAAGGTCAGTGCCGGGGTTATCAAGCCAATGTACTCGGTAAGCCAGGGCAGCAACACCCACCGTTCGTCCCTATGTAAGTGCCTAGGTCACTTAGTGACTAATCCGAATCCGAACCCGACCAGCTCGCTTCTCTATCAAACTAAGCTGTGGTTGGCCGCCTCTGTTGATGGATCAATGACGAATACGAGTGCACCTCGTATAAAGTTCTAGGCTGGACATGGTTGGGGGTCTTTTAATTATGCGTTACGCAAGTAACACTAGATGTGGAAAAATAGGACTTCACCGTGGAGCCTGAAGAGCGGCGCTCACTCGCTATTTCCCTACATGTAAGGACACTGTGCTCCAAGTTGACTGAGACTTTCTTCCTCAAGGCGTACATCCAACAACTACGCGCTCTAGTAATGCAGTTCTGGGTCTTGTTGACCAGCTTTGCGCTGCTGGTGCTGCTGGTAACGTACCTCTGGCTGGTGAATCGCTCCATCAGTATCTCACCTCCAGAGGGACTGCGTCTGGCTCAAAAGCCATGGACGACGGAGAAGGTTCAGGACGCGTTTCGTGAGTTCCAGGCATCTCCAACGGATGTCACGCCATATCTATTCGGAAAGAAGAATCGTCGCTATATTGTTGTTGGCGGATCCGGTAAAGGATTGTTTCTTTCCCTCTGGGGCTTGTGTCTCACTTTTTCATTTTGTGTGAAAGCTGACCTTTTATGCGACCATAGGACTCGTCGGAGGTTGGATCGTGCAGCACTTGCTGATGCGAGGCGAGGATCCGCGGGCCATTAGAATCGTAGACCTTAGCAGACCAACAAGGAAGGAGGTCGTGGAGGGAAACAAGGGGGTCGACTATATTAAATCAGACATAACAGACGCGGATGCCATATCGAAGGCCTTCAACGCACCATGGCCCCAGAAGACAAAAGCGCTGCCGCTGACGGTGTTTCATTGCGCGGCGCTGATCAGCCCTGCTGATAGACACCAAGACTTCCTCCCAACTTACGCGAAGGTCAATATAAATGGCACAGCCAACTCCATCAAGGCCGCTCAGGTAGCCGGCGCATCTTGCTTTATCTGGACATCTTCAGCGTCTGTCGGCCTCAAGAACCCGAATTACTTTGGCTGGCCATGGCAGAGCCGCTCCTCGACAAATACCTGGCAGCTGGTCCCCAACGCCGAGCCTACGTTCACCATTCATGATGACTCCATCTCCCCCTACGGCTCCTGCTACGCGTGGACCAAAGCACAAGCGGAGAAACTCGTCCGAGGCGCACACAACCCATCCTCAAATTTCCTCACGGGCGCCATCCGCCCAGGCCACGCCATCTACGGACACGGGGTGGAAAACCCGTCGAGCATAACATGGGATTATCTGCGGCGCGGCGGCTCACCGAGCTGGATCGGGCCCTGCATCGCGAACTTTGTGTCTGCGCAGAACGTCTCGATCGGCCACCTGGCATACGAAGCGACCCTCCTCAAAACCCCCCGCAAGGGAGGCAAGGCGTACTGCGTCACGGACCCAAACCCGCCGATCCGGTATCAGGACCTGTACACGACGCTGATCACGCTCGCTCACCCGACGACGCCAATTGCGTTTCCATATATGCCGCACATGCCGCTGCTGCTGCTCTCGTACGGTGTGGAGCAATATCGGGTGCTGCGGAATCGATATACTTGGTTGGAAGCCGTGCTCCCGCCCGTCACGGGCGATTTGGTCTACGTGCAGCCTGCGGTGTCCAGCTTGTGTGCCTTGCATACTGTCTACACGGATACTGCTGCGCAGGAGGAGATCGGATATCGTGCTGCGATCACGACCATCGAGGGGTTCGTTCTTGCGGTTTTGGACTGGAATGCAAAGATCGAGGGAAAAGAAAAGGCAAGGAAGGGCTTGGACAGGGGTTGAGGATTCCACGTACCAGAGGCATGAGCTTGAGGACGTAGACTTCGAGTTCCGAAAACATTCTAGGGCACTACTGAGAAGCAGCCTTTGTGGCTGTGTTGGCCAAAGAAGCAAGAAGAAATTGTGGAGTGTCATTGTAGATCATCATTACATCCGCTGCTTCATTCTTATTTTCAGTAGAAGAAGAAGATGTGGTCCATTTGCATCGAATGCTGCTAGGTAGCATAGCCCGACAGGTGGTGGCCACGGGTTCAAGTCCAACAATAGAGAAAAACCCATCTGACCACATGTTACTTCTTCGCCTTCTTCTTCCCCTTCCGCTTTCTAGTGGACTTGCTCTTTTCACCCTGCGGCTGCTGTTCGCCGGCTCCTTCACCATCGAGTTCAGCGTCCCCGTCACTGTCCTCCATCTCAACAGCTGTGGCATTCGAACCCGATGGCACCAGTAAGCCTTCACCAAGCAACTTCGCCCTGCATTCTTCAAGGATCAGTCTGGCTTTCTCCTCGTTCCAGTCGTTGCTTGGCGAATTGGCGCCCAGGAGGTCGCGGTAGAGACCTGCACTGGTGAAGGTGTCGGTGGCAGGAGCCGGAGAGGGGGGAGAAGAGGGATTAGGGAGCCTTGTTGAGCCAGCTGCAACGAGACCGCTGCTACTACTCGTTTGAGCATGCACGCCTTTCCTCCCTCTCCGAAGGGGGAGTTTCTTCTTCGCAGCTGGCCCGGCCTCGATAACGGCACCGTCGAGATCCTCTTGGTCCAGTTCGCCCCTCTCCACCATCTCCTCTAGTTTTCTTTGCGCGGAAATCTGCATCATCGCGTCACGGTGTTCGTCTCTCAGACCCTCCATGAGCAGATCTTTCGTCGCGTTGTCTTCCTCGAGCCGTTGCACTTTATTATTGAGCTCCTGGATCTGCGACTCTTCCAGAAATTTAACCCGCTCCATTAGACTGGTGGTCAGGGCCTTTTCCTCCTGGTACTTTGCGTTGAACGAGCGAGCCATGTCTTCGAACTTGGAGCTGCGTTTCGCTAGTCGCTCCTTTTCCCTCTCTAACTCTGGGAGACGTCCTTTCGCTACCAGGTCATGCTCACTTTCAAGAATATGCAGCTTTTGGATTGCAACGCGGGCCTCTGTTGTCGCTTCCTCGGCTCTGTTGTTCGCTTCGGTCGCTTTATCTACGGCTCGCTCCACAATTTCTTCGAAATAAATCCGCTGGCTCTCTAATTGGCTGGTCAAAAGGTGGGTATATTCCAAGGCCATGTTGTCCATTTTCAGAAAATCCAGATCTTCCTGTCCCTGGAGTGCAGTGGGCTCCCGCATTCTCCCAGGCAACTCGACCAATTTCTCACCCGGGCTGCCGGCATTTTGTATGATACGATGGACATAGCCATCACCGACGTAGTCCCAGACTCGTTTGGATTCAAGATCAATACTGAACGCGTGTCCGGTCTCCTCAAAATGGGTGTATGCATGTTTACCTTCATATCTTCCACAGCCCACTTTGGCACAAATGAGACATTGCCAAAGGCTCGTTTCGACATGACAGACATCACACTCCCGAGGGCCGTCATATACTTCGAATTCCCCTTGCACTTTGCTCTTGAATTTGTGAGAACCAAGGCGGCTTGAAAAATCATCATGAGTGTATCGGCATACAGGACAGCCGCCGCCTGACCATTTCTCCAGGCACGTACAGTGGAAGACGTGTTGACAGGGTATGGTCAATAGACCTGTCGTCTCATCCATGCGCTCGAGGCAGACAGGGCAAGTCGGCAGTTCAATCAAGGAAGGCGTTCTCGGTGCAAGAGGTTTAGTTGATGTACCAGCAGGAATAAATGGATCGTTGGACATGCGAGGATAGCTTGTTGTTGGCGAACTAAGCCCACTGTTCTGTTCCATGGAAGAGGTGTGTATGAGCTCCACAGACTTCAGGAAAACCACATGGCACGTTTCTGGCTAAAGTGGGTGTCAGTTTCGCGAAGCATATAGCGTGAACAGGCAGTGGGCTTACCTCCATAGTATTGAATACCTTGCCGTTCCACTCATTCTGCCATACTCTTGCCTGTTTCCCGTGCTTGAACTTCATCAAGACCATGTACCGGTTTGCTCGCGAGGTCCGAACCATTCTGAAATGGCTGACCTGGCTCCTTGTCCCTTCGCCCACAAAAGACAGAAAGTCGGAAGGTGTCATGTATGAGGGAACTGCAAGGATACAGAGCGTGGTACACTCCTCGTCTTTGGGAGGGGGATGTATTTTGCCAGATGGATGGCGCAGTCCATCACTCCACAGATCACTTGAACGGTATACTGAATCCTGGTATAGACCTGACGTTTCTTCTGAATCTCTGTAAAGATGTACTATCCCCCAGCCTTCCACCCCACCATTGGCTTCTAAAGGTTCGTAGCGGCCTTTCATGTGACGTCCTGAAATGGCAGTGCCGATACCCTTTTCAATTATATTTCCATTCTGGCTGGAATGTTCTCCGCCTCCTGACTGTGTTGCCATGTCTGCGCTTTCAAGGGTCACTGTGTCCAAGCGATGATCTTTTGAATCGGAGTGTGGGATCTCCGGGGCAAGTTCACTTTCATGAGTGGCGGGCTGCAAACGTTGAGGTTGGAGGGGTAGGGCCTTTCTGTGGTCAGATATATTGCTCCGCGACTGTCTTCCAGCTGGTGAGCGTGTGAAGGGTTTCAAGGCTTTGAAGAACTGCGACAGGTCAGGAGGGTGGGATTCGGGATGGTGTTGGTGGTTGGGCGGATGATCTGTGAAGAGTTCAACGGCAACATGGAAGAAGTAATCAGGCATTCTGAGCAGACATGATCGACTCAAGATGCAGAGAAGGACAGGAGTGAGAAAAAAATGCCAATTGGACAATGCGTAATATTAAGAGTTGTAAACTACGAAGCCCGCAGTCAAATGGAAAGGTCATGTGGAGGGGTGGCAACTTCAGCCTCGTTCACATAGCGGCTTTGGATTCTGGCAGCTTCTTCCCGGATCGAAACCTGCCAGTTACTAAATATGGCATGCTGGAATTATTACAGGAAACAAAGTTGGATTGAGAAGTGAAATGATATTGTGATTTTGCTTCTCTAGTGCTTGGCATCGGCCATAGCAAGATGGATGTTCATTGCTAATCAATGCGAGTCATTGTTTGTCATCATTCGGAAACCCGTCCACCACGAAAAACGCCGAATCATGAAATCAGTCAAGCCGCTCATTGCTTACTGACCACCTCGAAGTCTAAGAACCAAATGCAGGGTGCTCTCCTTCTGGATATTGTAGTCAGAGAGGGTTCGACCGTCTTCAAGTTGCTTGCCTGCAAAGATCAATCGCTGCTGGTCGGGTGGGATACCCTCCTTGTCTTGGATCTTCGACTTTACGTTGTCGATCGTATCTGAGGATTCCACTTCTAGAGTAATAGTTTTGCCGGTCAAAGTCTTGACGAAAATCTGCATACCACCTCGCAATCTCAGGACAAGATGAAGTGTAGATTCCTTCTGGATATTGTAATCGGAAAGAGTGCGCCCATCTTCAAGTTGCTTGCCTGCGAAAATCAATCGTTGTTGGTCGGGAGGGATGCCTTCCTTGTCTTGAATCTTAGATTTGACATTATCGATGGTGTCAGATGACTCAACCTCCAATGTGATGGTTTTGCCAGTGAGAGTCTTGACGAAGATCTGCATACCACCACGAAGGCGAAGGACGAGATGGAGGGTGGATTCCTTTTGAATGTTGTAATCGCTTAGAGTGCGCCCATCTTCAAGTTGCTTGCCTGCGAAAATGAGGCGTTGCTGGTCAGGAGGAATGCCTTCCTTATCCTGAATCTTGGACTTGACATTGTCAATTGTGTCAGATGACTCAACCTCAAGAGTGATGGTCTTTCCGGTAAGGGTCTTGACGAAGATTTGCATGCCACCACGGAGGCGAAGGACCAAGTGCAGAGTAGACTCCTTTTGGATGTTGTAGTCACTCAAGGTGCGGCCGTCTTCAAGTTGCTTTCCGGCAAAGATCAATCGCTGTTGATCAGGAGGAATTCCTTCCTTGTCTTGGATTTTGGACTTGACATTGTCAATGGTATCGCTGGATTCGACCTCGAGGGTGATGGTCTTTCCCGTTACTGTGGAATGAGTGTTAGCAAGAGTGGCGCGAAAGCGGGATGCGGGGTCACCTACGAGTCTTGACGAAGATCTGCATGATTGCGGGTTTGATGGATGTAGTAGTTTGAGATTGATACGATGAGATGATGGACTGAAGAGATTGTAAGTTTCAAGGAAGGGTTGAGAGTGGATGGGATGAAGGAAGAAGAGAAGGAAGATGAAGGTCGTGAGGAAGAGTCTTAAGTAGCAGGGTGGCGGATGGAAGGCACTGGCAACTGGTGGGTGAACTGGCAAGGCAGGAGGGCGATTAGGCAGTGACGACCAGTGGCCACTGGCCAGTTACAGCCACAGCCACCTTGCACTAACCAAAAATGGCGGGGTTTCGGCGGTATACTGGAACATTCCGGCCCCCGGCAAGTGGATTCGCCTTCACCCATTATTGATTTGCATCACGGACGCGATATCAGGGCTTTGACTGTGACGACTGAAATTGTGAGTCAGTTGCCAGGCACTTCTACTCCGTACAGCAAACCTACTCTTGGCTAAGAAGGCCACAGACAGACAGTTGTCCTCATTTTGTGCTGGTTGCCATTTCAAAAGGGCATGCCTGCTGATACCACAACGCCCTTATCCCGACGCCTAGGAAGTTGTCACTCACCGACACTGCGGGTGACTTCCCACTGCCCATTGTCCAGGCTACAGGCTGTTTGCCACACTGATTGCCGACCCCTTCCCCCACCGGGCTTCTCCTTCCGTTCCCATTCCAATCCTTTAACCACAGACATCCTCCGGGAAATCTATGCTCGACCATATCGCTTACACTCCAATGCTCAAGACACCTGTTTTTTTCTTCCACGTTTTAGATGGATGAATCAGCAAACCGTAATGGCGTGATCACCGAACGCTGGCAGTGGGCACCTCCCCGCGAATCAGCCTGATGACGTAGGGCGTCATTAGTCCTGTCGGCCACCCGACCTCAGTCTTCCAGGCGTCTTCTGGCCACCAAGTCGGTAGCACGTGACTCACTCCGACACTTGGCGGCACTATCCTCTTCAGTCGAGACTCGAGAGCCATGCATGCCCATCAAACTTCATCCTCGCCTTCGCCTGCCTAATAATTGAGAAATCATCAGTGACTTCCACTTTCTGTGTAGTTTTAATACTCACTTGAGATGGCTCAGAAACAAGCGGCAGTTCGTCCTCATTTGAGACAGCCATTGTTTCTTTCCTTCCAAATCATCCCGTGGTCTTGGATCTGCCAACTCGGAGTCAGTCTTTATTCATGCCGAGTGTCTTGATGACTCGACTTGCACATACGTAAGTTCGTTCTAGACGACACATTCGAATGGAGACAGCAATTCTTGCAACACGAGTCCTCCTGAACTGATCCGCATTTCTTCTGGTATGCGCAAGCTTGTTCATTGCCCGCCGAAGCACACCGATGGTAAACTCTTGCAGTTGCTGCCCAGTGCCCGCACTGGGAATGATATACATCTTCGACATAGCACATTTTCGAATTGATGTTGGTATAGAAATCCTGTCGTTCTTTTCTGTCAGCCATATTTCATCAGAGCGTCGCCGCCATCCCCTTCATAAAAGTGCGAGCTGATTTCCACAACGCTAGGCAATGGCAGGTTGCATTGTACGCTGGGTCACCAGAGAACTTTGATACTCTTTCACGCACCTTGAAAGAACTCCTAGATGGTCCACCAAGCCGCATTGATAATCGTTGGATATCTTTATTCAGCATCTGAAGATCGACTTGCTTGGCCCTAGGGCTCGGAGGTGATGCCTTCACACTATCGTACGTGGTCATGCTAATCCCATCTACCGTTTGCCAATCAGGAAAACAGCGAGTTCCTTCTTAAACAACACTTCCAAACCGTCATCGATTTTTATTGCATTATTACTATGAGTGTTTTCTCAAAGTATCTCCAATCTGAGAAGTTGAAGGTGCCATATTTCTACCCAGACTACACAGCCCATCAAGAGAACGACAATATTGTGCATCAAAGCTTTGTTGCTTGAAGACAGCAGCAGCAAACAGCAATCCTGAGTAAGACAGATCGGTGACCACATACACATGTGCCAGGCTAGATTTGCTTTCCAGTCCAGAATAAGTTATGAGCGGAACACAATGTAGCTATTGTCTTCAGTCTTCTTGTCCTTACCATGAAAGAAAACTGAGATATTGGTTACACCGACTCAGAGTATAGCCAAACCTCTTTGTGCATATGCCTCACTTCTTGCCCTAGCAGGTAATTTGATTCTTTATCCCACCGTATGCAACTTTTCGAGGCGAGAAGACTGATGCTGCATGGATTTGTTCCGAGCACGCCTTCGGATGGAAGTGGAGGATCGGTTCTTGGTGCAAGGGAATCAGGTATCTTCAATGTGTAAAAGGAAATCAAGATCAAGACTTACTTCCCGGTAGTTTGGTTCTTTGCTGGAGTGGTATCCAGGCCTTATCCTCGACATCTATCCTCAAGTCAAGATCAAGTGAGAAAGCACGGGCCACATACCACCATGTATCCGACAACAAGGAGTTTAGCATTCCTCAAGGACTCAGGGGTTGCTGGGCTATTTTTGAGATGTTGTTTACTCTCATGATGAGATATACATTTGTGTTTGCTTCTCCATTAGCAAAGTGAAGCTTCATACAGCATATCGCTACTACTCCTGCGAGACCGCACAGCCTCGTCAATAAAATCGACCATGTCTTTAGCAAGCTCTCCCGATTATCTTTTCCGACCAGAAGAGCAGGCCATGAAGATGCTGTTCCCTAACACTACTGAGGAAATTGACTCCTTTGATGAATTTTTCAATGAAGAGATGTACAAGCTCGACGCGAAAACCGAGAGCAGCCCAGAACAACCGCTCGATGTTGAACATCTACTCGGAACTGAACCATTATTTGAAGACGATTTCAGATTACCGTCCTTTAGTGATTCCCCAAAGCATAACCAATCACCTATCCAACCCTGGCGAGAGGGGGTGTGGTGCTTGGAGCAAACCAAACAACCACGTCCTTTGGTTGTAGAGAAGACTCGAAGGGCAGAAATAAAGAATCCAGGCCCTGTCCAAACAATGAAGTTCTCCAGCCGTGATTGCGGAGAGTCGTTGCCACCTGTCGGATTCCCTCTGATACAACAAACAAAGAGGCTTGCAACAAGTCCAAATTCAACGACACTCAATACCTCGAACTTCATTCGTCCTCCGTACTCGCGCGAAGTGACACTGTCCCCAACACCAATGTATTCTCAACTTCCTATATCACCCAAGTTTGGCCACGGCGACATCAGCACTTGGCAGCAAGATTTCCAGAATTTCACTCTGCGCCAGCCTCAGGATCACATTTCGCAGTCCCCTCTGGTCTCGCCATCCAGGGACAATCGCAAGGGTGTGTCAGCTCAAAACATGAATAATACGGTGGTGAATCAAAATAGTTCGATTGAGATGTCAAGCCCGACCCTTGGACATGCTTATATGGCATCTAAATACCACCATAGTGCGATTGATCCCATCTTATTGGATCCGACGCAATCAACTCATGATGACTATCAACCCCATCACAGCTATGAATCTCTGCCTGCGACGGAATGCCACAACCCACTACGATCGCCGCCTAGCGATAGCCTGCCATCATCAAGCAGCTCAAACCATTCAAGAGGAACTACCACCAAGACTGCGAATACGAGCATTAGCATACACTCACAGGCGTTCCTGTCTCCAACGACCATGACCTCTCATCCTCCGTTACCCACACTGGCACCAGAGGAAGTCTACCCTGTCCTGGAGGCGCCAAAACCTCAAAGAGTACCCCACCAGCTCCTTCATCATCAACATCATCATCAGACAAGTGAAGGAGCTGTGACGAGCTCAACAAGCGCTCGATATCCCGACCGTGACCGGCGGCGGCACCAGCTGCAGCTACAGCAACATCTGCAGACGATTCAAACGCAAACCAGTCTTTACGACCCACAGGCATGCTATTGCCTGGCTCCCAGTGAAGTCGGTATCGCCATGCCATACCCAGCACCAGCACCACAACAAATACAGCGGCAACCTGTCAACACCAGCTCCGGTCTCTCCAGTGCTCACTCTCTACCTATATCATCATACCCACCACTTCCTCCCCTCCCTCCAGCACCAGCTTATTTATTCCCAGACTCCTCCCCCTTTACACCACGAAAGCAGCGGCGCTCACCATCCCACTCGACCTCGCCGCCCGTATCACCCACCACAAAGAACATCATCATCAGCCCTCGCCGCACCAATCCTCACCACCGCTCCCCAACCCGCACAGTAACCGACTACACACACAGCCGGCGCAAATCCATCCATAAGTCAAGCCCCATTCGAGGCGTCGCCCAACAAGAACCCCCAATACCATCATCGACGCAGCGCGCCCGCTCTCATTCCCGCGCACCACGCACTCCGAAGACCCCCAAGGCCTCTTCCAAGAATGGCGGTGGCGGCGGTCTAATGATCGACTTCGTGAACTTCACGCCCAAGGATTCGGCAAAACTGCTCAGTGACGTTGCTCCAAGCGGAAGTTCTAAAACGCGCGCCCGCCGCGAAATGCAGGCGCGCGAGAATCGCAAGAAATTGAGCGAGGCCGCCTTGAAGGCCGTCAAGGTCGCGGGTGGTGATGTTTCCGTCTTTGAGAAGGCCATCGTCATGGCGTGATCGAGAATCTGGGTCAGAGTCCGAGATTGAGGCTTGCGAGGCTCGACCTTGTCTGCTGACTAGCTAGTCAAGCCCTTTAACTGCTGGTACACGACAGGGAGGCTCAATATTTTGTTAACCGTGATGTCACGTGTTGCGGCTTAATGCTTTCCAGCGGAATCCAGGGACCTTCATAATCTGATATACCCAATGTAGCTTTGAAGACAGTATATACAAGCAGCCAATGGCATGGTTCCGACATTTCAGACAGATCAAATAAAATAGTAATAATCTGCCTCGCCGCCCATTCGTTCCTTGCCCCCTTCCATTGTGTCATGTCTCTTTTTGAGGCGAATCAACATTGGCAAAAGTAGTGACTAGGTAATTAGGAACCCTGGACCCTGCTGTTGGGTAGACCTGTTCCCGCAACATCAGCTGCTTTCTTCGTTCTTTCCCGATTATCTCCCACCCTTTCCACCCGCTCTCTGAACGTCAAACCTAGATATCTATCTATGCAAGCTCATTATCATATAGTGTCCCAAAATCCCAGATCAATGCTTGTATCTATATGTGTGACAGAGAGAAAAGATATCCAACGGGCTGGTACTTGAGCTTGTCGGCTAAGCAAGGCCCCGCCAAATGAATGTTTTCTTCCGGATAGAAAGGAGAAAACCTAAAATAAAACGAATATTCATGATAACGACGCAGAGAGGGGAAGGGAAAAAAAAGGAGAGATGGACGCGGTGCGGATACGATGTCCACCCTAGCAAACAAAACACAGCGAGTGCATGCTACGCGAGTTCAGCCGCTTGAAGCTGCAGATGGTGCGCGAGCTCGGACGGTCTAGATCTCGCGTGCAACTCGGTGACCGGAACATAGCCCTTCTCCGAGTAATGAGAGCCTCGTAGCTGGCACTGCTGAGGCGAGTCAGCCAACTCAGGCGTTGAGGGCGTTAAGGGGTCTTTCGGGCTCCAGACTGCTGGACCAGTATACTCTGGCGGCGGCAGCGTTTGATGTTGTTGGCTTTGCTGCCTCTTTTGGTGTCTCCCTTTATAGACGCAGAAATACCAGATGACGAAAGCGCCGCCGACCAGTCCGAGCACGCCCGCGGCCACGATCCCCGCTAATGCTCCTTTCGAGATGCCTGTGTCGTTGGTCTGGACGCTGGGAGAGCCATTTGTGGAGGTCTGGCTGTCTCCGCTTGAATTTGAGGTTGCGCTGGCACTCCCCGACCCTGTTGTGGTGCTGGTGGACGTCAGTTTCTTCAGGGTCCCTGCCCAGGTGGTATTCCAATCTGGTGCGTTCGATGCTGGCGTTATCACTGAGTCAGTGGATGCGATCTTCTTCACATTTTCAGTGAGATAATCTGGACCTGGTACCAGCCTGAGCGAGAAACAGTTTGTTCATGTGGAAATTGGCACCCAGGAAAGCTGCTCGGCCGAGGTGGTATGGTGTGTCCGCTGAGCTTGTCAAAGGGCTGCATGGGAAATACGGTGTTGGTGTCGATGTGAGTGGAGCATCTAAGGTCAGGTTGAGTAGAGCGAACGGGACGTTGATGTTAGCGGTTTGGCTGCCGCCCGCTCCAGATGCGTAAGAGAAGACCAGAGAATGGGGCGAGGAAATGATATCTGAGTAAGCTGAAGACTCGGTATTCCATAGGTATAAATTGAAGTCGTCGTTATATGTGACGGGGAGGAGTTCGGCGATCGCATCACAAGTTTCCCGGGGTAAATAGAGGTATGGACACCAGGCTCGGGCTGCACTTGTAGCTCAGCTGCTTGATCCCCGTTAAATCTCAACAGTCCAGGTATTTTTAAAAAATGCAGAAACGCCTCTGGTCACGTTGAGAGAGATATCTATAAGCTTGAATGACCTTGTATCAGAGACCATTGGCTCTGTGATGCAACGGGGGCTGTCGTAGCCACCAGGAATGAGACTTCCACCGATTTTGGACGCGACAGAGCCGATATGAAGGCCAAAGGACTTGGGTGGAATGTATGACCAGACGTAGGCTGAGTTCATGGTCAGGTTGGATTGGAATTGTGACCCATTGACACTGGGTCCAAGAGGCGAACTCTTCAGATCCATATAACGAAAGCGAGACTATGATTAATAAGACTTCATCCTTCCGTCAACATAGCGGGAGAAGGGGCTTACGATGCCAACATTAAGCGTATAAGCTGCACCCCTAGGGTATTTGACTCAGAGATCCTCCGACACGAGCATAACATAGCGATCTAGGTATGCGTTGGAGCTAGAGTTCCCATTGTTGTATAGAGTCATTCGATTGGTGGTATAGATAACGGTACCCTCTAGACCAAGTACTCATGTCAGTCTATCATCCCAATCAGAAGGTTGGAATGGGGCGCTCTGGGTCTGTGAACCATTTTTCAATTCATAGGCGCCAGAAGGTGCCCACCCGGCCTGAACAGGTGAAGCACAGTTTGCGTCCACGGACATACAAGCACCGCTCGACATAATCAGGCTGGTTTGACAAAGGCCCGGAAAGACACTCAGCTTTTGATCCGGGTAATATACAGCTCGAGTGATATCCCACCAAGGACCTGCGAACATCAGCCGTTATTCTCCAAGGGATCTGCATGTGGTTCTCTCTCGTGGATGTAACTCACCATCTGGTCCGATGGAAGCAGTCGAATTCAAGGCAATCTGCCATGTGTTTTTACCTGGATCTTGAGCAAGGGCAACACGACTGAGCATTCCGAATACAAGAATGATGTCGAGTTGAGCCATCCTCCACAGAATGTAACGCTCAAGCATCCTGGCAATCCAAGCAGGAACGCACACAAAGAGTTCAGCGCAAACCAAAGTGTGAGAAAGCAGGAATGAAATGAAGATAGGAGAAGAGAAAATACGAGGATTGAGGTCTCGTGTTTCCCCTACAAACCTGATAGTTTCGTGGCCTGTAGGGCTGCACAGGTGAGACACGATGTGGTCCATCGCGCTGTGTCCGTAGTGAGTACGGGTACGCATGTCCAATGATTTCTTGTTAATGGAAGAGGAAGCTGGGTTAAGAAGCGCAATTCTAGATCTGATATCCTTCTGGAAAGGAGTCCCAAAATTGTCAGAAGTTGCGGAATGGTAGCAAATATGTGATAAAACATACAAAAGAAAGCGATCCAGTTCAACTCTATACCCATGGTGGCCAATCATGGCTCACCGTGTCCCCGCTAGCTTGGGGTTAAGTGGCAACTATGGTTGTTAGTGCCGGTCACAAGGCGTACGGATTGTGTATTGTATCAGCAATGGTAATGCTAAGCAGGTCAAGCTCTTCCCACCATTTGCTAGTGAGCCTTCCAGCCAACGATGAACGAGGTGGTCCCCTAGACCAATTTCTCCTTCCCAAAAGATAGTCGCTGCGAGATTACTCGTGGGTTTTCTCATCACGACACGGCACATTTACAGAACGAGGTACCGATTAGGGACTAGACACGGAGCATCAACTTCATTTCGAATGTCGTTTACTACATTATACTAGTATCTGTCCATCTTATCATTTGATTAGAGCCGGCCAAACCTCTGACCTGGTATCGATGAGCTCGCAAGCTCGGCTCTCTTCAGGCCGTCGCGTTTGCAACACCTGAATAGTGGTTGATCCAATTAAAGATCTCAGTATGCCAGACAATACTGTTCTCACGCTTAAGCACCCTGCAAAAGTTTAGCTGGATTCTGCCCTAAAGACCCTCCACCTTGGAGGGGAAAGCAGACTGACCAGTGATTCTCGTCAGGAAAATTCAAGAATTTACTTGGCACACCTTTCTCTTGAAGGACATTAAAGAGGAAGAGTCCCTCTGACACAGGGAGACGGAAGTCGAGATCGTTATGGACAACAAAATGGGGTGTGGCCCAGTTGTGGATGAAGTTGATAGGGTTATATCTCTCAAAGTTGTCACGATTGTCCCAGAGAGTACCATTCATCTGTCAAATGAAATGTTGATCAGCATCGACCAGTACTCAGTACTCCAAGAATGGTGCCTTCAGGGGCATGACTTACATCGTGCTGGGTGAACCACAGCTCCTCCGTGGCGTATTGGCCAACCATATTCGTGACTCCGTCGTGAGTCACTAACGCCTTGAACTTTCTACCCAGGTCGTGGCCTTGAATCCAGTTGGTCATGTACCCACCGTATGAAGCTCCAGCTTCAATACCGTTGTCGGTGTCAATATATGGGATATTTGCATCGACGTATTCCCAGACGGCCACGAGATCCTCATACGGATAGCTGCCCCAATTGTTCTGGATAGCATCCTGGAACACTTGACCAAAGCTGTTTGAGCCAACCGGGTTTGGCGCGACGACAATATACCCCTGATCAGCCCAAACCCTAAAATTCCACCGTGTACTCCAAGTATTGAGATGAGCAACTTGGGGTCCACCGTGGACGATGTATGCAAGGGGATATTTCTTGCTGGGATCAAAGCCTGTCGGGGTTACAACAAACGCCTGCACCTCGGCAATGCTTCCTTGTACAAAGATCTCAGACACATCTTGAGGGCCTAAACCCGATAACTCTTCGTCGATCTCATTAGCCCGTAGCAGATCTGCAACAAGGGACCCATTGGGCGAGATGACGTAAACATCACGAGACGACCAAATTTTTGCGTCAGAGATGAGTATGTTTCCATTGGCCAGGACGTTTAATGAGGTCAGGGCTCCTTGGTCAGTGATATTGGTGGGCACAAAACTTGCAGATGCAGACAATGGAACTTCGAAGACCCGATTGTAGCCACGATCAGGCGAGCCAACAAAAAGCGAAGCCCCATCAGGGGTCCATGAAATGTGAGATGGACTTCGATCCCAATTTTCGGCCAATGAGGTGATATTGAAGTCATCACCAGCGACATCGGCAATGTAAAGAATGTTCTTGTCAGACTCGTAAGAGATGCCATTCATCTGGACATATGCTAATTTCGTACTGTCTGGGCTGAAAGTAGGTTGTGAAGTGGCACCACGAGCATCAGGAGGAGTTGAAAGACCAGAGAAAGAATTGATCGGTACAGGCTCGGTTGAGCGATCGTGTGGGACCAAGTATAGAATCGAAGATGTAAAGTTTGCTGCTGGTAGATCGATGTTCTTGGTATTGAAGACGACGAGACTACCGTCTGGAGAAATATCGTACTCGGACGAATCGTCCCCAACCACGCTGGGGCTTTCCGCCACGGTGGCATTGGCTAGACCATGTACCAAGTTCGTGAGGCTACCCGAGAAAGAGAACTCATCGCCTCCAGTCAATGTTCCTGCAAAGACATTCTTGTTGCGCTCTGAACGCCACACGTCCCAATGGCGAACATAAATGCTGTCGTAAATCCTTGCAGTGCTAAGAGACTCTTCTGCCAGAAGCTCATTGTATACTGTACCGTTGGGGTAGGCTTCTGCGTTGAAAATGAAGTTGATGTCCCCGGAAGGAGTGGTTGCTGCCTTCAAACCAGAGTAGGGCGCCGGAAAGGAAGCGACGAGATATCTATTTATAGGTCAAAGAAGTGATCAACACCTCGCGACTGGGATACTCACGCATCGTCAATTGCCGTAATATCGCCAGCATAGAGGCTGACACCGCCATCATCTTCCTCATTCGTTCCATTGAGGTAGATGATGCTAGTAGCGTTGGGACCGACGAACAGGATTTCGGAGATATCTGATCCGTTGTAGAGAAGGGAAATCTCGCCGCTGGTCAAGTTCAGCGTATTCCAAACTGTGGTTGCCTCATGCGCATTCCAATCATAAGTCGTGGAGGTAAACACTCCGATGTTCTGATTTAGTGATTAGTCTTGTCTTGAAACCAATGTGAACCATCTTACACCGGATGGATCAGGGATCACAGCACTCCTTCTCGGAGCAGCAAGCATCTGCCTGTTACTCGCATTAGCATGTGCCCAAGCGACTGTGGTTCGATTAGAAGAGTGACGAACTCTGGAGTGATCGCATATGCAATTGGCAGGAAAGCAATTGCTGCAACTGCAGCTCGACGCGTGTTCGTCTTCATGCTAGCTGTCTTAGATGTGAAAAATGCCAGTGTAGGACACAAGCCAAAGACTGCGGGCAGAGGCGATCAATAAATCATTTTCTAGGTTTCATGGGACAGCTTGTGATTCCATAGCTGCTGATAATGTTCCCTCAAGCTATCCACCCAACCCTCCACGAGAACCGCAACTAGCCGCATAGATTCATGTTCACCATCCCAGATCAAGCAGGCACCCGTTTTCATTTGTGCTGTTTTCAATGCGGAGCACTGCCCAAAGCAACATAGGTTCACAGTTACATTGGTTACCTGTGGAAGGACGTCAACGGCATGAGTTGTGGCAAGGGACTCAGCAGGGGAGCTATGAGGGCAGGTTGGTGAATGGTCTATCGAAACGATATGCAAGGCACAACAGCTGCATCATTGGCCGCAATAGAAGCACCACAAGCTGGAGCTTGAACCCTGGGTTCTTGGGAATCGTCGGGCTTGTTAGGAAGCACAACCTGTACATCAACAATCAGACGACGATAGGAATGACTTCCCGAGCAAGAAGGTGACTTGAACGAGCGAGGTCGTCAGTGGTGCCCAGAAAAGGTCAAGCCTTTGGCGTGTGCTTGGCCTCGGCCTGGGTGCCCTTCAGGCATAACAAGATGCCATACAATGCAACCTTGCTAAATCCATGCAATCGCTGGCATGGGTGTCGCCAGCCTCCGTACGAGTAACGACTTACGGAAGCCCAAAGGATGAGGAGCTGCCGATCCGCTCGGGGCCAAGACCTTGGCTCGGAAAGCGCTTTATTGTGGGATGGACGACTCGTTGAACAAGAACAAATTACAAATCCCAGATGACTCTTGTAATAATTCGACCTCGGATAAGCAATAAAAAGTTATACAGGTACTGTGCTGAGTATAAGTATCTCGTTTGGAGGTGCAGGTACTAATATCAGGGCCAATGAGCAGGTCTCAAGGGCTCAAAGACAGTGGGTACCGCCACTGTAAGCAGCGATTGATCTGGTGCAAAACGAGGCACGTACCGAGTACCTACATAACCCAAGGTACGTCGTACATAATGGTGAGGGATAAATGTACAGTGTAGTATGTATTTCCGTGAGATCGACCAAGCGTTTGACTGGAGTCACGTGCTTGCCAAGGCTTAGTGGTTGGTGAATGTGGCACTGGTGGCAGCAAGATTGCACTTTCCCGTTTTGATCTTTCCCCCGGCTCCTCAGATGGAATCGCACCAAACAACTGACTCTCGCCCTTACGCACAATGTTAATCAGTAAAGCATCAGTCAAAATACCATCTAGAACGTCATCGGGGCCGGGATTGATAGCGAGCGTAACACCAAATATGCGCGTCTTCACACAAGCTACTGTTTCTGATGTATGCCAAATCTCGAGGTTTCTCTCCTGTCCTCAGATCACCTCTCTTAAGTCTTGTCCACCGGTCGATGTCCTTGTCCTCTGTATGAATGCCATTTTACCAATCGTGGAAGAGGTCTTTTCAGCGATTGAATCCAGACCCAATTTGACAAAGACCCTGGTTCTGTCTGGGGGTATTGGTCACTCGACTCCATATCTCTACGAAGCTATCCGCAAAAGCAAGTACTCAAGCATTTTCCCTAAGATAATTGGTCTTCCAGAAGCGCAAGTGATCGTGCACATGATCAAAGATTTCTACCCACGTCTTAGCGAGTTGTTCGAATCGAACGCTGTTAATCTTATCGTTGAAGACAAATCTACCAATTGTGGCTCAAATGCCATTGAAACAAGGCGCGTGCTTGAGCTTGCGAATGTTCCTTCACGCTCTTTCATCATCGTCCAGGATCCTACCATGTCAATACGTACTGTCGCTTCCTTTAAGCATGCGTACGCCGAGTCTATATTGCCTGTTTTGTTCTCTGGCTGCCCAACCTTCATACCTATTCTCGCAATCGAGGAGTCCAGCCAGAGTGTACTATTCAGTGTACCAGGTATTAATTCCTTGGATCTGTGGGATGTTCCCCGTTTTCTTGATCTTCTCATGGGCGAGATCCCGCGTTTAAGAGATGATAAAAATGGCTACGGCCCCAACGGGAAGAACTTCATTTCACACGTGGACATTCCGGACCAAGTGGAAGGTGCTTGGTCGAGATTGAAGGATGTCCTGAGTACATCCAGGTAATTGGCAGTCAATGGATTTTCCCATTTCATCACTGCTCCTTGGGTATCTGAGCACATTAACCGCTCTATCTGGCACAACTCAGCCCTGCTTTACTTACTCCTCATAATTCAGCAAACCCGACATGGCCTTTTCCACTCAATTTCTGTGATTATTATCACATCTGCCCTTTCACATAGCCTCTACAAATCCATATTCTCAAGACAATTGCCCCTATCAATCCCACCACGCAGGATTTCCACGCCCACTGTGGCCCTCATACTTCAATCTTTTGTGCAATCCACACTCTTTGATCAAAATGCGCAACGTCCGATGTCCTATATCTTCACACGGCTTGTTGTTCTTGGATTGCTTGCAAAGAGATATCTTATCCAACTCTGAGCCCTTGCAGCCGTAATTAGGGCAATGGACATGCTGTCGGGTTGATTCGCACATGGCTTTGCAACTGACGTTAACTCTTGACCGAGAACAGGCAGTGAGTTAAGGAGAATCACTCTAATAGAATAAGTTCAGCTTCCCGAGAAGCAAAGGAGGCTCTTGATGATGATGGAGGTTTTGATTGACGGTCAGGGCCGAGTAAAGACTATGCGAGGGACGCAGATGCAGCAAGCAGATTATGTATCATGTCTGGTTAGAAGAGGTTAACAAACATTTCTAGAATCAATCCATTGTTCGAGTTGGATCGAGTATCACAGCTTGCCCATGAAGACGCACGACTATCATTTCTTCCACCATACGAGTCAGCCGTCTCGCATGCCTACGATCAGAGTATGGTTCTGCTCCTTTCACTGTTGTTGAATCTTATGATTAACTTTTACCCTGGCCAATGGCTCTTCAACATGTGCGATGAGCCGAAATCACACCGATCAAACAACCAAAAGGCGGGTAGACGCATGACAGTGCAAGGGGGCCAAACTTCGCGAGCTTTGGTACGTACATCTCTGCCAGCTGCGTCTTCCGATAGGCTTCCATATGGAATATCCAATCCAATGCAACCTCATCGGAGTCGGCCGACTTCATTCAACTACTCACTTTGTGCGCGCGAACATTGATTTATTCGGAATGATCCATGCAACTCAGAACTGTGCTGGTCAGTGTTTCATCCTGAAGAGCATTCTGCGTCTGCAGCAAAAGGCTGACGCCGTGTACTACCATTGGTCCGTTTTAGATGCACCCAAGCAGCTAACCAGAGAGAAAGGAGCCAAACATCAACAAGTATCTTTCCGACACAGAACGCAAGACGCCGGGAATGGTCGTGTTCGACGCATCCATTGCATACAATTCACCTCGCTCGACGCGTTTCATTCTTCCGACCCCCTCAAAACGATATCATTTATGCAGGACAGCACTGCTGTAAAGCACGTAGAATACATCGCGACCTCGTAGGTCTACTTCCGTACGGAGTAGATATGCGTTACATAAGTAGGCCAAACGCCTCAAGTAGCATCACCTCTTCTTCCGGAACAGGCCACATGGCGCCAAAAACAGATGATGGTAAAATATGGTACTAGGGAAACACCTTTTAAGTTTAGAAAACAGCGCCCGCGCTCGTGGACAGCCGCAGAACTTGAACCGGGGCGATGCCCATATACATTAGAAACTTAATGGCATTTTGAGTAATAGTCGTAGTAAGTCGTAGTAAGTACCCCGATCTACCGATTCGCTGTCTATGTATGGTCTTGGACAAAAGAAAATACCTCGTAGCAAATAGCCCTCTTGTCAATAAAAGGGGGTGGTGGTAAAAAGAGAGCTTGATGTCGGGGGAACCAACTGTCATTTTTGTCCTCACCTTGCAAGGCCTGGTAATAAGTCGGGACTGGGTGGACGTCCGCATGGCACTCATTCTTCAGAATGTCCACCCCTTGCTCACCCGCACGTGTACACACACCAGCAGTAAAGATGTTGAGTATGTGGTCCAAACCCCAGGGATATTACTAAGGCGCATCACCCCCTCCTCCTTTCCTCCCAAAGCGGCTCTCTGACCTTGATACCACCCAGGCATCCACAAGACTGAAACTTGACACTGGCTCACCCACCCACTCACTCAGAAACCAAGACTCTCTTCGGTGATGAATAACAGACGTTGTGTATAGTGTCACCGCTCGACAGATAACGCAGCCTTGGCCCTTTCGGCCCTGTCGGCCCTCTCGATCCTTTCGTTCCTTTTCCTGATTGCAGCATGGGTCCAGGCGACGAACCTGCGATTGGTGACGATTGCGCAGACGATGCCGAAGGTGACGAAGACGCACAGGATGATGTACACGGCGATCGGGCCGTGTTGGCCTGATTGAAAGGCTTCAGGTTGGCCACTGAGGTCGGTGGTGGTCATGGGCGATGGAGGGGCGGTGATGTCGGTGGTGGGATTGCCTTGGGAAGGGATGTTTGAGGGCGAGGTCGAGGGTGAGGTGGAGGTGGAAGGCAGAGTTTGAAATGTCGTTGTTGATGGCGGTGGTGGTGGCGCGGATGGAGAGAGCTGAGGCTGACTAGTCGAGCCCAATGCTGGGTTGGAAGATGGGTTATGTGCGGAAGACGATGGGGTTGTTGCCGTCCTTGTGCTCGGTTCGCCTCCTCCAATGGTCACCTTCGTTGATGACTCCGGTGGAACAATGACCACACTTTCGGATGCTGTGGGATAATAAGAAGTACCGCTCGGCCCTGAGCAGATCCTGATCTCCATCGCTTCAATGCAGCCACTCGCATCTGGTGCCAATGAGCTATACCCGACGGCGAAAATGCGGGTTGGTATTGGTACAGTCAACAAAGTCGTCCAGTCAGGCCTAGCGTGGTGAGAGATACCAAAGATTGAGGAGGGCGCGAGCGGGCTGTGTGGTCTGCTCATCGGCAGCGGAGGGTGAGGCTGGAACGGCGGAGAAGAGAGGTTCTCGTTCAGAGACATGCTGGTGGAGACTGAGGAGTATTCAAGTAATATGTTGCGTTGCTTTTGTTCGCAAACACTTGATCGATATGATATGCGGGCCGAATTGAGCAGAACACGACGCTCCGAGCTGCAATCTCACCGACAAAAGAGTGTGTGTCGTGGGATACAATGAGAAGGAGAGTTGGAAAGAGGGTTCAAGGAGAAGGAAAAGAAAGACAGGAGGACGGTGAAGCAATAAGTGAATTGGAAGTGAGAAGTGAGAGATGCTGAATTGAAGAGAGGACGGAGGTTGTGGGTATCTATGGTGAACAACACGTGAGTGGGAAGAGGTTGCCACGCCATCAATTGTGAGGAACAGTCGAGCGGAAGCAAGCAGTTTAAATTGCCTGTGCTCCATGTCCTATCTTTCCTCTTCTTTATCCTTATCGGTCCTCGAGTGCTCGCTAACCGATGAATTTTGTATGGGATTCGTCCAGTGAAAGGAAGAGAACTTCCTCTTGCGGACCAGGATTGATTATCAGGTATTTGTCCTTGTCGTGATTTAGTGGAACTTACAGCCCGATCTTTCATGAACCCTGCTCTAATGCCACATCTGATGGTGTTGTAACTGCAGGTCTATCGTCGTGTGATACGGCTTGGTGTGTCGTAGAAGAATCTTCAGTCCGGTCGGAGCCACCGGTCCTGTCTGCACCTGAACCAGGCCCTGGTTGAGGTGGTCTCAGAGGAGCTTCCTCTTCTGTATCCATCTGCAAGAGGAACGTCTCCCACAGTTCGATCAGCTAGACCGCAGTATTAGCCTTTCGTGTCTTCCAAATCTCAAGTGATTCAAGTACTCACCTCTTTCTGTGCCTCAACAGCGCCCTCAAGGAAGGTTTCTACTCCGCTCTTGAAATCCTCGACCTTCTCTCGTTCGAATCTTTCCAATTCACCTCTCATCAAACGACCCATGTCCTCAAACAGTAATCTAGCCTGGTGAGCCTTCTTTTCTGCATCACTCACTCCTGCGCCCACTTCATTCAATTTATCTTGCTGGCTTTTCCCCTGCCTCATAAGCTTGTCATGAGCGCTTCTTCGTTTAGCCAGGTCACTTTCCGCGGCATGCCATGAGTGAAATGCCTTTTGTCGTTGTGAGAACGCTTGTTTAACACTGCCGATCAAGCGAATGTATTCGTCAATCGTGATACCCAAAGTCAGGACATCCGTATGAGCTTGGCGCTCATACAGCTCCCGAATTCGCACTTGCACGTCTGACAGCGCTTGTAGTGGCCCGGAGAATACTGGCGAGAGTTCCACTTGCGCCAGGTTACCTAGCGAAACAGCAAATTCTCCGGCTGCTTCAGCCAGACCCTTTCGTTGAGCTACCACAGCGTCTATAGCTTTCATTAAAGCTTTCAACTGGTTTTCGAGTGCATCAAGGTAGACTTTTCGGTCGTGGAACCAATCGTCATGTTCAACGAACTTTCCGCTTGATCCGCCAACACTAATTCCGAGCGAACTGAACATGCCCTTGTTTTGGCCCAGGTCCGGTTCCCGGTTTTCCTTATTTTTAACATCAATATTGAAAGATTCGCTTTCGAGAAAGATCTTGAGATCAGCATCATGATGTAAAATGGGATGACTGGCGATTTTGTTCAGCATTCGTTCTAATGCCTGACGTCTGGATTCTACAAAATTGGTGTCAAATCGGCCGACCGCCTGTTTCTCCGGTGGAGGGGGCACCACCACCCCGGGATTATTGTTGTGGAGAGTGGTGTACAGCCATAGAAAATCTCGGTACCGCCTGGAAACGGCAAATTCAGGGAGCTTGTAGGCTTTTGAGGTTGTCTATTCCACCGTGAGCGAGTTCTTCATACACATCCCCATATTGAACTGTACTGTACCTTTGTGCGAACCTGGTATACGATATGACTGCTAGTCAAATCTCCAACCTTGTGCGGATCTCCTACCAAGATTTCAAATGTTGGCTTTGCAGCCTGTTCAACACTAACGCTGGGTTGTGTCTGTCGAGATGTGCCAGGGGTCTGGGGTTGCACTGGAGGGGGCCCCTTGGTTCTACCTACGGGAAGGGTAGTATCTTCGAAATCCGAGGTTGAAAGTCCCGGAGAAGTCGCGGAGAGTGGTCTGGTCGTTCTCGCACTGAGTTCTTTTCTCGGAGGGGTCGGGCCTTGGTCCGTAGATATCGAGGAAGCGGCAGGTGTAGGGTCAGCGCCTAGCGGACCTAGAGGATCAAAAGCATCGTCCACAGCCTCAAGCTTCGTCGGTTGGACTTCGATTTTTCGAGCGGGAATCTTTCTCGATGCGGAAGATCGTGGTCCACTCGAGGCTGGTTTCGCTGTTGTTGTAGAGCCTGAGACAAGTATGAGCGAAGATTACAGAGATGAATACTTCCAGGATACCACATACTTGCGAGACTATCATCTTTGGTAGAGCTGGGGTCCGACTCTTGGGGATTGTCTGATTTCGATTGTGATGGGACATCTACTGACTGATTAGTGCAAATTCACGACGCGCATTGACATTATCTGGTAATTACCGCCCCATGGGGAGTCTATATCCATATTTACCGATGTAGAAATCCCAGCCAGCTTCGTACACGGTGGAAGGTTGAACTTGACTGGTATGTAGTATGCCTGTTCGTCAATGCGGAGAACTACAGTGGCAGTTGAGAAAGCAATGACCTGAACGCTGCACTATCGACCGCATAATCTGCCGTACATTGTCGCCCGCCATCTACGGAACCGCAAATGAACCTTGAATGGCCGTCGTTATCGCCCGTTTGTTCGACTGGGCTGACTACAACACAACCTATCGGATGATTGTTACATTTTGTCGTATGCTGACCAAAAGGCGCGAGAGGCGCATGTATTACATAGTGATTGCACCATCAAAATCCTCCGGGATTACTACTACTTGGGTATCCAAGGAAGAGGTTGAAAACCTCATAAAATCGTCGACTCTTTGGATATATTTCCAATACTCCACACAAGCCGCTCCTGTTAATCTCATTGTGGATTTGACTAACTAGGTGCCTGCATCCATCTGTCTTTCAAAACGCTGTCTAGTCTTTGAAAGCATCTTGCCACCACCCAATTTTCATACTGATCTTCAAAGTTTGGGTCTGTCAGCAATGGACGAAACTGTACCATTGCTTCGCGATGAAGCGTTAGATGTCCCGATTAAACCTTCAAGGACGGGTTCAGATATAGTCGACTTTGAGCGGAAGGGCGATCCAGATAACCCTCGAGACTGGCCAAACAGTTACAAGTGGGCCGTTGTTGGCATGCTCGCCTTCATGTCATTTACGGTGTGAGTGCACATATCCGCCGTTTGCTGTTCCAACGTCTGAACATACTGACTCTTACCTCAAAGCACATTCACATGCATTTCTGTTGTGCCAATCGCCAATCGAATGATTTCTGATCTCAACGGTGGCGAGTCTGAGAAGTCCGCCAGCGTGCTGCTCGTCACCATCTGGGAGCTCGGTGAAGCTGCAGGTCCATTGTTTATTGCACCATTATCAGAAGTCGTCGGACGATACCCTGTCATAAATGCTTGCAATGTGCTGTTCATCTTTGCGACCATCCTGGCTTCAGTGAGCCAAAGCACCTCGCTCTTAATCGGTGCAAGAGCCTTGACAGGCCTTGCCGTGGCGACCAACGTGTTGAACCCTGCCATTGTTGGGGACATATTTATCGAGGAACATAGAGGCTCCGCCATGAGCCTCATTATGCTCGCGCCTTTAGTCGGAGGTGCCATTGGGCCAGCAATCAGCGGTGCTATTGCCCAGGATCTAGGCTGGCGGAAGGTGCTCCTAATGTCCGCCATTTTATCCGGAGTGGCCGAGATCTTGTTTCTGCTTTGCTTCAGCGAAACTTACCAGGTTGCCATACTCAGGCGCAGGGCCGCCAAACTGAGGAAAGAAACCGGCATTGTCACCCTACGGACAGCCTTTGATGCCAAGGACGAAGGCAGCTCGAACAAATTCCGCGACTCGATCATGAGGCCCGTACTTGTATATCTGGACTCAAGTGTCCTGCAAGCAATTTCAATGTTCGGTTCGCTGATTTTCACATATTTTTATATCTTGAGCACGACCCTCCCAGATATCTTGATGGACATATACGGGTTATCGCCTGCTTTGACCGGTGTCTCTTTCATATCCTTCAGTAAGTCTTCTAACTCTCTACCAGCCTTGCCAGTCAATCTCTCATTACTCATTACTCATTACTCATCTTTGCTCAGGCGCCGGATCCATCTTCTCCATCCTCGCCCTAAACCTTTACCTAGACCGGATATTCGTCAGGCTCCGCAAGTCCAACAACGGGATCGGGTTGCCAGAATATCGCCTGCCGTTAGCCATCGTGGGCGCCTTCAGCATGCCATTCCTGATAGCGGCCTTCGGCTGGATCGCCGAGCTTCGCCTCCCTCTACCATTACTCCTGTTCACCCTCGCATTGATCGGCAACTCCACCATGCTCGGTTTCCTGCCGGTCACTGCATACGTCGTCGATGCCGCCAAGCTGTACGCCGCCTCCGCCATGACCGCCTTGATCGTGACGAGATGTCTCATAGGCACATTCTTACCCCTGACCACCGCGCCTCTAGTCAGGAAATTCGGCTACGGCCTGGCTTTCACGATCCTCGGCGGTGCGAGCCTTGTTCTAGCGCCTATCCCTGTGGTAGTCTTCAGATATGGCGCAAAATGGCGAAAGGGCTCCCAATATACCCGAGATAATGCGGACGACTAGAGAGAGAGATTCAGCTTTTGAACAGTTACGACCAACTCCGCACTCCGGACTCTCAGCAGGATGTACTGCATAGATAATGGCGTTTATGACCAGCGAATGGCTTTTGCCTCGTATATCTATCATCCAGCAGTGCGGACATATTTTTAGATAATCATCCTCAGAGGGATGTTTAAAGTGGATACAGCAACGAAAAAGAGGCGGTACTCGGAAAATATTACATATATAGATGCACAGGCGTTATTAGCGCCTCAAAGAGGGAACGACGCGAAAATCCAGTACTTCAGCCTACTGGCTCAACCATTAAGGCTAATCAGGGCTCTCTGCCTTTTTCTGGTAATAATGAGAGGCCACATACATCGCTACACTATCCGTATATACCTTCTAAACCCTGACGCGTAAAATTCAACTGTGATGTCTCTTTTTTTGATGTGTGGAATTCGAACACCATTCGGATCAGCCTATCATTGACTGGCTCAATTACCTCGAGTCGCGCTACCATCCTCAGATGCTACCGGCATCCCCTTCATTTTTCAACCAGGATAGTAGCTTTGCGAGGTAAGGCTGATTCACTGATTGTCGACCGTGGGGCTACGTACGCACTCGGCTACCAACGCCATCCTCCTCAAAGGTAAAATATTTGAAGGGAGGACTTCATCCATATTTGAAATAAGGCGAGGCGGGATCTTTCACGGAAAAATAGTTTGTCTGTCCACTCTGGTCAATATCCGTGAGTGGTCTTTAGGCAACAAAGCTGAGCTTCCGTTGAAGTATGAGGTTTAGATCTTGCTCCCGCTGAAATCGGTAAAATCGGTATAGCTGAAGATGAAGTCATTCAACTTGAGCTTCCCAGTATATCGTTTCCCACCGACAAAAGCAAGTAGCCAGTCCCGTAACAGTATACGTCGATGTTCGGGCATGTATTTGACGATATTGGCAATACCACAGGCGTGCCAGTGAACGTGTTGCATATTCAGCCGGTTCAATGCCTGTTGTGCCAGTCCGGCGGTCATGCGAGGTTCCATATCGCGGAAGTTTTGCAGCATGATCCAGAGCACGTCAGCAATCGCTTGGTCCTCACCCAGTTTATTTTTGATTAGCATGTCCTCGATCCAGCTTGCGTAGCCTCGGGCGGCCGTCACGACAACTTGAAGTTTCGGCGCGCCTGGCGTGTGTTTTTTGCCGCCAAACTGAACGTGGAGGTTGGCGATAACAGACACTAGGATCAGGAGACATCTTATTTGTAGAGCAGCCTCGTTTATATCTCCGTATGCGCCAATGATCCTTCCAGCAGTGTCTCGGGAGATGAATTCTCGCAGTCGACTTTCCAACGGGACAAAGGCGCTCCTCGAGTTAATGGGTAACAGTTGTTGATCTTTCCAGATACGATCCACTTCGTCTATAAGACTGGTCAACCAGCTTAGGCGTTCGGTGGCATCCTCTGTGCTCCACATGAAGCTGGCGCCGGGGTCTGCATAGATCCCTTCAAACCAGAGGGCTTGTTCCTCTCGCAGGCGATCATCGAGTCCGTCACCTATACCGATCTGTTTGAAGAGGTCTCGAGCGGCTTTGAAATGCATGAGTGCCTTCTCACGACTTCCATACCGCTGCTCGAACGTAGCTAGACTAATCACCGATGTGAGTATCTCTTTCACGTTTGCATCCGTACCCTGAGCGACATTTTCTCTCAGAATTGTTATTGCTTCAGCTTGATGCTTTGCAGCTGCGAATTGTAGATGTCTGAGGGTAGTGCCGGCGGCCCATCGGTTCATCCTGAGTTGATGCAAGGCTGAGCGAGCCATGAGAATGTGAAAGTGGGTAGTTGATATCCCAGCCTGGTATTCCCAAGATCCTTTCATGCTGACCTTGACACTGGGTGACAATGCATAGGCTGTCTGCCAATAGCTTTGCTGGCCATAGAAATGAAGTAGTTGGTTGGTGACGCCATCGACCTCTATGGGCAACGTTCCAAATGGGTCGATCATACAAGCTGAAATGGCGTTTCGGCAGACCGGATCGACACTTCTGACAATGTCGCTTATCTGACTGGAAGGGACGCTGGAGACTGTGCTTTTGGAAGCCGAGTTGGAAGACCGAGACTGTCTATCATAGTAGTCTAGGTCGATGAAGTCAACGTCTTCATCTTGAAGACCAGTGGAGAGAGCTGATGCTGACGACCCTCCTGAGTCGGCTCTTATCAGCCCATCATCCGTCATCCTGATAGCATCAAGCCTTGTCGTCAATCCTAATGGGAAATCAAGGACATCACCGCGCAGCTCGAGTCTGGCGCTCTGGTGAATCTCGGTAATTCGTCAAAAGTACAGGCAGAAAGTAAATCCACGAGGGGTCAACATCTCCGGGGTTGCGAGGTTGAAAGGTCCGAGGTCGCATTCAGGAGGCTAGCCTTTGACGGGCTCAACGGTCAAGTGGCCGTTGGTCCCACATGTGTGTGTGTTGGTTCCAACTACCCAGTGGAGCCCCTTAAGTTCCATTAATCTGGTCATGTTCAGGCTTGGATTGGAAGATGAGCCCAGGGCTATGATCAAACTAGGCGCGAAGCACACCATTTGGGACGGTTGATCCAGCAAGGGTGTACCAAGGGTGTACCAAGGGGGTACAATGGAGGACTGAGTGCTAACTTGTTCCAGTTCGTGCGTGGCAGCCGCCAAGCCATTTGGCGAATCACAGCAAAACAGTTATCGTTGTTTCACGTGAGACAGAAAGCCCTACCAGGGTTAGCCAAACTCGTTTGAAGTCCTGAAGATTTTAAAGATGGGAGCTTGGCTGGTGCTTTTGACTGACTTTCATATGTCTGGTGTGTTTCTCGCATCTGGACATCTACAGTGTACCCTTTCGTCTTTCATGAATTGTCCAAGCCCAACAAGATTCGCTCTCTCGGTCGGGGACTGCCGGAAAGAAACGCTATGATTGATTCGGAACCTGAGAGGTAAGCTGCCGGGCGGAAACAAACCCTCCGCATGCACCAGGGATGACCTGTAGTCGTCTTAGCAAAGAATGCAGTGATGTGAAGCACTCACGAATCGGTGTCGCGCTCCTCGTCCATGAACCAAGTACGGGGCGGATGACTGGGGTTTTAAAGCCAGGTGAAGTGTGGCATGGATTCTCGAGTTCCCAACCTGTTTCCTAAGTGACTGGCTCCTGTTTGAGTCGGTGTCAAACATGGATCTGGTCTCTCTTTTCCTTATTCTTTCCCATCGTAAATATTCGTGGCCCTGATCGGGATCTCGAAGGATTCCATCGCGCTGACATAAAGTTTCTCGAATTGAGTTTAGCCCTGGCCTCCAGAAGAGAGAGCCTGGGGCCGGAGGATTGCAGTACGACTGTGTCGAACTCACTCATGGGGCATGATGCTGATGGCGATGCCAGTGAGATGGAGGTATATGGGTGACTTGTGCTGCTGGAGTGAGCGAGCGAAGCAGTTGCGGCCGGCTGCATTGGCTCTGGACAGACGCAATCATTCCCAGTCGACAAAATCCAAATCTTCCACGCTCAGAGAGAAGAATTAGTCGATGAGAACATGGAGACAATGACATACTACCAATCCGATTATTCGCTCCACCCTAGTTCATACCGAACACCGCCAACGTATCCCACTATACTGAACTCTCAGTCAAGAAGAGGGTATAATGTGCCCCATGATTATTCAAGCACGAAGGTACCGATGAGATATTTTGGTGACGATTTCGATATCGGAAACAGACGTGATGGAATCATCGATGCAAACTCAACAGTCATGACCGAGCACATTACCACCACCATCGCAACGCTTGACCTACAGGGTGACCCCGATAACGAGAGGTGGTACAAAAGGGACAACTACCACACATCCTCAGGAAACGAATACTCAACCGGTGGAGGCCGCAACCGTCGACATCCATCGGTATATACTCAAGATGTCGAGATTATTAGTATCGAGGTCGAAGCTGCAGGACATGATGACTATTACAACGACGAGGGTTTCGAGGATGATTATGAGTATTGCCAAGATCATTGTGAAGTCACGGTCTACAATGACCATGATACGATTGAGTATGTTGTTGAGGAGACTGAAACTGTTCATGACTATGAAGATACTACTGAGGTTGTGATTGAGTTGGAACTGGAAGAGAGCCTTGAATACGATCATGAAGATGTGCAATATCAACATGGAGATGATGGTACCTACGCTAATGATCAGCTGGTAGAGGCGTACGACGACAGTGTAGCTGTTTACGATACCCAACAAGGTATTCTTTCGCTAGGTTATGATCATGATGACGCTGTTGAGTTGAGCGCCCTAGCAGATCTTGTCTATGAGGACGAGAGCGGGTTTGATTTGACAGGGAACGGGGAAGGCTATGACGGCGATGGAGACGGGTTCGCTGACGCTGAGGGTGGTGACCAAGATTATGGCGATGATGGTGGACATGACTATCAAGGTGGCGAGAACGACTTCCATTGTTTTGACGATGGCGGACAGGATTATGGTGATGAATACGCCGACGATGGCGACGCCGACTATGATTATGGTGACGATGACTATGACTAGTGATGAGGACCATGGCACAGAACATGGTCTCTCCTAGGTCGAAGAGCTAAACAAAGTCTCGGCAGCATGGACAGACCGAAATAGCCTTGTCCAAGACTAGATGTTGGCCGGCCACGGGGATCATTCTTCAGGTCAGCCCACTGAAGCCTCGTCACACAGCCAGCCATAGTGGAAAACCCTCGTCTCCATAACAGTCTTGCTCCCAAATCCAACATTTTCCCCCCCATTCCTGCCAATCATCCAGTCATTTCATTTATTCACATCTCACCACATTCGCTGATCCTAACATCCTGGGCCGGCCTCTCGCCAGACCCTCGTCCACCCGCTCCAGCAGTCCTCACATTCTCAATCATGCGCACAATCTCCATGCCCTCCGCGACTTGCCCAAAGACAACGTGTTTCTCATCGAGAAATGGCGTCGGCGCACAGGTAATGAAGAACTGACATCCATTGGTATTCGGGCCGGAGTTGGCCATAGATAATAGCCCTGCGGTCGTGTGCTTGTGCACAAACGACTCATCCGCGAACGCTGCATTATTGTAGATCGACGTAGACCCGGTGCCGTCAGAATTCAGGAAGTCGCCGCCTTGGACCATGAAATTCTTGATCTGGGAGTAGAACAATCAATCAGAATCAAGTCGATACCAAAGGCCATGCAGAGGGGATGCTTGCGCGCTTGCCGCATACATACCACTCTGTGAAATTTACTCCCCTTGTAGCCCTGCACGCGGCCTGTGGGGGTCTTGTGCTCGCCGGTGCAGAACTGGCGGAAGTTCTCGGCCGTCTTGGGCACTGTGTTGGCGAAGAGATGGAATTTAATTCGGCCTAGCGGTTCACCTATGGGAGGTGGAAGAAAGGCGGCGCACTTGTTAGCACGGTGTTCGTTGATTTCTTGTGAGCTTTTGGAGCCGCAGGGATATCCATCAGGCGTTTCCATCGGCGGACAGTGAGCACTAATAATAGCTAGACAAGAAGACAGCTCCTCGATCTGAGGCGGCGTCGTAGAGTAGACACCATGGATGGCGGTCCGTTCCATGTTTCCATTTCTCATTCATCAGAGCGCGTCCATTCTTCAAAATGATCGTGCACAGCATCCTTATTGCTAATAGCTAGGGCCCAGGCCACAATCTTCCGAGGCGGACATAGCATGAAACGCGTGAAGGGGATAAAACACTTACCACCAAGAGTGACATCAAAAAACACAATCGGTTCTCCTTCGCCTGGCTTCGGAATCGGGATTTGCTCGTTTGCCATTGTTTCGCTGGAGGCCATCCTGAAACTGCAACCTCGGCCTCTTCCTTTGATGAGAATGGGCGTTTGCGTGTTCAAAATAAAAGGACCGAATCCCCCTGTTAGAATGAAAAGAGAAGATCAGATGTTGGGGGCTCGACAATAAATACCTGGCTAGGCTGGATGGAATTGGAGATTTTTATATTTGACTCTTAGGGCAAGGCTGAAACACGAAAAACGGTGGAAGGGTAGGCAAAGCGTTCGACATGGGATTAGATGGCTACAATGCCCTGCTATTAGTGAGGAGACATATCATATTGTTAGATGATAGAAATACATTCAGTTTGGCATGAAGCCGTGCATCATACTTGGATAGCCGGGAACTCATTTACACTACTAAAATATCCCTGCCTAAGCCCCAATTGCCCAAGTAAACCCATAGCCCGGTACGGCACAATCCAAGCTAATACGAGGGAATCTCCTGTTCTTTCTCACCTCTTTTCCAGAACTTAAATCCTTTATTCTTCCTTTTTGGTTCTCCCGTGTCCAGTGGAGGCGGTACGACATACGGGAGTTTTCGTGATGTCAGTTCCTCAGGCGAGAGGACTCTATCATGCCACTTGGACTCGGGTATTTCACCAATTTTCGTGCTTGTCGTCAAGAATGTCGCTGTGGATACGGGACGTATCTTGGTTGTGGAGCGGGGTCTTATATGTGGTTCCTTCTGTAGGCGATTCGACTTTTCTCCTCGCTGTAGATGATGCCCGAGAGATTCAGACGAGGGAACCAGCCCAATGGCCAGTTTATGAAGATGAGAATCTTCCTCTGACGCTTTCCTGCCCGGACGATGAGAATCTCCGTCTTTTGGGTTCCCTTCTCGTGTGGATCTACGAATATTGGTCTGAGACATTGATGCTTTCAGCAGAGTCGGAGTTGACTTGTTCCTCGAATTCGACTCTTCCGCAACATTTCTCGTTCGCTTTGCCTCAGCTCTAGAGACCACGGATGACCCACTTTTTGATCTTACCCATCCTCCATTTGCCAGTAAAGGAGAGGAACGTGGTCTGCTCGGGGTCGATGTCGGAGCTTTGATGTGTCGCTTCTTTCTTCTGTGATGCTTAGTGGCCTCGTCTTCCGAAAGGCCAAGTCTAGCTTCCGTGGGGTAATTTAAACTGAGACGAGAGCTCAATTGCCCCAGCGTGGTTAAGGTTTCCATGGTTGCGGTCTCAGAAAGCGTGAACAGAGCCTTCCGAGAGGTGGATCTTGATTTGGAATCCTTGGACAGGGCATGATTGAGAAAATTGACCAAGCCAGTATTAAGGACGAGCAGAGTGTGGGCGAGGCTGAAATGAGCAGTATCGTCGCCGACCTCGAATCGACGACCATGTCTGGAGACATGATGGCTGTAACTATGCCTGATCTCCGAGGGTCGGTTCGCGAGGGAGTGTTCTTGCCATTCCTCTTCTTCGAACGGCCTTGGTGGCCTCGCATTGGTCTTCCGTTTCTTCTTACCCAGACGTTGGAATATAAGGATGCCGTTATTCAGAGCGGCTAGAATCGATGCCACAACGGAAGCAACGTCAAGTTCACCCATTGTGTAGACGGATTTGGATCACTTGGAACTATGTCCAGTCATCAAAGTCAAGATATCTATCATAGCATATGAATGCCAAAGGATCATTGAAAATAGCTAGTTGTGAAAGTTGTTCAGCCCAACGATCATACTTTCGTCAGGAGCCCACCTTTCATCGCTGTTGAATGATTGTGAGTGTCAAGAAAGTGAGGTAGGCAACCGCAGGGCGAGGCTTGCCCTGGAGTTGTGCTTGTCTCTCTGTTTTAGTTGAAGACCTTCCACGTTCTGTGTCAAAGCCTCGAATCAGAAATGCAGGCTGTTTTGTCCACTTAGAGGGAAAAGGCGGCTTGAAAGGTAAATGCATTTATCTTAATGGTGGGTGCTTGGGGGCTGAAAGCCCCAGGCGGGCAGGTAGGAGTTCCAGGCGCTTGTAGACTCTGTACTTGTCGAATAGGAACCGACGGATAAGAGTCTAACGGACTTCATGCATGCACTCAGGCGGTCTAACTACTGCAATTGCGAGGGATACGAAGCTTGAGAACAAACTGAAGGGTCATACATGAGTGATTTCTAAAAGACCTGTGCATTTCGTTGAAAACCGACCGGCGCGTTGATAGGTACTGACCATGCTGAGAATGCTTGGATCACTGCTCTGATCACCAGAGACTCGCCTGTGATAGTGAACACTCCAGGTTCATCAAGGACACCTTCGGGCCCTGCGATGGCCCCCCCCCCCCCCCCGAGGCAAATGGATGGCCTTGGCACCCGGAGAATCCCCCCCACTTGCCCTTGTGCCACTTATCGACTTAGCTGTTAATAGTGGCCAAACCTGAGAAAGCAGCGCTTAGCCGCCTTAGCTCCCTGTGGAGGAATTGCACCTAGTTTGAATCCACTTCCATCCTGGTATTGCATCACTTTGAACATCAACATAGCGAATAATAGCAGATTTCCATCATGCCAGGTGTAGGCCCGCAACTTCCACCTGAGTTGCAAAAACGCAAGCACAGTATTGATGATGACGGCAATCTGAGCGATTCTTCCTCCTCGGCCTCCAACAGTCCTCAGTCGGCTCCTCCTCCAAGAGAGTTAGGATCTGCCCCTTCCCCCAAACGGAGTCGAATCCTAGGTCCGACACTTCCTCCTGCACCACTGGAGGAGCGACCCTCGAGCCCCGCGCTAGGGGACCTAAGTGAGAGCGAAAGCAGCGATGACGATGGGTTTGGACCCAGCCTTCCAACTGCCAAAGATGCAATGAACAAGGCTTCGAATGGGCCATCATTGCGATCGTCCTCGAACCAACCTGCTCCAGTGGCACTCAAACGTGACGAATGGATGACGCTTGCGCCTGAGGGAGGAGACTGGTCACAAAGAGTCGACCCTACGAAATTGAAGAATCGCAAATTCAACACTGGTCGAGGAGCAAAAGGACCGCCACAAGCCAGTGGGGCCGGTGGAGATTCATGGCATGAGACGCCAGAGGAAAAGCTTGCAAGGCTACAGCGAGAAGCAATGGGTGTTGGTGATAGGCCCGGAGCTGGAAAAGTTGCACAAACAAAAGATCCTCGTGACGAGGCGGTCGCGAAAAGAATGAAAGAGTTCAACGACAAAGCTCGCGGTCCAGCTCTTTATGCTTCTCATCAAAAGTCAAATACCGAGGAGGAGGACGATCCAAGTGCTCGCGCATTCGATCGAGAGAAGGACATTGGAGGCTTCAAGATTAATTCCACACAGAGGCGTGACATGGTAAAGAAAGCGGCCGACTTTTCCTCCAGGTTCAGCAGCGCCAAATACTTGTGATCGGGTCTGGTGCTTCAAACTGGTGGTTTGGTTGAGCCCAAAGTCGAGAAGATTATCAGCAGCACAAGGCCTCCTCTGTCTCGTGTCGAGGCTTGGATGATTTGGAACACACGCCGGAGACAATAGTCCCGGGCTTTCATCTCGGTACTTCTCGCGCTTTCTCCATTCGAGATCCTGAGGGTCGTACACCTTCCCAAGCCTGTATAGGGAACAAAGAGACCAATACAGAAACTATACCTCTCCAGAGCTGGTCAAGCTCTTGGCCAGGTCTGCTGGACGAGCAGTCTATCGATGTCAAGGGATATTCTGAATTGATACAATCGGTCCATTTCTTGAGGCAGGCGGCACAAGCTACAGGTTTCGTTGTTCCCGATATCAATGGAAGAACGATGGGCTCCTCACACATTCCCTATAGAAAAGGGATCACTTCCAATCTGGTCACGTTCTGCATTCTCTTGAAGCACTTCGGTCGGTCCTGTTGGATATTTCCAAGAGGCATTGATCTCCGTGCCCCGAATGAGACTCGTTAGTTATCTTACGCCCGGTGAATCATGACCTTCTTCTGATCAGTCTGAGACCGATCACCTGGCATCGACGATTCGGCCGTATGACCTTCTCCCCGACGCGAGCTGCTCTGGGATGATGTTGGCCATCAAACACTTTGACGCAAAGCTCCGTCTTACAGACAAGAAGAGATCCTCGATTGGCAACCATAAATGGCCCCCATTCTCAACAGCACACTTTGCGCATGCGGCCATGATAGAATTTTCAGTGCACTCCTTGTCTGCTGACACTCAGCATCACCTCCGTCGTGTCAGCCATGATCATCAACACTGCCTTCGACTTAAGGGTTTGAAGCCAGGACGGTCGCGAAAGCTCAGCTGTGACGTTTTGAGCACGGTCAGATGGTGTTCTGTGAGACTCTCATCGCCAAAGGCCACCCAGGCACGCTTGGATACAGAGAAGTACAAGCTGGGTCCGTACCGATAATCATGAACTATTGCGGACCTAGAGTCGAAATCCTTATCAAGATGACACGACCTTCACCATTACTTAAAATCCCTCCTAGCTCTGCGCCTCCCCGTCCCTGACTAACGTCACTACATAGTCCCTCGTATTACTCCAGTGAGACCCCCTCTCGTGTTCAATCCCTTCTAGTCCTGTCCCGCATTCTTCCACCCCATTCCATTTTCCTCCCCCTTCCCTGCGCAGAAACCGCCCCGCCCGAAGCGGCTGCCTTGTCCGCGTGAGGCACCACGGTAAAACTGCCTATCCAGGGGTGTTTCTTGTAAGGAGCTCTGGGGGAAAATTGAAGTTGCGTGCTATACAGTACCTAGGCACCACCCACTGGCTATAGTGGCAGGCTGGTGGCGGGGTGCAGCGGACCACCGGCGGCAACCAGCGGAAATGCTGATGAAGTAGCACGTCTCGCTTATGAAGGCCCTCCTGCAGACTGCACTGGCCTCGTCCCACGGTACTCTAGATAGAAGTTGGGGAAGTCGGGAGTGTGTGATTACCTACTCAGGTAGGCCCTGTACCTACGAGGATGCGGATCAGACTGGAGGGACGAGGGGAGTCTGATGTGCGAAGGGTGCTGGGCTAGTTATTTGGATCAGAACTACGAGGTCCTTCGTATTTCAAAGCTGTTATCTGCGAGCCGTGCTTCTCGTCGCTGTGGTAAAGGGCGATATGTAAAGGCGTTATACTTGGTCTTGCCGCGCTTAATAATACTGCAGGATTCCTGGCCCCACAGGTATGACTTAGTAATTTAGCACCGAGTACAGGACTATGTGTGAGTCTCGATGACAGTTTGGATGTCGAACCACCGTCGATCGCCAACACCGTGTTGTGGACGTCAGGTACTCAGCATTCGACTGTTTTGGCGCTACCCATCCGTCTGTATCGCTCATTCTATTCAGTAGTTGAGAACACGCTCACACTCTTCGCCACTCCCCGCTGAACCCGCGAAGCCGCGTCCTCAGCGGAAACGAATATTCTTCCTACGTTCCATCCGGTCTTGATGGCCATTCCGGAATCTATCCTCTGGGCATTGATCTCGGCATACTGGGTTACCTACCTGGGCCCGGAGGTACCTGAGTTACGCGGGACTACAACCTCATGAATACCACCGTGACAAATGCCCATGTCGCGAAGGATTTGATCTTGCGTATTCTGTGTAGCGATTCAACGCCAACCCGTAACTTAAAAATATCAGGAGACCAAGATCGAGACCAGGCGTTGCCACCACCGCCTTTTTCCATCCCACGTAGTAGCTTTGCTTTTCGGTGGTGTCTTCATACCGAGAGTGTCAGGATCCAGGCATGTTATCGAGTACAGACAAAGTTTTGCGTTGAGGAATATTATGATACATATTTAGGCTGAAGGGGTAGCTGCGAGGATCAAGTGGATTCTCTTCGTTTGGTCAGTTAAACGTGGGCCTGAGTGCCACTCTCCCATCAAGCCTGGTGCTGTGAACATCGCAGATCAAGATATAGATGCCGTTTTGGAACAGGTTGGAGGCTCGGGCCAACAAATGCTGCATTGCTGCTGCAAGATTCCCCGTAGAGCACCGGAAGCCCGTGGTAGTAATGGCACGGTTCCCTGTCTCACACGACCGACGTCACTGTGTTCCCGGTATGGAAATGGAAGATAGACAGCTGGAAGACCTCGAAGTTCCCGCGTCGGGATACTATATTCGAGTTCCTACAGAGGCTTCGACTTCAATAACAATAGACCCTTCTGTTGTGAGGCTTTCCCGCACTCACAGCCGGTTGGAAGAGGTTTGATCGCTCCAGATTGATAGCCTCCGATGCGTAGAACTCTACTCAGAGGCCAATAAGCCTTGGACGCTGTAGGACAAGACTTCAGATCTATGGTTGCTCGTAGTAATATTGTTGGATGTTCCTCGCACGTGGCATTACTGGCGCTGTAAGGATGGGATGCATACTCCAACGCAGCTTCAGTTTGCTTCTTATTTGAAATGGATGCCTCGACGGGTCGGATCAAGTGTTCTTCATGCATTGGCTGTGTCCCTGGGCAGATGCGCGGCTTTGAAATTGCACGGCTGTGCTCGATCTCCATGATTTTGCGCGCCATCCGGTACGCCGTGCATGATGTCCAGTTGTTTTCCGCTACTCTCAGATTGAGAAGATGCCGCAAAGCAGCCGTACGAATCTGAGGATTCCGACATTTGACGGCTGTGAAGAACAGCGGTGCAATATAGCCCGCATGGCGTTCGAGATGGTCCCGGCCAGAGATGAATTTGCTTGAAGGGTCTTTTGCCCATGTGCGAGCGAGACGATCGAACTTGGTGACAATCCATGCAAATTCTTTGTCAAAATCTCGATAGACGCTCTCGCCTGGACTCCCAGATGCCTTGGCCATGATGGAAAGCAAGGTATGAGAGATGCTTAACAGCTGGAGGGATAGAGAGTACCGTTGACGATGGGTTTCCGGCATTTTGGCCTCAAATTGCTGGAACTGATTCCACCAGTCGGCAAGAAGCTCCTTCACTTTATGTGGCGGAGAGGCAACCAGAGCTGAGCGGCGCCAGTCGGCCAGGCGGGCAACGTGATGCCCAATTCCATCTAGGGCACATTGAGCATAGCGAAGCGATCCAATGTGACCGATAACAGGTAGCTCCAGATTTGGACGTACCAACTGTGCGCATTGTGCAGTGCAAGTTGTGACATCTCCCATACCATAGGTTGGTGCTTTATCGATATAAGCTAGGAAAATAGGAGTGATCGTGTCTATAATTAAGGTAGACTCCTTGGTCTCGTTATTGGAGGTAGCCCACTCATGAATGATGTTGAGACCGGCGTGAATGTGGTGTAGACCAGCAAGAATGGAACCTTGCACGAACTCGCAGCAAGCGAATAAGAGGCAAGCCATCAAGACTGTTTCTGTCTGTGGAGAGGCTGCTGTTTCTTGAATTGCTTTCATGTAGTGACTTTGAAACACCAGGTTTTCGTCAAGCGCAACACCGTCAAGCGTGGTGCTCTCGACCAGAGATGAAGTGGCAAGGAGCATATGCTGGACGGCCGGGCGGGATGCGTCGAGACCAAGTTTAGGCAGCATCTGAGTCCAGAAAGAATGGCCTGAAGGGAATATGAGATTCGGAAAAGCCATAGGAAGAACGCTCAGACGTACCGAAGTAACATGAGAAGACGGGGGCAGCTTGCTCAACCCAGAATTGAAAGGATCGTTTGTCTTTGTGGTCGCCCACTGAGGCAAGAGAAGAAACAGAATGGACTAGAGGGGAAACCCTGTTGCCGGCGACGGTGAGAGCGGTGCTGGTAGTGGCTCTCTTCGGGCTGGGTGCTCGGGGCTTGAAGAGCCATGCTTGAAGGGGTTGGTATCCCTCGCATCGACGAAGTGAGGAAGTGCATTGTACACAAGCTGGTTTCCCTTCATCACATTTTATTCTTCGTTTCCTGGACATTGTGATTAGCTTGAGAACCAGTACGGTCACCATAGCTCTGCCCTTCGTTCCGGTGGGTGGGCAAGCACCCCCAGCAAGGACTGAGAATAGTAGAATGAATGGAGAAGTACCTGCACGTTAGACACCCAGTCTTGACCTTCTTGTGTGGCCTCTTTGCCCTGCCTTGGGCCATTGTGGCATGAGAAATGCGTAAAGAGATCGATAGGGCTGAATGCCGGATCAGGGAGGCTTTTAAGACTCGATGAGCCACTGGCTTAACACACGGCCGAGTCCAGCATGCAGGACAGTTACATACACCCACTCTCTTTGGTCTATGCAACTGCGAGACTGAGAGTGCTTCGTCGACATGACCTTGGCTAATGCAGCAAGGGCTAGCCCATGCATTCCAAAGTACTTCGAATTCTTACACGGCCGATCTCCTGCTTACGCACGAGCGGGTTGTGTGGGAGTGTAGCGGTTTTTCATTGCAGGAGCTAAAAGGTGCTGGGACTCGATCTGTGGGGAGTCAAACGTGTGGAAGACGGTCATTTCTTACTAACAATGCACGAATAGTGAAATCGAAGCCGGATCCCCATGCTTGGTTGGGGCCAGGGGATTGGGTGAGGATGCATGGGTTGTGTCTGGTAAGCTTGGTGATGACTGAATCCGAACAGAGGGAAAATACCTCGTAATTATGATAATCGCCAGATTTGAAATGGGCCCGCCGATTTGGAAGCTTTTAGCCTCCTTACTTAAACAGCAGTAGATAAGCTTGGCCCATTAGGGGTCCCTTGGGGAAGGATTTAGTGGTGGAAGGCCTATCTACAGACTTACCATAATTTCCCTGGGTGCATGTCCCTGTGCCAATCTGGGAACATGCACTACGAGTATACCGGAGATGATAGGTGGCGGCGCGGGGATATGCCGAGGGGCCCAAGGGGCCTCTTACCTGAATTGATCAATCGTTACTACTCGTAGATAATAGTGAGAGGCCTAAAGGCGGTTGGTTGGTGGCGAAGGGGCGGTCTACCCTTTGGGTTTATTGACCCCCCGTTGGGCACCCAGTGGTACCTCATGGTACCTAAGTGAAGTACCTTTTTAAGGTGGCCCCGTCCTTAGCAGAACGTCCACTTCACCCCCGAAGCCCAAAAGACTACCTGCCAAGGGACGAGTACTAAAGGTAAGCGAAGCCCCTCGTGGGACAGGGCGCCATGCTTCCACTTTTACCTTCGTCACACGTCGCTCGCGGCTTCCCCAGATTCCATCAGCCGCCCAATGCAATTGCCTTAGACGCCGTACCGTTCCTCGTTCGGCCAATCAAGTGCAACTGCCTCAAACCACACATCATGCCAGAGTGTTCGCAAGGTCCACGTCAACATCTCAAATATTTTGTGCCACATTAATGGCGAATGTACTCACATAAGGGTCTTATGTCTCTACACCATCAACTCGTGCCGTAATCATCTCTCCAGTCGGCCCTGTCCTATTAGAAAGTTCACTCAATATGGCTCGATCTAACCATCTCTTGCCCCTCCTAGTCTTTGCCTTGACTTGGATCTTCTTTGCAGAGGCCATATATACCAAGAATTCCCCTGTCCTTCAGGTCACCGCAAAAACATACGATTCCCTGATTCAACAGTCTAACCATACTTCGGTCTGTGCCTCTTGCGGTCCCCCCGAAGTCCCGCTAATTGACCGTTTCCAGATTGTCGAATTTTATGCACCATGGTGTGGACACTGTCAGAATCTCAAGCCTGCCTACGAGAAAGCCGCAAAGAGCCTAGCTGGTCTGGCCAAAGTTGCTGCCATTGACTGTGACGATGAATCCAACAAACCCCTTTGCGGCCAAATGGGCGTTCAAGGATTTCCCACTCTGAAGATCGTGAAGCCAGGTGCCAAACCTGGTCGGCCCGTGGTGGAGGATTACAATGGTGCCCGGTCAGCAAAAGCAATAGTTGAGGCCGTCAAGGATAAAATCCCCAATCATGTGAAGAGGCTGCAGGGCTCTGCCTTTGATGCTTGGTTCAACGACGAGTCGGACCTTGCCAAAGCAGTCGTCTTCACTGAGAAGGGCACAACCAACCCCATGGTCAAGAGTCTGGCAATTGATTTCCTCGGAAGCATTGTTTTTGCCCAGGTCAAAGATAAAGCAATCGCAGAGAAATACGGGGTCACGGAATTCCCCACAATTTTACTGGTGCCTGGTCAAGGTCAAGGTCCAATTCCCTACAAGGGTGACATCAACAGAGAATCTTTGCTGAGCTTCTTCGCCAAAATCGCTTCTCCCAATCCTGATCCTGCTCCGCAAAAAGGGAAACCGTCCAAGTTACCGAAGAAACCCAAGGCTAGCTCATCTGCATCGGCTGAATTCTCCCGTGCTTCGGAGGCTCATAAGTCCTCTGATTTCGACGATTTCCTGGCAGGTTCTGACACAATAGTTCTTGATGATGACACTCCGACTGAATCACCCGTCCCAGTCGCGGAAAGTGAACAGAAACCGATGATCGTGCCATCAATTCCGCCGCCCATTCCTACGCTCTCTACCTCTCCTGACCTGGAAGCTGCGTGCCTGACTCCGAAAAGTGGAAACTGTATATTGGTGCTTCTACCCGCTGAAGACAATCCTGAGTCTGTATCTGAAGCGGCAACCTTGGTGTTGTCTGGCTTCGCCGAAATCATTGAAAAGCACAACAAGCGCCAGGCCAATGTTTTCCCCATGTATGCTGTTCCGGCAGATGTAGAATCTGCAACCAGAATGCGAGAAGACTTGGATCTCAGTGCCACCGGGAATTTGGAAGTGATCGCACTCAACATGAAGCGCGGCTGGTGGCGCCATTATCCGTCTAAAAGCTTTGAGATCCTTGAACTCGAAATCTTTGTGGACGCCATCAAGCTTGGCGAGGGCTCGAAACACAGACTTCCACCCAACTTCGGAGGTTCAACTGATGGAGAACCTGTAGCTGAGGTCGAAGCGGAATCTCCGAGCGTGGAAGATGAAAGTTTCTTGTTTGAAAAACCCGACGGTGAGGCTGAGGTAGATTCAGAAACTGCACCACCAGGCCATGACGAACTCTAAGCAGAGCCACTGAATGGCCGACAAAGGCATTCAGAAGCAGTGCTCAATTCAACACCGACCGATGAGGTCAACTTCTTAGTACTAGATGGTCACTTCCTCAACGTTACTCAAGACCTACATGGAAAACCCCTTGTTTCAGCCTCTTGCAGTCCCATTTCCTCGCTCACTCACCCCTCATTTCATCATGACTATTCTATTACCTTTATTGCCTCTTGGATATTAACCCTACTTCACTCAGGACGTTAGGTGGCAATCTTGCACTCTTTACGTTCTCGTCGAACCCTGCTTTCATCGTCTGTATCTGAGCATCGCTTCCCGGTACAACCGGTGACTCGTCTTCCGTCTTTCTAACCTTTCTCGAGTGTCACCTACCACTGCACTGTTTCAAGAGCTCAAAATCACATTCCAAGACCAGATTTTCTCTACCGCTGCCCCGCCAATCTGAATCCAATCTATGGATCCATTACATTGAGGGTTCATCGACGAAAAGTGGCCTGTGTCCTTTGTCAAGGCTGTGCGCGCGGAAATACCTTTCTCGACTTACGAATGAGTCGACCCACCTATCTCTACAAAACTGATTTCTGACTAATCGGGCAAAAGTTCCCTCCTTTATGACTTCAAACGAGACACGATGCCTTCAGAAATTAGTCGCACTGAAACTAGCGAGCCATCAGAAAATGGCTTTGCGCTACCTAATTCTGAAGCCCAGGTGGAAGGTGAAACGCCCCTGCCTCCTAATCGATCGAAGACAGGACAGCGCTATGTCAAAAATGTCACCCCAACACAAGAACCATTAGCGAGTCCGTCCAGACACACGGCTACAGAGACAGTTTTGGGAGGGTTTGAGACCGCTCTCGTGGACAATCTCCCGGTACAGCCCTCTATAAGGAGTGTAGTTGCCCCATCATTCATCAGCAGGCCCACCCACTCCAACGAGAGTGATACAAAAGACAAAAATTCTACGACACTTTCTAAGTCTACACGCGAAGCAATCAGATCAGATATTACCGCCGGAAGGCTGACAATCCCTGAGCTTTTTAGTAAGGATTCGGAATCTACTCCACCACAAGGCTTCAATGTAGACGATCATCCCCTGACGCCATACCAAAGGCTTCGATATCGATTGCCCTTTGGGCCTGCGATATCTCCTCCAAACCCAGATCTGGCATTCAAGGTTCAAATCATTGAATACACTAGGCAATGGATTCTACTAGCAGCGAGTATCTCACAAGAGAAGAGACGAGCCGAGGTTTTGGACAGAGCTTTTGACAAATATGAGAAAGTATGGTTTGAGGCTCTTCGTATTGGGTACGCGTCAGGTGTGGATAGCAGTAATGAGCCAGGCCCACAGCAAGAGTCCAGCCATAGGGCAGGGGACAGAAAAGCTCGGGCAGCCAAACCACGCAAGATGGATCCTTTTCCGCACGCAGTCCAGGTATTTGTCCCGGTGAAATTCAAGAACGGCCATGGACGCCCATTTCCTGTTACTCCGATAACAGTAGGAGAGCTCGAAGAAGCCGGAGTCACAGAAATGCAAATACGCAAGCGTGCAGATGATGACGATTACGCACAGGTCGAGGAAATATTCAGGGACCTTTACGATGATCTGGGCCGCAAGGTTGAGCAAAAAGACTGGGACCGAGCTGCCGCGCCAACACAGCTCAACCCAACAGGTCGTGATCTCTTCTTTTACTCTTTATATCTTGTCCAGCTTTATGAGTGGAATCTTCAAGTCCTGTCGCGATATCAGCTGGGTTTCAAGACAACAAACCAAATGAAGAATGGAAAGAGGAACATCGAAAAATCCGAACAAGACCGAAAACTCTTCTTAGCTCTAGCATTAGCGCTCAGTGAGCTGACATATGTCGCTGATTCCAAAGAACCAAGCGTTGACCAAGATATCGATATGCATGACGCTGTGACTTCAAATGACACTATTGAGTGGCTGCTCGAAGCCATCGACATGGTCCTAGAATCGCCGGGTTTCAGGAATATACGCCACGCCTTTGAAGCTTCTGGTTATCCAGAAAAGTACCTTGACATAGCCTCCCAAGGTGCGACTGAGCCGTCCCACATTGGAGATGGCAAAAAGGCTCTGACCGAAATACTGTCCTATGATAGAGACAGAGATATTGCGGCGCAGAAAGCCGAGAATGAGGACAATGCGGATGATAAGACGCAGTGGATCGAGCGAGTGGAAGACTGTGAGACGAAAATTCGGGATACTAAGAAATATCTTAGAGAAATTGCTCCTCTGCTGCTGCTATTGAAACCTGACAATGATAAAGCTGGTGGTGAAAATGTCAGTACAGTCGATATGGTTCGAGAGGTGGATGCAACTGTCCCATCTAAAATCGACACGCAGTCAGAGATACCTAAATCTCCTGTGCTGAAGGCTGGAATCAAGCGTCTTGTCGACACCGATGCCGACGACGGCCAGAACAATCCTGAGCTACCGTTGAAACGACAAAAGCTAGATATCAATGGACAGAGAGAACACACCAGTGACGAAGATATCCCAAAACACGGTAAGCAGACTGCTGCAGAAATCGAGAACACGAATACTCTCCTTCCCGCTGCGATAGCTGGCCAGTCAACAGCACAAAGTCAAACATTGAGTTCGGACTTTGGTGTTGTCCAGGATAGAGGGAGAAGCAAGTTGCCTGATGTGCAAGCCTCCTCCGAACATCCAGGGAGACACACCATGAGCAAGAAGGAGAGATATATCCAAGACTGCCTTCTACCATTGGCCAACAAGCTCTTGATAGCGAACAGACAACCTCCTCTATCTTCGACAGTCACGGATTTTCCGAGTGCTAAGATTGCTCTGCTTAATGCTGGTCTTCCTGTATCCGAACGGAACAAACTGGTTAGCGGATATAACAGTGGCCTGTTTAACAACTGGAATGCCATGCTAGAAAGCGACATGGTGCACGGGCAAGATGATTTGGCAAGGGCAGACAACCTTCCACTTGTAAGCCATTCATCGGACCTCACACTCTTGTATGAGACGGGTAACGAAGCCGAATCTCATCCCGCTACTCCCCCAGATCACCCCGAGCGTCGTTCTCTAATCGTCAAATTGGGGGGTGGCCCTAGCTCAGACTACAGCCCTGCGCAATTCTCCTGCAATTCGATCTTTAATCACAAAGGTTTCCGGTATCGATATGCTCGAGATTCAACACTCGCCAATAGAAAACGTGCAGATGAAGCCCTAGACAGTTATGTCCGAGGTCGAACCGCACGCACACCAGCCAATGTTTCTTTTCCACGTTACGGGAAATACGAGGCCATTTGCCTTCCAGATGACCCTGAACGAAAGACCATCATACAGGGGATCTGGGATACTAAGGATGGAAAGCTCATTGAGGGAGCAGACTGGTTTTACAAAGAGAACAGGGACCACCCGAGCTCTGCGGCTGACAGCTTGACTGAAGTTGGAGACACATCCAGCGGAGAGCGTGGGAGATTTGATGATCGAACCCAATCATCAAGACCTTCATCTTCTTTGACGAAGCAGAGCAAGAAGGCCACATGTGCTCCGAGCTCCGCAAGGAAACCGGTGCCCATCCGGCCTACTGCGAATGGCCATCAGAAGAAAACAAAAGTCAACGGAAGAACTAGAATCAGACTGAAAACTGGCGATGCGAAACACGATGCAAGCAGAAATTTCTCTAGTGGGCAGACGAGCAAAGGCAACAGCAACCATGGACCGGGCTCTTCTCGCGGCAAGGGAGGCCGACTCAAGCGAGCGACTGCGAAAAGCAAGTTTGTTGTGGATGACTTCGACGGTGCAAGCTCCGAGGAATATGTCCCGGGTCACTCTGACTGACATTGCGCGGCGGAGTGATGGTGTGTTTGATGGTTGCCACTGCCACCACAAGGTGCAGTATACGATTGCATCTCCCCAGTCTTAGTTGACAATTATTTAAGGACGAATGTTGATCACTTGAGTAATTTGACTTCGGACTTTTGACGGCAAGATTTTCGGCTAGTGGAAGAAAGTACATCCTCAAATCACATTACGGCCGGGCATGAACTCGGCAAGCTGGATTGAGATATCTGTGAATTCACTTTGTTTTCACGACACAGTAGTTTTTTTGGAGGGTTTGCAGGCAGGACATTCTAAAGATGACTGGTCAGCAGTGCCAATCAAGCTGATAACTAGTCAGTAAGTCAGTCAGTAGCTACATAGCAGCGGCAAGCCCCTGATAAAATGCCCTTCGATTGAGGATGGGACGAATGGGTCAAAAAGCATTTCTGATTCTACTAGTCTTTTCTAGAATAAGCCGCTTTTCATTCATTACTGTTCACCTGTCCTTCCCCTTACTATATCTATCCTTCTTGGGCCGTTTCTTGTCCTTCTTCCCCTCCTGTTCCCCGTTGGCCTTACTGCTCTTACCGCTAGCGCCAGCACCATCACCAGCACCATCACCGTCGTCGGTTTCAGCCTCCGCCTTTCTCTTCTTGTCTTTCCGCTTCTGGCTCTTCACGCTGACGACAGCACTGCCTGCGAGACCGGCTTCGCGGACTTGGCGCTCGGCATCGGCCCACGCGAGGTCGTCTTCATTCGGGTCTGTAGACGTCTGGATTGAGTATCTATGGTTTCATTGTAGCGCGAGGCTTGGTATTAGTGAGGCTGTGTGGCGTGGCGATAATGAGAGCGCTGGAGGGCGGGGGTTTTCATTTGGATGGAACTTACCTGTCGAGTGGTAGAGCGTCGATCAGTGCCTTCTGTTTCTCTCTGACTGCTGGGTCGATTTCTTGCTCGGCCTCGTCATCGATTGCTTGGGCTGGTTGAGGCAGGATCGGCACGGCTGCGGCCACACGGGCTGTGACTTGTGGTTCGATAGCTTTGCTCTGAGGATCAACACCGTTCAAAAGCTGGCTGTGGTTCTTCCTCTCCGGTAGCTCTGCCTCGACAGCGCCAGAGACAACGGCACGGAATGCAGTGCTGACTTTGCGGAGGACTTTAACGAACATGGCTAGTAGCTGATTGTTGGGCAGATTCAGCTCCTTTTCAACGTCGTTCAGGTTTTTGCGTTGAAGGCCGATCGCGAGCAGGATACTCTGTTGAACGCCGGACAATGAGACGTTACAAGGCGCCTGCTTTAGAGGGCCGGTGAAATAGAGCATGGCGATTGACGGAAGGAGGTCGAGGATGACGTGGTAGTCGAGCATGTTGTTGGCGTAGGAGTCAAGACGGGCGAGGTCGAAGGGAGAGAAGAGTCCATCAAGGTGTGCTTTGGTGAGGGGTGGCGCTTGCAAGGAGGAGGTTTCTTGTGATGCTGCAACACTAGGCTTTGTGCCGCGGGATGCAGATTCTGAGATTGAGAGAGATTGAACAGCCGTGAAGGTGCGGAATTGATAGGATAAGAGAGTCAGGAATCGTTTGTGGAAGTCTTGAGCGTAGGCACTTAGCCATGAGCTATCGTTTGCGGTGCTGCTCGAAAGAGGCCGCAGCATTACGCACGAGTGCTCGCCCGTGAGTTCGTTCGGGGTCTGTCTGAGGTATACGGGCGTGAAGGATGAGCGCTTCCAAAATTTGTGTAGTGGTTGTGTCAAACCATAGGAGACGCCAATGTAGTCGAGTCGATCAGGTTTGCGTTCGGACAATTTGCTGAACAAGGGTGGCATCTGCTGAATGTCACGAACTTTGATGTTATCATCAAGTAAGTCGGATTGCTCCAGTTCGGCATCAGTAACGCGGGGCATATGCTCTGTGTCTTGGATCAAAGAATCATCAGTTTCTGCTAATGAGGTAAATTTACCTTCATAGAAATCTGTGAGTAGTTGAAGAGCTCGTGAGCCGTAGCCCATGTTGAGATACTCAGGGTTCGTGGCTATTCGAACCACACGACTACCTGACAATCCAGCGAACTCGGAGTCTTGAAATTGTTGGCTGACCAGCCAGGGAATGAGATCACCGCCTGCTCTCTGGCCACGCGACAAGCTATTCATGACCGATTGTTTGCTAATTCGTCCCTCCAGTGTCACTTGAAGGACACAAAGTGGCTCTGGGAGTTTGTTCGCATCTTCAGGAATTGGAGGGATCAGGACAAATAGCTGGTGAGCGGGAGCATCAGACATGAGCTGCAGGTCATTGGGGGAGTTTTTGTAGTGGGATGCCACATATAAAGCCATCATTTGCTGAAGGAACTTTTCTGACACGGGGTGGAAGGAGAACAAGGTGTCGCGATTGACATGGACCAACTCGCACGTTGAGGGATGTGGTGTACCCTGAGTGTTCATTTTGGATTTCGGTAGCGTGGCGTCCAAGCAAAGGAGTTTGTTCAACCACTTTTCAACTCCGTCGCCTGGAGCGTAACGAATGGGTTCTGAGAGTGTGATCTCTCGCAGCGAACGTCCGCCTGTATAGGCTTTTTGACCATCTTTCGCTGCCTTCCCGGTCGACTTGTCGGCGATCTCAACATCATCCCCATTAGATCTTGCAGTACCCCTCGACTGCTCGCGTAGCTGTTGTACGAGCTTGAGTGACAAGGACCGACCGGTGCCTTCATAGCCATTGATGGTCGAGGCCATGAAGACTAGATATGGTCCCATGAGCTTTCTTACCAGAGGCAGTGGAATGGCAGCGGCTTCATCAATTACCACCAATTCAGCTTGACCAAGAACATTGGCATCTTGTGGTTGTATGTATTGAATAGTTTGTCGGTGTTGTCGGTGCACATTGATCCTTACAATTGCCTTGTTATAATCTGGATTTGTTGACTGCAATATTGTGTAGTCGACGTGATCCATATATTCCAAAGCATCAAACCCTCTTATGACAAACTCGAAAAGGGTTTTCAAGTTTTCGGGGCTGGGAGATGTAATGAAGATATTACTGTACCCATGTGCTACCGCAGCGGCCACCGCAACACCTAGTGCTGCGGACTTGCCTCTTCCTCGAGCAGCGGTCAGTGTGACAGTGCTTCGCAATGTCTTTTCTGAGATCGCATCGGCGAATGTGAGTAATGCTTTCGCCTGATCCACGGTCTTTGCCAAGGTGACGAGGGATCCTATGGGTTGGCTGTCTGCTAGACTGTCCTTTATTTCTTTCAGCTCCTTCTTCTTTGGCAATGTGTTTTCGGAGTCTGTAGTGGGTGGAGGGAGTGCTTGAACGTTTTTTCCACCAGAGATGGGGAGGACATTGAGTTCATCATCAACTACAAGACACGATTCGCAAGAACCTAGTGAAAGGATGAATCTCTCGTTGAATCTGGCCACCACATCGTCATGGGCCTCGGTACGATATCTCGAATGTACATCCATGGACATTGTGAAGAGTTGCTTCAAGCTTTTCATTCCCTTCAAGAGGAGCAGAACAAGGCCACCGCCCTCGACTGTTTCGACGGTTCGGGCAAGTAGGTTCGGGGTAATGGCCTCGAAGTCCTGCAATATACACATTCCATATGTGTTTCCTAGAATCTTTTCCGTCTCTTTGTAGTAGACATATCGGATGTTGTGCAATGTAACGAAGAGTTCGAAAGGGTCTTCGGTATTGGCATCTCGAATGCCTCGCTTGATCTCCTTTTTGATCTTGGTCTCACGTTTCTTTCGATGGCTAGTAAAACCTAGTAAGTCCTTCTTGTATGCCCATAAGACCGACTTGTTTTGCTTGACATCGACACTGGACATGATATAGTGGAGGTGGACAATGACATCCTTTGCGCGATCGCCGACCACGACGATGAAACTGCGCTTCTTTTCCTGGATGCCATTTCGAATCAGGGCGGGAATCCGGGAGTCAATTGCTTTACGAGGCATTGCTAGAACACCCGGCCGACCTCCGCCACAAACTCCGATCAATGATTATGGAGGGTATGTGGAATGGCAGGCGTCACGAAGCCGACCAGAAAATGGTCCAAGATGCGGGCGAAGTTCGTAAAATTTGGACCGGCACAGATTCCTATCTGAGATAACGAGGCTGAAGGGCAGCCTTGTCCAATCTCGGAGAGGGGATCCTCCTGTCCCCATGGTTGTTGGCATTGGCTCCGGAGGATCATTTCCTTGAAATTTCCCCCGGGATCCTGTCCCAAGTGTCCATACCAAGGACAGAGTACATGCGCAAGCTAAATCCCCTCGGATTACACTCTGGCGCAAGACCCTTATCTGCTGGGCTGTCCTTAAAAAGCCTGTGTGGCTGCTTTCTATACGCCTGACAAACTTTTTCTGGTACGATTGTGCAGTCGATATGGTAATGTCGCCCGGCAGAACGAGGCGATCTGAGCAACCTCCACTCACCCACTGGCGTTAAAGCCCCATTCTGCGTCTGCGCCTGCGCCTCGGCCTCGCAAGGACAGGTCCAGGTGCGCCTAACCTTTCAACTCCCTGCAACATGGGCAACCTGCCGATTGTGTGTTACGCGTAAGCCCACAACCCCCTCTTGTGGTTCGATTATTAACAGTTGATCCATGCAGATTCTCCATTATTAGTGCTGCTGTTTTGGCCCATCTTGTACCAATCTCGACTGCGCATGGTGAGTCTAGTCAGGGCGACAATCCTTGACCGAGAAACGAACGAAGTCCTGTTGACACATCTCCGCAGACCGACCAATCCATATTCAGGTCCTTGCCTTCGTCGCATGCAGTTTCGCTCTGCCTAGCATAAGTAGGCTTGTCCCAGCCCTTTTTCAACCGCCCAGTTCAAAGAATAGAGGAGGATACACCTCATTGCCCTTGAACGATATTAGCAATGTCGAGCCTCAACTTGCCACTGCATCAGATACCAACCAGGGGCAGGGCAAGGTTCGAATCACCGTCCTGACGGTTACAGTCCTCGCATTGTCATCGCGACTGGAGCTTTACCGCCGTATTACTAAGGCGACCGAATGTACCACTGACAACGCTGAGGTCTTCTTGCCGTTCCTGATCGCACTCTACGATGCGGCCAGGTCGCAGAAGTGGAGAACTCTACAAGGCGAAAAGCAATCCGATCCGAGTTTCTTTGGATTGGCTCGAAGGGTAACTGGTCCAATCCAGAGACCCATATCGACATGGATACTACAACCAAGGACCCGTTATCTTCTGCCACTATTTCTGATTGCTTCTGGCTGCTACCTGGTACAAGGCATGTGGCACTCTTCCACTACGACTTACATCTGCCCCATCGTGACAGGCGAACTGAAGATCATTCCTCTTTTTCAATTTCTGGCGCTGCTTCTGGACTTTCTGATAGCCATCATTGTCTATGAGACACATCCAAAGAGTGACGGGAGTGGTCTATCAGGTCGAAGATGCGTGGTGCTTTGGAGTTCTTCGCTGCTCGGTGTATCTTTCATCTGGTCGGGTGTTGGGGCAGCGATCTACCTTTTCAAACCTGAGTATCGAGGCTGGCTCTTATTGCTACGGCCATCGCTGGATTTTGGCACATTTGTTGCCATGGGTGTATATACCTTCTTGTTCTGTCTTCTTTTCATTTCCACTTTACATTGCGTAAGTCCTAAAGGATAGGATATTGGATGATACTGACTAGCACAGATAATGATTTATGGCGTTCTGGACATGTCCATCTGCATCACGGCTATAATGACGATGATACCCGGATTCGAGTTTATATGGTCTCACATAGCTCCTTACCCTCCAGTCTCGAAAACTGCTTCTATCGCCTCCTTTTTCGTTGTCCTTAGTGGATGGTGGATGTATCGCCGAATACAGCAGGCATTAGGTGAAAGAGAACCTCTTCAACGCTCGCGACAAGCGCTCGCTCTCATCATACTATGTATTCTAATAGTCCCGGCCTGGCGCAAGAACGACAATGTTCATTTTCATCCGATTGATGTTCTCATTTACGACGCAAAATTACAACACGACCGATATATTAGGAGCGTCGGGAGCACGAACTCGCTCCTTGAGACAGTGGCCCGTTACCAAAAACGATACAAACGAAACCCGCCTCCTGGCTTTGACAAGTGGTTCGAATTCGCTAAAACCAAATCTGCCTTTGTTGTAGATGAGTTCGACCAGATCTACGAGGACTTGCTACCATTTCGGACTGTTCCACCAGAGGTTATTCGGAAGCAGACCTGGGAGATGGTTTCGAACCCGTGGAATGAAATATCTGGGATTACCATTCGAAATGGTAGTGCTGCAGTGCAAGAGAATGTTCTGCCGACGCATCGATGGATGCTTGAAGGCGTTGCCAATCTAATCAACAAATTCTCCCAACATCTGCCAGACATGGATCTTGCTTTCAACCTCAACGACGAATCCAGAGTGGCAGTGCCATTTCACGATATCGAAAGACTTCGTCAGCAGGGCCGCATTGAGGACAAGAGTGGACCGCAAAGCTGGTCCCCAGAACGAGATGCTGGCTGGCTTCCGATCCCAGAGCATGATGTCAAGGAAACAGTTTTTCGCGATATGTCGTTTCGCAACACGTTCCGTGCATTTGGCTCTGTGGGATGTGATCCTAAGTCATTGGCACAGACTACGCCCCATGTCTCTTCTCAATCACATATATGCCACAGCTGCACCGCTCCACATTCTCTGGGACAGTTCGTCGCCGATTGGAGACTAGCTGCAGACATCTGCCACCAGCCTGACCTCGCCTATCTCCATGGCTTCTACCTCTCCCCAGCGGCGTTCAAGACATCGTACCAGCTTATGCCCGTCTTCTCACAGTCCAAGCCGCACGGCTACAACGACATCCTCTACCCGTCGGCATGGAACTACATGGACAAAGTCGTCTACGCACCTTCGAAGGATCAGGGCGCACCAGGCCAAGAAGGGTTCAGGCCAGGATTCCCTGACCTACCTTTCTCGAAGAAAGAAACCACTCTCTTCTGGCGCGGCGCCACATCCGAGGGTGTCTCGTCAGGCAATCATGCATGGCGAGGCATGACACGGCAACGCCTCGTGCACATGGCCAACAACCTGACGACATCCTCGCACGACTCCGTGACCATTCTCCTCCCGCACGCAACAGACTCCAAAACAAAATACAAATACCAGACCATCCCGGGCCTCGCGGTCAAAGCCCTTGGACTGCACACCGACATTGCCATCGTCGACCACATCGCACGCTGCGGCGGCGTCGGGCTGCACGACTGCACCGACCAAGAGAAGGAATTCCTGCCCATCCCGCCGACCGACTTCCAAGCCCACTGGCGCTATAAATTCCTGTTCGACCTCGACGGCGCAGGTTTCTCAGGACGCTTCCTCCCATTCCTGCAATCGCAGTCCTTACCCTTCAAGACGGCACTGTTCCGCGAATGGTACGACTCGCGGCTCACGGCGTGGCAGCACTTCGTGCCGCAGGACCTGCGCCTGCACGGCGTGTGGAGCACCCTCGCGTACTTTGCGGGCGTCAGCGGCTCGCTCTCAGCCTCCGGAGGGAAGAAAGTCAATTGGCCCGCGCATGTCGACGCAGCGGAGAGAATCGCCTTGCAGGGCCGCGACTGGGCCAATAAGGTTGTTAGGAAGGAGGACATGGAGATCTACTTTTTCCGCTTGCTGCTCGAGTGGGGCCGGCTCGTCGACGACCGCAGAGATGAGTTGGGGTTTGTTGTCGCCGGTGGCGAGGCCAGGAAAGTCGGGAGTGGAAATGGCAACGTTCCTTGATCATGATGATGTCGACAATGATGATGATCATAATCATAATGGGGCTGGGTGATGTGAGTAATTGGGATATGGGAGCAGAAGAGAGTAATGATGATCAGAGTGCAGGAAAGCCTCCATCCGTCCATCCAACCAACCTGGACGAGATCAGACCAGCCGACACAATGATTGATTGCTTGGTTCCTTTTGCTACCGGGCTTATAATTGTTTACGGTCGTCGAGCCGATTTCACACGTACATATTTGCAAAACTCCTTACATGGCACAGATACACGAAGCAAAAGAGGTGCCCTGTTTGTTTTTGGGGGCCAATTAATCTGAAACCGATCTTACAAATAACAGGAAGAAGAAAAGATGATTCAAACTACGAGGTCATGCTCGCGTGTGTTCAAAGCATCAGGAGATATATCGTGATAACGCCTCATTATATTAATGTCCAATACCCGAAGTCTTTCATGTTACGTCACAATTCAGTAAAAGCGGACGCAGGGCTTTACCTGGCCTGCACTGGCTGGCCTTGAGAATGCTCAGCGGTCGCCGGGCCCCCAGTAAGGTTCGCCACGAATTCCTGGTAGCGGAAAACATCGCCACCTTTCTTGGGAGCAGGTGTGTTTAAGCCTCTTACACCTGCGATGCCGATAACGTTCTTGGCTAAAATCCTCCGACCAGTGAAGCCTTCCATGGCCCTGTCGATTTCCTTCTGCGTCAAGGCGCGCTCGCCTGGATCTGGAGCCGTGTTCAGAAGTGCAGAGCGCAGCTCACCTACATCGATCTGGCCGCTGTCATCATCGTCGAAGGCCGAGAATGCATTGAGGAGTTCTTGCTGCGGAGATAGGCCGACGAGGAGGTTGGCAAGTTGAGTCAGGTACTGAGGAAGGCCAAGCTGGGCCGGTTGGCCTTGGGGGAAGAACTGGGAGAGGTTGGATTCATGTAGACCTAGAGATTGGAGGGTTTCAGAGACGGATGCGGCGTCAATGGAGCCGTTGCTATTGCTATCGAGGACGGAGAAGGATTCTCGCAGGTTATGAAGGAGTTGAGGTGGAAGTTTAGATAAGGAATCGTGCTGGGAGAGACCAGTAGACACGAGACGGCGAGGTTCTCGGTTGATGGGGCCCTTTGAGATGGACAGTGAGTCAGTGTTGTATTTGGCCGGGGATGTGGTGGTAGTTGCTGTTGGTAAGCGGCGGGCGGTGGGAGACGGTGGTGGCTCTGTTTGTGCTCGGCTGGTACGAGATGGTTCAAAGACAGTCTTGGAGGGCGTTGAGATGGTGTCTTCGTCCTCTTCCTCCTCGGAGACGGTGTAGGCGTGTTTGAGCTTTGATGGGGAAGTCATTGGGGATGCACCGCTCCTGTTCGTAGGCGGCGTGTTAGGCCGTCCGCTGGCGATGGTTGGCGAATTGGGCGAGGCTGGGCGGCGAAATGGTGACGAGCGAGGAGAGTTGAAGGAGGAGGATTTGTATGAGGCCTGTACAAGGAGAGTTAATTGATGAGCAACAAGTCAAGGCACACAGACCATGTGTGTCAATGTGGGTTGAACTTACCATATTGACGGGGGTGATGGCACGAGCAGCAGCTGGACTAGTGTACGACCTAAGATAGCAAATGAGTGGGAGTGATTGTATGAATTAGCATAGGTCATGTAATGTTTGTCAAAAGAGGCTCTTTCTTTCGAGCCCAAAAGCAAGCCATGTATTCTGAGTGGTTTCGTGACATCTTCGGTGGGTTGTAGAGAAGATGTTGATGTCAGCCACAAGTGCAAGGGACCGCCGCAAATAAACGACGTTGGCAGAGCGACCGATTAGGTAAGCATTAGTGGGTGGTGAGCACGTGGTCCCACCTCCAGTGCACGTGAGATCTTCAGAATGTGAGGCCAACCGGAACGAATCCAAGTCAAAGCCTAACGACACAAAATCATGGCCCAGGCCTAGGCTGAGGGATTTCTAAGTTCGGAACTCTATGACATGTACGAGTACGAAAGGTATGCGCTCGTACTGATGCCCAGGTCGCTGTTTACGCTGCCGTCCGTGGGAGTTCGGTCGGGGCTCTGGACAAAAGTGTTAGTTGAGAGCCCAGGCTGGTAGGTGCTGTTTTCAGTGGCCGAGGGCCCAAGGAGGCAACTTTGGGGCTGCCAGCCCCTAGAAACAGGATTCAGGGGAGCCGGAAACCGTAACCCGCCCGCCTGGGGAGGGGTGGGCGACCGAGGGGCTTTCCAGCCTACCTACTCCAACCGCCGCAACCCTGCCCTGCGTTGTTGAGCCTTGACCTCCTGCACCTCCACCTTTTTATATCCATATACTCAGGACCGAGCGAATCCTAATAGTGTCAGTCCGACGTGGGCCTCCCACCCTCTTTTCTCTCTTGAGGTGGAACCGACCTCTGATTTCTGCGACGCCGACTGCGTGGATCGCCATTCCGCTACTCCATACTAGGCGCTCTCGTCAGGACTCACAACCCCAATTTTGATTGCCCGAGGGTCCTAGCCATGGCCGACTCTCTCATCTCCTCGCAGTACCTTGCGATGCGCACTGTTCAGCGACATCTAGCAGAATCAAAACCAAAACCAAAATCACAGCACAACACCGCCGACGCGGTTGCAGACCAGTCCTCTCAGAGTCACACAGTACCTCGCTCACCACCTGCTGCTGCACCAAACGTAATGCCCGAGCCTGTGCCTGTTGCATATCGCACCCATCCATATCCCCAGCAAAATGAAAGACCACCGTCCACCTCATCTCACTCACACTCTGGCTCTCTCAAGTCTTCCATATCTCACCCTCCTTCCAACGCCCATCACAAAGTCGCATCTCAGAGCTCTCAGATACCTCCTTCGCCTCGAGGTTCCTACCGTTCTTCTGGTAGAGTCTCCACAGTCCCGGAAGATGGCCCCTACCCTTACCGTCCTTCTAAGCGACTCAAGTCCGCCTATCCTCTGAATTCCCCGGAGCCTCATGTCGAGTATATCCTGGTCGCCTCCTTTGACATTGATCGCGGTCCCATCATGGAGCACCAATACCCTGGCGCAATCAGTCCAGACGAGAATATGCTTGCTGAGTTGATGCTTCCTGATCAGACCCATGTGCGGCAGCAGGATTGGACTATGTTTTTTCTCCACAAGGACGCTGGAAACAGTGAAGAGGAGGTCATGGAACGGAAAATCGCAAAGCAGAGGCGCGCCCAGAGACGTGCGCTCACGAACTCCGCAGATTCTCAAAGCAGCCAAAGCGAGCAAGGGAGCAGCAGCGATGACAGCGATGACGATTCTCAGGATAGCCCTCCATTGATGTACGTCCTCAACCTGGTCAACACAAAACAGGATAGTACTGTCAAGAGAGGCGCCGTGGTGAAAGCAATGGCTATTTGCACAAGACACTCTTTCCTCCACATTTACAAGCCTCTACTGTTACTAGCCTTGGAGGACTATTTCAAGACCCCTACTCCCGACACCCTCGAGTTGCTCTATAATGCTCTGAACGCCATGGATCTCTCTTTAATGCCTCGGCTTTCACTCCTGGAGCGACATATTTTGCAAGCCAGCGATGCCAAAGACATGTTCGTCGAAAAGTTCGATCAGATGATCTCCCAGCGACTCACCGACGAGGCATTGGGCAAGGCTCCCGAGCAACCAGACTCTCCCACCAAAGCCGAGCCCAAATATAATGTACCGCGCGATACGCATGAGTTCGAGTCTAAGATTGTGTATAACGGTATTCCCATACCTGTCAAGATCCCCACGGCTCTTTCTGCAGAGACTGTTGGCGACTTCTCACTCATCAAGCTGGTTCAGATCTTTGGTGGCCCTCACATTTCACAGCCTCAGCCATTTGCTCTACATCCCCATCTGACAACTTCTGGTGCTTACACTCATCCTATAATTGTTTTGATTAATGCCATGCTCACGCAGAAACGCGTCATCTTCCTTGGTCACAATAGACCGTCCGGTGAAGTCGCAGAGGCCGTACTTGCCGCCTGTGCATTAGTATCTGGTGGCGTCCTCAGAGGGTTTACGCGACATGCTTTTCCATATACCGATCTGACTAAGATTGATGAGCTCTTAAAGGTGCCCGGCTTCATCGCCGGTGTCACAAACCCTGCATTCTCGTACCACCCCGAATGGTGGGATCTGTTGTGTGACTTACCCTCTGGTCGGATTAAGATCTCCTCTTGCATCGAGGCCGCGCCAATCACCGAAGGCACAACATACTTTCAGCAACATGGTCACATGGTGCCTGCCAAAGAACTTGGAAGTACCGATGCCACGGGAGATATTATGTTCATGGATGAAATCACTCGAGGCATAGCGTCACGACATGGCGAGTCCATCATCCGGGCCAAATTCCGGGCGTATATCACCAAATTCACACGAATAGCTGCTGCCTTTGAGGAAACGGTCTATGGGGCCAGCAGTTTAATATCCATTCCCCCAACCGAGGTGGACAAGGTTGAGACACCCAAGACCAGCAAGCCCCCTGACCGGCCTATGTCGCTCAAGACATCGAGCAAAAATCTCAAAGGGCACGGATACGTATGGGCCAGCGAAGAGGTCAAGAATCGAGAGTTGGCGGCGTCTGCAGCCAGAATCGAAGGGTGGCGCAACACACGGTCGTATTATGCATTCATTTCCGATCTTGCAGCACATGCTCAAGATCCTGGTTCGCCAACATCGCCTGTAAGCATGAGCAATATGCTCGCGCGTGCCCCATCCAAGCCTTATGTCGACCTCTACCATTCACTGTCCAAGCTGCGGACTCTTCGTCTAACTCCAACCGAGGCGGGAGCAATTTATCTTGCGCTTGAAGCATACTGTACCGATTACGATAGCATCTTAGAATTACTTGAGTTGACACCAGTCTCCGAGGCCGGACTGTTCTACGTGGGCCTGGGGCTTTGGCACGAGGACTCAAGAGTGAGAATGGCTGTTGCCACTGTTCTGGACCGAATCCGGAAACATCCAGCCGGTCGGGTATTTTTCAGTCGACTTGGTGGTTGGGCCAATATGGGATTTACTCGGAGCATACAGGAGAGGGAGAATCGATTACGTGGCCAACAGCATGAAGTTGGAGAGTTTATGGATCCACACATGCAGTTAGTCAACGGAGAAGATGCCAGGAGGAGTTGATTTCCATCCTTGCGAGTTGTAATAGGATACGGGGACTAAGATGGTTGCATGTGGGCAGTGTCCAGTGTCCACTGGAGAAGGCCCCAGCCTGGTTGAGTGATAGTGTACGAATGAATGACATGAATGGAATTTTGGTCCTATTTGAGGGACAGAACCTCGATTCGCAAGCAAGGCACAAATTATTTTAAGTATACTCTGTAGCTCTATATACAGATTGCTAGCTCAACGGTAGACAATAGCTTCGCCGACTAGGATGCTCGGTTGTCCTTTGCAGTCATACCCGTGCGCTGCTCACACACTACGAGTATCGAAGTCGATGGTTCTAGGTTGCAGATCTGTCGATCATTGCTTTACGGTAAGGGTTTCCGAGGCATCAAGCTGCTCATTTGGGCTTGATCCTACAAAATTCAATCGGTGATCAACACAAGCCTTCCTCTCTAAGGCATTTACACGTGTGGTGCAGCCGATTCTACCCTGGTCCTTCCACAACCGTTTCCACAGAGCGTAAGGAAATTAAAGCAGATTGAATCCGTCAGCAGTGGACAATGGTATCTAATAGTCAATGTTGAAATAAGAGTACAGGGGCCAAATTAGAGCAGCAGAAGTCAGCAAGAGGTCAAACGAGGAGCCCTTTCGGTGTGAGAGCAGGTTCGGCCGGAAATACGCAATTCCGATGCCATCCAATGACAAATCGTATGTGTCTTCCTCTCATTCTGCGGAGCCTCGTCAGCATTCCTCATGTGTGCACCAATGTGGGCGCAGCCCTGGCTTCATTTCCAAGAGGAACAAGTCGAATCCCAGCGAGTGCACAATGACAATAATGACCTCGGAACCTACGCGTACACAGAAAAAGGGGAATGCACAGTAACCAGTGCTCGGTAGGAAAAAGGTGTGGTTCGGTTGAACCTGGCGGCCCCAAAGCCTTCCGCACCCCTGACTTCGCAACTATCGATTCTTGGCATCCACGATCAATCGAAATCGTCTAGCCTCCTTCACACGCGAGATCATCTTCACACTTTTTTTTCTTATCCCCTCGTGCTCGCGACCAATTAGTTCCGTGTCCTCATCCCTAGCCTTATCCTTGATGCCTGCTTTGCTGTGCACATGGAATCTCTCTTGTCTTCCGAGCTACCTGACTCATGGCTAAGCCTTCAACGGCTACAGTGTACGGAGTACGATACTCATCGTCTAATATCTGGCGCTTTTGTATGGACGTGACTTCTTGCTCTCGGGGACAAGGCAAGAACAAGCTCGTTTGACTTGTTAACGTCAAATACGCACCGCCAACATATAGTTTTGGCCCAGATACATGCTGACTCAGTGTCAGCAACAGCTCGTATTGGAGGCTTGGAACCAATTCTGATAGCTCGTGGCAACATGCTTCTCCCTCTCAAATGGAACAGGAGTTTGGGGAACAGAGCGCCACCAACAGGACGCCACAAGCCACAATCAGGTAGGCATTCCATGCTCGCTGCTACCCATATGCAACTGGGGTCCGAGAATTCTAGGCTTCAATGTGTTTCAACGCCTTGTGGAGCCTCATTTCCAAACTAATAACCGCTCGCATTCCATCGGCTCATGCTACTAACGCTGACTGGTAACAATGCCACCCACCATGTGTATCGGCGTGCAAGGTAGGGTTGGCCCGACCGACTGTACCCTTGTATATCCTCGTAAGACCATCTGTCGACCTCGACATGCTGTTTACTTTGAAGGCTCGAAATAGTCTCAAACTCTACTCGTACAGCTCTCTGCTTTTGGCCTCGAGCACTATTGAAGGTCAAGTTCATTCACCTAACAATGAACAGCGACTGCCGCAGATTCAGTGTCAAATTCTCGAGACTCCTGTCGCTTAATTCACTGTGAAACTCTCCAATCCGGAAAGAGCACCGCCCTTGGACCAATTCGGCAGATCAACAGGATCATCGCCAGGGTACACACGTGGTTTTTTCCGCGCCAAAGTCTAGATCGCTCAGGAGCAACGCCGATCATTTCAACTTCTTGTTCACCCAGGCGACACCTTGAGACCAAAGGATCACAGTCTGAGGTGTGAAGTACTTGACACCAGAACGACTGCTAGACTCGTCGGTGGAAAGCAAGTTGTCGATGGCGGTCGGCATTCCATTCATTTGAACGGCACACTAACTGGTGCTTTGTCCTGAGACCTTCTCATGGGCGTCCATTCGTTATCAAAACAACCCAACACCAACTACAGTCACTCGCTACAGCGCAATACAATTAATCAACAATCTCAAAATGTCAAACATACGACCAAAAATATGCAGGAGTGGAAGAAGAGGGGGTGCGAGTATCCGGGGCTATTCAATTTCAACGACCTTAATGATTTCTATAATAATAGTGTTGTTCGCCATGGTATCAACCACAGCAGGATATGCAATAAACTTCAACCCCAACGCATATGAGTCAATGTTGTTGAGGGAGCTAGCCGCCAAAGGCGAGATACACGTCGACCGACGACAACCTCCACCTCGACCCAGTTTAATATTCCAAAGGAGGGAAGAGGGCGACGAAGCAGCTTCAACAGCCACCACAGAATCGGAAGCAGAACCTACTGCTGCCTCATCTGAAGAGTCTGCCGCTTCCACAACAGAAACGACGAGCTCTGCGAAACCGACAACCACAAAAGCATCTACAACAGAAGCCAACGCGTCAGTAGTTCCAAGTACCACCAAATCTGGAACCACTTTACCATCTGTAACGGTGGTCACCACATCCTTGCCTTCCGCATTCGATACGTCCCTTGGGAGCAACTTCACCAAGCCCTCATGCCCTCAGTTCTTCTCAAAATTCCTCGGCAACTCCACATATCAATCCTGTCTTCCAATCTCACTCTTCCTGCAAAACTCCAATTCATTTTTCAGCATTCAACGATCAGCGACACTTCTAGCCCAAACACTTGATGCAGCTTGCGAGGCGCCATTAGCTATCTGCATGCCTCTACTCAGTAACCTAGCCGCGGAGCTCATCGACGATGATAACTGCGGTGCAGATTTTAGCCGCGAAAATCCACTCGTTTTGCAAGCCTATTCCGGATTGGTAGCCTATGAACCAGTCTATCGGGCGACGTGCCTCAAGAACGCCGAGACTGGAACCTACTGTTTCAGCGATGCCGTCTTGAACCAAACCAATCCCGTCGACTTCTACACTTACTATACAGCTATCGGTATGACGATGCCCCCAGCAGTACATCCCACATGCAACCAGTGTCTGCACGACACAATGGAGATCTTCGCGAGCTATGCGGGAACCGACAATCAGCCCTTGGCAAAGACCTATCTTTCATGTGCCAATCAGATAGACGCCACTTGCGGAGTAGGCTTCGTTGCCACGAATATCAAGACTGGCACTGTCGCTGCTCCAGGTGAGAAATCTGCCGCATCATTGCCTCGAATGTCAGTCATGACTACTGGGCTGGCCGCAATGATAGCAGCACTATTGATAGTGTTATAGATGCGACCTTTGGGGCCACTATTCTTCTTGCGCTGCAAAAATGTTTGCAAACTGTTTCTTGCGGAACACTGCCACAACTGGACGGTCACTGGAGATATATATGTTGTTGCAGTCTTGCTTGCAAGACCACGCAAGCGAGACATTTATCATGAGGAAAAATTTGGAATATAGCATGGCGTTCTTGGATAGTGCTGAATATGGGGGAGGATGCTATATGTATGCCCCTTTATGTATGTAGATAGGTATCTTGCGTGTACTACAGATGAAACTCACGCAGACGCCGGGAAAATCTCTTCGATTCGATGAATGAAATTACTCTTTTCTCTTCCCTACACAAACTTGCTTTCCTCCACCCCCAGCATCAGTAGTAGCCTGATGATAATGAGTGGTGTGCGTATGCACCATAACCATACCACCACCAATGTTCACATGTAGCTCGTACAAAACTGGGTACATGAATTTGCGGTGTACGAGAGCAAGTGTGCTTTTCGCCTATTGTGCGTGTGATCCAGTGGTAACCTAGCCAAATGGAACGGCCAATGTCCCCCTTACCAACGTTGTTTTCATCGCAACATCAGCAGACCACCACCACCACCACCACCATCTTGAACGACAACAGCATACTTTTTCGGTCGCTTGGCTGAGTCGAATGGCCATCATCCATACCTGGTTTCTGGCTTCTCCATAGATAGAAGAGGAGACGCCGCCTACACGTAAGCAAGGTAGGTAGGGCCCGCCGAGAGAAATGAAGACGCCTTGGTTGGTTGGCCTGACCACCTCCCGTCTTCAGTCACTCATCTCCTGCGTTGTTCTTCAAGTCGATTCGGCATAGAGACATGCAGCGGGTGCAATCCGCCTGTTCTACTATATTCTACACCGAGGTTACAAGCGGAAGAGGTTTAAAGGAAAAGAAAATGAGGTAGGTACGGTATGAATGAATGATTTCGACCTGGCTACTTTACAAAAGTTGCTTTCAATCGTCACACCGTGATTTTCACTCTTGGCCTTGACTTCGCTCTTCGCCTCGCCGTGTCCTCTCCTGGGATCGGCGTGTTTCAATACATTGTCCCAATACAGTGAGCACACTCTTCGCCTTGCCTCATCCCAGTACGGGATACTTCATTCCTTGCTCTAAAATTATTCATCCTTCCACAGGTGACAGCTCGTTCTCACAATTCCCAAGTCGCGTAGTTGTCTTTGTGCTTTCCCAACGCGGAACACAGACCTCTGCCTTGATATAGTTAAGACGCTTGCACTGCTTCAAATCTGTCGCTCACATTATTCTTGAACACTTGACCGATATCTTCAACCATGCCCTGCGTATCCTTCAGCATGTCCTGTTCAGCTTTCAAAATATCCTCGGCCTCTTTCAGCATGTCCCGGGTAGCCTTCAACCTATCCTGAGCATCTTTTGCCGTCGTGGAGGTCTCCTTCTTTGACTTCTCGTCTCCCAATCTCAGCAGCTTCAACATGTCAATGACGCTTAGCTTGGAGACATTTGGGGCTCCGCGTTCATTGTTCGGTTGCATGTCCTTTTCGAACTTGACCACTGCCCATAGCTTCTTCAATCCTTCACGAAAATACTGGATTTTTTGGTGGTCGGAACTTCCATGAAATTTGAAGAACGACCATTTCTCTTCAAGCATACTTTCAAGTTCATTCGTATGTGGTTGTAGCAACTCCACTCCCGAGACACGATACCAGCCATCGAACTTGAAACCTTGCCGCAGCCAATTTGGGTGAAGATTGCAATGAGCGCGTTACCGCTAGCCTCGGTGGGAGTAACACTGGCCTTCAAATTCTCAGCCCTGTTGGAGTCATTTCTGCTGGAGGATACAAGGCCGCCGTAAACTTCAGCAGGCAGTAGATCAAGGTTAGATTTGACGAAGATGATGCCATCTTGTGCCCAACATGGATGGGCATCTTGGAACAGCAGAACATAGCTCAAGACACCGGGGTTTGTGGCTGAGCCGTGCAGCGTGGTTGAGGTATCCTTGCTGAAGCCCTCACGACTTGACCAGTAGTAGTGTTAAATCTCTCGCACAGAGTGAGATTGATCGACAACAGTTTCAGCATCACCAGGAGTAATCACGTTGGTTTGTTGAATGCCAGCTTTGGAGTGAGAAACATTCGACTCATGTGATTGATTCTTACCCCGGAAATGAGGTGGAAGTTAAGGGGTAGCCATGTTGTATAGGGTGGGACCCAAAACTGCAAGTGGACCAAGTATGTATGAGAGAGACTGCCTGAAGGTGGATTTAGAGGATGATAGGAAAAGAAATGAGAAGGAAGCTGGAACTAAACTAGAAGCAACTACGCCAGATATACCCTAATGCTAAGAGATCGCGTCCACCAGGCAGTTATCCACGACAATAGAGTACGTTGAGTGCTTGCACAGCCTGTGCATCCTCCCCTGCCTGGCATTGTCGATGGCAGCGGAGCAAATAACGCGCATGCAGGTCAACAGCCTCATGACAAAGAGCTCCTAGGCAATAGTTTGCTTCCTCCATAACCGCTACCTCTCCTCCCCCTCTTTTTCGGTCAGTACTCTCGTGGAAGTCACAAGGAACACTGACCTGCCTCAAAGCCTTGCGCTCCGGGAGGCTGCAGATGTATATGCGTGTCAGGCAGCGGCATACATGAAAGGGAGGCTTGGTGGCTCAAACAAAGGGCGGAAACTTACCTTCCTCCCAGGTTAGGAAGTTTGACAGAAGAAAAACAAGGCCAATTTGACTGCCTTGCATTGAATTGCATTGCTCTGGGAGTGTTTTCCATCGGAGGGGATCTACAGGCTACCTACCCACAGGAAACAAAGCCCGAGCCCAAGCTCAGCAAAAGCAAACTCTCGCGAGGTCGCAGGATATTTTTCCGGAGGAGTGTCCACATAGATGTCTTGCAACGATCAAGCGGAGATAGAACGAATATCGCGCCAAAGTATTCGTGGAAGGGAGTGGAGAAACGGAAAGAGGACGATGACGGGGACGGGGGAGTTGGGAAGTGGAAAGGAAATATCGAGAACATGACCAGGTGGAGAGAATGGGAGACGTAGGAAAGATCCTGAAGAGGGAGAGGTTCAGATTTGAATGACGAGACTGAGTAGGTGTGATATTCACAGATATTGGTATATATATATATATATTGGACTAGCAACTTGGCTTTTAACAACTTGGCCTTTGAAGACTGTCCATGACGCAAGACCCCTTTATTTCGCTCTCTTCCACCCACAACTCCCGCCTGTATCGAATCTAGTCCTTGTTGAGCTTCGCCCTAACCTTCGCTCCCCAGAGATAGAAGCAGAAGGGAATAAAGACCATCGCAACGCCGATGAAAGCCAGCAACCAAGACGCCCAATTCAAGCCGAGGCGATTGTACATCTGGGTAATGAAAAGTGGGAAAGCGGCACCGCCTCCAGATCGCAAAAAGACCTTTGCAGCCAGCGCGGACGCTGCGTACTTATGATAAGAGTCGATGATGTAATTATTGACGGAGTAGTAGCAGAGGACCATGCCAAAGCCAAATGCGAGACCTGACGACGCGGGTCCCACCCATATGATGTGGGGGTAGGAGGTGGCTCCGAGAATGAACAGCGATATGGGGATGAAGGGTGCCCCGATCAGGGCGCCGATCAGCCTGTCCTCTGGCGTCGGGCTACGCACGAGGCAAATGCGGCGGAACTGCTTTTCAATGAGGGGTGTCACGACCAGTGCGAAGCCAGCCCCGATCAGAATCGGGATGAACATCAGCCCGATCTGGCCGTCGTTGTAGTTGTACAACTCTCCGAATATGACTGGGTATGCGAAGAAGAACGCGTACAGCATCGCGTAGATCAGCACGATGTACATGCACATCAGGTCCAGGACGGGCTCGGTCAGGATCATCGTGATCGGTCGGATCAGGCTGGTGCGGATGACCTGGCGCAGCGTGAGTTTAGTCTTTTCTTGCTCGGTAATGATGTTCTCGTCGCCCGTCTCCTTTCGTAGTCGGGCGGCTCTCCTTTTGAGAATTACCGGAGCATAGGTCTCCGGGACCATGCCGATCAGGATCATGATCACACCCGAGAAGGCCATGTTCACCCAGAAGAAGAGGTCAAGGCGCCCCGTGCCGATGTTGATCCACCCGCATACTATCGGGCCCAGGACGGGACCTGCGTACGGGCCTGCGGCGAAATATGCAATCGCCAGGCCGCGGTCTTCGATGTTCCAGATATCGGCGATGGTGCCGCCCGCGAGAGAGAGACCGGAGCTGGAGAAGACGCCGCACAGGAAGCGCGAGACGAGGAGCCCGCCGATGTTGGGCGAGAGCGCACATGGGATGTTGAAGATGGTGTAGAGACCCAAAGAAATTATGTACACGGGACGTCTGCCGATGATCTCGGACAGCGGAGACCACAGGAGTGGACCGACGGCGAAACCACACACCATGATGGAGCAAGTCAGGATGGCGACTTCTAGTGAGACGTTGTATTTGTCTTGAATCAAGCCCAATCCGCCAGTCACGATGGATGAGCCATAAGCAATACAGACGACCAACATTGATGCCATCAGTGTGATGTACCATCGATAAAGGTCCGACCAATTATGGGGGTTCTCCGGGTCGTTTATCGTGAAGGTCACGAACTCTGCACGAGGCTCCTCGCCGGCTTTCTTCTCCAGGTCAGGCTCATCGTTCGAAGTGGAGCTGAGATTCCAAGACGGCTGAGGGTCTCTTCTGAACGCAGCAATGGAAGGCCTGGATCGGATTTGCTCTAGGGTGCGTTGTGGTACGAGACCAGTCGCTGTTTCGATGGTGTACTCTTCCGGGAAGAGAGGTGGTTCTTGTCGTCCAACTTCGGGGTAGTTGACGTCGATTGCTGGTGGGTGTTCTGATACCCCTAGGTTTTGAAGTGTTGCTCGGGTTTCCGTCCGATATAGTCTCAAGTTCAAGTCCTCATGCTGGGCTGTTTGTGGTGAGCCTTGGGGCTCAGGCTCCTCTGATTGGGGTTGAGACATGGTGGTAGATAGAGGTGTTTGTGTTGATGTTTTTGGGTGTTGGTGAAGGAAGATTGTAGAGGTATGTTGCAATTCGTGACTGGTTCCTGGTCAGGGAGAGCATCGTGAACTTGGAAGTGGCAATTGTCCATGCTTAATATACGGATTCGACGCATAGATTCAAGCAGGATGTTGATGCTTTGATAGATGGTGAGTCCTCAACCATCAGGAGTAATCCCTCTCCCTCGCCGACCTTCTGCCGATCTAAGACCGCGCTGTTTAATTCGTTAATAATCGGCGTCATTCGTAAGACTCGTTCTCCAAAACTGGCAAGGCGGTATCTCGGATGTTTAGCCGGCTGGCTTGAAACGGCTTAGTGCCCTGGCGATGGTTTATCCGATCCGTCACTCTAAGTGGTATGTAGAACTTTCTTCTTTGTGTGGTGCGCTTCCCAGCTTGGTGGGTGAGCACACGGCACCGCTGCTAAATCAACTAATGTAGGCAAAATAATTACCTCGTAAGTATGCAGGTCCAATCAAGTTGAGATCTTCGATGACAATGGAGGTCTCTCTTGCATACGGTTGGTAGATCACAGCAAGAGGAAGTGGAGCACCAGATTCTTCTGCGGGTGTGCTGCACCTCTTTAAACCTTAGGCATTGCTCGCGAGAGACCGTGAAGATGGGGTCGTTCGGGCATGGTTGCGTGGTATAAGACTTAAATGTACATGCGATCCAACGAGCACGCCGAAAGAAGAAATGCTTTAATTTGCTTATCAGATCCCCAAGCCGAAAGATTGTTTTCATCTGCAAGGATGGAATAAACAATGCCGATTGTTTCAAAGCTTCTAAAAAGGAGAAAGGGTCTATTTCCTGCATAAGAATTGAATATGCCTGGCAGTGCGGTAGGGTTCCCCACCGTCAACAGAATACTTCATCAGTCATGATCCGTTCGTCATTTCCCACTCTCCGAACGCCTTTCTATCGCCCAATGCCTTTCACGTTCAAGTGCCGCATTGCGGTCGCCAAAGTGGGCAATTCACTTCAATTGGAAACGGTATCTCCTGCCCACTGCATCTCATGACTGCTCAAAAGCCATAAGATGGACGTCCTCTTTCTGGGCAATGTCTGAGTTCGTGTTCATCGTTCACAGACTGCCCCGCCTAGGGAAAGCGACTCCTTCAACAGCTGCACTATCGGTGAACCATGAAACCTTTTCGCCAGCACCCTCATTGACGAGCCCGCAGGGAAGACTGCGACCCTCATCATCTGCCTCAAGGATCTTCTTCAAGATCTCCTTCTTTCCACCACCAGTGGCCACGAAGGCGATCTTGTGTGCATGGGTGACAACAGGGAGAGTAAGAGTAATTCTCCGCGGGGGCGGTTTGGGACTGTCATCAATGCTTGCGACCCAGGCATCTACCTCTCGTAGTAGTTCATGGCCGGGGAAGAGACTGCATGTGTGGCCATCGGGCCCACAACCAAGGAGGATAAGGTCAAAGATGGGCAGGCGCACGCTGTCCTTGTTGGCGAAGCCAGACATGAGGATCTCCTGATACTGATCGGCGAGATCTTGTGTGTTGTCGAGATAGTTGAGATCGATTGGGTAGACATTGGGTTTGCCCTGGTCGGAAGGTATCTTATCAAGCAAATCTTTCTTCAGGAGGCCGTAATTGCTATCTTCGTGGTCGAGGGGTACCGCGCGCTCGTCAGCGAAGTAGATGTGCCACTTCGGAAATTGAGGGGAGTGCAATGGGTCTTCATTGTCACTGGGGACAAGCAAGGCCTTAGCTAAGGTCGCAGGCAAACTCCCACCGGACACTGCGATCTTGAAGGCATCATGGCGATTGAGGGCAGCCTTCTGGGTCTGCAGGATATAAGTGCGCAGGTTGGCAGCGACTTGGTCGACAGTGGGGTAGCTGTAGAGATTGGGTTGTTTGCCCATGATAACGATTGGATGCAGAGGGTATCGACGCAACACCGACACAGTAGAGGATCTTTCGGAGTAATGCTGTTCAGGCAGATCGGAGGTATCAGGTCAGAGCAGTTACATCGAAGGGTGAAGCTGGGTGAGTTCGCAGCTTTGCTGAAGACAGAGGTGGCACAAGGTGAAAGAGTATTAGTTTAGTTGCGTTTGAGGATCTCTCGGCAAAGATTGGTGAGTGAGGCACTGAGGGAGCGATGGTGGTTGGTGGGAACCAAAAAGGGTCTCGGCCCGCAGAATGAAATTATGACGTTTCAGGGATTGGGGACCGAACTTCAGAGTGAAATACTCCGTACATACAGGATGCAGAAGCGCCACGTTGCCAGCAATACTTAGTTGTGGTTCAGGAGTTTCCATTATTATCCAAATGAAGACGATGCAAGATTGGGCTTGACTTTCACAGAAGGAAGGAGTCCACAAGTGTAATTCTCACCAACGACTGGCATTTCACTTAACCAGGCTCCATGCACTGGGTGCTTGTACGGATACCCTACTCCGTATGCAGACTTGGCAAAGGGAAGAAAGGGCGGATATGGTTTCCGGAAGTGGGAAGGGAATTCGCTCCGAAGTGCCATTTGAAACCACGTGATGTAGGTATCACGTGATCGGCTTGGCTTGCTGAAATGGCCGTCCAGTCCAAGACAACGCGAAGCCGTGTGACGAGTAGAAACCAGTTTCTGGAACTTTTCATTCTGGAACTGTCGATGACGCCTTTCTAATGAGATTCGTAATAATAGGCGGGGTTATAAACCGTCGCAGGCAACAGGTGGATATGAGGTCCGTATATGTGGAGGTCGGTTGCTCGGGACGTACAGGATTTGAACGAATGAATCAACGTTGTCTTACGGAGGGTGCCTAGACCGAGGGCCATGTCATTCTTTTGCACAAAACGTGCGAGAATTCAATCTGAGGAAGACGAAGATCGCCATCAGGCTAGCCCCAGTTGAAATAAAGAGTTCATAACTTGGTTTGGGGAAGAGCAAAACTTGGCTGAGCCACAAGGCCGATGACGTTTCGAGGTAGAGTGTGGCGCTGGATTTTGCTTGTACGAGCACTCGGACTCCGTACTCCGCACAAATTGCCAGTAGCACGGATGTTAGCGCCCCTCTGGATGCTGGCGGCGAAATCTTCCTCATACTGGTACTCGTCGCAGCTTGTCGGATCACGATGCCGAGCATTGTGTTTGGCAGGGCACGACAGGGAGACTGTGGGCGGCAGCCATCTTGCCATTGCCAGTGGCCCAATGCTCATGAAAGTCTCCTCGAATAAGTAGCTGCTAACCACAGCTAGTAAGTACTTGGAATTAGTGCTCGTAGCTAAGCCGTTAGTGTTAGGCTGCGCGGCGTGTAGAAGTGGCGTTGCAATCGGGAATATCGACTTTGATCGATTCTGCATCTCACGCTTGACCAACATTCCCATCTTTCCTTCGAAGACCACTTTGTCCGTTGACTTTTGGACCAATCATTCCGCCCTTCTCTGTGTCTCGATCGCGATCTCGACTGTCTATCTCTTTCTGCCATTCGCGGTCTGAACCGGATTTTGGCTCCGCGCGTACATTCCTTGAGCCAACTGCCCCCATGGCCCTTCACGTTCCTCCTTGCCGCTGCCCACCTTCACTTTATAACTCTCCCCCTTCCATTTTCCTTCAACACTACGAGATAGCATACCCATTCGATCTCTCCAAGCACACTGCCATTGCCGTTCTCTTCTATAGCCTTTTAAACCCATGTCGTCGCCACCTTCCATTCTGCAGCTTCAAGCCCAAGCGGCCGCTGGTAGCAGCCCTGCCAAAGACGGCATTCTCACTAGATCCAAAAACACCAGCGATGAATCTGTCAACAGCATATCCTCCAGCGGTTCCGCCTCCCCCAGCTCATCTATCGACATTGTACGCTGTTCACGCTGTCAACGGTCTATGAGCATCGATATGACCAATCCTGCAGTTCGATCTGGTGCCGTCCGCTTTGGCATGAACTCTTACTATTGCAACCGATGTGCGAACGTCGTTGGCTTCGTTAAATGAGTCCCTATGAAAATGATCGTTCAACGAACCAATCAGACTCTGATTGGCTTTTCGACCTTTGACATCGAATAATACCATAACAAACACATGTCCCAGTGACGCTGGTCAGAGCATCGCTGTCCCAACAAAGAGCCCGACAGTGCCACAATCCGCATCAGGTACACAGGATCCCACAAAGGTCCTTTGCGCAACCATAGGCTCGCGTGCGCCACTTGTATGACCCTGTCTGTCCTACACTGAGGTACCCTTCCGGCGCCACGGGGATGAGCTCGATTTGGTGCGGAGATTGAGCCAGCCTCGACAACTACATTCCCCGATTGTTTCCCAATCTTCGACCGCCATCAGTAGCGAATGCGTGTCATGGGACTGAAGAAATTTGGGTTTGTTGGGGACAAGGGTCCCAACCGGATGGTGGATGACACAGCCTTTGCATATGAGCACAAGTGCGACGACCATGCAAGGTGCAAATGCTGGTATACATATGCATATCGTTTTGGCAGATATAAATCAACACCACTTCCCTCAATGAGGATGACAATCGAGGATATCCTTGGAGATCCGTCCGGCCGTCGCCTCCTCTTCATCAGTCCAGTTGGTTCTGCAGCTCGCATCTGTGCTGCGTGACGGATTGGTTACATAGCCACCCAGTCTCTAATAAACCTCATTTTCTTCCATTTTACCTAAGATTTGTTTGTGATATGTCCTACTGAGTGGCCATCGATCAGCTACCGGCACACACACTTGACGTAGAAAGATGGACGATTTCTCCGGAGATGGGATTTCGGACATTGGTCAAATTCATCCATAGAGAGCCCTTCCAGTCTTAACGTCTTGAGATATACACACACGGACCAATCAAGGCTATAATGGACTCACAGTCCCAATCGCCTGGAAGCCATTGTCGACCTCGTGTTCTGATCTCGATCTATTTTACCCGTTGTCCTGGGCCAATTTTGTGTCATGAACCCGAGTTTCAAGCCGTAATAAGCTACCAAATGTGCTGTCATGCATCTAGCCGTTCCGGATGTCACCCTATGCAAAATTCTACCGATTCTCAGAGCATGCAACCTCGCCTTCCTCCCGCGTATTAGCTTTTTGACAAAGCACCTCGAGAGTCAAGATCACCTCGACCAGGAGCTCTTCTTGGTTCAGTGGATCTGGGCTGATGGGATCGTGCACCAGAAGTTAGAACTCTTCGTTCCCAACTTCGGCTCCTTTACAAGAATCCTTGTGCTTGCAACCGAAGTCCTGGATCCCTGGATCGAGCTAGTGTGTCAACTTGTCAATGTGCTCCGGATCTGAAAAGCCACCCAATGTCCGACTAGCCGGCATCCACACTGACCATCAATCAGGGCTGGTACGGAGTACATAGGACTCAAGATCCGCGCGACTGATCATTTCACATCGTGGAAGCGTCAAAACCCTGTCCAACACTTCAGTCTTTTACTTGTCAAGAACCATTCCGGGGAATTCCTTGGTTGTAGGATAACTATCTGACTGGCATGAGGCTCAACTGCTGTTGCAGTGTGTCTGACTGGGTCGACTTGGAGGACTCCACACGCGAGCCCGATCCCCGTGTTCCACAGGGCTCAGTAGTTAGATCTCCTGTTAGGACCTGAGGAGAGATCTCGGATTCGTGGATGGCACTGCCATCTTGACTTGTCGTCGATGGTCCAAATCCACTAATTGCCAGCCACCTCTTGCGAACAGCAGAAGTCCCGAGTCCCAACAATAAGGAGTCTCAGAACGGTGGGAGTGTCCAATTGCTTTCAAGGATGATATAGACATTGAGCTCACTGGACCCTGCTTGTTCACTTGCTGCCGTCATTGCTCCTCTGCACCTGCAGGCGACGACGTACCGGGGGCTGGTCAAATACGGTAGGTCCTACATATCAGCCCATGTCAGGGTTTCGTTCGATGGGTACGAGGTACCCTCGTACTCCATACGGAATACAAAGCCCATTATCAGACTCAGCCACCCCTTTAACCATCCACACTGCTATCCTAATCTATTCTAGCTAAGCCTAGCTCAGCAAATCTCGTGTCTGCTACCATCTTGCATGATCATGTGGTTGCGATAGGCACAGGTTCCGATCTCTCTCCCTCCCAGATCTCGGATCCTGGCCAGCTGCCATTCCGTCCAAGGGGGCGGACAGGGTTCGGATTGCCTCCTTCCCCGTGGTTAACAGCTCCCTATTTTCGGTTCATCATACATACCGGCCATGCGGCACCGAATTTGAACGCATCCATCATGGCTCCAAATACATAAGACGATATGGGTCTCCAAATGATATATCAGATCTCTCATCTGACTACAGCATGCACTAGATCGTCTTGCTTTCACCAAGAGCTGTACCAATCGGCCTGCATCCAAAACAGCTATCAGAACGGCTCCACTACAATAGTGACGTTCTCCCTCTCACGAGACTGCTTCACTGACAAAGGTCACAAAATAAATATTGAAGCTTTTGTGTAGCAAGACTTGGGGACATGACATTCGCTCAAAGGCTATAAATTAGATCGCCTCTTCTCAGAAGCACTTCTTGAGCATGAGCTTTTATCATTCTGGAATTCAAAATATCTCAAAGGGTCAGTGAACATCTCGTGTTCAACGGAACCGCCCTGGCCTGGACTCTGAATTTCTCGCCTCGCTAAGTGGTTCAAAAGATTCCTTGTTCTAAACCCACCCTGCTTGCAGACTTGTGGATAATACTCCCTGTCTTTTACTGCAGCCTCGTCTGGATGCAACCGTCTGCCACTCCCGCTTCCCCGTCGATACGCTCTCCGATATTCAACCCTTGCCTATGGTTATGCATCAGATCAGGTCTATAAAGGTTGACATCCACATACTGTTCCCACACAATTGCGGTGAAGGTATCTGTCAGCAGGAGTGTCAAATTCATTGGCCATTATCCCAGCACGTGGTAGAAAGAACAAGAAGTTCTCGGCCTCACCGAGCCCAAGAATGACCATCTTGTCAACCGTCAACTTGGCATCTTCCACAAACATGCCTCAGGAGCGTCAGCGAGTTCGTGATGCAAGCAAGGACGACGCCCAGTTTATTATTCTTGTCAGGGATGTATGTATCATATTGCTTCCCTACATTTCGGCCATGCTGACTTCGCTGGTGAGATTCCACGTCAATGTCGATGGCAGGAACTCAAGGACATGACTCGACTTCTGGGAGGGGAACAAAGCTTGAAGGCCGAAGTATTTGAGCTTCGTGATGGATCTCAATTGGGACATTGCACTGTCAAGGGAAGGACTGCGGCTAACCAGGTGTATGGTATGCCATCCAGTGACAAGACCACTACTTTCACTAGCTGATTGCTAATCGCAAACAGAGGGCTTCTGTCAACATGGCTGGAACGGCCTCTCTGTCATTGTTTCCCTGGCCGTTCTTGAGAAGGGAATTTTGACGACAATCGAAGGTCCAAAGAAAACCACTGGCGTAGACCAAGCATGCTCAGCCAGTGTCCGGTACTCTTGTGCTCAAAGTACCTCTAGTCAGAGCAGCAACCCTTCTACCATGTATGAATCGCCTGTGCTGATTGAAACCTTCTCGTGCTAATTATTAATGCATAGGCCTTACACCAGTTCAGCTCGTCAATCTGTACCTACGCCCCTTGCCGCGCCATACGGCCCCGGATGCATGGTGGGAAGGTCTACACCAGCAACTAGTGGACATCCGGTCTACACCTCTGGATTAAACAAGTACCCTTCCGCATACCAAATAGCTCCAGCTTATAGCACCTCCTCTGTTCCTAGTGACTACCCAGCATCACCACGCCACTATACTCCAGGCTATTCAACTACAACCACTTCGTTGAGCTCAGCCACGAGCAAATCCCGTTCAACCAACGACGGAACCACCATCTTTCTGTCCGGTCTGCCCTACTATCAATCTGAAACAGAACTGCGCGGCACGCTTCAGTCGTACGGACCTCTCGTCTATCTTGAAATCCACCCTGACAGCCGCAAATTGGGAAAGGGCAAAGGTACTGCCCGAGCCCGATTCCAAACATCACACCAGGCCCTCAATGCCATTCGAGGACTTGATGGGCTGTGTCTAGGTGGCCGCAAGATCAGTGTCAAACAGGCGAAAGAAGATGGAACAACTTCAACGACAATGTTGAGCGCGAAGGCCGTTTCTGACAACCATCGACCTGTGCCGAGCCCCACGTTACAGAAGAAGACCAAGCCAAGCAAATCTCGCGGTCCAGCCTCTTCGGCACCATCTGATAAGAGCGGCAACACTGGCGGCCATCATTCATCCAACAACGCTGGCCCGCTTGTGGTGAACGGCGCCAGGAATTCGGCGGCCAGTTGGAGAAACAGCCGGGGGAGAGCCAGTGAGAGCGACGAAAGCAGTGAAGAATCCAGTAATGAAAGCTCGGAAGACAGCTCGGAAGATGAGGATGGGAACGGGAATTACAGGAATAGACACGGTACGTGCTCTCACAGCCTGTCCACCAATCGAAGTTGGGATCACAACCTCTGACTTTATCTTCCTACCTGTCTGAACAGCCACCGTGGTATCTAGAGGGGTCCGCGGATCGAGAATCTGAGAAGAACCACATCTTCTTTTCCAAGTCTTCCCCCCAACCCCTGTTCTTCTCCTTCTCCTTCTCCTTCTTCTTCTCCTTCCTCCTCCTCCTCCAATCTCCAATCTACTGGACTCCTTATCTCATTGCAGACTCCCGTTCCACCATACCTAATCCTTTCCTCAAGGATACCAATCGCCGTGGGTTGAACGGCACCAGGAATAGGCATGCCTTAACCGTTGCACGCGGTTCTGGGAGATAGAGATGGGGGAGCACCGCTCCCGGGCACTTCACTTCAGGAAATGGGGCAGCAGTCCGCAGGAAAAAATGTAACGGGCAATGGGCATTGAGAACAATTCATAGAAAAAGTGGACTATCCATAGGGCTTTTTCTACGGGAAAGGGTTCGAAATGGGAACGTGCGGAGGAAAGGGGGGCCGGCTCTCAAGGCTTTATGGGTCGGGTCATTAAATGTTGTCATCATCATTTGTGTGCTGGCTGGGGTATGGATAGACTGAAAATCCAGGCTAGGCTTTGGCGATGACGAGAGAAAAGAGTAGGAGGCGCGGGAGGACAAGTAGCAGAAAACAAAATCGAGAGCAAGTGTTTGCTTTTCCCCCCGGCCCAAGGCTTCCCCTTCCATGAGAAGCCTACAGAAAAGACAGCCCCCTTCCTTGATTCCCAGTCGTTGCTGTCCAACAATCAACCTGCGAAAAGATTGTTCTCTGGACAAGAAAACCCATCTGATCAGACCAATTTCCATACTCAAAAAACTTAGGGCCAATCCCTCTCTGCACTCCTGGCCATTTTGGTCCTTTACATTATTATCGCACAGTTTGCCGAGAGATGGAAAACTTATAAACCACCCTCTCTCATCCCCCAAAAAATGTCAGGTCAGGTTGGCTGTCATGAATAGAACACGCTCTTCTGGAAACTCTCTGCTGTGATGTCACCAGGCTTGCCGGTTACTGGTGGTCCTTTGGCGTTGACAGGTACCGGGACCTGCGCCTTGTTCTGCGTCAAGTTCGTTGGGCGATAGATGGAGCTCATGGACTGTGTTCGATTGCTGTCTTCAAGTAGTTTCGTTGCTGCTGTCACCGGTCCAGCCCCCTTCATGGTACCAGTGCGACTCCCTGGTGCTGAAGCGGTTGCCGTGCCCTCAGTAATCTGGGGTTGTGTTCTTTGGGCAGGTCTTTGAATTGGCTCAAGATATGGTGATGGCAAATATCCTTGCTTACCATCTCTGGCACGACATCTCCACCACTCCGAGGCATTGCCCATGGGATCCGTCTTTGAAAGGACTGCCACAAAGTCGCCCTTCTTGGCTTCAAGATCCATTCCGCCGCTGTTAGGGGCAGGAGTGTAATCGTACAACACCCGGCAAAAGTCCAAGTTTCGGGGGTCGATTGGAACTTGTTGGCCAGATTGGTTGGTGTATGAGAGTGGCATCTGCTCTTGCTGGCGACGCATCTCCTCTTCCTGCGAGCGTGCCATTGCGCGTATTAACTTGCCCATCAGATAGGGAAGGCCGAATGCAGCAAGCGCAAACATGATCAGTGGCTTCTTGGATGGCCGAGCCGGAGCGGGTGAGCCATCAGGCAGAGTGGTGGGGGAAGAACCACCGGAGAGAAAAGATGAGAAGTTGGCGGGAGTGAGGGCGGCGGCATCAGCTGGAGGTGGACGGCCAGTGAGTTTGGCTAGCAGAGTGCGCATCCATCGCATGAGGGTATAGATTCCCAAGACACTGCCGAGGGTTTGCCGAAGGTTTCCCAGTTGTTCAGCCATTGAGACCATGGCTGCGATATCAATCAGCGATGCCAACGTAGGCCGTAAATGGTAAGACACTCACCGAAAAAGGAAGAATGAGTGGTCATGTAGGCGCTTTCGAGCATTTGAGCAAAGCCTCCAAAGGCTCCAACAATACTCTCCATGATCTGAAATGTCGCAGCAGTGCTCTGGTTCCATGTCTGGGTCAAGCTCTGGTTGTTGGGATTGTTAGGGTCGCCTGGCATGCCGGGAAAGCCGCCGTAGCCACCGCCGTACATGCTGTTCCCGTACATGCCACCTCCGTAGCCACCATAGCCCCCTCCATACATTCCTCCCATGCCGCCGCCCATGCCGCCGTACATTCCACCCCCACCAAAGCGCGAGTAGGGTGAGGAATACGAGGAATATGGAGAGGAATAAGCGTTGGTGGCAGTACCAAAGCGATTCTGATTGGTGTAATTGGAAGCTGTTTGATTCACCACATTGTTAAGTGTAGATGGCCGATCGGGCAAGGCCGGGGCAGAGGAGGTAGAGTCGGCCATAGCAGTAGACGCGATGGGGGTCGCGATTCCAGAAGTAGCTGGCGAGAGAGGTCAGTACATGGAGGGAAAAGCAAAATGAGGCACTTGTTCAGTACCTGTCGATGCAGCACGCTCCCAGGGTTTCGGCGGCGAAACAGTAGTCATGTTATTTCGGCATGCTTGGTGGTAAGATTGTAAGGTCGGCTGGCAATGTAGGGACGCAGTGGTAGCCTGGCAGGATACAATGAAGGTTGGTAGGTATGTGGTAGTCTAGGGAAATCGATAAAGCCTGGTACGACTGAGATAGGACAGGGAAAAGAGAAGGAGTGGAGGTGGTGAAATGAGACTTGAGTTGTGCTCGTAACTGGCAAGAGAGGCTGGATTTGCACACCCGAAAAGTCAAGATGCCGAGGTGATGTTAGCGCACCTGGAATTCACCTTAGTAACTAACGGCCGAGCCCTCCGTACTATGAGTCTTCACTGTTAGCACTGCCCCCCATTCTCTGTGACAACTTTCGTAGTCAATCCATCATCTATTCCTTCACGAGCCTATCTCTGCGGCTGCTATCCCGAGGAAACCGATCCTTGTCAAGTGCCAGTGTTCCACTGTTTGATGGTCCACTGCAAAGCACCAAGCCGACTGATGCGCACGATAATAATAGTGAACTCCCTTGCGAGACAATCAGGATTCCCAGGGTAATTGATTGCCCACAAGGAAACACTCGCCTAAGAAAGAGCCTCTACTCACTAATCATCATCCCCGGCATGGATATGAAGGTTGGGTCGAGAAGCATGTGGAAGATGGATGGCACCAGTTGGGCGCCAGTGCCCCTCTGACGTGCCATCACAAGCTAGTAGTACTAGCTAACCATTACTGGCTACTACGCCCCGGAATGTCTGTCCGTATTTCTGCTCCACCGTATGGAATATGCAGATCCAGAGGCTCCTGCCACGACAGGCTGCGTAGTAAACTGAACCCCAACTTCCAGGGTGTCCAACCAGACACATACATCGCACTCCATACTGCTGTCGCAATATAAATCTCCATAGCCATTCAGGCTTTCCTGACTTGGTCTGTCACAATTTCATCCTGTCCTTGCGCTTGCCTCAATCGCCCGGAGCCTTCACGGACGTTGACGAACACTTTCAATGGTACCACCTATAGGAGCAATGATACTGATCCAGTTCCCTCGATGAACTCGACCCAAGATGAGGGCGAGAACACCCTTCGCGACCCAGACTTGTCCGAAGATTCCGAAAACATCCCAAACAAGGAGCAACAGCATTCTCAAGACGCGGATGACGATATCCCCAATATCATCCCCTCAACCCAAGATTCCTCGACAGTAGAGGGTTCACAAGTACAACTGAATGATTTTCCTGTCCAACAGAATGGAAGCTCAACAGGGGATCATACCCAGCTGCAGGACGTCGTGACAAATGGACTAGATGGACCTGTGCCTTCTTCTCAACAAGACAAGGACCACAGTAACGACGGATCATTTTCCACTCTGGATGACACCCCATCGGCCCAGGACTCGTTACTTTCCTCACCTCGCAGCGAAACCGCCTCTCTACGTAGTCCTGCTCGAAGGGGGAGCCCTTCAAATATCCACCGGCCCTTCGACAGCAGATTTCAATCTCGTCTTTCCGGCGCCCACTTCTCTCCTCTGCGACCCGCTTCCCCTGCTTTTCTCGCCTCCCACTCCCGTCACTCGTCTACCGCTAGCTTCGCCTTCCAACCTCCTTCGGAACCAGATGATACTGCAGGTCCTTGGGATGTCATAAGATGGAACAAGTTCAAGAAGATTACGGGCCAGGCATTCTCTGAAATTGGGAAGAGAAATTTTGGCACTCCTACGTGCCTTGCTGCGTCCGATCAACTTGTTGTAGGCACATCTAAAGGCCTCGTTTTGGTCTTTGATCAACTGCAGAACCATAAGGCCATCATTGGAGGTGGTACAAAAGCCGCCGAGAGTGGTGCAGTATCTTCCATCGCCATTTCTGCCGATTATACAACTATTGCAGTGGGGCACTCGACAGGACACATCTTTACTTGGGAACTCGCCAGGCCAGCCAGACCATTCCTCCATATACAACCAATCGACAACTCCCAGCCTCAGGCTAGACGCGGCGATGGCCATATCATAGGTAGTGCCGTTCCCCATGTCGGATTCCTGGGCTATCGACACACTGCCCTCGTCTCCGCCGACGATAAAGGCATGGCATTTTCACACTTGGCCACGAGAGGCATGGGAGCTGTTGGACGGGTTGTTCGAACCACCCGAATCTTGGGTAGATATCCTGAAGTAGTTGCTCGTGCAACTAAACCACTAAGGAAGAGCTCCGTTCTCGCCTTCTCGCCGCTGCCACTTGGTAATATTGAACAGAGAACAGATGGACTTGGACTGGTCGCGATGCTAACTCCCTATTTGCTGGTAATCGTTTCAACTACCCCTATCGCTCAAACACAGCACAAAGCCGCTCGACCGAAGGAAGTGGCCGCGCACAGTGCAATGACTGCCGCTTTAGCATGGTTCCCTGCCATAAAACTTAAGACCCAGGACACAGAAGTCTCTAAAACAAAGCTTGTGTATGCATGGTCGAATATTCTCACTATTTTGGAGGTCCATGAAGCACCGCCAGAGGATGAAAGGAATAAAGACAAGCCTCCAGAACTACAATTCCTGGCCCGAAGCCGTTTCCAAGCAGAAGAGGCTATTGTCGCAGTGCAATGGCTAAACAGATCGGTTCTCGCTGTTTTAACCATCACACAACAGCTTCTGATCATTGAGGATTTGACGATGCATGTGACTGAAGCTTTCGATCTATTGAACAAGAGCATCTACCACGCGGATCTCTACTCTCAGCAGTTGTTGTCCATCATTGAACAGCTTGATGAAGAAGACACTTCCATGCATGGTGTTGTAGCAGATGCCTTCCACATGAGTTTCCGTGCGTACAAAGGCCGGCTGTTTCTCCTTGGTTTCAATGATATATGGATTGGAGCCCTGACCAATTGGGCAGATCGATTACTCGCTCTAATGAATGTCGGCGATTTTATCGGCGCAATCCGACTTGCGACGAGATATTACATGGGTGAAGGCGAGAAGTCTACAATTGGCTTGCCTGAGGAAGATGCCGTGAGGTCCGGGATGGTACAAGAGAAACTTTCGGAGATGATGGCTGCCTCCTTAAAGTACGCCTTTGGCAAAAATCAGCGGGCTGGAAATGAACCAATTGAGAAGCCCCAAATGGTTGAATTGGCTGATGCATGTCTAAAAGCATGCCTTGTGATGCACGACCTTGACTTTCTATTCGAGGAGGTGTTTGTCTGGTATGACGACAATGATGAGGGACCAATATTTGTGGATACTCTGGAGCCTTACATCCTTGACCGAACGATAGTCTCCCTCCCACCACCAGTTTTAAAGTCGTTGATCGACCACTTCGTCCTTACGCACACTCCATCTACATTGGAGGAAATCATCTGCATGCTAGACACATCAACAATGGACTTGGACCAAGTCACCACGCTTTGCAAACGACACAATCTGTACGATGCATACATCTATGTCTGGACGATGGCACTGCGAGATTTTACGACCCCTCTAAGCTTACTCCTGGGATTTGCTGATCCTGACCAATCAATCCCCTCAGCCACTGTCTCACAAACCGATCGTTTTCAATCGGCCCAGAAAATGTTTCCTTATATCTCTTTCATCCTTACAAGCCGTGTATACCCTACAGGGACCGATTTGTCTGAGGATGAATCAAACGAAGCAAAGGGCCAGCTATATGATTTCTTTTTCTCCGGAAAACCAGCAGCCAATGGAGTTTCAAAGAAAGCAGGTGACAAGACGGCCATCAAGAAAACAGCCGAGTCATTTGAGATGCTTACTCAGATACTGCATTTTGATGCACCAAATTTCATCGCCGCGTTAAACGAGGCATTTGAGGATAGTTTCTTGAACTTAGGCGATGAAGATGCCTTTACGGAGTCTCACTCTCCCCAAGGGCCCACGACACGGATTTATACGCGCCAATATGTTGTTCGCATAATGTTAGAAGTCATGTCCTCCGGGTTTGAGGCTGACGAAACCATCTACCTAGACATGTTCATCGCTCGCAATCTCGCCAAATTTCCTCAATATCTGATTCTCTCCGGTACCATCCTGCAGGAAGTCTTTTACCGGTTATGTAAATACTCAGAGGAGGGAATGCGGGACGATGCTCAGCTGAGCGTGGAATATTTACTGTCCATTTACCAACCGCCAAATATCCTGGAATTTGTCCCTTCTCTTCAGGAGGCACACTTCTATCGAGTCCTCAAATCGGTTTTCAAGCAAGAACATCACTTTGCTCAAATGATACACACCTATTTCCTAGATGTTGAAGCACAGGAGGATGTATTTCAGGCCATCGTTGACTGCCTCAAGACTAGCTCCAGGTTGCTCGAAGAACAGCGGCTAGAGGTCAGACAGGTGATAGAAGAGCATGCTGGAGATCTCGTCGATCTTGATGTCGAGCGAACTGCCTTTGCCATTGATGAAGTCTGCCCAGATCTGCATTCGACGTTCCTCAACGTGCTCAGTGAGGATGAGTATGGCCAATTCACGTATTTGAAGACACTGCTGGACTTGAAAGATCAGCCAGGCCATCAACGGGTTTACAGCAATAGCTTCAAAGAGCTCTACATCCGTCTACTTTGTCGGTTCGATTCTAGTCATGTCAGAGACTATGTCGAACGTGTCAAGGCGGGTGATTTACGTCTTGAAGAGGTGCTACCAACCATCGAAGAAAGTGGCAATATTGATGCTGTGGTAATATTGCAAGCACAGCAAGGCCATGTCAAAGATGCCATAGAGCGGCTGAATCGACATTTATCCTTTCTAGGAACCACATTGAAGGCTGTGAGCTCGAAGTCATTTGGTGAAAACGACGACGAGTCATTAAGACATCCTGTCGAGGGTTTGCTTGAGTCCGTGGAAAAATATGCTCAGATTGGGATTTGGTTATGTCAAGCCCAAATGAAAAACGTCTCGAAGGCGACAGGACCGGCCAAATCACCGAGAAGATCTGTGAGCGCTACGAGAGCACTCTCATTTGAAGAAGAGCTCTGGTTAGAGCTTATTATTTCGGTTGTGGCTATCGCCCGCGATTTGTCCATGGGCTCGCTCAGGGAACAGGTTGGTGAACAAGCTGATATCACGACATCATTGCGAAGTGTCATTCAGCAGGTATTTACAGCATTGCTGGTAAATACCACTTCTGTTCGAGAGAGCTCGGGTACCCGAGATATGATGTTTCTACGCATTCTTCGTGCTTTTCTCACCCACGCAGCCGAAAGTAGCCCGTCTCTGTCCGAATTGAGAAATGTGATCAGCTCCATTTTTTCGGCTTATGCATATGAAGAGTCACTTCTGGCCCTGTCCAATTCGATGATGGACAAGGATGTTTTTGTTCGCCTTGATGAAGTAACAGCTCTCAGGCAGCGCGGTTGGAGGCCAAGGGGCCAAGTCTGCGAGGTATGTCGACGCCGAGCGTGGGGACCCGGCATGGGAGTCCGTGTTTGGGAAGAGTGGGAGAAGAAAGAAGAAGCAAGATCACTCCGAAGGTGTCGCCTTCAACTGGGTCTACCCTCGGACGACGCAGAAGAAGTGGATCGTGGCAAGGGTAAAGCTACAATTGACGTAAGCCCGCAAGAGCCAGCTGAGGAAGAAAGACCTGGTGGCGGTAGTGAAGCCTTGGGACCGATAGTGGTTTTCTCATGTCGACATTTGTATCACCAGAAATGTTTAGTCCCTGGACAGATGGAAGACGGTTCCATTGGGCTCGCATGCCCGGCTTGCGTATAGTCTGATAGAGATATAATCCACAGTAATTTCCCTCTGCCTCAAGTATTAAAAGCTCACCAAATGTCTCCAGTGTACGTGAGTAGTCGACATGGAGTATTTGGCGTAAAGTGCCAATTGATAGAAGGTATTCGCGCTGTGCATTGCGCCAAAAATCCGAAACACTTTGATCCCTGAGAGTGCGGGCTAGCCTCGCACGTGACATACTAAAGTCGCGCTCTTATTGGTCACTCCTGGACGTCCAAGTTCGAAGCCCCTTTACCTGCCCCTTCTCTGCTCCGTCTCGTGTTTTTACGCGTCTATGACTCGTTGCCTCCATGCCCCGAGCACGTCGAATATTTGAAGGCCGATACAGTCCACCTATCAGACGTTGCCTATCTGTTATCTCTTACGTCTTTTCCACCCTGAGGTTTCATCTGTGTGGAACAAGATGCCCAATGCTGATCTGCCACTGCGTTTCGGATATGTCAGCCCTCCCGATGATATGCCCAGTGCTGTTGTTGGATCTCTCTGCTTTGAGTTTTCTCGTCTATTCGATCACTGTGCTTTAAATGTGCTGCCCCAGTCGCAATTAAACAGCATTGGGGCGAATAAGACACGCGGGCTTTTGTTTAATCAACATTTGCTATCATCAAGAACCAGCATCAGTGCTCCGCGCCCAAGACCAGCACTCCTCTTGGCCCGCGTCCAGCAAGTTGGAGAATTTAGGATCCCTTACTCCCTTGTCCTGCTGCTTGAAAGAGCGTTCACGTATAGCAAAGAGACTTCACCCGCGTCAGGTGCCGACAGTGTATGCATGATATGCAAGGTCACCCGTGCCAAATCTACGCGTCGGGGTGGGACTTTCGCTTCCCTGTGCATTCACAAACGCCCAGATCCGATCTGGGCCATGGCGGTCATGTACCAGGCATCCACCCCTATCCACTTATCGGTACTCCGTGCCAGGTATGTACCTGGTGACCTCTTCTATACATATTTTCATTGTCCGCCTGATGTGCTCTGAGTGCTATTCAAGTCACTCTCTTGCCTACAGGTACTCAAAAGCTCCAAGCAATATTTTGCGTCCACTCCTTTTGCTTTTGCTTCCCGTCGTCACTCCTTTGAACCCAACCAGCACAGTCCTTTGCTTCAAGAATAGATACATTGAATATGCTTCCGTCATCAATCCTCATCCCTCTGGCAGGGCTTATCCCCCTCAGCGCAGCCGGTGATAGCGCAGCCGGTGATAGCGCAGCCGGGTATATTCTTCAGGACGACTATAGCGTGGACAAGTTCTTCTCTATGTTCGAATTCTTCACGGTAAGTACGCATTGTGGAAACATAAAACCCAAAAGTCTGTCATGAGATTTCTCAGCATGAACTCGAGGAAATCTGGAACGGTCTTCAGCCAAGATGCTAAGTCTCGAAAACAGGATCGTGATCCTACGAATGGTTATGTGACATACGTCGGACAGTCTGCTGCGCAGGCCGCCGGACTTGTGAACACCAACAACAATGCCGTGTATATGGGAGTGGATTACACCAACATCGCCTCAGCCCCGGGCCGACAGAGCGTCCGGCTAACAAGCAAGAAATCCTATACGCATGGACTCATCATTCTCGACCTGGCGCACATGCCTGGTGGACTTTGTGGGACCTGGCCAGCCTTTTGGACCGTGGGACCCAATTGGCCGAAAGGCGGAGAGATTGACATCATTGAAGGTGTGAACAGTCAATTGTCCAACTCCATGGCCCTGCACACGGTTCAAGGTTGCTCAATCTCAAACAATGGACTCTTTTCTGGTACCATTTCCACCCCCAACTGCGATGTCAATGCGCCCGGTCAGCCGAACAATGCAGGCTGTCAGATCCTGATGTCAAACTCTGCTTCATACGGCACGGGTTTCAACCAAGGACAAGGCGGCGTCTACGCAACCGAGTGGACTAGTGACCACATATCGATCTGGTTCTTCCCTCGAGGTGCGACTCCTGCGGACATCTACTCTGCGTCTCCCGAACCCGGCAATTGGGGTCCGCCGGCAGCCAGCTTTGCTGGTGGCTGTGATATCGACAGCCTCTTCTCCTCCCACCAGATCGTTTTCGACACGACTTTCTGCGGAGACTGGGCTGCCAACGTGTGGAGCACCGACCCGGTCTGCAACGCCAAAGCACCAACTTGCGAGGCATTTGTGCAGAACAATCCCGCCGCATTCAAAGATGCTTTCTGGAGTGTCAATTCTCTAAAGGTGTTCCAGAGTGCTGAGGGTGGCAGTATCCCGCCGCACACCAATCCTAGTCATGTGCCATCCGCTCCTACGGTTGGTCAGTCTGTCCCTGCCATGTCATTCCATGCAACATCCGGTCCCAACGGGCAACCAAGTGGATTCCCGTACTCTGCTCCTGCCGACAGTGAAGTGCCGCCGAGCACAGGCTTCAGTCGGGGTGGCAATGGCCGATTCACCAAGACTTGGGGAGGAGGATCATGGGATGAGAAAACAAACATCGACGCTGGATTTCGTTCTGCCATCACCTCCGCTGCACAGGTTGGCGACAGTGACGGTGCCACAGATGAAAATGTCCATTACGTCACTGTCACGGCCTTGACCCTTGAGGATTTCCCTACAAGAGAAGATGTCCCAGTAGGCCAGGGCGACGATAGCAATGTCAACAACAAACGCGAAGTGGTCGTGGAGAAGAAAGAAATACCCCTCAGCCCGGTCGAACTTGGCGCCCCAGTCGAAGCGAGGACATCCAAGCGAGAGACCAAATCAGACATGGAAAAGCGTGTCGCAGATAAAGCGGACCATTTGCACCTTCATCGACGTGGCCGGCGCCATTCCCTCTTCGGCGGACTCACGGGCGCGGGAACCACAGAAGAGAAAATGTGAAGGGTCGGCTCCGGGCGATGGGTGTAAGAGGCGACACATAGCATGGCTGTATGTGACTTGGGGCGATGGGGCGGATGAGTCAACTTAGCCAACAAAGGCGGATGCCTAGGGGGAACACAAACGTATTCAGCTCGTTGGCAAGAGACACAAGATCATGGGCTGCAGGGCACTGTGGTCGATTAGCAGCACCTTCGAGGCATGGACTCCCGCGCCATGGGCCTGGCCCTAAATAGGACAACTACGCATCTTTCCTTACGGAGCGGGAACAACGCAACTCTCCCTTGCGCGAAAGCTTCGACGTAAGGAGAATTCGACCCGACGCAATCTGCTGCAACCCCGTTCTCAAATACCACAGTGACCCTCTTTGTCTCGGGACCACTCTACTCCTCGTGCAAAGCCGGTGCAGGCCACCACCGCCCCCAAAACAACAAATGGAAGCCACAACCCTGTGAACGAAGGAATCGAACGACGGAATGACGGCATACCATGATGATGATGATGATAATAATGACGACGACTACGATGCTGGACGGTACAACAGATAGAAAGGATGAGGAGCGCATCCCTCGAGGGAGGGTTCTACGCATTGGCATTGGCATTGGCAAGCGCACTCGAATGTGAATTGGAATTTGGAATTCTGGGATAGGATAGATAAGCACACGGATCTAGTTACGAGTAAACTATATAACCTAGCCACTGGGGGCATTTTGAGATTGATGGAAAAATTAACGAAGGCGAACGACGGAGATACAACGGTATCCCAGAGAAATCGGGGGTGGAGGGACTTCTCCTTTGCTCTTGCCTTTTCGGGATTTGAGATAATTATGCCTACGTATGTATTGTACCTCCGGCAGGGGTATGTAGCCGTTCAGCTGCAGATGATTAGTTTTGAATATCGGACAGTCGTTGCAATGGGAGCTTGGCACCCCGTAACAATTAAAAGAGTAGCAATCTGTTACTGTATTTGCATGTCGCATGTGTAGATATGCCATGACGGGATGCTGCATCTACGCGATTGGATTGCGGGGATGTGATTTTGACATCGCCTATAATACTGATCATAGCGGCAGTTAGGTACAGGTCGCACGAGGATGAAACAAGTTTGTAGAGAAAGATGGATCATTTTCTGATTTCCTAATCTCCTAAGACGTGGCCGTCTCCATGTTGTAACATGATATGGGTATGTGGTAGTATACCTTTCTTCAGCAACCCTGAGTAGACTCTAGTACCCCGTCAAGTTTCTTTTGTTCCCCTTGAGATCAGTCTCAGGTGGAATTATATGTTGTCTGCTGTCTTGTAAGCCGCCTTGGCCTGCACCCAACAGACAGGCTAAGACTCCTTGGGTGATATGATTATATGTTGTGATGTGTTGTCGGTGTGTTAGCGCAATGCCACACCAGTAATGTAATGGTATGTCATGAGCTGTAGAAAAGTTAGATGGGGTATCATTGGAACGCATTGTTTTGAGATAGATATCTTTTCTCTCCCCGTCTTTGCCTTTCCGATGCAAAATAAACGATTGTTGATAGATGTAGAAATTTAACATGGCACATAAAATAGAAAACCCACTGCACGTCGTGATTATGAAATGGTGGATGCAAAGCTTGAATGCTGGATTGACCGATCGGTGGTACACAGTGAATGACTGAGAAAACGAGAAAGCGAATGTAAAATATGTGTGGATCCCATCCATCACCACCGTTCATGAACCACATTTCCGAAGGGACTTCCTCGACCACTGGCAGGGCTATTCTGCGCAGCGAAGTAGTTCAGCGAGTGGCCAGCAGCGCTTCCGGTACGACTGCCAGCGGCGTCGGTGAAGTCGAAACGTTCAAACTCATTCAAGCTGCTTACGTCGGACTTGGCATCGATGTCTTCATATTCGTCTGCGTCCGAGACCATGGAAGCACGCTTTGTCGATTCTTGTCGATGCTGTGAAGTAGTCCGACTATCTGAGCCACTTCCTGCAAAGAATCTTTCGTGAGACTCCTTGGCACTCTCTCGAGGGATCAGCTGAGAGCGTGTTGCTGGGGGAGGCAGTTTTGGTGATGGACTTGGTTCACCTGCACTGTAACCTAGCCGGGAAGAATTGGCAAATCGGGCGATCCGCAAGTTCTCTTCGGTAAGACCAGTGGGCGATCCTGACTTGGAGGATTTAGAAGCAAAGTTCGAAGTTTGAAGAGGTGGTGGCGGACCTCGCTTGTTGCTGCTGGAGACTGGAGTTGATGTGGTCGGTGTATCTTTGACGATAGGTGAATACTGAGAGATGGAGGAGTTTCCGTTGTAGGCACCGGGGGCTTCGAGACGTGACGGTGCTTGAGCGCGAGTGTTGTGGCTCATACCAGGGGATGGATCACGTAACCGAAGTGCTGAGGTAGCTGGTGGCGGGGGCCCGTTTGGACGAGGATTTGCTACAGCGTGAAGGGTTGTGTTGATAGTGGATGGAGCTGGCGGACCTCTAGGGGTTGGGCTCGGGCCAGACCGCGGTGTTGGACTTGGCCCTGATCTTGAAGAGGGAGGTAAGCCTCTTTGAGCAGGAGAGCTGCTACTTCTATTGCGATTTTGTTCTCTGTCAGAAGTCCCGGGAGGCTGACCCCGTCCGGCCGTAGCTGGGCGCACTGCAGATGAAGACCCAGCGAAGTTCTGGTAGGGGCGGGAATCCCCTCTCGCCGTCCCAGACATGCCGAGACCCAGTGGTGCCTGATTAACAGGAGAAGTCGAGTCTCCAGGAGTGCCAGCCCGCGTCACACCTATGCTGGGGGATTTGAACTCTGCCTTCATGGTTGGCGGGGACTTTGCAATTGATGGGAATTCCTTTTGAGCAATTTCTGGGGATTTCTTTTCGACAGGCCATGAACTGGAAGCTGCCGAGCGAGCACTGCTTGATCGACTGCTGAGTTTCTCTCCCTTGCCAGCCATGACGAATTCTGGTTGGTTTTGAAGCTCTCGTCGATGTCTTCGCCGCATGAAGAACCAGAAAAGCCCGAGCGAAGCTGCTAGCACAACTACCACGGGAACAACGATTGCTGGGATGAGAGTGCTGAGATTCGAGGAGGATGGAGAAGAAGAAGATGCTGCTGCAGTCGAGGTTGAGGTAGATGTAGATATAGACGAAGAGTGTGACGAGGATGTAGTGGTGGCGGAGGCCGCTTCCGCTGAGGTGAGCGACGCATATTCGAAAGCATCAGTGACGGTCCTCGTCCTCTCAGTCGTGACAGTAGTAGGGGTTGGCGAGGTTATGGCAAGAGTCACCGTTTCCACAATTGTCGTGAGTCCTGTAGGGGCTTCCGCGGTTACGATTGGGCCTGCTGCAGCAGTGTCTGTGGCAACGCCTGGCGCACCGATAGATGAAGGTAAAGCCGTAGGATTCCCTATGCTGGCGGGTAAATCTGAAAGGTTTTGGCCATTTTGTCGTCTGTGAAGGCCGAACATGTTGGGAAACATCCTGCCTGCGTGCATGTCGGGCAGGAGCAGGCAGGTGCAAGCAAAAGGCAGGAAGGTCGGTGGATATGGAGGAGGATGAGGAGGAATGGCGACGATGAAGACAGGTGTGGCTAATGGTTGTCGTAGTGAAGAAACAGTCGGTACTGGTAGACGGTAGCTCCTTTTGGGCACGGGGCTACTGCGGTGGTGGCATGGGTGGTGAAATGAAAGATCAGCCGTTGGGCAGACTTTAGCGTAAGGCCATGGATGGGAGGGGAAATTGGATGTGCAGAGTGGTATAGGCAGCGAGGGCGGCCCCCAGGCAATTTTGAAGGACTTTGAAAGATTGCTCTGAACGAGAGTGTCTTTCGGACGTTATTGAATGTGACCGGCACAGAATATGGACAGATAGGAGAAACGCAACCAGCGTCAGCAACGAGGAGTTCTATTGAGGCGACAGCGAACTTTGGAGGGAAAGAAACTGTCGACCTGAGACGCCCAAAAAAAGAAGGGGTTGAGGGTAGGAGGAGGGGTCCCTTCAGGCGTGTTGAGAACGTGCAGGGCTGGCAGGGTCGCGCGACGACTGGGCCGGAGCAAGGGACGAGCCTTGGGCATTGGGGTGTTTCGAGTCGCCCGAACGAGTAACAAGCAGCGGTAGTAAAACAGACCAGGCTGGGGTTGACGGGTGCCATTGGGCCTGCTGGGGCCTACTGGGGCTCGCATGAGCCCACATGATGTCGATCCAGGCTCAATCCCAAGGCTATGGAGATCTTGATCCCTCGTATTGGTTCAATTGGAGCCCCAAGCCTTGGGACCTGCGTCTCACGAGAATATTCCCGACGTCCGATCCCACGAAAGAAGCAGAGGACATGTCACGTCCACCTCGCTTGGGTGCGATGGATGACTTACATGTTTGCAGTCAGAAAGCGACGTCAAGAGACAGAGATGATGCAACGGGGTTTTGATCTGATGCACATTAGCACCCACACACCCTGTTTGTGTGAACCGACGAAGGAGCCTTTGACGAGCACAGAGTAATACCCGCCCGGTGGCAACTCCAACAGGGGTGCAGGAAACAGGGAGTGAAATTGGAAATAGAAACATCCTCGGCGTCGTGGGTTGGATACCCCGCCGTACACTCTCTACTGCGAAGCATTCGTTGGACTGTTCCGCCTCATTAGGCTTAGTCCACTCTTCAACTTGACGTAGACAATTGGGGGAAACCTCACTTGCGGATGGACAGGTTCAAAGAGGCCAACACCTTTGACAGAGCCTAAGGTAATTCACAGACACGGTGCATCGCGCATCGTGGATATCGTCCGATATCGGAAGAGTGCACTGGTCATTTATGAAAACCATAAGTATGGTTACAAGACAGTATTTGATATACCTAGATTATGCGATGCGAGTTACTATTGCCTCCTCCCCTCTCGGCTTTCTTCCAAACAGCGATTGTTATGTACTTCGTGCGTTCACTATGCCTTTTTGATGTCACAGCTTTGACAGTCTTTCAATCAAAGCATCCATTTCTCACTCCTTGTAGCTTCCGTAGCTTCCATATGAACTGTGCTTATGTTAAACGCCACAGTAGTTCTATCATGGGAAACACCTACCCGTATGGGTTGGGAGTCTGCAACACATGTTTGTTAGACTTAGGATATCATGAAAGCAGAGGTGACGCTATATCAGGGAGACTTACACCTGGTGGTGGAGGTGGAGGAGCATCACCGTACGAGCCATAGTCACCATAATTACCACTGTGATCATGTACATCAGTATGATCTCAGGTTACTTGGTTGTAGGCTGTGTATCCCCCCGATTAATGACTTACTAGTCTCCATACTGTGGTGTCGGTGCTGCCATGACCCCGATTATTGGCAGAACGGCAGCAATGAGAAGAGATTTGAACAACATGCTCGGTGATGAATATGAAATCGTTCTCTGGTTCTTCAAAGGTATGCAAGGCAGGAACTTGACCAACTGATATCCTCGGCTCCAGAGTTCCAGGCCTCGACTCAGAGCCGGACAGGAATCATTATTTATACCCATGGCATTTCTGGACTTAGAGTTCTTCTCATCAATTAGACTTGAATTGACTCGCGAGCAATGGCCTCGCCAAGTTGTCATGTATAGCGCTTCCTCGTTCTTGTGCAGCTCTGGATTGCATCGCAGGACAACGGATCAGCTTCCATCCAGTATCACGCGGCCAATTCTCGTGTCATGCCGTTCATACCCTGTACTCTTGTTCTGCTTTTCCGCATGTGGAAAGCGGGGGAAGGCCTCGTGTCTTTGTATTTGATTCTGGAACCGTCCGTAGCGATGCCAAGTGGAACAATTTCTTCCAAAGCTGTCTCGATTAGCCCTCAGCCCGCCGAGCTACGCCCCCTCGAAGACGAGAGCTGTACCGAGGCTGGATTGGCTTAGCCACTGGTCAGCTTCCTGCATCAACTCCAGTGCATGACTCCAACTCAACGGGAGACCCCAAAGGAAGATCCAAGGACCATGAGGTATGCACAAAGTTCACTCAGCCAAATCACCAAGTACAACAGCCTGTCGAGCGAAGCTGGTTCAAAATCACTCATTTGAAGCTTTGGACGGTTTATCCGACTCGAAAGGCCCATCCTGAACTTTTGGAAGCGGCATCACGCGTGAGAGCTAAAGATTTATTGGGTCGTGCCCAGACCACTGTAGTTCGATCGATAAATTCCAATTTCTGCGCTTGATATAAGCTAAAACTTGCGTTTTTGGAATTGGGCGTCGACATGCAGATCGTAAAGGCATTAAAGATTGCCGAGAAGTCTGTAAAGTTGGAGCTGAAAGAACATTGTACCAAGTCCAAAGTCGCTGCCGGGGCAAGGCTGACTGTGATTCGCCCAAGCAAAGCGAATACGAGATCTGATTCAAAAAGAGGGCCCATGCCGAGATGGATAGCTCACTGCCCAGAGCTACCACCCGTTGCATAATGGCCTAAGGAGAGATGGTATTTTATTGATCGTTATTGGGAAATACACTTTGCCCTATGGAATAGCTCGGGTTTTTAAGCTATGATGAGTTCGCAAAGCACAACCTCGCATTGCTTAGCCCTGCGGTTTGAGTCTTTAAATTGCGTTCCTCCTCGTATCCCCAAATCTAGGCCTGTCATAGGCTCGTATCTGATGAGAATCTGAAATGCAACCTGGGTCAGTTAGGCTTGAGCGACTTCGAGCATAGCAATACGTTGCCCAGGCCTGGAAAATGTATTGAAGGTTCTGAATCGTCCTTGGAACTCAAGACCGTCTATCTTCTAAATCTAATTTTCCTTGCCGTGTAAGGAGCTCCTTCACAAGCTGTTCTCTCGATATAGCTGGAGGCCAAAGATCTTCTGAACATGAACGATCGACAGCAAAAGGGGTCCGAAGACGAGGATACAGAGGCGCTCCTCTCAGACTCTGAGAAGGATTGGGAACGGCAGCGCGTCAGTAAGCCAGGATGGCTAACTGCTGTGACCTTTATAATCACCGTCTCCTTCGCACTGATCGGCGGAATATTTCTTGGGCGATATATGCTCTTTGACAAGGATTCTGTGTGCACAGCGCATGTATCACAAAACAGTATGTTCTGTGTATTGATTGAAGTGACAAGCCTTGCTGACGAAGACGGCAGCACCACTGCTCAATCAAATTGATCTTTCGTACAATGTCATCAGATTTGATGGATCGTTTCTCAAAGAGAATATTTATCGCCAGCAAGGCAGGCCAGACGTGGACGAGGCTTGGGAAGCGCTTGGAGTAAATTGTGCGCGAGGGATCCAGCTCATTCCAGTTGTTGTCTCTGACAAAGACCCGTGTCATCAGATCGATCGGTGGTTATACCGGAGAATCAAGCAGAGCAAGCCGGCTTCGGTCATGATCAAGTCAAGATCAACCCCATACATGGAGGAGGATTCCCAGCCAATGTAGAAGGCCTCCATCATCTCCATTGCCTGGTAAGAGAGATCCAAGCAGAGATGCAGGAACCAAAGGCTGACCGCGCAGAACTTGCTTCGTCAGGCGCTATGGTATAATTTTGATTACTACCATGCACTTGGAAAGGGGGCATTCAAGAACGACGATCGAATTTTGCAACTGCACGTTTGTGAGACAATGCACTCGGAGTCGAGCAATGATCAAGTTTTCTGACTGTAAGCAGCACATTGTTTGGACATCCTTCGGCAGCAGTTGATGTGTAAACCCGACCTAGGGTTTCTGGGTCAAGTATGGCAGAACCAGAGCTTCCCTTCGGCATTTGTCGACTTCAATACTCAACATAAATGTCGGAATTACGAGTCATTGCGGCAGTGGGCAGAAGCTCGACAACTGCCAGAAGATGTTCCCGATGACTTTTTGCAGCCCCCAGAGAAGGATGACATGATTTATGCCGAAATTCCATGAGGTGCACAGCCCGCTTTTCATGGGATGTTTAAGATGACGATGAGCATAGGAACATATCACGGGAGGCATGCAAGCCATTTGTGACGTTGATACAGGTCTGACCGTTGAGCAGAAACATCATTAATTGGTGGCTGGCTTGTTGAGGTTCAAGTTGCCGATGCTGCTAACTGGGGTGGATGTCTGCCGCCGAGAAGAGGGCCGGGGGACGTTTGTGTTTGTGCAAGCAGTATGAGTACATGATCTCAAATCGGTTCTTGGGGCCATGGAGGGCAAGAAGGCGGGCAGTTGGGAGGGAGGTGTCCCAGGCGGCAGGGGCGTTCCGCTCATGGCGGTTCCTCGTGCGGAGTTTAGTTTGTCCTCGTCCCGAAGGCTGCTGGTGCGGGTGGCCCAACGTTATCAACTTACATATCACACCAACGAAACCGCTCACTCGCCTGTGCAATCACTTGCTCAGGCAAGGGCCCTGGTTGAGTCTGGTCAACTCCGGCCAACCCAATGGAAATATCCACATCCCGTGGGACCAGTCATCACCTCGCGTGCATCCCACTTCTCCGATGCTTGGTGGTTCACATACCCCTCATTGGTGCTTGACCTACACCTTCCTTCCACCTCATTCGCCCTGTTCATTCTTGTAAGCGCCTGCTGCAGGTCAGCACATTTGCTCCCAAGTCCCAGATCGCCTACCACTAACCTGCTATTCCTCAAGAAGAGGCCCAACTCACCTCGCTCGCGATGGCCTTTTCGGCATTCTCACTCAACCTCACCCTGCTCCCTCCCCTCCATGTTGTGAGGTGCCTCAACATCAAATCTTCGTTTGGATTCCAGAGTGACCATAGAGCCTTGGTCTCTATCACCATTTTGGATATGCAACAGTAAACTGCTCCCCAGCACCCTCCGAGGAACCAAAGGCGGCACAACGCAGTCAACGATCTCAAGACGAGATGGCCAAACTCTTTCTCTCCCGACGATGGCGGCCGAACAAATGGCCTTTCTTCGTCCTCCTGGGCATCGAACTGCCGTTGACGGTAGCTCTGCTCGCTCTCTTTGGCATTGCCGCTCCAAATCTATACCGCAAAAAACTATGGCAAGATGGCGCAGATAATGGCTTCAATTCTAGTCCTTCCACTGGCCTCTACGCCGCTGCGAACTACCAACCATACACCACTCCCAAGGTGTGGTCACAGTTGTACGTCCAGACAAGCCCACTCAACATAATCCCAGTCTAACACATTGTGGTAGTATCACAAACTTCAACGTCGTCATAGCCGTCCTGTCTATGTTCATCATGCTCGTCAAAGCCATCATGTATATGCTCCACGTATTCCCACCCGTTCTATCTGCCCTCGTTCACGGCGTTATTCTCGCTCTGTACTCGGTCTCATTAGCCTACCAGGCGAGCAGCGATACCTCGGATCCACTGCATCCTCAAAACGGCCCGCCATGGTATGTCACCAAATCATGCAGTGTCACTCGCAACAAGAGTCTGGTCGGCTATTGCCGACAAGCCAAAGCTAGCTTTGCATGTACCTGCGCTGCTCTGGGAATATTTGTTGTATACTTCGTCTTTGCTGTCTGGTCATGCTTCCCCTCCAAAGCCCAGCGGGAAGAATATAACGAACGCAAGAGACTACAAGCTGAGAAGTATGCTGGACTTGAAACTATCCCAGACTCCAAGACCGGCCGAGCCACCGCCAGCTACCCTGTTCCAGATACACCAGGCTTTCAGGGTGGTCTAAACCCTATGACACCACGCACCCTCGCCTTCAATACCCTTGGTGGCACTAAAGACTTGCCATTGAGAAGCCACTTCAGCACTCCAAATGTACAGCCTACCTCGCCTACCTATAACATTCGCAGTCCTGACATCCAACGTAGTCCCATGAGCCCTGGTTTTGTTGATCGTGCAGGGATGGAGGATAATGAAACCACGGGAAAGGCCATTGAATTAAGCCCCTCCTCACCACAACCCGCAAATCCCTATTTCCCCCCGCCTCCAAAGAGTTCCAAGAAATGAAGGTCTCCGACGTTTCAGCTTCGAATCCTTGGGTGTTCGAGGAACAATGACCATCACGCTACTGGATGTGAACGCAGACCAGTCACATACTTCATTTGGGAGTCTGGACCGAATGTTTTCCATGCTACTTGGAGAGTTGCCCGGTGGCGCAGCTGGAGCTGTTCTGGACAGTCGAGAAGACGGACAAGTACTTGGATGATGTAGAGCTTCCACACAAGGCATGGCAATATGGCGTTCTACTCTGATCCGGTCGGATGTGAATATTGCATCACGTGTCTGATCTTGTTATATATCATCCAATCTCAATTGGGGTGATCGAGTAACTAAAATCCTTACCAAGTGTATAACTTTCAGATTTCTGTATATCAATCATATATGATATCATGTGTTGATTCCACCACCCGCTCTACCCCTGTATACGCCTGATGTGCTGCGTGCATACGGGTCGAGGACGCAAACAAACGAGTCTGAATATTCTCAATTTGGGAGTATCTGATACAAAGACAGGAACATCATGGAACACTGGTAAGTTGCTCGATCGATGCAAGAAAACTTTTAGATCAGCCTCGGCGTCAATCATCAATCGTCATTGTCTATCTAGCCTCGTCGGGGTCATGTGTACAGAAACTCACAATCGGTAGTTGGTCCCAGACTACGGGAAGTCCATCTGCCACGCCCTTGCAGGTCCTAGGTAAGCGAGATCAGAGTACAGTCCGTACGCCCTCATGATTGATGACGACCAGACTGTGACCATCAGCGTCAAACGAGTCTCGGAACAGCGGACGCTTGCTACCATCGCGAGCAATGTCGTCGGCGCCCATCCAGACCTTGGCATTCATGTCAGGGCACAGTCGGGAACCTGTAGGCACAATAACAGCATTGCGGTGCGTTTCTACCTTCTGCACCCTCTGCTCAAGCTGACCGTCTGCAGTTCCGTCTGCAGAGGTGGACTGCGCTCCGGGTCCATGCAACACGCAGAAGAAGATCACCACCACCACCCCCACGACGTCCTTGCACGTATTGACCCGCTGGAACCTGCCATCTGCCAGCGCGACTGAAAGCGTGAAGCTCGGGTGCGGGTAGACTTGGTAAGTGTGCTTGGGCAACGCATCCAAGACGTCTTTCGTGATGATGCACCCGAGTCCGGCCAAGATGCAGACTTGCTGGCTGCGGTGGAGGCTTATGCCTTGCTGAATGGCCCCATCGTCAAATCTCTCCCCGAAATGCATCGTGCGCTTCTGACCCGTTTGCATGGACGTTGGTCTGAATTCACAGACCTTGGCGGCTCGGTCGGGTGCAACGAAGTTTGGAATGATGGTGTGTGGCTCATTATTGGGACCATCGTAGGAGCTGGTTTCCTCGACCTTGCGTAGGATGCCTTGAGAGGCCATTTTGGTACATTGACACTGATTGGTTGTTCGCGATGGTTCGTGGTCGACCCACAGTGGCTTTGAATGAGTATTGGGACGACGACTTGAAAATGGGGTTTCGTGTCCATCGGAAAGGTCCCTTCGACCTGGAGACGCGGACATAGCGGCGCTCAAGCACCGTGGATGCCAGTCGCTGGCTATTTGGGAGGCAGTCATGGAGTGGAAAGTCAGCAATTGGGACTGCCTGATCAGGTCACTCTTCGGCGACTTTGTCAGCCTTGTGCTACCTAGCATAGATGGCTTCACTCCGAGAATGTCGGCTTAAGATTACGTTTCTTCCTAATTTCCGCCTAGGCAGTCACAGGAGGAACCATCGAGGCTGATCAGAACACATGACTTACCCAGTGTTGGGTGCGCGTGCAGAGATCCAGGAGAAAACAGAGCAAGGGCGATTATGGAAAGGAGCATCCTTCCCGGATTTGTGTGGAAGGTGTGTCAACACATTGTCAGCCTTGGAGGGAATAGCGCAAGGAAGTCAATATCCCAGAGGTAGGGCTAGCGGAATAACATAGCACAACCAAGGATAGCATGGCGGTACCGATACCAATAAAGACTAGGACGCTGAGGAAGCATATAAATAATGTTCATAATAGGTTCATATTCTCATTTCTCATCGTCAAACTCATAATTACAATATGAGGATTAGGAGTAATAGTGATAAACAGGGTATCTAGTGATGAAAAAGAATCAAACATGTTCCGTCCGACGTCAAGCCAGGTGCGCAACGAATGTAATAGCATCGTCACCGAGGTGTAGGATGAGGTCAAGTGACCCGCCAGCTCGACTCCAGGTGTGATCAACTGATGAGATTAGGTCTTTCGCGTGTTCAAGGTATATAGAAGGTGTGGTTTCAGGCCCTATCGACCCATGGAGTCCGATCCGAAGAGATGAAATTGAAATCTGGGTCACTGGTAATGATGTTGCGAAAGTCCGTAGGGACTTGGCATGCATGGACGGTCCGCTCGGTTCGAGCAGTTGTGGCTGCTTATGCGGAGATTCTTTCTGAGCTTGCAGGCTTTTCAGGAGATTGGACAAATCGGAGGTGCCCCGGGGATTTGCGTAGTTCTAGACTGGGCGTGTTGCAACGGGCAAGTTTGTCGAACGGATTCGCGAATCAATGCTTGATGCTGCGCCGGGGGCCCCAATTCGAGAACACTTCACGATACTCCCACGTCAATTCGAGTACAGCTTGCTAACGTTGCTCTCACGCGTTGGTGGAAGCCGCCGTCAGCGGCAGTATCGTACATCTCGCTCAATTGTCGGGGTAGCATGCCTACACGCCTGACACGCTGGGTGACCGCTTCCTTGGCACCACCAAGTGTATTCCGAACTCCGTCAACGCTCATCCTTAGGTTGTAGCAGATCAGCTTATCGTGCTTTACGCCAGGATAATGTGCTGAAGAGGCTTCAACGGAGAATTTGAGCTTGGATGTCGCAAAGGCAATGGCTGCGCTGGGGCTGAAGCAATATTGTTCCATGACTTCCGCCTGCACTATTGACATGTCTGGCTCTGGTTCGCATTCTGGTGGGCATGAACACAATGAAGATGTGGAGGAGACCATGCTTAGCAAGTCTTCGGAAGAGGATATGGAGCTCCTGGGAGAACGAGGCGATTTCGGAGACGGAGGAGCATTCATGTCAGCATCGAGACCATCGAATGCTAGAGCCAAGGTTTGAAAATGTGAGGAGTAATACGAATCCAAGGTACGGGCGTAGAAACGGGTTTCTAATGCTTTCAGACGAGGTAGGTGGCCTAGGCTACTGTCAACCAAGCTGATATGGTCTTTGAGGATCGCATCGGCATCATGAGTATCGCCAAAGTCGACTGCAACGTGGGCCAAGGATAGCTTGATATGAGGGTGAATGGTGGGATCTGAGATAAACGAGAGGGCGTGGTCGGTGGACCGAAATATCACAGGATTCAGGCTGTAATAGAGAGTAATTGCCTCTGAACGAATGAGTTGACAAGTATCCAAAAAGCCTCGCGTATCGTCTTTTGCAGGTCGGGCTGGACGAAGGCGCCTGTTGGTGGGCGAACGCAGTCTCAAAGGTGTAGAACGCGTAAAGGCGAATTTGTAGATCAAGACTCTGACTTCGGGAGGAAGTGTTAGGAGCAACGAGGGGACATCTGAGCCCGCAGAAACCAGTTTGAGCGTCGACATGGTCGAAATTGTATGTAGCACTCGGTGCTCAGGTTGAGTGACTAGGATGATGAAGCAGGAAGCGTCAGTGGTGGTTTATGAGGAAGCTTTGGAATGAGACCAGCTAGTCGGATTGAGAAGTCGAGTTCAGCGAAAGTGGTGTCCCAGCTGGTGGTGAACAATGGGGCATTGGTAGTCAAACCAATGTATGTAGCAGTAGCAGAAGCAGTGCAGGATGATAGCTCGAGGTAGTGTTCCCAATTGGCAGTGCTTAACCTAGCACCAGAAGAATGTCGATGGACATGCACATGGAACACATAGAAGCCCTGACCACAACGGCATCGAGCGAGAGGATGAAGTCAAGTCAAGTCAGGACGCAGAATGGAGTTCAGAGACGGAGACAAGGAGACGGGCAGGAAAGAGGGTAAATTGGGAAAAGCTAGAGGCTGGCCGTCGAGATAGATACTGTAGTCTACCATGGTCCATATCTGGCAGTGTTAGTCTGGCAAAGTCGTGTTACCAGCCAACCACCTCCGTCACCAGGGACAGATAATTTAGGGTTTGATTGACCTGCAGGTGCAAAAGTCAGGATGTCTCACTTTAGGCCGACCTTGCTCTTTGCCTGGCAGGGGCAGCCTCCTAGGTACCTCCGTCCCATTGACGGGATTGGGATTAAAGGTACGGGATTGTGGTCGAATGACACCACCCAGGGATCGATTGCCACTTTCCCATTCACTCCCAATTGGCCATTACTTTGCTCCACCCTGGACACCCTGGGAGTGACCCTGGTCGGGGCTCTGCTAGGAGATAAAAATATCCTACCCACCCCTTATTTCACACAACAGTTTGGTGGCTGCACCTGACTCGGTATGCCAAGACGTGTGCGGCCTGTTGCGTGAAATACCCTCCACTGGGCTTCTGGGGAGCGGGACAGTGCCCGTCACTGCCTTGATCGTGGCACTCTCCTGTGCCTCCTTGTTGGCCCCCGCGAAGCCCCATTTCAAGTTCTCACAGCCACCCTGGTTCCCCTTGGGCCATGCCATGGTTCAATCACAATAATCTGGCTATCGAGTAATCTGTACTACTTGTACGAGTACGGAGTGCGGAGTTCGGATACCTAGGGTCGGATTGATCATCCCTCTCTCTGTGTTTTAGCGAGTACTCCGTAAGGAGTACGGATACTGTATTCGTGCAATGCACTCAGGTTCCCGAGCTTGCCCCCCAAAACGACACTTTGTGCGTGTGCTCTCCACCTTCAGCCTACTCGGGCCAGCCCAGTCCGCGAGAAGTCCAAAGCCTTGCAGCTCAACCAGTAGCAGTGCAGGACCACCCCTGATCTGCCCACCCTACGGACTACGGACATTTGTACATACTGTACATCCTGTATGTGACGTACTCGTAGTCGCATAATGGATCAAGATTCAAGACAGACACCACAGCTCCACTCAACCCCCCGATCGCCAGTGTGGATACGTAGCTGACGATGATTCCCGCTGATCAACCTCGATTTTTGATCCTTTCGTCAAATGGCGGACAGCTTTTGTTCTCCTTGGACTTTGAAGCGGCCTGTATTGCTCATTACTGCCCGCTCTGGCCAATGCGGAACAGCTGTCTCGGATACCCTATTTTAGCATTTGAGATCTTGGAAGCCCTTCAAGAGAAAGCCGTCGAAGAGACCACTATACTACCTAGGTACTCCGTATGTCACTACCACATAATGCTCATGACACCACGCCCTTCCCTTCAGACACGCAAGACCTGCAGTGTGAGGGTCATTGAGTTTCAAGGAGCTCGCTGCCCACGTACCAACCATGATGGATGCAGGGCAATTCATCCGCATCATTGTTATTGCGGCCGCACTGCAGTCGCACCTTCCTTCTGATAGTAGCAAGTACGTATGACGCCAGAGTGCACTCCTGGTAATCTACGTAGATACTCCGTCCCTTTCTCTTACAGATGCTCCAGTACGGGCTACCCGAGTATGACCAGGCCCCATCCAAGTTCATGCCAATTATACTTTTAATTCTGCTGTCGTACTCACACTCTCGCCACTGGTCTGCTGCATCGGAAAGTCTCTTCCTTCGTCCTCAGCTAATATTTTAGCCGCATTATCACTTCGTTGCTTCTCAGTTGCATCTGAAAAATGTACCACAACCTCGTCACCGAAGAGCGCATTGATCTCCTCCAACGAGAGTCCTTTAGTCTATGGACGCACACGGTGAGTTAATGTAACACAGCGCCACAGTGCTCAGACCACTTACCTCGGGACACCAAAAATAGAAAATCACCACATTGACGGCGGTGAGACAGACAAAGATGATGTAATATCTCCACTGAATGTTCGCCAATGCTGTCGGCGTGCACTCGACGTACACCAAAGTCGATAAGAACGTCCCTGCTAATGACCAGGCAACGCCTTGGGATCGGATATGAGTTGGGAATATTTCCGCTGTCCTGGGTCAGTTACGAGCTTGGGGAGCTGGGGAGCTTGCCCGACAACTCACAGCAGTAAACATAGCCGACCACATCGATACCACCTCCATAGAATGATATGAAGCAGAACGAGAAGAAGACGCCCATTGAAAGTCCGGCTTTGTTGGTTGTTCCAGCAAATTGAGCAATCATCGCCGTCTCCAAGGATAGAGAGATCATACAACCGGTCAATCCAGTAACTAGCAAAAGTTCAACGACTCTGTCTCGAACTAACAGGCTGATGAACTTACTCAAAAGTGGCTTTCGTCCCACTCTATCGAGGACCAGAGCGCCTGCAAAATTCGAGAGCCATGCTACCGTGACATATGCAGCTCCGAGTATCAACGGGACGCCGCCGGTGAGGCCTAGGTTCTGGTACAGCGTGATTATATACACTATAGTTCTGGGTCAGCATTTGACGGAGTTCACGCGTCTCCCGACATACCATAGATCACCTGAGCGCCGGTGCTTTGGGCAGCATACTGAATGAAGAAACCCATCCAGAATCGCTTTTGATAGGATTTCTTGGTGAGCATGCCCTTCCAACCACCTTCATTCCAGGCAGCCGCATCTACACGGACCTGTTCGGTCATTTGATAGAACTCTTCCCGAGCAAATTGAAGGAGCTTAGGATCATCGCCATCACCTCCGTGCAGCCGTCTGACAATGTTCCAGGCTTCCTCTCGTCGATCTTTGGTAAGTACTGCATCTATCAGTGTCGTGTACCGAATCCGAGCCTTTCAGGGTCTACTTACGCCATCGGGGGGACTCTGGGATCCAAGGGGAACACAAGGCTAGGGCAAGCGGCGGGAGGATGGCCAAAGCAATTGGGAACCGCCATTGGAAGGAGAGATTGGATGAATAATATGTACCAGCGCCGACCCAACCAGCAACGGCATATCCTAGAACAATCCATGTACCATGTTGGCCGACTAAGAAGCCGCGAGCATTTGGAGGTGCTGAGGTACATATAAGTTTCAACAGTCAGGAATATATTCCGGTGGGAACTCACAGATCTCGGCCTGGTAGATTGGAATCAAAACAACCATCATTCCTATGCCCCAGCCTGCAATGAATCGGGATACGAGAAACATGGCCATATTGACCGAACCTGTTTCAAGAGCACCTCCTAGAATGTTGACAGCCGAGGCCAGATACATGGTCTCTTTCCTTCCACGAGCCTCACACATCCAGCCAACATGTAGGGCACCGAAAAGCGCCCCGGCACAGAATAGTCCATTGATGGTACCTATAATGGCATTGGTATAGTCGGAACGATTTGCCAGATTGAAGTAAGCAATGAACCCGGGTTGCCCGATGGTGTTGCTAATCACCGAAAAGCCGTAGCCAAAGGTGAAACTGCCCAGTGTCAAAACCAGGATAATCCGTAGGTTATATAAGGTGTAGGTCCTTGCCATGCTGTCGACGGCACCTTCGAGAAGTCAGAGGTGCAAAAGACGAGCGAAGACGCAAGATGAAATCGGCATTCAGGTGCACGGAGGTGTCAAGGGGGGGCGCGAGTCATTCATATAAATTTGGTTGTCCCTGTACCTCGTAGTAGTGGTAGATCCATGTCTGGCAAGTTCCTTAGTCTGTAGGCTACTCATGCTGACTACTCGGCTATAACTGGTCAGAGTCATGAAATTGGCATTGTGCAGGAGGACTAGCAAGCTCTCAGTCAGTTGCATGGAGTCGTTCGGCGCGGGACGTGCCAGCTGGCTACATTCTGCAGACAGTAGCATGTCTAGCACGTCGGTTCAAGCACGTCGGTTCAAGCAAAAGCACCTCTATGCCCGACGAGGCAGACATGGCACGGAGTACTCGTAAGGTGATTGCCCTGTGAGGATCTCGCCCACGTTGACCAGGCCAGCTAACGCCGATGGAATCATACTACCAATACCCCGTACGGAGTACTCCGTACTGAGTTGGAGGATAAGCTCCACATCCTCAAGCAAATCGTCCGATGCAGTGCTGGGCACCTTGAAGGTATCCGAGCTCTAGACGGCGCGTGCGACCAGTAGCCATCTCGTCATCCCTGTGGTGGCTCCCTTTAACCCTGTATGCGGCCTTTACTGTAGGCACTAGCAGGAGCAACATAACGGGTTCAGAAGCCGCATCTTGTGGATGTTCTGGCAAGGATCGCCCTTCTCCAAATCCTCTCAGAAGCGAGCTTCTCAAACTGAAGATCAACGCCATGCTCTCCAAAGGCAGGTGCTAGCTGCATATTGGCGCCAGAGCGGAAGGCGGAATTGACTCTAGTATGGGTCAACCACCTGGTTGCATCCTCACCAAGTTACTCCTACCTCGTCCCTCACCACCTCGCACGGTTACCCTTGCAGGCCAATGGGCAAAAACAGGGTCAGAGAGGTCGGTGACGGGGGTGCGATCCCACAATGACACTTGCAAGGAGTTCTGCTGCGATTATGGTATGGTTATTGGGGATTCATGTTTACGCGTACATGCTCGCTCAATATAAAACAACTGAGTCCTCCTACACCGATGCCCGCCAAGGACTCCGTACATGTGTGTGGTCAGAACGATCAGGTGTTAAGGGTCAACAAGTCTTCCCACCCAGGAATGGGCCCAATAATCACGCTCAGAGCCTGGGTTAACAACCAACTAGAGAACCGGGTGGGGGGGAGCCTAGCGTCCCCCCAAGCCACCTACAGGTAAGAAAGAGTACTGTAAGAAGCCAGTCTGGAACGTCGTGGGCTTCGCTGTCAACCCAGAATTACCCCAACTCTTCAGAGGCTTCTTCGTCCCTTCAAAAGAACCGTTATCGCGGGGCATAGCCTATGACAGAATCTTCCCACTTCTTCTACCTCACACCTCCACGGCCGAGGGATATGACTCCACAGACGGATCAGCATTTCCAGGCTTCGTCCACACAGAGGGGAAGACCACGACAGCGCTCTGCTGTTGCTTGCACATGGTGTCATTCACGGCGAGTCAAATGTAATGCTGCCGCAAAGGGGCGCCCATGTACCAACTGTGAAAATGCCAACCGTCCTTGCACCTTGATCGAGAGTAAACGAGGAAAGAAGAGAAAACTGTCCACGTCGCCATCCACCTCTCAGCAGGACCTCAATGGTATCGCTGAAGCTCCTGTCATTCAAAAACCAATAGTCCATGGCAATGTTTATGATCCTCTCAGAGAGCTGCGGAATGTCCCCAGGGAAGCCCACGCGGCTCACATTCCAGGAACGTCTACTACCACCAGCGAGCACGAGGTTGTAGACCCTGCTCGGGAAGCAGAAGAGACGACCCTCTACGCTCAGGTGCTTGACAAGGCTACCAATGCCGAAATGCCTCAAGACGTCAAGGAAGGTGTCGTCCACGTAATGTACATGGGCGAAACCTTCAATCTTACCCACCTCTTGAGGCAAGTACATGCCAAATCAGAATCGGACAACCTGTTACGCAAAAGGCATTATGTCGTCCATGTCCTCCCCAAAAGCAAACCTTCCAACCCGGTCATAGAGCAGAACAGCTCTCTGACGTCCTTTCTGCAACAACAGGGAGCCTTCACCATACCCCCAGTCAATATTTGCTATCAACTGTTCCGCACCTATTTCGACCTTGTCCATCCACACTATCCGATCTTGGATCGACACGACTTTGCTACACATTATGCAGATCCCACCCATCCTCCATCATATCTATTACTACAGTCCGTGCTGTTCATGGCCATGGGCCATTGCGATCTTTCAATTTTGCAGGAGGCTGGGTTTACCTCGCGATATCAGGCTCGGAAAACCTTCTTCCAGCGTGCCAAAGTTCTCTATGACAACGACCACGAGCCAAATAAAGTCACAGTCGTCCAGTCTGTTTTTCTCATGAGCTTTTGGTGGAACGGCCTAGAAGATCATAAGGATACCTGGCATTGGCTTGGAATCTCAATCAGCCTGGCCTTGACCCTTGGGATGCATCGTTCCACCAGACACTCCGACATGAGGCCGAAAGATCGATCCCTATGGAAAAGGATATGGTGGTCCCTCTTCGTGGAAGACAAGCATGCAGCAACAGCATTAGGGAGGCCAGTTCATATTCGACAGGCCGATTGTGATGTGGAGCCACTTGAAAAGGCTGACTTCGATGAACAACCTGTAACGAGTCCAGGAATATTTGGCTGTCCAGAAATAGTTGATGCTCTCTACGTTATTGCCTTGGTCGATCTCTCTGTGATTGCGGAAAGCATCGTCGAAAAGTCCTTCACCGCCTTTAATGCGACCACATCTTGCAATGCCGATATGTTTCAGACCTGTTCCGAGGAACTTGAGCAGTGGAAGTCGAACCTGCCCCCTGAACTACATCAGGAACGGACGAATTCTTGCCTCTGGACGAGCATGCTGCACATCGCATATAGGTAAGCAATGAAACCTCCTTGAGAAGTCACGACCATTGACATATAGATCTAGTTGGTTCGAAATAGTGACTCATCGTTCCATCAAACCACAAGATCTTTCTCCACCATCAATGAAAGATGCGCATGCTCTTGCAATGAAGGCGGCAAATCGATTAATTCAGATTGTTCAAGATCTACTGGGGTGCAATCGCATTCTACAATGCCCTATCCATATAGTCCCAGCTTTATTTGCAGCAATGGGCATGCAAGCTGTTGACATTTACTCAGGTGATGAGCTTCAAGGACAATTAGGCGCGGTGAGGACAAAAGTTGCCATGCTGGCCTTGCAAGAATTGCAGGAAACATGGCCAGTTAGTGGCTGGATCTTCCACCTTTTCAAGAAGATTGTGCGACGCATTCAAGATAAGAACGAGCTCCTTCCCAATGAACCAGTAAATGCATCACCAGTGCAGACCAAAACTCAATTTCAACATGGTATGGCCCCCCCAAACAGCCTCCATGTTGAAGTGCAGGCCTTGGCCAACGGCAAAGCCATCTACCAAGACCCAAGTCTATCCCAGCTATATGCCATGTCGGGTCACCCAACTGCACGATATCTTCTTCCAACCATGCCAACCATGCCTGTTGCCTACCCAGGTACAGATTGGCAAAGCATCTATGACGATGGATCTTGGGGAGATTTTGACTATGAATTTTAGAAACGCTCAGTATGTTAATCTCTTATATCATGCAATTTTAAAGGATACAGATCGCATTTGGCGGGCTTGCAACACCCCCTGGGAAATTCAAGGGGGCGCTTGTAAACATAAAGCTCCATTTATTGAGTTGTTGGCACACTTCCGCCAGCTTTTCCAAGTCAAACATCTCTCCAACAGGCATTCCGAAGAGCGCAATCAGATTGTCATGCAGTCCTAGAGATCGTCAGTCAAATTTGGCATCATGAATGGATAATCCCAAGCGGCATTGAACGCACTGTATCTCTCGTCTTTTGCAGGCCAGGCCTCGAAGACATTGGCATCCCCGCCAACACAGGAAAAGTGCTTATTCCATAACCATGCCACGGATTCTTTAGTTCCCTCCACACCGGCCCAACTTGAACCATCCACTGTCCCGGTTCTACGCGCTTGTGGACTTGATTCTTTATACCATTTGACAAACCCGGACCGTATCAAGAGGATATCTCCCTCTCGAAAATCTGTGCCTTGCCAGGTGGCCACGGCTTCCAGGTCTTTTTCAGATATGGCGTGACGCTCGATTGGGGAGTATCGAATGCCCTGGCTCTCAGCCCATCTGGAATAATCTAGGAGAATACCCCGGCCGACGATGCCGCCTCGCTTTGACCATTCTAAGACGATCAGATCAGAACATTCCTATCAAGACATAACGAATTCTCCTACGATCAATTCCATTCCGGACTGGTGCATTTGCATCGGTAATGTCAGAATGTGATACGCCATTGTAATATCTTTTGGATGGTTGATGAGCCCAGTGTCCTTCGAGTTCCTATAATCAGCCTGAAACCCAATGATTTACTTGCAACGGGATGCTCACGGAAACCATCCCACTGACTCCCACTTTGAGTGTTCATCTCAATCTCATCATCATGACCTATCCAATCTGGAAGCTGCAGGATCCGATGATTGGGCTTCTTTCGATTTGAGTGAGGCGTCTCGCAGTTATCGAGTGACCAGTTGATGGCAACACTCCTTCCGTACTGTATCTCGTCTTTAGCTGCCAAGATGGTCGAGGGAGTCAAAAGGTTCAAGGTGCCGAGTTCGTCTTGGTGGCCTTTTCTGTCCCACAAGCCCCATGTGCACCCATGTGGCATATTGGGAACAGGAGGAAGATCGGCATACGAGGGCAACACTGGCGCTTCGGTCACTCTTTTCGTGAAGTTTGTTTCCTCACTCTCATTTCCATTAACAGCCTCGACAATATCCTGTTTCGGCATATTGTGAGCACCGTGGATACGAATCGCGCACATACAACCGGTGCACAAGGATTTACGACAGGGTTTTATGGTAGAGGAGAAAAAACTCTAACACGCTCTCAATGGAAATCACGCTCGTGTCCAAAAATGCTACCATCATGAAGGATCCTAATAGACAACGGTGGCGATCATTGATATATAGCACCTAGGTAGTTAGTTTGAAACTCAAAACTCCACCGCTGGAAACTGGTTTCTAAGCACGCTACACGAATTATCGAGCATCTCATTTATCCACCCTCTTGATCAGATTCGTAGAGAACGGCGGTGGTGGCTTTGAGTACCCGTTTGGTCTGCAACGATTTCAGAAATCAGGCTATGCCAGAGACATAATCGGCTATGTACCATAGCCGATACTATTATGAGAGGACGGACTTTGCGGACGAACGTTCGACCCTCTTTCGAAACAACATGAGCAATGCACGGCCGTCATCTTTGCCAATGTTGGTAGAGAGCCGGTGGTGCGGCTCTCGTGGAAATCCTGTACCTCGTAGATCGATCCCAATAACCCAGATACAGTAGTTCGTAATGCTGATCTAATCAGAGGATGTTTCCGGCCTGTCGCCGCCACCAAACACACATACCGACGAGCATTGCCACATCATGTTATTAAGTCATGCTGCTCCCTGCCCACGGTAAGTAAAGCACGCCAGGCAGACTTTGTCAACCATGGGGAGTTCCCGTACTCGGTAAGCACGGAGTATACATACATATCAGAAATAGAGAGTGGGGCCCACGATCCTTCCCCCAGATTTTGGGAATAGCCCATCCCAGGACACGGGAACTTTGCCACGGCCTCGGCCTCCCGGGCAAAACCCAATGGTTTCTATTTCCGGGCCTTTGCTGCGCTACCGGCAGCCTTGCGTCTGTGCCTCAAACGGCAGGCAGGAGACCGTTGGAGGGGCAGAACTGGTGGCGTCCTGGGAGGTCGATTGGTTGGGACCTCGTACTCGTAACACGAAACTCTGAAGAATCTGGCCGGGCCACCTGTGATGCTCAGCCCGCGCAATACGAGTAAGGCGCAGCCAGTCCCAATATTTCCGGCCTTATGGTTGGTCCACTGAGGCAAGTCAATGAGTGTTCAGATCTGCTGTTTGCTGAGGTACGATGCGGCGGTTAAACATTTGTCCTCATGCCTTGGTGCTCTCTACTCACAGGGGTTGCATGCAAGGCTACAGTATTCCCGCTTCATGGCGGGAAGCGGCATATTGTATCTTCAAGAAATAAATATATGTTTGGTTTCAATTTCCCGGGTGAATCCCCGCATTGTTCTCAAGACGAAGCCCGCCATTGCTAACTTGGCCAGTACTCATCTTTGGAATAATGTGTGGAATAAGCCTATCGTGCTTTCATTTAAACAGCCGTTCATCAAAAGTCGTGAGATGGTTCTCAATGGGCTCCGAAACTCTTCTTTTCTAGTATTCGCTGAGGCCTGAACACCCCTTCTCAGGTGAATCGCATGCTTTTTAGTCCTTCCCCAAATCAGTTTTCTGGTCTTCAGCAAACTATTTTCTAATGAATCGTGATTCTAAATATCACCAACGAGCTCTACGCTGCCATTTCTGGAGCCAAGTCTCATTTTTCCCCCTCCCGGGTCTTTTCGGCCGTTGTTCGTCTGTCAAGTTCTTGGATAGATTGTGGTTGTCACTCAGTTTCAAATTTGGTAAGAACCATATCATGATCATGGGTAAGGTAGAGGCCACCAGTGCTGCAATCGTCATATACCGCAGAATGTCGGAATATGCGTGGTTCACGGCCATCCGTTCGCTTGTTCCGGGATCAGGTAATCCACCAGTGATCTTGTCGTACACCGCATCGATAGTCGCTGCTGCTGTCGAAGGTTCCATCCAGTGACGCAGTCTTTCCTTGAAGAGGCTTGTGTATATCGTCCCAGCGATTGCCGAACCAAGACTGTTCCCGAGATAGATGAAGAGTAGCTCCAGTGCAGTAGCTTGTGCAAGCTCCTCTCGTGGCACCACGACCTGAGCCACAACAATAACAATTGTCCCCACTGCTCCACTTCCAGCTCCTTGGATGACCTGCATGATGAAGATTTCCGCGGTCGAGTTGTTAGCACCACGAAGGCGCATCATAAAGCCGTAACCGATGAGTCGAACTATAATTCCTAACAGGAGGAGAAACTTATACCTCTTGGTGCGGTACATAACAAACCCTGTGCCTAGACCGGTCAAGACTTGTACACAGCCCGCTGTATACGTGAGGAAAGTAGCATTGCGCGCAGAGAAGTCGTGAACAACTGTTGCCCATGCATACATGTAGGTATGAGTGATACTGTACGCAAAGGCGTCAAGTAATCCAATCAGGAAGGCAAGGACTAACGAGATGTTTCGCACAAATCGTGGCGGTATGACTGGTTTGACAGCGACGCGGCCTTCGTAGTAGACAAGGCCGAGTAAGGACAAGACACCAAGCACAATCAAGGCAGGAACCCAGGGAGTTCTCCAGCCATCGGCAGTGTTTCCTGCCAAGGCTATCGGTAGCAACAACATTGCGCATCCGCCACAAAGGAGGACCATCCCACCCAGGTCGATTTGGGTTAAGAACCCGGCCACGGAGATCTCCTTGCGCACTGTACCACCGGCTTTCTTAACGCGATGTTGAAACCAGATAAGTGGGATGATGACGGCCACGGATGTGGTCGGCAGGATGATTGAGAACATTCCAATACCTGTTACTGATCAGTCTTTTTGCCCAATCTGCGCAAGCACAGCAAGGTCTCTTGTAAGGAGAACAAAAGGCCGATAATTGAATATCAGGTGAAAACTGAAGAGACGAAGGAAGCCACAGGCATCAAAAACTCACCCCATCGCCAACCAATATTTGCTAGCACACTGTCAACAATGAATGCTGAAACCCAGGGAATGATCATAAAGGGCAGATTCACTAATCCATTAGCAAGACCACGCCACCTAGACGAAGTAATATCCGCGACGATGACTTGATTGAGAATTTGCATGCCAGTCTGGCCTATGCAATAAATGACATATCCTCCAGCGTATTGAGCAAAGCTTTTGGCAGACGCACAGAGAATATATGAGATGATGTAGAAAATGACCACAGCAACGTATGTCTCGGCTCGACCAGCAACGTCCGATATCCTAGCAATCGGAGGTTTCAATACGGCGCTGATGATGGTACCAGCTGTCATCAATGCTCCTAAGAGAGCGATCTGTCTGAAATCCGAGGCAGCATAGTTTTGATAGTTGTAGATCGTTGCGTGGTCTAATTCGCTGTTCTGGACATTAGCGAGTTGACTGAAAGCAATCAAGAGCATCATCAGGCTTACAATATTGTCCACATGAGTGCAATGCTAAGATGCAGTATCAGTATCCAGAGATTGTGTTTCGACACTGGAAGGAAACATACCCTATCCACATGTAAGTCTTGCCATGCTTACCCCAAGCTGTGTTGAGTATGTCCTGGCTATGTTGCTGGTCCTCATGGTCGGATTGTGGCTGGTTGTTGTTCAGATCTATAGGGGGCTTCTCCTCATCAACGATATCTCGGGGAATTTCTGCTACAGCAGTGTCTGTTGACGGGCGTGAAGCGGTACCAACGCTCCCTTGCTGCGAGAAGGCCATCGTAAAGTCGCCAAGCCCAAATGATGAAAAAGCACAGAGATTGACCGGCCCTCCATACAGCTGGATACTGGAAGTTGATGCGAAAACTCGGGCAGTTATTTCTCAGATAAAGAGCCTCGAAAAAGCCATGTCGATCAATTCAGTCTTACAGGTGCAAGGGTCACGACACATGAACTTGAAGAGGAACGAAAGCGCAGTTTGAAGCACAACATACCCAATGATCAAAGTTACATTTTAGTTCCCATCCCTGGCATTGCATGGAATGCCAATTGCGACAACCTCGGCAACACCACGTTCAATGCGGAATCGGAGACCATTGTTGGCTCGATGACCAGAGGAAACTGCCAATCTGTTGAGAACGACAGCTGTGGAGTGCTCTACACCTACACGAAATCGTACAAATACTGTAGGAAGTCAAATGCTCATGGGGAGTTTGATGGGTCAGGAGGGAGGAAGGATGATGCTTGTGTGGAGAGGGGTCGCTTGGCCTACATCAGAAGGGATCATATCAGATGTCATATCAGATGAAGATCATCTAATCAGATTAGATTATTGGCCGGCGAAAATTCTGCTCAAACTAAGTCATGTACAGTGGCTTAGGGTGTCCTTTGGACTGTTGCATGGATGGAGTTCTCCTTCTTGCCCACCATCGTCAAAATCGAGCGATCGGTGCGGCAAGTCGCATCGTGATGTCGCGGTGGCCTCAAGAAGCTTCCTTGGGAGACACTCATTGCCTCTCTTGGATAAACGACCGAATGACAACCACTGATTCTCCGGTCTCGGGCGCACACCATTCACTTACATATTTCTGTTTGTTTCGATCGGAAAGCAGCGGTCAAAGAAACCATTTGTAGCTAATCAAGGCAGTTCTGAGGCCAGCTTGCTCCATCAAATAGGATTAACACTCCAGATTCTTCACGTAGATAGTGACAGAATGAGTTGAAGGATATTTTAAGGGAATCCCTGCACGTTTTAGATAGAGTGATTGAAGTTGATACTGAATTAAGGGATTGTCAAAAGCGTTGACTCCCATGATGGAAGAAATTAATTCGAGGCAAATTCAGCTCATACGTGACCCGACCACCACAGCTCGTAGAGTTGGGCTGTGAGCCTCAGGGGCATTGAACTACTTATTAGTAGAGCACGTCATTGCATAAACTCTGCTAGCGGCAGCCGGATGGCCAATGGCGACTGCTGTCGGAGCCGACATTTCGAAGCTGGGCATCCAGACGACAGACATGGAGAATTATCGCGCGGATTTCCGCATCCAATCAGTCCTTCAGTAGGAGATGTTAACGGTACTGGTAGTGTTTGCGACGGATCTGATCGGGCTTTAGGCCACTCTTTTCGATGAAATTGATACTCGCGTACGGACTGTGTCTCGTCCAAGGCACCGCTTGCTATGTAATACCGGCTCCTTCGTCCTGCTGGACTCGGTACCAATATAGAAGGCCAGGACTCGGGAATCACACTAGTTAGATTGGCTATTTGAGTAACTGTGCGCTTAGCGACGAGTTGTTCTACTGGAAGATGAAGAGACATCATCCCAGCACCGCCATGGCGCATTCGCCCAACACCGGGAAGATGAGGATCCTCCCCAAGAGTATGAAGATCATGGCGCCTTCAGCGGCGGATAGAACATCATGTAGCAGCTTGTCATCTTGAAAGAGGCCGTGACGGACACCACGGGCCATGTACAGGAGTATGAAATCGATGGTGTTTAAGAGTGGATTGCGGTATGACACCACGCTCTGCTTGCGTCAATTTTGTGACATGCTGGGTAAGATGTTAGCCTTTCCATACTAAAGATGCCTGAGGCCAATAGGTAAAGCCGCTGATGGATAAAGAGGGATACCGACGTAGACCAGAACATCAAGCCCAGTATCGATATAAGTATGAGCGTCAAGAGTCGCCTAGATGACAGGGACCTCAAATTCAGAGAGTTAATGACAGACCCATCCCTTCGCATCTTTTTTCATGACGAATAATGGATTTGGCATCAACTTTTGAAAACATCAAGGTCGATGCCAGGCGCGGAGTATTGAAGACAGAGCTCGATTTCCGCAAGGTTTACAAGTTATCCTTTCTCCTTTCCGGAGCTGCTGGTATAATATCGCGGATGCATGAATTGGGACTGACTATAGGACGATAGTTGAAGCTCGTGCGAGAGTAACGTCGAGCCCATAACACCCGTTATGAAAAGCATCTTGAAATTCAGTCAAAATCATTTTCTAAACATGTGAGAAAGTGACCCATTGCGGGTCCCCACGGTCGACTGCGGATAAACTTCCCAGTACTGACACAATCATTCAGCCAGCCAGTGAGGTGGAGTTTGATGAATCCAGAGGATTTGTAGGAATACTTGTAGGTGAGATAGGCATCGGCCAAGAAAAAGCCGCGCTGTGCAATTCCCTTTATCGCAGGTTTATCGACTGACCTTGGAGTAGCATCCCTCAGACATGTCGAAAAGAAGCGGATCAAATTCTCAGCCGTAGTGTCTGCATTCGTCGGATCGAAAGACTCTCTTAACAGAAACAAAAAGCCGTTTGTTTCATGTATTTATCCACACAGCGTTAACTTTTGGGGCTGAATGCGCCTCTACTTGTGCTGTGGAGTCATTTAAACTCTCTTGCTTTCGATAGTCCATGGACTCCTGCACTCGGAGAACTGTTCTGGCTCCGGGATTGGGCGGAGGGGCAAAACTTGAGCTCCTTCAGGAATCAGCAGCTTCAGGATCCATAGTCAAAAGTACAAGGCCAACAAAGTTTAAGGTCTGCAAAGGAAGAAAGAGAAGCTAGAATAGGGTTGACGGTAGCTTTTCAGATAAGTACCAGGCAGAGAAGCGATTCATGTCACATTCATGTGGTGACAGCGGATATCAAGACACAACGCATGGTGGGAACTTCAAGCATCCTTACCTTTGCCTTTCGGCCGGCTTATGGTTGCTACGACAATGTCCGAGCTGAATGGATATCCGAATTCTGCCCTGTGAGAGGAGGTTGAGCAGGCAGAACGAGTAATCTAGTGGTGGTCATATGAAGGTTTGAAATAGTAACATCAATTAATGCTCACCCGCACCTTCACCCAGGCACCTCCAGGCAGACATGCTGACTAAGCCGTGGCACGGAAAGAAATGAGTCCGGCTCCGAAAGGCTTATCGTGAGTCGATTCGTACGAGCCACCACTACCTCGAACTGAACATGAGAAAGGGATACGTCAACGATTTCAAATTTGAAAGTCAAACGCTGCCCTTGTTCAAGAGGAATTTTACTAGGCGGCTTCACCAAGCTCATCATACATCGAGGATCTTTGGCAATTCCGACACCTTGCTAAAATTGCTGAGTAAGCTGGTGTGGCCATTAGTCGGCGCTGGATGGCCTAAGGGTCTTTCTCAACATTATCTCATATCCTTGAATAGCAATCACTTTCGTTGGTGGGACAGACATGGCGCCAGAGAAAGCGCTCCCGGTCGAGAGCTTGTTGCCATTCAATGAGCCGCGCATTTCCAGTGGACGATCGATAAGTCGGACCAGCCCGATCGATCACTCAAAATCATACGATCAGTCGCCTGAAAGTCCTGAGGAAGATTACCAGTCAGGAAACGAAACCGAGAAACCTAAACGCCAGAAACGCTCTCGTGCTTGCATCGCGTGTCGTAACATGAAGATTCGATGTCTTCCCATCGAGGGCCAAGAATCTTGCAGCAGCTGTGCCAAAGTCAACAGAGAATGTGTCATGCCTGGACCTCCTCGCAAGCGCCAGAAGACTGTGCATAAGGTTGCGGAGCTCGAAAAGAAAATCAATGCTTTGACGGACGCCTTGTTAGCTAAAAGTCAGCAAGCAGAGACAACTCCGACAGATTCCTCAGAAAACCCGCAAAGTGGAACATCGATTGCAGAGCCAGCCAAGACGGATGCTACATCAGTTGACGATCAAGTCCATATGCATGATCGTTACGAACGCAACTTTCTAGATCAAGCATTCCCCGATGCATCGACCAAAGAGTTCAACAATATGTCGTGCGTTCCGAGCCATGTCGAGGCTCTTGCCAAAGATCCCTACGTGGATGTTATCGAGCGAGGGGATTTGTCATTAGAAACTGCTACGGCAATGTTCAGGTACTGGTTACAGAAAATGTGCGCATCTACTCCTCAGGTGATTTTTCCTCCCGGGACAGAAATGCAAGATGTTCGGGGCCGGAGACCGATGCTCTTCCTCACGATAATGACAATTACAAGTCCCATGATCCAACCAGCAGCACAGCCCGCACTCACTATTGAGCTTCATCGCCAGCTCGCTGAGCGAGTATTATTTCATGGTGAGAAGTCGTTGGATCTGGTTCAAGCTCTTATTTTGAACTGCCAGTACTACATGAGGCCGCGGACCGCACGCGATATGTCTTTCAATCAATCCATCCATTCTGCCGCTGTTATGTGTCTAGAGATGGGCATTGGGAAAAGAAGCGCCTCTGAACGCAGTAGGTCTCCAATCGAAGATCTTGAACTTCGTCGAACATGGTTAGCATGCTATCAAGAAGCTTCAGTCGTGTCGATTCTCCTTCGCCTACCATCACTCATCAAGTACTCGAAACATATTTCTGAGTGTCTCAAATATGTGAGCTCCAGCCCTTATGCGCAACCTAGCGACAAATGGCTTTGTGCACTTGTGCGCTTGCAACGCCTTCTTGAGGAGGTTGCGGTGGCGTTTGACATGGATGATCCTGCCGGCAAGATCAACTTCTTAGAAGCCAAAACTCAGTATCAGCTGAAGATCTTCGAAAGGCAATTGGAAACGTGGAGACAGGAAACAGATGTCCCTGTTGACAAATGTAAGTCATCTAACAAGGCGACGTTCGAGCACTTTGGATCTAACCGTGAGAAGCCCTAGTTGAACATACCGCCGCTTGTGCGACCCTTTACATTCATGAAATCGCCATTCATGTGGAACACAACATCGATGATTTTCGACCTGGAGCGTTGCCTCTCAACCTCTGCAAATCCATTGAATTTGTTACGTCTGGTCATATCGAAGCTCTCTCGATTATCCTTACTGCCTGTCACACGGTTCTAGATATTTACATATCGTTCGACGTCGAGTTTGCACGTTCCTTACCCAATCTAATCATGGTCTGGAGCACATACGCGGTAGTTGTTTTGGTGAAACTACATTGGATGGTTTATGATCCGGTATCGAAATTTGGTTCCGTATTTCTGGCTGACCTCAAGACCGAGTATTACCTTGATGCAATGTTGAAAAAATTGGCCGAGGTCTCTGAAGGAGGTCGTGGGCCCTGCGCGGAAGCATTTGGGTTTGTCTACCAAAAACTCAAGATGTGGCATACGCACCGGGCCGGACGGTTTACTGATGAAGAAAAACCAACTGGTGGTGAAGCACATCAACAGCGACAAGCAGCCAGGATTTTGATGGGAACTCCTGCATCCATAATACATTCCACCTCGGACGAGGCCATGCGCAACATGGACGCTGGACACTCAAACGCCGAGATTCGTAATACTTCGATACCGAATAACGCAGGTGAGAAAACGGCTCTCCAGTCAGATCTAAATGCTGCATATGATGCTGCGAGCTATGGTAATACGGATTGGGACCAATTTACTTTTACTGTAGAAGAGCTTAACATGATGGACCTTTACATGTCAAATGGCTCTGGCTGGATGGGCTATTTGATATAGTACTAAAGGTCAATCAAATGCCATCGCTCGCATTTCTCAGTCTGAGCGACCAAATCTCAACTCCTATCATAGTGGGAAATTCCACTCGAGCGCCAAACAAAACTCAAAGCGCAACAGAAACGCCTAAAGCAGCAACAAGGAAGCATTAGCTAGTCCCATCCGATGACACCCTGCCCTAGGATTCTCCCTCTCCGTCTGTCCAAGATGGACACTGTTCTACCGACGACACCGTCCACTCCGACACCCAGATTCAATCTAGTGCCCCCCGTTGAACAGGTGGATGCCGGGTCAATAACAAACGAGTGCAGGATGGGGTTCGAGCAGACCCTTTCATCCTCTGAGTCAGAGTCTGCATTTAAATCTGAAGAGCACAACACCGGTTGGCCATATTTACTGCGTGAGTCAGTTAGCGCTCACTAGGCTGCACAGATCTGGTGAAAGAGAGAACTCACTGTATCCGAACACTCAGCAACTCCTGACTGCTACTGCCATCACATATGTCACTGGATTCCACTGTCTCGCATTGAAGACTGGAAGCGGTTGCTCCAGGAAGACGATTTGATAGCCTCAGCCGACCGCGGAACGTCGACTGCGGATTGGGATGGATGATTGCGATCAAGTCTCCCGACTCGGGCGCTGGCGGGAGATGTGAATCGCCGCACATGATAGTGAGGGAGGGTGATGTTTCCAGAAATTGTGAAGGCGAGTCTTGGGGTTTTGAAGGTACTGTAATGCCGATGGCAGTCGTGCTAGCACTCCAAATCTCGGGTCAAGTGATCGATGACTGAAAGCGGCGTCAACCAAGCCAAATCTCTTTCTGGACACTTGACAAGCGCGAGTCTAGGGAAGGGTGAATGAATGCTCTGAAGGAGGATAGAGAAAGAGCATGGAAATATAGCATTGAGTCGAGCGCGAGTAGTGTCTAGCTAGATGTATGTGTATTAAAACTCACTTCTTCCAACTTCAGCAAAGGACATGCTTGCGGTGCACGTTTCGATCATATATCTTCTGTAAGTAAGAGTGTATGTGCTGACTGGTTTAAGCCAATCAAAGCCAATCAGTAGAAATGAGGACTCTGAGGTGTCATGCAAGTGTCGTTTCGCTTACTGAAGAGTTCACGGTCCTCGAAAAACACACCCCGTGACGGGGCTTGGCGGATGGAAATGGTCAATTGAGCAGGTTGCATCTCATTTTCCAATGCCATGCTGGACTCTGGAAATCAGCAATAGTTCGGTTCTGCGTGGCGAGCAAGTTTCATAAGTTCAGGCTGGCGTTGGGTGAGCATGTTTGTTTGGTTTGGGGAGCACGTTGAGGCTGAGTTTGTGGGGGACTTTAGGTGGTGAGCAGGTTTTGGTTTAAATTAAACGTCGGCGCATCCCCCCGGCAGAAACGGATTTGGTGTCTGGAGCCACGTGATCCAACACTAACAAGAAGCGGGCGGTTGTTGGCCAACCTCACTCAACTTCATTCAGAGAAGCAAATATACATTATTTTCCTCGGCGTAGAAACGTGACCGTTTCTAAGAAAAGTTTGAATGTTTTCGTTCGTCACTATGCTGGATTTGACACTGCTTCCCATTCTCATTCTCGCTGCTCCATCAGTCATCCCCCCCTTCTATCTTCACGCAGCTTTGAGTGGACGACCGAGTTACAGCGATATCTTCTTGCTCTGCCTTGGAATGCAGACTCCATTGTCCCCAACTGCACTCAATGAAGGCGAATATCCAGCTGTAGCCGCGATGACCACTGGCTATGTTTTCAGAGTTGAGAATCAGGCCATGGTGATGTTCCTGCAGCGCGTCGGGAGAACTGGACACTTGGTTACCCTTGAAGTCGTGTCTGATCCTGCCGGAGAATCTGGGCGGAGACTTACACGACCACGCTTTCACATGAGCTTCTGGATTTCTGCGCTACTGCTGGCCTGTGGCCTCAGATCTGTGCGTGCTGACTGGTTCTTGGTATCAAGCGTCTCACTGCTCCTTTTGTCGCGACTACTTTCGATCATAAGTCTTCGTGCAAAGACGGCGCCTTCCTGGCACGGAGCGTCAGAACCCGGCACTGAAGGGGATCTATTAATCCTGCTATCGCAAGATCGTTGGGTCCGCATGCGAGGGCTCGTGGATGATCTGAAAGCTGTGACCTCTGGAAGTTGGCTCCATGAGGCCGATAATCCGGTTGTGATGCAAGCGTTCGAATGGACGGCTCGCGTGCTCGTCTACTTGGCCGTGGTAATATTGGCGAATGCGACGCGGGAGAACAAAATGATCCTCCTGGCGGATTTATTTATCAGCCACGGGGTGTTGGTATTCTCAAATGCACAGACCAAGGGGCTGAGACTGAACAGCCGGAAGATCAACATTTCAAGCAACGAAGGAAGCATCAAGAGCTATAACCGCAGGTTAGATCTGGCACAGGACCTGGTCAAAGAAATAGGAAGGAGCGATTGGGCAATTCGGCTCGGCATCATCAATCCAGAAGAGGTTGATCCAGCTTCAAGAGGAACAGAAAGCAAATATCAGGATCCCGAACACGAGATAGTGGCAATGTGATATTCGTCGTTCTGGCTAAAGGGTTCGTGGCTGCATTTAAGCTTCTATCCGGAATGTGGTCCGAACACCCATTGCCGCAAGCTCGACATCCAGATATCTTAAAACGCCCGGTACATTTACAACAGTCGTGTCATCACCTCCCACAAATTTTCGGCCTGTGCCATCTTCCCAGACGGCCATCTTGCTGTCCTCGAAGCTCGCCGGGCTTGCACATGATCGACATCGAACCACTCCACTTGGTTCAACCCGGCCACCTCTTTTCCCTATGGTGAACTGGTTGGGGACCATCATGGTACTGAGGAAGCTGCCACACGACCGACAGACCCATGCTCGTTGTTTGTCGCTGCAATCCATCAATCGATCCTGAAGCAGGTAGGCGCAACCGTGAGCGATAAGCGAATCACGCTCCATCTCACCCACGCGGATACCACCTCCTTTGCTTCTACCTTTGATAGGCTGACCGTGCAACGCGTTCACGGGGCCAGTCGTCCGAACTTGGAACTTGTCGCTGACCATGTGCCTCAGTCGTTGATAGTAGACCACACCTAGGTATATGTCCGCGGCAAACTGTTTACCCGTGATACCGCTGTACATTGGCTCATTGCCGTAGAAATTGTACCCAGCTTGCCGAAGTTGGTCACCGAAGAAGTCTCCTGCTGTGTTATCTTCGTCAAATGAGAAAGGAGTACAATCTTGTGCGAGCCCATGCAGAGCACCTGATTTTCCCGCAAGTGACTCGACAAACATACCAATCGTCATCCGAGAAGGGAAAGCGTGAGGATTGATGATTACATCGGGTTGAATACCCGACTCACTGAAGGGCATATCTTGACTGGGCCAGAGCATGGAGCAAACACCCTTTTGCCCGTGCCTGGAGGAGAATTTGTCTCCAATAATGGGTCTTCTGGGAATACGATACTTGATACTGATCACTTGGCAGGGTAGGTCTCCGGATTCAGAGCCTATGAGGCGGATTTGGTCAATATAAGCCTCCTCAGTGTCCTTGTATTTGAAGTAATTAGTCCGTCCGTCCAAGTTCTTCAGCTTGCCTTCAGATGGATCGAACATGACACTGTGGTGGGCCAAGACTATCGAGTTCTCGCTGACCTTGGTTCCGACAGCCGGAAGACCATCAGGGTCCAGGCTACTGATCGCCTCTGGGGAGATATTTGGATCACCTTCAGCAAAACCAAAAAGGGACTTGATGTCGGTCTTGGACCGGCTAATTCTCGATCTCTCATTCAGTTCATAAACTTTGGTCTTGTAGATGACACCATCGCCAAAGCCACGTTCGTGGGAGGACTTGTTTATTATCATCGCGTCGTCCATATCATAACCGGTGTAAGAAATAACGGCTACCACGGCATTCATACCGTTGGGGAAATTGTCCAAACCGTATTCATTGTACAGTGGCGGTCGAACGACTGGCGTTTGGCCAGTTTGCAAGAGGTATGCCTTGTTGTCTGTCCGGCACATCATATTGGAAGAAGGAGTTCCCATTGCTTGCTTACTCATCTGACATTGGTACATATTTCTGGGCGACTGATTGAAGTCTGAGAATGGTGTCATATTTGCAAGAATGGATAGGATATTTGTTGGCTTGTATTCGATGTGCGTCGTCAATTGCGGAATGATATCCTTCTCCACACACGCGATATTCATGTATTGTTGTTCGAAGGGGCCGACGTAGTCGAGCTTGTCAGCCGGTATGTACTTGACGGGCCGGATCATCCTTGAGGGGTCGGCAAAAAGGTACAAGCCGGGGTAAAGGCCGCCATTCGAGGTCGGAACAAGACCGATTTCGAGCTCGTTGGGTATCTGGTTCTCGCCATGCACCTTCCAGTGTCTGAGAAGTTGCGCAATTTCTCGCGCTCGCTTTGTCGGGCAGTATCCTAATATTCTACCATCAAGCTGAACCGCCAGACCGTCTTCAACTGCCATGGTTGGTGAAGGTGAGAGTCCTAGTTGAATGATCGCCTTTTCCACACTCGATGTGTCAATCTTTTTTATCTGTACCTGACATTGATGCGCCAAATGGTTAAGAAGGCCACAGGGTGAGCCATCGGGTGTATGCACTGGACATAGGAAGCCCCAACTTTCTGGTAAAAGCTTTCGTACCGTCGTTGTCTTCAGCTGTGCGAAGAATGCACCTCTGTGTATACACCTGAAGTGGCTGATGAATCGGTAAAAGTTGATCTTCTCTGCCATGATGGTATAACCTGACGTCTGTGACATGTCAAGGCCCGTTTGGCTCACGAGGTTACCGGTGGACAGAAAATATTCCAGTTTCCCAGCCAAATTTTCATTGGTCCTCCTGACTATCTTTGGAAGGAAGTCGGTCTCGAAGCTGGGATCTGAGAATTGAGCCTGGTTTTTCATTCGGCTCCAATCTCTCGCCGCTGCTCCAATTGAAACCAGCCACTCGTAGATGTTCTCCTTCAATATCATCCCGTAGAGAAAGCCACCGAGGAGAACCTCTTGGTTGGACACAGCGTCTGGATTGTCGAGTGCACAGTCATCAGCAGCAAGTGCGTAGAGCTTCCGGATCATAAAAAGGATAAGTTGGAATTTGTCGTTGTTTTGTGTTGGTGTCACATCGCAGTTCCCAAGATGTGGGAGAACAATCTTTCTCAGAAATTCCTCGCCCACCTTTTCATCCGACATCGTCAACGGACACATGAGCACGGGTCGGAATTTCTCTCCCAAGTACGCCAGTGTTTGAGATCTCGTTTTCAGATTGTACACTTTGTAAGTGCGCAGCAGAAGCTCGGTTCTGTCAGAGACAAAGGAGCTCGGTGTGTTGGAACTTGACGACCCGATAATGCCGTCGGCAATCTCTCTGTCATTTGTGTCAACAAGGGCCTTCAGAATCATCATGGCCGGTACCAAATACTCGCTTTTCCTCCACGAGAACCTGAAGGTGACATTTCCGTCTGTGAGGTAATGGAGGACGTTTGTTTGCGAGGTCTGATCCGGTCGGACTGATCGTATCTGTATGCCAAACTTTGAAAAGGTAGGTCCTCGGTTGGTGAATGCGTTTCGAGAGATTGCCATGGGATAGTTCCTCCGAGAGACTATCAGCATTCTAATGAGCTTCTCGTTACCATTCACGATGAAATAGCCACCCAACTCTTCCGACTCTTCTTTGTGTCGAACCATTTCTGCTGGCGAGAACTTCTCCAGATGACATTTGCTCGAGCGCAGCATGATAGGCATCTGGCCCAATTCCCGTATAGATTCCTTCCAGTCGCCATTATTGACTCTGTATTGTAGCCTCGCTCTTAGCTTTCCGCGGTAGGTGGAATGCCGTTCTCGAGACTCGGAGGGGTAAATATTTCGGTTTTGGACGCTGAATTTGTTCGAGGACGGCAAAGTTGGCTTGTCTAACAGAATTTCTGTCACTCTCAAGTCTAACTTGTTCCTAGGAACGTTCCTCCTGGTATCTCGTAGATTTCCATCGGTTGCGGTATAGATGCCAATGTCTTTCAGTCCAGCGTCAATCAATTGTTCGTCCCATAGAGCATTGAAAGATTCCACGTGAGGCTTGACGGCAGCTTGAAGAGCAGGGAAAGCACTCCCATCTTTGGGCGTGTTTCGAAAGAGCTTTTGCCGTCGAATGGTATCGAATTCGACAGACCATTTGGTTTTGGTCTGAGTTGTTGTCGTAGACATGATGGTTTCTGGTCGCTGAAAAAGTCTGGCGGAACGCACTCGTACTTTCAGAGTCTACACCGGATGTCGAGGCCGGAGGCACATCATACAATCTTGGAGGATCCCATACAAAGAGGTATGTTTGTGGTCGGAGGTTTCAAATGGACCAAAAAATTGGAGCGCAGTCCTCCGCCAAAAAAAAAGCTACACTCCGAGCTTATCGTTATCAGGCCAAATTAAGAATAGCGTATTCTGGATCAATGCCACTCCTCTTGTCTGTTCTGTTCTTCTCGTGCGACTTCAAATAGCGGGCGAAGGCCAGAAGGTACGGTCTACGTTCCCATCAAAAGGTGTGCCTGTTTTACGTTACTTTCTCATATTTCGGTTACCACTTCCAATGCATGGTCATTATATTGTGCGTCTTCCATGATTTTAAAGCCTGGATCTTGCTTAAGCACCCACTGATGTTTGAGCTTCCGTATTCTCGGAGCTTTGAGATAGACCCACGTTTCGACTGTCACAAGCCATCATTGCAAGCAAGACCGTCCCTATGAAAGCTGTCTTAATCTTCCACGTGTTACAGCATCTTCTCCACATCAGCTCCATTTATCATAGTCGGGGAAGAGTGAGGTATGAATTCTTTCGGCATATTCCATCACATTTGGAAGGGCCTTTACGATTGCCGTGGATGTTGGTCCACTGATTCAACTGTCAGCTCGATTGACAAACGCCCGAGGAACTGCGCCTCTTACCTAGGAGCAACCAGTGCCGATACAATGAAACCGTACAAGGTTGCGTCGGCCTCAGTGGGTTCTTCATTCCCCAGGACCCAAAATGGTTGATCGGAGGTGAGTCTTTGCCGTCGTGACTTCAACAGCAGGTCGATTTGTTGCCATATGTCGGCCCTGAATAGGCCGATTTCGTCTGAAGTGAAGCGACCTGTTCCCTGGCCATGCAAGGTAGCAGTGATGCTTCGATAAATGAGCATGCCTACAAGGACACGGATCGGTAGTGGTTTATTCCACAGGGCTATCTCGCGATGGACATAGTAGTTGTCAATCCACCGTTCACGCATCTGGAATCCGAAGTCAGTGTTCATTGTCTTTGTGAGGTAGCTTGTCTTGACTTGCGATCAAGAACGTCCAATTTCCATACATTATAGAAGTACAGCTTATCTTCGAGGAGTGCTCGTATCCCAAGATCAGCCATCTTCTGTTCTGGCGACAAGTTCGCATTCAGATCTTCAAGTTGTCCCATATCCACCAGACGACGAAGAATCAGCGTAGAGTCGCCGAAATGGGCTGTAATAACAGACTCCGAGTTCTGAAGTGCGCTTAGATCAACGTAGGGAACTTTACCCTTTGGTGCAGCTGTGGAGGAACCCTCCTCAACTTGATATGGAAGACGACCATGCCGCAGGCGGAATTCCAGCTTTGTAGGAAATGGAGATATACAATATGCTGTCTCCGCTGGGAAGCCTCGAAAGAGAATAACCTTGTCTGGCATCGCGCCTGATAGGGTTAGGGATGGTCCAAGTTGGTGATGGAAATATGTATCAAATTTGCATCTATCACATTTCCTTTGTAGAAGAAGCTCTACAACGGAAGTCCTCGTCCGGTCATTTATATGACTTCTACGCTGGTAATCACCAAATACATATCTCCTCCAAAACGCATTGACCAGATGATCTACATACGCTGATCCCTGACCAAAACCCCTCTCCGCCTTCCACTAGATAATAGTTACGTTAATACTAACTTTTGGCGGCCTGACTTAGATTTGGACGTCGGGACTAAAATCTTGATAATTACCGAGTGATCCTGCCCTGGAGGGCGCTAACGGGTATCTGTTCTAATTATTCCCCGAGATCCCCAACTAGCAACCGCTTCTTCGGCTCGTCAGCCTTATTGCTTCCAGTTCGCCAACTCTTCCTTGTTGAAACGTATTCTGTCAAGAGGCCTTAGAAATGAACCGATTGGAAGTAAGTTGATGACGTCCCCAAAATCACCAAATTCCATTGTGTCTCGGTCGAGCGGCATTGGAATGGTAGTCGAACTACTAAGTCTCGTAAGCAGTATTATACTCATAGAGAGGGTTAAGTCACCTATCACGAGGGGCGCAATCCTAAGGAGGGGCTGAATGAGCAAAGATGAGAGCCACTTCCACAGACAGTTCGACAAATAATTCGAGACGACATTACTAGCAAGTACTTGGTGTGTACAGTATGGCTTGCGAATTGAAGGCCGAGAGCAACCCCATGTTGCTGTCGTAACATGTCCAAGCTTAAGTAGCTTTGGTGTTTTTGGTGTTTTTGCGGTGAGCTTTCGCTGCATCTCTCAAACTGTGAAAAATTGGTCCACTAAAAGTGAGGGGAGTGGTTATACTTATTTCCAATATTCCCCTAATTGGTCTTGTTTCTTGACAAAATTATATCCGAGTGGCTTCGTTATCCCGACCAAGCGATCTCGCGGCTTCGGCTCCTCATCGTGTTCATAGTCGTGCAACTGGTCGATCAGCAAATCTTCCAAAACATGTATTCGTAAAGAACTCAATGATCGTGCAAGACTTTTCATGCTAATCAACCGCTGATGACTGGACAGTAGATAGAGCCACCGGCTGCTAGGGCAGGTATATCAAATGGATGACTGGCAGAGGCAATTGCATAAAGGGAATAGTTGAAAAGCTGAACAAGTTTCATCCCTAAAATGCATGCGTTGACCTCCCTGAATGCATTCTCGCTATCATTGCCTATCATCATCCGTGTTTCTCGACCATCGAGGTAAAGGGTCTGGTCAATGATGGCAACTCGGGGATAGTGCTGATACCGGTAGTGCCCAAGGCGAGGCTGATGTCAACATTTGTGGAGGCGCTGCTGAAAGGGTGTACGGCCATACTGGGAGCCTTTCAGTAAGCCTTTCAGACGGCACATAACTCCACATTGTCTTCAGAGAATTGGGGAAAGGTCAGGTTTATGAAAGGCAAAGTGTTGAGCCTCACACAATATAACAACATAAAGCAAGGAGCCATGCGTTTACCAGGTCTGGGTTGTCGGTCGGACAACTCTGAAGGGTCCGCTATTGTCCATAGACACTGCCGTTGTTCGGGTCGTCTTGACGAGTTTATTGTATAGATCGAGGCGGGGTCGATCGTTATGTTGCCAGCCACAATTACTCTGATATGTGAGACAGCTTTTGCTGTCTTGGAAACTGCAAAATGCTCGTTCAGGCTGTGACTCAGGTGGGACAAAGTGGCGAACACCCTTCCATTTCAGTTGCCAATTCTGGGAACCTCGCAAGCCTCATCAGCCACGGCAAGAATCAGGACGAAGTTGGGAGGCCCCTAGTCGTACAGAGTTCCGAGAAAGTCCTTGATTAGGGCTGCGCCCTGGTCTCAATGGACGTAGGCTTACTCCGGTTTTGCTGACGACAATACCTCGTTGTGACTCGTAACTCGTCAACAGGGCCCTGCCTGAGGCCCTAGAGGGCGCCCCTAATTGGCGAGCACGAGGTACCGAGAACTTTGGTGGAGCGGCAGGATCAAGACGAGGGAAACGATCAGGTATGATTGCACTACCTCATACATAACTTCCAGAATACTCTGAACGACAGACATAAAACTTCAAATCACCAATTCTGTAGCCTATCGAGCTGATTGACACATGGTCATGAGTAGCCCTTGATGAATTTATGTTCCTGGGTTGTGGATAACACCTCGAACCTCATACCCACCTCAATCGGACCTTCGCTTCTTGGAATACAGAGCATGCCAAAGCAGGGGAACCACTTAGCACCCTCGTCAATCCGTCTAAAGGTCATCAACGTATCGAAAGGCTGCTTGTTACTCCTTTCTCCAGTTTCAGAGTTGACGTTGGGGATGGTACACCTCGGGCAACGAGAAGCGACATCAATGTCAATCGAACCTGTCAGGTTTGAGACGGCCGACGGCAAATACGAAGCCAGCGGAGCGGTCGAGCCATTGATGCGCACTGTCTTCCAGTTATCCTCTGACCAGGCTTCAGCGCCCTTGATAACGATATTGGGCCTGAAGCGTTCGATCGTGATCTCCTCGAGTCCCTTTTCCTTGAGCCGGGCATTCAGATCAGCTATAGATGCCTCAGATGCGATCTGAATGGGCATCTCATCTGGAAAATTAATTGTCGCTTTCCGACCCAGGAGGTCCGGTGCAGCATTGCCACGACACGGGCGAGGCTTATCGGAATCCACCACTGCGAGGAAGACATCAGTTCCCTGACCAATAAAGTCTCGGAAAAGAGTTTGAATCTTTGGGTCTATGTAGACAAGTGCCTCAGCATCAATTCCCCAGACACTAACTACGGCGGGTTTAGTGTTCTCTTTGAGCCATTCTTCGGTGGGATTGAGAGAAAGTGACATCGATTTATTCTCATCATTGCCGATCGTGATCTTGAGCAGCCCTTTACTCTCATCGATAGCAGTGTTGATCAGCGTCAATTGTGGCCTTTCACGAATGGTGAGGAATTGCAATTTCTCATCTACAAACATCCACTTCCGATCGTACTTGAAGCCTGAGAGGGTGAGATCGGCTGAGTCAACGGTGATGCCGCGGCATGACTTAATGGGATAGATGCGCACTTGCGAGATCTCGTAGACCGGAAGACCCATGTTGAAAGTGACAGAGAGGGGAGGTTCAAGACGAATGAATAGAGGAAGTCTCGTTGTTAAGAGATCTTGAGAGGGGAAGAGGTTTGTTGACGAAGCACACAATCATGCCACCACCTGTAAAGTCAGAGGTCCGTTCTTGGACAAAGGAGTAAATTACCATAAAGAGTAACCACCAGCGAAGGTAAGAACTCCTATTGGTATGTTCGGGAACAAGCTATCGGTGATTGAGACTTTGCAAAGCAGCTTTTAGCATCGATTTACCTAACAGGACGGATATATGCGTTGGACATGCATGGATCGCAGGGTGATACTGAGCCTGGTGCTCACTATTATTATTTTCCCTTACGAGTGCTTCTTCGGATACCAGGTGTGAGGTTTTGTCTGCCTTTCAACCTCGAATGCTCCACGCTGCGATAGCTTCTGAATGCGCCCTTCAAACTATTCGTGCAATTCCAACATCAAGTGGCTTGGTCTTTCATTGGAAGAAGCTATGATGAAAGTTGCATTTTATGTTATACAATATGTACCAAGGACAGATGCTTCTGACTCTGCCCAGTTTTCTTAGAGTAAATGTTTGGATGATGGGCTGGAGTCACCCCCGACAGTAACATTCTCACCCGTCCGAGTGTGCAGGATACACCAAGACTCATCTTCAGTGTACTCTTCAAGCCCCGTCTTGTCATCTAATTGTTGTTGAATGGCCCAGGCAGTTTCACGTCCCTTGCGAATGCAGTCGCTCACTCCAACTTTACCCTGCCACCAAGGTCCGGCGACTTTGAACCTCCCTTCATACTCAGACAGTAATCCTTCATGGATTCTTGCCATGTCTTTTCGATAACCAACGGGATACTGAGGGATGCAATTTTCAGCTAGACGAGCCTTGGCGATTTGGGGCTCACCTGTGATGTTCAAATGTCGTCGCAGGAGAGTGGTCGCCATGGTAATTGCTTCTTTCTCGTCGGGCAGGTCATCTTTTGCCCAAGAATCCCACCAGTGGCCACCGAGCATGACGGTAAGTTTTGTCCCTGGTGCACTATCTTGCCCCATCTTGATCTCCAGCTCGATGGCGTCTTTGGTGGAGTCAGATCCGAACCACTTTTCCTCGGTACGCTTAGTATCCATAATTCTTTCGTCAATATGCTTTAAAGTGGTCTTCAAAGCCATTTCGTTCTTTTCACGAGACTCATTTGGTTCATCCTTTAGGTAGGTGAACATCTCGTACTGTCGATGTGCCTTTTCACGCTCTGACTCGAGCTGTTCCAGCGTCTCGTTGATTAGACTTCGAGTGACCCGTCTTTTTTCTACGTACCCGGGGATGCCAGAGGTTTCCGATCCAAAAATAACACCTAAAGCCCGTTCTGGGTTCTGATCGAAGGGGACCGAGCGCGGAATCAAGTAGCCGAAGCCGGTATGTTCAGGGGGTATTAAATTTGGGTTGCTGTAGTAAAGATTCACAACCATCACGTTGACGGAGCGGTCACTGTGCTTGCAAGCTGCGAGGACATTTTGACTGGCCGAAGAACCCCGAGACTGAGCACTTTGTTCCAGGAACGACCGCACAGAATTTGGCGGTAGAGACGAAACCACATAATCAAATTGACCACTCTTGGTGTCATGCTCGATGTGGACGGTCAATTTATGGTTGTTCTTGGCTGAAGTGACTGATACCGCACGGCTCTCCTTGTGGATAGTGACATTTGGATTGCAATTGAGGGAGTTCTCCAGCTTCGAGGCGAGATCACCAAGGCCCTTTTCAAATGTATAAACGCTGAGGTTGGACATCACCGCAGCCAAGGCTCCGGCCTTTGGCCTGCTAGGTTCAAGACTCTGCATGGCAGACCTCATAGTTGCGAAATCCCGGTTCTTTTGCGGATATAGCTTGAACCCTTTCAGCATCATATCAGCTATTTCGAGGCTTATGCTGGCGCTTGAACTGTCATTCTTTTCCAGGAACCATGCTGCAGGCAAAAGAGTGCGAGCGCTGAGCTTGTATATGTCACCGGCATAGATTCCGTGAAAGATGGCAGAAGCGAAATTATCCGCAATAACTTTGCCCCATCTCCTTTGTAAGAAGTCGCCAACAGATTCGTCTTCTAGGGCATCATCTCGAGGCGGCGCAGTAAGCTCGCGGGTTACCTCTCTTACCGCGCCTGCAAAAATAGGTTCGAAAAGGAGGGAATAGAGACGTCGAAGCAACTCGAGTAGGCCACTAGCACCAGGCATACGAGCAAGGTGGTCTGGATAGTATATATATCTATTGAGAGCAGCAGGCTTGTTTTTGTCGGTGGGTATGAGATGTTCGAGAAGATTAAGGTCAGCTAGCTGTGGCACTCTGCCAGTTAGCACAATCACACCTAAAGATTTGGCCGACAGGTCCGCACCAAGTCAAGAGTGGCCATGCCTGAACCTCCCAAGTCGGGACGCAGTGTCCGTGGACCCCATTCAAAGAGGACTTCTCCATCGTCCACCTGGACCAGTTCAGAGTTGAGCCATCCGCCTAGCCGATTACTCGATTCGTATATCGTGACTTTCGCATTCGGGAGACATTTTGAGATGTTATGAGCTGTGCTTAGACCAGTAATGCCCCCACCCAAGATCGCAATCTCCCTAACAAGCTGATTCGGAACTGAGCGTAATTTGGGGAGTTCTGACCCAGAGTTGGAAGCTGGACTGGTAGAAAAGAAAACGGCATTGCGGCCACAATGAACACGCGCGAAGCGAGCCCAGAGGGAAGATCTCACAGCATTGTTCTGGGCAGCTGTACGACCAACCAAGTGCATCTCCAGTGGAGCTACACCCAGTGGTGCAAATAGACAAATAAAAGTGAAACGGGACCAGGTCTCCAACACAACGAAATTTCGATGTTCGGAAGTCAAGGATGCATTTATGAGACCTGAGGTCAAGAATCTGGATAGATGATGGCATGATTCGGCCCAATCACCAGATTCGGAAGGCCTACGGAAAATATATTTTCCCTGGAATTTGGAGCTTAAGAGCTTTGCGAGGTGCACCTCGGATCTACGACGAGCACATGGCACTTCGACTGCTTAGTTTTTCACATCTGCAAAGAATGGTTTTGCGATCAACTTGTGCACTATGGCCCTGATGTTCTCCATAAGACCATACCTTGTCTCAGCGCTGCAGCTAGCAGCGTAGGGTGGCTTTTTGGTCATTGAAATCGCCTTCCTGCGCACCTGTGAATTCGATTCACAATGTCAAGGCACTTCTTGCAGATCAGTGGCCTGTGTCCAGTCCCCATCAACCTCGACGAAGAATGCAGGGCTTCCGCACTTCAGGTCCTGGCCTGTGTGGGTGGTTTTTGAACATCGGTGTGGATGACAATCTGCTTGCAGAGTCCCCGAGAAGACGACAGATTTCATGTGACTTCTCTGCCTTATTTGTTGGAGTTGAGCGGAGCACGCATCACCAGAGATTTCATCCTGGTACCTCTGACCGCACATCCTTGGCCGTCGAAGTTTCTGATTGCTGCTCTGGCTCATCATATCCCAACTTCTTCAGATCACGCAAGATTTCTCTCTCTTTGCCAATCTTCATAAGTTGGTCGTGGGATAATTTCTCTCCAGCAGCCTTTTTGTCCTTCAATTCTCGGACAGCTTTGAGCCTTTTGAGTTGATTTCGGATCTTCTTCTGCTGATCTTCTTCGTCATGGGATGATTTCTGCAGGCCGCCTGCTAATTTTGTGAAATCTCTCCAGTCTTGTTCTTTCTCCTCTATGTCGCCCAGTGAGGTGTTCTGCAAGGCAGCGGTAAGATCGTTCCCAGGAGAATCCGTCGCTTCGGCCTTCTTACGAGCAGCTTCCCTACGCTTGGCATTCTTGCTCTTCACCGGTCCTTCATCTTTTGTAGTAGCGGGCACTACTCCTGGGACTCCTCCGCCCCCTCTGTTTTTCCATGCCTCGGCACTCCGATTTTTGTAGGTCTCGACGTCTTCGGGGGGCCTGTACCCAGGCCTTACCCGGATTTCTTTTCTCGTAGAACCATCCGGACGCTTGGACGAGGGAATGTAGGAGGCCCCATCAGCAGTGGTTTCAATGCCGGCTTTGCTGACTCCAGACATGTTTTCAATCTGTTTCGGAATGCTTGAGACAATTGTTTACCGTAGTGTTTCTGATGGAGGAGCGTCTATGGGAGGGGCATAGCATGGCCAAGAAGCAGCCCTCATAAGAGCTGGACCGCAGAGGGCCTAGCCTCGTCAGCGAGTGCCGGTTGTATGATGAGAGTCGGAAGTAACTCCAAGTGCCATCTGCTGCAAAGGCAGATCAGGCAGTTAATGATGGTTGGGTCCAAGAATATTGTGGCAGATGGAAAGGTAGTGATCCACCGTCAACTATACGGACGTGCATTCTTGGATTTGACGCAGTCTTGGCATCAAAAGCTCAGCTCCGGCATTGTCATTGACCCGTAGCTAATTCGGTCGTTTCCTTTCAGTTCTCTTGACGACAGCTTTTCTACGATTAATCATTCTTGTCGTGCCTAGAGTTGTCAACAATGGCGCCCGGAGTACGTCGCATGTCCTTCCTCATCATGAACGCTTTACTGACCCTCACAGTCCGGAATTGCTAGCGGCATCTTCAAGTAACTCTCTCGCTTGCGAACCCGAGCATTCGTTGCTAACCCTCACAGCGCAATCTTCCGAAAGAATGCTGCTTTCCTAACCACTGTCTTCGTGGGTGCATTCGCTTTCGAGATGTGAGCCTTCAACAGATGCGAAAGCTGCTTACTGCAGGGCTAATGGAAACGCAGGGCGTTTGATACCGCAACCGACGCCGTATGGGACAGGATTAACAGAGGTGTACGTTTCCAGCCTCTCTACCCCTCCTGTGCACAGGCGTTTCTAACTCTTGGATAGCGACAATGGAAGGATATTAAGCATAAATTTATGGCCCCTCCCGAGGAAGACGAATAATTGAGAGGGCTTCGATGCAAAAGAGATGAGCTTGGCTTAGGCTGAAGATGTGGAAAGAAGCCAGGGACAGGTGTGCTAGTGCCTCTCGCTTTATATTGTATATATCACCAAACAAGCACAATTGATCAGGTTCTGCGATTCATGCGCCACACACACCGGGGGGAATTTTTATCGGAAATGTGGCATTACCCGAGTTATCCGCTGTCAGTAAACTGTTAGAAACAGGTGATATTGCCGAATATCTTTGCGGAGCAGAGGGAAGGGCGAGATCTCGGAAGCCCGAGTGCGTTCAGATGGACAGCAGGAACCGTGCTGTCCCTGTGATTCTTCGCATGAAATACATGGCCTTACCCGCGTTCACCGTGTACTTTTGTGATAACGCAAGGAGCTCTGGTCAGTGGTCAGTCTGTTCTCAGTTGATTGCTTGCCTGCATGCTGTGGACCACCTGGGCAGTTTCCAACTGCGTGAAGCCGGCCGTGGCAACCAACTGGCGGCAAAGCTCTTGTTCTGTTTACCTTAGCTAGTGTTTTAGATGCGAGTCAAATATGCCATTCATACATCCATCGTGCTGCCTGTTTGGGTATCTACCATTATTTATACCTGTGTACCTAGGGATATAAGATGCACTGGGTAAATAGGATGCTGGTGTCACTGTCGTTTATAGACTGACTAAAGCGGCAAGAAGTGGGACAGGGGCGACTGTCTTGAAGTGCATTACATAAGGCGCTGATAGGCATTCAACTGGGTGCAACTACGTAAGGAGTGCGGTTAACTGTACCTTAAGGCAAAATATCTATGGAGTTCACAGCACTCAAGCCTCATTTAATAGGCGAACGCTGAGGCTGGGTCTGAAGCGTTCTTGATCTTTTATTTGATGCTGGTCATTGTCATATCACGAATCCTGTAGACATCCGCATCCCAGACGCCTCATCCTCCTCTCACAATCTTAGGATCGAGCAGGAACGCTCTGTCACGACTCACCACCAACTCCGCAACGCACATCTGCCCGCCACTGAGCCAGCACCAAAGCCTCAATCTCCCGATTGCCACCTTTTGGTCTTGTTCGACTGGTCTCAATCGACTCCCTCCTTGTCCTTATCCTCGCTCCTTCTCTTCCACCTCTTGTCTCCAAATGCGGGAATCATCACCAGCTACATAACAATGTCCACAAGTAACTCCAGCCTTGCCCGTCAACTCCGCCAGGCTTTGTGTGATCATCCTAGCAAATATGCTTATCGATACACTCGAATTGCAGAGAATGCTCTCCTCGAGGGTCTCTTCCGTTCACTGACCAATGATCAACCGGACCATCTCCTCCAACTCTTCCCAAATGGGTTTCCTGGCTCCTATAAGTTGCAAGACGCCCAAGGAGTGCAAGAAAATGCCGAGTACACCCCTGCTGCTCGCGGTCATCCCTGTGGTCATATATTCAAGGCAGGTGAAGCCAGTTACCACTGCAGCACCTGCACAGATGACACCACTGCCGTTCTATGTTCTCGTTGTTTTGTGTCTAGTGATCATGAGGGCCATCAATACACCATTGGCATCAGTGCAGGAAATAGCGGGTGTTGTGATTGTGGCGATGACGAGGCTTGGAAAAGACCTGTAAAATGTGCCATCCATACAGCGAGCGATGACTGGACAACGACAGATGAAAACGTCTCTCATCTTGCCCCGGACCTCCAAGAAGCCATCCGAACTACTATTAGCATCGTGATAGACTACTTCTGCGATGTTATCTCTTGCTCTCCCGAAAACCTACGCATGCCAAAGACGGTCGATTCGGTGACCCAAGACGAACTCAGAAGCCGCCTACTACCCGAACATTACGTCTCCGGCGATGAAGTTGAGACGAACCCGGAATACTGCCTGATCATTTGGAACGATGAAAAACATACTGTCCGTGAAGTCCAATCGCAAGTCACTCGGGCCTGTCGTGCTCGCGAGAGATTTGGGCTCGAGAAAGCTGAAGAGGCAAACGATATTGGTCGCTCTGTGATTCGACACTCGAGAGATTTGAAAGAACTGACAAGGATGGCTAAAATCATCGAAGAAATAAAAGTCACCGTCACTATTAGATCTTCTCGAGACACCTTCCGCGAGCAGATGTGTGGCACTATAATTGAGTGGCTGGCCGACATATCAGGCTCTGGTATCGCTGGAGATGGCCACATTCTGCGCCGTACAATTTGCGAAGAGATGCTCCAACTCTGGCGCGTTGGTAGTGAGGCCTGGAATGCTCAAGTTGGTAGGGATGATCTCGACGATCATGGTGACGAAGATGATCGGGAATTCCGCCGGCGGCATCGTTTAAGATTCTTTGATCCTATTCAATTCGCAATGCAGAGAGCTCTTGCTGCTGAAGCTCTTGACGACGCTCTCAGTGATGTAGACAACGACACCGCCGAGGCCGACGACGATGACGACGACGACGAACTGGGCGATCAAGAGGGCGATCAAGAGATGAACGACTTCGTCCTACAAGCAACTGTCTTTGGAGATGCAGAGACCGTACATGTCCTCGCTGAGCAGTCAATTGATCCGGATGCCACTGATGATGCCGAGGAAATGGACACAGATGGCGATGGCGATGCAGATTTTCTCGATGTTGCAGAGAGAATGGACACGGACGATCAAGTGTCTCCGCCACCACCACCCCCTCCACATCCTCCATTGGCCAATACCGGTCCAAGTGTGATCGGGCGCGATGAGAGCGCAAATTATCTAAATATCCCCCGGACACCAGCTGCCAGTACCCGCACCACTGGATCGCATACAGCACCTCCCAACCATTGGCTAGTATTACCACCGAGTCAGCAGAGTCCAACTCATAAACAATCGGTCTACGAGGATCTCTCTAAGAACATCAGAGTGGACTCCCTGATCTTGTTTGACCTTCGGCTGTGGAAACTTGCAAGAACCAATTTGCGGGACTTATTCATCAGCACTTTGGTGAATATTCCACAATTCAAGCGTATCCTTGGTCTCCGATTTTCAGGACTTTACACGACTCTGGCACAGCTATATCTTGTGGCGGACCGCGAGCCTGATCACTCAATCATCAATTTATCCCTTCAACTTCTCACAACACCTTCCATTACCGAAGAAGTAATCGAACGAGGGAACTTCTTGACTAATCTAATGGCCATTCTTTATACCTTTCTGACGACGAGGCAAGTTGGCTTTCCGAAAGATCTCGATCCTGGAGCTACACTTGGCTTTGATGCTGGGTCAGTGGCTAATAGACGCCTCTATCACTTCTTTTCTGATCTGAGATACTTCCTCGCCTCTCCTTTTGTACAATCTAAAGCTCGAACTGAGCCACAGTACCTGTTCCAATTTTTGGATTTGGCGAAATTGTCACAAGGCATTTGCCCCAATGTTAGAGCGGTCGGCGAACATGTCGAATATGAAACGGACGCATGGATAAGCGCCTCTTTGTTGACCCGGGACATTAACAAATTGTGCAGGCAATTTGCTGAAGCGTATTATGTATCAAAAGAGAGCGGTCCGTCCGCTGTGTATGCTACCTGCGAGGCCATTTCCCATGCTGCTGGAATTGCAATCATCAATTCTTCTGGACTTGAGCGAAGACGATTTGACCAAGCTGAGATAAAAGAATCAGTTCGATTCCATACTATTGGCCCTTTCGGCGACACCCCTGAACGCCTCAGTTTCTCTGTAGTGGACTTTCCTCCAGAGAAAGGCTCGTTGAGTTTTCATCACCCTTTGCATTATACATTGTCCTGGCTCCTTGAATGTGGGAAACATACTCAACAATCTATTTCTGCGTTGAAAGATGCCGCGCAAACATTCCTTACACACCTTCACGAGAGCTCGCTCCCGGCTCGGGACACAAGCATCAAGCACGCGTTGAGCTCGGTTGATGATGCGCTCTTGGCGATGTTTGACTTTCCACTGCGTGTCTTTGCCTGGCTTTCGCAAATGAGGGCCAATTTATGGGTACGTAATGGGATGAGTCTCCGCCATCAGATGGTACAATACAAAAGTGTTGCACACAGGGATGTTGGACATCATCGAGACTTGTTCCTTCTTCAAGCAGCCTTGGTCGCATGCGATCCAGCTCGAGTTCTAGCCTCGATGATAGATCGTTTCGGACTCACGACATGGATCAGGGACGGCTTCGCCTCGCTTGAAATCTGTGAAGATGGTCAAATGCTGGACTTGGCAGAAGATTTCGTCTATCTCTTGATCAATCTACTCTCAGACCGTGATGCACTGATCTCGGATCGAGATGATATCGAATCACAACTATTGGCTGTTCGAAAAGATATCGCACATACTCTGTGCTTCAAACCGCTATCCTACTCTGACCTATGTGCCCGTCTGACAGAAAAGGCACAAGATCATGAAAGACTACAAGATGTCCTTGACCAGATGACGAAATATCGGCCTCCCGAAGGCCTTCACGACTCGGGTCTTTTTGAGCTAAAGGAAGAATTCCTTCTCGAGCTGGATCCATACAATTCGCACTTTACCAAAAACCAGCGAGATGAGGCTGAAAACATCTACAAGAAATGGATGGCAAAGAAATTGAACAAGTCACCCGATGACATTGTGCTAGAACCAAAACTACATCCCATCCGCTGCGAGGCCTATACTGGGCTATGTAACATTGTCGGCACGACACTCTTTGCCGAAGTAATCCACAAAATCCTACTCTATATAGCTCATGGTCACAAACTCAAGACTGGCGTATCACCTACCAGAGTGGAAGCATTTCTCCATATTGTGCTGCAACTCACATTAATTGCTACCTTGGAGGATGGACCAGGGTCTGAGGACGATGAAGCTGGTGTCTCTTTCGTTCGTCATGCCATTACCCTGAAACTGCCATCGAATGGCGGTGTTGATTCGACCATTGTCGTGGTATTGCACAAAATCTGGCTGATGGACGAGTTTAGTTCTTGCAGAAGCAAGATTAGACACATTGTGCGACTTCTAAGACAGAAGCTACCTCATCAATTCATGGAAGGGACAAAGCATTTGGACTTTCCTTCGGGCAGGTTCGATACCGCATCCCCAGCCAATCTCGAAAGTGAACTGGAAGCCAAGAAGAAACAGGCCATGGAACGAAAGGCACGAGTCATGGCACAATTCCAGCAACAGCAACAGAGTTTCATGGACAAACAAGGCGTAGTTGACTGGGGAGACGATGAGTTTGATTCTCCTGAGGACGAGCTCCCGAAATCCACAGAGACTCGTCATTGGAAATATCCTTCAGGCCTATGCATCCAATGTCGAGAGGACACCTCAGACGCTCGCCTGTACGGCACCTTCGCCATGGTCAGCGATGCACATATCCTCCGGCAAACAGACAGTACCGATGAAGATTTTGTGGGTGAAGTGCTATCTGTTCCGGACAGCTTAGACCGTTCTATCGAGCATATAAGACCTTTTGGTGTGTCTGGGGCCAACCATATCAAAGTGAAACGCTTGACAGCCAGCGGCCAAGAGGATATCGTAGACCACCAGGAACTGGGTAGGGGCTGGCCAAAAGCTCACACCATGAATGGACCAACATCAACTAGTTGTGGTCACATCATGCATTTTACCTGCTTTGAGAATTATTTCCAGTCTGTTACAAGGAGACATTCCCAGCAAGTGGCTAGAAATCACCCCGAAAGAACAGTGATGAAAGAGTTCGTCTGCCCGTTGTGCAAAGCCCTGGCCAACACCTTCCTGCCGATTGTCTGGAAACACTCACAACAGTCATATCCGGGAGATTTGGCTGTGTCAGATGATTTTGAGTCATTTGTGGGAGTCTCGCTGTCTGGACTCCTCAACTCGGGAATCGATTTGGATGAGAGCGCTTTCGGGACTGCAGTGGCACGGGTGCATGCACGAACACTGTCAACTTTCTCCAATAGCTCTCTAGCACCCGTAATCGCTCAGTCGCAAGCTGGCGATGTGGCTATTAGTCCTGGTGGCTCGTGGGATCGTCCCGAAATGGCCGCCTTTGCAGAGCTGGCAACTATTTACGGCCGTCTGCGTGACTCTCTGACGATTGTCTCCCGAACACAGCCCCCATCAGAGGGGTCCGGAACCAAGCCACTGCCACCGTACCATATATTGGTCAACACCTTCGCAAACACCATTGCTTCTGTCGAAATTGGTCATCGTGGGCGCGAAGCCGAGTTTGGCACTTCTTTGCTAACTAGCATTCCCCAACAAACCCTGAGTCATCTTCAAATACTCTCATCAACTTTGCGAGCATATGCAGCAGCAGGCACACTGACCGTCCGGGGTCCCGCGGTGGAAGTTCATTACAAAGAATTGTGTGGACGAATTGAACAACAATTAGTTGGCGAAGCTCACAAATATGGTGTGCCTCCACTTCTCTCCATGGATCCTTTCCAATTCCTCGTCCAAACGACAATGGTTCTGTGTCCTACTCGCAAATTGGAGGTACGACATGTTTTACAACTCTCGCTGACCATTGAGCTCCTACGCGTGGTCTTGACCTTCATGCTAGAGCCGGCCGGTTTTGTGAAAGCTGGAGAGAAACTGACAACTGACAATACGCGTAAAATGGTCCACAACACGGGATCGAGGGAGACTTACGCCGTAAAGAGCCTGGTAATGTGGCTGAGCAATACGCTACAGAAACATGATGGCATCAGTCGGCAGGATTCTTTTCGGGACAGTGTACAAAATATAACTCCTGAAAGCGCCAGTGACTTGTACACGCTCTGTAGAAGCTACAGTCTTGCTTTTTTGCGAAAATCTGCGATTCTCTTCCACGTGGCGCACGGTGTTGATTTTCCAAACACTGCAGGATCGGAGGCAGGATTACCTGAACTCGATCGTCTCATGCACCTGCTCCAACTACCGGATATCGCAGAGATCCTACTTTCATTCGATGAATTTTCGGGCGTCAACGCGATAAAGGAGCGGGCAACTTCATGGGTACTAGACTCCATCCTAGGGATGATAGGACCAGATCAAGACACTCTGGGCATCAGATTATTACATCCAGCACCACTTGAGTTGATAGGGCTTCCGAAATATTTCGATGTCCTCATGGAGGAGTCCCATTATTGGAAATGCCCTACAACTGGGAAGGAAGTCTCCGATCCAGCCCTCTGCCTGTTCTGCGGCGAGATTTTCTGCTCTCAGACTGTATGTTGCCTCACCAAGGAGATGCGTGGAGGATGTAACGCCCATCTTGAAAAGTGTTCCAGTCCGATTGGGATGTTCCTCTTTGTTCGCAAATGCCACGTTGCACTTTTGCACGTTGTCAAAGACCCCAGAGCGAGTGAACATGATCGTGAGAGACCACATCGTGGCCTTCACACACCACCATCCTCACTCACTCTGAGCCACGGCTCATTTTTCCCCGCACCCTATCTGACAAAACATGGCGAGACTGACTCTGGGCTGAGGTCAAAGCACCAGTTGATTCTGAATCAAAAGAGATATGACAAACTCCTGAGAGATACTTGGTTGATGACGAATGGAAGTGTTTGGAGCACTATTGCAAGGAAATTGGAGAGCGAGGTCAACGCTGGTGGATGGGAGACGTTGTAGAGACTTCTATTACTTCCTTACCTAATGGCCTGCACTATGAGCAGTGATGTGTGCTTCCAAATGGAAGTGTCAATACCGAGTAAGCGTACCAGGACGGATATTTGAGCCAAACGAGTCATGAACACGTGGGCCGTCCGCGTGGCTATGTCAGTCGTTTCGCGCTTGACATATTGTAAGACCAGCAATGGTCTAGATGACTTGCATCAATGAGCATAGACCATTGTGAACCTGTTGGACGTCCGGCTCAAGTTGTAGTTCACTTCTTCGCGCCGGCAGGTATGCATGATTTTGTTGTTGGGCACAAGGCTAGGCTTGGCATCATTGGGATTGGACGTGTGATTGGCCAGCCCGGCGGCTATCCTAGACATCACACTTCGTTTCACGTTTCTTGCCTCGTCTCACAATCCGCCCTGACTTCCAATAGTACAGCATTTCTCTCTCGCTCTCGCTAATGTCTGGCCGTTATGGGACCTCTTCGGAGCAATGACAGAGGCAGTGCAATTGTGGGTGCGGCCGTTGGAAGTAGCGCCGTAACTTGATGTGCAAACGCTGAGGTCAATGACTTAAGGTGAGTTGTGGCCAGCACAACTGCAGTAACTGAAGTCTCTTCCCAAACCCAAGCATACCATAACTACCTTGAGGTGCACCGGTCTGCCCTCATCCTCATACCTCTGCATGAGAGTCCTTGTGCTTCATCATTCGAACCCTTTCGTTACCCAACAACCTGATCTCCCGTCTTTGTACGGCGGAATCCTGCTTTTCGTAATGAACGCTCCAGCTCGTCTTCTTCCTTGGTGTCTTACCCTGTATTTATGCTTTAGCTCCCTGCCGAACTTGGGAGTTCGCGCACAAGCTGGGGATGGTGGCGCCACAGAGGGTCTCCAACCCGGCAGCTTGGGCTCCGACCCAACGAACTCCGAAAGTGCAGCCTCTGCGGGCCCGGATACAGGCTCCGCAAACTTGAGCCATGGTGCAGTCATCGCCATCGCAGTTGTGGTTAGTGTTACAGTCGTCCTCGGCAGTGAGTAGAACTTCCTTCCTTGAAAATCCATGAGAATGCCCGCTGATTGGTGTTGTTCAGCGACCACCGCTGTTCTATTCTTCCTTGCCAAAAAGAGACAATGGAAGATCAAGGAGGGTCTTCGTCGGTCAGCACGCAGGGTCACAAGTGCAGTTAAAGCCGTAGCGACACCGCTCACCCCGAAGAAAATGACCTTCTCCCCACTGGAGAAGAAGATGCACGATGCCGAAACCAATAGCAAATTGAAGAAAGCCAATTCACAGCACCGCGCTGAGCGTATGAAAAAGCAGCCCAATCGTCAGACTCGAGACGTCGAAAAAGGTCTTCCAGATGTGGCGGTGAAGGTCGAAAGGACCTCAGACGAGTCTTCGAAGACCCCCTTGCCTAGGAGAGAGAGCAAGTCGAGGCCCCGCCCACCCAATGTCAAGATCCCATCCTCAGCCTTTGAAATGGATAGCCCAAAGACACCTGTATGGAAGAAGGTATTTGGGCGGTAACGTTTCATTCGACCACATATCAAGTTGAGAGAGGCAATGAGGAAGAGACTGTAGATGGGTCTGAGGTCTGAATTGTAATATGTTCAATTGCTGCGACTACGAGGAGTCAATGGTCTTGAATAAGAGGGTACAGTATTGAGGATTTGTTGTTTTTGTCGACTTATCCCTCCGAAGGATGACACTTAAGATTTGGGGATGGTCTGACTGGGAAGGTTGGGACTTAGGTATGAGTAGATGATAGCATGAATATACCACCTACTCCACATTCATCGCGCCAGCTGGCTTTGCATTTACCTTTTACATCATCAACGACTTCGTTACTCTTGCGTGGCCGTCTAGGGAGATCCGTGAGTAAGCGCACTAGTACATATATGGCTTCTCCTACGATGTTATCCCACCCTCTGGTACTAGTTTGTAAGGAGATTCGCAAGTTGCTAATTATTGTAGGGGGATTAGCCGGATATCCTTCAAATGTATTGGATCTGTCAACCACATTCAATGCCAACGAGTCCAAGAAACGCCCTCTGCTCGTTCACAAGCTCTAGGCTTCGACCATGGGCGAAAGAAGCCTGCACCAATTCACGTAGTTCACTGAACCGCCATGAAAACATGCCGTTCCCAGCATTGGGAATAACACTTTTAGTCAGCCCGAAAATATGAGAATGTCCTTGACCTCGCAGTTGCTTAGTCGCCTCGACGGAGATCGTATATGCCCGCCAGGCCCGCTGTGGCCAAGCTCAACATGGTCGAACCGCCAGAACCGACCTCATAGTGGCCATCGGGGATCTGTTTCATCTGCATATGGTACGGCATGTGCTTGAACGCCCCCGGAGGAGACTGCATACAATCGCGACTTCGCATATATCTTCTACAGTTTCGTTTCTTTTCCAATCTTTGGGGCAGACCCAAGTCCGCCGGGTTAAGTGACTGGCCATGCCCCTCACAGAAGGAAGGTTCAAGTCCATCCATTTGAAGTCTTACCATGGTCTGCTTGATCTCGGCAAAGGCATCCAGGCACTATACAAGCGGAACGTCTCGTCGACGAACCTCGTGTATCGTATTTCGGATACACCTTACCTCGAAACTTACCAGTGAAGCCCAGGACATAGCAGAGCAAGGATGTTGAAAGACAACTGCCCACTCACACAGATCCTCATTTGCATTGATTTTGTCTGACTAGGCAAACGATTCGTCGCTCCCTTCAGATAAGATAAGTACTAAGGAATGCAGCTTTCCGTGCCCTGACGAAAGCACCATCTTGGTATCACTCTTCCAGGGTTTCAGAATGATGCGCATCATATCTCCTTCCCATTCCACTCAAAATTGAAGAACCATATTCAGCCTCGAAGAGATGGATGTACTCTCTTCTTCCTTGCCTGTGCTTGTGAGGAATCTCGGACCGGGAATTCTTCTGTCCGACCCTAGCTGCGTACGACGGAAAGCGTAAGATGAGCATCAACGCGCATTGCTGGAAGGTGCGAATGTGAAATGAAGAGCGAGGCCCAACGCGTCCCTTCCCGTTCTCACCGAATCACCTTTCACGCACACTGATCCTTCTTGCCTGTCTTGTCCGTTTCATGGCCATGGTAACTTCAACCATGTTACACCCGACCCCGTCGTGCGTTTTGTCGTGCGTGATTTCGTCAGTCTTTGTACCTTTTCATTCCTGTCGACTTCTCTGTGGCCTCTTCCACTGCACAGGGTCATGAGTAATCCTTCTGCCTCAGGAGGGCACCAGTCCGTGGCCCAAGTCACCGATGAATTCAATGACGGAAGTCGAAGCAATAGGCCCGAAAATAGACATGATCAACACCGAGGCATCAATCTTGAGGTAGCCCTCGAAAACGACGAAAATCAAAGCCCTCGATCTACAAATGGTTTCTCTGAAGCCTGGGAGGAAAGCCCCACCTCCAGAGATTTGTTGCAGCAGAGGGGAAATGCCACCATTTTTGACCAGAAAGCAATTGCACCGAGCAATTTCTTCCATCGTCCGAGCAGCTCTGGAAGCATAAAGGCACCGACAACGTTTTGCTTCGAACCAGCACACAAGCCAAAGCACTTCCACTTGGGACGAGGGATTGCTAAGCCCGTTCAAGACCTCCAGCTAAAGGTGGGCCTTGTTGCTAATGAGCAAGCGTTATTTGCTATTGCCGAAGAGTATGACTCTATTAGCGTTCTCACCTGTCTACCCAGTGCTAATATCCTTGTACAGAAAGTCTACTGAGCCTGCCGAGAAACCTTTCGACCTGTTGAATACTGGTAGCGTCGAACCTCCCTCAGTTTGCGACGAAGCTGCGCTTTCACATAAGCAGCATTCAATTTCTTTCAGGCCTACTTCTGGAAACCTGGAGCAAGAAGAAGACAGTCCTGATGCATGTGCTGTCGAGACACCATCGGAGCACCTATCTTGCAAGGTTGTTGAGTATTTGGATGACGTGGTGCATTGTTCTGGGACCTCAGAAAGGCATTCATCAGCAGCAGCAGCGCCGCCGAGCATTTCAGAAGGAGCTATTTGTTTACACGAAAAGCTGGACCTCTCACCGATGGTAAAGACTCCTCCTCAGGATATACGCGGAATAACACCACACACTCAACAGGCGTTTATCGTCGACAACCACATCCTGAATGTTGGGGCGAATTCACCCTCCACTGCCACCGGTACAATCGAAAGACACCGGTCCAAAATTCCTGGAAGACGACCTTCACGTCCATTAGGAGTTGTCAAGACTCCAACAAACCCGCGGCTTCACCACCCCATGTTACGGGGATTCTCAGGACCTCGAAAGGAGGCTCCTTGCTCTGGGCAGGTACCTTCTGAAGAGGATTTGTTGTACCTGCTCATGTCTCGATCCAGGGAGACTACAAAATCTATACGAAAGTTGGAATCAATTGAGGAACAGAACCGCCTGTTATGTGAGGAAAAGATTCTGTCGGAAGCACGTCTTGAAGAGGCTGAAAATGCTCAACGTCAACTGTCCGCAAAACAAGCTATAGCTGACCAGTATCTGGACACCTTCAAAGAAAAATACTATAAATTGAAAAATTGGGCGCTCGAAGCAAACAAAGACTGTGAAATTCTGCAAAACAAGTCTATCAATCTCCGCCAGTCCCTTGCAGAACTTACAAATGAGAGGGATGATCTACGCGCGCGTTTGCAAGATCTGGACAACGTCCAACAGAAAAGTCTTGGTCAGATGGACAGGATGCGTGGTCTCGTCAACGATGTCAGGCAATTGGCAATAGTCAACATTGCTGATTTCAATCGGAAGGATGGAGTGCTTCAGGCAAAATGCGAGCACCTCAGAAGAGAGCAGGCTAGATGTGAGAAGCTGGAAGCCCACATTGCCCAAATTGGACGACATAAAACCAGACAAGACCAGAGATTTCACGACGACAGAGACAGACAAAACAAGTCTTTGCGAGAAATCTTTAGTGAACTGACCAGACTTGCTGTCAAGGATGCCGGAATGAACTCGGAATCAAAAGAAATCCTCGAGTCTGTGAAAGCATGCCAGGTGCTTCTCAAGGATGAATCAACATTTGGTCCGAAATTGGCTCAAATTAAAAACAACATTGAATCCGTGACCGAATTAGTCAGTTCACGCCTTAAATCAGCGGTTGGAACGCTAAGGGAGGATGTCAAAGACCAGATAGCGAAGTCTCTAACTACCGCAGAGACAGAAAAAAGCCGGGAAGCTCTCCAGGCAAGCAACGCCGAGTTAGTAAAGACAAAGGAGGAGGCTGCTCGGTTGGCGCACACAATTGAACATTCCAAGGTCATTATAGAATTACTTCGCAACGGCAAGCAGGTCGCTGAAGATCGGGAGGCCTACTTGAAGAATAACACAGAAAAGTTAATCGAGGCGCTCTCTGAAGGTAGGGGAATTGCCCAAAAGCAGTTCAACCATCTGAAAGACACAAATGACGCCCTTCAAACTAAGTGTCAAGCTGCAAACGCTAAAGCAGCAGAATACAAGGTTCAAAATGATGATCAGTCAGGGCAAATCAAGCTTCTTGAGACGCAAAGGGATGAGCTTCAGAAAGAGAAGGACAACATTGCCTGGCAATTTCGCAATCTTATGGAGGAAATGATTCTTTTCAAAGAGACTACGAGCAGAGAGATGAATGAAAAGGTAAGGAACAAACATGATCAAAATTTCGAGTGACTAATTTTTTCAGGCTAGTCAATCCAAAGAGCAAATTTGTAAGTTGAGGGCAGACCTGGACGAGCAGACTCGTGTACGACAACAGATCGAAAGGGAGTCGACGAGTATGAATGAACAGTTTTCAAAGGTTCAAGAAGAGCTCAAAAAGTCTCAGAGCACATCAACATTGGCTCTTCGCGAGAAAAATGATATCGAAAAGCGTCTGGCCAAGTTGCAACAAGGTCTGTCGAGGGCTCAGGAGGATGTACGCTTGCGTGACCAGATGCAGCTTGACCTGGCTACCAAGTCAGCAGAAATCAATGACTTGAAGAAGAGCCAATACCAGTATGAGCAGGTCAAGCAGGAGCTAGTTTCGCAAAATGAGGCAGTATTTCAGAAGACTCAAGAAGCCAAAGCACTTGCCTCTCAGGTCCAGAGCTTGCAAAATCATACGCATAAACTGGAACAAAAAGCACAAGAGAGAGACATTTTTGCAGAGGGTAAAGCGCATCTCGAACGAGAGACTCACGGATTAAGACAAAAGCTTGATGGTATGCAACATCTTCGAGGTCAACTAGAAGATCAGAATGCTCAGCTAGAAGAATCTCAATCCGCGCTCAATAAGGCCAAAGATGATCTGTCACGGATGCGGAAACTTGAAGAGGAGAATAAGTCGCTCAAAGACACCTTGGAGTCCATGAGTGCCGAGCTGACCATTACAAGTGAAGGAATCCGGGAGCTGGATGCCTTTCGGCACTTGCTCAGTGATAAGGAGGAGAAAATCCGCCGGGTCGAAGAAGAGTTAGCGACTTACACCTCCAAATCTGAAGAATTTGTCAAGTCCAAGGCAGCTCTTAAAATCAAAGAGAATGAGTTGTTACTGCTGCGAGATCGGCTCTCTGCGATGGAGACTGAGGAGACTCCAAGTAAGCCAACTCAACCTATCCGACGAGCCGCCAACCGATCTGCACAGAATAGCAGTCCAAATCAAAGTGATTCTCGACCCTGCTTACAGTTCAATGAGGAGGAAATGAGCCCAATCCAAGCAACCGGGCTTACTGTTACCAACGCTCTGATCCCACCACAAATGTCTTTGGGTTTAGCCACGAGCTCACAGAGCTTTGTTGCCGACACTCAACCAGAAATTCAAGAGACTCTCCAGGAAGTCCCGGACTCATTCCAACCTCAACGCCAAGATCTGGAGACGCTGGGCTTACTTGATTCTGGAGATACTTCATCATTGAGTGACATAGCCAATCCTTTCGAGAGAGATGAGTATCTGGGGGACGAGCGCATAGCTTACCTTGAAGAACCTGGGACTTCTCTTCCCTCATCTCAGGGTGGGGGCATGGGTGCCCGATCAACAGCACGCGTGGAGTCGACCACTCAACCTCCGCCATCAAGCTCTTATGGGTCTCTAAATGAGCAAATGCTTCTAGACATCAGCCCCCATACCGAACTTCAACTTGAAACAACGACACCCCCTCGAAGGCTTGGCTTCGCCCGGAAACCCCAGCCGATTCGAACTGACAGAAGAGATATCGAGGTTGAGCGAAACAAGGTTTCCATACAAAGAGGTTCATCTGAGTTAGCAAAACCAAGACCTGAACGACTTAATAGTGAATTTCAGACTAAGCAGCAACAGACCAGGACCGCAAAATCACCAGTCGAAAGACCAGAGACACCAAGGGACAGGGAGGCAACTCCATCAGTGGCACGTGAAAGATACCGACCGAACTCAGCGGCAAAGCGCAAGATGGGGCAGGTGTAGAGTGAAGATTACCAACTACCAAAACAAGCCAAGCGCGCAGCAGCAACCCTCGAAGTAAGAATACCAGGCACATCCCAGAACACCCAGAACACCTCGCGAAAGGATGGCCAGACACCATCAAGGAAAACGGTCACTTTCCGTCGAAGTAGTATTGTGGGTACGAACGCTCCAGCACCAGGCAAGGGGCAGAAGCCATCGAAGCCAGCTGGAAAAGGGTCACGTCAGGAAAGATACTCAACCCGGTTCGGTGCATAGCGCGGAGATCAACAAAAGCATTGTTTGCTCTTGGTAGTGGAAACGATAGTTCCATTCGCGAGGGGGAAATTTTCTGGCTTTGACTTTCTGGCTGCGATCTAGGGCCAGGCTCGAAAAATTGTTATTATACCGCACAGCCATCTCAGTACATCTTGAAAGACCGGGCAAAGACTCTCATTAACATGCCGATGACAACCTGCTATTGCGAACGTACAATGGGTATTTCACAGTTAACATGGAATAACAACAAGACGGGAAGCGTGGCAGAACCGATCTATTAGATTTGTGCGTACGATAACAGAGAGAGATATTGAGCTCGTCCGATAGCCCATTATTTCTTAGGACAACCGATTCATTCTTATAGAGTGACATTTGTAGGAACAAAAGATGTCTCAACTGCTCATCGATATTTGTCGTGCCTATTATGCCCGTAGAATTATAGATCTATCGTTTCATCGGATGGTATCTATCAAATTTTGGTGTTGTTACAGAGTGGTAATGGTATGATCAACCGACTAGTCCGCAATTATTTCCCAGCGACCATGGAAAGACCCGAACAATCTTTCATTTCATAGGGGTCCAAGACTTCCGCGGGCCAGCCAGATACATCGAGCCAAGCGTCGCTGAAGACTGGGTAATAAGTGCACATGAAAAGGGAAATTGGGGCGCTATAACGCGGCTTAGTAGTAGTGGCCGTCGTGGTAGCAGTCCTCGAGCAGTTGTTGTGTTTGTAACCTGTGTCTGCGTTGATGACCCGTACCCTGGGCGGGAGATCCATGGAAGAAAGGGATTGACACCTTGACGCCGTCGCCTTCCCTCTCTTTCGTGCAATGGAGAAAATCGAAAAGCAACGTCGAAAAAAATGATCACGGAATGGCGTTGCACCCCCATTTTCTCCCTTTGCATCGCTTACACCCTCCCAGCCGCGCTCCGTAATGCACCGATTTGCCCTTTTTGTTGCCGCTCTGTCGATTGGTGAAAGGCAGAATAGCTTGTGCTAATGTCGCCCAGATCAAGTCTCGTTCAGATTGTAATCGTTCCACCGCGGCCCTCGCTCTCTCTCCTCCGCATTGATGGCCTGGCCGTGTCTCCTCACCGGGAGCGACACGCGCCTCTTCTCAGACAAAAAGCCCCCTGGCCTTATCCGGCCATCACACTGAGTCGTGCGTGGCGTGGCAAGACCACTGGGCGGCCGGCCTCAGGCCACCAAGGGCGCACAACCTGCATGGACCCAGAAGCACTCAAGCGAGGCCTCGACATATGTTTCTGAAGACCCGCCCCGACGTTCGCGTCACGCTGGTGGGGGTCAGTTCTTGCCGCGCTTCTGCTCCAGGAACAGGACCTGCTTCTTGACGACCGGGTCGTATTTCAACATGCTGAGAGGGCGGGAGGTTCGTGGCCGCACCATGGTTCGGTAGTATCCCGTCATGGCCATGCTGAGGAGCCGCACGGCGATCGTGCGGGATTTGGCTGTTGCCTGAGTTAGTTCTGTACAACCAGGAGGGCGTGGGAGGCGTTCGCGGAGAGTGGAGAAGGCGGAAAGACGGACAGTCATGGTGCAAAGGGCCAAGGTGGACGAGAACGTACCTTTTTTCGCCATCGTGCAGCTACCTCTCTCCGAGTGTAGATGCTTTGATTGAGATTGTGTCTGTGATGAGCTGTTATGCAATTGTCTTGGGATTGAGCTCAAGAATCGAAGTTAAGGCTGGGTGCCAAGCCCGGACTTAGTCCGGGCACTACCGTACGAAATCACATGCGCTCGACTCGGAGCCATTATGTAAAGGGATTCCTGTGAGTACCTGCCACTCACGGAAGTCTCATGAGGCTATCAAAGAGTCGGATTGACACCTAACAAATATTCTATGTATCAGACAACATGCATATTGGAAGTTAGTACAGCACAGACCCCTCGATCTGCACGGATAGCGCTGTACATCCTCATGCAATGGCACTGGAAGGGCATCTTAGCATTGATTGATGCTTCCGGACTGTGCCCCAGATAAGTCCACTGTAAAGATGCACAATGCTTTCGATGCTTTGCACTGATCATTCTACCACGCAGAGTATGTCCAACGCATTGCCAACAGATCGGTGAAATCGAGCTTCGAATCCTTCCCAATCACTGCAGTAGGGGATCCTGGAAATTGTTAGCAAAGGTAGCAGCAAATGCATAGAGGGGATCGAACTGACCCTAAAGTGCTTCTGGCTGTTGTTCTGCTTCTCCAGCTTAGCTTGATATCGATTCTGAGTACGTAGTTCTCTCTGTTTACTTCTGACCTCCTGGGAGCGGACATCTTTCCGTTGCTGGGCAGTAACTCCCAGCATTCCTGCCTCATCACGTCTCATCAGGCTGTTTCGGATAGACGTCGCCGGTACCTCGGTATCCTCCATATCAGCATCCGAACTTGCCTCTTCTATCAGTCGTTGAGCGCGCTCCATTCGCTCGGCTGCTGTGGGATAAGAATGAAGGTTTTGCCGGTAATATTTTCGCAAGTTTCGATGGCCAGCAATACGACCACTGGGCAGATGCATCTCGTGTTCGTCATAAAAGACAGCATTGTTGTGATTATGCGCACGGGAATGGTATCCATCAACCAGCTTGTGGGGCCGTGAATCTGCATTTGAATGATGCCGATGTAGGGGAAGTCTTTGGTAAGATGATGTTCGATCGTCAATGGGGACAGATGCAAGATCGTTGGTATCAAGTGACGAGAAGGAAGAGTCAGTCTCCCAGCCCTCGTCTTCCTGAGAACTCGCGAGTTTGACGCCCCCATTTGTTCTCGATTTCCCCTCATCTTCATCCATGTTGGAATCGCCATCAACATCGGAATATGTGCTTGAAAAGTCATAGAACTGGCCCATCTCTACCATCTCTTCTTCTGATTCGAAGGCAATCTTACAGTGTCCCTTGTCTCGCATGTGAGTCTGGACGGCTTCGGCATTATTCCTCAACTTGTGACACCATAGGCATTCAAAATTCTGGAACACTTTGGCGTGTATATAGGATAGAAGACCTTCAGGATCTACTAGATAAGTTTGCTCTGGTATGAAGAGGCCATGAATCTTGGTCATATGTGCCACACTCAGCTTGATGTTTGGTGAGTCGTAGTTGCAGAATAGGCATCTGGATAGAGGGATGGATGAGACTTCAGGCTTCTCCGGCGAAATGGGATGGTCGGCCCGAGGATCTGTGTCCGGCGGAGGTGCGGATGGTCTTCGTGTAATTGCAGGTACCTCTGCAATAGATGTATCTTTCATACCCGCCACTACCTTTTCAAATTCTGCCTCCGCTTCAGGATCTCGGGGCTCTGAGTCGGCAGTAGACCCGACAACGGAGTGGTTGTCACCACGTGAACTCCTTCCGCCGCCCAGTTCTCGGGTCTTGTGTGCTCTGCTCAAGATGTGGTTCTGGTATGCGTTCTCACTATAGTAGGTTTTCTGGCAGATCGGACATGTCCTTGCAAAAGCAGCCTGTGCTGCAGCTGCAGTATTGGTCGCTTGGGCGGCAAGCACCTTTTCATTGTAGTCTTCTGTGGAAACAGCAGGGAGATCGGCCAGCCTTCGCTTCAAATTGTAACGGTGCCAGTCGCTTCGCATGTGTGTGCGTTGGGCATCACTATTGCGGAATGCCACCGCACAGGAATTGCAGGTGTAGGGGTGGCTTTGAGAGATGTCGGTAGGCTGCGTGGTCGACATGGTGGGCGATGGGGGAAAGGGGAGATGAGGAAGGGACTGGAAGTACACAAAATAGTGGAGGTTTATGGACAGATGAGTAGAGTCCTGGATCTGTAATCTGAATCTGAGTCTGTGGCACACAAAAGGAGTGTGGAAGGTGGGATGTGAAGACTCAAAGACCCAAGAGGGGGACTCGGAAGTGGCGCCTCTGGCGGGAGCAGTGGTGGCCGTAGGTAATTGTACTGACAGGTAATTAATTAGTGGGTCCTTTGCCTCTTGGGTGCCTCTGGGTGCCTCAACGCTGCTTGCCTCTGCAACGAACGAACGGAACGGATGGGGAATTAAATGAAAATGACGTTGATTGTGGGCGGCCCATGCCCGCACCCTGGCCGCATAAAAAGCTTCATTATTAGCCTCGAGACAGTTCTGTGCCATCCCACGTGCAGGGATCAGCACCCCCCCCTGCCAGGCATGGCTGTTTGGCGAGCTTAACTTCCGCCCAGCTCAACAAAGCGTGGATCAGTCACCAGGTTCATCGCTCAGCCGCTTCGAAGAGAGGTCGAGGGGCAGTTAATGGTGAATACCGAGAGATAGTCCAGGTTAGAGAGGCTGTCTTTCACGTGTCATAACATTCCAATTAATCCCTATACCCCAGGTTGACACCGAGCGGGTGCTATCTACATATCTAAAGGCTTATCTCAAGCCCCTTCATAATCTAACAATTTGTTGGGTATCACTCGTAAATGTCATGTCCAGTAATCCGAACGCCGTAGCCTCGTCCAGGTACTCCGTAACCAACCCATCCCTGGAAATCTTCCCGAAGCCTTGCTGAACACACTACTCGAAATCACGAACGCTGTTCGCTGACAAATTTGGTTTTATGTCGAGATTTTCTGCTCAGGTAAGGGAAAGGGCGCAGAGGACCAGCAATACCACAGGAGGCTGTAAGGCTTGCCTTAGGCTTGCTTCATTGGGCGCTGGTGGCGTTCCACTTGTTGCAGATGACGAAGCACTCGTTTGTGTCGATGTTGCCAATGTTGACTCACTTCGACTCGTCGATTGTGAATCATTAGTCCTAGTAGTCGATGTTCTGAGCGATTCGGATGGAGATACCGCACTAGTGTTGGCAGTGCTTTGAGACACCGCCGAAGAGCTTGTGCTCGACAAACCTTGCGTATTCGAAGCACTATTCGAAAGTGTTGTGCTTGGAGCATTTGAGGGAATGGTTGGTGTTGAAGCTGCTGCGCTATCAGAAGATGCTGTCGAGGAAAGGCTGGGGTTGGTGGTTGCAGGACTGCTCGTCGACACCACATTGCTGCTTGACTGTGTAATCTGGGTAGAAGCGGTGACCGAGCCTTCAATATCGCTGGAGCCACCACCTGCCGAGGCTGCGGATGATGGTGATATAGTGTTGCTCAAGATCTGAGTTCCACTTTCACTTGCTGCTGCGGAATTGGTCGTTGATCCACTGAGGCTATCTGTCTGTTGTCCAGCAGCGCTGCTTAAGCCCGGATTTGTAGCGCTTAATATATTGGTGGAGGCTATTGCCGAAGTAACGGTAACCGGGAAACCTTGACTGTTGTAACTTATCGGGGCTGTCAATGCCGCGGCATCCGTTGTCACAGTGGTCAGAAACCCTTGGTTATCCCAAGAAGTGAAGACTGTAAGAGACGAAGCTGAAGCCGAAAGTGAGGGCGAAACTGGCGCAGACTGTGAACCTGGGGAAGAGATCTATAAACAAGTCAGTAAGGATCAGAGATCAGAGCTGGACCAGAGTATTCACTGACCTCTCAGCCCAGAAGTCGAGGCGCTTACCGCAGTCACTACCGTTGCCGTCGCTGTTCCGGTCCATGGCCAACCTGTTCGAGTTGCAGTAACGGAGTCACTATTGGCGTTGTTACCAAACCCTAGGGGTGCGCTATCCGGAACTTGCGAGGTCACCGCTGGCGCCGAACCTGCTTGAACCGGAGTACCGTTGCCCGCAGGATTGATCTGACCACCATCAGATCGAATCGACTCCCATGTACCGCTGCTCCCAGAATATGTATATTGCGTTCCGGTGGAATAATCCGTCACATGGACGGATTTCACGTACATGGTGAATGGACCAGCGGTAAAATCTGTAATTCCGCCGGCCCATTCAATTGTGCCTTGAGGGTTGGAAGGATCACCTCCTGCCCATGCCCCCATTTTGACATACATGGGCGTTTGAGGGTATTGTCCAGCTTGTGCTTGATCCTTTGTCATGGCTCGTACGGTACTGCCGTCAATGCTCCAAACAATCTGATCGGCAGTCCAATCGATGCTGTATGTGTGGAATTGATCGTGATTGCTGGCTGCGCCATGGAAGGCTCCTCGATTATAGCCAGTTGTGGTGATACCTTTTCCAAAATAATTGCTCTGGGCCTGAGTGTTGTCGCCTCCCAACCATTCCCAGTCGATTTCGTCGAGGCAATCAGATTGCAAGATGGCAGCGCTTACGATTCCCGTGCCTGGTGCCGCTTTCACAACGAAATCGACATGGCCGAACATGATGTACCAATTGGAGGAGAGGGATGGAGAGTCGCCAGGCTGTGAGACAGTAAAGGCTGCGCCATTCGAATCATAGGTTGGTCCACCCGAAGCGGAAAATTCGCTAGAGGGCCCAGAGGTGAAATCAATTGCGACACTTCGACCGAGGGCGGGGTTTGGTGGGCATCCTCCTTCAGAAGTGTTAGAGACAATGCTGGAATGATCAGAGCAAGAACATCCATACCTTGGGTGAGAGGATTACATGAACTCCAGGTCTGTGTTGCAGCTGGAACTAGGAGCGACGTGATTGCCAGTGCCGAAAGCACGGACCTCAAAGATGTGGTATACATAGTAGTGTACAGGTGAAAAGAGACGCAACGCCTAAAAAATGCAGCAAGAAGGATTGCAGACAATGCTAAACTGGAAAAACAACAGGTAGAGTCTAGCTATGATGATCTTGTAGCATAGCGGTCAAGGAAGATATATACTGTTTGTTGCACGCGAGATATGATATTAATGGAGGATTCACTCACCTTCCTGAGATTGAAGTAGTGGGCAGATGCATCGGCTCGAGGAGGTTGGGAGACAACACAACGTCAGCGACGCGAAGTGGACATGATGCCATGGCTCTGGGTTTATTCAGTAGGGAGATAAGCCTACTAGTGAGACACGTATGATTGGAAACAGGATATTCCTGTGTGTAGAATGAAGCTGGTTGAGCACTTGGATTGGGCTGTGGCAAGACAACGAGGAGGTTGGTTCTTGAGGGAAGTCCATCAGGCTCTCTAAAACGCCGTTACCGGTGGCTGGAGATCCGCTAAATCACAATTTAGGCGTCGATGGGCGCCCATGGCGCCTAGAGTCATCCCACTCATGCCCACGGCATCCTCGGTAACGCCAATCTCCCGAGAGTAAGCGCCTTGGCAGCCGTTCAGTGGCAGGTGCCCCTTGTAAGCCACAGTTCCTTCCTTTGACAGTTCCCATTCCACCATCCAATCCCAAATTCGCGCTGTACGCATGCCTTCTTCCCTACTGGTCCAAACCAGCAAAATTCCAACCTCATGCGCTGGCAGCAAATCCATCTTCTCGATCCCTCACAGGTGCTCCGTGACTAGCCTGATGTCGTGTCCATTGTCTTGAGGGGCCCACGGACGATGACGAGGCTGAGTGAGTCCGGCAACGCTTCTTGGGTCCTCCTTTGACTGAAAGCCGTCTGTCCAAATGCCTTCAATCCACAATCATACAAATACACGAAAGTTCCGGTTGAGTGATAGAGCACTCATTCTCCATACGCTGCTGAACTTCTATCGTCCAAAGCTGGACCAAGAAAGATAGCATTAACTAAGAGGATTGCTGGGGCCTGTCACAACATTACAGGGATACTCACCCACTAGTGTCCATCTTGCATTATATCGCGCTCATTGGTTCTTCATCGTTGTCGTTATTCTCGTTTTGAGGCTCATTCTAGACTCTTACTGCCTCCTTCAAATTGAGACACGTCGTACTCTTTTGGATAGGTCTCGATGAGTCGTTTGAGCTCCTTCATCTGAGCCCTCGCTTCTGGTGTAATCTCTTCGTACACATCTTCAAACATTGCTCGTATAGGAGGTTTCTTGACTTTCTCGGCCGCTGAGAATTCTTGTAGCACTTTCTTTCGTATTGCTGCTCTTGCCTCCTTCTCTTTGTCTTCGTTCCAGATGCCTTTGTTTTCCATCCATTTGCGGAGACGAGTGATGGGATTATCTCGACGTTTCCATTCCTCAACCTCCCGTTTGGCTCGATATGCGAAACTGTCATCACTAGTGCTATGATGACTGACTCGGTAGCTCATTGCCTCTACCAACACCGGTCTGCAATCTCCCTGAAGTGCGAGCTTCCTTGCCTCGCGCATGACTTCTCGGACGGCAAAGATATCATTCCCATCAACACGGATGGTATCGATCCCATATCCTAAACCTCGGCTTGCAATGCCATCCCCCTTGTACTGCTCGATACTGGCAGTTGAAATAGCGAAGCCATTGTTTCGGCATACAAAAACAATAGGGCAAGATTTGGTCGCTGCCATATTCAACGCTGCATGAAAGTCTCCTTCGCTGGCGGCCCCCTCCCCAAAATAACATGCCACCACTCTTTCCGGTGTGTTTGGGTTGATCAGTCGTTGCATTTTAAGTGCATATGCAGCGCCTGAAGCTTGCGGAATCTGAGTAGCCAACGGGCTGGAGATAGTGTGCACGTTGAGCTTCTCACTACCGTAATGGACTGGCATGTTTCGGCCCTTTCCATAGTCGTCCTTGTTGGCAAAAAGTTGGCTCATCATTTCCTTCAAAGTAAAGCCTCGTTGAATCAGAACACCTTGTTCACGATACTGCAGAAAGCAGACATCGTCTGGAGTGAGAGCGGATGCTGATCCCACCGCTACTCCTTCTTCTCCAGCAGACACCATGTAGAAGCTCGTTCGGCCTTGTCGTTGCGCGTCGAACATAATTAGGTCCAAGATGCTCACAGTCAGCATGTTTTTATACCAGCCGATCACCTCTTCATCAGATGCAGATTGAGGATCTCTTGTATTGTCCACGATCTTCCCATCAGCATCCATTATGCGATACGTCGGCATTGCCGATTCCTCTGCTGGATTTTGGAATTTCATGATTGCGGTGAATTTACTTTTCAGAGCACCCGGGAAATTCACTCTGGAATTGTGTTAGTGTTGATGTTACCAGAGTCATAGAGCAGAAATGCACCTACGAATCTGAGCCGACTTTCTGTGCCGGGCCTGAAGCCCAAGTATCGCTTGCCCATCGAATACCGGTTTGATGCTTGAGAAATCTATGGCTATTTCTGCAGGATGCCACCAATGGCCTTACCAAAGTTCTGCTTTTCATTTTCAACATTAAGGCCTGACTATCTTGCAACGAGAAGAAGAAGAAAAAGCTCAACCAAACTACGACAAGAAAAACATCAAGGGATCCAGACGGATCGCGGTCAGAGTAGGTTTCTATGACCCTCGGTTATCCACGGACAGCTAGTCCTTCAGATTGAAGGGTCCCGGAAATTCTTTGCTCCCATCTCCGAGCAAGCCTCCGATGTTCTGCAAATGCTAAACTCATTTGGGTTCGAGAGACGAGGCTGCATTGGACCTTTCGAAAAACCGAAGTCACGTTCTGTTAGACAGGCGATTGTGAAGCTTGTAAACACACCTACACAAGAAACTTATAACCATGTCGCGCCCCATCTCCCAACGTTTGCCTACACTTTTGAACGTCAACCGAAGGTTCAATCCATCGAGAAGGCTGCTTGCCACAACCCAACTGCGCCCACAGCAGCTTCCCGGCGAAGATGCACGCACGACACACTTTGGGTTCGAGACGGTAGCTGAAGCACAGAAAGAAGCCAAAGGTACAAATCCATCATCGAAGTCTCATGAAACTGGCCCTAACCTGCCCTAGTTGGAGCTGTCTTCTCCTCTGTAGCATCGTCATATGACACCATGAACGACCTCATGTCTCTCGGAATCCATCGACTTTGGAAAGACTACTTTGTCCGCAGCCTCAACCCGGGAAGTCGAAAAAGCGAGACAGGCTGGAATATTTTAGACGTGGCCGGTGGGACGGGCGACATCGCGTTTCGCATGCTCGACCATGCAACGAATATCAACGGCGACCTGAAGACAAAAGTGACAATTGCAGACATTAACGGAGACATGCTGGCAGAAGGACAGAAAAGAGCTCTCGAAACCCCATATGGAAACACCCCCAGATTATCTTTCATGCAAGACAATGCGGAGTCAATGCCGACACTCGAATCGAACTCTTTTGATCTCTACACTGTCTCATTTGGGATAAGAAACTTCACTGACAAGGCAGCCGCTATACGCGAGGCCTACCGAATCCTCAAGCCAGGAGGTGTGTTTGCCGTGCTTGAATTCAGTCATGTGGACAGTGCTTTGTTCAATGCTGTGTACAAGAGATGGAGTTTCGGGGCCATTCCACTGATCGGGCAACTGGTAGCAGGCGACCGTGACAGCTATCAATACCTCGTCGAGAGCATTGAACGACATCCTCCACAAGGAGAATTTAGAGACATGATTCAAGCTGCTGGGTTTATTACCCCTGGCATTGGGTACGAAAATTTGACAGGAGGCATCGCCAGTATTCACCGAGGGGTGAAACCATTGTAGGAACAAACAGCCACGTCAAAGCTGTCGAATCAACTCACCAATGACCGACGACTAGCCCTTCACTATATCACCGCCTACCTCGACACATCAGACCACATCAGGTTTCAATCCTGCCCGCATGCAGGCCGCCGGTGACCAGAATGTCGGTACCTGTTGTATAGGAGCTGGCGTCGCTCAGCAGATACACAGCCGCACCAGTTAGATCGTTGCGGTTCCCGATCCTCTTCAACGGTGGCGTAGAATGCATCAATTCCACCAAATGCGGATGCTCTTCTCGCAACGTCCTGGACATGTCTGTTTCGATATACCCCGGCGAAATCGTGTTGCTTCTGATTCCATGCGGGGCCAGCTCGACACTCAACGCCGTACTCAGCATCTTGACTGCTCCCTTGGTGGCGTGGTAAGCAGACAGCCGGTGGCCTGGAATGGCGACATGCGCACAGACGGAAGCTATCAAGACCAAACTTCCCCCAGTCCCTTGCTGCTCCATCTGCTTGGTAGCAAGTTGCGCGGCGAAGAATGTCCCCGTAAGCTGTGGTGTGCAGCATTAGTACTGCTGGACATGCACGCACGGAGTATCCAAGTAGTGATCCGAGACTCACATTTACCTCCTGTACTCTCCTGACTTCTTTCCACGACTGCTCGACAAAGGGCTTGTCCAACGCAATACCCGCTGCAGTCACACTGTGTTAAAAGCATTAGCGGATAGAGTTTTGGCAGGCAGCTCCCCCTCCCCTCTCATAGGGCTATAGACGGAACACTGACCAGCCATGCAATGAACCCAACTCCGAAATCGACTGCTCGAACCCTTTAGTGAGGCTCTTCTCGTCCGTCACATCCGCGCGCAGATATCTAGCCTTGACGCCGAAATCATGCTCTAGTGTTCCAAAGTCCTTGACGGGCGCATTCAGCACATCCAGCACCGCGACGTTGCCCCCCATTTCTGTGATCGCCCGTGTGATCGCATACCCGATGCCTCGCCCTCCGCCGGTGACGATGAAGTTCTTGTTGCTCAGGTTGAACATCGCCCGCACGCTTGCCAGGTCCCCATCGTGAAGGACATTACTCGTTTTGCCACCGCTAGTGCTTGAGAACCTGGCTGTCTGTGTCTGGACCTGGGTCTGGATCTGAATCGATTGCCGTGATCGACTCAACGATCTCAGTAGACTGACTGACGCCCTCTTTGTGGCCATGGTGTGGCGCGATATGGTTCGCAGTCCCCCAGTCCTGCCAAAAATAGAGCTTCGTGGCACACACTCACACACGCTTCACCGGGACGATTGGGGGGACGGTGCTGGACACTCTATCCACTACACTAACTTGGGAGATTCGGTGAACAGCTGGACGTATTCGCTTTAGATAGCATATGTGTTGACAGCTTACACAAAGGTCCAACGAGTCTCAGGATGAACGGCCTTTTTGTCAACTTGACCCCAATATTAGTGCTCCTCAACTTCATACCCAGGTGTTGGAGTATCCCTATAAATGGAACCACCAATGCAGATGATGTCCAAGCTACGAGTCTCTGGAGAACGTGATGCTATCCCGTACCCCGCACTGGACAATGCCACCCTACTCTAACAATGGAGCTTTACAATGTGCACAATTAGGTACGTAGGCTACAAAGTTCAGTCGGGAAGTACATGTCTAGGTACCTTCTGTATGCGTAGTACTCTATATTGACAGGTGCTCGGTGTCGCCAGTAGGATGCCCCTCCAAGTTCTCGTATGGCCTCGTACATACCATAAAGTTGGGGAAGGCTCACCGACAATCAAGCGTATTCGGGGGGATAGAAGTCGGAGTACTTCGCGGATATAGAATGGAAGCACGGGCACAACGCGACCCTGTCTCCCTAGAGTACGCAGTACGGACGATTTACTGGGTAGCAATCAGTTAAGTTAGCTCGCTCCACGTAGTGTCAATTTGGCTCCCTAAATGCAATAGAAGCTGTCCCAGAAGAGCGCCACGCAATGGAATATTGATTATTGGCAAGATCAACAATGAATTCTGCCTCGGCTGAAGGCCACAACCAATCAAGTGGAGAAGCTTCCCACCTTTCAACATACCAAAATTGCGGGGTGAAGGGAAAGCTGGTTGGGAAGAGCATCCCATTTGTGAGGCTGTGCAAGCGTCACCCTAAACCACACGATTGACGCATTCTGGGCTATTCTTGGGAGGCCTGGCTAGCCGATGGTGGCCGGCACAGTTTTGGCAGAGAGCAGAACCTTCCATTGCTGGTTCTTTTTGAATTCTGTTCTGATTTGATTTTGACGACAATCACGACACGAGGGGTTAGAGACTCGTTGACACGTCTAATCTGAGTAACTTTGAGAGACCTGAAGTTCTCATTGCACCTCTGCTTGTTGGATGGTGATCGATCCGCAAAAGCGCTCGCACCACCTCGTATTTAAAGCTTTCGTTTGCTTTGCGCGACAATAACGACGGACGATTTGTCGCCGGTTACCAACGCATTTTGACCAAATACTCAGAGGACCTCGTTGAGGCAGCAAATGGTCACAAGTGCGCTACAGGTTTCATATATCATCACCGCACATCAGCTCTCAGCATGGGCTGTGGATCATCCAGCCTGAAAGGCGATGATGTGAATGTGAATGCGGCGCCGACACCGGCACCAAAAAGGGTCAATACCAACTTCGCCAGTGTCGATTATAGTCAGGAAGGGAATCAGGGCCGAAGGATGACGGAGTACGCACCACATGAAACCGCAAAATCGAAGAAAAGCCATGACGCATCGGGTTCCGGACGCCCGAGCGAAGCCACTGATGGAAGGGCTGGGATCTCTCACCTAAACGACGACGGAGCACTTGGGCCCAGCGGGCAGGGTATGGATGCTGCTAAATCCAGTTATCCCCATGAAGACATAGGAAGCGTTGGTCCAAGGGGAGCAGCGCCGGACCAAGTAGAATTGAAACCGTATATGACTAACGACGGTTGGGATAACGATGACAAAACCGCGACTAGCAGCAATCAACAGCAGGCATCGCAAGTCAATGGCACACACGACTCCGATCCGACATCGGTGGGGGCGAAGCGACATTTTGCGCATGAAAACGACCCCGCCAGTGTTGAGAACCAAGAGACGAGGAAGCAAAAGGCGAAGAACTCACAGTCTCTCGACCCGAGCTCCTCGGTCGCTACGTCAGAAGATGGCGAGGAGCGCAAAAAATCTTGGCTCGGCGAGAAGTATAGCAAGTACCATGCTGCGAAGACGGGCAAGGATGTGGTTCTCTCAGATGAAGAGCTGAAGAAGTACACAGGCAAGGACCGCAAAGAGCTCAACGAGTGGGCAGAGGGCAGAAAGGGCGTGGGCGAAAACCAGGTCGTCGGACGGGTCGATGGACATTATTGGGGAGGAGCTGCCGGAGGAGCGTCCGGGTGAGTGTGATCTACCAATAGTATGGATTCCCATCCCGACGGAAGTGGGAGCGCAGCCTCGGTGCAAAGGCTGGTAACGGCATGTTCTACGCTGAACAAACTTCAAGGTTGGACTCGCTGGGTTTTCAGTCTGCTTCAGATGGACAAATTGATGGGATGAAGCTGTGTTACACTGGCAGGCGCAGGTTAGGTGGGAGAAGGGAGGAAGGACGCTAGATCAAGGTGACCATATCTACCTACCTAGGGGTAAAAAGATGGACTCAGGAAGTCGTGTAGATCCATGGACTGCAATTTGGGAAAGTATTCATGCTTTCTGCAAGGTCTCAGGCTTAGGAATGTTCAAAGAATACGTATGGCTCTGGGAGTCTTATTGGACTCGTGTACATCATAGTCAGTTATCATGATTGTAATCCATTTTTATCAGCAATCTGCCGATTTACATGAATCTCACATGTCTTCTTTATTCTGGTGAACTTATGTAGTGCGCCTTGAAATCAAAATTTTATCCCAGAGCAACCACAAGCGGGCCGTCGATGGTAATTTAGCGGTCGAGTTCAACTCGGTATTGTGTATACCTACACGTTATAAAACGCGTAGAAAGGCAGATACCCAAACTAAGTGTTCTTTTTTTGGGCAGGCTACAAACGGTAAAGCCTGTTTACTGGTGCCGGATGGTATGCTGGTGTAGTATTCAGTTCAATCAGCCACCTCCTGCTAGTGCTTTGGGCAACAATCCGGTCTCGGAATCTGCAATGTCATGTATCGCCCGACTGTCTATTTGGGCGATGAAATTAAGCGTCTTGAGGGAGACGCTCTCGGTTCGTGTATAGCTTCGATGTCAAGTCAACATCGACCAAGTCTTGCTCATATAAGATACACAATATTCACCTTGCCGCACTCCAGCGGCACGACTCGGTGTGGCATCCCAAGATGCCATTCTCTGGCACGACGCGGGTGGGCATTAAACATAGCGAATCATCCGCGTAAGGGCCAACATCTTTCAGTGGCAGATTCGAGAGTTAGGATTCTCTCACAGTGGTACATTGACGAGCTTTGAGTTGCTCGCGGAGGAGGTTGGCATCGGGGCCCAACGCAATGACAGATAAATCAAATGAAATCCTGGTTGGTGATCAAGCATTAGCTGCTGGACGAATTTGCTTTGGACTTTCCCTTGTCGCTGTCTTGAGTGATGGAGGTCGTGCTTGATGCACGGCCATCGTCGCCGTATAAATGATTCTGCTCAATATATTCAACGACTGGTGCAGGGATGAGATACTGCACGCTCATTCCTCTACGAAGGAAAAGCCTGATCTTTGTGCTGCTTACGTCATTTTGGATAAGCTGCTGGATAACGTGAATATTGTCACGATATGTTTGAAGGCTGGCAAGAGCCTCGTCGATGTCAGTGCCTGATCTCTCAATGATGAAAGTGCCGTAGCGGCCGAGTATATGATCAAGGTCCTTTTCACTCCACACGCCAGGGGTTGACATGGTTTGAATCAAGTCAGCACCGGCAAGAAGAGCGATCGTAACGGGTTTTCGTTTTCCATCTCCAGTATCGATCCCCTTCCTCGCAACGTTGATCTCGTGGTCGAAATGATCTAGAACTTTTGCTGTTGGCTGGTACTCCTTCTTCTCGGCTTCCCAGGTGTCGACCATAAGCCAGTTGGAGGCTTTGTCAATGGCTAGTTGGCACATGGCCACCCTGACAAAACAGTCAGTAGCTGCCAGCATCTTTACTATGTGCTGTGCCAATGCTTACCGATGCTCTGCAAGAGCAAGTCCTTGCTTCTTATAGGCATCCGAGACAGGTGAGAGGTACCCGCCTACCATTTCAAACTCTGTGTTATGCTTGACATAATCGGCAGCCATTACAAACATACGCAAGTGCAAGAAAGTTATAGGGGAGAAGGAGCCACAAGCAACAAGGAGTAGTGGTGTTTTGGACGGGTCGTCCATCTTCTTCTTGAGGCGGGCATCCGGGAAATGGTACTCGTCCATGACGCTGAAATCGCCTGTGATGGCCTGAAGAACCGTGGAGCGACGTTGAACGAGTGGAAGTCGACTCTTCGCGAGCGGCAAAGAAGAAATTGAGGTTCCTGGAGGCACTATCGAGAGTAGGGTGGATTTGTCAGACGAAGTTGTGGTGGGAAAGAAGGATGAGTCGGATAGCGGGGCGCAAGAAGACGCTGGATCAAAATGGCTCGAGGAAATCTGAGAGTGCAGCGGGCGAAGGAACGGGCATAGGATGGTAGAGCAGGAGTGACGAGCAGTCAACGAGGGACCTCTCAGCATTTGATGGCATCCATGGCCGGATAGAAGTGAACAAAATCGAGAGTGGTGGTACCAGTGATGGTGGTGGTGACAAGTTCTCGGTTCGGCGAAGTGGAGAAATGAGAGGGATGGTGGGAGATGTACGAACACAGGTTGTAGTTTTTCCACCCCAAGGGCAGGGAAGGGCAGGGGAAAGTTGGGCTCCGAGTTCCCGGGTCTAGATATGAGTAATATTACTTGTAACCGGAAAGGTTTTGTTTCTGGCGAGGGGAAGGACCTAAGTTACGGCTGGCCCCAGGGCAGAGGAGACAGACTTGCTGGGTGTTGTACCTACGTAAGTATTTGTTATTGGTGTTGGCGGAGGAGAGGGTGGGGTATCTGGTTGAGAACCTGTGAAATCCGTGCCAGTCGGTGTTGGAGAACACTGAGAAGGGGGAGGATGTTGAAAATCTAGATGTTGCTAGACACAAGATGGAATAGCGGGATTCGCAGTGGTAACTAGTAACTTGGTCAATCATTATCTGGTGAATCAGACAGTAGTGTACTAGTGAGAGCTTAGGAGGCTAAATGATGCCATCCAAGGTCCTCGCTAGTTCGGAATCACTGAGGTGGCCAAGTACCTCCGTACAAAGGACTGTCACAGAAGGACGAGCCAAATCCGTTATACCCCAGCAGTATTGGGATACTGAGGAATCGGAGTATAAACTATTTCAGTCACGCGCACTGGGCTGGTGAGGCATCGAGGCGGGGTGCAACAGAAGGAGACTGGAACAGGCAAAGGCTTTCTCTGTGCAGGGCCACGAGGGTATTTTTCCTGCCGGGTTAGGTACCAAGTAGCCCGTTAATTATTGGTGTTATAGAATACTGCCCGCTACCCACCCTTCTCCCCTCACGAGAGCCTTAACTGGAGGTACGAGTAATCCCACTGTCCTCGTAACTTTAGGTAGAGTGGTACCCCATAGGCCGTACCCGTAATGTATCAGGCATCATGCCGCACGGCTGGACTGCCGAATTCTCAGACCAGGGCCCGACTAGGCTTAGTCGTCCTGCTTTGGCCTCATCTGCAAGTCAAAGAGGCCGACACGACATCCATACCTAATCCACAGGATATCAAACTCACTGCCATCTCATTCTTGAATTTCCCCATTTCATCAGTTTCACTGTAAAGGCCATCTACTCAAATCATGGCAGTGTCTCTCACTCAGATCTAATTCCTTCCTGCAGCCGCCCCTTCGATGGCGGGTTAAGTATGGCACATCTGCCCGCACCCTCTTCAAACTCGCAGCTTGCAACTGTCCAACGCACACCAGGTTCTGCTGCCCACCATCACCTCAACCGTAACCGTAACCGCAACCACCACAGCAGCCTGACTGCCTCCTCGTCACAGTCCTCCTCTCCTCCTTCCTCTTCACCCAACGCCAGGTATTACTTTCACTTCACTGCCTCGCAATTTTCATCTTCTTCGCAAGAACCCTCTCCAGTCTTGACTTTCCATCTGCCTCGTCCTTTCACCTCCATTTGTCACACCCTCCAGCCACTCTTTTAAATCCTGCATTCGTCCATTCCTTTTCCAAAATCTCCGCAGTCTTTGAGTGATACCTTCAAGATCTGTTGCTCATGTCCCGCAGAGTCACTCGTTCTTCTGCGAGGCTCGCTGCAGAGTCTGGCGCCCCGTCTACCACACTCTCACCCGACTCCGATCCCTCCCCTACGTCGCTCCCTCCCTCAGGCTTGTCCAAGAAGCGAAAGGCTCCTGGCCGTCGACCTTCCAGTCCTGTCGATCCCCTGCAAGATTCGTCCCCCTCGTCTGCTCCACCGCGGGGAAAGAGGCAGAAGGTCGTTGAGCCTCCACAACCTCAAGCCCCCTCCTTGCAGCCCTCTCGCACAAGCAGGAGTAAGACTTCTAGCACTGCTACGGCAATGTCGAACAATGCGTGGGCTTCTCCTTCAACTGTGAGTCAGGACAAATCCGCTGAAAAACTCAGGTCATCCTCTCGGTATACAGACGAAGCATCCAAACAGTTGACTTCAAAGTCCAACTCTAGACGTCCTTCGAGCAGCAATAACAAGAAAGCTCGACCAGGTATGCCTTTGAACCTGCCTACCCTTCGTACTCATCTGACTTCTCAATCAGATCTATCTCCTCCATCGCAGCAGACCACCTCTTCCCGTCGACCAAAGAAGCGCCCAATCAAGAAGGACAACGATGTCATCATGAAGGATGATGAAGATCCTGATCACAGACCTTCAAGACGAGAAAAGGAGTCTAGTCCGCCTCCCAACCAATCCAATAGCGATAGCAACGACGGTGACAACCACAGCGACATGGACGACGATGATGGGCATGACCCTTTCGCTGCGGCACTCTTTGGTGTTGGTCGTGGCGGTCCCTCTTCGGGCCTGTCAAGTACGCTTCGAGCTCTGAGTGGAATGATGAGCGGCATGTCATCAAGACTAAGGGAAATCTTGAGCAATCTCCGTCAGGTGGACAACCCGACAATGCAGATGTTGGCGCTTGAGGAGCTTTCCAATTTGTTGTTGGTCTCTAATGAAGACAATCTCTCGGGCCAATTTTCGCCAGACCCTTACGTCAAAGAGTTAGTCAGTTTGATGCAACCAAATCCCATCACAGGCGAAGAAAACCCTGAAATGATGCTCCTGGCATGTCGTTGTATTGCAAATCTAATGGAAGCTCTTCGAGGCTCTGTTGCAAATGTGGTTTATGGTGGAGCTGTACCGGTCCTTTGTCAGAAATTGCTTGATATCCAGTACATCGATGTTGCTGAGCAGGCCTTGAGCACGTTGTCCAAAGTCTCAATCGACTTCCCTGGTTCCATTGTCCGCGAAGGCGGCTTGACCGCTTGTCTGCAATTCCTTGACTTCTTTGCAACAGGTACACAGCGAACTGCCGTTACTACCGCAGCGAATTGCTGTCGTAACATTCCCCACGATTCATTCCCGGTCATCCGAGACGTCATGCCGATTCTATTGAACGTCCTAGCCAGTCATGACCAGAAAGTCGTTGAGCAGGGCTGTCTTTGTGTCACACGAGTCATCGACAGTTTCAAACACAGTCCTCACAAGCTTGAGCAACTGGTTGATGCATCGCTGCTTCGGGCCATTCTGGGCCTCCTGCTCCCTGGTACCACGAATTTGATTGGTGCAAACATCCATACCGAATTCTTACGCGTCCTGGCCATTGTTGCCCGCTCCAGCCCCCGCTTGTCAGCAGAACTGCTCAAGATGAATGTCGTTGACACTCTATACCAAATCCTTACTGGTGTTTCCCCGCCCTCCGAAACTTCAGATGCTGCCTCAAGAATTGACAGCGTCGTGATCATGCAAGCCTTGATCCATCGACCTCGGGAACAAATCTATGAAACTCTCAACGTCATCTGCGAATTACTCCCTCGTCCCAAGATGGGTCATGATCTTGATGCTGAAGTTTATCAAGATATGGACGAGGAACTGTCAGATAGTGCTCACGATTCTACAGCTGATAAGCCCTCCCGACTGGAGACAAGACTTCAACTACTGGAAACTTGCAAGCAAGAAACGCGCCGATTTGCAATGATTCTTTTACCAACTCTGACAGACGCTTATTCTAGTACCGTCAACCTCAGTGTGCGGCAAAAGGTTTTGATTGCTCAACTTAAGATCCTGTCCAATCTCGAGACAACTGTTATCGAAGAGGCTCTCCGGCCAGTGCCCTATGCATCATTTCTTGCTTCAATTCTCTCCCAGGAGGACCACCCGAGCCTCGTAATGTTTGCCTTGGAAGCATCAGAACTTCTCTTCGAGCGACTTGAAGATATTTATCAGTATCAATTCCATCGGGAAGGTGTTATTGGAGAGATTAAGAAACTTGCCGATCGCCCCCTTGAACGTAATAGAAAAGGCTCCTCTGGGCATGAGCGCTCCAGTGGAAATAGCCAGTATGCGGCAGGGCCTTCCACGACAGACATTCTCCCACTTGGTCACTCCAAGCCACAAGACGCTCGCGCAGAAGAGGATGATAATGATCATAGTGACGAAGACAATGAGGAGGACGATGATGACGGTGACGACGATCCAGAGGACGATGATGAAGACGATGAAGACGATGAAGATGAAGAAGATCTTGCGATTCGACACGATCATGACCTCGATGATTCGCAGAGTTCAGGCTCCTCCGACGAAGAAATGCCATCTCCTCTAGCCATTGCCGGTATTGCCGACTTGGTCGTTTTGCGGGCTAAGAAATTCCTCGACAAACACGACACAAGAAGGGGCAAAGAACTGAAAGCCAAGGCAGCAAGTATTCGTAATAATCTCCACAAGCTTGCCGGCGATATCGAAAACTTTTATGCTGCCCCGATTGATTTCGAAACGGAGAGTTCATTGTTCAGTGGTCTTGCAAGATATTTCGATGGGGATGCTTTAGAAAGCATAACAAGCTCGGAGTTACTAGACTCCGGAGTGATTCGCGCCCTGTTAAAAGTTCTGTGTGACGACCCCCATCCGGCATCCAGTTCCGCACGAGCAGACTTCGTGCTGTCTTTCATGGGTTCTATTAACAAATCAAACATCAAGACAGCATCAAAATCTTCAAATCCCACGTCGCTGAGCGTTTTGATTCAGAAACTTCAAGACTTGCTGAGTCGAGCTGAACATTTCGAGGTTTTGACGGTTAACAACAATGCCGCAGAAAGTACCAGAAGTAGTTCCACTTCCATGCTCTCACGCCAAATTCGACTTAGGCTCTCAGCAGACAGCGATAGTGACATTCCATCAACCTACCGTGAGATGATAGTTTCGATCCACGCAATAGCGACCTTCAAAGCTCTAGATGATTATTTGCGCCCTCGCTTCAGCTCCTCCGACCGTCCTGCCTCGGCTCAGAGACGTCGAGACATGTTGCAACAAATAGCAAATGCTCGGCTGGCTCATCTCTCTGGAGCGGCTGAATCGGGCCTCTTTTCACCGTTTGGTCACGAGCTTGGATCGCCCGCGGCCCCTCCACCTGCTGCTGCAGCATTAAGCTCTGAATCTCGTCTCTCATCTCGCAATAAGCAGCGGTCTGAAGCGAAGCAAGGCACAGCAGACAAGAGTGAAGGAGGAAGAGTCGAACCAAAACGTTCGAGTCGACGGACACAGGCATCTTCATCAAGACCACCACGACCTGCTCCCGAGCCTAGTACTGAAGCCGCTACCAACACGCTTGAATGCGCAGATGAGAAGACTCTAGATGATGAACATGCTCCAGAAACAGAGGCTGATGGCACTTTGGAAGCGTTCGTCGACGGCATCGAGGAGGATATGTCTGAGGAAGATATGCCAGAACCAGGGGCCATCAATATGGAGGTGGGTTCTACAGGCAAGGTTACCGCTCGTCAAGACGATGGTACTAGGGTTTTCACTCCTCAACCGGGCACACCCGTACCAGGTGGTACTCGGCCACCTTCCTCAGATCAATCGCCAGGTCCATCTCCTGCAAGTACCTCCACAACCGGCCCTAGACCCTCCTATGCATCGGCATTGTCATCAACACCTCAAGATTGGCATATCGAGTTCAGCATTGACGGTAAAGTCATCCCTAACAATACCACCATTTATCGTGCTGTTCATCATAACCGTGACCAGCCTCAAGACTCTTCGTCAAGAAGTGTGTGGTCGGGTGTTCATACCATCAAATTTCGCAAAGTCCGAGGTCCACCCCCCAAGACCTCTGCCCTTCCCGTTTGGAACGGATCAGAGAACAAGGCCGAGTCCAGTGATGGTCTTCCAGCGTCGTTGAATGGCCACCCGGTGACGTCCTCTATTCTTGCCCTGCTACGAATTCTTCACGAGCTAAATGGAAATCTCGATGATGTACGTGAAAGTACCGGCCAACCTAATCTAATGTTGCATGCAGAACCGCTCGCGTCCTTTATCAACACTAAGTTGACGGCCAAGATGAACCGTCAATTGGAAGAGCCCTTGATCGTCGCTAGTAACTGCTTGCCGGACTGGAGTGAAGATCTTGCAAGAACATTCCCATTCCTTTTTCCCTTCGAAACGAGACACTTGTTCTTGCAATCAACCTCATTTGGTTATTCACGTTCGATGATTCGCTGGCAGAACAGCCAATCTGAAAACGAAGATCGTCGTGACCGTCGGAGAGATGATCGACCAATTATGGGACGCCCACAGCGCCAGAAGGTTCGCATTTCTCGACACCGCATTCTGGAGTCCGCCATGAAAGTGATGGATATGTACGGTGCATCCCCAAGTGTTTTAGAAGTCGAGTATTTTGAAGAAGTTGGCACAGGATTGGGACCTACGCTTGAGTTCTACTCCAATGTCTCGAAAGAATTTTGCAAGAAGAAACTCAAGATGTGGCGCGAAAACGACTCTGGCGACAACGATCAATTTGCTTTTGGCAAGAATGGGCTCTTTCCCGCGCCCTTGAGTACAGCTGAAAGTCGCAGTGAAGCCGGCAAGAAACTGATGCTCCTTTTCAAAACACTGGGCAAATTTGTCGCACGCTCGATGCTTGACTCGAGAATCATAGATGTCTCATTCAGCCCGACATTTTTCAAGGTTGGGGAAAATTCAGCCGCGCCATCTCTCGGTTTACTACGAACGATTGATCACGATCTTGCCAACTCCTTGTCGCAGTTGCAGCAATTTGTCAAAGCTAAAATCAAAATCGAAACTGACTCAACAATGACACATTCTGCAAAGGCGCAGGCCATCAATGACTTGACTATCCGTGGTGCTCGAATTGAAGACCTTATGCTCGACTTCACATTGCCAGGATATCCCGACATCGAATTAGCAGAGAATGGCCAGGAAATTCCTGTTACTATGGACAATGTTCAAGACTATGTCGATAAGGTTCTCGACTTGAGTCTCGGCAGTGGAGTGCGTCGACAGGTTGAAGCCTTCCAGACTGGCTTCTCTCAGGTCTTTGCGTACCCTACTCTTAAAGCTTTCACTCCAGACGAGTTGGTCATGTTGTTTGGAAGAGTTAACGAGGATTGGTCGATTGAAACTTTGATGGACTCCGTCAAGGCTGATCATGGTTTCAATATGGACAGCAAGAGTGTGAAGAATCTTTTGCAGACCATGTCCGAGCTGACGCCCGCTCAACGCCGAGATTTCCTGCAATTTGTAACTGGCAGTCCCAAATTACCGATAGGAGGGTTCAAGAGTCTCACGCCAATGTTCACGGTGGTTTGCAAGCCTAGCGAGCCCCCTTACTCTTCCGACGACTATCTGCCGAGTGTTATGACTTGTGTCAATTACTTGAAACTACCTGACTACTCAACACAAGCCAAGTTGAAGGAGCGATTGTTTGTGGCTATTCGCGAAGGACAGGGAGCATTCCATTTGTCCTGAACGGCAAGGATTGTATGTACAATTTTCAAAGACCCAATGCAAATTGAAATCGATGAAAATTTGTGGCGCTGAGTTGAAGCTTAGGGGCGGGTCAACGGTTGTTCGGGTCCAGAAACCTAAGCAGTCAGCGCCATGAACATGAGCAGGTTTCTGCATAAAGTGGTTATCGTGAGACCATGCTAAAACAAAATAGAATCGAGTTGCAATGGGGATGGGAGTCGGGTTTCCTGGTGTGGTATGGTATGGATTAGTGAGGCAAAGCAGAATAATGTGAAAACGAAATTTGTTCAACAGCAGGTAATATGTGCATTTTCAGTGGGCTCTGGATGGACTCGCCGATGGAGCTCTTCTCTTCTCTCTCACACTGGCCGCAGAGAATCGGACGTGGCCAAATGTCATGATAGCGGGATTGGGGAAATGGGAGTGTCTCTACGATGTGACATGGGGTCATAATCCCAGCTAGCATCATATCGATAATAACATGATAAGACTTATTCCCATCGCTGTCGATTGAGCATATGGTGTACCTGGCAACACTATGAGTGAGTGGGTATCGTCATTAGCCACGACGGACTGAATAATTTTTCTTTGACAGCCAACCTCAAAGCCGCTACGCCATGGTGTTTTTTGTATGCATCTGATTTCTAGCGTACTATCAGGGTCAGGATTGCTCACAGGGATGAAGTTTATATTTTGTTTAAAAGAAAAGAATGCGATTTGAAGAGCATAAAAGCCCAGAGGTTGGCTTTGGCTTTGGTCTCGGATCTTCGTACCGAGTCTGTGTATCTCCTCGTGCCAACTAACTAGGTCATTCACAGTTATATGTAGCGATGCTGGTGGCCATGATAATTTCGTCCAAAACACACCATGGCTTGCGGAGGCTTCACGTTTCCTACAGAGTCGTAATAGAACCAGAAGTTGAGTCAACTACTCCCGGGTAACGCTATCTTCCATGTGATGAGGTCATGCGGGTGTGGCTGGGAGCTGGAGGCTGAATAGACGGGACAATCGTCTTCTTCTGCTGGCTCGGATTCGTAGACTTGCCAACTCTGAGCGAGTTGGAGCGTGAGCCTGCCCGTGAGGACGAAGGGGATGGAGACGGGGACGACCTCTGCCCTCTCGATGAGGAGACCCTGACACTTCTCTCAGAAGCACTGTCGTACTGGGCCAACTTCTCCTTTTGCAGCTGCTTGACAAGACGCTGTCTCCTCATGTCCCGGAGGGAGAGGAGCAGCAGCATGAAGTGGAGGACCCAGAGGAATGTGCCACAGACGATGGCGCCAATCTGAAGGCTTCCCACGGCGTACAGGACGGGCTCGCACTCACGGGCAAAGACGTTGAGCATGTTGCAGACCAAGATCCCCGACTGAGTGCGCACGGCTGGTCGCCAGAATCGGAACAGTGAGCCGTACCCGGCGATGAACAAGGCTGGAACCATGATGGTCAGGATCAGGACCGTCACTGCGGTGTGGACGATGAGCGAACGGCGAGACAGGGATGGCAAGGCTGGTGTTTGGCGTCGGCGTTGCTGAACCTGGTCATAGATCAGGACGCTGGCGTGATAGAGGAATGCGAAGGACAGGGGTCCCAGCGAGAAGCCGTCGGTCCAGTCGCCCTGGTTGGGTCCCGAGTTGTGGAAGAAATTGGCGTTCCATCGTGGGATGGCAGCGGCGAAAAGAGATATCGCCACGAGGCTGGTCAACAGGCTAGCGACGTGCAGTGAGATGGTGATCTGACGGCGGTAGCGGTGGTGAGAATTGAGGCTGCCAGGTGGCGTGAGTTCGGTGGGGTAAGTCGATGATAAAATGAGGGTCTTGGTGAGCATGGTGGTTTCTTCTTTGTGGGTTGTTTTTTCGACAATGATACCGTGTAGTCGGATGAAGTGTAACCCTGCACCCCGAGAATTGGGTCTTGAATATTGCAAAAGCTGTAGATTGGTGATATATGATATTGGGCCTTGTCCAGCAAGATCACCCAGGATGAATTAAAAGAAGTATAATGTGCTACAAGAACAAGATAATGAACTGAACTGCACAGCAATTGAGGGAAGGGAAGAGAAAGGAAGAGAGGGCGCGATTCAGGAACAACAACAGAGATGAAGCTGGAGCCGAGAAACTGACCATCTGAAGTTGGCCTACAGTGAAGCTCTACCTTACTTCGGAGAGTGACGACCCCGTGGTCCATCGTCGATGCCATTTAGATGTTTCTGAGTCGATTGCAAATCAGGGCGGGAGGCGAGCTGCCGAAGGGGATTCTGCGACACTTGGTGAAGGAGAGACAATCGCGTGCGACAATTGTCGAACCAGCGGTGCGTAGGGGAAGTGGTAGGCGCGATGATGAAACACGACGTGTTGGAACTCGTATGAATCAGGTCAGGGTCTCAGTGTCAGCGTGGAAGGCCACCATTGGCCTAGAGGCGGATGGGGGCTTGGGCAGGGCTGCGTTAGGGCTCATTGGGGGGTTGAGGGGCGCCGACGGAGGCTGCGTCGGGCCACTGGCCTTGAGAAAACCATGGAACACTTCCGGAAAAGCCACCTGCCGGGAGCTGGCATCTAAGGCCCTTAGGCTGTTCTAGGCTCTATTGCCCCTGCCATCCGGCGCCATTCCCGGGCTCCCTATGCCTAGACGGGCCACTAACTGCCGTTGGAACTCCGCTTATGGAAGGGCCCTCCTTGCTCCTTGGCGGTGGACGATGCCGGGTAGTCCATGGGTAGCCCCAAGGTAGCCCAATTGGAAGACACACCTGGAGCAGAGTGCGTGCACTTGCAGATTTGCACAGTAGCTGGCAAAATAGTGCAAGACATCAAGTGCGAGACTTAGTAGTGGTCACAGGGTGACAGGTGACTCTCGGAAGGGCACTCTTCATGGCCCTCTGACGCTACCGGGCTAGAGAGAGAAAAAATAGAGCAGTGAGATAGTCTGGTCGTCAGTAATGCCATAGGCCCTGCCGTGCGTTCTACTGTCACTGTCACTTGTCGACCCTACCTTGCCCGTGACATCTTCCCCCATCCAGAGAAAGAGAAAAGTCGAGATGAGTGCAAATACGGCGCCCATCAGGCTACGAGACACACCCGCCGAACTGCAGGCCAAACTGGGCTTGAGCAACCAACGATTTGAGAACTTTAAAAACTTTGCCAGAAGAGCCCACAACGAATATATGCACTCCCATCCCACCTCCAGATGGGCCGACGTCAATGTGGTCTGGACTGCCCTGCCGGAACAAGAGACCATGGCTGCGACCGAGATCATGTACAATCTTTGTCGGGATGGCAACCTATTTCCTTCCACATATCCGCAACAAAGAATCAGAGATGGAATTCTGGCCAGGCTGCATCAAGTCCGGCGTACTTGGCAGCAAGGAAAAAGACAACCACGAGGACAACAGGCTGATGATGACTAAATTCAAGAAGGAAGGAAACCACGGGCAGGGTTGGACAATCATCCCAGGTTCTGGAGGTTGAAGGTGCGAAGGAATTGAACAAGAGAGAGGATGTCAGATTGCTTACTATATACAAACAGTGCTGGTGGCGGTGGTTGGTCCTCGGGTGACTACTGACTAGCAATGGACATGTTCTGGTCTCGCGAGGATGCATGGATGTGGTATTTCTTTCCAATCGGAAGTGTGCTTTGTCGGGACCAAGGTACAGCGCGAGTAGGTTTCTCCATATTGAGCACGGAGGTACCGAGTGCAGAAACCAAGCTCTTGTTTGACGGATATGGACGGAGCAGAGGCATAGATGGTGACATGATGGACTAATCAGAGATGTGGCACGAACACGAACGAGAAGGGCGCGCCTGTACATACACGACGTGGGTGCTGTATTGGATTTAAACGAAGGAATGGAAAGCGGTGGATAGACCTATGTGGTAACCCCCCTGGATGCCTGCATGCGGAAGCCAGGAAAGCGAGCAGGACTCGTCTCGTGCGGCTCGTGCCAGTGTGTTTGGACTCTTGAGGAGGGACTTAGGACGGATACCGAATACCCAGGACTCAGGAGGAAGAGGAGTCATGGACTCATGGCAACTCCTGGCATGATAGGATCGTTCGGCCAGCTTTTGCGGCCCGGCCAGAGACGGCGTGGCTGTTTTAGGTAGTGGCAGAGTGGCACTGTCAGTCTGCATTTTGCATGCACCAGGTGACGAGGACGGGTCGGAAATACGGAGTGCCTCTTACTTGTGTCTCTCGCAAACTGTTGTACCCTCGTACCTGGTCGTAGTCTTCGAGCCGTTAACTAGTTACTCGCTACCGCAGGCTAAGGGTGCTAGATTTGTAGTAGTTGTCCTGTAAGTTTGTGGATATGGTGCACGGTGCGACGGGCTCCTTCCTCTATATACCGGGCGCCTGAAGGCAGCTGTCTACTGTACGTAGGGCTGCATTGTATGTAGTACATACTCCGTAATCAGTTCAGGGTACCCTTTCCCTCCTGGAGTCCTTGCACAGTTGTGACTCGCGACGTGACGTGACGTGACGTGACGTGACCTGATGCTTCCGCTCTCCCCTCAAGTCTCGCAAATTGGGTACTGGGACCATGGATGCACCTTCTGTACTGCCGATTTAATCGTTACAAACCTAGGATAGCTGCTTCCAAGTGACGGATCTTCAAGACGGCTTCCATTTCCCGGCTGCTATACCCATGTCATTCGGTCAACCATCATACCGCATCTCGCTAGTTAATAACCATGTATGTCAAGCACGAGCAGATCAACCCCCCTCCCCTGTAGATTGATAAAGAGCGTCCCAGATGCTGCTGCTCATGGTCATTGTTAATATAACAAGGACAAGAAGTATAGATGTCAGCAACACCAACAACAACAACAGCAGGCTTCAACAAATAGCGTCGTTGACCGTGGTGAGCGTGCTATGGTGACACCTATGTTGTCAAGACCATAGCAAGCAATTGGCCTTCCTATAGCCCGAAGAGAGGACATGCTTCATTTTCAGATTCTATTCTGGACTATGTTGCCTCAGACTTGCTCTTCAACCCGTAATGAACCAGGGCTTGGGATTGAGGTAGACATGTCCAGGATGACTTGCTCATACGAGGTACGGAGTACTCAACTTGGAGTACTGCATTCTATTTGATTGCACAAGATTTGCGACTAGTGGCCGACCTGCATGAACAAGATGGGTTGGTTCGACCAGGGGTTTGTTGGGTATATAGATAGTCCAGGATGACCTTGGGGTCACACCTACCAGCAAGCGCTGGGAACTCGGAGCCAAGTACCTACCTGGATACTTTTGCACGCCTTTTCTAATTAACCGAGCACCCAGTACGCGGTTCGAAGAACATATCGGACACGAGGAGCATGCAACCCAAGCGCAGATCCCTTGACCTGCCCCCATGGATTCCGATTTCTGTCTGTATAAGAGCATGACCTAGGGTCTCAGCCTCGTCCGGGAAGCATAAAACTTAGTATTGATTGCATCCTCGACTACGAGCTGCGACATACAGGCAGTGTGAGCTTGGCCACACTGGCCATCCCGACGCTCGTGTACTCCAGTACTGAGCGTGAGATACCTCTACGGTGGCTAAGGATGCCGGAAGCTTAGCTGAGCCGTCGCCACCAAGATGCCCTCAAGTCGGGCCCAGTGACCCAACTTAGGCTCGGCGGCCGCGGCAGGGCCCTTGGGCGACACTCGAGCAATTCCGAGGTGCCGAGCCTAGTATGACGCACCAACGCCAACACCACAATCGAGTTGTTCCATGTCTATCCGCTTCTGCCACTCTATCAATAAAACCTATCGAACTTCTATCAGCAAGCCTCGACCATAATTTCTTGTTTTCAAATACTAATTATCCACACTGTTCACTGTTTCTCGCCCCATCTTCCCTAGGTTTATCATCCTACCAAAACCCTTCGTGTCCCTGACAATGCGTTGAACCACCGTTGCTCCTGCCATCCGCTGGCTACCACGCTCTTTATTTACGCAAGTATATCACTGCTCGCGAGTATTGCTTGCATTATGCAATGGCCCTGGCGATCCCTCCTCTAGTTTCTTCAGGCATTGACTACGGAACATGTCCAACTCTCGAACCTCCTCCAACGACCTTCCCCTATCCCGACAACAGCGGCTCAACCAAAACTAATACTCGCTTCGAGTCAGATGCCACATTATACGACCATGGGGAGTCGAACAGGTCCAATGAGCCTTCGTCATGCCCTACAACCCCCAGACTAGAATCCAAGACACAGAATGATCGGCCTGGCCTTGCTGCGCGCAAATTTGAATCAGATCTCGCGCACCCAGCCGCGCCCAGGCAGCTTCGTCCTTTCAGAGCACACCAGTCCGCGTCAACGCATCATTTTGATGGCGCTGCTGACTCCACGGATGATGCCTCCTCTGAGGGTGGGGAGTTTCCCACCATCGCCAGATCATACACACAGCCTGCGAGCGCTGGACTTTCAAAAGCCCAGCTCAATCGAGTTCGCACACATCCAAAAGGCCGGGGACTCACAATAGGTAATGAGCATTTTGAATCGTCTGGCCGAATAGCAAGGGATGGGAGATTGACAATTTCTATCAACGAGGCAGCCAATAGCGGATACCTTGCCAAAGCCCTTGGTGCAACAATCGAGAGCCACCTCAGACCCCATCATCTGGCGGAAGAAAGGGCCTCACAACAAGCCAAAGCCGACTTTCTCCAAGCTAAACCAAACTTACAGGTTCCCCGGTTGAACATAGTGATCATGGTAATTGGAAGTCGTGGCGATATCCAACCGTTCCTGAAGATCGGAAAAATCTTGAGAGACAAGTACCGTCACCGGGTCAGGGTCGCTACACATCCAGCTTTCAAAACATTCATTCAAGAAGAAATCGGGCTCGAATTCTTTTCTGTTGGGGGTGACCCTTCCGAGTTAATGGCATTTATGGTTAAGAATCCAGGTCTGGTGCCTTCTTTGGAGACAGTAAAGGCTGGAGAGATAGGACGGCGAAGGGAGTCAATGTACCAAATGTTCCAAGGCTTTTGGAGGGCTTGTGTTAATGCAACTGACGACGAAACGGACACCACCAATCTGAAACTTGTCGGGACGAGTGTGCCTTTTGTCGCAGATGCAATCATTGCCAATCCGCCCTCCTTTGCCCATTATCATTGCGCGGAAAAACTCAGCATACCTCTCCACCTTGTCTTCACTTTCCCATACTCACCCACACAAGCATTTCCACATCCCCTGGCCAATATCAAAGCCTCCAATGTCGATCAGAGCTATACCAATTTCATGAGTTATCCACTGGTGGATCTCATGACCTGGCAGGGACTAGGTGATCTCGTTAATCGGTTCCGTGTTCTGACCCTAGGGCTGGAACCTGTGTCAACTCTATGGGCCCCCGGTCAGCTGTCGCGCCTCAAGGTGCCAATGACGTATCTTTGGTCGCCAGGACTGGTACCAAAACCTCGTGACTGGGGTCCCGAAATTGATATCGCAGGCTATGTTTTCCTCGACCTTGCCTCGTCCTTCAAGCCCCCAGGAGATCTTTTGACGTTCCTGGAGCGATCCGACGGTCGACCCCTGGTTTATATTGGTTTCGGCTCAATCTCTGGGATCGATGATCCCCATGCTTTTACTAAATTAATTTTTGAAGGGGTTGCCAAGGCAGGGGTACGAGCCATCATTAGCAGAGGCTGGGGAGGGATGGGCGACGGAATGGATAAAGCTGATGGCATCTTCATGGTTGATAATGTCCCTCACGATTGGCTGTTCCACAGAGTAGATGCTGTTGTCCACCATGGAGGAGCGGGCACGACAGCGGCAGGTCTACGATATGGTAAACCTACACTCATTATTCCCTTTTTCGGGGATCAACCATTCTGGAGTGCGATGGTAGTCAAAGCAGGTGCCGGCGCCAAAGAGGCGCTTCCTTTGAAGAAACTTACGGTGGACAAGTTTGCGGAGGGGATTCTACAATGCTTAGAGCCAGAATCGAAAGCGAACGCCGAGGAGATTGCCAAAAGCATTGAAGAGGAAGGTGATGGTGCAGAAAATGCAGTCGACTCTTTTCATCGAGCATTGGACCTGGACGCGATGCGCTGTCATATATTCAAAGATCGGGTGGCTGTCTGGAAGGTGAAGCACGCGAACAGCCAGTTGTCTGCTCTGGCTGCTGATGTGTTGGTCGACAACAAGCAATTGCAATGGTCAGACTTACATTTGAAAAGGAACCGAGAATGGTCTGATTTCCAAGGCCCAGGAGAGCCGATCACGGGGGCTGGAGGCGTTGTGGTTTCTGCATTTCATGAAGCCTTTCAAGAACTCTGCGAGATGCACGAAACGACCAAGAGAGATATCAGGGCTTACGAGAAACGGCGGCAAAAACGCAAGAACAAGTCTGTGAGCGAGGGCCTTCTGCTTCCAGGACGCATCGCATACGCAACCCGGGGAACGAGCGTGGAGGCACAGAGAATGGAGCATGCCCGTTTGCAACAGGAGTTGAACTTGCAGGGGGAGGCCGAACCTTCCAAACTTTCCTTTGCTCATGTGCGGCCTAATGACAATGCGCAAAGACCTGCCAACTTGACCAGGATCACAACCGCGTCATCAAATGCACCACCTGCTGTGGTGGCTGTCATGAGGGATGTGGGCCACGGGATTGGACGTTCAAGTCGTGCGATTGTATCCTTGCCATTGAAGTTATGGAATGCTACAGCGCTCGGCTTCCACAATGCGCCTAGGTTATATGGCGATAAGACGGTTCGGCCAGCGCCACAGAGAATCAGCGGGTTCCGGTCTGGTGCTAAAGCTGCAGGGAACGAATTTGTATATGGTATTTACGACGGGGTAACGGGTCTAGTCCGACTTCCATATCTTGAGGTTCAGGAGGAAGGTCTTTCGGGGTTGCCCAAAGGGGTGGCGCGTGGCATGGGAGGCTTCATCCTGAAACCGATCTCTGGAGTGCTTGGTCTCGGGGCGTACACTTTCAAGGGTCTTCACAAAAGCATGCGACGACGATTTCGCGATACCGAAAAAACAGATCGATGGATTCGACGAGCAAGAATTGCCCAAGGTCAGAGGGAAAGTCAAGGACTGAAAGAAGAGGCCGGAGATGATGATTCTGCAACACCTCCCTTTGATAAGTCGAAAGTAATCGAACGCGTGCGTGATCATGCGCTGAAGAAGTGGAAAACAGCCGAACAACAGCTTGTCAGCGAGGCTCGAGAGAGGGAAAATCACTGCTCCAAGTGGAACCGACAACATGAGCAAAGTCCTCGAGTCGAACCATCACAACGAGCACGGACTGGTTGAGGTAACAAAATGTTGCATGCAACGCCCGGATCAGGCACGGAGTGTCTCGTACTTAGCTGCATTTGGAACCTCGCTCGGCACCCGACTCTTCTCCCCGACGGGCTCGACCTGGACACGATTGAAGTCGGAAACGAACAAGATCGGGTGAGGGGCTCCGGCCACTTCCTTCAGAGATCATGTCATGGCCTTAGTCTTGCATTAAGGTCAAGCCAATCACAGGCGCACGATAAGGCCGAGGCCAACCAATGGTATTGAGGCAATTCTGCGAATAGAGTTTGAACCCAAAATGGCAAGAAGGAGCGTGACGCCACCGCCGAGAAACTTGGGGAACCCTTCGACGCCCACATCGGCGGATGGGACTGTTCGTCTGTGCTGATTACCGGACATTATTACGGATTATTATTGACGCGGTTGGTAGGTGGCTGAGTCATGTACAGATCTACGTACGAGTAGATTCGATCTGCCGCAGGAAGGGGAGGAGTTTGGAAATAACGAGTACTAGAGCTGCTCGTCATTGTCTTCACATTCCCAAGATACCCCATTATCAGTTAGTACTTGGTCACAGGACCTACATCATACGCAAGAAGTTCGATTTGGTCGCGAATAACATCTTGGAGCATCCATCGACTTGCTTCTGGAGACGGAAGGAGTCAAACATTGAATGTTGGATTTAGCGAGAATGTATCCCTTAGACCTGTTCCGGGATAGCACTACCGGAGCTGACCATATTAATTAATTCCACCTAGCGGCACCGAGTTAGTGTTTTGGAATCAGAGCGTTGGAGGCAGGCTCGGGGTGATGATAGTGCGAGCATAAGCAATTCCATTCCTGGGGAGACCACTCGTACTCGTGAATTTTACGAGGTAATGATGGTGTACAGTAGACGTGGCATTTGTAGCAACTACCAAGGTACTCCGTACTTGGTACTAGATGCCGAGCGCCGAGTCCCCGGATTCTCCTGAGCCACTGGTGAATTTTGGATCCAAGACAGCTTGTAAGTACCAAGAACACAGTCAGCTTCGGTTCACACTACTGGTGGGTGACTGGCCGCTCCAGGCAAGACATCAAACACACGAGGCGCTCGTGCGAATTAGACACAGTGCAAAAGGCTGACAAAACTGCATCACTCGTAATTGGAGATGTGACACACGGCGTGGCCCTTTTTGCCCAGGTGCCGGCCCCCAGGATTCAGCAGGTGGAGCGTCATCACACCACTCGGCACTCGTCAGAAACAAAATACTGGGTGATCATTTGCAGCAGACAGTTCTTATTGTGCTCGAGAGAGTCGATTGATTCCATGAGGAATTTCCATCGAGTCAGGACAACTTCCCTTATCTTTTGAGCGACTGGGGGCACACACACCAAGTGGATCCAATGACCCTTGGCTTCATATGGAGGGAAGGAGGCGAGGGAGGGGGGTGGAATCCTAGAAATGGAAGTGTGCCCACGTTGGTGGTTCGTCGCCTGCGTCTTAGTTAAACAGTCCTGCCTATGGGGACGAGGGGGCGTCAAGGGACACGCTCACCCTGCCTAAACTTAGGTAAACTCGGTCCTGTAGACTGGGCCCCTAACGTGAGCAGAGTAACCATCATCAGTGTCTGTTCAGCTCTAGGCAAACCCTCGGCTTGTTGCTCTTGTTTGCAGCGAATATTGATGCGTCAGATGAGACCAGATCGCCGAGCTGAGACTGAGACTGAGACTGAGTGATTCTCAGATGGTAGTTGGGGTACACGTAGGTTTCACCGGTTATCTGTTACCAAGTTGACAGTCGTAGTCAAAGTGGACGGGCCGACGTGGTTGTTCAACATGTTCAACATAAATTGAATCCGGCGAGCAGTGCAGGCGCAGTGGCCACCCATGAGTCGGGAAGTCGTGCCTACGGAGTACCTCGTACCGATAGCAGTGGGTTTGTTGGTGGGCTGGTCCCCAGTCGGGTTAGCCCCACGACGCTGACCCGAGCAGGGGTGGCCGCTGGCCACTGCCACCTGGCCAGCGGCACAAGGAAAAGTTGGGGTGAATTGGGATCCTTGTGCGGCGTGCCTGCCACTAAATCGCTACTACTGCCCCTCCAATCCAATACCACATCCACCATCGGATCTTCTAGGGCAGCTTCCTTTGTTCTGCTGCTCGCTGGCTTCATTTATTATTATTTATTGCTTCTGCTTCTGCTTCTTTCTTCAAAAACCCGTCTCGCCCTTTCCGCTCGACTCTTATCGTTCTCACTCTTCATATCCATTTTATTGTCACCCTCACTTCCCACAATCTCCTCACCGTCGCTGGTAGTATCCTTCCTTCATACACCTCTTATCCATCCATATCTCCACAACCCACACTTAATCATGGTGAGCCCGACCACTTCATCCGTTCGCTTCTTTGCGCCAAACCAAAACAAGCAAACAACTGAACAATTGAACTGACCGAACATTACAGGCTGCCGGTGTTGGTGAATCCACTATCGTCTCAAATGCCGCCAATGTGAGTCTTCTTAATTTATCCTCACACCAAAATCACCCAGACTGACTTGATTTTCTCAGCTGGCGAAATATATGGCATTGGACCAAAGGGGAAAGGCCCTGGCTGAGTACATTTGGATTGATGGTACCAATGGCCTGAGGAATAAGACAAAGGTAAGCAGTTTGTTTACATTCTCGTATCTCATTCAGACCCCATCTCGCGTCTTCCGTCAATCCAACAATTCAGTGGTGCGACTGGACTCTAGAATCGCTGGATGCGGTGGACGTGGTTTTTCCCTGAACCAGAACACGATGACGGCTACGCAAATCGTCCCACGCCCTGCAGGCCAGACCTGCCTTTGAGGCGGTGCGCTACAGCCACAGTATTTCGTTTCGCCAGCGCCGACACTCCGCCGCGATGATTCTGTCGTCAGCCCGGCGGGATTGGCCGACTTCTCGGCACGACGTCAACGCTCACCCAAAATTATTTGCCGCACCCACGGCTTAGCGGCAAATTGACACATTCAAATCAATATGACTTGCAGACGAACTCCCGACTAACTTGGCATTTTCTAGACCCTGGACAAGGCTCCCAAAAGCGTCGATGACCTCCCCGAGTGGAACTTCGATGGCTCCTCCACCCTACAAGCCCCGGGCGATAATTCCGATGTCTACATCCGACCCGTCGCCATGTACCCCGATCCCATCCGTTTGGGTGACAACGTCTTGGTCATGTGTGAGACCTGGGATCCGGATGGAACTCCCAACAAGTTCAACTACCGCCATGAAGCCGCACGACTCATGGAGGCAAACGCCGAGCACGAAGTCTGGTTTGGGTTGGAGCAAGAATATACCCTTCTCGGCGCTGACGGCTGGCCATATGGCTGGCCTAAGGGTGGTTTCCCTGGTCCCCAAGGCCCTTACTACTGCGGTGTCGGCACTGGTCGTGTCTACTGCCGCGACATTGTCGAGGCCCACCATAAGGCTTGCATGTATGCTGGCATCAACATTTCAGGCACCAATGCCGAGGTCATGCCTGCCCAGTGGGAATACCAAGTTGGTCCTTGTGAGGGTATTGACCGTAAGTTCCCGCTGCCCCATCACTCTACGTCGAACTTTTACTAATCCGTGATATTCAGTTGGTGACCAACTTTGGGTCTCCCGATGGCTCCTTCACCGTATCGCCGAAGAATTCGGCGCAAAGGTCTCCTTCAAGCCTAAGCCAATCCCTGGCGACTGGAACGGCGCTGGTCTTCACTCCAATGTCTCCTCCAAAGAAATGCGTGAAGAAGGCGGTATGAAACACATTGAGGAAGCTATGAAGAAGCTTGAGAAGCGTCACATGGAGCACATCAAGGTATACGGTGAAGGCAATGCAGACCGTATGACAGGTGCCCACGAGACTTCCAGTATCGACAAATTCACCTGGGGCGTCGCCAACCGCGGCTCTTCTGTTCGTATCCCACGTGCCTGCGCCCGGGAAGGCAAAGGTTACTTTGAGGATCGACGACCTGCTTCTAATGCTGACCCTTATCGTAAGTCCCTGTCCAAAACCGACCCCTATCAACTAGACGCTAACATGTGCAGAAATCACTGGCATCCTCGTCGAGACCATGTACGGATCGTTACCCGAGGAGAAGTTCTGAGTGCACTGCTTTTGGTTTAAGAGAATTCGGTGAAAAAGCCGAGGCTGATTAAAGAAGCTGATCACCAAGGGTACGTGGCGTTGATGGGATACAAATGAGCGACTTGTTCGATTACATAACTGCAAATGTTGACTGTGGTTGCTTGGTCGTTAGAGAGCGACTTGACTTGACTTTTGACATGATGCTCCGACCGAGCAAATAGACCTACCTAAAGCTGAGGTGATGTTGACCCGGTTATATCATCATACATGATCATTAGTAGATACACCCCCGAATTCAAAAAGAAAATTTAAAACATGTTCAATGCTTTCATTCTCATTGCGAGTGCTTCTTTCGGTCGTCATTCGTCCCAAGGAGACTCAATTCCACACTCCATACTGCTCGGAATTCTCTTGCCGTCAAAGATGTAGCGATTTATATTGACACTCACCTCACAATCTCCTTTTCCACTTTCATGATCCGATTTCAACCTCGGCATTCTGGAACAGAAGGAGGTGCTAGTAGGGTTCTGACATACTCCATACTGCTGCCTCCTGCCATTGCTCCCTCCAATGGAATTCGGTTCCCATTGTTGGGTTCAGACTAAAACAAGACAAGTCTGACACTGCTATTACAGAGAACCAGCATATGTATGTAGGCCAAGCAACGTTCGAAGCTATCAGGAAACCGGAGGAGGGAGACGGGAGCGCAAGGCTACGAGTTACATAAAACATGACAAAAGGTTCTCGCAGGCCCGGTCAGATTGAAACACTGCTAACGAAGCTTGTTGCATGCAAGGTCCCCAAAGCACATGAAGGGCTCAGGCACAATTATCCCGTGAACATGTCCAGTGAGGCTCGGCTGTCGGTCAACAAGGGGAGAACGACCAGGATTCCATGCGGGCCCCAGCAGTTCTCGCACGCGGATATAATCGGTGGGGGGAAGAATTCCACGTGGGAGACAAGGCCCTGGCTCACGGATGGGCCGGTCCTCTCCTCTTACCAGGCTGCATGACTGCAGGGGAAACCAGTAAATGCCGCCAACGATGGTCAGCAGCACGACATCGCTGATGCCACGCCTGGTTAGCGGTGGACCGTGGTCAAGGTGGAAGGCATGGATGGTTCCGACCCGGGGGCCCGATCTCATGGGATCGAGGCAAGACACTCTGGGAAAATGGGATGGGGGGAGAGTGGGTTCCGCTCACTTATCAGTAGTCGCTGTGATCGTGGTCGCGGTCGTCCACCTTATCGTCTCCGCTCCTCCCTCAACGCCTACCTCTATACTCGGTATTCTCTGGGGCGATGTCCGCTCTCGCCCCCGCCCCGCGGTGGTCGGAAGGCCCACCTGCTTGGTATCGCTGGCGATGTAGCAAGGGCATGGGTTCCCCGAAACTGGAAGAGTCAAAGGCTTGGCCGCTGTTAGATCAGTTGATGAGAGATAGCAGCCCAGACCTTCCTTTCCTATTCTGGTCTCCATCATGACCCTGACCCTAACCTGGAGAGCAACATCTTAAACTGCCCGGTCGTTCTGCGTTGGGAAATGGCGGCAAACGAGCTTAGGACTGATAGGCAAATGCTTGACGCTCGTGTGAAGAAGGGACCTGTAATGTCAGAAGTGCTTTGACATCATGACATTGACATGCTTGTGCTGCAAGATAAGGACCTGCAGGATGATCACTGTTGATTAGCGGACAGGCTGTTGGGCTAGAACGTCACCGGCCTGATAAGGGACTCGAAAAGAATCTCATTCGGCCGGCCACTGCCTCCTTGGACAGCTGTTGCTGCGCAATCTCGTGTCCCCACATGAATCGTGATACAGACGTACGAGCATGATTATTTGATCTTCCAGTCTCGCAAGAGCTCGGCAACAAAAGAGCCACGGCATGTTGGGATCGAGCATTGATGCTCCATCAGAAACAATTCAGGCTTGGTATATACAAATGCTGGGCGTTTTGCCCGAACGAAAACTTTTCAACAGCATGACCTGAAAAGTTCTTTTTTGGCAGCTCGACCAGAGGGACTAACGACCTACTCAAGGATCTCCCAAGGCGCGACCAAGGGTGTACAAAAGTAAGCAGGCGCGATGGCAGCTTCCATGGCATTTTCAGTTCCCCGGGGAAAGGATGCACTTGCTCTCCCCGAGAGTCCGAGACTGTTTGAGGCAGGATAGGCAGAGTGCTGAGCATGACAGAGATCGATGTGTTATGGTGCAAAGTTTGGCGACAGCCGAGGGACAGATCCAATGAGCTCACGTGCTCAGCATGTGACTGTGTGTCACGATTGGATGTAAGGCTGCAAAGATAAGGATGGAGCCGAACCAGGGTTTGATGGTCGCATGTCTGTGAAACGCATCAAGTGCCAGGGCGCCCGTGCTGTCCACGCCCACACGTGTCATGCAGCCAGCCGATTCGTGAAAGATAGCGGCGCCCATCGGCCTCTCGGGCCCGCTAGGAAGCCCCTTGCATGAGACCTGGAAATGGCCATTTTACCAGTGGCCCAACGTGGAAGCAAAGTTCAGCGGCTTGATTCCCACCAGTTCCACTATCGTGCAGAGATAAGGCTGCTTACTCTGATTGGCTCGACTCAATCTGCATCTTCTTTCAACGTCGATGAAATGAGTAAATTGACCATTCTCGAGATACACCACTGCCACTCTCCAGCAGAAACCCCGTGCGTACAAATCGGGCTTACTTGGCATTACGCGACATAAATCAACTCTGTGCGAACCTGTCCGAGTGTTGGAGTGACCCAAGCTCCCCGACAATTCAATTCCATGGCCGAGGAGGTAACAACGCCCGTTCTCAACGCTTTGGAGATCTTACCGTGCCGAGTACGGATCAGATGCTATGCTACTACTATGGACCGGTATGCATACAATTACTCCGCCTGCAAATCCTTCGTACCAGACGGGCCGAAACTCCAGGAGAAGCAAGCTTAAGCCAAATTCCATGCCAAGAACGGCTGTGCCCAGTAACAGTTTCATATTGCTCGCATGGAGCATGCGATATCGAGGTTTGCGCTTGCTTTTGTTGCTTGTCAATCGGTGTCCATGGGCGCCAAGAATTTAGCCGGGCTTGGCGGCTGCGGATGTGGAACCAGGAATGGGATATCCCAAGCTCCCAACTCAAAGCAAAACCAAAGCAATACCTTTGGATAACAAGAATAGGTCTATCATGTTCTTCCGACCCACTCACATATGCAGGAAAAAAGGCTCGGCATCATTCTCCTTTCGACAGAAACTCGTCTCTTATGCAATATCAATCCACATCTAAGGTTCACAACAGGGCGGCAAAGTGGGCCAATCTAACCCAGAGCACAGGCACCTTACACTCATTCCTCTCGCCTCTCGCCTCATGCCTCATGCCTCAAAAACCATTCTGGCACCGAATAATACCCCCCTGTATGAAGTACGTACCGATCGATTCCACCCTCGTCCCTCGCACCCGAACCCCAAACATCGACTGACATGCACTCCACTGATCCACGCCACCCCTGTTACCTGACCACAACCCAGACCCATGACACGACTCGAGATTCTTTGCTAACTACTCCTACCGAGTACTAGTTCACTATTTTCTTTTCCCCCAAAGCTCGATCCGCTGCTGACTATGACGATTCGTTCCGATTTCGCCCTGTCCAATTCCATCTCATTCACCTCGTAAACCTTTCAGCTCACTTTCCTTTTCTTTACGCCTTTTCCAAACTTAAGCGAGCGAAAAAAGGCCTTTGTTATACCTCCTCTCTCCCTGCGTTCCTCACCTCTTCCCACATCCTCGTTCGTTGTTCCCATTCTTCTTACCTAACAGGGACAGCTTTCCCTTTACACAATCCTCGATCGGGTGCATACTAGTACTTGGTACTCTATACGTTTACGCTCACGTGTGGCTTGGTCTACGCTGTCCTTCGGCTGCACAGGCGTTAATTACAACCCGCCCTGAAACAGTTGCGATTCTCCAGAACGACGACAACACTTAAGCACCAAAAATGTCGGAAATTTCCGATTACCTTCCCTCTTATGCCTCATACAACTGGACCGGCGCCCCAGCTGATTATACCCTGTCCACAAATGCAGATACTGGTGGTGATTCTAGTATGCATTTTGCCAAGTGGTGACAAGTAATATTCTAATGCCAAATCACAGATGTCGAAAACTTGAACAAATGGTACCAGTCGGGAGACACTGCCTACATTATTCTCTCATCATGTCTGGTCTTGATCATGGTGCCCGGTCTGGGATTTCTGTACTCTGGTCTTGCACGCAGAAAGTCCGCGTTGTCAATGATGTGGGCTTGTATGGCTGCCGGGAGTGTCATCAATTTTCAATGGTACTTCTGGGGTTACTCCCTGACCTTTTCTGCGACCGGTGAGAGTGGATTTATCGGCGATCTGAAGCACTTTGGCTTGAAGAATGTGCTCGGAAGTCCTAGTCCCGGTTCGCCGCTTGTTTCCAGCCTGCTCTACTCCTTCTACCAGGTATTTATGACTGTATTCAGTTTTGCGCCAAAATCCATCTGACTTATCTCACAGATGCAATTCTGTTGCGTTACTGCGGCAATCGTTGCAGGCGCTGTGGCTGAGCGAGGTAGATTGTTGCCCTTCCTTGTCTGGACATTCCTCTGGGCAACTCTCGTCTACAACCCGATCGCCTGCTGGGCTTGGAACGTGAACGGCTGGGGTTATAAATACGGTGTCATGGATTATGCCGGAGGTGGTCCTGTCGAAATCGGATCTGGTCTATCTGCATTGGCCTATTCGATGGTCCTTGGAAAGCGACAAGAGAAGATGATGCTCAATTTCCGCCCGCACAATGTCTCGTTCATCCTCCTCGGGACAGTGTTTCTATGGTTTGGCTGGCTTGGATTCAATGGTGGTTCCTCATTTGGTGCCAACTTGAGAGCTGTGATGGCTTGTTGGAATTCCAATTTGACTGCCACTTTTGCCGCGGCTACATGGGTTCTTCTGGACTTCAGACTCGCCCGAAAATGGTCCATGGTTGGTTGGTGCTCTGGCACGATCTCTGGACTAGTCGCAGCTACTCCAGCTTCAGGGTATCTCGACACTTGGGGAAGTGTTGCTTTGGGCGTTGCTACTGGAGTCATTTGCAATTTTTCTACCAAGAGTATGTTTGCGACCGTATCTGTGTATGTTTCGTTACTAACGAGTGGTTTTAGTCAAGTTCTGGATTAGAATCGACGATTCAATGGATGTGTTCGCTGAGCACGGCGTCGCCGGCATCGTTGGCTTGATTTTCAATGCTCTTCTTGGTGTCGATTATGTTGTCGGTCTGGACGGGGTCAACACCGGCGGCGAGAATCCTGAGACTGGCACAGGAATTGGAGGGTGGCCAATTGGCAACTACCGTCAGTTATACATTCAGGTTGCGTACATCGTCGCCTGCAGCGCATACGCATTCGCCGTCAGCGCAATTCTCGCCTACGCCGTCAATTTCATTCCTGGTCTTCACCTTCGCGCATCCGAAGAGGCAGAACTCCTGGGCATGGATGATGATCAACTAGGCGAATTTGCGTACGATTACGTCGAGGTTCGGCGCGATTACCTCGCATGGACACCTTCGAGCAAAGATCAACATGGCCTTGATCCAGATATGCCTCAAGAGCACCGCCATGGCATTGAAGAGCATTCAAGGCTGATCAAGAGCAGTAATGATGCCAGCTCCAGTTCGAACAATGCCGAACCTAGCCCTCAAGCACCGGGTGTTCGCCACGCCGAAGCCGCCGAGGACCAGGAAAAGACTCCGCATGCAACAACGCAATAAAGGATTTAGCCACATGGATATTGGTGCGAAACCGCCAACTTGTCTATCTCATTGTGCCTTCCTTGGGTTTGGAGGCCGGTGTGAAAGCTGTTGATGTGTTTTGAGGCAGTCAAAATCAAAGTGTACGGGCCTGAGCCAAGGCAATCACTGAATACCTTTCCTGTATACCCAAACTCTTGTTGTTTTACCTTGCGGAGCGTTGCTATTGGGGTGCTGGACCAGCGAAGACATATCTGATATACACCTGCAATTTTTCCTTTTGAAACCACTCCCTGCGGAGGGGCGCCCGATGAACTTTTCATCCCTTTTCAAGAATATGCAATACGTACCGACGCGTTTATTTCCAACTAGAAGTGACTACCTGATCTCGTTGCGCTCTACAGCCCCAGACACACATGGTTCCAGCAGCTGAAGGCTCATCACAGCTCGATCACTGAAACCGACGACGCTACTTGATCATCCGGCCGTGGTTAGGGTCACGATATACCGTGCCTGCATCACCGAAATATAAACGCAGCTGAAACAAGGACCTGCATGCGGGCATGGATCTGACTATGCTTGCTACCGAGCTCTAGCTGCTGCCCGGACACATGAGACAGTCCAATGACAAGGAAGCATGGAATGACCGCGTGATGGATCGTAATATCTTCACATGTCTGCTAATTACGTGTTACACAGCAAGCGAGGAGGGAAACATCATGTGCACAGATGATCAAAAAAAGAAAAGGAAAGCCTGGTTCGGGTCGTGATCATACGAGCTGAGCAATTCAAATTTTGGATCCTGTTGCTTGCTTCTGCCGATTGCCGATTGCCATTTCGAGCGCTTTTCTCTTATCTTTGGACTGTTGACCTTTTCGGGTGATATACCTACAAGTACTCGTACCGTTGCCCTTGGCTCGCCTAGCTTTTACGTGATAGGAGAACTTGTGGCTCAGCTTGCGGTGCCGTTAGCTTCACACCCCTACCTCGAAGATAGGGGCGCGAATCCTTTATCTGTAAGGGCCCCTTATGAGGCATCATCGGCCTGACAGTGCAGCCATCTTGCCAAATCTGCCGAGAATTATTTGGACGTAAATTACCTCTCCGGAGGGCAGCTGGTAAAGAGCTAAATGAGTACTCTCTTTTTTCACCCTTCCCCCCATTCTCAACCGACAAAAGCAACGGGAATCTATTTCCGTGGGTCTCTGATTTCCTACTTCGGAGCCCTCTCCTCCCCTTTACTTCTTGGGCGGCAATGACCAGCCCTTGACCTTGAAATCCTTGACAAGTGACGACAAAGCATCTGCGTGATTGAGCAGTCGTCTGACTCGCTGTTCTATACGTTCCATACGAAGTACCTATCGGTCTGTCCTCGATCAGTACACAGCAAGTGATGCAGGGCATCATATGCGTATGCATGAAGCAAGCGTTTGAGACGGCCTCACTAACCTGGGTCATCACTTCAAACTCCTGATAATGTAGTCGGAAAAGAATGACAAAGTGAGACAACCGGGCTCGGAAGCAAGGTCGGCAGACAGCGAGATCGACCCGAAGAATGAAGTCTCGAACTACGGCTACAAGAATCATCGGTCCTTGCATCGTCGGTCAATGGCTGGGGACCCTGTGCCAATAAATTGCGTTGGAGTGGGTGGCTCTCTGTCTCTGTTTGGATCAGAAATTCATCCGCATTCAGCAAGCAACGAGACGGAATTGGTTAGCGTCCCTCGGGTGGCGTTCTACCTTGTTTTTTTCGGCGCCAAGCCACAGCCTTACAGAGCTCAGCCTTGCTGCACCCTACCTCAAAAACGCGTGCAGATGAATCAGGCTTACACTCATGGCGGCGAGGGATTAATAGACATACAAAGATTCTCATCCTCATTCAGAGAAGGCTTTGGGAATCACGCTTGTTTGTTGCTGCAGTTGTACGACCCTCTGCCGCCGTGGTGCCTGGCGTTATTGGGCATGGGTCATGGTGAGGATGCCGCATGCATGCGAGATCGATGGCGCGAATGCAACCAAAGATAGGAAGCGCTGGAATGTCTTGGACGTGTATGCACTGTTTTTCCCAGTGCATTGATTGCTGCCATTGTGAGTAGTCGTCTATAGTTGACTTCTATGCATAGCACCCCGTGACTTGCCACCGTTGGAATTCTGGAGGATCTACATGACTCGACGGCGGAAACTTTGTTCTTGCAAGCAAGCTTTTTCCGAGGTCCTCAGTGTGATGCCTATGACATGACAACGGCTGCCGCTTATTTGACGCTTGGTAGAAAACACATGGGATCGCGTCCGAGATTCCTCCTCGAGACTCCTCAAACTAAGAATAAAATCTTGGGCGAGCCGCGAGCCCGTAAAGCACGAGTGCAGCAACGCGGAGGCAGGTTGTCAAATTGGCAAACTCATGGAGAACCGGGAGCCCTTGGCCAGCTAGAAGCACAATCAATGATGGCGGGACAGGGGACAGAGGGTCAGAGCCTGTATCTTTGACACATCAAGGAAGAAATTCGACATTGGATCAAGAGGAAGAAGCGGCCGACGGATCCAAAGCCTCCCAGAGAAGCCTAGGCGACATTCGAAAGCAGCATGAGGTGACGAAATTGACCATTAATATTCGTACGCCAAGTTTGAAAGATGATGGGTATGACAATGAGATTAAGGATGTTACATTTCATAGCCGACCACTAAAGGGGGAGGGAGGTCCCCTCTCTCGTTGGCAGTCCCTCTGTGAGCTCTTATCCTCCGAGATCCAAAGTGTTTGCTAGCTTCTACAGCAGCTTTGTGTTGATGATTTCAAGAGAGAATGCAAGGGATTGAAAGCGAATATCTTCCTTGGTGTGGATCGGAAGGTCATTCATTAAGCAGGCGGATAGCTTCAAACAGTCAAAATCGATTGGTTGCTACCTTTCCTGGAGTCGAAAGGGAAGAGGTATTCTAAGAACCAATCTTGAATGAGGCCAGGGATGGGTATCCATGCAAAGGACCCCGAAGTTCCACGAAGAGGACCCACCGCAGTCGAAAACGCTGTGAATAATAAATCCTCCGCGCCCCGTTACTTGATCAAAGGTTTGCCCTTTTTCTTCATCAACTAAAACTAGGTGCTCACCAAGGTTTGACCCTGCCATAATACTCGATGCTAACCAATATGTGAAAGTACCATGAGACCTCGCTGCTTGGGGTCGCCATCGGAAAGCCAGGTGGGCAGATACGCGAGCCGCGGGCCACGGCATCGACGGACTCTGTAAGACGTATGTCTCGCCGTCTTCCTACTACCATGCATTTACCCCAGCCCTAGTTCTTGAGGTTGTCCTTGATCATCGCCGGGGAAGTTATAAACTAAGCGCCTAAATTCCGTTATGCCGTTGCCCCTGGCGGAGACTAACTGCGCAACTGTCCTCCGTTCGGGGGCCCGAGCATTCTGTGCTAAGACTTCGAGATACGAGGTAATGCGTACTCTAGAGGGGAGAGGACGAGCAAGTTTGCATTGCAGAAGCCACTCTCGGCCCGAAAGATCCCTTTTGGCCATTTTTGTTCTGTACCAAAATTAATGCCTCATCCCTTGGAAGGATGGGGCGTCTTCGCTAGGAGGTAGAAACCAGGTTCTCGCTACCAGTAGGACGGAGGAACCGAGTGAAAAGCACTAAGGCTGGGGCGAGAACGAACTCCAGGTTCCCCGCCGATTACAGCCTGTTGGAACGATTCCATCTGGTGGGGCTCAATCACATGCGAAGTATTAGCGTGCCTTGGGTACCTGGGAAGCCCTGTTTCAGGCTCGATGAGCCAAGATCCTAAGCGACAATCTGCACGACTAACCACTAGGCACTTCACTAAAGTCTCGCTTTGTACGTGATGGACCTGCTGTGGCTGGTTTTGCGAGGTACATATCCTCTCAGGGGGATAAGGAAGTCGATGATGAGAACCAAGTGTGAGTTCGAGGCCAAGTGTACCGTAGTACGGAGTACGGGAGGGTGTGCATGTCTGAGAACTGCGTGGAGGGTTTGTTGAAAACACTTGAACAGTTGCCTAGGAGTCTGTCTGCGCGACATTTATAAGAATCGTTTTGCCATTGCTATATACCGAGTACGAGTAGTGCATTCAATCATCCAAGTAATGTACCTGTGCACACCTCCGCGATCGGCGTCATAAACAAAACACAGGCTGGGGGTCTGCTGGAGTTTGCAATAGTGTTATACATGTCAGTCTGAGACAGTCTGGTATGAGTTTTAGTTTAGCTGTCTTGGCTCGAGACCTCTGTGATTCTCTGCCTGGCATCACCTTTGTCGACTTGAGTGATGTCAACTGTGACCAGTATTCCCTTGGTGCTTTCGTTTTCTCCTCCAGCATCAGCAGGTCTTGGGCTGATCGTTCTTTCAGCATACCCACGCGCTTGGTAATGGTCGTCGCTGCCGCCAAATGCTTTATCGCCCAGTTCAATATCATCTCCTTTGCCACTTCGTCTTACTCTTGTACGGGACATCTGGTTGCTGGCTGATGCTAGACGATAAGTATCTTCAGGGGGTTGGTAACTGCTATTTTGCTTGGTGTTGCGGAGGAGGGTGTACATTGTAGGGACCTGAGCAACAATCGATGCAAAGAGCGTTTCGACACTACCCCATACCGTTCGACTTAGCTGAGTGCGTGCATTAGGAACGCCTTGAACGATTCGGACCACGCTGACAGCAACAAGGAATACGCCGATGCTAAATAGAGAACACAATTGTGTTTTCCTGGTGATCAATCGATGTCAGTAGAGGAACAATTACAACTGGGACGGCAAGTGCTTACTTTTTCCAGTGGACCTTTGCTGCAAATAGGACAGGGAAGGGGAAAATGAGTAGCATGATATCTGTGATCAGATTTCCAACCTCTTGATGCAGTTAGCTCTGTGACAAGTCAGCCATCGAACAGGAGAACTTACCATAGGTGATTAGCCATGCGTTGCCGTTGACACTGTACAGGGAGTCAGCTTTGTCCTCGCCGGGATGATCCATGGGCAAAGAGACTAACCATTTCCCGGGATCAGGATATATTTGCCAGTACAAGTAAAATGGCCTGCATTCCAGTAACACTGCAAGTTGACCAGCAAGGTATGTCACAGCGAATACGCCCCAGAAGGAGTATCTGATGAGGTCTTCCTTGGGTGTCTTACTGATGAGCCGTCGACAAAGATCTAGGACCACCATTTTAAGAGACCACAGCCTAAGACAAGTTCATCAGCGCCGGAAAGATTTGAATTTGGAGGCTAGTACTCACAGTGTAGTGACTGTCAACCGGTTGACGAGATTGAGTTTACTATTTAGAATGACTCTGTCGTGCACGTCTGGCGCTAGGAGGCCTGGAGGACGCAGGTTGGCCTTGATGGCTGATGAAAATCGCGATGAGTCAGTAATCTTGATCGATATCAGACAGGCTTTGAAAATTCTTACTAGTGGTTGTACCACCTGCTAAAATGATATCGTTCAGGGTTGCTCGCAAGGCAATCGCAACGAGTGCCAGCATGGTCCAGTAATCCCCAGCTGTGAAAGCCTGGCGACGGACCTTCCGAAGCACCACGCGAGAGGTACAAAGACCCAACGCGATGCCATGGCATATCCATAAGGCCTTTGTGTCGGTGGAAGACATTCCGCTCACTGGATTTGGAGTATAAAAGGTGAACGTCGACTTCAGTAACAAGTAGGACTGGGGAAGGAATATATGCTTGGTGGACCTGGTCCATCCCCAGACCATTGACGACCTATGCAAATGGGTGGCAACTGGTACGAAGTACTTCGTATCTGTCCCAGGAACCCAAACTCCTGGTGAATCATCGTCCTTAGCCCAGAGGTAAGCCGTGTCCCGAAAAGAAAGCTAAGGTGGTCTATCGTGGACGGCCTGCTTGACATTCTCGCTAGATCTCCCACATCCTGGCTTAAAGCCACGAATGCGGCAAGGTGTCTTGAGAAGAGAAAACGTGGACAGAGGGGCCAAGAGGCAGATGCATGAGAAACTCGCATTCTGGTGCACTCTGGATGCGCAACGGGTCAGAGACCAGGAAATTTGGACTCGTTTGGTGAAGCTGTGGCTCGAACCTATTTCAATTGGAAGATCAGCCTTCTTTTCTGACGGGGAAATAACCATAGGTCTTCCCCGGTGGGTTTCGGTCATGGGGCAGTAAACGCTAGTTAGGCTTGAGCATATAGAGCCCGTGCCTTAGCTTCCCTAAGGCTCGTTAGGCTCTGAGGTTCTTCAAGTCCTTGAGTGTGTTAGGCTCCTAGCCTGCCCATGCCAATGCCAATCACTCGCCTTTAACCTTTTCGACACATGTCTGCAGGCTCCGGGTGCCCCGCGGACCTAACCGTCCTGCATCGCAGTGCCCAGACTCCATGTCCTGGTGGTGGCACTGGTGGGTGCTAGGGATCATCTTCAGCGTGCTATCTCAGCTTCAAGAAAAGTCAAACCTGCGTTTCTCCCGTGCATCGGAGCAGGTGGTTGGTTATACAGCAACGCATGGCTCGTGTTCTAGGCACCCACTGGGGATGTGGCTGAAAGGCTTCGAGTCGGTGACCCGACGACCTCTTCTTGACGTCGAATTTCAGGAGTCAGGGTCTTGGGTGGTCTGATTTCAATTTCGGGGTTGTAAATCTGGTAAGCCGCCAAGACAGGAGCTACTTGACCAAGCGGCATGAAAGCAACTCGGCATGGGAAAAGGCCGTTTCATCGAGAAGAAAGTGGAAGGCAAGTTGGCAACGTCTTGATCTTGAGGTGAAGATCGTGTACCTGGGAAATGTGCCTGCCGCCCAGGTTAACTGCCCAGGGGATCTTGGCCCGGATGATTAGCCTGAATTCGGCAAGGCTGAAAAAACCACCGCTGGCCCCTGAATTGCGGTTGCCGCCTATGAGCTTCTACTTCGACAATCCGTGACCGCTTTCGCATTCCAACGCCATCCCTGCAGGAAATCTGGAGCCATGGAAATGAGGAGTCTCAAGAAAAGTATGCTCAACTCTTCTAACATATTCTCTAACTTCAGGGCACACCATCCACAACACTCCCGATGGCATTGCATGACAAACATTCAAACAAGGGCAGCATGAATGGATCACTAGACTCGTGTGCTCATCCCTAAGAGGGACCTGTATAATGTAACCCTTCATCAGTGTTACAAAGCTGTCACTGTTCTATGTTTACTTCGGCACGACTTTCCTTGCTGCAGGCATGGGTGAGTGTCATTTCCAGACCACGTGAACGCTAAAAGCATAATGCACCCCCGTCAACTCTAAGTTCTGCTCCAGTGATATACCGGCCGGCACGTTGGCTGCTGAGAAGCACGACAGAACCTGTGATTTCCTCCGGATCACCCATCCGCCCCATTGGGCAACGGCTTGCCCAGACGTCCCTGACAGGCTTCAGAGCATCTCCCGCATTGAGCACTGTGTCCATGTATCCTGGCGATAGACAGTTGACTCTGATGCCATATACCGCCCATTCCGCTGCGAGGTTGTGAGTCAAGTGGGCCACACCGGCCTTGCTGACGTTGTAGGCAGCTTGAGGTTGTGGGTAGTTCGTGGAATGGGCCGAGATAGAAGCCGTGAACAGGATGGACCCACCAGTCTTGGAATCAATCATGTGCTTAGCTGCCGCTTGAGCACATAGAAATGACCCTGTGAGGTTGATGTCGACGACTTTGCGGAACTGGCTTGCAGAGGCCGATATCGAGTGGACGCAACCGACCACGCCGGCAAAACAGCAGAGGATGTCGATCGAACCCATGAGTGCCATGGCATGGTTAAATGCTCTCTCAACCTCCGGTTCGGAAGTGACATCGACATGGACGACGTGAATACTAGCCTGTGGGAATGCGACTTTGAGGTTGGATATGGTCGACGCCGAGTTGTCGATGGTAGACTGCAAGTCCATGAGGGTCAACGATGAAAGACCATGTTCAAGAAGCGCGTGGGCAGATGCCAGTGCCAGTGTACCGGCCCCACCGGTGAACACCGCGGCTCCTTGAATCTGAAATCGAGCGGCTGCCCTCTCTGTTGCAGATTTTGATTCGACTGGTGGTAAGGGGGCAGTGAGTGGACTGCTCGCAGTTGATAAGGTCATTGTGGGAATGACGCGCGAGGTGAGGGAGGCGCGTTCATCTTGGGCGGCTAACGGCGCGGCAGGAGTTGACGTGGCGTCTCCCATGGTGAGTTGAAACTAAAGTCTCCTATGCCCTGTTTGAAATCTTGATATTGTAGACGAGCTGCAATTGCGAGTCTTTATCAATGGAGATTGGCAGTCAAGGCAACGGATGACTTATGTGGTGAAGGAGAATCTGAAAAACAAACCTTAATAGCAACATGTGTCAGTCATGAAAAGCGACAAACACTCAATGAAAATTCGTGTGATGAGGCCAACAATGTTACTCTGGGAAATATGGATATATCCAAAGCGATGCCCGTTGATCAGACTGTCCAACCTATAATAATTAAGGGAAATCGGACCGCCCCCTTTAGAACAAGTGGGTGGCCAATATAACGGTCTGACAGTATAATATTGCGCGATCCAAGAGATGTTTCAGGCGATAAATAGCTGGGTCAGACCCAAAATAACCCCACAGTCATGGCGACGCGGCGAAAGAAAGCCCGATCGCCGCCGTATGTAACTTTTTACTGCCCGCACTCCAACTCCATCATAATTTTTCCTTGCCTCGCCTCGCCTCTGCAGAAAGAAACAAACGCATCCCCAGAGTCTGAGTACCCGATGTGTTGTTGAGACATTTACAGTCGCAACCGCATCACCATGTCTTCAGTGAACCAGCCACGCGCACAGGCTGTCGTCACTCAACCAGGAACGCCATCGGCATTACCCACCAATCTCACCTCGCAGATCGATCTTCTCACGTCTCTTCACCTGTGGGCCTGGCCTGCATTGACGCTCGCGATCCAGAATTCCTGGGGTGGCTCGTCTCAAGTCTCTCACGACAAGCGAGACTGGTTCGCTGGGGCCGTCTCAGAGCTCCTGACCTCCAATCCACCGCAACTCGCCGATGTCTCCGACCTCGAGGAAGTCCTGCTACAAGTCATGGTCGACGAGTTCGAGGTGGTCGTTGACGACGGGAGTGCTGAAGAGACGGCGCGCGAGATCTGGGCGGGGGCTACCAAGCTACATGCTGGAGACCTGTCCGAGCTGACTGCACTGTACGCCAAGTGGCAGGAGAGGCAGAACAAAATAGGCGGGAAAGAGGTCGTTTCGGGGATCGTGCGCGGCGAGGACAAAGACGCGGACGACACGGATTGGGACGATAGCGACGAGGATGAGGAAGAGTGGAACGGATTCTCCGATCGACCGGCGAATGGTGATGTTGACATGGACGAAGCCCCGCCGCTGGTCGACGCTGGGAAACTGAAGCAAAAGGCCGAACCTGAAGTCGACGAAGAAGGCTTCACCAAAGTTGTTAGCAAGAAGAAAAGATGAGGATGTTTCAGTTGCATGTGAAGCTACATCATCAACTATGACTCCGCGCGTTTCTCTGCCGGATACGTTGACTGAAGAGGGGGACTCTCAACGTCTAACCCGGCAAATGGATGCTGCCATCTGCGAAGCAGGGAAGGTATCAGTTAAAGCGGAACTTCTCTCTGTCCGTCACTCTGTCCGTCACTCTGCTTCGTCCAAAGTGAGCTCTTCGTTTTCCTCCTTTCTATGCCGAATCCAATCTGGCGGCACATCACCTTGATCCTGGATATTGTGAGCGGTGCCTGGCTTATATTCCGCCGCGGAATCGTACCGGCAGTTCTGATATCTCGCGCTGAATGTGGCCGGACCATGCATGGCCCGACTTGAGTCTCAAGCTCGATCCGACTCGATAGCCTCTTTCTGCGGGGGAGACAGAGAAAGGGGGTCCCGATGTACGAAGCTAGCAGCCAGGCGGGGGATAAACAGAGCAACATCGTCGCCAGATCGTTCCACCGCCATGACCTCATCTCATCGCCAGGGACTGTCGCGAGGATCAACTGGCGATTTCCGTACGATGGTAAATAGCAAATGACAGACCAGGCCATTCTCGCTCGATATGCTCGTTGGTCACCTCAGGGAAATACGCCATTGCATGATCAGGCAGGTTCCCAGAAGGACTTTTTGAAACATCGTCCCGGTAAACAAGAGATGACCAGTAATTGCAGCATGTTTGTACCAGCGCCATATCTCAGCACGTCAGACGGTGTATCTATATATTCCGCCTATCAACAGAACGATAGAGAATGCAAGCGCCAATACTGGGACTGGGTAAAAAGGTCACGTTGGTGTCATAATCAAACAGCCTTCATCCCATCCATCTACCTACTTAGCTAGTGACTGTTTTCGTAACTTCCTAAATGTACGGCCCTTTTCATAGAGCCAGGGGGAGTGGGTTCCTCGTCACACTAAAAAACCCTGACCATTGCATCACCCGAGCCAGTGGTCATGATCATTTGCATGATTTTGTTAATGGGAAGTTTCAATCCATTCCCAACCGGCTCCTGATCCTAGTTTATGGGACACCAAAATAACCTACATAAGTCCGCGACTTGACCATTGTTATCTATCGTTGGGTACCCGAGAATTCTTGCAGGAATCGTCCCCGGTTTCTGCGTCTACAAATTGCTCCCCGGCAGTTGTTGCAACACTTTGCCGGTTGTTCGACGCCGTGGAGTTGTAAAACTCCTCGCTCTGTCTCGACATGTTACTTGCTGTCTCGACAGCATCTTCGTCTGGGATTGTGTCAGGTCGTTCTTTGCTATCGTCGCCCTGGACGACCTTTCTCAACTTCATCCTCTCCTCGCTTGCGACCGATTGCCAGTCCGACGACATTGTGATCACGCTCGCTTTTTTCCCGTGCAAGATGAAACTTCCGGTGCCTCGCTTTAGTTCATCTGACTCGGTATTAACTGAATGGCTACCATCTTCTGTAGGAGCGATACTTGAACCGGAATCTCTACCTTTCTTATGGCGATGGATACTCGGCGAGTGGTGATGTACTCCATGTGGTAAATGCCCCTCCCGTAAACTTCGATGAAGGCGTCTGACACTGCCACCCTTTGGAACTTCTGGTGACGGTGCCGCGCCTATTTGGTCTCGATCAGACTCACTCGTCCCGGGTCGCCGCTCTTTTGGAACGTTACCATCAATACCAATCAACCCTGCCTCACGAAGGATCAGTTGCTCAGCTTCATCGTTCGTTCTCGCATGTCGACTGTTCTCACGACTGTGAAGAGAGCTAACGATGGAGGTTTGACGAACCACTGATCTGGGATCTTGGGTACTACCTAGCGTTGACTGTAGTTCTCCGGAAGTGGAAGCACTGCCAGCAGCGTGGAGGTCTAGTGCGTTAATTGGGCCCGTTCGGCCTTCTCCAGTTTCTCCAGTCTTTGATTTCTCAAGCAGATATGATGGTCGTGACGATGTCGCACTTATTGGCGAAAGCGTCAAATGGCTAGCATCAGTCACTGTTCTACCCAACGTCTGCCCAGTCTTAAGCGGGGTTGTCTTCTGGGGAGTTGATGTGGCTGAGGTCCGCGGAGCTGGGAAGGCCGTCACGTCTTCTTGATCAAGATCTTTGCTCAAAATATCACGGTGTGTTCGCGTTCGCCAAAGCTCAATTCTGGTCCATTTCAGCTTGGCTGACATGCGGCCCGCTCCGAGGACAAGACCTTCACGAGTCTTCTGCTGTATTGGAAGGAGGATGAGCAGATGTCGAGCGTTTCGTAACAAATGATCGAGTTCTTTCTGAGCCACGGCGATCTTTTCATCAAAGTCGCTGATCTTTTCGTTGATCAGCTGTCGTCGATAGAACATGATTTCCCACGCCATCTGAGGATCAGGTCTTCTCTCTCGCTGGATGGTCTCACCACTCTTTGTGGAGATGTCGGAATTTTTGCGAAGAAGATGCCGTGGCTCGTAGGCAGATCCCAGAGCGCCACGCATCCTCACTCCAGCTGTCCGAAAAGTGGCAGAATAGTTCAATTTGGCTATCCAGTCATTCATTTCTTGTTCACTGTTGGCCAGAAACACCTCTTCGAACCCACCGTGTTTGATGAAGACAAAAGCGTTCTTGTGTTTCTTATAACTGGAATCCATGAGGGTGACAGAATCGTCCATCGACATCAATGCATCAGGGTCAAACGAGGGCAATGGCGGTTTGAATACCAACGAATTGGCTTTGGCGGTAGATTTGATGTGACTGTCATACTGTCCAATTAGCTTCTTGACCCATCCAACATCTTTGAAGAAGTAAAGCTTCGAATCGGTGAGAATGGCTCCCCATTCCTGCCAAGGTCGCTTTGCTTTTTTCTTCTTTGGATCTTTACGCCACAGCAAGCCGACTTTGGCGACTTTGATGCTGACAATTCCAGCCTGAGCTTCACCTGGATTGCTGATTGTAGCTTGCGACAGAAATGCGTCCGGCCTAGACCGAGCAGATACAATCTGCAGAACCGCCGAATTGGAAAATGCCCTGGCAACTTCAGTGGTGTCAAAAGCTCCCAAAGTTCCTGTAGAGCTATAGTGGTCCTCAGTATCCATGACATCTTTCAGTGAAGGCCGCAGGACGTCCAATCTATTGTCCAAGATGAGCGTGTATGGATCAACGGGTCCACTAAAACTCTCGATGCTCCTCGTCTTGATAAGACTCTTCTTCGGTTTCGGAGCTGCCAAGCGATGACTGTTGATAGCAACCTCATCCTCAAAATGAATAAATGGAGTGTAGCAAATGTTGTCAAAGAAGCATTCTAGGATGTCGCCTGAAATTTGCACTTGACCCTGTTGAGTATTCTTGACATAGTCGTGTTTTTGCATCTTTCGTTTGTTGTTCTTATTGTGAGCGTCGGAATGCAATAGAAGAATGGAGAAGGCTATATACGACGCCTCATCGGTCGATGCTAAGATGCCGGGATTGCATTCATAATACCGATCTGCAAACCCTGCAAGTAACCGATCAATCTGCTGCGTTTCTTTTGGTAGCTCCACCTCCATCAACATCTTGCGAATAGCCATGTCAATGGAATCCCCAAAATAAGAGAATCCACGCATATACTTACGCAAGCAAGTCTTGCAGAAATCATCCGCGCTTTTACACAGGATAGTTGCCATGGAACCTCTCGGTACGGCAGCCTCGAGTTTTTCTAAATAACTTGCAGGAGTATCACCATCCTCTCGTTTAGGGTACTCTCGCTCGGGTTCTGGCTCTCGAGGAATTTGCAAGGAGTTGGCTTTCGAGCCTGGAGTACTCGGACTCGCACCGTTACCATGGCGTGCTGGAGGTGCGGAGTTTTGTCGTAAGCGATGAGGTAAAGACAGCAAATCCCCAAAGCTTCGTCTCCCGGTTGTCGAGGTAGATGTTCTGGCCGAGCCTGTAGATTGCGGCACAGGGTCAAGCAACTTCTCGGCTGACCTCCCAAGAGAGCTCATGGTAGATGATCGTCCCCTCGCACCAAGTCGGGGTGGAATTAGAGTCACCGAAGGTGTTGATTGGCCAGAATGATTGGACCAGGTCGAGTCCTGACGCACAACAGTAGGTCCAGGGGAGCCGAAGGGAGCGTTCGTGAGCGCGGTTGCAGAGTGGGTGGGTGACGGTTCAGCAGAGTCTTGCCTGCTCGGCTCTGTATCGAATCTGATGGCGGCCCCAGATCTCCTACTCGGAGACATAGATTTTCTTCCGGACGCACGCTCTTGAGGGGTGTGGGAGGTGCTTGTCCGGGCTGAAGCTGGATGAGGAAACTTCTCTGGCAAGGGAAATAGCGGGCCCTTGTCCTTCTTCCGTCTCTTCAACTTGAAGAATGTGGTGGTGGTAGAGATTGTGTGGGTGGTGGTGGTTTTTGCGTAAACGTGATGCTCGCCGGAGCTATCGTCTGAGCGTGAAGAATCAGACAACCGTGTGACAGGTAATGCTAGTGATGAAGAGGATTCGTCGCCATAGGCAGGCGGTGCAACTATGCCATGAACTAGCTTGTTCCGCGGTAGGCGTTCAAAGGAAGTGTTTTCGCGCAGCACATTGGACAAGGCCGATCCGTTTCCACGAGATATACGCCCCTCCATCGCAGGCTCAGTCGTTTCTTCTCTGATAACCTGAGTCTTCCTGAAAGGGCTTGAGGCACGAGCGAATAGTTTTCGCTTCGCGGGCTTTGGGATTGCGGCGTCGAGTTCACTTGTAGTAGGTGCGGTGGTGATGATTTTAGGTGCTATAGTAGTCAGTATGAGGCACAGTTCATTTTCCAAAGTTCAGCAACTTACGGGCGGGATTGTTATTGCTAGAAGCGGTGGATTCCTCATTTCTAAACCTGGTCGAGAGCTGCGGATCTGAGGCATGTCTGAAACCCAGAATGGAAAACCTTTTGGGATTTGGTAAAGGAAGAGGTAGGGAATCTTCGGCTATACTTGAGAGGTTCTCTTGTCCTTGATGTGTTTGGGAGGTGACACGAGTAACAGGAGGTTCGGAGGGAGTATCGCTTGTCTCATGAGAAGTAGATTTCCGCTCAGGCTGCATGGGCTCTGGTGTATTGGACAAGTCTTCAGGTTCGTCGGCCATGAAGGGCGAAAAGATATCGTCATTCGTACGATATAAACCTAGGCTCAGCCTCTTTATTGAACTCTGCCGTGCATGGCCAGAGGATATTGAGCCTTGTGGACTTTTCGGAGTCTGGCTAATGACACTACTGTGCCGGCGATGACGGATTTCTTGGGTGGGATTGGACAGAAAGGCCTTCAAGGCCATGGCTGGATGGTTGAGAAGAGGGCAGGCTAGCTCATTGCGAAGCGAGCAGTCATTTGTGAGGACGACAAACTTCTCACAAAGAGGGTTGATTGAGGAAGCGGAGAGTCGTCGTAATGTCTCACTCAGCAGAACCGGCTGCGAGGAGTCGACATTTACAGACAGAGAAGGGACCAATAGAGGACATTGAAGCGAGTGTGGGAGTGAAGGATAAATTGAGACCGTAAGAGTCAAACGAGTTATGCGCAAGGCTGCTCGACAACTCTACAATATTCAATAATACAATGGTGGTTATCGATGTATCGTAGGCAGAGTGAATGCACAAGTGGGAAGTGCGCACCCATAGGTTGGAGGCAGGTACTCCGTATCGCACGGAGTAGAGGAGCGAACCAGAAGAGGCCGGAGGGAGCCCAAGCAAACGGAAGGGCGGGTTTTGCGGGCTGGACTTGTGGCTCTTTAGGCTAGCCTAACTTCCCTCTAGCTTTAACCAAATCCAGGACCATCGTTGCGGTTGCTGAGCAGATATGCACTGAGGAACGAGGTCCCCTGGGATCGCTGGAGCCGAGAAGGCCCCAAGTTCTAACTCAATGTCTACGAATACATAGTTAATGGGTAAGGGATGTTCGGGGTTTCCGGTTCCACGCCCAGGTAGCGGCATCGCCACGTGCCTTGCAACCTCGACCATTGCACCCTCTCGCTTTACAATAGGCTTTCTGCTCCCGCTCCAATTGCCCAACTCCTAGGGTACTTTGAAGGCCCCTGGGCCCTGAGGGCATCCGGCAGCACTTCTTGCGCGTTGGCGAACTCATCATGCTGTCCACATCCGCCTTGCCTTATAGGGCCGAAGTGGCTTTCGGATATATAAGCATAAAGCTCCGCTCGAATAAAAGCTCAGCACAAATAAAGTCCTCGTGTCGGTGCTAATATTCATGGGGAATGATGACGAATTAGAGCATCACTCATTCTTGCTGTTCTTTCTAAGTGGTCTCATGATTTCGAGGCTATACATGATTTCTGGGTCTGAATTAATATAAATGCTATCTCAAATTACGCTCTCATGACATTGAAAAAGACCACCCACGCAATTCTAAGTGCAGAAAGAAGCCGCCGCTACATGCATCATTGCGCTCATCTAGTCCTGTAGTTCTCGTGTGGTGGAGTTTCCCGGTCTGATTCTATTGGTACATCGACTGCTGTTGGTACGAAGTTGAATATTGATGCTGAGTTGGCCACGGTTGATATGGTTGCGTTGACATGCTAGGAGGCATGCCCCAAACAGAGCCTGCTGAATTTGTCCATTGACCACTCTGTCGTGGATCCGTCATCGGGTTGTAGACTTGATTCTGTTGATATCCATATGTACGATCGGCTGCTTGCCGTTGCGCTATTGCTTCCTGCACCATGTGCCCGGCCAGACCTTCCTTGATATTCCTCCGTTCCTGCTCACGCGCCTCGATAGCCCCGATCAATCCGATTGAGGGGTCTGGAGTGCGACTCCTCTCGGTTATATTGAGTAGAGGGCCTCCTGTCATCCTGGCAACGTGTTCTTGTTCTCGTGCCGACATGTGGCTCGAATACTCAACGAGGAGAGAATTTCTCGAACTAGGCCGACCGCCGGTGTCTCTCCTTTTCTGTAGCTTATTCGGAGATTGCTCAACTTTGCTGTATGAGACGCTTCGATGAGGAACATATCCACCAGGAAGCCTTGCGGCTACCGCACGTTGCTGAACAAACTCCTCCGCAGTTAGTCCGCCGCCGGGACTTTGTCGTCCTATTGTTGCTCCTGCGTGCCACACCTGGCTATTCGAGCGGCCATGGGGTGCCGAAGGACTGGATCTGTCGATAAAGGATGCCCTTTTTTCGTCTGTTGGAGTCCAACGATCACGAGGGGATTTGGTCAGTGGAGTAGTGGGCGCTGTCTGAGGTTGATCTACCGGCGAATGCCCTCCTAGACCACCGCCCGTTGGAGGGCGACTGTGCCCTGGGGTCAGCATAGGCGTGAATGTTGTGCCGAAATCGACAAGTGGTATATCCACTTTGGGCGACTCCGTTGCATTGGCGTTCCCAAGATTTGGATCGCCTACTGTCCGTAGCACCCCGGTTCGCCTTCTCTCGGGTAGAATAGTGGGATTGATATCCTCAGGCGGGCTATCATAGTCGGGTGACCCACTTGACGAGACCGAATATCGAGACATGCTGTCGGGAGACTGATTTGAAACTGGTACAGGGAGAAAAGGACTCGAGGTTGGGACAGGCTTGCGAGTAATAGGCTTCCGTGGGATCAGGGCAACGTTCGAATTCGAGAATGCCGATCTGGAGGCCGAGCTGACATCAGCGGGAATCTGAGAAAAAACACGATCTGCTAGTACAGTAGTCGCTTGAGAGGCAGGTTGATTAGCAGATATTTCTTCGTCGTTGGGGGTCTCATGAATTACCCCTCGTGGCCCCTGATGACTCTCTGGGTGAGCTTGGCTGCTGCCATTCCACGCCACCATTGCTGCGTGGCCTGCATGACCCGCATGGCTTTGGCCCACTCCCCCACTATTCTGGTTCGCATTTGCCGCTTTGTTCACATCCACCATCTGAGACAAAGTTGCATTTGACATGCGGCTTTTCTCTCGCCTCAAATCTGGTCTCGCGTCTGGCCGCTTCTGCGGTATTTCTCCTGCTTGATGCTGGAATGTCGGGGGCGTTACCACGGGTGCTGGTGGGGTTGACTCGCGCACGTCCCGGACAACGTCTTCAGGATTGGTCCGCGGGCCTTGACCATCGCTATCTGAACTGTATCGACTGTCAAATGCATCAGTCTCGTTTGAGTACACATTGGCAGTGTATGGGTTACTGGGACCTGGAGGTGGTGGAGGAGGTTGGATAGGCTCCAGGTCAGTATACTTAGGCGACAGGCGAGGAGAAACGTAGTTTTCCTTCTGTTGATGTCCCTTTGTAGGTGAAGGGTATGCAACAGATTCTGATACAGACCTAGTGTGATGGTTTTGAACAGGGGCTAGATATGAAGCGTTTGCGGGTACTGTAATGGTTTTTCTCGGCGGTGCAAAGACTGCATCAGTGGACTGGTTGTGCTGATGTCGAGAGCCTGGTGGGGAGCGCACTGGAGATACGTCATCATAGTGTAAACTAGGTCGCGTCTCCGAATGCGTCCTACTGTGTCTTGAATTCTCCAAGTTGGTACTGGACCTGGTCTGCGCAACCATATCGATTCGTTTGGATGTCATATCTTTCAAGTGCTTCCGCCATTCACGTTCGTTCCACTTCTCGCTCCCTTGGGTATGTATAAGAGAGGCAACGTCTATGATATCCAGATATCCATAGCGCCGTTCCTTTGGCATGGCAAACATAAGTCCACGAGTATCCCAGGTATCGGCGATGAGCCGCTGTGGGCGGCCATAAAGATGGAACACATCATACACCGGAAAGAGCCACCGAAGCATCATTTCAAATCCTGAGACGGCCGGATGTACTTCAGGCATGACAAACACAAATCCTTCAGTTTTTGATTCTGGTTTGGAATGGATGGTAATGCGACCCTCAACTTTGACAAGGGTTGATTGATCGATCAACGGCTTCGATTGAGGATAGATGGCATATGCAGAATATGCATCTGTGATGGTTGCGATTGGAGTGACCTTTTTCGTTTTCTTCGAGTCGTAAAACTTGATACAGCCTTTGGGCAAGGACGGCCGTTCATATGCAGATTTTTTCTTCAAGGATTTGTTGGACTTCTGCCATTCCTTCTCGTCTGGAGGCTCGATCACGCACCAGCACCGTCTCCATGGAGTTCCAGCACCAAATCGTACCCTCGCCCAGTCTTCCGTTCGAAACTTTGATCGTTCCATGATAGTCCGAATACTGTTCAGGTGTTTGCCCTTACCAGCTATTAGAGACCCGGTGTAGAGCTCATGTAAAGACGAGTGTTCAAACATGGCCAGTCGAATCCCTGCGGTCCATTGTGTGAGCGAATGTAAGGAATTGAAATGCAACAGGTATCTGTTCTTGCCGGCAGTGGATATCGAGAGCACATTTTGTAATGGCTGGACGGTGGCGTTTCGTGTTGGGAGGGTCTCAATCTGCAATGGAGTCAGTGACGATGAACCTGGTGTTGCACGAATGGACCTACCATCTTGATGGATGCATCCGCCAGGTTGATGAATGTAGGCGCCACCTCTCCATCCTGACCCGCTGCATCGAGGGCTGCAGCATCCCACAAGGAAAGGACGGTTCCAACGAGCTGAGCAAAGCATTCGGTCCAGTTCCGGTCGGCGTTTGGTCTTCCCTCTGGAGTGGAGTTAATTCAGTTGACCGAACGGTCAAAAAGGTACTTACGAGTATCTAGATCGTTCAACTTGAGAAAATATCCTAATGCAAGTGTCAGCCACAAGTTATTGACCAGTATGAGTGCAATCGGTCAGTCAGCACCTTCTTGGTAAAGCTTGTTGCTATGGCTCGATAAGAAACTGCGATATGGTCAGCGCTAGGCGGGCAAATCTGGGTCTAAAGGCAAGGTCTTACCTGAATACAGGTACTAATTCTTCCACATGATTATCCCTTCCAACTTCCACTGCAGGAGACACATAGATCATTGATGTAGGCCGAGGGGAAGTCCGCTCGCTTCGAGGATTGGATCTGGGGTGATCGGCGGAGGAGACCTGCAGGTGGGTTGAAGGATCCTTGTTAACTATTTGAGACTGAGTAGGCGGACTGAAGGATGGTTGAGTAGGAGAAGGGCTTGAGGCATTGGAATGGCCAAATGCAGAGGCTTTGAACGACTGGGACAGCTTGCGAAGCCGCCCTGCACCCATGATGTTGTTGATTTGCACCTGCCCTGGGTTTGGGTGTGGTTCCAGACTTTGCAGGAAGGAGCGGAGGATCGTGCAGCGCCGGTTACCAGTTACCAGTCACCAGTTACCAGGTACCAACTACCCGTTGCCCTCTGGGGCTTGTGTGCAGCCGTGTGACGGTCGGGTCGTCGTCAAACGTCCTACGTCTTTTCTTGTTGCCGCAAATCTGAACCTGGACACTTGAGCGGAATGGAAGGAAACAAGCAGCAAGAAGAGGTACGAGGTATTGGGAGGCTACAAGTACCACGTCTGGCCGGGGCGTGGCGCAGTGCCATCGGCAGACGATGCAGACGCAGCTGACGGGACAGCAGGTCTTCGGAGCCCAACTGGGAGATTTGAAAATGCACTGGCGGGGACAAATCAGTGGTGACGACAAGGGCCAAGGAAAAACAATTGGCGATGGGTCCCGTGCCTTGTGAGTACTACTCCATGCAAGTATGTACTAACTGACTGCTAGTAGTCCAATCCGTTCGTTGTGCTCCATACAAGTATGCCGTATGGTCCGACTTCGTTTCTCAAACATATGGGGTACAGTGCCTGCCAGTGCCTGCCAGTGGTGGACGACGGAGGATGGAATAAAGGACTATTTCATTATTGCGACTGAAAGTCTATGTACGAGGAGTCCAGGACCGGGCACGGCGGGCACTGACTGGCACGCCAGATGGGCTCGCGTCCCGTTGACTGAATAGGGCAAGGACATGGACACCTTGGGCAGGGTGTGGGCTGGGGGTGGGCAACCAACAACTTACAGTGGAACCTGCAGGTCTACGTCGTCACCATCTGATGCTAATAATTGTTATTGACCGGGGGCAAGCTTCGACGGTGTGCATGGAAGGTAGCCGCTGCCCGCTGCCCGCTGGACTGGGATTAAGCGGAAAAGACAGCTGGGCGGCGCCAACACTGACGTTGCTCCCGAGCTAGAACGACGCCCCCAGGCTCGCCTAAGGACCCGAACACGCTGCTTCCCTCTCTTACTTGGGAACTGACTGGGGTCAAAGTAGCAAAACAATTTCATTCCCCATTCCGAATGCACCGTGTGCTTCCGAAGACACTTCTGTCCGTATCTACTGTTTCATGACGAGTAATGATCACTACAAGCATCACTTGCTCAATGCTCACACATACGAGTACATGTGCTTGCAATCCAAAGTCATCTAGACAAGACACGTCGGGGCTGCACCTCTAAAACCTAGGCGGCACTACTCCGTGGCATCTCACGTCTTTCAGAGACACAATTGCCGTCCTTCTAGCTTGCGTGGCCTTTGACTAGCTGCTTCCAGGAGCGTGCCCTCCCGTATCATGTAATTATCACGCGTGCCAGACCAAAAGTCCCCGTTTTGGGGGTCCCAGATTTCGTTCCCATCGCAGTCTCGTGTCCATTCCCACGCGGTGATGCGTCGTTAGTCTCCTTCACCCCGGTCTTTCCAAAATTCCTACCCTGTCCTAACTGGGACATTGGGCAACCCCCCGTTCCTATACGGGGCGCTACTCACACGGAGGTCGCAGTGCTGGGTTCCCCCAGTCAAATTATTGGCTAATCGGCTTTCCTCGGCGAGACACGCATGTAGCCCTTATTTGGCATCCCGCTGCTGAAACCTTTGCTTTATGGAGTGGAGCCTTGTGTATGGCAAGTCGACGATATGACTTTCTTTGAAAGATAAAGGGATGCGTTGTCTGAGAGATCATCTCCTGACCAATTGTTCGATTTGTCTTCAGGCTACGCAGCTACAGTCGAAACTTCTCTATGACACGCAAAGTGAGAATAGACCGATCCCATCACACCTCGTCACCAGGATTCATGTGGAAGTTTGTGGTTCAAGGCAGATTACTCCTTTTCCTTCTCGACTGCAGCATGCCAAGACTAGGCGAGCTTTGTTGTGCAGAAACATGGGAGGTCGTAGAGACCATTCTCGGTTGACATACCGCCCGCTTGCTATGATACACTCCTTCTCAATTCCCACCGTCCAATTCCCCTCAACCCAATCCAAAGCCGATGTCCCAGTCATAACTCGTAGCATAATACAAGGGCTCTTGAAATATCCGGGGATCGATCACCACGACTTCAAGCAGGCGCCTCATTGAAATTTCGGAGTGCCATTGCCACTTGAGACTCAGTGTCTGCATCGGTCATCTCGTTCTCTGCTGCATCGTCCTTCATTTCCCGTAGGGCGCTCGGCTCTCCAGGGTTGTCAATAGCCCGCGCAATTGCAGTCTCGAGACTTGGGTCGATGACAGAAGAATGAGTTTGGCCTGAAGACGGATTGAGTATGAAGGGGATATTATTGCCTGGCTGTCCCATTCCATTCCCCACGTTCTCAGGCTGCACGAAACCATACTCAGGATGTGAGGCGCTTGGTGCATTCGTGGTGTAATATGCCGCATGTTGCGGTTGCTGTGGAGTGTACGAAATATCGGCTGCGGTAGAAAGTGCTTCAAGCGAGTGAGCTGCAACTTGCTGAGCAGCGTTGGTACCGCTAGGCGATGATTCTGGCGGAGGACTAGCCGAGTCTTCAGTACCGGTATTGGCAAGAGCCCACGTCACTATGATCGATCAGCCCTTGGTCTCAAGACTTAGCATGCTAGCACTCACAGGTATTTGAGACAGGCAAAAAGTACTCGCCGGCCGTGAAGGTGTTGCGCTCGTAGAACTTCTCCAGCTCTTTGCTGTCCGCATTGAGACTGGCGTTTTGCTGATGTCGGAATGTGATGCCTTTGCCCGGGTCAATATCAATTTTCATACTCTTCTCACGTTGTGACGGCGTGCTCTAGTAGTGATTACCTTCAGACGGAACACACTCGCGATTCGACTTTCTGCATTGTCCACACATAGGACGCACCTAAGAGAGATGCCAGTGAGCGTGATTCAAAGCCTGGAATGCAGCCACAACCTACCTCGTCGCACTTCAGTTTTCGCTGCCGACATGTCAGGCAGCCTGTCCTGCTTCTGGTTTGCTGACGAGCAGGCGCCGCAGAGGCAGTAGAACGAGCACTTCTGGGTGGCATGTTTGCCGAATTGTTTGGTTTGGTTTGACATGTTCGCGGGCCGGAGTTGATGTTTGGGAAAGTTTGACGACAAAATATACCGGATAAACATCGGACCGATTCCGAGAATCGCTTGGCGTGCCAAAGGCAGTCCTGACTCGTGAATCGTCAATTTAGCCAAAGCCGCGAGTAAGAGTATTAAAGCAGATTATACCTCACACTGCGTTCACTTTTGGATATATATATTTTGACCTCTCTACCTAGGGAGTTGAGACAATTGTCAGATTCACTACAGCGCAGATTGATTGACTCCTTATGTCTACCTGACTTGATGCTGCCAAGCCTGGTCAGATGGGCACATGATTAGTACCGGTCACCCTCGGGTTTGATGCTGCCTATCTACTAATTAACATGACGAAGAAATACCAACGCCCTCCTCTTTCTTTAATGTATATGGATTGGTTTGAATGCAAATCTAGTCTTGGTTTATCATTCAAGGTGCCTAAATGCTCTCCTAGGCAGACTGTTTTGGGGCAGACTCAGATTGTAGTGACTGAACATCTTCAGCCGGGTTCGTCGAACCCAATCATTATGAACTTATGATACAATAACATTATGTCGTGGAAATCCCTTGCTTCTGAGATGCTACTTCTTTGGTTTCTTCTTGGGTGGCTCCTCTTCGTCCTCACTACCAGCCTCGGCATCATCCATCTCTGCATCACTTCCACTGCTTTCGTGCGCGGAATCATACTCTTCGGCAACATCGCTGTCAGAGTCTGCCTGAAAGTCTTCGTCAGGTGATTCGTCATCTTCATCTGCTGATCCTCTATTGGCACCAGGTTCTTCATCGTCATCGGATGAAGCAAGGTCCTGATCGACCAGCGCCGCCTTCAACAAAGTAGACGAGTCATCAAGCATCTCGTTCTTGAAACGGATGCCTTTAGCCTGAGCAGTGGAGTCAGGAAACGTGATATCTTCAGTACGGAGGAATTCCTTACCTGGAAGAATGCTTCAAGTGGTTGCTGCTCTTCGCGATTAATATTGCTGAACTGGTGCTCCCCTTGACCGCCTTTCAGGGTCATTGTGATATCAAAGGTCCGACTGGCTGCCAGGGCACCTCCAACTCTGGACATTGTGATGCTTTGTATCGACTCAATCTGAACATACGTTGCTGGCTTGGGAACGAACATGAAGCTCTTATCCAAGCAAAAGAGCAGTCCTTCGTTAGCCTTTATAGAGCACTTAACTCCATTCATGTTGTGGTGGCTGACAAAGTCTTTGGAAGGCATGATGATCTTTTTGCCAGAGAGACCCTTGAAGACTTTGGCAATCACATGGTGGATTGGGGCTTCGTAATGTGCATCCAACTTGTCCTTATACTTGGTCTCCAGAAGTTCTTCTGTCATGTTCAGATCCAGGTTGACCTCATCATCAAGTTTGAGTTGCATGACAATGAAGGGATACCTCGTTTGACCTTGTCGAAGAGGAGGGTCAAGTCCAAGTGTGATCAGAGTGTGGACTTCGTCGTTCTTTGGCAGAATGAAAAACTTTTTGATGGATTGGTATTGAATTTTGTAGTCGTATGTCTTGCCTCGTAAGCGGAAAGAATTCTCATACATGTCGATGTCGAATCGGCCTCTGTTAAAGGGTTAGGACAATCTCTTCAGACTTGATACTTGACATACCTTGGTGTGAGATGGAGGATGTCTTGGAAAGTTGCGAAGGTAGCACCAGCAACCTCTCCAATATCGGCCTTATCCATTAAGGTCTCATAGAAAAGATTGGCAGCATTCTGCTCTTCTTCCTCCTGCTCTTCTGCGCCACTTCCTTCATCTCCATTGACGTCTTTCTTCGAAACCGTACCTGGGATGTAGAACCTCATTTCGACCAGTTCATCTCTGCCCGCTGCTGCCTTCCGACCTCGATTCTTCGTGCCTCCGGCTTTGTTGCCATTCGCGCCATTCTGAGTGGGGTCGGTTCCAAGGTTGAACTCAACGGCGATCTCATTTTTCCCTGCCAGGTTCGTGTTGGAGATTTCTGAATAGGGTATCTCGAAAGCCGGTCGATTTTGAACACTGAAAGCCAGCTCTGCTCTGCCAAATTCTGCCTTTCCCCAATTCCATCCCCTTAGGGCATGCTCTTTGTTTTCTAGATTGATCCCATACCAAATCTTGAATGCCTTCGCTGCTCGATCGAAATCTTCCTGGTCAAAACCATCAAGTTGAATGACTGCCGCATCCCGCGTGATGATCTTTATTTCGTAGCCCTTCGATGCGCGACTCCACTGGGCTGCCGCAATCTGGTTATTGTCTAGAGTGAAGGGATCACTCCCACCGCTGGGCTTCCAGCCGAGTCCACTCTCCGCCAACCTACACCGGCCGGACTGTTTCGAAAGATCAAGGTGAATATTTTCAAAGGTCTCCCTATCGAAAGATGATTAGCCAATTGATCAATAAAACGGAATGGCCACCGACATGTTGGGCGACGTCTCGTCGCAGGGTTAGCGACAAAGATTTGTTATGTTATTTTGATGATGGATTATCTTTCTGTCGCGGAAGGGAGAGCAGTCAAAGAGGAAAGAGTCAAGGTGAGAGAAAGCTAAAACGTTCAGATGGTTCGGGTGTTGCAGGCAGTGAAGTGACCACCCTAGTAAACGAGTAGTTAAGGACGAGAAGGCACCACATCGAGATTCGGAGGTGGATGCTTGTCGCGAAACTTTTTGGAGGCGCGCCCGGGATGGTCTTGGCGCGTCACCACCAATATCGATCTACCGTACGTGTACCATATTTCTGAGGAGGGGACTCGGTCGTCAATCTCGGACAAAGCAACTTGTAATATACCTAGGTAGGATTTCCATGCATGCTTACATTCTGGGGACCGGGTTAGTTAGTGAGCACAAGGGCAGCGAATTTCCCTGGGAATAATAACAGGGCCCGATCAACTCAAATACGTCCACGTATAGCCGCCACTTTTCATCAACCTCAACGAGTTCCTAGATGCAAAAAACTCCAACAAGGGCCCCCTAAAATTTTCACCGATACTTACGCTAGTCGCAAGGAATCAAGAAGTTGAATTGTTAACCCAGGGTATCACTATCACCAATTCCAAAACGCACCGCATTCCCGCAGTCCACTAGCACCTCCGGTAGTCTCAATATTAATACATTTCGTTGGGAACTCCATGCTTGCACCGTTCCCAAACCCATCCTCCATTCCTCTAGGTAGAGTAAAAAGCGGAACTTGATCGCTGCGCTGAGGTATTTCCATTCAAACATAACATCTTCAGGAACAACCAGCCACCAAATAAAAGGAAGTGTTGCATGAAGCCGTACAGTCGGTCAATAATTAGTCAAGTGCGCTAGACTCTCTCTTCATCCTTGTAGACTTTGACTCGCCGCTGCAGTTTCGCCCGTCTGGTTGGCGAACTTGAGCTCAAGGCAGGACTAGACATTGTGCCAGTCTCCTGCAATAATGCAAGCGATTTTCTGTCCCCACTCAGCGGTCTCTTGGGTCCTGCTGAATGATTATGTCTGCGCATGTATGTTGGACATTGCGTCGATTCAGTTGAAATTGCTAGCTTATTCTCATCCTGCTCCTTGAAAGCATCATATGCATGTGGAGAAGAGACGGAGCGCGTCTGGCACTGGGATCTTGGAGATGTGCTTGGAGATTCCGTCACTGCTTTTACCTCGCTTCCGTAAAAGACCGGGCAAGGTTCAAGCGAAGAGATCAGAGAACTGTCCGATATTTGGGCGAAAGTTGTTTCCTGAGTCTTGCTTCGAAGGCTTGCATCCCGATAGTGGCGTCTCTTGAACGGACCCGTGAGGCGCTCTTCATTGTCACGGCTTATGATTGGACTCTGTGTTACAACGGCATGCTCGGCGCGGATGGAAGAGCCAGGTGTATTTGTTTCGAAGGCTGCAAGAATGTCGTCCAAGGTATTGCCATTGAGTAATGCCGCGTGGTAGATTTGCGAAGCACTTGCAGGCGCTTTGGCGGACGAGTCAGTCACTTCATTACCTAGCACCTTCGGGGTATTTTCTTCAACGCTCTGGACATCAATGGCAGAATCTGGCCCTATATTCAAGAACGGAGGAGGCGTTGGTTGGATTGTATTTGGATCTTCCCCAATGACTCGGCCGAGTGCATATAGAGTTTTTAGTATTTTCACAGGCGCCCAGAAGTTGTCTTTGAATATGTTCCACCGTCGGATCAGGGAACTCCCTCTGCCTTGGCCGTGGCATTGTTCACAGTTTGCCATGCTCCTGCCCGGCCGAAGCATAATATTCCACGTTGCAAAGTACCACGGATCATCGCGTACGGTAAGCTTGTGTGAGAAGTACAGCAGCGGAAGCATATACAGTCTCAAAGTGAGAAGGCAGGCAAATATGATATGCTGCAATAACCGGCGAACTGTTTCGTGGAGTTCATGGAAAAGACTTGAATGCTCCTGAGCCGGGCTTGTTGGGGTTCTCTCACCATCTCGATCCTGGATATCATGCATCTGAAGTGCTTGTCGGCGTGGCGTCGCAGCCATCACGAGGAAGTATGCACAGAGTGCCGCTGAGCGGGGAGAAAGTAGCGTTGGATCGTTGCAAGGAGGAAACAACCGATAAAATGGAATGGATACACATGATATGATATGTACAGTACAACGGAGCAGCGAAGGGCCTAAGCTCGGATCAAGAAATGAGACAGAACATTTGGTGGAAGAGAGGTAAGCTTTTGGTTGTTGTTCGCACATGTCTGACAGGAGCATTGATATCGAGAACTCGCGGAAGGCAACTTCCACTCCGGTGACAGGAGGCTCTTGCCTTCGCACGTCAAAACAAAATAGACCTTCCCACGAGACGCGACTTCCATGCTGATCAAGTTCAAACTTCCCTGCGTTGTCCGCCCATGGTTCAGCCTTTTGCACGTTTCTAACCAATATTTACCTGGGCTCGCTGTCGTCAATGCAAAGATGTAGGTAGTGTTCTTGACCAGAATGATAGCCTGGTCGACTTAGACCGGAAGAAGTGGTAGAAACTGTAAACTCCTATTGGCTCCGAGATTATTCTCGTACTATATTATTTACTTAATAATAGAGAATTAAATATATAGACATTGTTATCGTACTTTAAACGCTTGTCGGTACACCAATGCGGAAGTCGACTTACATCTCTGTTGTTGGCGCTAATGATTCTAGCGCGTACTACTCACCTAAAACGTGACGCACTAAAAATATGGATACTAAACTCTATGAGGCACTCCTGTGAGTCCTACCATGAAAACGCCACTGTATCAGCATTTGGAATGCTTGAAAATCAATGAGTGATTTGAAGTCATGGAAAAGGAGCTTGCCAAGATCAAATGCCTCATAAATTTGCATATAAACAACGTCCATAGAAAAGAAAGAGACAGAGAGAGATCTCATATATGCTCGAGTGCTTGCCAAAAGCGGCATAGTCCATTTCGCCAACATCTGTGACAAAGCAAGCAGAGCTCCCTGGGGCACGTGACTGGGGAACCCGATGTGCTCTCCCACAAGCTTTGAATCCAATGCGTCTTCAATTTACGCTTACTCTCCGTGTCCCTGGCAAGCGACCTGGATCCACGCGGATACCCGTCGTCCCCCTAGTTTCTCAACATGCGTTGCAACAAGTTCAGGGAACGAACGTAATCCATACGAAACCAAGCCTCCATTACGCCACGAGAATGTACGTTGCGTGGTTTCGTGATTGGTGTCTCATGCGGTCATGTTTGCTGTAAATCTTGGAGCTGGTGCATGGGTTCGTGACGTTGAGTGAACATTTGAGGTTCGGTAGGGCCGTTTTGTCTATGATCTGCTGTCAAGGAGCAAAGACGCCGTCTCACAGAATGCCATCTCACACCCCACTAAGACGGCGTCTTTGGCCGATGTTCGCTGAGACCACATCAGATCCCCCCAGATGTACGCATGAATCGGGATCTCCCAATCTCATAGGGGTATCATGACTGCCTTCCTAAGAAAGACGGCGTCTACGCGAGAATGCGCAAATTTCGAGCCTTCGAGCCTCCACATAATGCTTTCCCCAGACCAGGTCCCCGCAGAACCGTGCTGAGCTGGCTGGACCTGGGGTTGTTGCGTAAGGTGCTTATCGGACTACAAAACCAAAATCACCTGTCCTTAAGATCCAATTTGACAATTTATCTTCCAGAACTCAACTACTGCCCCTGCTCCCTCCACATACGTTTCAAGCGTACGGAACCACCCCATCAGCGGACGAGCACCATAATGGCCAAACAGGACAATGTCTCGTGGGCAAACACCACCGTAAGCCCTAATGTTCTTACGTATGATCCATGCTTACCGGCAACTGCCAGGCAATTTCTGCGATATGTCTTGGAAGCATGACATATGGCTACATTCTCAGCATCATCTCGACGACTCTTGGCCAGCCCCACTTTTATACTTATTTTGGCCTGGTAGCTGATCCTACGGCTAGCAACTACTCTTATACTGCCAGCATCATCGGTGCTATTAATGGCCTATTGTCTGCAGGTGGCGTGTTCGGTTCCTGTTTCATGGCATGGATGAGCGAAGCTCGTGGCCGTAAGCCTTCGCTTGTGGCTGCAACCGTTGTGGCACTGGTCGGGTGCATTTTGCAGACCGCATCAGTCCATATTGCCATGTTTCTGGTGGCCAGATTTGTTACTGGCCTAGGAGCAGGTCAGTTGCATGGTGCACATCGAATCAAGTACTGAGTTTGACCATAGGGATGCTCATCACACTGGTTCCCATTTTCCAGGCCGAGATTTCCCCTCCTTCGACTCGAGGATTCTTCGTGGCCCAGAATGGTATACAAATCCTGTCCTGCCTTTGAGTATACTACAGTCACTCACGTGCATCCCAACAGGTGTCATTATTGTTTCTGCATATTCAATTGCAGCGTGGGTTGGTGTGGGTTGCTACTATGCGACCAACCCAGACTTTCAATGGCGATTTCCCCTGGCTTTGCAGTGCTTGTGGCCGCTCCTAATGCTGATCGCAATGCCGGTGATTCCTGAGTCACCCCGTTGGAGTATGTAACTCTTGGCCTTCCCGTATAACGGAGCTCTCCGTGTACTGATAGCCACTGGTAGTGCTGTTCCAAGACCGTCGAGACGAAGCTTGGAACATAATCTCCAAGTTACATGGCGCCAGCAGTAGTCAACAATTGTTTGCTCGGGAGGAATTTTACCAGATTTCACGACAAGCGGAGGCTGACAAGCTCTTGAGAGCTCAGGAAGGTCTGCTCGATCTATTTCGCAAGCCGAGCTATCGCAAAAGAATGTTTTGTGCTTTCGTCACCATGTTTGCTGCACAGGGTTCCGGTAATCTCGTCATCTACAGTGAGTCCTCCTTAAACCGAACTCTCGCGCGTGCTAACATCCTTAACGACTACAGCGTCCTCCTTTACCAGGGCCTGGGGCAGACCGGTGGCGTGCCGCTTATCTTGGGAGCGTCGTACTGCACTATCGCTGCGGTCCTCAACTACGTATGTGCACTGCTAATCGACAGAGTCGGAAGGGTCCGACTAATGAGTAAGTTCATGGACCTGATGTGCAATCATTACTGACACATTTTAGTCATTGGTCTCATCGGTTGTATCCTATGTCTCGCAATAGAGTCAGCTCTAGTTGCCGAATATGCCGGGACGGACAACAAAGCTGGTCTAAGCGCAGGCGTATTCATCCTCTTCTTTTACATCCTTTTGTAAGGCAGCTCGGTCCCTCATCCGTTAGTGAACCCTCTAATGATTCAAAGCTACGCGGGCTGCATAGATGCCACCACCTACGTGTACTGCGCGGAGATCTTTCCGACACACATCCGGGCCAAAGGCATGGCTTTCTCGATTATCGTACTCTACGCATGTACTATTCCTTATCTTCAGGCGGCTCCGTACGCCTTTGCATCAATTGGCTGGAAGTACTATCTTGTCTTCATCTCTTTGACAACGCTCTGTGTCCCCATCATCTTGATGACCTTTCCAGAGGTATTTCCAATCTCTTGTGTTCCCAGGCGAAAGCTGACACTGTTTAGACGAAGGGGTTCTCTTTAGAAGAAATCAACGAGAAATTCGGCGACCAGGTCGAGGTCCACCTCACTCACATCACAACCGAGGAGAAAGTTGTACTGGATATAGAAGTTGAATCCAACGACCGTGGCGCTGCCGGTGCAGAAGTTGGAACTTCTCTGGCTAAGGAGTCAGATCAGGGGCACAGTCACTACGAAAACCTAGTCACCACTCCTGCCAAGATCTAGATAGCCAAGATCAAAATGCGGACAAAGGCCAGAAAGCACCAGAGCTGCGTACCGGGTGAATGACAACAAAAGGGGTTGAGATTTGAAGTCTCGGTGGCGGGGGAAGACGGCCAGGGTATGACAATATAGAATAGTGTCAAGAACACGCTCGCCCTCGAGCTAGCGGCCTATGCAAAAGAGTTTATTGTTTTTTGGATTCTGCTGATCCCTCTGCACTGACACGGCACAGCACCCAACGACACTGCAAGACGCCTTCAAAAGCTATCTGGAACATTAAAGTCTAACCAGTTATCTGGGAACCATGGTAGCAGCTCCCCATCCATGAACTCATTCGCAGAAAGTGGCGCTTTATGCGTCTGGATGTACGATCGGTCCCTCTGCAACTGGCCGCTGCCATCCTCGGATACACCTCCCGTGAGATGAACAGAACGGTGACCGTACAAGGCTGTAAACTCTTGTTGCTGCTCGTTCGCTGCCACCACATCACAGTCCAGATTGTGTGCTTGTGGAATACGATCGTTTGCTAGTGATGATGATACATTTTCTTGTTGATCTCTCATGCTCTGATTTTGGAATATTGTTTCGAAAAGGCGCAGTATCCAGCTGCTCGCAGGCCACGTTTCGCCAATTTTGCGCAGACCAAGCATCAGTAGACGAGCCCTGTTTTCAGTGAGCTCCCGTTGGTTCTTGTCTGAGTTCCGTAATATTAGTGCATAAATGGTCAGCGCGGCGAAAATATTTGGGCATCTACTCGCTTCTAGTCAGTTTCCGAACAGTCGCGACCGGGGGAGCACCATTTGCGGGGACGCCAAACAGCGAACTTACATCTGCAGTTGGGTCTCCTTCATCATCCCCAAGCCCAGGAACTCATCAACGATCCTGGAGATCCTATTTGCAGCCAGTAGTGCTGTGTTATGTGGCGAAACGACAATTCTTGAAGCCTTCACGTGCTCGGGACGATGAAGCAGAATGAGCAAGTGACTACAAAATGTCAGCATCCCCAAGCCCTGATGTTCCCACGAGTCGGGAAACAGTGGATGGATTACTTGTAGCTCAAATCCAACATTCTGGCCCAGAACCAATCGTTCTGGTCTTCATCATCCTCACGAACCCTCAGAAGCAATTGTTGTCGCCATATCTTTAAGTGTTCGACTAGTTCTGCCGAGCTTAAGGTGACTCTTGAGGGGCAGACAGGATGCTTCGTTGAGATGATATTGCCAACTTCAGAAGCATGAGTGGTCAGTCGGGCCGATCAATAATCCAACAATTCTTGTACTCACAAATCACAGCAAGCCTAGACATTGAGATGGCATATTGAATATGTGCTGTGCTAGTGCTCGAGTAAATATTGGAGCGGACATCGTGCTCGTGGTCACCGACTTCGCTATCGGCGGTACCAAGAAAGTCCGTTTCATGCAACGGCTCGACGTCGCAATCGTCATCACGGATTCGCATAGGCCGACCAAGTGTCCCTGCGCAGTGCCGGTCACGAACCTGTAGCCGGGTCAGTTTTCACTATTCTTCTGCACTGCCAATTCTAGTTTCCTACATAAAGTGACCACCATATCCGCTTCCACAGCCTACGGTCGCGCAATCGTAATATTGAAAGTCCTGTACTGCTTTTCTGTTAGGCCTCCAGAGCGTTGGGGAGATGAAAGCAGTGCTCACGATCTGTGCAATCCTTTCCCCTGAGCAATGCTGATCGCGATGCCCAGCCAGTGCCACATGTCTTTCTCCTCGTTAGGCCCTTCCCAGAGAAAGCTGAGAATGAAAGTCGCTTGGATTAAAACGACCTTATCCCTGTCGTAGTCTGCATCATACAACGCCTTGGCCCGTTTGATGAACGTCTTCCGAGCCGACCGCCGACTCTCAAAGCCGGCCTTTCTGATCACCTCTGCATCACACAGAGTGCTTGCTATCGCGAATATTGCATTCAAGATGAGCAATGAGATCTGGTTTGTTTCATATAGCACCGCAAAATCTCGTCTGTCGAAGATCGGAAAGGCCGGATAGACGGCGTCAAAGAATGTTTTCACGAGTGCATCGGAGGCCTCCTGCTCGGGTAACGTGAAAGCTGACCTCAGTTGCAAGACCTCCAGATCTTCTGCATTTAAATGTGAATCTGGCGTAAGCCTGCCAGGTTTGTTGCTGGCTGCTGTTGGCAAGGGTAGCTGCAAGGTGGAAACGGGCCATGGTGCGGTTTCTGCATCAAGAGTGCTGCGAACCACATACGTGAGTAAAAACGACTCACCAAGATAGATAGCGTGCATCCCTGACAGACTGCAGTTTCGTAGAGTCGATGAGTGCAGCTGTGATAACCTGGCGTAGAGGTCGTCCGAGCCATCCTCAACGATGGCCCCTTGGGAACTGTTCATTGAACATCTTTCAGGCGGATCATGCTCAAGGCCATCAGCAGCAACCTGTTGCCCTCTAAACTCGTTCTTGAATGACGCAGCTTCCTGCAGCAGTGGCGTCTGTGGTGTTGGCAGAGTGGTTTGCGTAATCATGTCTCGTGTCACGGAGTGGTGACTGTAATCACCATGACTTATCTTTGGGGATGGATGTTTTGCAGTGGCTTTCGTACGTGCTCTAGGATATCTATTTGAGGCCGTCAGATGGCCCCTCTCCCAGATAGGCACCCAGCCATGTGTAGACTTACTTCCCTCGTTGAGAGTCAATCAGATGGCATGGTATTTGCGCCATGACACAATTCGAGCAGGCCTGAGCTTGGGATGCATCACAACGAATTCGCCGGCGATGGCAGAATGAACAAGCGACACGTCCAACACGCCGAGCTCGCAGTTCTAACGACTGTCGGGCTTCCTGTTCTGCTCCGCCATTTATAATTGGCGTGTCCATGGTCGCAGCAGGTTCAGGTAAAGAGTAACCCGGGACAGAGAACTTGAAGAGATTCAAGAGCTGGAGGGCGCTTCACCTGAAGCAAATCGGCTAATGCTTGTGCGGTCAATCTTGAATGGTGTGAATATTCAATGTTTGCGATCCGCCAAGAAGCTCCTCATCTGGGACATTAAAAGTTGTTTGGCAAAACCCCGCAACCCGCAACCAGCTTAACGGCTCCTGGTCCATCGGGGGTCAAACCTAAGCCTCGTCATTTGGTCGTTTGCCGAGGCTCAAGGACCAGGGTGCCAATTACGAAAGAACACTACAGTAACAATAGTTTACACAGATAAACGTGAGAGCCTTACAAGCTTGGGGAGCTCTTCGCGATTTCTGGGGAGGATGGATTCCTATTCGGCAGGTTCACATAGCCCGGACTCCCCACCTCACCATGGGAGGTGTCCGGCTCAGAATCCTCATTCCATGGTAGATGGTCAATCTGCTGAGCCACCCAACGACAAGGCGGCGCATCGTCCCTTTAGTGAAGGTCGAGAAGATGGCCGGATGGGGAACCCAAAGAGACACCGTGACAGGTGAGAATCTTCCCCCCTGTTCTCATAGGACGGCGTGTTGAAAACGCCGTCAGCCGCACGGAGAACCCTCCGTTGCCCCACTGCCACCACGAGACGCCGTCTTGCCATCGCTGTCCTCAACGAAACCATACCAGTTATGGCCTATCACAATCGGCATCCACAGCCTGGCTGCTGGCAGGCTACCAGAGCTGCGGGGCCACCATTTTCTCGATACATTGCGCAGGTTTGTGAACCCTGGGAGCCGTGACACAGGTGCCCTTATGAGCTATACCTAGGTGTCAGAAGCTTTTGCTGATAAAGTCACGATAATCACCACGTCAGAGGCTGCTTTCTGAGCACTATAGAAACCAGTTTCCTGCTACGCGTTACTTTCGCGAGGCCGATAATCTTGAAAGACATGATTCCTTCACCTGTACATTCGAAAAATGGAACGACTCCTTCCCTGGCCAACGGGGACCTCCGAGAACTTCCAGAGCGGTACGGATGGCCTACTACAAACGGCCGAGGATACATTATCAGAGAACAACCCGCTGCAGTGCAAAGGCATATTCGAGTCATTCACCTTGGCGCTGGAGCATCTGGCATTTGCTTTTCCAAATTTGCATCGGAGACGCTGGAGAATGTCGACTTCATTTGCTACGATAAGAATCCCGACATTGGCGGAACTTGGCTGGAGAACAGGTTTGGGAGATTCTCACTCGTCTCTCGTTGTGATGTTGGCTGACGTTGAGGGCTAGATATCCTGGTTGCGCTTGTGATATTCCCTCAGTAAACTATCAGGTACTAGTCCAAGAACCCCTCTCCCTTATTTCATTCTTACAATGTAAAAGTTTACCTGGGCACGCAAAGCCGACTGGTCCCACTTCTATTCGTACTCCGAGGAGATCTGGCAGTATTTCAAGGATATCGTGGATACGTTTGGACTCCGGAAGTACATGAAACTCAACCATGAAATAACCGGCGCGGAATGGCACGAGGACCAAGGGATGTGGCACGTGAAGGTCAAGAACCTCGATGACGGGACCGAGTTCGTGGATAGAGCTGACATCTTTATCAACGGTGGGGGCGTTTTAAAGTAAGCCCAGACACTTTCTGTATTGACACAATAAATTAACACTAGAATAGCAGCTGGAAATGGCCTGCAATTGAAGGTCTCCATGATTTCAAGGGGACTCTTTGCCACACTGCGAATTATGCTGCTGGTACCGATCTCGAAGGTAAACGTGTGGCAGTGATCGGCGTTGGCAGTAGCGGCATCCAAGTCACAGCCAGTATCGCATCAAAGGTTGATAAGCTTTATACCTGGGTGAGGTCACCGACCTGGATCACGGCTGGATTCGCTCAAAAGTATGCTGGGCCCGACGGAGCGAACTTTGAATACTCGGAGCAACAGAAGCGCAACTTCGCAGAGAACTTCCCTGATTATGTCGCGCACACCAAGGAAATCGAGGATGAACTGAACCAGAGATTTAAATTCATTCTCAACGGCACTCCCGAGGCAAAGGAAGCTAAGGATTTCTCCACGAAACAGATGCAAGACAAATTAAAGGGCCGGCAGGATCTGATTAACATGCTGGTACCTACCAAGTTCGGCGTGGGCTGCCGGCGGCCCACGCCGGGAAACGGCTTCTTAGAAGCCTTGACACTGCCACATGTAACGACATTTCCCATGGAGATGGCCAAGGTTACGCCGAATGGTTTCATCGACCATCAAGGTCTAGAGCACGAAGTTGACGCTATTATCTGTGCGACAGGGTATGTTCTCGCTGCGGAACAAGGGCTATTGATATTGATTAATAATATTGTAATAGATTCGACACGTCCTGGGTTCCACGTTTCCCTGTTAAAGCACGGGGATTGAACGTCCAAGATATGCAGAAGGACAAACCGATCTCATACCTTTCTATCGGTGTGCCCGAGAGTGAGTAGAGGCACTATGTTCCTTAACATACGCATGACTAACTTTAGAAAGTTCCGAATTACTGGACAGTGACAGGTGCATATAGCCCAGTAGGCCATGGCTCATTCCTGCCCATTATTGAGCACCTCATGCGACATTTCATGATGCTCATTAAGAAAATCCAAACCCAGAACATCCGTGCCATGGCACCGCGGAAGGAAGTATGCCATGCTTTCATCGAGCATGCCGACTTGTACTTGAAACGTACAGCATGGACGTCAGGTTGCCGGAGCTGGTTCAAGCAAGGCAAAGAGGATGGGCCCTTATCGATCTGGCCGGGCTCACGGCTTCTTTTCTTCGAAGCCCTGGCGCAACCTCGATATGAGGACTACAACATCAGCTACGAGGGCAATAACCCTTTTGGGTTCTTCGGGAACGGGTTCACCCTCCGGGAGTACGACAACAGTGACCTTTCATATTACTTGGGCACCGCAGAGAATCTAGGTGCGCTGCTTCCTACTTCCAATTATTCGTCGAAGGGAACGGACTCCTTAGACAGAACTTCGAACAAGGACGCAGAGGAATAAGCTATAATATCCAATTCCAGTCAGGCTTCAATCGGCTTTTACTGTGATTATCTCACTATTATGAATCGCGAAGGTAACCGACAAAGGTCACATCACCCTCTTCGACTCCCATCTACATCTCCGCTGCGGCCAGGCTAAAAGAAAGAGATCTAGGAACACCATTTCCCCTGTTTATCCGAGAGGAAATAGCACCTTAAGCCTCTCTTGGTCCCTATACTAATCTGTCCACCTAATCTTCTGACTGTGAAGCAATCAAGCGAGCACTTACCATTTTACTAACCTCTCCTAAATCCGATGCCCTCATCTTTATCTATCTGACCCTGTTGCCAAGACCTTGAGACTGCTAAACGTATCACTCATTTCGACGGCTCGAGCACACTGAAACAGATCGAAGTCAGGCCTCGTCGGCTGAGAAGCAGAATCCTGCAATCCTGCATCGCTGAAATCTCCAATAAACGGGTGTCAATGTGTCAACTTTAGCCTGGGTGCCCTCGATTGCCCATTTACGCTGCAGCCTCCGGCTGGTTGACATTCCTGAGCAACATAAGACAGTCGTACACCAATCTTGCCTCCGTTCGCAGTTTCACGCGGAATCCGTAGATCGTCTTGCCGCATGTGTGGACTCGAAAGATCGCCACGGCGGCATAGAATATCAATCAAGTGAATATTCAGGGGGCGTACGGTAAGTATTGGTGTGGATTCGCGTTCTGGATAGCAGTGTTAATGGGGTCTGGGTTGGGCTGGGTTATGGGCTGGTTTTGGGTTCGTACTTTTTATCACCCTAACCCAACCGAGGTCTATAGTTTTTCTGGGTTGGGTTGGTTTGTGACTTTTAGGAATCAAAAGCCCGCCGGGCTGAGTTAACTAAGGCTATAACCTGGCCCAAACCAATCCATGTCAAGGCCTACCGAGGTTGAAAGCCGGTGCCCATACGCCAGTGAGGACAGCGTCATCAGCGAAGACGTAGACGAACTCTTGAGGGAGGAATGCCTGTCCTCCAAAAAGCACAAATACCGCCCACAAAGCAGATTGCCGTTTGCAGCACAAAATTGCGATGGTCAAGTAGGCTGTGACCCAAGATCGAGGGTTTCTGGCTCCTTTCCACTCTCACTGGCAAAGGCAGCCATAATGCTCGCTAAAAGGCGACCACTCGAGGCGATGACCACGGCGGTGGGTCTCCTCCCGACTCAAGGCTTACTAAGAACAGGACTAAACCAGACGTGACCAAGAAGACCCCCAGCCGGTCAATTTGGAAGATCCGCCGTGCCATAGACAGTGTTTTCTGAGTTTGGCCTTGGGCTGGGGTGATAGAAGACGGCGATAAGTGGGAATGCAACGGCATAGCAACCAGCGCAAAGGAAGAAGCCGCACCGGCAACTGTCGTTTTGGCCTCTAACCTCGCCTTTGATGAAGGCTCCGAATGTAATGCTGCTAGAAGAATAGGCGGTCCCAGAAGATTCCAGCAAGGGCGATGATCATGGAGCGCTTGGACTTGGGGTACGATCTCTTGGAAGAGGCGCGTGCACAGAAATCCCAATGTGGATCCAGCTCCGCCGAGAACTTGGCCAATAATGATCTTTTTCCAGCTTAAGCCTTTGCCACTAAGGAGCGTACCAGCATTACCGATAGCATACCCGTCAAAACGGGAATCTGAGATTCAAATTGCGTTTCATGCATCCTCAGAAAGGCTCGACTGGGGAAGGGGATGGCTCCTGCGGGACCAATGATAAAGAAAACGGCCTTAAAGTACCTTAGCAAACAAGCAAGGAGGTTCCAAATCACCTCAATACTATGTATCACATGTGAAGTTCGCACTGGCATCATCCTCCGGTGCAGATTCGACGCTGAGTATATTTTCAATGGCTTCGTCGTCGACTTTGTTGAGAGGTTCGCTCTTCTCATTGTGGAACGACATCATGACAGATGGAGAGACAGAGGGGAAACTAGCCCAAGTAAGTCCCCGGGCCAGGAAATACAATAGAGCCAGAGATTAGAATAGGATATCTAATATTTATAGAGCATTTTTGGCACTAGGTTGACGATTAACATCTAAGAAGTGAAGGGGAATGAACACCACTAGATAACTCGTATATTGGCCCCAACAATTTGCCTGTCTCTTGTCCCACCACTGCAGTCGCGCTTAACTCCGACATTTTCGATTTACCACTGTACTGTGTTAATTGAGACACAACTGGATTCGATGTTTCTGATTGCAACTCGTACTTTGATAGACTCAGGGAAGTGGGACGAGCAATACTCTCAGTGCCTGTGCCCTGAGATTTTCTTGTCCTCCGAATGAAAAAAATCAGAGCAACAATAATCAATATTACCACGACAGCCATAACAGGACCAGCAATGACTCCAGGGGAAACATGCTTCGGAGACGACGCGCTGGTCGTGGGCGAAGAGGAAGAGTCTGGCGCAGTGGTATTGGTACAGTCCGATTCAATGCTAGCGGATGATATTGGAACTAGCCGGCTCTTTGTGGATGGATTCGCTTGCCAAAGAGTGAATCTATCGGAGTCTTGGTCGACCATCAAATAAGCGGCCGTCAGGAAATATCGACCTAAAGTTGCTGGTTGGTCGCCGATGCTAGATATCAGAACTTCCCTCTGGCTATCATTGAAGATACGAGATCCTGATCTGTCAACAGAGACGAAAGGCACAATGTATTGGTCGTTAGGTACACGAATCTCCAGGCCTGAATCGAGAACAATGGTTATGTCACCATCAAACCTAGTGACACATGTTAGTGCAGGATTCAATTTAACCTCACAACAACGACCTACTGAGTGCCCATGTCAAATAGATGAGCAGACCAATGTAACCCATAGGATACCCCAATATTGGTCGTATTGGTTACTTTTTCGAAATTGTCGTAAACGGTGCCTGGAACCTCAAGAAGCAGTTGTCTGTGTGGCACGATACATGTCGGAATTGCTGTGTTTGCCTGAAGAATACTGGCGTCCTTCCCATTACGAAAATTGACGAGTACGTCTGCGATGTTAACCTTCATCCCAGTCCAGCATCCTGTAGCACCATAGTTGAGAGCCTGAGTATGATTTTGACCGATCACCTTGCTCTCATCGTACCCTCCTAGAACAACTTGTCCGTCGAGGGGGTTGTTGGTTGTCCACATGCGACCCCAAAATATTGACCAGACCCTTGCCCCAATCCGCCCGGTGGAACGGAGATTGTTCATATAAGTAGAATTAGTGCCCATGCCCAATGCATGAAGAGTTGTGTACCCAGCATCCCAACCTAGTCTAGGTATCCCAATCGGAAAACGAGACAACTGACTTGTGGAGGCAACATTGAAGAATTCAATGCCAGCAAGGCTTGTATCAATCAGCTTGGCGATACCCACTTCCGACCCAAAGGCATTTGTTTCTTGTGATGATCCTCCGGCACTGATGATGTCTAGTGATTGAACGAATGACGTGGAGTTGCCATCAGAGTAAGGGTGTCCTCGTCGAACTTGACAAATTGTATCGCTGAAAATAATGGTTGGATCGCAATACGTTTGTTGGTCATATATCCAGGTATTATTCAGCTCTCTGGAAGTTGAGTCAGTCATCTGTGATCAGCTGTCGGAATGGCGCGACATACGCCCAAGGTAGCATAACGATGTGTTGTGGCGGAGTACCTATCTGCGCTGGAATTCCTCTCATGAACGAGTCTGGAATTTCTGGGTCAACCTGAACATCGGTGATTGATAGAGCAAAAGGTACGGGGTTACACGTTGCTGCTGTTGTGAACAGAAAACGTGTAAGAACAAGCAATACAAGGGCCATATTGTTGATGCTTAAGTGTTTGGATGTGAGGGAGAGAGTGAGATTGGTTTGAGGGAAAAAGAAGAACAGCCGCTTGCGAGGTTATGCAGGCGACAACCCAGAGAGAGGATTCGACATCTCTACGACTGATCCAAGCCACATAGTAGCTCTCAGCACTTCCGATTAGACTGTGCAATTTCGCCTTATGATTGTAATGATTGTAGAGTTGCATGGGCTATGCCCTGTTTGAAGGAGAATCAAAACAGCAAGCTACACTCGTAAACCCACCAAGCCCCTTAGCGACATACTCATGCAGGGCGCGTAGCAAGGGTTGTTGAAAGGCTCCAATATCTTTGTTCCACATGAGTGTGCTTTGCCAAAATGACGCGGGCCGCATTCGACCTTTCGGCGCATAGTAGGATGCCAATCGCCTGAGTATTGGTTATGAAGTTCATAGCCAGCTGATTCTGGCTCAGGCGCCGGCCACATGGGTGCTTACCACAGTTGTCATTAGCAGTCCCGGAAGGCTACGGTACCGTTCTAACTCAGTTGCAACAGGTCACCAGTGTGTTTCGATGTGCCCAATGCTACCCTTCGAAATTGTGTTCTTTACGCCGCCATGCGCCTGGCCAGGCTAAGTTCATACTAAATCGACAATGTCAGGGGACCATCTGCACGGAAGAGGAGCAGCAACCCCATCCAAGGTGAATCGTTCGTTGATTTCAATCTGTAGCGTGCATTAGTGGGCTTTTGGGACTTGGTAGACTTCACAACCTCTGTATTCTGTAATGTTCATGTCACTCCATCTAAGGTCCACATCATAGGGGCGAACTCGCTCATTGATCAGCCGGACTATACTCTCGAGAGCGAGCACGGTTTCATGTGCTGTCACGAAGTTGGTAGTATAGATAGAGTCCGCCGAGGCATCTGATGTCGGAGTTGAGTTTAAGGGGCAGCGCCTATTTCATGGAAAATCTCCACAGTGGCGGTTAAAAAGGCACAACCCGGTGAGCCGGCCGCCCGGCTTTCTGACTCTCACTAGCGCAGCAGCTTGATGACAAGCCACCCTTGCCGAGTGCATCAATTCGTATAAACCCGAATTGCTATGCATCAAAAACGAGCGCACCTGGCTCGTTGTTCACTTTGAAGCATTCCAGATTGACCTCAAGTCAGCGGTATGCTTCTGGGTCGCGCGTCTGCGGCTCGCTATCTGGCTATAGTCTTCGTTTTTTCGATCTTGGTCCTCTTCTTAATTCCTCATAGGGAGACTCGACCAGCACTTAAAGCCACCAAGAGTAGTTTCGATTGGTCGACCCTACCACCATTCCATGATCCTGCACCTCTGAATCCACTGCCCTCAGGCAAAATTCAACGCCTCCCGCCTATTCAGCACAATTTCCCTAAGAAACACCGTTTCCTGCAAACCTCGCAACAAAATCGGCGCGATGTCGTCAAAAAGACGTTCCAGCGAAACTGGAAAAGCTACAAGGAGTTTGCATGGATGAAAGACGAGCTGGCTCCTCTTTCTGCCACGGGCAAGAACACTTTTGGTGGCTGGGCCGCAACATTAGTTGATTCATTGGACACACTCTGGATCATGGATCTAAAACAGGAGTTTTGGGAGGCCGTCCAAGTCGTTGCAATAATCGACTGGGCCGACACTCAGGAAACAGCGTGTAATCTGTTTGAGACTACAATTCGCCATCTAGGAGGCCTGCTCGCGGCCTATCAGCTAAGCGGGGAACCAGTTCTTCTGGAGAAGGCCGTTGAATTAGGAAATATGCTGTATGCCGGGTTTGATACCCCTAACCGAATGCCTGCGTTCTGGTTAGACTTCGAAAAGGCAAAGAACGGTCAACTCACTGCAGACACTCATCAACCGTCAGCTGGTCCGGGGAGTTTGTCAATGGAGTTTACCCGGCTGTCTCAGCTCACTGGCGATCCCAAATACTACGACGCTATTTCGAGAGTTTCAAACTTGCTATACCAGACCCAAAATGCTACTATGCTACCCGGCATGTGGCCAACATTCTTTAATATGAGAGAAGGAATCCTCACTCAAGACAATACCTTTACGCTCGGGGCACTCGCCGATTCTTTATATGAGTATCTACTTAAAATGCACGCTTTACTCGGCGGTGCCGACCTAGGATACGCAAAAATGTATTTAGCTGCAGCGGAGACGATTAAGAACAACCTATTATACAGGCCCATGACCCCGAATAATGATGACATTCTGTTTATAGGTACCTTCCATGCAGACTCATCTGCTTGGCTCGACCCAGAAGGACAACACCTTACATGTTTTACAGGCGGAATGTTTGCCCTTGGTGGCCGTCTCTTCAACCATCAGGAACACATCGATATCGGCGCCAAGCTTACTAGAGGCTGTATTTGGGCATACAAGGCCTTTCCCACAGGTATCATGCCAGAAATCTTTAGTATGGTTATCTGTGGCTCTCTAACTGGCTGTGTCTGGGACGAGGAGAAATGGGAAAAGGAAGTTACAGGAGACCACGAAGGGCATCTATCACTACCGAAAGGATTCCGCAATGCTCGAGTACCATCTTACAGTCTTCGTCCTGAAGCAATTGAAAGTGCATTTGTACTGTACCGCATCACTGGTCTTGAGGAATTTCAGACCGCGGCATGGGACATGTTTCAGGCAATAGAGGCCGCTACTCATACACCGTATGGAAACGCTGCCATCGACAATGTTACCGTCAATGGTAGACCATCACAACGGGATTCTATGGAAGTAAGTTATCCAAAGACAATATAACTGTGCTGTGTTAACCTTCATACACCAGAGTTTCTGGCTCGCCGAAACATTGAAGTACTTATACCTCATCTTCTCCCCTAGTGATTTACTCAGTCTTGACGACTGGGTCTTCAATACGGAAGCACATCCTTTGAGGATAATGAAGCCATGAGTGGACGATCGACAGTCAAAGCAGAACATCTTTTTCTGCCCAGGCCACTAGTCACATTCACTCGTAGGCCTACATACTCTGACTTTCAGGAATCATAGCATTTCGGGAGCTATGCTGTCACCGAGTGATTGGTGCGAGTAACTGGCTGCGTCATGATGATCGAAAACCTTCGACTGAACCTCTCGTTTAATTATACGGAAGCGGCCCGTCCAGCTACTAGAGCACCAAGGAGGGGCGACGAGATGACCAACATCAGCTACTAGACTGATGCTTTCACAAACGGTGTCTACACCTCGATGCAGAAAAGTGAAAAGCTTTTTGTGCACGCCTAGAAAACCTATCCTTCTGGGTTAAAGCGAGATGTTTCTCGACCATGTTGGATAGAGGTAACTCGTCGAGCAGGAAGTCAACAAAAAGTCAACCGTAAGCTCTACATAGATCTTATGCTTTCGGAATTTTCACCTTTCTAAAATTTTTGGTGGGTTGATGGATAAGATTTGGAAAGGCCTGTTCGCAGATGGTGGTAGATCCGGGCGACGTAAAATCACAACCATTTTGCCCACACTGATACATGTAGCGCCCGACTCTCCTTGATCTCTCGTAGAACTAGCCGACCATGCCTCCAAAGCCTCGAGCACGCTTTAGGAGTGATGATGTGAAGGCCCGAGTACCTCCTTAACTCAGGTCTAGGCAGGAAGCCAGTAATGATGTAACTTTTTCGTCCTCAGGAAGCTTCTCCTCTAGCACCCTCTTCATCATCTCTATTGGTGTTGCGTAGGAATCAGGTATTGCTGCCGATACCTTCGATATATGGTATTACACTAATAGATAGCTACTACGCCGCAGTCTAGAGTACATAATAGCTGGCAACTAATAGACACCTAACGGACACCTGACAAGTAACCTCAGATATTTCACTCATTTACTCCACTGATTGCCTATTCGACTATTCTAGATCAACGAGCAGTCAACGATAGATAGAGAAGAGAACAGGAGCCGTTACGTATAAGAGTAGAGGCAATTGTAATTTCCTTTGGTGCAGTGCAGTTGAGCCCTAGGAAGGCCTCCTAGGTGCTAATCATCGCTGAGCCCTTAAAACCCTTCAACATCAAGATCTAGGCATCTAGGGTTACGTGGGTCTATAATTATATGGATATGGCGGCGAAACTTGTCCCCTACATTAAAATAGGGCAACCAGCCGTAAACGAATGTAGGTAACTGCCAAAGCCCTAAAATCACAGATAGATAGCTCTGCTGCTCCATGGCACCTACGATAGAGAACACCATGCGATTAAGACCATGCATAAGCGCTGCTTACAATCTACATGAGAACATGGATAGCGAATGTGGGATCTCCTCAATTGCCTAACAAGAGATAACATAGCCTAATCCCGTCCACGGTGCTCCGTCCGGGGTACTATCCCGAGCCATCAGCTCAGCACCCCCCAAGGTTCAGACAGACGGAATCATGGCGGGTCTCACATGTTGCGCAGAAACCGCTTCCACAGGCTGATATAGATGGAATGACCTCAGCTGGGAATTATTAGTTTTATATTTATATTAAAACTACTATTTTTGGAATCTTTAAGAGCCTTTTAAGAACTTTTCCAAATTAACTAAGTTCTCAGTATCAGGACTCTTATTCAGGGTACCTGTGAGGGTTTCGGGCCCGGAAAGAAGAAAGGAGTACCGCTCGCTAGGCCCTAGCCCCTAGGTTCTAAAGATGTTAACCGAATCCGCCCCGACATTGCGGGTTAGCGGTTTTGGGTAGGGTTTACTCGACCCGTTGCGTAGCCTATCTAGAGACGGTATACTTAGCGAGCAAGAAATTCCTGTATTAATCCAATACCCGGGAAATATATACCTGGTCTGACCAAGAGAGTACGGTCGAAATCCTAATTTATGCTGAGTGTAGATGTGTGGGACCATTTCGAAAATCGCTGTCAGACCAAATTTATCTAAGCGGAGTGCGGTCATAGACTCGTGTTCCCCAGGACTTCTCCGGCAAAAACTCTCCGAGCAAGCTAACCGCTCATATGGCTCCATCACATTTCTGATTCTCTGTCGCCACGCCATGTCTTCAGACAAAGCAGCGCAGCGTTCGAGAAGAGTATGGTATGAACAGGCTTTGGTTGTGGACCTAGGGTTCCGAGGTCGCCACTTGCAACCCCGCGATCCTAAATGTGTGGTTGGCTGAGACTTTGACGGGGTTTGCTTCCACACACGATCGGAAATCAAATCCCATGGAGGCCGAGTCACCAAGATGATCAAGCACGGTAGGCTAGGGATACTCAGTGCACTACAGACATGACTGAACCATTTATCTTCTCGATGTGAGCGCACTTGTTCTCGGCTTCTTGCCTTTCCTGACCATTCGCAAATCGAACCCCCCCCCCCCCCCTTCAACTCCATGATGGCTCCAACGCAGATTGATGCCCTTGTCGTTGGGGCAGGCTATGGTGGAATATACCAGCTTTATCGCCTACTACAGCTGAATCTCTCTGTGAGGGTGATCGACATGGCCAGTGGTCCAGGCGGCACCTGGTACTGGAATCGTTATCCAGGTGCCATGAGTGATACCGAGAGCTATGTCTATCGCTATTCATGGGACAAAGAAGACCTGCAGACTTATCCTTGGACGCACCACTACGTCAAGCAGGCCGATGTCTTGGCATATCTGGAGCACGTCGTCAAGAAGCACGATCTTCGAAAACACATGCAGTTTGAAACCGAGCTGCTTTCTGCAGATTGGAATAGCACGACCAATCGATGGGACATCAAACTTAGTGGCGGAGAGACATGCAGCGTGCGATATCTCATTACAGCCCTTGGCCTACTCTCAAAGGCTAATTACCCTGATATCCCTGGCATCAGTTCTTTCAATGGGGAGCTGTGTCACACGGCAGCATGGCCTAAGGACTTGGATCTCAAGAATAAACGTGTCGGCGTTATAGGCTGTGGCTCCACTGGAGTACAAGTTATAACTGATATTGCTAAAGACGTCAAGTCCCTAACGTGTTTCCAACGGCACCCTCAATACACTGTCCCGAGCGGCGACCGTCCAGTTGACCCAGAGTACAGGAAATGGGTCAATCAAAATTACGATCAGATTTTCGATCAGGTGAAGAACTCCGCCGTTGGGTTTGGTTTCGTTGAATCGACCGTTCCATTTGATGCCGTCAAATCCCCCGAACGACGAGAAGAAATATTCGAAGACCTTTGGAAGCAAGGGAACGGGTTTCGATTCTTCTTCGGCGGATTCTCCGACCTGGCTACGAACAAGGAGGGCAACGAAGCAGCTTGCGCCTTCATCCGAAAGAAGATAAGGGAGACTGTCAAAGACCCCGAAAAGGCCAGGAAGCTGAGCCCCCACGACTATTATGCCCGCCGGCCACTTTGCGACGGCGGCTACTTTGAGCAGTTCAACAGACCAAACGTCGATGTCGTCCTCCTCACAGAGGATCCTATCATCTCGATCACTCCTGACGGCATTCAGACCAGCACGGGACTCCACGAATTGGATGTCATCGTATTCGCGACCGGCTTCGACGCGATAGAGGGGAACTACAACCGCGTCCGCATTCGAGGGCGCAACGGGATAACATTGAAAGAGCAATGGGACCCTGTTGGACCGACCAGCTACCTTGGGGTCGCAGTGTCTAACTTCCCCAACCTCCTTATGATCACAGGCCCGCAAGGACCGTTCTCCAACCTCCCACCCGCGATAGAAGCACACGTCGACCTCATCAGCCGGCTGATTGACCGTGCAGAGAGGCTCCGGGGCCTGCATAGCGGCGGCGGCTATGATACGAAAGTAATCGAGGCGCTTCCGGGGGCGGAGCGCGCCTGGACCCAGGAGTGCGAACAAGCGGCCGAAGGAAGTTTGTTCAAAGAAACCGCATCGTGGATTTTCGGACAGAATGTACCGGGTAAGAAGTACGCGATCCGGTTCTACTTCGGTGGCTTGAAGGCGTGGTACCAAGCTGTGCAGCGTGTCATCGAGGGTGGATACACAGGCTTCACGACGATGGAGGACAACGTCGCCGCGCGAGATGAAGACAAGTACACTGCTCCCGGAAGGCGTGAGCTGAGCGTGCATTTATGACCAGGTCCTTCCCTCAAATAATTCGTTCACTATATACCAATATCAATACATGCCCTCTGACTTTGTCCAGCCCTGTCAAGACCTGTGTCGTATTCCCCAACAAAGCCCATTTCATTGTATAGGTACGAGTCTACAGATGTGTTGGGATAGAACTTGCATTCCGATTCCCAGCGGAGGCATTCGTCAGAACCCAACCCATAGAATTCTGGAAGAGGACGTATTGCACTTTTGAACAGTCGCAAGCGGGCTGTGGCTCTCATCCAGCGAATCCTGAAGCAGTCAGAAGAAGACGTCAGACAAAGTCACAGGTGAAAATCGGGGTTTCGTATCAGGACTCCTGTCCGCCCTCTGACCATGAAGGCGTGGTGTTAATGATCTTTCTTAAAGACCTAATTCTGTACGGACAATGTCCAGATATCTGGACTATACATAACTGAACAAGGAGTTATCAAATTGAGGGGTATATGTAGCAAACGAGAAGATTGTGCTCAGACCCTGTCACTTCGTCGAAGGATTAAGGAGCTCGCGTAATGTACCTAGATATATATCGAGATACAGAGGCAGTTCTAGCTCCCCATCCCATCAACAAGGGGAACCATTATTTCCCCTCTTCTCAAAGCCCAGTATGGAGCCTCATCCCCATTCTCATGTCATGCCACATAAAAAAAATATCAACAAAGCATAGGTAACGTTGCTGAGTGTGCACATGGCAGTATAAAGCAGGTCCTATCCGGGACGTATACATCGCATCATGAAATCCCAAACTCTAATCATCTCATTATAAACCTGGGTTGTTAAAGAAAATTAGTTAACATACCCCCCAAGGGTATTATCGCCCCAGAGTGGTGCCTGTACGTATTCAGCAGCGCGTTCGTGCAGATTGCCATAGTTCCAGTCCGCCGAGGAGCTGGTGCTGTCCGGTGTAATTGGACCCATCCCTACACCACCAACGGGAAGGCCCACGCCCGTGCTGAGGATGGCATTGCTTCCCATGCCGGGTGAGTATGGTTCTTGTTTGAGGGTTGTGACCAGTGGGTATTGTGACGGAGAACCTTGCGTTGCATTCGGATTGGTCCTCATGTTCGCGTACATATTAGGGCCACCTGCAGATGTAGACTGTGAACTTGGATTTCCGACGTACGCGCCCTGAGCCATCCCACCAAGCTTTCCACCAATCAATGCTGCATTTAGTTTTCCCAAAGCGTTCAGCGACTTGGCCATACTGCGCGCCCAGTGAGGCGATTCCGCCAAGGTTGGTTGGGAAAGGCGATGTTGTGCTGGGCTTCCCAGTGCTTCATTCGCTTGGGTTCCTTCAAAGGTAGGGTCTTCCATCGTACGTTGAGCAATCACTTTCTCTAGATCACGGAGCAGAGAAATTATTCGTGGCTCTTGATTCGTTTCAGGGAGTGTACCCAAAAGGAACGCGGCCGAGATCGAGCGCTGGATCCCAATCCAGGACCTTGCAGCAAACTTGCTGAGAGAGTGAAGTTCAACATAAGCAGCAACTGTTTCCTCGAGATTCTTGATGCATTCACGTCGAAACTGTGCTCGTGTGCCCGCATCGGAAGAAGACGAGGGCGACTGAGCCGATCCCTGTGAAGCCTTTCGACGACTGTCGGAAGGTGATTGAACAGGGGTGGCAGTCGATGCTTGCCCATCTGCCGGGGGAGATGGCCCTTCTTTCAACGCTGGCCGACACAATTCACTCGTGATATATGAACTGTGGAGCTTTAGGGCCAATCGCTCAAGGTGCTGAGTCATCTGATGGCAATGGCTCCTTTCTCGGAGATGGATTGCCGCTTGAGTATAGATCGCGGCGATCTCATCCGTGTACCTGCGGATTGTCTCCCAAGTCATGTATGATCGAGGATGAAGAAGTCTTTCGCGAATAATTTCTTGCGTGAGTCTGATAATGGCAAACATGCTCTCAGCGTAACTTCGATCGCCGGGCGAACTGAATTTTCCGTATGGTATGTCGGGAATGCACAATACGCTTGACGTGGGCCGGTCATAACTCACAGCGAAATGTGAATCTTGCCAAGCTAGCGCCCACCAAACGCGACGTCGAACCCATTGCTCATTATGACCATGAATTTGTGAATTTATCTGGAGACCTATCGAAAATGCCATGCGTAGAGTCATTCCGAGGAAAATGTAGGCCACACCGGGATTCATATTGTACGAAAGCACGTTCCCAATAATTAATGATGCCTCTATTGTTTCCAGGCATGGATGAGTCAGAAAGTTGGACATTCTTAGTGCTTGGTATGAACAGCATACTGAGATGGGTCAGTTGAGGGTCAACATCAATACGACATCGGAACATACTGTACACCTGCGAGGTCAATTCCCTCTCTTTTGCAGGCCTGTCGGATGACTGAGCTCCAGAGGCAAACACGGCGAAAACAAGCGAGAGCCATGGTAAAGTTACTCCATATGGTTTGGTGGGATCAATTTCAAGACCATCGCGGAGATGCCGAGAGCGATTGGAGAGCATGAGAAACAAAGTCTCTCTAAATTTTTCTGTGTCAGGAACGACGGGATAGATGGTACACGCCACGTCTCGATACGCAATAAAAAACCTAAATTGGTCAGTAGAGTCAATCACGGATCCGAGAGATCAACGCACTCATTACACAGATCATCATCTGGAACGGCTTTGCAAAGACCATTGACGTCCTGCATGCTGGATTCCGTGCTCCACAAATCGACAAATGGGTAAGTAGCACTCTCATTATCTAGGCCGAGTTTGGGTAAGATGTTCTCTTCGAGTAGAGAACGCGCGGTATTCTGTGTAGTCTTTGACCTTCCGAGACCCATCATATAAGCGAGGATAGATCTTGAACCTAGATGGATAAGTCCCATTTGATTGCTGGGAGCATGAATCCCTTCTCGATCAGCCTCATCACGACTTTGTGGCCCGCTGATAGCGCCTTCTTCTGATTCAGCTTCCAACTGTGGCTGTCCTTGAGATAAGCGTGAGATTTTGGCAGTTGCACGGAGCTGTTGTAGTTCTCTATTGATACGCTCCCAATGCTCGCGAGGGACCGAGACATTGGGTCCAGTCTGTAGAGAAGGGCCAGGATTATCAGAGATGGCGGCTTCAGTCTGATTGGCAGTGCCATTGAGAGCGATGCGGCGTTTCTTGGTCGGTCTTTCATAGGAACAGAGCTCGGGGTGATCTCGTTTGACACAGGAATCGCAGGGCAAGTTGCGGTCACATTTGACTTTCCGGCGGTGACAAGCGTAGCATGCTTTTGGATCTCGGACTTTTCTTTTGTTTCGAATTATGGCGTCTATCTCTTCTTGGTCCATTTCGACCCTGCCATCAGCACCTACATCAAGGTTGGAGTCGTCCGGGTAGTCGCTGGCAAGTTGGTCGGCGGAGGAGGGATCTTGAGGATCCATGGAGCTAGCACGTGTGGGTGAGGTGGGGTGCGAAGGAGAGGTTTAAGAGCGATAGTTGAGGCTCAGCTATACCGACATATACATTTTGGGAAAGTTGGTTTGAGGCTGGGATATGAAGACACAGCTCGAGTCAAGCAAGATGGCAGGAGTGAGGGTTGAGGAAATGAAAAGACGAGTAGCACTCGAGCGTGTGAAGGCGAACTTCTCCCCGCGGGCGATCGCAGGGTTCAGCGCAATGACCAGGGACCAGTGAAAGAGGCGGGCACGCACGAATGGACAACTCAAGTCATCTTCGGAAGCCTCGACTGCACAAGGGAGGACAGTCTAGGCCTAATCCGCTCTAGCACAATCGAGTATGGCCTTGGCATAGCCTCGTCTAGCTTTCCGAGGACGGTCACGTCGTACAAGGGACATCGTACAAGTACGCCGATTCTATGTGAGACTGCTATATTGCGAGTACTTCTGCAAATCATCGTCATTGATATTAGCCTCGGTCATTTACTACCTTCCCAGCATTGACTTGGGTAACATAGCTAGCATTCCCATGCATTTTTTGGTTTTACAAAAGAGTCGAAAGATTGTCGCAATTCTTTTCGTTCCCCGGATCTAACTCCATCACCTTTCACTTCTTCAGAGGCCTTTCAAAAATACCTCGGCTTCCCCTGCTTACGATAAACAGATCAAGTATTTCGAAGTTTTGTTGCGGGGTGGTCAGGCGTCTGAGATTCTCCATCGGCTAAACCATCTCAGATAGGCGTAGTTCCGGTTGCTGCCTTGCATGCCAAACACAATAGGACTGAACAGCACGAACAGTCCGATTGTGGCGGCATACAGAACAAAATAGACTCCCCACCGAATCTTGTTGTTCAATCTTTGTGAGGTCCAGTCGACGCAGAACCCTGCAACCAAAATTGCAAAGTAGAGTGCTGGGTAGTAATGGTGCACATACGTCACACGTCCCATGATCAGGAAAGGTAGGTAGTGGAACACCCACCCGATCGCCGGGTAAAGTCCCGCATAGTGGATTTGGTCAATGTCCTTTTGGCTCAGCTCGTTGTAGCCTCGTTGCCAACGTACCAAATGCCAGAGCACAATCAAGCCAAGGATGGGAATTGATGCGGTAGAGCCCCAGTATACAAGGGGATTTCCCAGCAAGAAGTACTTGGTGATGTGGTCCTCCCACGAGCACATGCGAAGGCCTACATGAAGAATAGGCCATTGCCAGAACTTGGATGCCAGATCATCCTGTTTATCTGGATCCGGCACCAAGGCGTTGTTCGAGGTCATCATTGCCACGTTCAGATGAATAAAGTCCTTGAAGAAGGGGGATCGGTAATTCTTGGCCTCACCAGGAGGTACTAGAGGAGATTAGTCACCCGCATAGAATTACCGCGTGAGAATGCACTTACATCGCTCGTTGATATGAGACTCGACATTCCAATGTGTATAAACGTCGCGAGGACTAGGTTTCTTGACGCAGGTCGTCTCGATTTGCTTGAAGCCCCACTGTGGAAGGTTGACCGTTCCGGCGCGAAGATAGCATCCAAGCTCTACGTGCTTCAGTCTGAATGCCGTAGTCAAAGTCCGAATGCGGGAACGGTCTGAAGAAGCAGCATCGCTGACAACCTCAACCTGCCAGTGATCCTTCTCGTCGCCAATGGTTGTGTTGCCGTAGCATGAAACTTCCCAATCAGCCTTAGTCACTGGTGCCGCAACGCTGTGCGAATGAAGATTACGACCAGTTTGCGCGTGAACCAGACGAATAACTTGTTTGTCAGCGACAAAGCTCAGAGGCGCTTCAGGGTCATATAGAGGCTGGCTCCGGTTGGGATAGAAGAACCAGTCGTTGTTGGCGTCTTTGTGGTGGTAACATGTGACTTGCTGCTGTCCACTGCCCTCGGGATAGGTTTGCATGTGAGAGTGTAGCAGCCCACCACCGTATCCCATATTTTTGATCGTGACCTTTGAGCCCAATGCAAGTTCCAGAGGAGAATCCTTCCCAACTTCCGTACCCCGTAGGTTAGCTTGGAACAAAGACGACATTTGAGCATCGCCAGGGCCGGAATTTTCCAGAATCAAGAAATGGATATAGAAGGAGAACATGTAGACGATGGCCGGAATGACGATGAGGCCGACCACCCGAGCGACGACATGACTCGCCAATTCGACTTTGGGCATCTTGAGATCGCCAAATTTATTCCAGAGGTCTTCCACAGTGTAGAGACCAAACAAGGCCGTAACGAAGAATCCGACCCATTTGACACTGCAGACACACCCAATGCTCAGGCCGCTCAGAATGAGCCAGATGAACCATTCGGCAGAAAAGCTCTGGTTCTGCAGTCGATGGAATTTCGCCCAGCACGCCACAGTGGTGAAGGTAAAGCAAAGGAGCATGGAATCGAGGAGGATGAATCGGGAGATGGTCGCATACGAGTTCTCGCACAGCACCATGAGTGTGACAAGCCAGACAGTGGCACGACTGAAATTCAACTCTTTCGCGGTGAAGTAGGCGAGGGGCACAGTAACGACGCCGAAGAGGGCGTTGAAGATTCGCATAAAAGTATAGTTGAGTTCTGGAGGGTATGTCTCGCCGGACTTGAATTCAAAAGAGCCATTGTAGCCGGCAAGATAGCCTGACAACCCGACCAGCATCTTTCCCAGGGGTGGGTGGACATCGAAGTAGAATTCTCGCTTGAGGTAATGGGAGCCAAACTTTCCAAAACTATGCACATGTTAATAACAGCATCATCATAGGGCTCTGGACACGTACTGAGCTTCATCCCATGTCACAATAGGGGAGAGGCCAATCTTCCATAGCCTCGTGCCCAAGGCAAGCAGCGTGAAGACAACGGGCGCAATCAAGAACTCCCATTCATCAAGAATGGCCAGTAGGCCAGGTGCGGGCTGGAATACTCGTTAGACGTTGGCCGTCTCCTGTTCGGGGAAGGGCTGACCTTTTGAAGCTTTTTCTTGTCTTCGGCCTCGACCTTGTATACATGTGCTCCATTTGCGTTCTCGTAAGTTGTGATATTTCTCCGGCGCAGTTCAGCTTCGTCTCTGTCGGCACCAGTCGCATAACCGCCGTTGGTTGTAGTCATGATGAGGTATTAGAATTGGAGGGAGGTGGTCTTCGTCAGAGCCAGTGAAGACGGGATCAAGGAGTCTTGGGGACACAGGGAGGTTGTCTGCGACTATTTTTGGGGGCGGAGGAATAGTTCACGCCAGGGTGGTTGTAGGGGCACGGGAAAGCGGAGAAGTCTTAATGAAAGTCTAGTTGGTGGCCATTGGGGCCAAGGAAAGAAATAAAGATGAATATGAATATGAGGGTAGAAGAAAACACAATAAATGACCAAAGGGTCCCTGGAAAGAAAAGTCGAAGGGTGATGAAAGTTGGATTAAGTGGTCAAGGACGGGCTTGCGTAGGGTGGTTAAGAGGAGACGTGTCGAAGAGACCACCTTGGCGGAATAAACGTGCAGACTGCGGACTGCAGACGAAAGGGGCTACAGAACTACATTTAAAGGCGCAATAGGGAGGGCACGTGAAAACCCATGCTTCCATGCGGGCAGAACATCACCCCTTTGTACCCATGTCTTTTTGGAGTGCATTGTACTGTAGTACTCCGTCCTGCTGCCATTCACGGTTGTCAGCCATCTGACATACCTAGGTATGTTTTAGAACCCAGTGATCTAGGATTGCTATTTTACGTCAAGCTAGACTGACACATCCGGCGGCTGTATCGTCGTCCTCGCCGAACAAATGACCCGCTTCTCTGCAATATCTAACCTCACCCTGTCCACTGCTTCCAACCTCACTCCCCCAACATACCACCACTGCATCTACTATGCATGCAAGAACACCTTCCATTGCTCCCAGAATGCCCCAGCCAATCGCTCCGGCTATTAGCCCAACAATGTAAGCATAAAGACTGCCACGAACTCCAGCATTGCCTTCCACTTTCAACGATCGTGCTGTTGACACCCATCCGCCAAAACCAAGAGCAAGTGACATGATAAATCGCGTTGCATGAAGAATCAGCTTGGAAAGTCTGTATGGTAGAAGAGGACTGGCATCTCCGGACCATCCATCACGTGCTCGGCGTGGACTAAATGTGTTCGGATGCAACGAGGTCGTTGCGTCGCCCGGTGCTAGATAGTGCATCTGCGTGAGTCCCCTTGCACTGACCCTCAACGGCTGAGAATGGATGGCCGCATATGTTAATGCGAGAGGGTTAATCAAGACAGCAATGGGGCTGGGAATAAATGAGTACATGGCTACTCCGACCAACATGGTCATTCGTCGAGGTAGCACCAGCAATGGCAATCTGACCAGGAGGCTCAGCGCTGTGGAGAGGGCGATCGTTCCGAATAATGTGGTTGCGGAATGAAGCAGTGCGGCCTTCACAATTGCCTGTGACGTTGGCGCTGGAACTGCAAGGCGGTGGAAGTACCATTGAGAAACTGTGGCCGAGGTGACGGTGCGTTGAAAGCCAAAGGCTATCGCAATGGTCCACAGATAAATGAGGACGAAATATACACCAAGCCACCAGGTGGAAGTGTCAATCACGAATCGGCCGATACCTGACAGGGTACTGGTGTGTCCTGCAAGGAAAACTCTGGTAAACATGGACAGCCAAATCCAAGTGAAGGCGATGATGAATCCGAGAATAGCAAATCCCACCAAGACGAGTGCTGGATTAGCTGCGAGGATCCTAATCGCAAACTCGAGGATGGATATAGCCTTCTGCATCGCTAGTCGACCACGTACAACGGCCAAAATCCACAGCGTAGCCATGACAGCAGGTACAAGCGAACTCCACCTCATAATGGTATCTTGAAAACCTGAGCCATGGTTGGTGCCTTTGTAACTCGAGATCAACGGGTAGAGCGAAAACGAGTACAAGATAACGGGAACAGTCACAATGGCAGCATACACCAGTATCCGAACGTAGGATCGAAGTGCCGCCAACCAGAACAATGAAACAAAAGTCGCTACAAGGGTATAAGTCGCTAATAGATAGAAAGATCCATGCAAAGTGGTGTAGATGGTGTCACCAAGAGGGGCGTTCTTTTTAGGGGATTGTGTTTGAAGGAATACCATGAACCAGGTGGTACACATCGCTGCGAACGCAAGCAGGTAGACTTGGCCCCAGAAAGCATCGTGTCGAGGCTGCTGGCCTTGAGGCTGGGATGTACCATCGGGAATCGAGCCGTTGTCTTCAGGATAGCCTGGGGAATCCCGAAGTAATCGTCGGTGATCTGATTCTTGGTCCGAATCGTCCGAATCAAACGACCCTTCTGCTACTTGATCGCCTTTGCGCAATTGCTGAACTGAAGGCGGATTCTCCATCAGATCTTCTGGAGGTTCATCGTCGTATTCACTCCTAAGGGTGTCTTCCAATCCAACATCGACCATTCGGGCTCTCGAGGAAGTCGGACTGGGTGGTCCGGGATGGGACTCGGTCGACTCTGCTAGATCGTCTAAGCCCGGGGACCTTTTCCTTTGGTCTGTAGTCCCGCCATTCCAGGAGCTTTTGATCCCTCCAGGTCGCCTGAAGGGTGTCTCGCGCGGGTGGTCCTCATGGCTACTCGTGCCAAGGATACTCGAGCCGCTTCCATGGCCACCGTCGGAGGATTCCTTGAGGCCACTAGCCCCTAGCTGCCTTCTGGATCTTTGAAGGGCATAGTAATCGGCTATCTCCCGTTCATGTTCCTCCTCGTCATTCTCTTCCCGAAACTCGTCAGTGGCGCTGTAGAACAACGGGGCTTGTTGCGGATTTAGTCTCGAGGCAAACGGTAGGGCCGATAGTTGTGATGATGTGGGCTGGTATGGGTTCGGTATTCTAGGGTTCAGGTTCCTCGAAGCAGTAGTTGATCTGCCAGTGTGGTTAGGACGTCGACCGCGTCCATCTCCGCCCCGACGTTCATCAGTGGGAGCGAAACTGATGCGGGATTGAGATTGAGCAAGGAATCTTGAAGCGTCTGTGTGATGGTTAGACAGACTGGCCAGCTGAGTGATAGGGAAAGACTTGCATTCCGAGAACATACTGCCCACCGGCAGTGACCACACGAGCTATCAGTTGAGGGTCGATGTGCAGTGATAAGCCTGAGGCGGGGTCGGACAGCTGAGCGCGAGCGTCGATGAGCAGGGAAGCGCAATGAGAGACACTGGTAGATTGATGAGAAAGTGGTCAGAAATGGAAACAAAAGATGTTGACCTGGTAGGACAGGATGGATGCGTTGGTAGAGTCAAAGGACTAGAGTTGTAATCGGACGCTGAGGTTCACGAGATGTGACTTGTGAGTCGACTGGGTAGAGGTTGGTCGGTGGAGAAGGAAGACTGGGAGGATGCTGCATGCAGTCAAGGCTGCCACTTATGACACCGGCCTACGTCCTCCATACCAATAGAGGCGACTGACTGTCTCCAGGCAGGGACATCAAGCCTAGAGATGCTTAATTCCCGGGACCGTCCACCATCCAGCGCCCCAAGCCAAGGTCCGCAGGTCACTCCTGTATGCCACAGGCCCACAACCACAAGTCGATCGCCCCGGGCCTGAGGCTACATCTCCCCACTGGACTAGGCTGACGAGCACCCGTGAACCCCCCATGGCCCCGAATATGAAGGGGTTACGCCTTAACCGGTAAAGCTGCCTCTCCTCGGGAGCCTGAGGCACCAACACGTTTGTCGCCACTTGCTGGCTCAGCAATTCCGAGCCCTGCAGAAGTACTCCGTACTCCGTACATGGCAATTCTAGGCCCGTAACGCGTCCACGGATCTGGTCATCTCCCTCGATGGTTTCAAGCCAGCATCATCATCTCTCAACCTATTCCCTCCCAAACCAGACAACTCAACTTGACCAATACAACCGGTAAACTCTACTCCCTTCCTGCCTACCTAAGTACTCGATAGCAGCTACTGCAAACGCCTATCTGTCCATCGTCCGTCTGCAAGTTTTGGGACACCCACCTATCTTTCCGCAACCTTTCTCATGCCAACGATTACTCCTGTACCAACTCTGCCTTGGAACTACATTGCAAAGTTAGTGTGCATCGGCGATTCAGGCAAGTTTTGATCCCTGCGAGTTGTTGGCAATAGCCTGTTTCTAACGCTGGCGCAGGTACTGGAAAGTCTAGTTTAACCGTCCGGCTGTGCGAGGGACGTTTCTCTACCAGCCACGATGTTACCATCGGAGTAGAATTCGGCTCCAGAATAGTCCCAGTCGGTCCTCCCGCGAATGCTTCTCTGGGCATCGGCGTGCCGAATGGTCGTTCCAACGCTAGCCCCAATGGCGAACAGAAGAAAATGAAGCTTTCGTTATGGGACACAGCGGGTCAAGAAACATACAAGAGTATCACACGGAGCTATTTTCGCGGTGCCTCTGGAGCGCTGTTGGTCTTCGACATTACGAGGAGAAGTAGCTTTGAATCTGTTACTTCGTGGCTGAACGATCTAAGACAAATTGCGGAAGAGGGGATTGTGGTGATCCTGGTGGGCAATAAATCCGATCTTGCTGCGCAAAGCACCGATCTAGATGGTGGTAGCAAGCGTGCGGTAACTCGAGAAGAGGCAGAAGACTGGTGCAGGAGAGAAAACATTGTGAAATACGTCGAGACCAGCGCCAAAAGCGGCGAAGGAGTCGAGCTGGCTTTCCTTCAAGTCGCAGAAAGAATTTATCAGAATATCGAGGCTGGCAAATACGATTTGAATGATCGAAGAAGTGGTGTCAAGGGTTATGGAACTGGAACAGGACAGAAAGAAGGCAAAGCACCCAAAACCGTCAATCTCACCATGAACGACGCCGTCAAAAGCGGGCAAGGCAGAAATTGCTGCTAATTCGCAAGCCTGGGTCACGGTCAATGGCACGAGGAGAGGCATCCTGGTCTCCCGGCAAGGGCATTGATTGCATGACATGATGCCGGTATTGACAAGCGGACGGTTGCAGAGCAGAAAGCGCCAACTTTCCGTACACCGATTATCACGAGCGTCGACTGTCGGGCCGGTTCGTGGATGCATGTATTTCTCGGCCATGGCCCGCCCGCTCGCTATGGACCGTGAGCAGTGGATCTACCTGGATCCCGGCACGATGAGCTGGGCTATTGGGATTGTTGAAGTTCCACATTCTCGAGAATCGTGATAAACGCGATTGGAGACAGTTGCACGTCGTCAATTATTGTCGAGGGCTGTTTGTACGAGGTACACTACTTTGTAGTAGTGGAGATGCGCGAGCGCACAACTCCCAATCACCACGCCCTTTTGCATCGCCTGCAGGAACCGCCTTTGTTCTACAAGGTGCTGATTCCGTCCGAATATCCTTCGGAACTACCTGAGTAGCGCTACATAAACATCAGAGGAGGTCTCCTGTCTACTTTTATGAATGAAGCAAGCACCAACACTGGACCACTTATCACTAGCTTTCCAATAAGGGCTCTAAAGAATCAAGATAGACTTGTGTCGCTCAGGCCATCGCCACCTGTGACACCATTATCAACCATGTCGAAATTGGAAATCACCATCCCAGATTTAAAACTCCCGGACGGTAACAAGATACCATTTGTTAGCGACCATTTGCAAGACACGAAGCAATTTCGAACTGACTCGGTGCACTAGATTGGTTATGGGACAGGCACGGCGTGGTACAAGGCAGATGCCAACTCACCAAAAGACCAGAAGCTGATCGACGCGGCCAAGGTAGCCATCAGCACCGGATACACTCACCTAGACGGCGCCGAGATCTACAACACGGAAGAAGAGCTCGGCCAAGCGATCAAGGAAAGCGGGGTGGCGCGGGAGAAGCTGTTCGTGACAAGCAAAGTCATCGCCAACATTGAAGACATCCCCGGGGCCATCGACACGAGTCTGAAAAAGCTCGGCCTGGACTATGTCGACCTGTACCTAATCCACGAGCCGTTCTGGGCCAAGGGCGATGAGAGGGCACTTCAGCAGAAATGGGCGCAGATGGAAGAAGTTGCGGCCAGCGGCAAAGCGAAAAGCATCGGGGTCAGCAACTACCTCCAACCACACCTGGATGCCATCTTGAAGACAGCCAAAGTGCGGCCTGCAATCAACCAGATCGAGTTCCACCCATATCTCCAGCACGGAGACCTGCTCGCGTACCACCGCATCAAAGACATCAAAGTCTCGGCGTACGGGCCTCTCCTGCCCATGACCCAGGGAGCTGGCGGGCCTCTTGATCCGCTGCTTGAGTCTCTGGCGAAGAAGTACGCCGTCAGTCGGGGAGAGATTCTGTTGCGGTGGGTGATTGAGCAGGACGTCGTGGCCGTCACGACCAGCTCCAAGGAGCAGAGGCTGAGCGACTATCTACGAGTGTTTACGTTCAAGATGACGCCGAAGGAGGTCGAGGAGATTTCGGAGGTGGGCCGGTCTCATCATTTCAGGGGGAATTGGAACCGTATGTTTGAGAAGGGCGATAGATCGTGAAAGTCAAGGGAAGGGAATGCAAGGGATGAGATGTGGTTCTCCCCATAGTCGGGAGTATGAATAGTATGTAGTAGGTTACATGAGTTCGTCTATCTCTGGTGGCGGTATCAGAGAAGGGCCCGTGCTGTATGTGGCGACTCCCACACAACAGTCTACCAGCAGAAGGAGACGTACTGTCCCGATTTAGAAACAGAAAAACCTTTGACGGGCCGCTTTCTACTACTGCAGTGCAAAGCTAGTTTGATGGCCAGTCCTGAACGCTTGCTAGTGGTAGTGATGGTGGTAGTTGTCAGTTTAGGATCGATGCTACCCTCCTCCTTCTAGCCCGAGAGATGGCGTTGAAAGAGGATGTCGTCGGTGTGGATTGATAGCACCCGGGCAGCGAGTCATCTGGTCATCTTGAAAGGGAATCCAGGCTGTGGTCATCGCTTCCCCACACATTGAGCGGATTCACAAGGGCTAAAGGATGAGCCAGCAAGCATGGCATGCCCGGCTTGTGGAGATGGAGATGATCATGACGCAGCTGTGGCTTGTAGGGCACGTACTCGTACGATAGCTGTCTACCATAGGTACCTGGCGAGCGAGTGCCCTTCTCTCCTCGATCCCAATGCCAGGCATTACCTAAGTAACGTCGTCGAGCTTGTCGCTGGTGGCAGGGACCAACACCACCGATATTGTCAGCTGCAACCCGGGGTGTGTGCCTGTGTGCAAAGCTGGAGACCATCGGTTCGGTCAGGTCTGGTCAGGTCATGTCAGGCACAGCAGTAGCAAAGCCTGTGCTGCAGCTACACGAATGGGAGTTAATCGTGTCTCTCAGGTCGACGTTTTACTCGTTGGCTGCGTCGCCGCAACGGCAGCTGTCCAGGTCTCGATTGGTCTGTGCCCTGACTCCCTCGGTCTTTTCGCTCAGCTTCGGGTGCTGCGGCCGTCGGTCTTGGGAGCTTCGCCCGCAAATCCACCCACCGCCTTGATACCCACCTCGCCACCCCTCATCGAGGTCTTTGACATCGAGAAATGTACGACAATTCACTCGTTTTCCTCTCAGCTGCATATGATAGTCACTCGTCGTCAGGTACCCGTGCCGTGTCAGTGTGTGTGTCGTGCATTGTAGAAATCCATAAGAAGAACTCGTCGTCCCTCGCCCTTGGCAGGTGTGACCATCTGTAGATACATCTTGCACCTGCCTCGCCTTTTTCTTTTGACACAGTCACTTCTCACAATAGAAGGACCGAAGAAAGAGATCTCATCGTTCCTGCCTGTCGTTGCAGTTCCTCTTCCCTCACTTGGAGGCTTGACCTGGAGCTGTATCACCCACTCAATCCCCGCAGTAGAGACTCTACCTCACTGTCTGGGCAACTTAAACTACACCTAGTTACTTTGTGTTACAGCACTGCCACCACCACTTAGGTAGCACGACCATAGTTATCATCAAGATCCAACAGCAACCATGCAATTCTCCATACTTCTATCCACCGCCCTACTGCTCTGCGCCAATTCCGCCGTCAACGGCTTCCCACTGCTCGAAACACGGCAAACCATCACTCCACCAGCAAGATACTACCTCAACACGAAGGTCGTGAACGGAAATCATAAGGACACCGGCTCTAACAAAACGAACCTGTGGGTTTACTCACACCACACTGGTGCTGGTCTCGGTGATGCGGGCCTTTCTTCCAACAAGTCAGTCGCCTGGGAGGGCTATCTGAACGGCACTCAGCAGCTTTTCACCTATGAAAACAACCAGATAGGTCCCTGGCCTCTGGCCATTACCACTGGCCCTTATCAGCGTAAGGTCTCTCCCAAACTGGTGGACTCCCACTCGAGGTCTACCTTTTGACCAATGTTATTGACTTTTTGGCGCCGATAGAATGGAATCCTGCTACCATCAGCGTTGCAGACACTCCTTTGGATGGCTTCTTCTTCAACTCTTCTGGCCTTCAGTACAATTATAGCACCGCTGGATGGCTAGGTACGTCTTCCCCTCCCACACGACCGAGTTTGTGGCTGATCAGAATGCAGCATGTGATTGGTGGCACGGTGTCCCACAACTGTTCAACTTGAATGGCTATGCTTATGGACCCATTCCGAGCTCCTGTTCAAAGGTCCAACTCTTGCCCGTAGCGGTCTAAATGAATTGGCCCAAAAAACAACCCATTTCTTTTCAAGGCATAGAAATATCATTTTCTGATGCATAGCGTCATACCCAGACCAAGTCGTCTTGGGAGGTTTGAAATGGCTTTATCAAGCAACCACCTCTTTTTGGAGGTATAATATGTATCAACAGACAGTGCATTAAATGTCATGACTGTATGTCAAGATTTCCTTACATCCTGATTTCCCTTTGCATTGTGAACGTCCAAAGTATAGAATCAAAAATCAGATTGTGGGACCTTTTTTGCATCATGGCCAAGCGAATATGCTCTTCCTGGCACTGACCACATGATATGTCCATCCATCAATGAAGGCAGCTGCCTTTCGCACCCAACCCCGCTAATGAACAGTATTTTCTGGCAGGGTGTGAGAGTGTGGATAAGGGCTCGAGGGCGGTGGTGCCATACAATTGGATATTCCAGCTTGAATGGAATGAAATAGGTCACTAGTTAATACACTGTTGCATCAGCCGTTCTGTGAGATGTCCTCCACATCTCTATCCCCATCTTCGGCATGGAGGAGGCACAAGGCTGCGGTCCATTTGGCGGTACAATGACGCCAAAGGTGTCTTTCTCCGTCTTCCTGGCAGTTGCAATGCTTTGCCTACCCAGACCATGTTGTCTCTCGAACCGACTCGAATCGCCTCATCGGCAGGGTCACCGCCGAAGTCGCTATTAGGCGACGGTATGTGTTTTCAACCAAAAGCTGTGTCTTCGGCGGGTTCGGCGCCAACGCCAAGACTACGGCATACGCTTTTTGGTATATCTTTTGGCATTTCCTCTCGCCAGCGCGGTAGTGGCGGGATGTACCAGGCGGTATTTATGAACCCGTTGGATTGAGCAGGACGTGTGTTTTCGAGACTCGACAATCGAAGTTGACCCTCCGGTGCATGGCTAAAGTTATATATTGCAGCGGTCGCAAAAGGTGCGGGACATGTTCATGGATTTCACGAATGGCAGGGACAGGTTTAACTATGGTCTGGACTGTGATGATGGGATGGAAGAATAAAGACAGCATGTCAGGCTGACAAAAGCTCAAATTCTGTAACACAGGGGGGGGCATTGCTCCCTGCGAGGTCTCAGATGTTCATGAGCAGGGTCCCATAACTAACTGTTGCTGCATGGGGCTGACGCTTTCCCCGAGGTAGAAAGTCAAGCTGGGCATGTGGCTACAGTCGAAGAAATGTTCGAACAAAGGAGTCGGTGAGACTTCTAACTAGGCGGGTGTGGAGGAATGGCGGCGACTTGTATGAGCAAGGGAGGGTACACGTACTTGATGTGGTCCTCCTTTAAGACCCAGGAAAATCCAAACGCCGTAGCTGGGACTGATCACAGCAGTATGAAAGGTGTCATATCGAGGTTGGCCGATGATCCTGACTATGAGGAGGTACCTGTAAAGTGTCTCAAAAAGTCTTGTTGAGGAGTACATGCCATACCGGAGTTCGGCATGGCTGACGAAATAGTTCATTGATGTCCTTTGCGCTGGCAGGGACTCCTTTTTGGTCCGTTCGCTTCTGAATACCGGTATGCATGCAAGTGTGAAAGTATGCGAAGTACGGAGTGCATCACAAGAGGCGTCTGTTGTGGCTTCTTTTGGTGTGCCCACGTACCCACCTTTGCCGGCCCAACGTTGATGGCGCCATCCCTCGCAGTGGAATCTTAAAATCGCAATGACCCACGTTAGCTCCCTTCTGATGCAGTCGATATTTCGACAGACACATAACTTTCAGGCTATTCGTGGGCTGCATAAAAGAAGATATAGCAACATGGCTATCGTACTGCCGCAGCAACGAAAGGTATCCAGAGGCATCACCTCCCACCGAACCACTTGCAGGATTGTCTCACACAGCTTGAGCCATATACTAAGCATCTTCTTGCAATCTGCGCCAGGATATGAATATCTGGGCCAGAAGCAAAGTCGAGTTCATCGCCTGAAAACGGATGACACAGCAGCCCAATCCGTCTCACTTGGGCTTGCCTCATTGCATCCAAGTCCATAACCTCTGCCATGTATGGACCGAATTGGACACATGAGATTGAGGCAATGATGCTATATGGTGCGGCATGGATTGGCCAGAATGGTCTCAGAGTTGCACCCAAGGAGGTGTGCCTAATGGGCTCGTATCTTGTCAACTACGGAAATTCAAGTCTCCCATTTTTCAAGAAGGACTTCCGTGTGTCGTGGCTCATCGATCAGATGCTTTCATCTTGGAGATCTTGGCTGAATTAAAGGAAGCATGGGGATGGGGACGAGCCTGAATGCTGTAATTGCAGAATTTGCTGTTGGCTAATGAGATTTCTGTATCAGCCCTGCCAACCTCAAAGACGTACACGGCGAGGAGTCTGGGCGCTCGAGAACAGAGTGTCTTACAAGCTGTGAAACAAAGTATTTCCGGAGAGACTGTTGAACGTACCGCTCTCTGGCAAGCAGAGTGCTTATCGGCTCAAGCCCCGATTCGTTGTTCAAATCCTGCACGGCTGCTGGATCCGGCATTTGTCTATACAGAAAATCCTGCTGCTGGTTTGGTTGTGCAAAATGGAGGGGGCGAGGTACACCCTGATTCCTAGCGACACAGATCGATTGCTGACTGGAGAGACACCGATCAGGATCTAGAAATTCGGTGGGAACCGAAAATGAGGAGGTCTCAGATTGACGATGATCAGGTGCATAAAGCAAAGTGGCAATCTGCTTGGTCCTGGACAAGGTACCAGGCGGACAAGACCGATGGTTGGCTCGACTGGAGCCTGAACTTCATGTTTCGTTGGTTCAGACGTCGTACAAGGGGTTTTCTTGTAGTACCGAGAATCGTTGCCCAAATTCGTGGCTGGAAAGCCGGTAGTCAAGCGCTGTGAGTCCACATCCATCCACGTGGCATGCCTTGAATACTCACGCCTCCAGAAGTCCATGCTCTTGAACAACCTGAAGGGATACGGGCGCAAAGGCTATTCTCATAGATGTAGCCACCTAAACTATCAGGTACATACCGTGCGTTCGTTCCGAGAAATCTCATTGCTCCTGACAGGTAAACAGCAGAATATTAAAGGCAGCAGGCGAGCTGCGCAGTAATTCTGAGCTCAGAAAGCGCCTCTCAATGGGACTTGTAAATTCCAGTCCCTCCCGTCGGAAGGCAATTGAGAGGTCCAGCTAGTCAAATTCTGCAGGGCTTTCTGCAGGGCTTTCTGCAGGAGATGTGTAGGGATGGAGTTGACGATGATCAACTGGTAGTCAGTCGGGACGGCGCCTGGGTGCATGCATATCAGAAGGAAAAGCACAGTAGAACATCTGGGAGTCGTGCTCAGGAGTCGATCTGTACGTCAATTTCCCTGCCTCAAGCTGGAGGGAGGCTGACGCATGACCGGGATGAAGAATGCATGGGACGTAGGTCGAGGATCCAAGACTCAAGAGAAGTACAGGGATGAAGGATCGACATGTGATGACCAAGAGGAGTTTAGAGCATCACGTGATATAATAACTCTTGGCACTGGCGTGGCTTGTCGTTCCCCCTCCATTTCGAGGTTACGGACTGAACGTTCTGCCTCCTCGACAACAAACAATTTTTGTATGGGTGCGTCTGCAAAGCAAACATTCTGGACCATGGAAGGCTCGGTCCTTCTCATTTCGCAGATCCATGCATCAAGTTGAGTTGGATCATTCTTCTGCAGCGCTCGGGTCTGTCTCTGGATGCCTATGATCCCGTTTAAAAGCGCCCCGCCTTCAGGTCTCACAAACCACTATCCCCTGCTTGCAACGTGTCTCTAAGAATCATCGACTTGCAAGCAAACTACCTATGAGCAGAGGCCCCCCTGCAACCTTTGGCCGTGGACACAGCCGAGCAAATGAGAGCAATCTAGATGTGGCAGGCTACCCAACGCCTGATTGCTCTGATTTCGGGCCTGTTAGATCGCCCAGAGGGCCATCCATGATCCTAATGGAAACGATGAGAACGATCCCTGGCCATCTGGGAGATATGTTCAAGCTGCTGGGTATTATGTCGCGAGCCTTCCAGCAAAGTAGCCCCAGCATGGGAGATACACCGATTGGAAGCCAGGTCTCTCCTTACAGACTCTTGTACTCCAGGGCAAAAGTGGAATACGCCCTTTGAGTTCGCAGTCATCACTCGATCTGACTAACTGAACTTAGTTATGCCAGTGTCTTATTCATACGTACGATTTCCAGCAATCATCCAGGCGACCGAAACGGCGCGATCCGATGCCGACCTCGGGTCCCAGGTATCATGGGCGTGCTACTAGTATGGCAAGATGAAGGCAAATGGAACTTCAGAAAGGCGAGAGTGACCCACAAAAGTTTCTACAGCCTTGAATGCCCAAGTACAGCCACCTCTCTTAATTCCTATACCTCGTCCCTGATGCTTGTGGTTTTGGACACGATCCTCCCTGAACCTTGTTCTTACACCCAATCCGCTCTCCACTTTCCACTCGGTCTCAACTCGACTACTCCTCTTATCCAGGCCTGTGCTATTTGCCAACCTGACTTATCATTTCCCCACTCAACCTCGACCAATACGAGGGCATGTCTCTGTTCACCAGAGCTAAGCCCGCCATCTTCGACCTTTAACAACCGTTCTCCACGTTGAATATCAATCTGCCTTTTGCTGTAATTCAACTTTGCAGTTCTGTTTTCCACGATCGCTTTGGATTCGAAGTCTGATTTGATTCTTGACAAGACTTGTCTCAACTTCCTCTCTTTCCCTATTACTGGTGACTCTTTTCTCTTCGGTTCTAAATTGTACCTATCTGGCTCTGCCATCTCAGCACCACGTATTGTCTACAGACTCAATAGTGGAGGCAAGGATCAGTGAGATACATTTTTCAGCACCGATCGTGGGTGAACTTGTCATATTTCTTCTCCGTGACAGCTGTGACAGATTCAGACTCTGGACATTTACCTGGTGTGTATCCGGAAACACAGAGACTTGACTGGCTTTTGACTATATTCTGCGATTCTAGCCATGACTAGCTATGCAGCTCGTAACGCTGGCAATCCTAGTCAAGATTACAACCTGTTCTTTTCAAACCAGCACCTCGGCATCTCGCAGTATTCCAATGGGGACGGCCTGAACTATCTCTACGGCAATGGTCAGGTTCAATACCAGCCTGTTGGCTCACCATGTTCGTCGTATTCACCCGCCTACTTGCCAGGTCAAAGTACCCCATCATCTCCGCTATACATGCCTAACACACCAGTCCTTGCTCTCCAATACCAGAATTTGAGAGCACCCACTCTTCCTTCTCAGTCTCGGCCGCTTTCACGTCCATACTACGCTACCACCAGCTCGGGGGAGAGAAACGTGGGGGCGCAGCACCCTTGTTCGACTCATGAAGCGGCGACCATGGAGATGACAGAGGAACAACATTCTACGAATGCCGATACTAAGCTTTCAGAACCTATATTGCCTCCCTTGCCGGGTTTTCCCGATGTCCACGAGTTTGACGAGTTGATGAAAAGGTTTGGGCTCCAGGTACCCTACTATACTGGCAATTACTAACTCAAACGCACAGATACGTTGATGATCTCTCCCCCAAGAAGCAAGACAAAGCTTTGATACACGCGAGCAGAGCAGCAAACATCAAGTCAGTTCTCATAGACAAGAAAACAACGACCATTGAGTCTGCACAATTCCGGTGTGTTTTAACTGTTCTTTCGAACATGCTGCCCAAAAGTAGGATGCAGCAGCGGAGTAAGCGAGCTAACTGGTTGCAGATTTTGGGTCAAGAAGATGTTCACACTCCAGCCCAACGATCCCAGTCTACCAGAAGTAAGTCCAGTGGGTCAACTAGAGAGGTTACCACTGACGTTGCGTAGAAGCGAAAAAAGATCTGCCATGAAGGGAAACCTGTAGCTGTGCGTGAGAAGCTATTCAAAATCCTCACCAAAGCGCATAAGCAGTGTCAGCATGGTGGTCGAGACAAGACTTCTGCCCATGTCAGGCGTACATATTCATGGCAAGTCGACGGGTCAAGCAAATTTCCATTTCCACGACTGACAGGCTTGTTCAGGGTTCCAAAAGAGCTCATATCTCGATTTGTCAAACTATGTCCAACCTGCCAGGTGCGACGAGGGCCGAACCGAAACTCCCCCCCTGACTCTGAAAGAAGCCCAGAGGTGATGACAGAGGCCCAATCCCCAGACGTTCCTTCAGGGTCATCTTCGAGAAGGAACACTTCCACCCACAGACAGATCCCTAGCAGTGAGAACTTGTCATCGCAAGCTGGCTTCGCCACCAGTTCGACTTTCGAGCAGCAGAATCGGTGGATGACCCCGCTTCCTCCACAAGATGTTAGTATGAGCCGAACGAGCCATCTAACCCTCAATAACAACTTGAACTGCCATGAAGGCTACAGTATTATTCCACCTATGCCTATGAATTGCACCAACGCCACTCCGCCTGGCTTATCATTCTCATCTGTGAGCCCCTTTGTGAACGGTTCCACAGCAACTGCAGCTTTTACTACTGGCGCTTCTTACAAACCGTCTCGTGGGCATCTACCACCGGCTCATAACTATGGAGCCAAGCTAGAGCAAACATTCATGTGATTCATTCATCACGGAAGCCTCGTCACCATAGACTCCTATTCATTCTACGATTTTGTTTCCAGCACATATTTGGATACGGTGATGTGCACTGTGTTTCCCATTCTTCGTCCAAAATTAACCAGGGGACGATGTTACAGGCTGAAGAATTTTGGGAAGCCGCAATCGACAACCGTGCTTCTGCCGTCAATAATATTCTCAAAGTCCTCTCATTGGACCTTGCAAGGCTGCCGCAGCATATCTGGTGCCGTTTTCTAGGGCTGGGCGGGTCATCATGGGGCGTTATTTGTGAACAGATTTCTTTCAAAATCGTCAATCAGGGAGGAAAATTACGAAGATGGATTTTGCACGAGGTACGGATTGGAAAACTAAACAGATTACGACAGGAACGATACACTGCCTACCATGAAGGACCATGCATTTTCGGGGGTTGAAAAGCCAGAAGGTCTATGCGATGAGTCTTGCAGAGGGCTACTCAGGGCCTGAGCTTGAAGCCATTTGGACGAAAACTGCTTAAAGCAGTTTTCGGTTAATGTCATTGGATTCAAGCGAGGATAGGAAAGCGATTTCGGGGAGGGGAGCAAAGGAGAAGACGGTGCAAAATAGTCTGTACCAGAGATTGCTCGTGAAAAGAGCAACTAGTATCTCAAGGACATGTATCAGACAAGATAACCCCGGATGTCCGGCACCATCACGGGGCGCTTCATGGTAGTTACTCAACAGCAGAGAATTATCTGAAAGTGACTAATTCCTACCCCTTAAACTCTTCCATACGGCGTCTATCCCTCAGATTTGGCATTAAATTTTGGGTGTGCAAGCACAGGGGGCACTTTGCTGGAAGTCAATGGAACAGGCAGAGGACCGTCAGTCACCATTACAGGCAGAAACCCGGTGAGTTTGGGGACGAGGCTACTGTTATCAAGGGGTGTCAAATAAGGTCGATTTCGCGAGGTTCCGACAGTGTTACGAATCTGTCCAGAGTGACAATTGAAGCTATGATGAATGGGGTGAATACGAGGTTGCCATTTAGGACCAACTCAAAAAGAGCATGAGATACCATGTAAGTCTGGGCACCATGTAATGACCCAACCTAGTAATGACCCACGCGTTTTCTAGTCGCGTCTCCTGCTCCTCGTCTCCTACTACACCTTATCACTCAGCCTATTCATTTCTATATACGATATAATGGCATTAAATCGAGAGACTAGAATACTCCAAGCGATATCCGACTATCAAACTCGCCGATATACTAGTATCCGCGCTGCCGCGGCGGTAAATAACGTGGATCGAAAAAGCCTTGGCCGTCGACTACAGGGTAGCATTTCACGAGTAATTGCTCGTAAACCACAACAACTCCTTTCGAATCAATAGGAGTAGATGCTCGTACGATGGATACTAGACCTTAAGGTATAAGGACACCCTCCTAGCTTTACGTAAGTACGAGATCTCTGTTATGATCCGGGCTATAAATAGTTCTAACTAAGGTAGGGTTCCTTAATAGAGTAGATATAAGAGTATTTAACTAGGATAATAAAGGGAATATTTAATCGTCGGTGTCAGAGCGGATGCCATAGCCCCTAGCGATTAAGCTAAAAAGACGTGGAGTATCGACACGAAGTGTCGATATCTCTGGCAATCCACTATATATACGTACTCCTTGGCATCCCGTGACAGTCGGACTATATCCTAAATATAGGTATAGGATTCCTAACGAAGTTAACTACGAACCGTGCTATCTAGGTAAACGAGCGTGTATATATAATATTAATATCGTATCTATACGTCTATGCCTCCTTATTCCAATAGTCTATAGACTCATGGGCTATAATATTCCCTAATCCGGGTCCCTAGTTACGTGCGCTAGCCTCGCCTAGCCTCGTCGGCATACCTTCCTACAGACGTCCCCGGGAAGCCCCCCCAAGGGTGCCTGCACAAAGCGACCCATTCCTTGACCCTCGTAACAATAAGGCTTTTCGTCTACATTACCAGTACCCGTTTTACTAGGCACCGGGCAGCCATTAGCTGGGCTGCCGCTACTACGCATAAATGTCGCTGTAGTAGTAAATATGTGTCCCACGACTAGGCGCGTAGACTATAGATGCCCGAGGTGAATATTATGCCGCCCGTTCGCCCAACGTTCTTGCTTCGTCCTTCTTGCTTCCTGAATATTTCCCTTCCAGTCGCGGCCTCAGCCTTACTGACAAATCTTCAGAGTTGCCTAGCGGGGTGATTTAGGCTCATCGTAGCCGCACCCTAGATGATCCCTCTCGGCCTAATAGTCACGGCTTAAACCTTAGTATCTCTCTCTAGCCGCATCTCCTCTGTTCATCCCTTGCACGTCTGCCTTCCTCCCTCTATGACTCTCGTCCGAGTCCACCAGCAATGACCACCAAACGCTCTCTACCGATCGAGCAATACCAGGTCGGTGTAGTGTGCAAAGACAATCGGACTGCAGAGAGTCAAGAAGTTGATCGCCGCCTGCTCCTGTTGTCTTGCAGGGCACCAAGGGGCCTCTGAATGACAACAAGAAACAGCAGCACAGTTACGGACTCAGTCTAATTGTGGAGTTGGCGGATGGCTGCCCAGAAATCGGTTGGGAGATCACACACACCCTCCTGCCAGTGCTGTAGCATTGTCTCGCGGGGCCTCAATCTGGAACCCTATGGCCGGATATACGAGATTTCGAGAGCCGGAAAGTGCCATGTCTCGATGAAGGTCATGAAGGTAGTCCGAGTTGTATTCCAACTCTTGTAGAATCCTCGCATTTGACCCAATAGGTCTCAGTAGTGAAGCGATAAGACTACCAAACCCACTGAAGCTCAATCCCTTGTGAGGTGTCTCACCATAGAACGCCGAACACCAACTCCGTAAGTCAGGGAAATGGGGCAGAAAATATCTTCTATCGATTAGCGGCACTGATAAGCTACGCTTGTCTCTTTGTAGCCTTAATTATTTCGAGTGTCTATGCGCGCGAAGCAGCAATTGAAAACGTGTGTACGCCCAGAGCAACTGGAATCGGGGAATGTGTTGGCGCTCAATGACTTCTGAGTCCCAATGCTTACTACTTAAAACCAAGCGCTAAAGGCATAGCCTTCATACGCTGGACCGCTGAGGCCAGGGCTTCTGACCAAAGCAAGTTCGCAGCCGTCGAATGGCATTTCATGGCGAAAGGTTCACCGTTCGACGACCACTCTGAAAATATTAGTCGGTGTGGTATGTACTTCCTGTATGTAACGTAAAGGCTGCAGACAACGGTGGTAAGCCCCATACCAATGCTTAAGAGTATCCGGAAGGAAAGCAAACCCTCCTGTGAAAGCAAATCCTCCCTACGAAAGCAAACCCTCCCTGTGAAACCAATGCCCGACAGGTTCCGGTAGCAGCACCAGTAGTTTCCGTCATAACATGGGCCACAACACCAGCAGTTCCCTCAATGGCTGTCGCGGGCAGATTAGTCATTCCTCGAGTGACCTCGGCGGTCACATTACCGACGTCCTTCACAATATTGGCGGAGAATTCAGTAACTTCATCAGCAAACCCGGCGGTAGAGTCGACAATGTCTTTGATGGTCTGAAGAAGGTGCATTTCTGTCTGGAGGAAAGATGTTGATCACAAGCGGAAGGTAAGGCCCTAGGCTGAAGGAAACGAATTGACTTTACTTACAGGGCTATCTAATGAGTGAATTAGGCTAGTACCTTATAGTATAGTAGTTGCCGCGTGTAGTTGTCGCGTGTAGTTGCCGCGTGTAGTTGCCGCGTAATCCACGGCTGCTGTGGCCTGAGGACTTTACACTCTGCATCTCGCTCAAAGCGGCTTCCTTGCAGATCCCATTCCCCTGCACGGCTCGCCTGAACGGGATCCGTTGTTCAAGGATTATCTACCGAATTGAAACTTAACTGTAGCTCCATCTCCTCGGCGACATAAGAATAACAAAGTAATGCTTGTATGATGAAGTTTTGACCCTTGCAGTTATCGGGTTTTAGCGACCTCCAGTTTCTCCTTTATCTGCAAAGTACTCTTGATGGCAGCGCAGGCGACGCAAATCCTCGTTGAAGATGATGATGGTCTGGATTCAGCGTACGGTGGAGGTGACATCGCATCAGAGACAAATACTCTCCAGTCGAGCGTTAGAGAGTACATATACGCGAATGGCAGGAGGTATAACTCCTATCAAGCAGGAAAATATTGGTAAGTTTGTTCCAGACGACCTCCTTTTACGAGATCGACCGACTCGGACATTGTTACTAATACTTCGAATGTCAAGGGGCCCCAATGATGAGACGCATCAGGATTCTCTTGATATATCACACCATATTTTTCGCCTAGCACTCGACGGTGATCTCTTCATCTCTCCTATAGGATCTGAACCGCAACGAGTACTTGACTTAGGCACAGGCACTGGTATCTGGGCCATTCAGTTCGCTGATCAGCATCCTACGGCATCGGTGATCGGAAACGACCTCTCGCCAATCCAGCCTACCCTTATTCCCCCGAATCTTCAATTCGAAGTAGATGACTTTGAGCTCGAATGGACATATTCGAAGGAGAGCTTTGACTTTATTCATGCTCGCGCGCTGTATGGTAGCGTGTCTGATTATGGCGCACTCTATCAACGAGCGATGGATCATCTCAAACCGGGAGGCTGGTTTGAGGAGACCGAGGTAGGAGTTGTGCCTTACAGTGATGATGATACCATCAAAGGCACGACTTTAGAGAATTGGGGCGAATTAAGCCTTACTGCTGGAGATAAATTTGGGAGATCATTACGGATTGTGGACCACACCAAAGAACTCATGGAAGCGGCGGGTTTCATCAATGTGACCTACAAGAAGTTCAAATGGCCGCTGGGCCCCTGGGCCAAGGATCGCAAATTAAAAGAAATCGGCCTTTACAATCGAGTGAATTGGGAGGAGGGAATGGAGGGTTGGCTAATGTTTTTGTTCACGACGTATCATGGGGTAGGTTCTACACGATGATTCATGGTGTGGCCAGCGCACCCTAACATGGATCGTTGCTGACATTAGCACAGTGGACGTCTGACGAAGTTCGGGTCTATATCGCAAAAACTCGTCAACTTTTGCGATCCAAGCATGTTCATCCTTATCAGATGGTTTCATTCTGTTGCGGCCAAAAGCCACCAAGATCAGGGTAAACAAGCACTCCGGTTACACAGGCAGCGGCACGACACGCCGCTCCAGTCGAAATATGAGGGAGGGCTTCAGCACGGTGATGTGGATCGGATGATTAACTACTGTCGGTAAAGCTTGGGGAAATACTGGCAACCCGAACTCTCATCCAGTTGACTTCACGAATCTTGCATTAGCACTCGGCTTCCGCTGTTTAGGCAGTCCGTGCCATGCAATCTTGCTGCACATGAGCCATTAGAGATAATGCCAAGGCCATCCGTTATTCCTAAGCATATCCTTTTCTCGGGGATTCCCGCCCGTCGCCCCACCATCAACAGGGATATTTGGCTGAAGTTCACTCGGGGATGGGGAAGAGGCATCCCGCAATGTAGACTTCTGCAAAATTTGACCGTGACACACCTCGCGCGATGCATGCACCATTTCACATGTGCCCATTACCAATCGTGTCAACAGGGCTTCCATGACCGAGGATGCAACCCACAGATCAAAAGGGTCGGCATAACTACTGTAACTTAGAATATTTCCCCTTAACTAAACCCGCGTGTTTGAACTCCAGATATCAATTTTCTGACGGTAGATGAACTCGCAACCATGGACTATCTACCAATAAGCGCTACACGGCCTGCAGCTTCAATCTTGACCCTGGCATTCGCTTATGGCGTACTGTACCTCGCATTCCGCGTTATTTATCGCTTATTCTTGCATCCACTGTCAGCTTTTCCTGGCCCTCGCCTTGCCGGTGCTACGAGCCTCTGGAAAGCTTACTATCAATGCACAGATTCTTTCGCGCACCAGCTGATGAAACTGCATGAAATATATGGTATGAAGAAATCAATCGCCAGCATCATTATTACCCATGTATTCATAACACTACTCACCATTTGCACCAGGTCCTGTCGTTCGTATTCGTCCCAACGAGGTATGTCCCCTGACTAAGAGCCCCGTTTTCAAATCACCACTACCAATCTCCATAACAAGAGCCTCGATGTCTAATATAACCTAGCTCCACTTCAAAAGCACCGATGCTTTTTTTGACATCTATAACAATAAGAATCGATGGGACAAGGATGCTGCATTATACCACTCGTTCGGCGAAGATGAATCTTCATTCGGTTACATCTCCCATGTAGAGGCTAAAGAGCGCCGTGATGTGCTCTCCAGGATCTTCTCAGTCAAGGCGGTTGAAGAAGCTGAGCCTCTCATACGCCTAAAGGTACAATTATAGTATCCCTGCTATGTCGCCAAGTATTTGCTCTGATGTACTGAGTATTTCCAGGTGAACAACTTTTGCGCCGCGCTGGCCCGGCAGAATGCGGCTGGCAAACCTGCAGACCTTCTCTTTGCATTCCGCTGCGTGACGATGGATGTTATCACGTATCTCTGCTTTGGGCAATCAGGGAATGCGGTTGATGAACCAGATTTCCACGATCCGCTGATAGAGGCGATGCACAACTCTACTGCCCTAGTTCCTCTGTTTTTCCATTTCAAAATTATCAGGAAGCTTATAATGGGTATGCCACCAGAGATGGCAAAAAAGTCAGCACCGGAGACCGCAGGTCTCATCAACATGCAGCAGGTGCGTCTTCAATCCCCGCTTGGTATTTTGAACCCCTATTTCCAAGTATGATAATGCTTAAGCAAAGTCCCTAGCTCCTTAAGAAGCAAATTGATGGCCATGTGAACGACCCCGAAACTTTAGAAGCCCTCCCTCATAAGACAACAATCTACCATATTCTGCTCGATCCGAACTCCCATAAATCCCGAGGACCAGCTACCGCAAAATCGCTTTACGAGGAGAGCCAGGCCTTGATGTTTGGTGGTGGCGATACAACAGCAAATGTCGTCATGATTGGTGCTTTCTATCTGCTTAAACGTCCAGACCTCATAAAGAAGCTTAAGGACGAGTTAAAGGAGTATTGGCCGGAGCTCGGACCTGGGAGAGAGCCGAAACTCAGTATTTTGGAAGAAATGCCCTTTTTTGTGAATTCCGCCTTCGCTAAGTATTGTGGCCACAGAACACTAACTATAGGGACAGAACGCAGTGATAAAGGAATCTCTTCGCATTGGACCAGGCCTTCCGAGTGGACTGCCTCGAATTGTTCCTGCAGCAGGTGCGATAATTGATGGAAAGAAAGTCGCAGGAGGCGTGAGTATCCCTTGCAATTAAACCCTTCAAGATCTACCGCTTAGCAGAAATCAGACTGTCGTGAGCACTAGTGCATGGTTCGTGCACCACAACGCATCTATCTTTCCCGAGCCCGATGTTTTCAAGCCTGAGCGTTGGCAAAGCGAACAGGCAAAAGAATTAGAGAAGTACCTTGTTCCCTTCAGCAAGGGGACAAGAATGTGCCTGGGGTTCAACCTGGGTTGGGCTGAACTGCGTATGATCTTTGCACATACCTTTAGGAAGTTTGACTTGGAGTTGGCGGATGAAAGGTATGCACTTCTCATTCCCTATTCATTTCCCTTAAGTGGATTCATCTACTGAACAATCGTAGTCCACGGACGGAGCACTTGCCATGGCGAGATGTTTTTGGGCCAAATTTCCAAAAGCCAAACTTAATGGTTTGGATGAAGCCGGTTAAGGAATGATTCCAGGACAGATTGGGATTCCCAGTGATGCTCCTATTCCGAGAGAATAGGGGGGAGGGGGCATCACTAGGCACTATTGTCGTCGTGGGAGATCGAAAAACCTAGAGCTCTCCTGTGCACTTCTAATGAACGATTCTCTTTCCATAAAGGTCTACGATGCCTCGGAGCGCAATAGTCATGCTGTGCGTGTTTGGTCGATCGGCCAAATCGAGTCCTTGTTTGCCACACTTGACTTCGCTGGTCAGGAAGGGAAAATAGATATCTTCGCGTGTAGTGTAGTAGGATTTCTCGGTAGGCTCGATATTAAGTTTCCTCCGTTATATCTTTAGACTACTTAAATCTATATATGTGGTCCGGCTACGGACGTAGTCCATAGAAAGGGATCGCTTTAACCTAGAGGTCATTGTAACCTTCGATGAGGCCGCCAAATTCTTCTCGGCTACTAATATAGAGGTTCTCGGCCGACGGTATAATAAGAGGATATAGATGGAGGTGGACACGAGCCTTAGATTAGCCTCGTAAGAGTAAATAAAAATTTTCGAATCGCGCATCATCGAATAATAAGTTATTCGGCACCGGCTAACTTAGAACGAGAAGTTTCTCCGAGAGTATCTTATCTTTATTAATAAGCCCCGCCTTCGATGGCCGCATAAAACTCCCTTTCGTCTCTAACACTACCGAATAGTTTATACCTCGGTATACGGAATACTTCTTATCTCTTAAAACTATGCTCTCTATACTATCTCCTAATTATAATGGCCTCCGACTAAGAGTATCGGACGACCGCAATCTTTTCGGTAGTGGTAAACTTACGTCGTCCGCCTCGTTAAAGGGCTCGTTATAATGGGAGATACGATAGCTACTTCTCGATAGAGGGAAAGGTCTCGGTAGGTTCTAAGCGTGATCTCTTCGCTAGTTGGGCGTTAGTTTTAGGGGGATCGAGGGATCTCGCTTTTCGCTTTAAAGTATTAACCTAAGACAACTCGTATTAGGAACGAGATGAGCGAGATCTTCTAGAGTCTTTCTAAGGGTTCTCTATCTAACTATATATACTAAAGTAATATCGACTCGAAGCGTAAGGAGCTATAAGAGCTCCGGATGCTTTCCGTATACGATATACCTACGAGTTACGTACCTCTTTGTTAGGCACCACTCGTGCTAACAGGTAGGACTACTAGTAGAGTAGTGTAAACAGTCTTAATGTCGGATCTATCTCTCAATTCCAAGTAATACCTTGACGTGTCTGTCGTAGCAAGCTCAAAGCATGAGGTTCCCTGAGACCCGTATGCGGTGAGCAGCTCTTATATACTAGAACCTCGGCGCTCGCTTGGCGGCGCTTATCCGTTCCTGACATACAGTGGGAAATCACTACTAAATCGTAGTAGCTCGCTACTCAGCGTTAATAGCTAAATAAGCTAGTTGCTAGGAGACAACCGCGAGTCGCAATCGACTACAATGAGGTATTTACGAGTATCGAGACTATTAGGCAAGCTAGGCAGGGTATGGAGGCATTAGAGGCGACAGCGAGGTCTAGTACGCGCTCAACTACTAGTAATAGACACTTGGATAGTCGACTCCTTGACACCATTCATACATCAATTTAGTGTCAATGACCCTGTGGAATAGGCAATTCATGATTTAATTGACGTAGTGGCGATAACGAGGCGTGGGTCATTACTAGGTTGGGTCATTACGTGGTGCCCAGACTTACTGTACAGTAGTACTCCTGGACCATGCCAAGATAATACGGTGCGGTACAGGTTGCAGCTCCGGCATAATAATGCTCCACCGGAGCAGTTCAGCCCTACAATTGGGGCTGGAGCGATTCGTGGGAAAAGGAGATGCGGAAAGGGAAGGGGGGAAACCTTAAAGGCCATGCGGGTGCCCTGCGCGTCTTTCCTCCAAAAAGTGGTTGAACAGCCTGGCAATTGAGATTTCGTCTTTCATCCTCAATTCACCAGCCTTCCCACGTCGCGTCCTCCTCCAACCATTAACCAAAACTGTCGGTATCCCGTGAGCCGCCTTTGCGTCGTTATTTGAGCACACTTCTCCGCGTCGCAGCGTCCAGCTGCCATCTACTTGCCCAACATGAATCTCTTCAGGTTGCTTGGTAAGTGGTTCACGCCGCGGTCCCCAGGAAGATCGGCCTCGCTGGATACTGACTGCCTGTGCTCCTAGCCGATCTGTCCCATCTGTTTTCGATATTCATTCTACTTCACAAGATGAAAGTCTCCAACGTATGAACCAACCTGCGATGAATTTAGAAAATCGAACTTACCTAGTATAGTCATGCGCAGGCATATCTTTCAAATCGCAAGCTCTATACTTCTTTGTCTATGTCACTCGGTATCTTGGTCAGCATCTAGCCACGCCTTCCTGGGGAAAAGAAGGCATTGTTGACGATGGAAACAGATCTCTTCTGGACTTTTACCGACAGCGCATGGAACACCATTTTCAAACTCATCTTTTTGGCATCTTCTGCATATACCCTGTACGTTATGTTGAACGACTACAAGCCTACGCATGACCCCAATCTCGACACCTTCCGTGTTTCATACCTTTTGGGTGGCGCGGCGGTCCTTGCTATCATCTTCCCCTACAAGTGGTCCATCTCTGAGGTCCTCTGGGCGTTCTCCCTGTGGCTCGAAAGTGTCGCCATATTGCCACAACTATTCATGCTGCAGAGAACCGGCGAGGCAGAAACAATTACCACCCACTATCTGTTTGCCCTGGGCCTCTATCGAGCACTTTACATTCCGAATTGGATTTATAGATACTTTGCCGAGGGAGGCCACTTCGATCCTATCCCCGTGCTCGCCGGTATTGTCCAGACAATCCTGTACTCTGACTTCTTCTGGGTCTACTACACAAAGTATGCGACGATGGAATGGCGTTGTATTGAAAGGCGCTGACAATCTGCTTAGGGTTCTCCAGGGGAAGAGCTTCAAGCTTCCGGTGTAAACCAAGCCTAGTCACCTCTTCATCCAAGCGTGTTCTGCCATTCACCATGGGCGGCGCTCGTGTGTATTACCAGTGGACAGATGCCTACGAATCCTCGACACGTATCATCAAATCTGAGGAGGATCAACCCCAGAATCCACAAGTTTCTGGATGGCCTCGGAATTACGGGCTATTGTCCCCGTGGATTGAGTTTGACTCCATCTCGGAGCCATCGTATCGTTGTCAAGCTCCGTGTATGCAAAAGCAGCCCTTGACCGGTTTTATGGCTCCACACATTTAAGCAGTGGTGGCGACTGGCACGGAAGCGCAGCATTTCAGAGTATTGATGGACCTTGTCACCCCTCTCAGTTCAAACAATGCTGCGGGGGATCTGTTGGTCAATCAGGGAATTTCTAACAAAAGTTGGCAGTTCTCGTTCTCAAAGCTGGGTCTTGGAATGTGGTGGTTTGTTTTCCGGCGTAACCCATCCACGTATGATAACGAAAATTCAGTTCCATACACGCACTGTTTTTTACTACCATAGACTTTTGTTTAAACCAGGAGAATCCGATTCAGTTCGATTTCTCTTTTATCGAAGGGGCATTACTGGGTCAGCAGTGACAATCCTGAATGAGCACCCTCCTTACCTTATTGTGATTTCTTTTAATTCTGTAGAAGGGACAATATAGGGAAAAAGAACGTAAAAGTAGTTACCAGTGGGTTGAGTTACTAGTGGGTTGTATTACATGAGTACAAGTCTGGAGGAGCGATCGAATGCCCTGATAAAGTCGTAGGTGCACCGAGTAGCTGACTAGCAGCTAGACTGTACGAGCACGTGAAAATCATGACTGCTGAGAGGCGAAGCGTAAATGAAGGGACAGGCCATTAGAATATATATGATATGGTATAAAATATATAAAGATAAAATGGCTAGGAGATTCGTCTCGCTTAGTAGGCAGATGAATAGAAAATATCTAAGTCGGTAGCGGTGTGTCTAGCTGGCGTAAAGTGATTGATGGTTTGGGCTGACTGGTACATGTCCCAGTCTGTACGCCCTTGGAAGAAAGAACAAATTGAAAAGCTCGCTCGCTCACAGGAATGAGGGTATATGTGAAAACACAAACATCTGGAAACCCAGGCTGAAAAATCCTTCGCCTTGACACATGGCCGATCGACTGTTTTCTCCAAGAAGAGAAGCAAGATCGTTCGGTACTAAATGTGACAAATATGGCCACTGACGGAAGCCATCCAGGAAGCTTTCCTAGCTCTTCGTCAACATGTTCGGTAAGCCGTGACGAAAACGACCGATATATCGCTTCTCCCTCTGTTCCAAGGTAGATTTCTCTTCTCGGCCTTCTTCTCACCACGCCCTCTTCGCGCCTAGTACTGCAAGCACAACCACGACAGCGATTACAACGATACCCACAACGCACATACACCGGTTCAGATTGCGCCACCAGCGTGCGTTCTGGAATTTGAGCTCCTCAACTCCCTGAGCATGTCTCTCAAGCCGCAGTTTGGCAACGATGTCCATCTGTTCCCATTCAGCGGCGTCTAGTTGCTGTTGTTGAAGCTGCTGCACACTAAGCCGGCTGGACCGCTGTTGCTGCATAAGCTGTGCTTGATACTGCGCAGAAGCAGCGGCGCGCTTTTCTAGATCTCCAAGACCGTCTGGCCTTTTTGGTAGTGGGAGGAAAGCAGCCACAAACCAGGCCAATGGCAAGAGAAAGCCAGAAGTGAAAAGGGCGACTTGGGCCGTTCGAAGGTCGGCTCCACCAAAGAAACTTGAGCTTGCATCAGTTATGCTCGGTGCAGTCCATTTCGCTTTTGCATTGAACGGATAACCGAAGCCTAGAGAGACAGATGATCCAGTATTAAGTCTGTGGTCGTGGTGGAGATGGGGAGAGCCAGACCAGCGATTTTGCGTTCGGGCGCCATAGTAGATGACTGACTGAGACGAGCTCAAGCTGATGGCACCGTTCGACCCAGTGCGAACATGGTGATGACGGACTGTATAGCTGGAGCCACGCCCGTCCTCATTAGGACTTTCGTGAATTTCGACTACCCCAGCCCAATGGGCGCGTGGATCGGCGGGATGTAAAGGGGCTGATAGTGAGCGTCCATGGCCTGAAGATCGATGGGCAGCAGGGTAAGAGTGCACACGATTCGATGCGATGGCTGCTGTTGCTGGGCCACGGATCGGATTTGATACCAAGGGCCCTACGCCTGGCAGGGTGTGTGATTTTCGCGCCTCTAGCTTGGGTCGTTTCTTTGGGGTTAAAAAGGCTTGAATACGATCACTCATTCCTTGATGAACATTAGAAGCACTTTGTTGAGATTTCGAAGTATTAGGACGTGGAGCAATGTATTTATGAGACTGCACATTGCTCAGATTGACATGTGAGCCGTTGGAATACAGAAAATTGAAGGAGTCTCGGTAAAATCCCGAATAATATCGTCGAGCCCAGGTTGGAACAACGTTACTGGCTACACTGCCAGACGAAGAAGGACGACGGGAGGTAGAAAGAAAACTATTTTGTCGTGACTGCGTTAAATTTCTCATAGAATTAATGCGCGATGCAGATGAATTTGCAGGTGAGTTGAGATAGCCGTTGCTGCGAACGGGTCTGAGGGGTGGTGATCGGTAACCATAATCGTCTGGAAGCGCCGAGACCTCGTCAGAGGCTTCATGAGAGTCCTGCTCATAAGGGTCAGATTCCGGTACAACCCGGATCATGGATTGATTCGCGGATTCATTGATTATGAAGGTGGAAGCAGGAGCGAGGTCATCAGAGGTCAACAGGTCATCAATGTCGTCCTCTGTGAGTGATGACGCCTTACTTCCACGTCGTGTTCTAGTCCAAGAACCTTCAGAAGGTACAGCGGATAGTCTGGAACAAAACTTTGGCGCTGGTGCATCCGTAGACAGCGACCTCGAGTTTCGTTTAGCCACCACAAGGCCTACCTGTTGGGTAATGAGAGGAGCCCGAATTATGGGATACTGGATACGCGGCGGGCTGGAACTGAGGGCGTCCTGCAGGCTCGCGTGGGTTTCAGCAATGGAACTATCATCCGAGCTAGGGTGATTGGACCTTCCCAGCGCCTCCACTACAGAGCTAGAATCTTCGATTGATTCTCCCCTCGGACGAAGACTCTGGGCGGCGGATGAGCTTGGTGTTGGTCTCTGTGTAGGTGATGAATGAGCGACTGTGACGGAGGTAGCATATCTACCAACGGGAGGACTGGAAGCTAGTGGATTTCTTGCTCCAGTCCGCTCCGCAAAAGAACGACTATCCCCCGTATTCGACCTTTTGCGCTTGAGGGATGAGGTCGACGAGGAGCGAGTATGAGAAGCGAAATCCGGAACTCTGGGACGCAAAGTAGGGGACGACGTTCCAAGTTTGATGACATTTGGACTGGAAGAGGAATCAGTTGACTGGAACTGCTCTGTACTCGAAGTACGAGCGAGTCGAACGACATTGGGGCTGGAGGAGCTGTTTTCAGTGGGATAGAATTCAGCGGAATGAACGCTCTCAGTCTCGTCGAAGGGCTCAAGAGCAGGACTGGTTATGTCTTTGAAGGCGAATGGTCGTGGACTAGAAGTCGCTCCCAGCACCCTATAATTCGGACTCGAAGCTGCCGCAAATTTTTCAGATACCGAAGTGAATGAGGAGCGGGATGATAGGCGTTTCGCAAAACGTGTTGACTGCGGCAAGGATGGAAGAAGGGCCAGGTCGTCGGAGGATATCTTGCGAAGCGACTCCCATGCATAAGGGCCTGACAAGCTATCATTTGAGCTGACGCTTCTTAATCTGGAAGAGTTCGCTGTGCTAGGGCGAAGTGGAGGTGAAGTTGCCGTAGATGGACGAGACGATTCGTCTGCTTGCGATTCGTAAAGATCCCTCAGAGCCTTAACGGACCGCTTCAATTTGACCGTTGGCTGTGCTGAGCCATTTCGGGGGGTTCGATCACCATCATAACTTCCGCCCAAATCGCTTTGGAAGGTCAGGCCGAAGGCATCGGTGAGTGGGCTGCCGCCGCTTCGCTGGTTGCGAAGGGTACTGGGAAGGAGGACATGTGCAGCTTTTGTTGGGAAAGGCGTAGCGTTGTAAATGCTCGAGTTCTCTTGATCTAATCTTGCATCTCTGGCCAAAATACCCGAGATCTCATTTGCTTGAGATTGAGATCTCTCCTTCAGAGGAGTTCGTTTCGGAGAGGTCCGCTTCGGCGATGTCTGCTTCGTCGAAGGGGACGAGGACATTTCTATCTCATGGTAATGGAATTCTGTCGAGACACAGCTGAAACGTGATTCAAGTTGAAAGAGATGACGAAATGAGCGTATCGATTATGGCGTGAGGACAGAAACACAATGTTGGGACAGTAACGAGTGACTGGAGGTGAGCAGTTGAGCAGGTGAGCAGGTGAACTGTGTAGCTGGAACAAAGGTCTATGCTCAGAAAAAAAACAATTGCAAGTTAGCAACTGGAGTGCGTCTGTGCTAGCGTCATGAAAGGTAGCTCGGGCTACAGTAAGACATGAATGATGCAGGTGCGGATATGCATATGCACGCTGCAGGGCGAGTTAAATTGATATGACAGCACGGATGTTAAGGCTTGTGGGTTGACAGGCGATGGTTGAGATGGGCGGTGAGGCTTCAAATTGGGTGGTGGTCTGTACAGGAATGCGGAGTCAACGTTGTTGTTCACTTCTGGTATTCAATGATTATGAAGTTGAAGATGCTGAGGGTTGTCGATAGAATTCCATCAGAACTGATGGCTGGGTTCCCACATGACACCTACTGCCCGAGTCTTGTTCCTTGCTTAGGGTCAGAGGATGATGGAAAGGATCAGGGGAGCAGGCACAGCGCGATTCAGATCACCAGGGTCAGCTCTTGGGAGAATGGCTATTGCGCAAGCCCCGGAGGCGCTGGGATGCTGGTATATTGGAAGTGTGTCAAGGAGGTCGCGTCTGTCCTAATCGCGTGGCAGAAGCGGCCGCCCCTCATTGCAAATTCTCCGATTGGACGCGTGCCGGTCGCGAAATTAACGCGTCAATCTGAGCGCGACAGGGGGATGATGAGGAAGATGAGCATCCGAGACTCGGTAAAGTCATCCTCCACAGTGGCTTTATGGAACTAATCAGCAATAATCGATAATCTTGTCTTGTACTTCCCTCTTTTGCTGATCAATTTCTCCGGGCTCTTGTCACTGGGTGTGGTGGCTGTGGGCGTGCAGTTGATATGCAGTGTTTCAATCAATAGTCGAGACATTCTTCCTCTGGCCTGCGGACTGAGAAGCGACACGGGAGAGGCGGTGTCATTTGAGGGCATGTGACTGTCATTTGAACGTCAAGCACACACAGCCTTGATTCCCCCCTTCCCGGTCTTGACCTTTGCCTTCAATCTACCAAGTAATTACTGCTAGACACTACTACAAACCTTTTCCAGTGTGGCTAACACTCTCTGCAACCCTTCTTTCCACCTGGCATCATCATCCACCTATCAATGGCTCCCACTGAGCTGTTCAACCGGCTGAAGGAGTCGTATTTTGGCCATGAAGGTATGTTGTCTCATTCATTGGATGAGGAATGCCCCTTTGCCCTTGTCCTGAAACTAGTCTGGACTCTGGACTACTCAAACGACCTCTTTCCCTCCACTTCTATCATCCTCCACTAGATCGTCATCCCATTTCGTTGCTAGATCCATTCCGTTCTTCTGCTATCGATAACTGGATGGATGACATGCTGATCCCTCTTTGACGATAGAAAAGGACAATCCGGTTATATCAGCCACCACCGCAACCGCCCTTTCTGTAAGTTCACCTACTGGCCTTTTGGATACTGTTTCACCCGCACGGGGTCGCGTTGCGGCTGTAACCTGCGGCTGGACCTGCGACTCTGATTGCCTCGCCTCCTCCATTTGGTGGTGACAAATGGCGACAATACTGGTACTGACTGACCCGACCCGGAACTAGATTATATTTACTCTCATCTATGTGGTCCCGTTCTATCTGTCCAGGACGACTAGGCCGTCACCAGCGCTCAATCGAGATGCCCCTTCGGTCATCCGAGCCCGTATCCAGACCGTCACATTGGCCAGTGTGGTTGCTTCCACGGCAACTCTCTATTTACTTGTTGTGACAGCGAAACTGACACCTATTCAATCACTCCACTTTCTTGGCTACTGGCCCCTCTCAATCACCGATTCGGCCAAGTCTTGCGCACTGGCTCTTCTCCTATACCTCGGACCCTTGTTCGAGAAGATCTTCATCGAGGGTGACATGACCGATCTCCGTCGGGGTCGAAAAGTGGTCGAGTCATTGAGCAGTTGGCAGGGTTATCGAAACTATGTCGCTGGTCCTATCACCGAAGAGGTCATCTTTCGTTCCGTCCTGGTGCCTCTGCATCTGCTGGCAAAGATATCTCCCATCAAGATCGTGTTTCTCACGCCTCTTTTTTTCGGAATCGCCCATGTGCACCACTTTTACGAGTTCACGTTAACTCATCCTCATACTCCAATGGTACCGGCGCTGCTGCGGTCGTTGTTCCAGTTTGGGTACACAACCTTGTTTGGCTGGTTTGCAGATTTCATTTATCTTCGGACCGGATCAATATATGCCTGTATCATCATCCATTCCTTCTGCAATTGGGTTGGTGTTCCTCGCTTCTGGGGCCGGGTGAAACGCAGGGAGCGGTACCCTCTTTCCCCGGTTGCGATCAGGGGCAAGGACGACCCCGATGCCATCCATGCGCGTGGCGGAGGGGATGCCCTTGGTCTGAAGTGGACAATAGCCTATTACATTTTATTGGTGACTGGGGCACGTCTGTTTTATAACGGGCTCTGGCCGTTGACGGCATCGGAGGCTGCCCTTGCTCATTTTTCAAGCGGCGAGAAGTTGAAAGAATCCAAGCGGTGGTTCTCATAGGGTAGATTTGACGACAATAATTGAATGCTTAGACTAGCGTGCCAATGACAAGTATAATTACAGCAAACACTATCGACTGAACCTGCTCGTTCATTTTGACCGCCACTTACGGAGTACAGCGTCTGCGCGAGGCTAATCACCAAGTGCAAGGCTGCAGCCGAAGCCTTGCAACGTCATTAACGATTATCGCAATTGTCCACGCGGTCAGACTTACACCTCGCTCCACACCATAATCACTCCTCCAATTCTTTCTGCCGCTCGTATGCACACTTCCTCCCCTTGACAGCTTCCAGAACATCCAGAACGTATGATACCCCTCCGATCGTCATCCTTGACTCGGCAAGCCGAAAGGGCTAAACTGGTGACCCGATGTTTTGCGCACTCCGTTAAACGGACGCCGACGCCCCTTTCATCTCCAGCGTTCCCAGTCATACCAACATGTCCCTCAGCAACATGCCAATGCTCCTCTACACCACCAGGTCTCGATATCGACCGAAAGAGAGACCTGAATGGCTCCATGTCGCCTTACGCGCAACACCTACTCCTCTCGACCGGGCGCATGGACTGGACAAGCAGGATCGAGGATGAAAGGGACACTGCATCATGGGGACGGCTCACCTCAGAAATGAAAGGGATACTCGGACGGGGTGGTGAATTCCACGATGTATGTTGCGAGGCATCATTCCTTCCCCTCAAGCGGCTGTCCCTAGAGAAAAACGCTGACTTACACGAAGCCTGCGCCCGAGTTGTAACAGCCTTACAACAATATCCTGATCAGCACCTCTTCATTCACTCCGTGGGAGGAGCAACAGCAGCAATCTTCGCTCGAAACCGGCAAAGTCGACGCCATCCTCTTCCCGGCCTTCAAGCATATCCGATCCCTTACGCCTAGCACAGCAGCAAGTACAAGCACAACTACAAGCGAAACAGCCACATCGCATCTCCTACGGGAATTCACACGAGCGTTCCTCCTCCCGGAGCGCCTACATCGCATCTACGACGGGATCCCCAACGCCGAGCGCCGAGCAAAGACGCGGGATCCGACGGTCGCGACGAACCTGCCCATCAGCGTCGACGACATCAACACGACGACGATTCTCATCTGCAGCCACGGACAGAGAGACAGCAGGTGTGGCATTCTGGGGCCACTGCTCCACCGCGAGTTTCAAGCATACATCGACAGCCGTTGCCGGAGCACAACGCTGGAACCCGCCGATTCGACGAGGTATTCCGCCCAGGTCCAGAAATTCCTCGCAGCGGCGGACGGTTCTCCGTCGTCCGAGCCTGTGCCCGTCAACATCGGCACGATGTCGCACATCGGCGGGCACAAATGGGCCGGCAACGTGATCGTCTACACGCCACCGAACGCAGCGGCGTTGACAGCCGGTGCGCGCCATCCTCTCGCCGGCAAGGGCATCTGGTACGGCCGCGTCGAGCCGTGTCACGTGCAGGGCATTGTCGAGGAGACCGTGCTCCGCGGCAAAGTCATCCGCGATCTGTTCCGCGGGGGTCTTGATCAGGATGGCTCTGTGATTAGGCTATGAGCAATCGGGGATGGCCTGGGGGTTGGAGGACGGATCGTCGTGATGGCCCCGTTGGTGTTGGCCACGCGACTCCAGCCGGACTACTGTACTACAACAAGTGCCTCCTCGCACAGTGAGTACTTGTGTACTGGTGTCGTGAAGTGCGCCCTGGGCGTGACTCTTAAATACACTACATGGTCAGAGTAGAGAGGTCAAGTCGAATGTAGAAGATATTTAGATTGGCGGGGTTTAGAGGCACGGCATAGCATGGTGAGAAAGAAAAGTTCCCACGCGGTATGAGGCGCAACCATGCTCAGCAACGGACTCACTCCTATCATTTACTTATTATGGTTGGCACGGGACTTTACTTCGTATGTACTATGTACACGCCGCTTCTCTCATATCATGCTATCATGCTGTCGTCTCACTCTACTGGTCAGTATTTAAAGTATCTGCTACCGATATCGACAAGGCTTGCCTCGGTCTGCGGCCTTTCGAGTTCCGAGCGAGCTCTTCATCGTTAAGCCCACTCCCTTCCTCTTCTCCTAGGCAGAGGTTCCAGATAATCAGGTCCGTTGAACCTGCCACCGTCATCATCGAGCTCGTCACTATCCCATTCGTCTTCCTGGTCGTCTTGCGCAAGCCGTAGAAATCGCTCTAGTCCTTGTGCGAAGCCCAGGTTGTTGCCTTGTCCGGGTGCTGCCAGTGGAAGCATGCCAGGTAAAGGTTCGGGTTCATTGTCCCCAGCATCGGGATTCATCTCACGGGCAACAGGTTGTGCCAGTGGCTGATTCCGCGCTTCTCTGTTTGCGCGAGCAGGCTCGTTCTGCATGGCGCGTTGTCTGTTTCCTTGTTGACCGTGTCCTCGCCGACCGTGTCGCGGGAGTGGAGGATTGGGTGCCGCTGGAGGTGGAGGTGCTGCAACAGCTTGGGGTCGCTCAGGTAGCATAAATCTCTGTGGATTCTGAGCGCCAGGGCGCCCGAAATTGACGATTTCAATATGCATCTCGCGATTTCGTCGAACATCTGGAGCAGGTTCTTCGTCGGACGTGTCGTCTCCATCTTCTTCTATGAACTCCAAGATCTCCGGTTCGAAGTCATCGTCGTCGACCTCAGGCTCAACTCCTTCCCCGTGTTCTCCCCAAATAGCCCTGAAATGAGCATCAATATCAACACCCTCTCCATCACCAGCTTCGAGAACCCAGAGCCGCATATAACACTGACTCTTTTCATCGTTGAAATGTGAATATGGATTGTCGGCCATCAGGTAACTAGAGCAGAGGTAGCAGAAATGGGTTTTGCAATTGAAACAAATCATATGATTGCAACCCAAGGTCTTTTGCGCTCGTGCATCACATGTTGGACAGGGTGTCGAGTATTTCTCAAGGTATGCTGCCGAAGCAGATTCTTCTTCGGTAAGTTCTTGCAGTCGGCGTGGACTACATCGTGCAAGTTCGCCATGCCAACCTTTACGGCAAACGCAGCAGAAAGCAAAGGAACAATCTTCGCAGACACACAAGCGCTCGGCCATAGGAAGGCTCTCAAGATCATCAGGCCGTGGTTGCTCTCCTTCAGATTCCGAGGAGTCTTCGAATGTGTCATTCATAGGATCAATAGGTTTCGGGTGCTTTTTGGTTCGAGCAGCACCTTGACACCATTGCCGAGGACAATAGATGGTGTTCTTGTCAGCCTCCAACCGTTTTTTGCGCTTTAGCCGTACATAGCGTTGAACAAGCTCCTGGTCAATTGGGATCTGAAGCAACTCGCTCGGATTCAGTGTTCGATCTTGCTTCTGTCTTTTAGATGGTCGGCCATTCTCTTCGGGCTTTGTCGGCTTTTTCTTTCCACAGGTTGGAGATAAGCATTTGACATTGTTGACATCGCCCTCGGTGATGCAGCTCTTGTAGAAATCCTGAAGGCATGTCACGCAGAAGACATGGCCGCACAGCGTGAGTCTGTGGCAATTGATGCCTTTCTTAGGCTCTAAACAGATGCCGCAATCAAAGGTGCCCTTGTCGAAATGCTCTCGCTTCGTCTTGAGATCAAAATCCAGTAGTGCCAATTTCAGGTCACTCGATAATTGTAAGTCGGTCCCTGCGAGACCGAATGCACTGTCCGCCTCCTCCTGCAGCTGGACAATGTAGGTGTACAAGACCAGGTCTTTCCCCACCTCTTCCCACAACCTCGCGCAGTCCTCACTCAGTCTTTTCAGAACAGGTTGGGACAGCCAAGGAGGGGAAACCGACACTGACACAGTTGGAGGTTGAGTGGCCGGGTAACCCCCAGGGATATTGATACGGAGGGTCAAGGGTGGCAGGTGGGACAGATCGTGGGAGTCGAGCTGGAGGCCCTTCTGGACTTGGGGTTTCACACCTAAGTCATCATGATCTTGTTCGGTCGAAGTAGGAGGCGTCAAGAGCGCACCGTCAGCAGCGGGCTTGAAGAATATCCGGAGAGGCTCGATGGGTGTCACTGGTAGCTCGAGAGTTGCAGTGTATGAATCATCGGGATCAGTGACCAGCTCAGGGAAGATCGAGGCGATGGAGGAAAGTTCCTCTCTTCGTTCATCGTCGGTCGAGTCGGTGTCATCGTTCATGCTGGAACGAAGGAAAGGTGGCGGATGAGGTGTATGAGGGCATGTGTGGGTGGGCAGAGGACAGAGAAGAGCCTCCGTCCACGAGGAAGACTTCAACGAAAGGACTGCGTATGGGCGGGAGTCACGATCTATGAAGAAGCGTAGAAGGCTGCAGAAGGTGAAGGTGACTCGCATTGCCAATTGGCCCACACGGCAGTCACGTTCTCGTAGTGCTGAGCCTGCAAGGGAATGACGAAGAATGACGCACTAACTTAAATAGCATCTTTAGTACGAGTCTACGGACAGTTAGACGGTGATTGCGAGTGACGCTATTGGTGTCGGATGTGAAGCAAGCATTCCAGGTAGAGATGAAATCCAACTTAGTAAATAATAATGCAAGTACTGTAAGGCAGTCTGGGCAGAAGGTGGCAGACTCCTGAAGGTGAGAAAACAAGGATGTATCCGTCTACAGGACGCTTGGCCTGCAGGGATTGGTTGTGTGCCCCTGGCCAGCAACACAATCACCCTCGTTCACCTCGAAAGCACAGAACACTGCCTCGTCTCCCAGCCTCGTCCTCCTGGCAATAGTTTCCTCAGCCTTTGTATTGCTTGTTCGGGAACCACCATCACCTGAGTCATCATGGAAGATTCTCCACTGGTATCTTTATCGTTGACTCATGTCCGTTATGTACGACGCCTCGTCCCTCTGCTGTTGACTCTGATCTTATCCCTGACACTCGGCAGAATCCTGACGACCCCCTATCATATCTATCGGCGTGGCTAGCTCTGGTCCCGCAGGGCCTCTGCGTGATCTACGTCACGCTGATCTGGGCTTCACGAGAAATTGAGGTGTTTCTCATGTTTGCAGGACAAATGGGCTGTGAAGCCCTGAACTTTGCACTCAAACGGCTGATTCGCGAAGAGCGACCCAGACGTAGGTGATGACCCGCTGTTGACTTCCCTTGATATGTACATTGACAGCCAAAGAAGAAATGTACGGCAAAGGTTACGGCATGCCATCTTCTCATGCTCAGTTTGTTGCCTTTTTTGCCGTCTCGTTCACTTTGTTTCTCCTGATACGTCACGTGCCGACCAAGTCGACAAGCTATTCACCATCAACCTTTCAGGAACGATTGCTGCTCTCACTGTTAGCTTGTTTATGTGCTGGAGCTGTGGCGGCAAGCCGGGTGTATCTTAATTATCATACCCCAAGACAGGTATGGGCCGGTGTAGCTGCCGGCACGATTTTTGCCATTGTCTGGTTTCTTGCAACCACATTCTTGCATAAATCTGGCATCGTCGACTGGCTTCTGGAGACTCCGATACCTCGAAGGCTGAGAGTGAGGAATCTAATTACTACAGAAGATATTCAAGATGCGGGCTGGGGACGATGGGAATCACGGCGGAAAGCACGTAAGGATGTCATGGGGAATGGATCAAGTAAGAAGCGCCAATGAAGACAGGGAACAAGGGAGGAACCGGACTGCGAATGCTATGCCACCGCCATCATGAACATCCTCGAATGGTCGAGTTCCACCTTGGCCTACTACTGTAAATTGGTGTAACATGCCGCAGTGCGGTTCCTACAAGTGGTGGTGCCAAGGATTCCGCTATCACATGGGATTAAGCAAAACGGTGTAGAGGAAAGTGCTCGGAGAGGCCCACTACAGTATACTACGAGTACTCTTAAGACTCATGTATTATACTCCATACATGTCCTTGAACAACGCTTTCCCGTTTTGCTTGAAGTCCAAATTGCCAGGTAAGGAGAGTTTGCGCGGGTCGTGCCACGTGCGCCAACGACCTCGGTAACGAGTTCCATTCGAACTACATAATACAATCCCTTGTACGCCGTACAGTTGCATTAGCCAGGTTGGGAAGGCTTAGCTTACTCTTAGCCACGAAAATGACTCCCAAGTGGACACAGGCACCCACAGGCCTACGAGTGTGTATGGAGGACGGACGACGGAGTACGGGGCGCCTCTAAAAAAGAACCCCCGTCAGCCAGAGGAAGCCTCGTCATCCCAACGTTTTCGTATGCAAATCTTTTGCATGCCGCCAGTGCCCAGTCGGCTCAGCTCCCATTTCAGAATCACGACTCATTTTGCAGGCCTCAATGGATTTCATTGCTGACCCTTCCTTCGAGAGTGGGAACGAGTGCATATGACTAACCACGCTCTTTGGGACACACAGCTGCAACTACAAGGCTACGGCCAACTTTTATGTACATGCCGATGAAGTTCACTGTTCTGTAAGGCTGTGGATCTAGACTTCGTGGACTGCACACCAGCTCTTGCGCCTGAGTCACCGGGGTCTGCAAAAGGTGGAGACCAATAGCACATTGTGACTGTCCCTAAATCCACTAACAGGGTCCCTCGGGCTCCTGAACGCAACCATAAGGGCCTTTTAAGCTTCTCAAGGATCTTTGGAAGATGAGTGCCTAATGTCATTTCCTTTGTTTCGAGGAAGTTGTTAGGATGTTCGCACAGGATATGCATCGATCTGCGCTGAGCTCCCTCTTGACAGGCCTGTATTATTTTGCCTGTGTGTACATTGGACTCTCTTTCCTCGGCGCGTCAATCATCAGCCTTCTCACTTTACAACCATTGACGAAGAGGAAAACATCGGCAACGACAAGGCGCAAGGCCGCCATCTGCTTAAGTGCGTTCATTACCGTCAACTACATCGTGCAAAGTGCGCTGTTCATCTCGGATAACCTACGCGACGTTAGAGGGAATCTGCACACCCAAAGGACTGTGGTTTACGAGCTGCTTCAAGCGCTGACATGGACGACGTTGTCGTTGACGTTGTTCGACAGCACCGAGCCCCAGTGGAAGTCTTTCACAAGTTCATGGACTGTAGCACTGGCGCTAGAATGCCTCATCATTGTCCTGTCTTCGTGGAGTGTCCACGACGCCGAACAGCCCAGAGGCATCAACCTCGCCCTGCAGTGTGCAAGGATTATCAAGCTCGTTCTCTTGTCAGCACTCGGCCTTTCCATCATCATTGCCCACCACGAGAAAGCTGGAAAGGATGAGACTCGGCCACTGATTCCTGCAGATCCTTCGACAGCCATAGCAGGAACCCGTATTGCTCGCTCCTACGATGGTACAGGCGAGCTGGAAGGAGAACCGGGAGCTGCGGATACTAGCAGCCTACACGGGAGCAGCTCTGAAGATTCAGAAGACGCCGAGTTCTGGGGAGAAGAGCGAAGAAAGCGGATCAAGGAACAAGGAGGATGGAACAAGTACCTGAAAGAGTATCTGATCTTCTTGCCATATATCTGGCCAACGCACGACCGGCGGTATCAGCTCTACTTTGTCGTCTTGGGAGTCAATATCTTGGCCGAACGCGCACTGAACGTGCTGTACCCTAGGCAATTTGGAATCGTCATGGACAAGCTCTACGAGTCATACAGCACTGGCCAAATTCCGTGGAAGGAGATCGTGGTCTGGAGCATTCTCCGGTTGTTGACGTCCGGATCGTCAGGTCTCTCGGTGCTTAGCCAGATGCTCGAGGCGAGACTTGTGAATTGGTCACATCAGAAACTGAATGTGGCTGCGTTCGATCACGTCATGGGCCTATCAATGAGTTTCCACGACGGCAAGGATTCCGGGGAGGTCATTCGGGCAGTTGAACAGGCCGGATCATTAAGTTCGTTGCTCCGAACAGTGGTTTTGGATACGTCGCCGGTTTTGTTGGATCTTTCCATTGCTTGTTGGTATCTCACCTATCTTCTGGATGCTTACGCGGTGGTCATCGTGGTGTTTGTCGGGCTGTCATTTATCTTTGTGACATACTATATCACAGTGGTGCTGAAGAGATCGAGAAGAATAGCTGCCGCCAACGGCCGAGCGGAAAGTCGGATCCTATACGAGATGGTCAGTAACTGGGCGACTGTGTCATATTTCAATAGGAGGAAGCACGAACAAACACAACTGGCGCAGACAATCAGGGACGCGACCATGGCCAACCAGTGGAACGACGATGTAGGTTTGGTGTTGTTCGCTGCCCAAGAGTTCTGTCAGGTCTTCGGCCGATTTCTGATCACAGTGCTGGCTGCATATCGCATTGCTTATGGGGTTATCCCAGTGGGGAATTTCGTGGCGCTGGAATCATATTGGGATACGATCACGTGGCCTCTTTGGATGCTCGGCCACAGCTACCGTCAGCTGGCGTCGGATCTGATTGATGCGGAGAGGCTGTTGGAGCTGTTCAAGAAGGAGTCCGAGATTCAAGATGGGCCGTTGACGCTGTCGGCTAAACCTGGAGCTGGCAAGATTGAGTTTTCCAACGTGTGCTTCGGTTACCACAAAGACCGGGACGTGCTCAAGGACTTTTCCTTCACTGCCAATCCTGGCCAGACGGTTGCTCTAGTGGGAGAGACGGGATCGGGGAAGTCAACGACACTGAAGATGTTGATGCGATTCTATGATGTGACGTCTGGAAGTATCTCGATCGACGGGCACGATATTCGCGAGTTTTCAGTGCACTCACTACGAGAGATGTTTGGATTCGTTCCTCAAAACGCAGCACTGTTCAATACGTCGATTCTGGAGAACGTCAGATATGGACGGCTGGAGGCCAGCGACGAGGAAGTTCATCAAGCGTGTAAAGCGGCGGCAATTCACGACAGGATTAATTCGTTTCCCGAGGGATATAACACCAAAGTAGGTGAGAGGGGCGTGAGAGTGTCCGGAGGGGAGTTACAGAGAATTGCGATCGCTAGGGTGATTCTCAAAGACCCTCGGATTGTGCTCCTGGATGAGGCGACGTCGGCTCTGGACACACATACCGAGAGCAAGATCCAAGAGGCTCTGAGGAATCTGACCGCAGGACGAACGACCATAGTGATTGCGCATCGATTGTCGACGGTGACGAGTGCAGATCAGATCCTAGTGGTCGATAAGGGCAAGATTGTGGAGAGGGGATCGCACGACGAGTTGCTACAGATGAGAGGAGAATATGTGGGTTTGTGGGAGAAACAGACCATGGTCAGAACCCGGCAGGTGACGGTGTCAGAGACCGAGGCCGAGACCGCAAGAGAATCAAGCTTGGGATCGGGCGACACTGATATCTCGACTTGATAGAGGATACCGACGCCGAGGTACGGCGTGCTTTCCCAGAGCTCGGTGGCCCAGGCACGTTCAGAGTCCCAGGGCCATCCCAAGTCTGCGGACGAGTGACTGCATTGTTGATTGTTTTCAGCGGCCCTCTCGGCCCATCATCAATGATGAATGGATTAGGGGTGAGGAGGTGGACCCATGGAGTTGTGATGAACTATGGAGGCTGAGGTCATCGAAAAGAGTGGGCTCTTCCCGACAAGGCACGAGTAATCACGATGAGGCTTGCCATGGGCTTATGTATGGCTGTGGTTCAGGCCACCACGGCAGCTTGTCAGCCGGCAAATAGGAGTGGCATGTCTGACATCCTTTCAACTTTAAAAATATTGAAGCACTCCAAGGCTGTCACCCGTGTTCTGTCCGCGTGGATATACATACATTGGCGGTGGGTGAGCTTGGTTGCTGGTGCACAGCGAAGGACTATGCATGGTACCCAATCCGAGAAGGCGAGGGTGAGCGTGAGGGTGAAGGTCGAGTGCAGAGCCAAATCAAGGATGTTCTGAAGTAGTGACGAATTCGAGTTTCGGGCACGATTATCGTCAGCGTCAACGCCACGATGCAAGTCCCGGATTGGCCAGGTTGACCGATTGGACGTGGGAACGAAGGAAAGGGAGGAATCGAATTGAAACGGATGGCTGCTGCTTTGCGAGATTCGGGCTCTTCTGATACACACATCATCGCTCAGGAGTGGAAAGCTTAACATCTGCTCAAGGCAGCAGCTCACCAGCTTTTTCTCGACGTGGCAGCCGCAGTCGCAGGGATCACGCGTGTCTAGCCTATTATGGCAGGCACGATCAGCCTCTGCCAGGCTCGGTCAGCCAGTGCCAGCATCTGAAGAGCCTCCCAGGGCCGCTAAGAGGCGCTAAGAGCGGGCCCAACGCGGATTCTGACTCCGGCCTTAAAATAATGTTGCCAACTTTGGTGGCTTTCCGCCAGCATCCGCAGAGCCGGCACGCGAGCATTATTCTGTGCAGAGTACTCCGTACGGAGTACGGAGGACGTTGTGCTGTAATGCAACTGCCAACAGCAGCTCGTTCTTGTACGTACACGATGTATGTACGGAGGACAGTAAGTGTAGACTTAGTACTCCGTTCGGAGGAACTTATGCAGGATCATCATGGTCATTGCACTGCATTTGCACCTGCCCTCAGTCGGCGGCCTTGTTTCAGGGCGATTGCCCCGTCCGGTTGCAGCAGCAGGCGCAGTCCCAAGAGGGTCCACGTTTACATCACGTCCACTCAGTGGTGCCAGTCCACGCACCTCTGCTTTCGTAACACAACCTGCTCTTCCTCATAACCCACAGTCCTGCTCTCAACTGCGTTGTCTCGTACATACTCCCTCTCTATCCGCGTATCTCATCTCTTCCCCTTACATTGTGTTCATTGTCTCCTTTCATTCGGCTTTGCTTTCTTTCAACACCCACTGGCACAACAACACATCTCCGTCGCCTGCCCCCCACCCTCGACCGCTTGACCACTTGACCACCCCTAGTGTTGCCACCAATGTATATCTCCGCGCTGGTCGCCGGCGCCTTCGCCCTCCACGCCTCAGCGTTCCTGGTCCCCCTCGAAATCTCAGAGGCTGCTGAGAAAGCAAAATCAGACCTCGCCTCGTTCTTTGCCGCTGGTCCAAATACCCTCCAACTCGACTGCCCGGGTTGTCCCTTCTTCGGTATCGAGGACACCACCCAAGTCCAACCTAATATCGAGAACAAGATTGTAAGCACGTGCCTGCCCACCTAGACTTGCCCACGCGCTGACCATGACTTCAAGCTGCTTGAGTTCGATGTTGATGCCACCGGGACCTTGATCATCAATCAACAATCCATTCTCCCCCAATCTGCCTCCGATGTCCCAACATCCTTTGCTCTTACTGCCCCCCAGATCCGCGTCGAGGATGGCCAACAGACACGACCGATCCAACTTGATTTCGTCTGGGAAAGGCTACAACCTATCACTTCCAAAGCCAATCCCGATCTTTCTATCCTCCCAATTCAACTTACCATCCTGGGCCTCCAAGGCTACCCCGTCAAAGTCGACACTGTAGCCGTCCACCTCCTTCAAGCTCCTGGACAAACTTCCATTACGAAGATCTCGAGGATTCCTTTCAACGATACTCCGGGAGCCACAACCTGCGATACCTCCAAATGGTCCATCTGCAGACTGCGAGCCATCATCATTGCACGTATGCATGCCATGCTCGAGGCTGCCAAGGCACGTGCTCATGCTGCCCACGGATGGGTTAAGGGACAAGGAAAAGGTTGCCGGGGCAAGTTTGACCACCACAGGGGTGGTCATAGGGGTGGACCACCGAACATGCATCACGAGCACGGCCAGACTGCCCACGGTGGCCACCACCATCACCACCACCATCATGCTCATCGGTTTGGACGCTTGCTACACCAAACTCTTCGCTTCTTCGTCATTCCTGCTCTACTCGGCGTAATTGGGGGGCTCGTTGCCAGTGCAATTGGCATGCTTATTGGTCAATTCATTGCTTTCCTATGGATCCGCTATCACCGGGGTGGCCGACGAGGAAGCGTCCGTGAAGTCGAGTTGGTCGTTGAGGAGGAAGAGAAAGATGCTTTACTCATTGACGGAGATATTGCTCCCCCACAATACCAGGATATCGAAGCGGCTGCAGTCCAAGGCCAGAAGAACTAATTTTGTAACCTGAGTTAGAATCCTTTGAGTCTACAATGACACCCAAAGCAAGGATTTGGAAATGGAACAAAGAATATATCACAACATTCATGAGATACCCAGAGCATTGCAGGTGTTAAATTGAGGGATCCTACTTGAGGGAGGATGCGACATACGGCTTGAACGGAAAGTAGAATGACTTGGATTCTGCCAGTTTCTGAATCATGGGATCACGGCGTTGGACCTGAAGGCAAAGACTCGATATCGGGTTATCAAGTCTTCGGATTGTTTTCGAAGGTTGGCCCATCGTAGTCATTACCGGAAACAATCTATTCTACTTACTCGGTCCGACCAAAGTCGGCCATGCCATCGTACGGTTTCGGAGTCTATTGCCATGGAATGGCAAGAAACTTTGTTCTATAATTTAAAATACACAGAGAATGAATACCCACACAGTATCATATCATTGTTGGTTCAGGTGACCTTTGATCTATTTGATTTATGCCTAGAGATCATGCCCTTCCATCTGATATACTAGGTGCGTGATTGGCATAGGTGATGGACTCAATATAACGAGGGAGGCAATACCTTACTAAGGAGAACAAACATACATGTACGGGTGCTCTTCCAGTTGATGCACCGGAGGTAGTTTGGTAGTCCCACGACTCACCCAAAAGGCAGAGGAAGCAAATATAACAACAGAAAAAAGACATCCGATTCGGGATACCTAGTACGTACTGCATCGGCTGTCCAGTGTTCATTTCAATGTGGCCGGTTTCCGCGTCCTAAGGCCCCAACGTCCCAACCCCCAATTTCATTTCCCCCAAAATCATTGTCATCCATTGATACCAAGCAAGACCTACGCTCCTTGGACCAGAGCATGGTGAACGCGAAGTCCAGCCGAGTTGCTGGAAGTCAGGTCAAGCCAGAAGCCCAAACGTCCAAAAAGATGAAGTGCAGCCGGACACGATCTCACATGGACCGCCTGACCCACTCCTCGACGTCGAAGCGCACCGTGTCGCAAATCCGGCGCAGCCACGGCACGAGGCCCAGGTGTGCGCCCCCGATGTGCGCGTACCGGTCTGGGTCCGTCACTGCCCACGCCGGCAGGATCTCGGACAGTGGGCGTTCGGTTCGCGTGCCGTTGCTCGGGTTTCGCGCGCGGTATTTCTCGGTCGGCGTCAGGCGTGTTCCGCGTAGGATTTGGCTGTGTTCGGCGAGGTCGGTGGGTGGCGATGACGACGGACATGCACATGCACATGCACATGAAGGTAACCGTGATGTCGGCGACGGTAATGGTAATGGCAAAGCATCGTCGTTTGGAGGAAGGGGCGGCGTCGGTGGTTGTACTGCTAATGGTGTAGTAATAAATCTATCTGGCTTGCCCCATTTTGTGGCAAGGACGGAGTCCAATGCTCGCTTCATCCATGCAATCTTCTTAACCGAGTCTGCCAGAGTTGAGTACACCCTCCCGAGCCTCGTGACGAGGCTGGGAGGCGCAGCAGTGGAGGCTTCCGAATCGCCGGGGCCCCCAGGCTTGTGCTCTCCATCGCCAGGTCCATCTCCATTCCCACCGCTCGGACATGGTGGACATGTTGATGCTGCTGGTTTCGATATACAGAGCTCAGTGGCCTTAGTTGTCGCATGCTGTGTCCTATGCGAAAGTTTTACAGGTTGCGTCTCCGTGAGAGTGATGGTCTTGTAGTCGGTCTCTGTCACGGTCTCTTGCTGCGTCTGGGTCACCGTCTTTGACCCCCTTTGTCTGTCAAAAACCGTCGTTGGTTGCGTCTGGGTCATTGCACTCGTGTCGGGTCTGATCTCCGGTATGGTAATCCATGTGGTTTCAGTCACTGTCTTTCCGGCCTTTTCTGTGGTGAAGTAAGTTACACTCTCGGCGACCGACGAGAATACCGTCTCCTCTCGCGGTCTCGTCATCCATGGCGGTAAGGGAACAACACGACTTGGACTCGGGTGCACGAGGCTCACCGTCGCAGCTTTCGAGATTTTCGCCGCATCTTTCTCGTCCGCGGGTTCCGTGACAGAATGCGCCACCATGGTTGGCAGGTTCGCAATAGCAGTCCCAATCACTGAGAGACTTTTGGCCGGCATAAGGCTGAACATGCACCCGAATAGTGCGACATAAAAAGCCAGGATACAGCAGCCCGTCCACCAGACCTTTGAGTCCACGTTCGGCTTCTCATTTGGGGAGACCGCTATCTGCGTGATGGGGGCAGTGTGGTAAGTGTTTGTGGTGTTTGTGCTGCGATTGCTAGTGTCGAACCAGCTAAAGATGGAGTTATTGCTATTGCTCGTATCATTGTAGAATGAATCACTGTAAAAGTTGTTGATGACCTGTCTCGGGTTCCGAAGAAAGTTCTTGAATGACTTTCCATCTCCAGCAGGAGCTCCTGGAGAACCATTCTTGTTTCTCGCCTCCATGACATTTCGATCCTCGAGGAATGCAGAGAGCCTCTTTTTCAAAACCCGGCTCGTTAGGTCCGCGAAGGGGGATTGTCGTACGTTGTCATTTTGAGGCGGTTTCGCTTGAGGTAGTCCTTTGAGTTGGCTACCAAATGTCATCTGAGACTCGCTGGGACTACTTGCCACTTCTCCATCCGTCGCAGACTCTACCTTGGCGACAGGCCGAAATTTGCTGTTTTGTTCACTTATGAAAGACCTCCTCAATCGGAGAGTGTCATGACCTGAAAGAGGATTATGTTGGCTGGGTTTGGTATACGGATGCTTTCCTGTATCCTGCTCCTTTTCAATATTCACGCTCTTGCTCTGGGAATCTTGCCTGATTTCATGAATGAGTGCTTCTTGGTTCTCGACCTGGGATGAAAGTTTTCGATTTTTGCGCACTAACGTCTTCAGGTAGTCTTTCACCATGGCCCTGACTTCTTCTTTAAGAAATTCCAAAGCATTCTCCACGTGTGGCGGGAGGGCGGCGTTTATGATTGGTGTTGACGGAGAGACTGGTGAATAGGTGACGGACTTTGTGCTCAAGATGTCATCAGGCGACATGGAAAGCAGCATTGGCTGCTTTTCACACGACTGGTTATCACGACCGTGGTTTGGCCCATCATTGAATTCTGACCCTGCAGTCAATGGCCTGTATGCAACCAGAGCGCCATTGGCGTCTCCTTCTGGAGATGCGGAAGCGGGCCTTTCGGGCTTTCGCGTCGAAAGAGACAGAGGAGAAACAACAAGTGCCGACGATCGTCTCCTTGTGTGTTGTGTATCATGAAAAGAAACACTACTACTCCTCGCTTCGCTAGGCTCCCAGTCTTGTGTATATTCGATTTTTTTCCTCCCAGCAGACTGGTGCATTGAATGTTCTCCATGACTGCAATACGTGCCAAGTGGAGACACATTTTGATCGCCTAAAGGGTCCCCAGCGATATGGAAGGGCAAGGCGGAATTTCCAGGCAGTCTTACAAGGTTTGAAAAGCGTGCAGATACGGGCGTGTTTGGCACAGTCGAAAATGTTCCACGTCGACGGTCTCCAAAGTACTCGAGCATTTCAGCAATGTTCTGAGCCCCATGAGGCACAATGGACGACCTTTGATTTGCGTTTTGCGAATGTCGTGAAGCTCTTGCGTTAAGTTGGTCCTCAAGGTCATCGTACAGCATCAAGCGTTCAAGATCCTGGTGCACTTGATGTTCTCGCACGTAGCTGACGAACTGGTATACCCTCTTGCCATTTTCGACTGCTTTTTCTTGCAACTCCAGTCCTTCTTGGAGGTCTCTATTCGAGCGCTGGAGGCCTTTCATTTGATCTTGTAGTTGGGCGCATCTCTTTTCCGAGTTTGCAAGCAATTGGAGTGTGTTTCGCTGTAGTTCCTTCGTCAGATCAAGGATCCTTTTCTGCTCCTTTTTGCCATTCTCCGCCTTAGCTGCAGCTATGATATGCTTTTGCTCCCCTTCACCAACCATGCAATTGGCTTGCTCCAGACCTGCCTCAAGCTCCTTCACGCGGGTACGATGTTGCGCAATCTCCTGGGCTAGGTTTTGTGCTAGTCTCTCTTTCTTGTCCAATTTGTCATCGAGCTCGGCAAGTGTGGTTTCTAGAACGGTCAGAGATTTCTCAAGCTCTTTTTTCTCCTTTGAGAGATTCTGGTTTAAGCTTCTGAGATGTGATTCATCTGCTACATCACTTGTCTGAGTTCCCACATTCCGCATATCTATTTGTACCGTACTTCCAAAATCGGCTTTGATGTTCTGCTCGTTGATAGTTTGCTTATTGGCAAGAGGTTCCTTGTTTTCACACCGCTCATTCTCAAGGTCGGACATCGAATCGTTATTCTGTTGGACCGTGGCATAGCCTTCTAAGCTGTTTTCCATAACAACGCCCAGGAGTGAGGAGAAATTAGTTTCGGACGAAGTAGGTCCTTGTCTGGGGAGAGAGAGGCTAGAGGCTCTAGAGTGACCTGAAGAGGTATAAGTTGATGGCGACGAGGATGTTGATTGTGGAAGCAACGGCGACGAAGGTCGTGATACCGATCTCACTGACGATGGTGACGGCGACGGAGATCGTGGCCTTGTCAATCTTCCCTGTGGCGTAGTCATATGTGTACCAGTAGCAAGTGTGGAAATAAAATCGAGGTCTTCGCCCTGGTGAGTCGGCTCATCATGGGCTGTTCGTAGCTCTGGTACTGGCGGATTATCAGATCGACGTAGCCAGTCTAGGTTGGGGTCCGTACCTTCACGTCCGGCTTCCATGATTGATAGGTAGCTACAAATCTAGCATGGGAAACGTAATATATCGATGTCGATGTCGATTCGATCCTACAGAAGTTGGAATCCTATACAGGAGGAAGGGGGTCAGATCAGTTCAATGATCTTGATTCTCTTTAAGTTGGGTGGTAATGCTATACCACGGCTCTCTTCGCTCCGGCTTCTGTGATGACTTGTGACAAGGCAAGAATGGGTCGGATTTCAATCGTCAAATCTCATTGAACGCCAGACAGAAATGGTAATATGGCGAAGGCGGCGAAGTGAAGGCCGGGGTAGCACATCGTAGGCCATGCATGCGCTTGATCCAGTCATAACTAGTTCAAAGTAGAATGAGGCTCCGCATGCAGGGCTGAAGTGCTCAATACAACAAAGGTAACACCCAGGTCGTGTCGCACAGACCACTCAAATCACCCACATTCCATTCACTTTGACTGTTTTCAACAATGAAGGCTTTCGCGCTCTCTCTATCGGTTCAAGCCTGGGTTGGGCAGGAGAAAGTTTACTCAAAATCACTTCAGTTTGATGATAGAAGTGAGGTTGATCCCATACACGCAGGAAAAAACCACGCAACGAGAAAGTCATTGGGTATCCAAAGCAAAGAGATGAGTCCAAAGTTCGAGTGCTAACTTCAGAACGCACCACAGCTGAAGAGACTATCTGAATTGCCAATGGCTCGAACCCTTATTCTGGGGAACGCATGGCGACAATACCTCGGAAATTCAAACAAGCCAGATTCTGGAGAGGCTTATGCCGTTGGTTTCTCAATGAGAGCCACCCTGGTTCCAATCAACTAGGAACGCAAAATTGAACAAGTCAGAGAAGTGGTTTGAGCATAGCCAAGTATGGATATAGCACATTCAGTAACATAGAGTATCCTGTGACTGTTGTTCAAGACAAGCTATTCCAATATAGACGCTATCCTCAACCCCACGGACATTCTCCTTTCTTGCAGGGAGGCGCCCGTCGGATCACGGGTTGAACGGGCGTGTGACTCGAAGCTCGTCGAGCGATTGATAGTTTATCCACCACGTCATGTGAGTCTGAGCAAAAGGTGACATCGTCTGTCCTTTGTTCGATCTGGTATTCCATGATAGTGGCGTGACCCACAAGAATCTCTCATGAAGGCCTCAGTGAACCCCCTCTGATCCGAAACTCTACCCACAAAGGATCGGTGCCAAGAGAGTGCTTCGGGAACTATGGTATGGAATATGTTGAGACCAGAACAGAAATCTGACTCTGGAGTCGGCATTTTAGGTCATTGTTCCAAGCGCCCTCTCTGTTGGGTCGTGTACTCTTCTGTCTTGGTACAGCTCTCTTGATCATACTTCGCAACCGGCTGCGATTGTTCGCTCACTCAAAAGAGTTTGGACCAGATTGAGGCGACGCCTCTCAGGTTCGAGTTGATTGGTGCGGACAATATGATAAAAGTGCCTTTATTACTTGTGTAAGCGAGCACCTTTCATTGAGTGAGGTAGTCCATATTCCGCCTTTCCAACAGTACTAGACGGGTGTACCGATTCTGACATTGTACCCACTGCTCTAATTACCGCATTCAAAACACCAGTTCTTGCCCTTCAGCTCCATAATCAGAGGATATTATAACATGATCGACGGTAAATGGTCAGTCCGATTCGTCCTTGAATGATGGGTATTTTTCGATTGAAGACAGCTGCATTTGATCGCGACAAGGGACTTGAACGACATTCTGGTGTCCCTTGTCATCAACAACCAAGGCAGTGAGTTTGCCTCCTCGAACACAGCCAGTGTCTAATCCTTTTGTATACTTATTAATTTGCAACCCTTTCTTGGCGTCATGTCCATAAATCACCGTGGTGTGCTTCACAGAAGTGTCCCACTTTCCCGATTCTCGCAATTGGGCAAGATGCCTCTGGGCCGGAGCCAGCTGCTGATGTTTCTTCCACAGGCTGTACCATGGAATACTACCTTTCTTCTCGTGACTTTTTGAAGGGACATGTGTGTTAAGATCGACAATTCGCATGTTCATGACAGAGGCGGGATCCTGCTCTTCAAGGGGAACTCCGGCTACAAGACCAGCGTGAACAACTACAGCTTCGCCTCCGAATGCTTTCAATTCACCCACGCGAAGGATGACTGGGCAAGCGTTGAGATATGCAAGCTGATCAGCACTAAGCGACATCGCCAATTTTCGTTCCTGGCTATCAGCCTTGAAGGATTCTGCCTCACGGCCAATATCGGCCCCTGTTCCGGAGTTCTTGTTCGATCGAAGCGAGGCGGATTTGAGGTCGTCCGCTACCAGGAGCAGTCTGTCTTCATGATTGCCGCGAACACAAGAAGCCTCATAACCGCGAAGGAGGTCAATCACTCCGGGAGTGTCAGGCCCTTTCAGGACTATGTCCCCGGTGGCGATAAGGTGATCCGTCACTGGATCGAAATGCACCTTCTTTAGCAAGTCTTCGAGCTCCTTTTTGCACCCATGAATATCACCCATGAAAATCAGCCTCTTCATGTCCTTGATACCCTCATGCTTTCCCCTGGATGTTCGTGGAAGAAGCTTCGGGTCGAGGTCTTGGAGATGAATCATATTCGGAAACCGAGGTCGGGCATTTGTCCCAAACAGACCTGCGCCTGAAGGTACTGTAGCGAGGCTCAAGGATTTCCACACGGCTGTCTCTTCCTCAACGAATGGTGCAACAATCTTTATCAATAGGAACAACGAAGAGAGTACGATGACGATTACCAAAAGTAGAAGTCTTCTAAATTTTGGTGCTTTGACGATGGCAAGGAATCGGCTTAGACCGTGTTCAAGCGTATTTAGGAATTTGTCGACTCTGGGATAGGCAGAAGCGTCCGAAGTATGAAGAGTCGGAACATCTCGCCAGTCATTGGTGATCCATTCGACCAGTGGCTTGCGCAATCTTTGACCTGGATATGAGCGCGAGACTGAGCGGGATGATGGAAAGTCTTTGTCGGACATTTTACCCGGATCGCCTTCGGTCGGCCAACTAGTCACCTCTTTGGCAGTGTGTCAGAGCTGTGGCCAACCATCGATTTCGCCCAATCGTCGGATACCCAGAGTGCAATAGAGGTAAGGCAGAGCAAGGAAAGCACACAACGTCGTGAGATGGCAATTGTATATAGTGTCACTCGAACAGGGCGAACCCAGGCTGGTGGAGTTGTGGCGGCTTAACAACGCGTGCAAGGCAGGTCTCGGGTTGTGGTTCGTTCTACTCGTAGGAGATGAAATAACCTTCTTACCCAGGAAGCAAGATTCTCTACTATGCAAAGGTCAAAAGAAAAAGAAAAGGACCATCAGGATGCCAGGAGAGGCGCAGGCTGACCTCTGGCCGAAGATGTCTTGGTGGCATGGCACCAAAAGATCTACCTGGGCCGCAGCCCTGGACGCTCATTGAGCTGTCGAAGGAGCAGGTAAGCGAGCCTAAGAGTTGTGACGCACCGGGGGCTTGCGGCGAGCGAGCACGGACGAGATGGCGACTGGGGCTTCAAAGGTGACCGTCATTTTCGTGAAATGACGTCCGTATAGCCATAGATGACTGGTACGAGAGAATACGAGGCTGTCATGACACGAAATACTGGAATACTTAGGATGCGACTATTTTCTACTAAAATTTACTAAGCTAGGATTATAGTATATAAATAATAATTCGATTTTACTACTGATAATTATCTACTTATTAAGTTTTAATATTCGATACTTAATAATATCGATGACATTTCTAGCTTTAAAAACTCCTATACAAGAGCTTTAACTTTTAACTTTTAAGAACTAACTTATTAGCCCTTAGTACTTTCGTGCTAAAGCCTTAGACTACTAGTGTCACGGGATGGGACTACGGTGGACCCTAGAAGCACCCATCCTATGCTAAGACTAGTCCTAAAACACTAAGGGGCCTAGTATATAAGACCTCAGGGGCTATACGGATCGTATGCGAGGTTTTTAGACTCCTTAAGTTCTTATAGTCGATGTTCTAAGGACTATATAGTAATTAATCGATTATCTTAGTGTTCTCGTTAAGTTACTTATACTCTTATAATTCTATAAGAACTTCCCTTAACTACTATACTAAGGAAAAGACTTAGGAGTATAAGCGGCGTAGCTAAAACGCGTACTTAAAGAAGGTTATTAGCTTAGATAGAGTAAATAGAAAATCTATCGCCCTAAGTAGAAGAGCTATCGGGCTCTACCTAGCGCGTAGTAGAGGAAGCGCGGGAGACGCGCGGGTCTCGAGCGAGCTCGAGTAACCTACTATTATCGCTTAGTAGAGCTAAGGAAGATACTCCTTAAGGAAGCTCTAGAGCGTTAAGTATCGTACCTATATCGATAATATAAGATCGCTACGCGTAACTATAACGTAGGCTACTAGAAAAGAGATAGCTAGATAAAAGATAACGAATAGAGGCGGAGCTCCGAGGTAAGTAAGTTAACGATTCGATAAATATCCTAGGCACGACGCTACTCCTTCGTAAGCGGCTAGTAAGCCTATAAGAGGATAGTCTAGTAAAGTATATTAAGATAGAAGTGTATTGAGGTTGAATCGGTATATATTCTCGCCCATCCTGCAGGTCGGACAAGGGGGCAGGGCTACGTCGCTAGAGTTTCTCTCTCTTCTAGGACCGTAGGATAAGAACCAATCGACGTCAAAACGAATACTATAGTAGCCATAACTAAAACGATACTCTTTACTCACCTATGTCAGCGGAGGAATAGTAACGCTATCGATCTCTATAGTCTTAAGCCCGCTAAAGGACTATACTTTTAAGACTTCTCGTAATAGACGTATATAAAGCTATAATAGCTTTATTCGTAAAGGTTACTACTACTAAAATTTAGGCTGTATAGTTATATAGCCGAACTCGTAGAAGGAAAAACGCTCTTAATTCTATAAACTATACTCTTATAACTACTATCTAATATTTAACGTAAGCTCGCGTATATTAGGTTGCTCGTCCTCGCGTTGCTTATCTCTTCGATCGTCTACTTTCTTCCTCCCTTACTTATTCTTCTATACTAAGGCCCCTTCTCTCTTCTCTTATAACTAAGCGCCTCGAGCCCTAATATATCCCTTTCCGCTTTACTACTTAGAGAACCCTCTTAAGTATATCTATAATGCCTAGAACTATAGGCTCGCTAGCTAACTCGTAGAGAAATTACCTCGCTCCCGTAGAAATATCGTAATACTAAGTAATCGTGTCGTATTAAGAATAATTCTTTATAGCTAATATTTAGATATTCTTTCCGTTAACTTAAGGCCGTAGTACCGGTTATCGTAAGAGAAAACTTAGAGAGTAACGTCGAGATTAACGATATAATAGTCCCTCTCGATAACTTATATAAGTCGTTTACCTTATAAAGAGTAAAGAACTTTAAACGAAATACTAAATAGAACGAAATTATAGTTAACTAGTAGTAAAAGAAATATCTATACTATAATCGTAACGTTCTAGTACCGTATTCTTAAAGTAATATAAATAAAATAATATATAATAAACCGTCCTCGCATCCCCTAAATTATTCGGCTATATAGTTATATAGTCTAGCCCCTTCTACTTTAGTAGTTACTTCTTTAATCGTATTTCGATCTTACTCCTAATAGATTATATATTAGCCTTAATTAAATCTTTAGAATCGATAACCGTAACCTTCTTCCCCCTAGTAGACGTATTAAAATCTCCTATCTCGCCTAGTACGAAAGCCTTCTCCGGGAAGAATAGATTTATCTTCTAGTTCTTAACTTCTTTAGTAATTATATCTACTACCTCTATCCTCGTCCCTATATCGATTTATACTACTTATAGATCCTTACTATAGTAGAATACTCGAAAATTTATTATTATCTATAGCCTATAGTCGCTAGTATTCTATTACTT